ACTTGCTACATCCTGTATATAAGTCCTTGGGCTTCTTGCACGTCCCGTCCTGTGCCCTGCAGTGGGCCTCGCTGCACGCCGTGCACTTCCCCGGGCCTGTGCAGCGCTCACAGGTAGGGTCGCACGGCTTGCAGTACCCTCCCTCGAGATACGCCCCGGAAGCGCACCTCGTGCACGCGCCTGCCCCGGTGCACTCCAGACACCACTTTATCGCCGTGGCGCACTCAACGCACATGCTCCCGGTCAGGTAGTGGTTTTTGGGGCAGCTCATCTTCCCTCCACGCGACGGCGCGGTGGCCAGAGCGACGAGCACCACCAACGCATGCATCAACAGCTGTCTAAAAGTATTAATTTTTAATCTCAGATCGTGTTATCAGTGGAAGTAGTGTTCGGATTATACAAAAGAGGCTCGCACATGACACAATCATCAAGGAGCAGATCACATCTCGGGTGGTCGGTGACCGAGGCCTGTGCGAACCCATTACAGGGGCGGCCCTATAACGGATGGGCTGCTCTCGGACAAGTCGCCCCATGCTTCTAGCGTTAGGCAGTACGCTACTGTACTTTGTAAGGTAGTCTCGGTCATGCGCTGGCACACTAAGACACGATAATCGCCTTTGACATTAACTACTCGCCCAGAAGGCACGGGTTGGATGCCCTGTGCGATAAGCGTGTGCAGAGTCTGAGTCATGGCGCCACAAGTGACGAGCCGGCCACGGAGGGCCTTTACGGACAGAACGAGTCTGACCTGTCCAGGGCTAACCCCACAGCTTCTGCTTGCCGAACAGGGGTATCTACTGACTAGGTAGTAGGTCAGGCATACCGGTCGCGGTGTTGGCTCTCAGTCTGCAACTGGGAGGCCAGCGGCCAACAGAGAGGCAGTCCGTACCATTTTAAAGTAAAATCGTCGGGGAAAATCTGCTGCGGCGACAGATGCCCTTCAGCCCCATTTCCGCGCCCGAGTACGAGACAAACGACTGGTATGAGCCGACCGCCTCTGCGCTGAAGAAGATCAACGAGGCCGGGGAGCTGGAGCTCATCGCGTTCCACGGGCCATGGTGCAAGGACTGCCAGTACAGCATCCCCGTCTTCAACAGGATCATGACGTGCGTGACGAACGACAAGATCAAGGTCACCGTCGCCACCGTCGACAAGGAGACCCGCACGGACAGCGCCGGCCTTTGCGAGAAGTACGGCGTCAAGAAGGTCCCGTCCTGGGTCGTCCTCCGCGGGGGGAAGGAGATCGGCCGGATCGTCGAGAACTTCACGGCCTCCTTCGACGAGGACGTGGCCGCCATGCTCTAGGCCTTCCACCAGGAGTGAATTCTTTTGGCGCTTGTACGCTCATGGAGAGGCCTTGCGGTTCGGGGGCGCGGCGGCTGGACGTGCTTGCGTTCATGCCAGACGAGCGCACACAGAGGCTCCTCGTGGCCCAGAGGCAGCAGGAGTTCTCGGCGGCCGCTGCAGCACATCAGCCACGGATCGCCGAGGTGCGCGTCCAGATGCACAACCTGCGGGACAGAGAGGGTTATGCCGTAAGGTATGGGGTCACAGCGGTCCCCACTTGGGTCTTTCTGCGCGATGGACAAGAGCTCGGGAGAATTGTTTGTGAGCCCCGAGGCTCGTTTGCAGAAGAGATAGGAAGAATCCTGGCCGCATCCACCCAGGAGCAAGACAGAAGGAACCGCTAGCGGGACCCGTGTCGGCCGCTCGTCAAAAAACAAATGGCGTCTCTATGCTGTGTCGCATGCGCCAACCTTGTTCGCCCAGGAGCCCATAAGATCCTGTGTCCGCTGTGTAAACTTGAATTGGAAACCCACGCACACAAACGCCAGGAATTAAAATGTCAGTCGTGCATTCTGACAGAGCACTTCGCAGACGACAAGCATAGCGCGACCCACAAGAGCCTCATCTTAAAGGCGTACGTCTCAATGGAGCAGGCCAGGACCAAGGCGGAGGCTAGCCTGTACCTTGCAGAGAGCAAGAAGACGAGCATCGAGGAGAAGATCGATCGCAACGAGCTTGACAGGTTTGGCAGAGTGGCCACGACGATAGAACAGGCGCTCGAAGTCCAGATCAGCAAGCTCGAAAAGATCACCGAGGAGAACTTCCTGGCGTCCGAGCTGTGGGTGCGGAACATGAAGGCCCGCCTAGCCTCCGTCTACCAGGGATGCATAGCAAGCAATCAGGCAACGGTCGACTTCATTGCCCAGAGGGCTGGAAACCTGGTCTTCATGTCGACTGCGGCTGAGCTTCTCGCGTCCATGGAGGATCTCGCCGCCAGACACATGCACCAGCTTGCCAGCTCCTCCACTGATCGCTCCGCACCAGCTGCCCATGCTCCCACTGGCTCTCTTATCTCGCTCGTCCGCCAGAATGTCATGGATACGCTCTCGGCGTCTTTACCGCTGTTCAAGTCTCACCACAACATCAAGGGCATTCTAGACTCCGTCGCCCTAGCAAAGAACATATACGTAGGCCACGCAGACCTATTCAAAATCCACATTCTCAAGACTGGCCTGTACGTCTTGCCTGCCGCATTGGTACTTCCCCCCAGAACAACCCTGGGCGGGGCTTCCAGCAGGGGCGGGACAGACGTCGCAGTGCAGAAGGCGCAGTGCAGGTTTGAGTCCCGCGTCACCCAGTCCCTTACCGCTAACAGGAAGCGTCGCTCTGTTGTGTACGGCACCGTCATACTCACAGACAATAGCACGATCTTCAACCTTCACATAATAGGGAGAGTGTACGTCATCGGAAGCAACGCGAACATCATCAACTGCACGATCGAGTCCACGCCCGCCTACTCTTCAGAGTCCTTCACAGACCGGTACACGGGGCTACCCGGGTGTCCCATAGCGTCAAGGGACCGCTCCATGGCGTCGTCTGTCCCCCGGCTCCAGAAGCTGCTGAGGTCTTCGTCTCCCAACAACCTCTCGCTGGCAGCCATCTCGCAGGCTCTAGAAAGAGTGGGGGTGACTCTAACTGCGGATTCGCTGGCGCACTTGGAGCGTGATCTTGCTACCATTAACCCGTGTCTCGTCGTGACCAACAGGTCTACGAGTACGCTACTGATTAAGTCCAGGATTAACTCGAATAGTTTGGCGAGCCTTCCATTCAGTCTGTCGCACAAGCTTCCCGAGAGCGAAAGCAGCCTGTATGTTGGGCCAAGGTGCCCCGTTCTTGTATCCTCGGCGTCCCAGCTGTACATTCATGGCTCCTCTGTCTTCTGCACACAAATCAACCCCCTCGCGATGACCACGAGCTTTCGAACCGTGGCGTTATCCCCCATCTTAGAACTCGACACGCAAAGAAGCTTGATGAACAGCGCTATCAGTCGCACACAGGACTTTGGCGGACAGGGCAGCAGACATCCCAGGGAGTTGTGCAGCCTAGAGGCCGCCGAGGAGCCAGCCAAGAACCTTCCCTTCATGCTCACGCCAGACAGGTTTCTCAGGGATAGAGAGATGATTGTGAAGGGGTCCCTTATTGTCGTCAAGGAGGGCTCCCATCTAGCAATGAGTGATACTCACCTGTTCAACTCCTTTGTGGGGGTGTACACTTCCGATGGCTCCGTCCACGCCAACACGTGCTTCATCAATAACTGCTGCGTGGGGGCGATTGTGGCGAACGACGCATACGATGCGCGGTTTGTCTACACTGTGTTTAGCGAAAACGGCATTGGTGCCATGATGCACAGGCTCAGGAACACATCAGCCCTCTACTTGTCCCGCTACGAGATGAGCTCCGTCTGCGGGCTTGTCATATCCAACACGGCCATAGACACGAACATCAACTACAGGTACCGGGTGTCGGAGCAGAGAGCAGCCCCTGCTCCGGAAGCCCCTAGCCCGGCAGAGCAGGAGGAGGACAGCATCATTGGGGGATCTCTAGTCTTCGACACAGTGCCCTCGTCTGTGGTGCAGTCCCAATCAGGGGAGGCCACCGGAAAGCCCATGTATGGTACCCTGTCTCTTCGGACGTCACCCATTCTAACAAAGTCCACTCACCTCACGAGCGCAACGAAGCTGCCCGAGCACCATTGCATCCTCGTGAGCAAATGCGACTACCAGGCCTCGAACGTGTCCTCCCTTGCCATTGTCGAGGAGCATGCAGGCCACCACTCCATCAACACTGCGAGCTGCATACTGCTGCACAGGAACAGAATCGAAGTGACTCAGAAGCGAGCTCCTAGGAGATCCGTAATTCTTCAGGGGGAAAACGTTTCACAGTGGTTCACTAGCATTCCCGCGACAAACTGGATTATCCCCTCGGCAGACCCCAGGGAGTACATAGAGATAATCCCGAGAGGAACCGACCTGGCGCAGATTCTGTCAACAAATTTAGTCAGTAACACAGCAACAATCTAGGTCACAGGCGCGGATGTTGGAGTCCTAGAATGCTTTAGAGGGCACCAGAGGACAATCATCATTAGCTCTGAGTAGCAAGAACTGAGACTCTATTTAGGGCTGGTGCGTCTGGCGAAGGCATAGCAACAAGTGGTGTTTAGGTAAAGAATAACGCCCCCATCTTTGGACAGGTATCTACGTCCATTTTGTATCTACAAAGGGCATTGTCTGGCAGGAGGGAGAGGCATTGATGAAGGAGGTCTGCATCTCGTGCTCGCATAACACTAATCGTAGCCCTGGGCCCTCTTCTCAATTCAGAACGAATTAAGGAGTCTCTGCCGTAGGATGGCCGAGCTGGCGGCTGGTAGGGCTGTGCAATGTGTCAGAGATTGTTAGAGATTCATACTGTATATTGTGCAATGACCGATATGCATGGGTGTCCCACCGAAGGCCCGGCGAAGGACAGCACCGGAGATGAGACAGGATGACCCCTGGTGGAGGAGATCACGGTGCGGGCTTTCCTTGTACGCAGCGATAGGAAGATCAGACCAACTATTTCTCCTTTTAGCGCATAGATCCCCGTAGACCATCATTTGCTCAAGTGCTCCGTTGCCAGGACTCCCAAGAAGGCTCGCCCATATTGTCTACCACGGAATGCTGTGCGTGGGGTTCCACTCTCTACGCCCTCTATCCTCGGGCGGAGGAACCAACCAGTCGACTACTTGCGGGGGAATCAACAAGACAGCATCAGTTGTCAATCTGATGGCAGGAGAGGTCAGAAAAGGAGCAGACGAGTCGGACACCTCCGCTCTCCAAGAGGGCCCGGTAGAGCATTACTCCTACAGCAACGTAACCAGGACCTTCGACGTACTAGCCACGGGGAATCCCGGATACCCCGCCCCCACGAGCACTATTCCAGAAGCCCTGATGCACCAGAACTCGTACGCTGCATTGGGATTTTTCACGTACAACTTGCGCCCGGTCTTCACGGTGCAGCTTCCCGACAACGCCGTCATCAGCGGATTACAGTACATGCCGCTGCGCAGCGACAGGCTTCCGTTTATTGTTGTGAGTTATAACCTTCCGTCTGCCGAGCAGGCCGACGCCGAGGACGGATTCGTAGCAGTCTATAGCATGAAGATCTCGTACTCTCCGAAGGAGGAGTATGCGGTAGAGCTTGTTGCGAACTTTCTGTTCAGCAACAACACCGTGTGCGACATCGCACCCTACACAAACCACCGCGTAGCTGTCTCGCTGCGAACCGCCATAATCATCCTTGCCTTGGTAACAGACAAAGACCTGGCCCAAGAGGACATTACGAGGGACACGCACGGGCTTCACTTTGGTCAATCCATAGGAAAGCCGTTTATGAGCACGGAGTACCAACTGCTGGAGGTGTACGGCTGCACCGGGCCTGCGCTGCTTCTGAAGCTAGGCACGGCGTACTCCCAAGTGACTATACTGGATATGCTCAAGGGCGTGACGCTCATGAGCGACGGGCTAAGGACTGCGCACACTACTCTGGAGCAGCCCCGCCTGGTAATCCAGTCACAGCTCTTGCAGCGGATGATCCCGGCGTGCATCTATCAGATAGGCGTCGACGGACCGATACTGGTTGGGGATCGCGCAGGGTACATACACATCATCAAACTGCACAGCTCGCAGGGGCTGAAGACTGTCGCATCCCATTACGTCGGGGAGCAGGTCGTCTGCTTCGGCCCCGCGCCAGGCCATCGAAGGGAGAGCAGCGCCGTCGCGACGAGCAGAAGCCACGCGTCTGGTCGGCAGCTCATTGAGCCGTATCCTCCCATACTATACGCGACGATAGGCGGCCAAATAGGAGTCATCATAAAGGTCACCGAGCAGTGCTCGGCAATGCTTTGCCTAGCAGAAAGCGCCATGCAGCAGAAGGGCCGAGCTCGCCGGGATCCAGACGCCCTCATAGACCTGGGCACCCTGGAGCGGTACAGACACCTCGATGAGGACGAAAAGCAGCTCGTAGTAGCCGGCCTTCTTTCAGCGAAATTCGACGGGCTCACCGCAGACGTCCTCGCGAGCACCATTGGAGAAGTCGCAAGGTTCGCGGCCCCCTGGTGATGCAGGCGGGTCCGGCCGCACACACAGCGCACGCCGGCCGCATCTGAGGGGCGGGAAGTGAATTTAAAATCGAATGGACCTTTACACTATCTGGATAATAAAACATGCCTGCAGTGGTGTCTTCTGTGGAGGAATGGTTTGAGGCCATCCAGGCCGGCCAGGTCGAGCTGATCCGCAACCACGCAGCAGAGTACGCCAAGTCCGTCAACGGCGACGGCGAGACGGGCCTGATGATCGCCGCGCGCGAAGGGAACGTGGAGCTTGTCAAGATCCTCGGCTTCTTCGAGAACGGCATGGTCAACGGCGAGGGGAAGACCGCCATCATGATCGCCGCCGAGGCCAACAAGGGCGACGTCTGCAAGCGCCTCGTCGCCTATGAGGTCAACACCACCTACGGCGACTTCCAGATGACGCCTCTCATGCTCGCCGCCGAGCACGGGTCGACCGCGGCGGTCAGCAACCTGCTCCCCTACCTCAAGGCCAAGACAGACGCGCGCGGGCGCACCGCCCTGATGTACGCGGCGGCGGCCGGCCACACGGACGTGGTGAAGCTCCTCGTGGTCCGCGAGAAGGAGATCGTCTCGTACGACCACAAGACGGCGTTCGTGCTCGCGGCCGAGAACGGGCACACCGACATCGTCCAGTGCCTCGCGTCCTATGAGGCGAACCTGATTCCGGAGTTCACCCGCCCCTCGCTCATGAACTTCTCCTCGTCCCAGGTCGGAAACCCCGCCCTCGACCTCTCCCTGTCATTCTCTCTGATCGACGCGCACCGCTTCCCCGGCGGACAGGCTGACTCCCTCACGCAGACCAAGACGCAGCTCGAGCACGAGCTCGAGTCCAAGATCATGCAGCTCGAGCTGAAGCTGGCCTCGCTGCACGACGAGTCGTCGATCGTCATCGGCCAGAACGTTTCCCTGCACGGCCAGGTCAAGAACATGGAGGAGAACATCACCACGCTGCGCATCGAGATCAGCAGGCTCCAGTCCGAGACGGCCGACAAGGACGCCATCATCAGCGACCTCAAGGAGCGTCTCTCCGACATGGAGGGAATGCTCAGCGCCGGCGGGTCTGGCGAGGACGTCGACGGCCTCAAGGACAAGATCAGGGCGCTCCAGTCCGAGCTCGCGGAGAAGGAGAGGGACATCCGCGCCCTCAACGAGCGCCTGACCGCCGTCCCGTCGCCCACGGGAGACGCGGCCCTTCTTGCAGACTACGAAAACAAGATCAGCGCCCTCCGGGAGGAGCTGGAGGCGCGCGAGTCCGACCTCTCGGGGCTCCGGCCCATCGTCGAGAAGACCAGGGCCTTCGAGGACGAACTCGCAGGCCTCCGGTCCATGCTCGATGAGCGCGACGCACGCATTGCCGAGCTGGAACAGGCAGCCGCCAGCCAGGACGAGGCGTACGCCACGCAGATTCTCGAGGAGGAGGTCGAGAGCCTCCGCCAGGCCCTCCTCGCCAAGGACGGGGAGCTCGAGGCCCTCCAGAGCCGCCTCGAGGAGACCCTGGCCAGGGGAGGCGAGGCGGCGGACTTCGACGCCATCATCGCCGCCAAGAACTCGGAGATCGCCCGCCTCCAGGACCTCGTCATGCGCGCAGAGAGCGCCCAGAGGTCGTCTGCCGAGGGCGATAAACGCGTAGCCCAGCTCGAGGCGCAGATCGCAGGGCTGGAGAGGCTCCTCGCCGACGCGCAGGGCGGCGACGACGAGAGGGTCAAGGAGCTCAACGAGCAGATCGCAGACCTCCAGTTCGAGCTCGCCAACGCGAAGCAGGACATCGACGAGCGCGACGACGAGATCGAGCTCCTCCGCGACCGCATCCAGGAGGAGATGAAGAACAGCGCGGCTCTCCAGGAAAGGGTGGACGCCCTGGAGGCAGACGCCACGCGGGGAGCAGACGCTGCAGAGTACCTTGCGCGCATCGAGGAGCTCCAGCAGCAGGTCAAGGAGCTCAGCGGTAGGTCGCGCGACGCCCCCGCAGACGAGACGGCCATCCGCGCCCTCGAGGAGAAGATCAGGGCGCTGACCGATGAGATCGAGGCGCGCGATAACCAGATCGCAGAGCTCAAGGAGCTCGTCGACGGCGCGCCCGCTCAGCCAGTCGAGACCGATCCGGCACAGCTCACCGCGCTGGAGGAGGAGAACGGCCGACTCAAAGACGAGCTCCAGGCCCTCAATGACGCGCTTGAGGCCCTCAGGAAGAGCGGCGCAGACGAGGCCAGCGGACTCCGCGGCCAGGTCGCCCACCTCAACAAGGAGGTCTCTGACCTCAAGGAGGCGCTCGCCAACGCCCGGGCGAGCGGAGACGCAAGCGACGTGGAGAGGCTTGTCGAGCTCCAGGAGCAGCTGGAGGACGCGCAGGAGCAGCTCCTCTCGCTCAAGGACAGGTACGACTGCGCGGTGGCCGAGATGGAGGACATGCGGAGGGAGCTCGAGCAGAAGCCAGTGGGTTCGACGGTCTACACCGATGAGCCCGGCGCATCCTCCGAGGACCTCGACAGGCTCAAGGAGGAGCTCGACGCGCTTAGGGAGGAGGTCCAGGTCCTCAACGAGGAGCTCGAGGTCATGCACGGCCAGAACCGCGAGCAGAAGGACGAGCTCAACAGGCTCAACGGCGCCCTGGACGCGAAGGAGAGCCTCATCGCGGACCTCAAGGCCCAGCTTGACAGCACCGTGCCCCAAGACGACGCGCGCATCAAGATCCTCGAGGATGAGATCGCAGACCTCCGGGGCACCGTTGCCGCGCGCGACGACGCAATTCGGGGACTTGAAGAGAAGACCGCGCGGCTCGCCGAGCTCGAGCAGCTCGCTGCAGACAAGGGCAAGGAGGTCGCCGACAAGGAGCACAGCCTCCGCCGCCTCGAGGACGAGGTGAGGCAGCTCAACGACGCCCTCTGCGAGCTCCGCGAGAAGCCGCTCAGCGTGGCGCCGTCCGACCAGTCCGGTGCGGAGTACGTCGACGCCCAGACGGAGATCAGCGACGTCGACCCCGAGGAGCAGGCCAAGGTCTCGAGCATCCTCGACTTCGACGACGGCCTGGTCCAGAAGGTCGACGAGCTGCAGGCCCTCGTCAACGCCCTCACCGGCGAGAACGACCACTACAAGGGCGAGCACGCGCGGATCATGGCGGAGATGGACGCGCTCAAGGAGGACCTACGCAACGGCAGGCTGAGGAGCGACTCCCTGGAGGGCGACAAGGAGCGGCTCATGAAGCAGGTCCGGGATCTGACAGATCTGGTGGAGAGCCTGCGCAAGGACCTCGGCGCCCCGCAGGACCAGGGCGAGGTCGCGGCCCTGCGCCAGGAGGTTGCCGACCTTCGCAGCCGCGTCGACGAGCTGATCGACGCGGCGAAAGGCAAGGACGAGACCATCGAGCAACTCGAGAAGGAGCTTGCCATTGCCCGCGCCAGCGCCGAGAACACCGAGCGGCTTAGCGAGCTCCTCGCCGAGGTCGAGGGCTACAAGGCCAAGCTCGGCGAGAGCAAGGAGATGGTCGACAGCCTCCTCGCCCAGCTCGCCAGCAAGGACGCCGAGCTCGCGGGCGCGACGACAGGCCTCAGAGCCGTCACCGATGACGACGGCGCGGAGCTTGCGAAGGCTCGGGTTGCCTCCCTCGAGAACGAGGTTGCAGAGCTCCGCGGACAGCTCAACGCCAAGCTCGCCGAGATCGACGCCGTCCACAAGAACCTCGTCGACAGCGACGCCGAGGCCGCGCGCCTCCGCGAGGAGCTGGGCGGACTCCGGGTCCAGCTCGAGGCCGCCCAGGTGCCCGAGGACACCGAGCGCGTCCGGATGCTCGAGGACCAGCTCCAGGACGCGCGCAAGGAGCTTGCAGAGCTGCGCGCCGCGCTCGAGGCCAAGGAAATGGAGACGGAGGGGCTCCGGGCCGAGCTTGCGACTGCGGACCCCGAGCTCGCAAACAAGCTCGAGGCCAGCGAGGCCACTGTGCGCGAGCTCAGGGAGAGCGCCGAGGCCCTCCAGGACAAGCTCCACGCTCTCAGCGACTCCAGGGCAGCAGACGGCGACCTCCAGAAGCTCGTCGAGCAGCTCGAGAAGGACCTCAGCGGAGCCAAGGAGCTTGTGGCGGAGCGGGACGCCACCATCGACGAGCTCAAGCAGAGGCTCCGCGACACCGAGGAGTACGACGACCTCAAGGAGAGGATCGCAGAGCTCGATGACGAGATCGCGGTCCTCAACGACGGGCTCAAGGACAAGGACGCCGAGATCGCCGAGCTGCGCGAACAGCTGGAGGCCCAGCCCACCGCGACCACCGTCTATCCGGAGTCCGGCGAGGAGGTCGGGGATGCTGCGGCCCTCCGGGAGGTCCAGGACGAGAACGCAGCGCTGAAGGACGAGCTCGAGGCCAAGCGGTCCCTCATCGACGAGCTCCAGGACGAGATCGACGGCCTCAAGCAGCAGTGCAGCGATCTCAAGGACGAGATGATCAAGCTGGACAGCGCCAACAACGACAAGATCACCACCCTCCAGTGCTCCCTGGACGAGAGCAGGAAGCAGATCGCGGACCTCCAGGAGGAGGTCGAGGTGCTCAAGAACACGGCGAACGACATCGACCCGGCCGTCGTCGAGAGCCTGCAGGAGGAGCTCAGGAAGCTCCAGGAGGAGCTCGACGACCGCGAGAACACCATCACGGAACTCCAGGGCCTCCTCGACGACCAGGAGGGCAAGAACGCGGAGGTCAGCGCCCAGATCGAGGCCCTGAACAGGGAGCTGGAGGAGGCCCGCGACGCCAACCTCCACTCCGCAAACGACGAGCGCACCATGGCGCTCGAGGCAGAGATCGCCTCGCTGCAGGAGTCGCTCGACAAGGCCAACGAGGACCTTGCGCAGAAGACAGACGAGTGCGGCAAGGCCATCAGCGAGACGGGCAACCTCCGGAAGGCCGTCGAGTACTACAAGAAGCTTGTGGACGACATCCGCGCCGGCATCGTCGTCCTCGACGACAACCTCTCGGCCCTGGACCTCCAGTAGGCCGCTAGTGAACTCTGCGTTTTGCGTGCGGGCCCCTGTTGCCTGCCAGCGTTGTAGTCCTTGGGGTTGTAGTCCCATGGGCGGCCGCTGCGCGGGTATCATTTCACCATAGCTGGCAGGGATTTGTTAGGACGGAGCCTCTGTCAAAAACACATAAATAATGAGTTCACAGAAGAGGCGAATAATTGGGGCCATGTGTGCCATAGAGCGTGAGTTCGGTATGATAAAGAAGTGCTTTGAGAAGGAGCTGCAATCTGAAGACCACTGCGGACGCACTTTCTACACTGGAGAGATAAGCGGCCAAACTGTGGTGATCTCTAAGAGCGGGATAGGGAAAGTGGCCGCAGCATCTACGGCAGCTATTATGATCTCTGTCTTCGGCTGCTCTGAGGTCATATTCCTAGGGGTTGCTGGCGGAATTCAAGGACGCGCTGCAATCGGTGATGTCGTTGTATCGACTGCTGCCATTCAACACGACTTTGATGGAAGACCGTGGGTAGAACGGAGCGTAGTCTTTTCGGTGGGTAAGTGCGAAATCCCAGCAGATGGACAGTTGCAGACGCGAGCCCAAGCTGCAGTTCAGGCTGTGCTGGCAGACGATATGGCTCTAGTTTTAGACGATAATTCTGAGCCTATTGGGCGAAGGATTCTTGCCCAATTAAACAGGTCCCCCAAATTGCTAACTGGGAGTGTTCTGTCGGGAGATCAATTTGTTTCTTCCGATGAGATGAATAAGGAACTAGGATCTCGATTTGAGAGTGCACTGTGTGTAGAGATGGAGGGTGCGGCCGTGGCACAAATTTGCTATGAGGCAAGAGTGCCGTATATCATTATCAGAGCAATCAGCGACTCTGGTTCTGGAGAAGCAACCGTTCAATTTGACGAGTTTTGCAATGGCATTAGCTCGCCCTTAATGCTTGCTGTTCTGAAGAGCTATTTAGCATCTGCAAGTAAATTTGATTACTGTGCTATGTCGGCCTTGATCATGATACAGTTTTCTATCCGCTGCCGACACTTAACACAAAGGTCTCCAATGGAAAAGTGAAGCTCTGAATAAATAGAGTAATGGCAGCACGGAAGGTTGAGGTAACAGTAGAATCCCGGAGGAACCCTATCTGGCTGGAGCTTTATAGAGGCGAGAATCTGTAAGTATCGTAAGCTGTTTTGTAGATCATTGCACCTGCGCTTCTTTTCATGTAATTCTTCCCTTAACTTGATACTCGCTTGCTGATATGTTGCAATCAGTTCTGTTTGAGATTGCTTACTTATGTAGTCAGACAAGACCGTCTGCGCCACAGCAGGTGCTTGAGTGGGAGGTGTACTAATAGCTGCTTGTCCTTTAGGACAAGGTGGTACCGTGCCTGTTCTAGTGCGTGGTTTGCTTTCCACATGATTTTCTGATGGAGCTGGATTGACAGTTCGCACAATGCAGCTACTGCTTAGCAGTAGCTTCTCGCGCTCTGTCTGATGTTTCTGGGCTAAGGCAGAATCAGCAGTTATGATCCGGCGAACTCTCATTCGTTCTCCTGATGCGCTTATATTGTCGGAGTGTCTTTTATCTGCTAGTCTCACATAGGGAGGATACTTCTTTTCTTTTTTAAGTCCTGCATCTTCAAGGAATCTACTCCGTAAGGCTTCTTGCTCAATGTCTTCTCTGGACATGTGCATCAGTAGGCGCTCTCTAGTAGCACTTGCAAGGGTAGGTGTGCTGTCCAAAATAGAGAGATCCGTTAGGTCTCTGGCCACGTTACTCTTTATAGTACTGCATGCCATGGCCGTGTAGGCAGCATCAGATGTGAGTTTGAAGCGCTTAAGTTGATCCTGTGTAAAGGCGGGTCTTATATTTGGAAGTTCCTCAATTGTCTCGCTACTTGTCTGTTTCTGCGAAACTAAATCAGAAGCTAGGTCTAAGTCGGAAAACGTTATGTTCTTTAGTGTGGAGTTTAAATCTATTTCAGATTTATGAGCGGACGGAGTTAGTGTCAAAGATTGGGGTATTTGGCGTTGCTGCTTCTTGAAGCTGTAAAGGTTTGGAGACCTGGACTTGAACCGCTCAATTAAGGTGGATTTTAGACGCCGGCCAGTCATCTCATGAGGACTGACTGCAGACCCCAAAGAGGTGAACTTTGACATTAGTAAGCGACAGGGATTGGGACTGAGTGCGGAAGGACCAAGGTCAGACATTTTGAAGCGCTGAAACGTGTAGGTAGAAGCCTGCGGATCTGCGGTCTTTCTCTTTTCTATTGATTGCTTAACAGTATCAAGAATTCGTTGCTCTTGTGATTGCCTCCACATTGAGGCCTGGGTGTGATTACGCGGCATCTCCGCCAGATAAAATTAATCCTTATGAAGTCCCAGTCCTCCTCTTTAATCTCTAGCTCAACCTCAGACGCACCGTTGGAAAGATCTCTACTATGGGTTGCCAACTTTGGTGAAATTAAAGCTGCCTTTCACGAGCCAACATTTCTTGCTCGGGCGGCTCTGTTAGGGCTTCCTGTCGTTATTCGTAGGCCATATATAAGCCCAATAATGCTCTTTACTCTGGATCCTACCTATCAAGACAATACGCCCTTTATAAAGCAAATTGAGGTCGTAGAATCGTTTCTAGCTAGCTTGACCCTCATAAAGGCATATGGGTTTGTCTTGGCATCTGCTTCGTCTTATATCGAACTTCTTGGCGAAAGCTCGATGAGAGCTGCAAATGCTTCTCTTAAGCACTTCTTAGATGCCGTAGTAGTGCTATACTCAGAGTCTATACGGTACCGCTTTGACTCTAATATCGTTGGTGAAAAGGTTGCAAATTCGCAGAAGACTCAGCTTTACGCAGAAATAATACAGCGTCTTCCTGCACTCCAGTCGTTATCCTGTGATCTGACAAATTACAATATACGATTTATGCTTATTAACGAGTGCTTACAGATGCATGGAAAGAAGGAGAAGGCAAACATTCTTCCAGGAACTTCCCATCAACAATCGGGATCTGTAGTTTTGGCTGTGTCCACCTCCAAATATCTGGGATCGATGATGCGGTATAAGCTGAAGACTTATCAACTCCCCGATCGAGTCTTCCTTGGACCAACCTCCATGGACCATGAGCTAGCTTTCATAATGTGTGAGGTTGCAGGATTGAAGCCAGGAGATATTGTCTGCGACCCATTTGCTGGCACATGCAGCATTCTGGTCAGCGCCGCATCGTATGGATGTATTACTATTGGCGGAGACTTAAATATTCGTGTGCTGCGGGGGAAAAGCACTGACGAGAACTTCAGTAAGAACTTTCTTCAGTATGGCCTTCCCCAACCGATAATTTCGCACCATGATGTTAATAGGATAGCATATCAGTGCCTATGTATAGATGCAATACTATGTGACCCCCCATATTCCATCCGTGCTGGATCCAGAAAAGGGAAAGCAGCTGATGTTGCACATCCGGCCGAATCAGTGGACGACACTGATAATTTAGTCACAGATACTGTATTCACACGTAGCTGGAACTATAACAAGTTTAGTGTTGCATCCCAACATCAGGATACAGCAGACATATTCTTGTCTGTCCTAAAGTTTGCTGCATGGACACTGAAATTAGACGGCCATCTGGTCTTTTGGATGCCATACTTAGTCAATGAGTTTACTGAGGACGATATCCCCGCACACCCTGATTTTCTGTGCCTTTATCACCTACCACAGCAGATGACTATGCTTTACGGACGCCGTATGTGTGTTTTGAAGCGGATATCTACGGAGGGAGTCAGTCACAATCCGTTCTATAAAAGATACCCATCTCACGCCAACTTCAGCGAAAAGATAGGCTTTCATAAGTCGGTATGCAAGCTATAGGCCAGCGTATCTAGCTGTTGTTGGTTGTGCCGTTCTCTGGCTTCTGTACGACGGGATAAGCATGAATACAGTGTGCCAGATTTACCTCCTTGTAGTTTTGGAGGCCAATCACATCAACCTCAGAAGTAATAGTAGTTCGCATGCACCTAACATCGAGTACAGCATATGCACCTTTGTTTTTCATGCCTACGTAGTCTGAACTGCTAAAAACTGTGTAGTGATTGAAAAAGTCCCTTCTAAACCCATTCTTGACAACCTGGTGGCCTCTGAACATTGCAAGTACTCTATTTTCTGTGGCAAACTTTCTATAAAACTCACTCGAATACAGAATTCCTGCTCCTCTGGGGTTTTTCGTGTAATCATTTAGTGTATCTTTTCCGTGGACTGTCTGACTAGGATCACTCCACAGAATATCTTGCACAGCGTCTTCGGGAAGACAGTTTTCTAGCGAATGTGTATATCTCTGATCTGTGATATCGTTGCTGGATGGAATATCCACTTTGGATCTTAGTATCAGTGTATCTAGTGTAGCATTTCTAGGCAGTCCTCCGTGTACAAAAAGGATCCTATTTGCTAGTGTGGTGTGGCTAGTCACAGAGGCTACATACGCGACGGGCAAAAGCTTGAAGAATGGAGCAATAGTCTTATGGTAAAAGGCATGTCCATATGCGCGGGAAACTTCATCTAGAAAACCATATCGGCGATTTAGGTTTTCAGATTCATGATTTCCTCGAATAGTTATGACACGATCACCGTAAACAACTTTAGCTGCCAAAATGGAGGTTAGAACGTTAATTCCATGCTGGCCCCGATCCACGTAGTCTCCTAGAAAAACAGCCATGCCAGACTCCATAAATGTTTTGTTAAGAAGCACCTTCTGAAAGATATACTTAGTGGATTCTGCATCTCCATGGAGGTCCCCGATAACGGCAATTTGATGGATATTTTTATCTATATTGAGCTCCTGGACTCCTACAGCCCCACCCTTTTTTGTCTGATAGTGTAAATGATTTAGTATGAACCCCAGCTCTGTCTGGTCTGGGATTTTCCGTTGGATCAAAAAACGCTCTACAGCCAATTCTAACTGTTCCACCACTTCATCAGCTGGCAGCGCAGCTAATTGTTTCCCTCCAATGACTGCTAGCAGGACCAACAAGCAGACAATCATGGTCTTGGAATTTTCTAGTTGAAAAATGCCTCGGCGCTTCATAGAGGCCGCTACCAACGGTCTACTAACTGCTGCCCTCGTTTACTGCTCCTTGGGTGCTGGCACGTGGGTAACACAAACGCATGCACTTCGCCGGAAAATCGCTGATGAACGGGGGTCTCTACCCACTCTGATGGTTGACGAGGATTTACTGCTCGCTAAGAAACGTGTCTTTGGACAGGACCGGGTGCTTCTAGCTCAGAATATGGCGTTTTGGAACTTTTTGCGAGAAAAATCCAATACGCATACTGTTTGTATAAAGCAGAAGGGGATTGTTCCTACGGGTGTCCTTAAGCAGCTATGCCTTAGTATGAATTTGCCCATAAGCACAAAGCCTAATCCAAAGACTCCATTGTGCAACCATATAGAATTACAGCATGAGAAAAGCGGGTCATGTCTGCAGGGGCTGATTGGTAAGGCCCTGTCATCCTTGCGCACTGCACAACCTCCAGGGACAATCGTTCATTTAAGGTCTCGCGCAGAGGTGCAGTACCTGCCTCCATACTATGACAGATTGGTGAACGGTCGAGCTGGTCAATGCATAGCCTTGGTGGATGAAATTACTGAATTGGAAGCTGCCAATACAGAGACTGCAGATCCAGAGTACCCCTTCTATACTCAGGGTGCGCTACGGTTGGCAGTATCCCAGCGGCTCCTACGAGAGCCCCTCATTTCAATGCTTCAAGACCGTCTTTGAATATAAATTGCATTTTACTAATTTGATCTGCCAAAGGACGTAAAATATTGAATTCCGTTAATTTGGCAAAACAAAATGCAGGCGCTTGCCGTTCTTCTCCTTCTGTCTTTGACCCTTTCTGTCTCCCACGTCGAATACTATTCCATTACGCGAGACAACAGAATTCTTCCTGGCGTTGATCCAGAGGGGGCAGCTTCTATTAAGCTCCAGGACCGGAAGTTTGAGTTCGGCTACACGTATGCGGTGATCAAGACTAATCCCGACATCCCTGACTATGAGCAAGCATATGCGGCCGGATATCTCGAAGGGTACACCATGGGGCCTCACATATACCATCTCATGAATAACGTGCTCGAGGATAGCTTCGATGGCGAATTCCCCGTGGAGTTTTATACTTACACACAGAAAAACCTTGCATATATCAAGGAGCAGGTCAACGTTAACACTAGCGTCTTTTGGCACGCAGTCAATCTGACCGCCTGCAACTGGCTTCAGGGTCTTACTCACGGATACACGAGATACGCAAACGAAGAGAAGATTCGTCCTTACACTATAGAGGAGTTCTTCATGTATAATTCTGTGGGAGACTGGGAGGACTTGGAGGCAGTCCTTATTGTCGAACCTACACGCCGCGAAAAGATGCTCCAGCGTCGGCGAGAGCGCATTGAACTTGGACAGCACCACCATTGTTCTGCCGCTGTCCGCATGTCTCCTGACCTGTCGGATGTCTTCTTCTCTCATGACACATGGACGAGTTTCGGATCCGGGTTTAACAGGGCTATGAAGCATTACCACTTCCACTGGGACCTTGGAGAATCTCAGCACCAGAAAGTAAGCTTTTCGTCGATGCCTGGTTACTTCTCGTCCATAGACGACTTCTATATCCAGTCCGTCACATCTGCGACAGGAAGAAAATCTAATGTAGCTGTGTTGGAAACGACCTATCACACATTCAACACAACCCTATATGATGAGTTTCTACGCACGGATGGATCGGTAGTGTTGACATGGATGAGAAGTCAGATAGCGAATATGATGGCATTTTCAGCAGACCAGTGGTCAGAAGTGTTCAATAATGAGAACTCTTACACGTACAACAACATGTGGGTCAGCCTCGACTACGGATTATTCGATCTTCTATCTGAGGCAACAGTGAACATGACAATAGAGGAGAAAAAGGACTATATTCTCCATTATGGGAAGCCACTGCTGTATGTTAACGAGGTTGTTCCAGGGCACATAAAAGCCTATGATGTCACAGAGATGCTCCTGAATGATGGCTACTTCTTTTCAATCAACACGCCCATGGACGAGGAGCTGTTTGTTATCTCTGGATATGCGGCGAAGAACGACCCTTACTGGAGTTTTAATGAGTCGTCCAGATATAAAATCTTCACTAGAGAACTCCCGAAGGTGGACAACTTTGAAGACTTCAAGCTTCTTATGCGATATAATGACTATCTGAATGATGATGCATCCAACAAGGATCCCGGCCAATCCATCGCTTCGCGCTACGACCTAAGAGACCCGTTACTTTGTGGGAGGTCACCATCCATTTTCGGATGCACAGATTCCAAGGCAACAGACGCAAAGCTTGCGGCCCAATTGGCATTTGATGTGGTCGTCGGTCCAACACGCGGTAGAGATGGCCTCCTCCCCCTGTTCAACTTCTCTCAGCACCCCGGGGTCCCACGACACGGAGTACCGGATACTCTTCCAGACAGGTGGAGCATATATCTCCCCATGTTCGTCGAAGACATCTTGCAAAACAATTGGGAGTGAGTAGATGCTTTGCCTGTGGTCTGCCTTTCTTTTAACAATCTGACAGTTTTCTTTACTATCTGCTCCTCACTTAAGATAAGATCGTAGATTGTCTTACACAGACGTTGTAAACATAGTTGGTGTTAGAATCTGAATTTCCTTCGCTTCCTGGGTCTCTGCTGCATCCTGTTCCTGGGGATCCATTGAATTGTGTTGCTGTCTGAGTTCCAATAGTTTTTGTTTCCGCTCTTCTGTAGAAAGGTTAAGATGAAAGGATGTCATAAGGGCATCTCTCTGCTGCAATATGATCTCTTCGCGATTTGCCACATAGTAGGTATGAGCAGCGAGACCTAAGCTTTTCATGATACTTATGAGGGTCTTATTTTTGCGGTATCTTACAGATATATCACAGATAGAGCAGCACAGCAACGGTCGTGATGGTGAATGCTCGTCGAGAAGTTCCTTAATCACTGCTTCCAGCCTCGAAGCAGTACTTGCCTCTTGATTATTGATGAGTATGTGGAGTGGAAAGCTGGTTGTGGTGAGAATATTGAGTAGTAGCTGCACAGCCAGATCGAGGGTATCTGGGTCCCGGATGAAATAGAGTGCACCAGACGTGTCGAAGAACTGACTAGACCAAAGGTCGCGAATCTTTTCACTGCCGCCCAAATCCACTAGTGTTATGGAGATGTCCTGCGACCTACAGCCTGTGCCTCTAACACTAAATGTGGAGGTATTAATCCCGACTGTCTCACGTGTCGTCATATAGTTTCTCTGGCCAGTAATATTATGAAAAGCAGCTGTTTTCCCAGTGGCTTCTAGACCAATGAAAATTAAACGCGCCATGGGCTTTTTGAATTTGGAATAGTACAGATTTAATAGTGCAATCTTAGGAAGTAAAGAGCTGTCCCACACATCACTTGATTAACACAGATTCTTAACAGAAGGAGTTTGTGCTGCCCGAAAGCCATAGACACAAGTAAGCTATTCAGTTGTTCACGAGAGTGATACTAATGCAAATAGTAATGCAATTTACATACCTACATTTCTAAGTGTACGTTGCAATTCATCAATCCTGTCCCTTCATATGCCGATCCCCAGATAAGTGTACGCGCGAAGACATAGTAAATGCATCCAGGCCAAAAACGGCTTGAAACTATGAGGCAGTTTGTTATTGGATCGAATGTACTCGGGTAGATGAAGCTGTTCGGATAGTCTGCAATTGTTGGGCAATCCTCTATTGTCCCCCTGTAGCCCGATTCCAGGAAGGCCAGATACTCACTTTTAATAGCAATGCTCTTGCTGCTTGCCGCTGTGAGGCCCCGAAATGTTGCATTGCGGGCAGGCTGAGATCCTCTCTTAGAGTATGCTGCTGGTATGATCAACTGTAAGTGAGCCTGGATTTCATTTATGCAGACACTGAGTCTATGTGCCTCGGTAGGCTTAATAGGCTTTTCTTTCTTTGGCTTTGGTTCCTTTTTGATTGGAGTAGTCTCTTCTCCTTCTTCACCTTGGTCCTCCCCCTGTTCCTCCTGCTCTTCCTGCTCCTCTTGTTCTTCTTCCTCCTCTTCTTCCTCCGGTCTAGGAAGCAGCTCCATTAACTTTCCTGTAAAAGGTCTTTGGCACGTGAGCCCGTAGCCTATGGCATCAAGGGCTTCCAAGACCTTTTCATCAACAAGAGGGAGCTCTATCCAATCAACTCCATTTATGGAAACCAAGAAAACCGGAATTGCCACGGCCTCCCTGAACCCTCTAACAATTAAATATGGATCTGGAAGCAAGGTGTGTATCTTCCCAAAATATTGCACGTGCTCCAGAGAAAATTCGTGAAGCAACCAGGGAAATGCGGCATCTATCATATTCTGTTCCTGGATGGTTATATGAAGGCCCATAGTACGCAGGCGCGGTGCAATGGTACCGAAATCCAGTTCCATGGGATATAAATTTTACGGCAAAGGAGGCAGGATTTATTTGGCGCTTTTGTTGCTCTTACCCATGCAGAAAGGAACGTTAGGCGAGGTTACTGAGATTGCAAAGATGGGGAATTCGCCTGCTAAGTCTTCTGAACTGGCAACTACGACCCTACAATCGATCAAATCATTCAGTCGAGAACAGTGTTCATCATCTGTTCGTGGAGCTAAAGAAGTTATAGGCATTGCTCCGGATTTATGTAATAAAGAAGCATCGTCTCCAAAGAGTAACCAGTCTCTGACAGGCTATCAGCCAAGCATTGATCATCCTACTATTTTCAAAGACCAACGTCAGGATACGCCCAACCGTTTGCGTGATCTTTCGCTCCCTTCTATTCTGGCTTCCAATTTATCTTTCAGTACCACGACTGTAAGAGGTAACACCCCACAGGGAGATGAGCCTGTCATAGAGAAATCTGGCAACACCGTTGAACGAGCACACCCAATCACGCCGCGAGACATTCATGATAAGAAGTGCAGCATCAAGCAGTATATCAAATTGTTACTACCCTTGAAGACTCGTGTCAATGGCGAGGAGGCCGAACCTCTTATTCTCAAGACGCATCAGCTACGGTCAGAAAGACGGGAGAAGAAGATGTATGCGCCTCTATCTTATAGCGAAGAGCGGCATGCCCTAAACTATAGTGCCAGGTTTGATAAGCAACTAAATAATATGACAAGTGTTTCCGGAGGGATTAACAGGATGATCACTGTCCTTAGTAGTCCAGTAAGTACCCCCAGGAAATCTACATCAGTATCTCATAGCTATCACTCTTCAGCTCAGGCGAAGAAAGCGGTTGTACCAAAGCTTGATATCTCTAACAGCTCTTTTGAGACAATGGGTAACTCCCAAGTAGTTCAGCATGCAGTCGAGTCAAAAAGTGCACGGAATCTCCCAAAGGACAGGCTTGCCCTTTCTAATTTATCTGACACCAAAGGTGCCCTGACAGCAAGGTCTGTTAGGCCCTCGGCCCTCGGTAGTAGCTCTAATATTTCAACATATATTGATCGTGAAAACATAATAGAACTAATACGAATTTATGACTCTACTCGGCAAATACTTCACAACGACCTGGCCGCAAAGAAGGCACGCATCAGTGAGCTGCGCAACGGAGTGGAGCGATCAATCAAGATCTCAGTGATGCGTAACCTCCCTAACTATTGCCCTACTGGATTCCAATGCATTTTGAGGCTGCCCTGTTGTCACTATACGTTTCAAAACAAGGAGAGGCGTCTTGTTGGAGAGTTTTGCCAGCTCTGTCACGTGGAAACAAGGGGCACCGTACTTATCAATGTAGCTGATTGCTATGGAGCTGATGCATATGCCACATGACTCTGAGAACTGAGAACTGGGTTTGCCAATCTGTCAATCTGCCAGTCCACTTAGTCCACTAATCTAAACTCAATGACAAGGGGACCCATTCACTGAGATCCTTCAGTTGATGCAATCGCTTTAGATTCTATGAACTTCTTCATGTCTCGATACAGCTCTGCCGCTTTTGGACGAGCCACACTCACTATCTTTGCATCAAGAGGTGAGAGCTTTCTGTACGGATATGCACCGGCCAAAGGAGGAAGTGACAGTATCTGCGGATTATTCGGAACAGGCACGTGCTCAGTCCCTCTTATAAACACTTTCTGATGCACAAAGCACTGTCTCCATAACATATGGCACTGTAGCAGCGGGCTGTACAGTTGTGCAAGCAAGTCTGCCTCTTGCGGGCTTAGAGTAAATGCATATCGCTTTGCTTCTATTGGAGGAGCTTTTGATTTGGCTCCTGGCTTGACCTGTCCTGTAGGTTCTGGAGATTGCTTATTAATGCCAGTGAGTGTATTATAGCACTCCACAGCCATCAGATGGTCCCTATATATGACAGGATCGTGGTTATCGTCAAATATTAAGGGGTCAGAGGCGTTCTCATACTCTGTATTGGTTATGTCACTCAAGTCATAGGTCAGACCGACAAGTGGACTCTGGAGATTGTTTAACTTTGACAACAGTGCAGCTCTGAGCTCATCTATATTATATTCCCCAGTGCTGATGATGTGTAGCAAGAGGCGAGAAAGCCGGTGAGCATAGTAGAACTTGTGATATGGAATTGAGTTAAGCTTGCATGTATAGGCAAATTCGGTGAAGTATGACAGAAGTGCATCGTCTAGAAGAGATTTCTCGGGACATAGACGGTGTTGGAGGAGAGAGGCAATGTCTTTCTGAATTTGGCTCAAGGTAGTCCCGCTGTACGCCAAGTGTAGAGGATCAAAATGTTCATGTGTTAGCAGCTTAGGCTCTACTTTAGCTTTCTTAGTTGTCATATGCAAGATCTAAAATGCACAACTTCCTCTTCTTCCTCTTAATTTTTGAAAAGCACTCTGGGAGAAATGGCAAAGAGTTGTTGTCCCACAAATCAACAAAGCAAGATAGGCGCAGAGAGTGCAACGGGTGCGGGGGTGTACAACCTGTTTTATGATAGCATTAGTGGAAGGCCAACTAGGGGTGTAGAGCGCGAAACCTGCCTGAATCCGTTTAAGGATAGCTCCACAACAAAAGCCACAGTACCACCAGTGTGCCTAGACTATGCCCGAGGCAGATGCTCAAGAGGGGCAACTTGTCGTCGGCTTCACAGACTTCCAGCAGTCCAAGATGAAGAACTGCCCCATAGCGTCGATATATTTGGCCGGCAACGCTCTGCATTGGGACCAGCTTCATTTTTAGGGAGGAATAGCTCCATAGTCTTTGAAAAGCCTGCAAACCAGCAAGGAATGTTGGCTATCTGCAAGCATATTGGCCCCGTTACTGAGTATAGTCTTGTTACCACCCTTGTAGTTCATTTCAAGCACAGAATCTACGCAGAGTTTGCTCTGGAGGCACTGTGTGGACAACGACTGTCGACTCTTAATGCTATCTACAACGTGTCTCTATTCAAGGATGGATTGGTTGATGTTAGTTGGGCACATATCAATCTTGGCGACATTCCTTGTGAATCCGTTTTAGACTTATATTAGTCGGCCCTCTGTTTGGTGGCTTTTCATCACTTATGAATTCGCTCAATCTAATTGAAGGTTAATTGGCATGAATATAAAAGACCCTGATTATAGTAGTTTATTTTGAAAAGGTTTTTGATATATCTATCAATCAATCTCTACAATTGTCACTCTACAATTGTCACACCCCTGAGTTTTATACTTTGATAGCGATCATAAAGCCGACAAGCCATAGGTGATTATTGTCTGTCTACATTACCTAGTGATCAATATGTTGATAAGTTAGTAAGTTCTGCGCTCCACATTTAAAGATTCAGAGACGGTGAGCCCCTGATAATGGCAAAGGTCACATATTAAGGCAGAGACCCCCTTGTCTTGTTGATCCTGTATAGCTTCACCCACTGCAGTCCCATATGTTAAGATAGTGAGCCCATGGTGGTGTGCATACTCGTACAGACACATGGGTCCTGTTTGAACGCTTAGTATATCTTTCCAGAGAACCACTCCAGTTAGATTTATGGAGCTGACAACAGATATAGCATCTTCTGAGAATAATTGACTAGGAACAGTTAGGTCTACATCCATATAAGGAGCTACCGTTTCATTGTCTCCCAAGAATAACAAGAAGACAGGGATAGATGGTGCTAAGAGCTTCACTAAGATACAGATAATAGAATCAAATGATGATATGAATACTCTCGGTGCTTTTGAACTATTCATCTGAGCTTTGTTATTGAGAGTATCCAGGACTACTTTCACTAGAGCCAGTCTTGACGGATAGAGTGTACTGTAAGGCGAAAACCTGGAGGGGTACTTGAGCTCAATGTTCAGTATCATATCCGTGCACTGTTCTAGTATTTCAGCAAGCGTATACAGACGCTTCTGCTCCGTTATGACCGGGTATGAAACCCTGTGCTCTTCACCACAGTCAGGATTCTGTTTTAACACTTCTTCTGTCAATGCATTGTGGAAAGCTTCCTTAGGTTCGTGATCTATTAGAATCTCTGTACACTTAGTGTGATAACGCATAAGTGGAGCAGAAGTTGAGCGCCCAGAAAGATGCTTCGAAGAGAAAAGATTACGCTCATGACCGACTGCCTTTATTCCTCTGGGATTTTCTAGATTAGCAATCTCATGGTACAACATACATGGTATAGGGAGACTGATTTTAGACTGTAGAATTGTGTCGGCGATAACATTCAACTCAAAGTCATGATTAATCACAGGGACCATATCTTTAGTTAGAATGATATCCAACTCGCTTCCTACGCAACCCATTTGGCGAGCTGTCAGTATGGACAAGGGCGTATTCTCCAGTATTGGTGCTTTTTGTCCAAAGTGAATCTTATTGCTTCCACAGCCCCTGTGGCCCAGAATTGGCAACGCGTTGGCGACTGGAGAAGTTGGGAGAGTCAAGGAAGAGCGTGAAAGGTTGCAAAGGTGGCCCGGAGCATGCTGTCCACAGTATGTAATTCTAACTTCCACCGTCGAGTCGACTGGAATAGTATGTGTTCTCTCTGTCTGTGCGATGAAGTCCGATACTGGTATTCTATAAGCAATGATTGGTCTGGTGACGTTGGTGCCTGGCTTATTTGCAAAGAGTTCAAGAGAAACCGTAGAAGCAAAGTATAACGGGGCTAAAAGTGCATGCTTGCTGAGGAAAATGTATCCAGCCAGATGTATCTTACCCAGGGTTGAAGAGACTCCACTTGAGAGATAGGTGCTGCGAGTTCGGAATGACAGAAGTGGCTCAAGTGGTCCCAACCTAAGAGAGTATTCATTCTCAATGCCTGTCCAGGCATTCTCCAGCGTCTTGTGACAGAGTTCAATATGAAACATTGGATATAACGTAAAGTTGAAAGCTTTACGAAACACTGGTAAAGCCCCATCACTAATGAACATACTTATGTATGGAACTAGGTGCACGTCCTCCATCATAGCTTGAAGCTGTTCTTCGAAATGCTTTATCTTATCTGGGGACGAACCTTGGACAAGGGAAAGGAGCAGGTATTTTAGTGAGGACAAAGATTCCGCATTTAGCGCAAGTTGTGACACAGTACAGTTGCCTATTGGTGTAGTGGAAAGTACTTTGCCTTCTGGTGAAGCATCCGAAAGAGCTGTGCGACTGATTACTTGGAGCATAGGTTTTAATATCTAGAGGAGTCCAAACTTATATCTATAAGTTTACACCGAAAAGACTAATTCTTATTTTCGGGAATTATACATGTTACTGCATTGTGACAAATAGGACAAGTTAAGTTTAGATTGTTACTATCGATCTTTTCACAGGGTAGAGAAAAGATGTGTTTGCATGGCTTTGCAAGCACCGTAACCCGGGACTCAGGAGTGCAACATTCCTTCTCAGAGGGCGTTGATAGTGGCTGAATAGAGGAGAACATGAGAGGCTTGGGTTGCTGATTGACTCGCTGTGGACCCGGGTGTGCAGATTGCAATGGGGCAGAGTAGTTTATACATGGATAAGCAACGTCTGGAATTGTAGGAAACGGTGGGAATTCATACTTTGTTTGCAGAGATGATAGTGATTGCATTTGTGGTAACGACGGTAATGCTTGATAGGGTAAGTTTTGTTGATAAGGCTGAGTAATATTCTCCATGAAGGTGTAGGGAGGATACGCTCCGGTGGCCTGCTGCACTCCACTATGAACAGGGATTCTATATATTACGTTGTTTTCTCTAATAAGTGCATAAGGTATATTGGTCGGAGCGTCGACAATGGGAACCGATGATACAGAGTTGGAAAACTCTGCAGTGGGTAGCAAACGCTCAGGCTTTGGGACAGGAGGATCATTGGGAGGAGAGTGTTCAGTAATTGGAACCATTGGAACCAGCTGCGACAAATACGAAATGGCCGAATTAGTGTCCTTGATGGGCTCTCTAGTTGAATTTGAATTAGGCCGAAACATCTTTTTAGAACTAAAATCGCTAGTGCCTAAACTCTGAGAGGTAGTAGGGTCTGTGAGAGATGCGTTTGGCTCAATTGTGTAGGCTTCTAAATCAGGTAGCTCATGCCTTTCACTGGCTTTACCTAACTTATTGATGGTTTGCTTCGAAAGTATCTGAAGAGGGGCGTCGATGTCCTCGACATGTGGAGAGGCAGCCAATAAGGAAGAAATTCTCGCTGTAAGCCTACTTGAATTCTGCTCATGAATGATTCGTGGAGTCCCGAGAGAGTGCTGATCAGAATCATCAATCGTGCTGTCTAACAAAATCCCACGCTTGGCGTTGGGATGGTCAGTACCAGACCTATCTCCAATGCTCCTAGGCACCTCAATAACGCGTGAGCTCCCATCCATGCTAAACCCTATTCGTATAATTGACTGGTGCTCGTCTTCCACGACGTCGTTTCGCCGCACAGAAAGTGAGGTCAGATGGGTGTTCTCATCTGTGTGAGCAGTTCTATAAACATCGACAGACTCTTCTTGTATGGAGTCTAGTCGAATGCCCCTTGAGGCCGCAGACGACGTATGGTCTCCGCTAACTATTAGATCGCTCATAGGTACTTTAAAATCCAGACCTTCGCCTAACTTATATGATTGGTATGTGTTTCCTAGTTTATCCCTTATTTTCCCCTCGAAAGGAAGTAACATAGAGACAAGATCAACGTGTCCTCTATTCTGCGCGTACATTATTGCACACCTTTCATTCCAGTCTTGTAGGCCTGACTCAAATGGCAACAGCATCTCCACTGCTTCTCGATTTCCTAATACTGCTGCTTTCATAAGAGCGGTTTGACCGTATATGTCTTTCATGCCTACCTCAAAGGGTGCAGGACTCTGCCCAGTGCTAAAAGGAACGGTCAGTAATGCCTTCAAGACAGAAGTGTTACCAGAGATGACAGCAATCATTGTCGCCGTTAAACCCTCCTTGTCCTGCATCATTTTCTCACTGAGCAAAAGCAGTGGTACCACATCCTCACGGCCCTGGGAGGCTGCATACATGAGTGAAGTCCGACCTGTCCGGCTATTCGATAAGGTTGCCTCATATTGCAAGAGTGCCTGAATAGTCACAAGTGTTGAGTATTGGACGGCTAGTATCAGTGCGGTTTCCCCAGTAGGAATGAACGACTTAGCTTCATGAATGTACTGTGAAAAGCAGTCAACTTTGTTTGCAATAGTGCAGACCATCAACCGCGTCCAACCAGTGGGAAGGGGACCATCCTTCTCCATTGGCCCAAGCACTTGCACAAGGCCCAGGTACCCCAGCTCAATCGCACGGTACAAGGCCGTCCTTCCACACGAATCCCGCATGGAATATTCACTTGGAATCAATAGCTTGACTACTTCTATATGGTTGTGAGTCACTGCGTGATGAAGCGCAGTAAGACCGTTAGAATCTGTGAGCTTGGTCTCGTAGTTGGCCAATATCCGGACCGCGTCCGTTCTGTTGAAGACAGCCGCATGCATAAGGGCGGTCGTGCCATCTTCATCTGTCTTTAGGATAAGATCGTTCATGAGAATATGTATAATATCAATCCTATTAAGTACAGCTGCGTACATAAGGGCGGTGGTGCCGGACTTGTCCACTATGTGAGACTCTGCCGATCGCAAAAGCATTGCAGACTGGAGATTATTGGAGAGACAAGAATATATAAGCGAGGACCAACCATACAAGTCCTTCTGACCATGTTCAAGGTCTTTAAGCGCTGCCACTGCTTCTGAAAACCCCCGCGCCGCAGCATACATGAGAGCAGTCATCCCCGCCTTGTCTGTCATCTTGTTTTCCTTCTCCTTCAGTAAATTAAGCACTTCCACCTCGTTAACCTTGGATGCATACATTAGTGCAGTCAAGCCCCGGATGTCCTGCTTTCTTGTGCTAGTGTCTATTAGCTTCTCCACCATAGAGATATTCCCCATCATAGCAGCCTGCATGAGGGGGGTTTGCCGCGACATATTCCGCTTTCTGCTGTATCTGTCGTAGTGTTTGTTAAATTCGTGCATGTTTTGCCGTATAATTGAATGCATAAGCGGATTCCACCCACAATCTGTCGTCATCTCGCCACCCTTGTTCAGAAGAAACTCTACTGCATCGCGGTTTCCATGTTCAACGGCAAGCATTAGCGCAGTACGCCCTCTGGGGTCTCGGATAGACAGCTCGCCATCAACTAGCTCCATCATAATTTCCCGTCGATGGCTTTTCCGAGTTGTATAGTCATACCGCCGATTTATTGAAGCAAGGGTGTTCTCGCTCATGTCATCTGGTGTCATCTGAAAAGGTTCAACATCATCGCGTAGAACAGAGAGCATTAAGGCAGTAAAGCCGTAACTGTTCCGTATGCCTTGCTCTAACGTTGAAAGAAGCCTCACTATCTCTACGTGCCCATAGACAGCCGCGTACATCAGGGCAGTCATGTCATGATCTGTGGTCTTCCGAGCATAGATATATGAGTTCTCCTTTATTTTCTCATAGTCGCCTTTAATCGCCCACGAAAACCAACCTTCAAGCTGGCTTCCACCACGCGACATCCGGCTGCTGCAGCAATGTTTTTTAGCTCTTTTCTAAAAACCCGCAAACTGATGAAGAATTTATTCCTGGAAGTAGAGATCGAACCCAGTGATGCGATGACTACTCCACGAGGAAATTAGTCTATATTGTCTGATCTCTCGCTGGCATTCTTATCAGACTCCGGCTGTGAGGAGTGCGAACGCGATGATGAGTGTGAGCGCTTAGTCCTCTTCGCACGAATACACCGAACCGTATAGTAGATTGTAGCGCTAACAAGCGACGACGAAACAATGGATAACGTCACAATTAGAGTCAATAGCCACTCCTCCATGATTTTTATTTTGGGGCCCTTTACCTTATGAACAAACACAGCGAACAGGCACAGTATGAATTTATGATTGAGTGCTCTAACGCAGTTCACGCTGCATCTCTATGATCAGCCCAGACCACTTTCTTCCTGCTTTCAAGATATCGTTAATTCTAGCGTATGCGGCTTGAATTGGGGGACTGGCCATAAGAAGCTCTGCTGTGATTCGCTCCCTGGGGTTGGGAGCAAGACACGCCTTTATAAGGATGAGAAGGTCATCCGCATACCCTGGTGTTTCAAGGTTCTCCGGTAATGGGTTGAAGGACGATACAGGCTCATTCTCTATGCGCCTAAACGTGCAGAGTTCATAAATCATGCAGCCAAGGCTCCAGATATCAGCTGCTTCCGTGTACCCCTCACTACTACCTTGAGAGTTGGTAAATGCTACAACCTCGGGGGCATGATAGGCGGTTCCAGGATTGCGCAGCGTAAATAGCTTGTTGGGCTCCCTAGTAGCGCTATATCCAAAGCCACAAAGTTTCAAAATACCGTCTTGAGTAAGAAGAACGTTGTCAGGGCGAAGATTCAAATGCGCAGTTATCCCAATGTGCTCGTTGGTCTTATGCAGGTAGTGCAATGCACTCACCAATTGAGCAAACAGTTCCCAGACCTCTTGCTCAGAAAAACGCATATCACTCTTCCGCATCCAGGCCATTAGTCCCCAAAGAGATCCACCGCGGCAGTACTCTGTTTCTAACAGGAACTTCTTGGTCTCCTCATCATAGTATCCATACACAGCGCGCAGTATATGCGGATGCACTGCATTCTGAAGTACTCGAGACTCGTGACGGTAGTCTGAACGCCCAGATTCCGCCAGCTTCACGGTATCCGTTACTTTCACAGCAACATCGGCCAGGTCTTTCAGTCTGATGGCTCGGTAAGTAACGGAAAACTCTGATGCTGACAACACAACCTCTTTCCCATGCCTGTACTCAGGAAGCTTAAGCATCGTTAAATTTTTAATATGACAGTGGCCGAGCCGCAGGAGTCTGCGCAGGACAACCCCGCAGTGCTGACTGTATGGACATCGGGGTTTACTGGCCACATTGCAAGCGCTTCTCTTAGAAGCGTCCGATTAGCGACACTCATAGAAGTGCTTTTAAAAGCAAATTATAGCACTCTGCAGGATTTTTCCATTATTCTCTCTGGTGTCGTTTTGATACAAACATACAAATCATCCACTGTGCTTAGCGTTGCGCGTAAGATGCACCAGCTTTTGTCCTTGGCCAAATCCACTCGGAAGGCTTCTTCAGCAGTGGCCAAGAGTGCAGGCCCACGAGCCCTAGGTCTCTCATTACATTTCTCTACCATTGTAGCTAATAAGACTACTCGGCATAATGCGCTGATCTCTTCCATATTTGGCACTCAATCTAAAGAGGACAGCCTCGAAGACCAAGAATATCCAAGAAATCTCGATTTTGTACACCAGTTACCAGGGGGTGTATGGGCCAATCTACTGAAAGAAGATACTGAAAGCGATCTACTGTCATTCTCTAAAGCAACAAATGTTCCCTTCTCCCTCACCAATCCAGAATCACAAGATCCTTTCCATGATAGTATGATGGGCTCTATTTCTTTGGCAAATAATTCAGACGCCGACATGCAAGTCCGTGCGGTCGAGGGGGAGCTTGTACGTGCCACCTCTGAAATTGGGCTCAATGACCTCGATACAAGCCAGGTTGTCACTGGGCATGCCATGCATAGTTCTTTGCTGTCCAAACACGCGTTTGATGTGTCTGGCAGCGCATTTCTGGAGGCCTCGCAGAAGTTGACGAGCCTTTTCTTGGCCAATACCTCTGACAAGCTTCCAGATGTTACCGTCACCGTTAGAGAGATAAAGAATCCAGCGAAGAAGAGCAGCACTGCCACAGTCGCTGCAAAGAGAACCAGACCCCCATCATTCCTTTTCGATAAGCAGGCACGTATGCATCACAGTACTATGCAGAAGTATGCGTATAGGCCACCAGATCAAGTAGTAGCCTCCATCTTCATAGACTTTAGAGATAGGCATCCAATTCAAGAGGTAGTCAATAAACCAGATATCACTTTCAATTGGTCTGAGCCAGAGTATCATGACTTAGCGACCATTGTCTCGGAGAATTGGAAATGTTTCAGACAAGAAGATCTTCCAGAGGAGGACTGCATGGTCACTACTCCCGTGGGGTGTGAGGAGCCCCCAGAGCCGGACTATAGTGAAGCCTCGCCACTCAATGAAAAAGCTTCAGCACAGGGTGATAGCCACTCACATAAACATGATAGTATACCCGAAAGTGGGCTGACATTGCTGTCCATGCTAAGGCAGTCCTCGGCACCCCTTTCGATTTCAGAATTAGCCGGATCATCGAGACGAATGGCAGCCTCTCTGTTTTTGGCTTCTCTGGCTCTGAGAGCCAGCAACACGGTTGTGCTCAAACAGGGGCGTACCATTTCTCTTCAGCGTGACGTTACCATGTCATTGGGGAGACACTGATAAAAAATTGCACCTTTAGGAGGACGTGATGAGATCGGCTCAAGTAGCAAATGAGTGGTTTGGCGCAGTTCTGGCAGGAGACACTGGTACGGTAATCCGGCTGTTGCATAGGTGTAGAGGGTGGTACAACGCTGACGGCTACACTGCCCTAATGTTAGCGGGAGTGCAAGGGAACATAAAGCTGATCCGCATCCTCATGGAGCACGAAAGTTCCCTTTTGTCAAAGCAAGAAGATATGACTGCTCTGATGCTTATCACAATTCACGGATCAGTAAATTCTGCAAAGACGTTGCTGGAGGTAGAGGCCAGAAGGCAGAACTCACGGGGCTTAACCGCACTAATATTAGCATGCATCAATAACAACGAGGATATGATTAAACTCCTTAGTAAAAGAGAGACATGCTGTCGGACTACTTTGGGGGAAACGGCACTGATGTACTTGGTGAGGAGAAATAACTACAAGTGCATGCACTACGTGTTAGAAATGGAAGTAAAGGCGCAAATGAACAGCGGCTATAGTGCGTTGATGATGGCTGCAGAGCTAGGGTATTATGAGTGTGCAAAGCTGCTCGCCAACAGAGAACACTGCCTTCAGAATTGCGAGGGAGAAACAGCACTAATGATTGCCGTTAGGGAGGGGCATTTCAAGATCGCCCGGCTTCTGGTCAAGTCGGAGAAGCGGTATCAGAATTCAGAAGGATGGACTGCATTGATGCTCAGTATCAGATATCAAATGCATCGAATAGCTACCAGACTGGTTAACGATGAGCAAGGCATCTTCTCCCGCAACAATATCTCGGCTCTCATGTTAAGCATTTACTATGAGATGCCCGAAATAACGAAAGTACTCATTCAGAAAGAGGTTGGAATGGTAATAAGAAGCATCGAAGAAACAGCAGCGGTAGTACACCACCATCTACGACCCAAGCATGCACAAGTTATCACCTCCCACTACCTTCGGAAACATGGCATAGTTGACGTTTCTTTGAGTGGCAGTAAGATACCTCTATCGATGGCCAACATTGATCTCTTGTCCAACAGGGATATATCCAATGATCAAGAGTTAGACTCCACGTTTAAGCCCGGCCGAACAGCCTATATGATAGCAATTCTAAAGAAGAACTTCCTAGTAATGGAGCTGCTTCATGAGCATGAATGTGGCCGGCAAGACCACGATGGGACAAGTGCTGCGATGCTGGCCTTGGAGGTCATGTACACGGAGCTCTGCCATCGCTTAAAGCAAATTGAGGATGGGAGTGACGTGGAAAGCCTGTATGATTTTATTCGTGATAGAACTTGGAGGCAATTCCTGTGTGCTATCGACCGACTTCTTCCAAAGGAGGCGGGGTTGCAGAATAACGAGGGACAGACGCTTCTTATGCTAGCAGTCAAGCATGGTGTTGGCCTTGCAGAGCGAATACGTGCTCTTAAACGAAATATAATGCTATTCAGGCGTCTTGGTCGAGAAACTTTTTTTGATCTTCTCAATCCAAATCTCTCACAGCAGTCTGTTAATACAATCTTTCAAAAAAAGCTTGGATTGATAGAGGATGGTGTGCTCCCAAGTGCTGAAGATCAACGAGTAGAAGACAGCAGTGCACATGAGTATAGTGTGACCATGGTTGAGCATGAACTTACAGGGTCCTATGCAAGCGTGAATGTAAGCTTTCCGATGAATATTTTAGACAGTGACGAGGAAAGCATAGAGCAGAGCATCCGTGCGCTTAAGCAGCAGACCAGGCGCCGGTTTGCCATGAACAGGACAAGCAAAAGTCAGAGCGAAGGCACCAAGCTGAGCATTAAAAACGATCAGGTGTCCACTTGTGACAGCCCATCATTGGACTCTGAGAAAGACCCAAAGGATGAAAGTATGGAGATAGTTCAAGGTACTGCTCTAAGGGCCTTTGCCGGTTATGAAGCAGCGCCGCTAGATACTATATTGTCTGCTAGAAGTCCGCAAATATGCAGTGCTAGTGGGAAAGTAATCAGTACAAGAACCGGAGTTCCCAACAATTTGGTTCAGTTTGACGATGAATCAAGCAGTGACTACCTAGATGAGACCGATTACTATAAGTATGAGGCAGACACAGATATCCGCATCATGCTGCGCGATAAGATTATGCGAATATCCTCATGTTTTATTAAACGTCACCCGGAGGAATTGGATGAACTTTGTACACTTGCCTGGACAACACATGTAGAGTTACTCCTCACCATCGCAAAATGGGAGGCCCGGATGAAAGACATTCGTGGGCAAACAGCACTCATGTACGCTGTAAGTCATCTTCATTATTCAGTAGCTAGCGTCCTGGCGTCTTTGGAGGGGAGCATGCAAGACAACCAGGGAAATACGGCCCTAATGCATCTTATTTTGACTGCTCATAGAGTCAGTATCAAAATTGAGCCCATACAAGCAGCTCTGCACCATGCTACCAGCATCCTTCAAGGGAAGCATGGTGCAGAGGCATCGTATCCAAAGAGCACTTATGTACTTTACGAACGTTCTACAATCAGGCAGATGATGAAAATACTGGAGGTCCTGTGCCCCATAGAGCAAGGTATGCATAACAAACTAGGACAGACAGCATTGATCTTTGCCGCTGCAAACGGTAATTTTGACGCTGTCAGAGCACTGCTGGCGGTTGAGTGTACAAAACAAGATAATTATGGATTCTCCGCTCTCATGTATGCTATCAAAAGCGGAAATGTTAACAGCGCCTTGTTACTTGTCCCGCTAGAGACACACTTGGTTACATGGAAAAAGGACACTGCACTTATGATGACTGCCCGCTATGGCATCTTGAAGATCTGCAGTGAGATCCTGAAGATGGAAACCTCTCTCATACGGCGACAAAACGACGATGGATATACTGCTCTGATCTTCGCGGCCAAGCATGGCCATGTTGAGCTTGTCAAAGCTCTACACGATTATGAGTTTACCAAGCAGGACCTCCTTGGTCAGACAGCGGCTATCCACGCTGTCCTGGCAGGTCACATAGAATGCGTTAAACTACTTGTCGAGGAATTCGATATCGTAGATAATGCTGGTCAGACAATAGGTCAAATAGCAAACAAAATGGGACATGTAGAAATTATAGAGTTCTTAGAGTTCCTCTTCGATTGACTGAAGTTTTAGGGACCACGTATCCGAAAAATTAATGATAGTAGGGATCGATGAGGCTGGTCGTGGACCTGTGTGCGGACCACTAGTATATGGAATTGCCTGGATGCCAGCTGAGGTCTATCAGACAGGGATTTTAGAAAAGCTGGGAGTAACTGACTCCAAGGCACTCTCAGCAAATACGCGTGAGCACATTTACAACAGATTGCAGGATTTGCCGAAAGAGGATTTTGGATGCAACACTGCAATAGTATCAGCAGACCAGATTAGCCGCGCAATGCTGGCTCCCCACAAGACTTCACTTAACCTACTCTCATTTGAGGCCGCCCGCTCCCTCCTTTACCAACTTTTCATATCTCATGAGATAGAGCACGTTTATATAGACTTGGTCGGCCCAGAATCGCAATATGCAGCATACATACGCGAATTGATGCCCAGTATAGCTCTGACAATTTGCGCAAAGGCAGACGCGAAGTACCCTATCACTGGTGCAGCCAGTATCGTGGCTAAGGTTATTAGAGACAGAAATATCAAGCCCCAGTGGGGCAGCGGATATCCATCAGATCCCAAGACGAAGAAGTACCTTGACAAGACTTGCCATGGCATTTATGGCTTTCCAACACACATTCGACATTCTTGGGAGACTATAAAAAGGATCTATGACACAGCAAGCAAGTGTGTTAAGTGTGTGTTCATCGCAGACACCCCACTGGAGAATGGTGCAGATATGCCTACTTTAGAATCATTGGGGATAGCTACCGATGCTTAGTAAATTGTTTTGTTGACAACTAGTGGGTGAGCTTCGGAAGATGGCTCCTATTCCACGCAGAAAATTTAAAAACAGAAATGGAGCGCTTCGCAGTCTCGCGTCACCAAACGCAGGTTGCGCAAGACTTTGATGCATTTGATCTACATTGTGCCGCATTAGATAAGCCACCTGATATGGAGGACTTTGTGGGAACGGCAGTAGATACCTTGCTCACTGAGGTAGAACGTTGGTTTAGAGACGCAGAGCTGGATATCAAGAACATAGTCAATTCGCACCCCTTTTATGTCATGTTTGAACCCTCGCTTGGATGTGATGCGCGAACAGACCACGTAAGTCCAAAGTCTGTCTATCCCATATTTGTAGCAGACTTCTCTGATGTTATGTCCAGCCTTCAATGTAAGATAACGTCAATAATCGAACCCACCATCCGGCAGCTTATTGGCTCGCGCGAAGCTCTTATTTTTGATAGCTTTACAACGCAAATGGCAGGGACATCTGGCCAGGATATAGAAATTCTTGCTTTGCAGCGGGAGTTAGACGCGCTTAAGGTGACTGCGAAAGACCTAAGCCTCCAAAAAGACGAAATTCGAGACTCTCTCACCAAGGAAATTAATATGCTGAGAGAGCAACTTTTCCAAAAGAAGGTCCGGATAGGAGGTCTTTACAAGCCTGACTTTGCTCCTGGGTCAGGGATGGATGCCACCGCAGTTATGCTGCCCGGATCAGCAGGCGGCGGCTTTACACAGGCAGACATTGATCATGCTGTGAAGGACGTTACAGATAGATTCAATGAGGAGAAGAAGCGAATAGATGGAAAGCACCGCGCAGAGCTGCAGTCTGCAGAGACCCAGACTGCACGGCTTGCCACAGAAATAGACGCATTGAAGTCTCGTTTAGAGCAGGCAGAAGCAGAAGCGGATGCTCTCCGCACACGTTGCGAGGAGGACGTCGATAAGCAGAAGGCATACTACGATGATCAGATAGAGTATTTAAATTCACAAGTAGCTAGCTTAACTGAGGCGGCAAGATCTGCTTCTGGTATGTTTGAAGGCGAACTTGCCGCACGTGACAGAGATATAACTAAGCTATCTGCAGAGCTGAGAGACTCCCTGGAGAGAGAAGACTATCTGAAAGGGATGATGAACCAACTGAAACGTGAGCACAAGGAGGAGTTAGATCAGCTACGCAAGCAAAACGTAAAAGATCTTGATGCACAAAAGGCCGATCTTATGGAGAAAGTTAAGGAAGCTGAGCGGACTCTTGCAGAGATGCTAGCGAAGAATACAGATGGCCAGATTGCAGATCTTATGGCAAAGCTACAGGAGCAAGAGCAACGTAATGAGCGTCTAGAGAAGCAATGTAAGGAGGTTCGCTCAGAGATGGAAGACGCGATAAAGGCTCTGCAGCAGCAGCATGACGAGGAGGTGGATAACATTTACGCTGAATACAACTCCAACAGCGTCATCTCAGACCTCAGTGGAGCTGTCGAGGATGCAGAGAAAGAGTTCAAGAATACTCTCAAGTGCGTGGATTTGATATTTAATCGTCTATTTGATGATCGTAACGGCGCCTTAACGAAGATGCTCATTACTAAGGACTTCAATCCTGCAGATTATAGCGACAGTAAGAAGTACCAGAAAGCAGACACCAGTCATTTCTCAACGGAAGTTAGCGACGAATCTACGCTACGTACAGAGCCTACGATTAGGGTGGGTGTCAGCGGCGTCGAAGACCTTAGCGAGTCGCTCCACGATATTGACAAAAGCATGTCCGATAGGTCTGGAAGAGCAACGATCCCAACAAACTACCTGTACAAGACTGTTGAGAAGATGATCAATCAACAACGGATGGGAAAGTTAGCAAACAAGCATCTAAATAAATCACTCAAGCAGCTTCTGGCATGGAGTAAGGCATATGCAAACTCTAAGCTTGTTACAAACTTTGGAGGAGACTTCGGTCTTAGTCAGCTTTCTGTCTCGACGGACAACTCTATGGTCAAAGAAGACTATGGGACTAAGCGAAAACGTCACGACCTCACTGGGATGTACGATGCGCAAACCAAGATTACAAGCGGGCCCCATGATGATTTAGGGGAGCTGCGTGCGTTAAGACCGCTCGGAGCAGACACGGAGCTTATCACAAGCAGAATCAAGGAGGAGGACCAAGACTCCCGCTTACTAGACTCTGCTGGCTCTTCTCGAAAGGGAGGTCGGACACAGAAGAAGGGCTATGGCAAATCCGTTAAGACTACTGGCAGCCAAGATTTGACAGATGCAGATTTAGAGCCCCCCGCAGATCAACGAACACATGATGGTTACAGAAACGCTTATGGCAACTATGCAACCATGCCAGACCGTGAATTTGCCGACCAGTTCTTTACAGATGAACAAGGAATCCCGCAGCTCACAGTTATCAATTCAATAGTGCTCTCAGATCCTCAATTGATGAGTGAGAGGATCGATAATTCATATCTGAACAAGTCCAAAGAATTCCATCATGCCGATGCAGCCTCGACTCGTGGTGGAGATGCTCTAAGCGACGTGCAACCTTCTGGACCTGGGTCTACCTTGCATACTATTCAAGCAGTTGCTCCTTATGATACAGAGAAGAGCCTAAGCTCCGGCTCAGGGCGTCGGTTCGTGGATGTAGGTGTGAACACCCAGATTTGTACGACAGCCTGCGATAATGTTTACTTCACAAGTGACAAGGTACCCATCCTAATGCAAGCGTCACATAGGTATGAGTGTGGCGATTGTCTTGCCATCAGAAACGAGCTCAGTGATCCTCATACAAGTCAAGGCAGTAGTAGACATACACCAGTCTCCGGTGCCTACATGCCAGGACAATACTACAGCTCTGAAGGCGGTGGGCTTTGTGGAGGCCGGTCTGTTGAATGGAGAGGAATTCGCTCATCTGATGCTCAAGAAGAGACTGACAGGAGGAACAGCGTTGTAATCATTCGCCCTACAGTTAATTCTGCTGAGACAAACGATGAACTCGGCAAGCTGCCAGGTTATGATGATGACAAAAATGCTACAAACAATGAGTTTAGACAACGAACTTCGATAGATACGGCAATGAAAGATTCCACTGACCATGAACACGCTGAAATCCATTTTGTCGTAAATGAAAATGGAGAGAGGTTTATTCTTTGCCCACGTTGTGGCCTTCGGATACCCTTATCGGAAATAGCAAAAGAAATGATGATTAATGCCGGCCCTCCCGCTTTTCTATTCAATAACTCTCCGGCAGCAGTCCCGACCAAACGTGGGATGGAGCCACTAGCGCCTGGAACTTACCTTAGTGAGAAGGAGCTTTCACGACCACCCAGTAGTAAAGAAATGCTACCCACTATGTCTGGCAGGCCCTCTGGTTCTACAAAGGACGTGATTGGCTTTGGTAGACCACCTCCAGTGGATGATCATGATGGCTTTACTGGTACCAAGTATCAACCGTTCCCCCACAAGCCATTCAAGATTCCCCACTATCCACCGTTCAAACCTGGTGCTCGGGGCGGTGCGTACACCAATCCCAACATGGAGGGAGTATTTACTCGTATCCTCCAACGAGCAGAGGAGCTACGCATCCGCTATTTGAGAAAGCGGGAGCTTATCTTACAGGAACGTAAGCGGACCACAGAGCGGATTTTACGAGCGCTTTCTCTCTTAACAGATGCTCCAGTAGTGGCACAGCCTACACTAGTATCAGAGAACATGGGAATCTTTGCCGTGACGCCTCCCGTCATTAGACCTCAGACCGCGATGAGTGGAAGCAACTCCGTCAACACTTCTGGACGCACAACAAGGATGAGTAACAGTGCAAATGCTACATTTGGGGGTGACAAAGCAGATAAGAATCTAAACAGATATCTATTTGGAAATCTATCCAAGCACGAAGATTATCCAGCTGGTGGTATTGGCTTAGAGTACGATACATACGGTCACGCCAGCGCTGATGCTCCGCGGAGGCTGAGTGGAGGAGGCCCCACGTCAAGGATGTCCTCGGCCAAGAGCACGGCCTCTGCCAAAACACCTTTTGAATATAGACAGTGCATCTTGCCACAAAAGCAAAAGCCCATAGATTATGTAGCCAAAGGCCGCCAAACAATTGCAGAGAGTAACCAGACAAATGGGGAGGTTCTCGCCAGACTGAACATCCCTGGGCGTCGCCCATCTACGTCTCAGACTCCAAGCCTTGCACCGGGGTCCCGCAGGCAGAGCATACACGAACCAAATAGTGTCGTTCGCACCCAAGCCTCGAAATCAGCTAGACCAAATGTTAACGAGACAGCCAGTAAGAGGCGAATCCAGAGCGCCCAAGTTTATGGTGCAGGTATTATGGGGGATGACAATGCTCAGAATACTAACAATAGCATCAATGGACGTGAAGGGTCCGTGGATGGCTTCAGGGGGTACGCAACCAAAGGTGCAGGAGGAAGCCGGAGAGCCCACGCTGCTTCTGCATCTGATCAATATAGGCCAAGGTCTGCATACTCTGCCTTTCCAGCTAACGCTCTGGGGGACAGGTCGGCGCATGGCTCTGGAAAGCTCAGCAAACAAGTGGGAGTGCATGTGCAGCGGACACCTACCACTAAGATGAGCGACGTGTTTGATGTCCTCAGCACAGTAGGAATGGTGCAAAAGCAGTGAACGAATAGGCTACTCCACAGGAGCGCCTCCTTCCCTACTGAATTTCTTACGTCTTCCACCAGTCGCAGGCAACCGGGCCGAATATCGTTTTTGGTTCCATTCCTTTGTACGCCAGTTCCCCGTGTCAGCATTGAAGGAATGAAAGAGTGCTTTAGAGAGTTTGTTGGCAGTATCTTCAAAGTCCTTTATACTCTTTTTCACTTCCTCTTTAAGGGAGTTTAGTGTGGTCATGTCGCTTCTATGGTCTTTAAACTTATTTTCTGTGTCCTGGAGCTCATTATTTAGAGCGTAGTAGTTCTCTCTGATCAACTCGCAAGCCTCAGGAGGATAGGCCTTAGCAAATGCTTCAGACAGAAAGTGGATTCGCTCGTCAAGATACTTGTATTGTTCCTGCAAGGCAGCAAAGCACCGGGACTCCTGAATGTCCGCGATGAACGAGGAGTACTCTTTTCCTGAATAAAGGAAGGCACCAGACCGGAGGCTTGTGCAGATGGCAGCGCAACTGAGACAATACTCCTCCTTTGACACTCGTCCCTCAAGAAACCCTATGAGCAGATCAAGGAGTCCGCCAGAGTGATCCATTTATTCGTTTGAAGATCAATTTACACTGCATTCGTGGAGTCACGTATATCGAGATCCTCGTAATTGACGTCTGCTTTTGCAAGCTGAGAGGTAAGGAAGGTCCGGCGTTCGTTAGTCAGTTGTGCATCAAGAATTTTCAAAAATTCCACAAACCCATCGTTCGGGTTAATGCACGACCGCCTGCTCCGGAGCAGTGCATATGCGTCAGGAAATGACATGTTCTTCTTAATCATAAGGTATCCTATTACAACCAACGCACTCCGGCTAACACCGACACCACAATGGACGAGTACCCCTCGACTAACGCATTTGTCGATAACTTCCGCAGCAGAGAACACGATGGTGTGCATGACCTCGTATGACACATCCTGCCTGTCCAACAGTTTGTAAAAATAATAATTACTTGCCCATCTAGGTTTCCCCATGTCATATACACCTACCGAAATACAGGTTTTGCAGTTCTCAGGAGAGCTGTCGTAGTTCCGAGACCGCACATTCCCAATGTACAGTCCAGAGAGAACCTCATTGAAGTTAATACCCATAATTCCAAATTTAAAATCTTCAGATTGGATTTAAATAAAATTATACTGCTGACCACCTCCATTAGCGCGCCCAGTCATAGTTAGTTGGAGGAGGCGCTTCCTCGCCGCTTCTTGTAGTGAGCCAAAATATGAAACATGTTGTTGTACAAGTATCTTTTAGATCGTTCTGCCTCGTGGATAAGCCGAATGAAGTGTCTGTGCGCCTCGGACTCACTCATATCTAGGAACAGATGGTCTTCAATCCATTGCACATCCTCCCGAGATGTCAGCTGAGGGATACCAGAGGGTATCATGATCGTAAAAAGGCTTATCAGAGCGCTGCTGTGGTGCCTGATTGCTAGTAGGGCATCTGCTGACATCTTTTCAAAACATTTCTCATACTCTGTGCCATTAACGTAGTCATGGTGCTTAAGCACAAAAGCCATATCTGGAATGAAGAAGAATGGTCCCCGCTCTCTTTCGTAGTTGAACTTCTTTTTAAAATTACCAAGAAAGTGACCAAAATCTATGTGAAAAAAGGTACCGTCCTGGCATAGCATTATATTGTCATTGTGTCTGTCGCCCAAACCAAGAATGCAAGTTGCCACACAGTATGCTGCTATTGACGTAAGGTAGTTGGATATCATCTGGGTGTACCTTGTTGCTGTATGCTTCTGTATGAGGGAGAGCTGAGAGACGGATTGAAATATGCTATCTCGTGAAGATTTGGAGTAGAGACTTCTAGTGTTAAGAGTCGTAGGCACGCTGGCTGTGGTATTGAATAGGCCCTGATTGGTGTCGTCGTATCCCTTATTCAGGACAGATTGCTCCACATCAGAGATGGTCAGCTCACTAGTCTCACTCGCCCGATTGTCATCCTCTGGCTCTAATAGCAGGCTGTACCTCATCTCCTGTGTCAAACTATTATTATGTTGTGCATTCTTCTGTACACGTAAAAATTCCTCGTCGTGGAGGTTTATTGAATCCACTAGCCACTTCATGATAGGGCCCCTCGCAAATGCTCCCCTAGCACCCCCAAACGTATGCTCTATGGACCCCAGAGTTTCAGAGTCGGGAACAAGCTCTATCAAACCCTCGAATGGCCCTGTTGCAACGCAGCTATATACCTTCATTGCCAGATTAATATTATTGTTGTACCATACGTTTTGGATATATGAAAATGTGCGGAGCACAAGGCTGTCCTGCCGCAGGTCATCGTGAGTCTTAAAAAGACACTTGTAGTTGAAAGCGCCGTCAGCTGTTTTCAGGGAAAGGAGTAGCGGTGCCTTCTTGCTAGAAAGAACAGCACACTCAACCACACAGAAGGTTGCCAACTTTATGTCGTAAGATAGAGGCAGCTTAAAGCAATCCACTTTTAATATGTTCTTTAGTCTTGTGAGTAAGTTGTTTATGCGTCCTATAAAGCTGGGCACGTCACGAAGTTGTGTGCCCTTACTAGCATCGATGGATTCCTTCTTCTTCCGATAGGAGAACTTGGCCAGTTTAAGTAATATAATAAGTAGTAATTCAGTAAGAATAATGCTTCTTCGTTGATTTTCTGGCAGATGTAGTAAGATTTTAAGCATGAATAGAGAGTATGCACTGCTAAAAACAAGATTTAGCCGCATCTCACAGCGAAAAGCCCAGTAGAGAGGGTAGCCGAATGTTGGGAACTCCTTAATGGCCATTCTTATGAGGAAAGATGCTAAGCCCGCATTGACCATGTCATACTTGCATAGCTCGACTAGTTGCATGATGTGAGGCTCGAGATCATAAGAAGAATAGGTGTTTAGAACAGAAACAGCAAAACCTCTTATGATTGGATCTGTTTGAGCGCTAGCCAAGAGGTTCATGACAGTATCCAGTGTGACGTCTTCTATTTTCTTTGCGGACAGAATGTTATAGAAACTTTGAACAGAATCTTTATTTTTATAGTTTATAGATTGGCTTAGTCTAAATAGCAGAACAGGATCGCAAAGGGCTAGGTCTTTGTATTCCCACAGATGCTGGTATTCTAGTTTTGTCAGATATGTCAAAGGGTATGTTAGAAAAGGAGAGAGTGCCTCTAACTTTGTACAGACGGAAAAAGTATAATCTCCCCAGTGGGTATCTTGGTTGTTGGTTTCGATATACGACTTCAGGATGCAGAGAAGCTTTAGGTAGTAATTTCGCTTTTGGCTTACGTCTATTTCATTGTGCTGGTCCTCTGGGTTGTCATTGTACGCATTGTCATCGCTATTAGAGGAAACCCTTCTGGCAACAGCTTTTAGCGTTGGGGGAAGCATGGATGTATCTGACAATTCGTTGTCTGTGCTGTACTCAATCGTTGTAGTAAGTTTACGTTGGAACACAGCTTGGGTACAGCTGAAGGCACTGCTACGCCGAGTGCCATAGTTCTTGGAGATACCGTCGTCTTCGGGGACGTCGTAGGTAGCGTCATATGCAGAGTCTCTGTGTAGAGAGGCAGGATTGTGCTTAGTATATGATGAGGATAAGGCGATCCCTGAAAACGAAGACCTATCATCTCCGTCTTTCTGTGACGAAAAGGAACTACGGTTACTGACTCTTACCTTGGACTGCGTACGCCTACTAAAGGGTGACTGCTTGGCACGCCTGTCGTCTTTCTTGTCTTTGAAAATGCTTTGTCTTGTGCGACTTTTACTTGACTTTGGCCGTGAAGAGATAAAAGTGTTAAACGGCTTGTTAACCTCTTCTGCTTCCATATGTGCGGTGGCCCCAATTAATGACAGGGGGTTGAATTCGCTAAAAATGACAGGGGCATCTTTATCAACAATAGTGTTACATGCATTTCGCCGCCTAGATGCACCTCTTCCGCGCGTTGAGTAAGATCTACTGGTTGAACGCTTGTTTGACGCTGAACGAGTCTTAGATGATGACCTAGAATTCTGTCCAGATGGAATACTAACGTTCGAGGAGGCCATCACAAGGGTTTCCTCTGTAGGTGGCTTATATGGATCCGTGCTAATAACCATTGGCGAGAATTTTAAGGACTTGATCACTTTTTCGGTCGACTTTATCGGAAACTCAAAGCTTATGCGCATAGCTCCCCGTGTGTATGGGCGAAATAGAAGCATGCTAAGGACATCGCTAGCGTCTGTTCCTGGCCACAGTGGCACCTCATACACTCGCCGTGAAAGAGCCCCAGAAGAATCAAAGAATGGTACGCTCACACTACCTAGTATCAGAGTTGAACTATCGGCTAGGAGCCCATCATATGTTTCTATGAACATCGTAGACACACTTTGGTTGGATGATTGCAGAATAGAGGATTGCTTTTCATTGAGAAGTTTGATATATGACTGCGAGAAAAGCTGATTAGTGACATTCGCGGCCTGTATCAAACGACCGAGAGATTTCTTGTTCACGGCATATACTGTGAATACTATTTGGGCACCAAAAGGGAGGAACTTGGTGAGGAAGTTCTTAAAACTAAGAGTTGTGTCATAGTGTAGCTTGCAAACAACCTCTGCTTTCTTAACTTCACTGAATTCAAGGGCCGCATAGCCAGCAAAAGCTTTATCTGAAATTGGTTCTGTTCCGACGTGGATTTGGGCCACTGTAGTGAATACGTATGTTGTATTGATCTTAAGAATGTCCTGTGAGGCTTTAGAAGAAACAAGGAGGGACTCTGCTGGGTCCACTTGAGAAGTATCCTTCACGCTTGTCCTTTTGCATTGCCGCTTGAAAGAAATCTCGTCAGCTGTGTCAGTGATCGGCGGAGGTGGGACAGTAAGATCTGCCAAGTGTAAATCTAGGGAGACCCGCTCTTTGAGCGGAGTAGTATCCTCGGGTAACTTTTGAGGACCACGCTGGAACTCTTCAGAGCTCTTGCAGTCTAATGATTTGGTCAAGGAATTATCGTGAGAAAGTATGCTCTGTTCTACTGAATAGAATGCTTCTTCGAATATTGGCGATGCCCCCAGATCAGCAAGAAGTTGATCTATGTCAGCCAAAATATATTTTAAATTCTGTATCATTCCATTGAATTGAGCATCTGATCCCCTTCTTTCAGCTCTGTGCACAGGAGTTGACAGTCTATTCATTGGTCCGCTGGAGTCTGTGGTAGAAAGCTTTTGATCTGAAAAACACAGAATACGTAGTAACTCAGCGAGCCAGTCTGCTTCTACTCTAGCTGTGTAGCGTGGATCAATATGCATTGCATAATCGATGACATTGTACGGACGGGTTCCCCATTTGGTGGATTTAAATTTAGAAATGTTCTCTTTTGGAAAGCTACTTAGAGGAAGCGACACGTCAAGTAGTCGCACCGATAATTCCTCGTCAAGAGTACGTATATCCACTATTGTCAACTCTTCAGGGGAACGAACAGTGGCAGTTGAATGCTTTTTGCTTGGTAAAAAGTGTGACTGATTCATGGATTGCTTGTCTGGCACAATCTTTCGCTTCATTAATTGAGTCAAGGGTGCAAATCTTAGGGGGCACCTGCGAACGACTCCCTTTACAGATCCACAGTATCGTGTATAAAAGGATAGTGGATCTTTGGCATACTCAGCACAGCGCTTTTGGATCAACAAATCGAAGGTAGACGACGACAAGAATGAGTAGTACTCAACGTAATCATCATAGAACCGATTGCCTGGTGGCAAAGGTAGAGGTTGCAACTTTGGGTCCCACGAATAAGATTCAGCACAGATGCTTGCATTCTCTTCGCTATTCGTTCTGAGTGGCGCAAGAGTAGGTGATTTTAAGAAACTATTGGCTCGGCCAATGCCTTTAGCCGCTGATTCAGCATGTATTTTCGGAATGACTGGAGTCAACGATTCAAATGGAGTAGACTCTAACCTCTCCGCTTCTGCATCATCTGCTTGCTTAGTACAATTTGAAGAGCGCATAAGATCTATACTAGAGGCAGGGCTGTTGCAGGTCTCTCGACTTGCGATTGACTTGGCAGGAGACCTAAGTAAGGGCTGAAACTCAAGGTTCATAACATCCTTCTTATGCACAATGGAACCGAAAGTTCCCAGTATTTGGTCATCAAAAAGTGGTGGTGTCCCAACGGATGGTTCAGAAGCAGAGCTGGTTCCGGCATGAATCAAAGTACTCTTAGTGGGATTGCAATCCTGCAGAAACAGCTTAAAATTGAAGTTGAAAATAATATTTTCAAATGTATGGCCAAGCAGGGTGTCGGACATGGCTTTTTCAAATTCTTTTCGGTTGGCTAAAGTAACATAGAGAGGTTCTGCTTTCTTTAGACAAACTCTAACGCTATCATAGTTGATTAAGTAATCCATCCCAACTAGATATGCAGAGGTTCCTCTTTGCTTTATTACAAGATCGTACGGTCGTGTTACTCTGAGTGCAAGGTCCAACCTTTGAGATCCATACTGGCTAGAGGCGTATTCATACACAATGCAGCATGCTTCGTCACATGTTAAAAGAGGCGAGATGGTGATGGTATTCTCTAAGTTGCTGGACAGAGATTGCTGGGCATCAACAGTAATAGCAGTGGTTTTGTCTAGAGAAGCTCGGTGTTCGTCACTGATACACCAGCTCCGAGAGATGGCAGGCCTACGGTCGGTTGTATCTTCCGGGAAGCTGAAAACCAGAGTAAAGTGTGGATAACTGATGGGGTTTAGCGGGACAAGAGGCGATGCAGGTGATACTCCTAATGGGTTTTCAACCCCGTCTAGACTTGCCGTCACGACTTCCCAGTCCAGATGAGCGCACGCCCCGCTCTCGTCTATTCTTCTTTGCAGGTTTTCTATGAGGATAGTGTTATGGGATGGATTCATGTGAGTATGGTCTATGCCTGAATTATTCTTAACCCCACAAGGTCCAAGCTTGTGGAGAGAAGATACTTGGGAATCGGGTAGTGATCCTTCCTTTCCTGGTAACAATCGCTCTTGTCTGGGAGGAAGACTGTGAGCAGAAGAGCAAGAGCTGGCATTCAATACATGTTGCTCAATCACACTAAAGGATAGCTGCGCTCGCAAGTCCATGGCAATCCAGTCAGCAATCTCCTGCTGAAAGATCCCTAAGTCAACGGATTTATTTTGATTATGGGTTGGGATTGCACGAAGGATTGCAGAGGTTACTTTCGTAGCTAGATCCCTTGCTAAGGGACTGGTCAGAAATGGGTGAGATGGTGATATATCGGGCTGCGTGTGTGCCGTAATCATTAGCTTGTTCTTTTTGCTGACAAGAGCCTCTGCTACAAGTGATTGGTAGTGCAATATGGTAAATGAAAGCAAAATAGTGTCCAATTTGTGATATTGCCAGCTTTCTAGCAGGTCAAAGACGGTCTCAGGTTCAGATGTGTAGTGATTGGGGGTTGATGCTAAATCCAAAGGAAGAACGTGGAACTGGAGAGAATCGACCGAAACTACGTTTAGGTTAGCTAAGCATTCACCTAGTGTGCTCAGTTCATTTGTAAATGTTGCGGATTTGCTCGTGTACTGCAATAGAATAGGGGTGTCCTCCAACCCTAAGCGGCAGCGAGATTCGAACTCTAGGGCTACAATGGCAACGTCAGGGCGCGTGCAAAAAGTGCAAATAGCCCCCTTAGGGCTTATAATGGAAACCTGCATGGAGTAAAATCGCGTGTGGTGACACGAATATTTTATCTGCCCCGACAACGCCTTGGATAAAACAAGATAGTGTTTACTTGCCCACAATTAAGTCTGCTATGTGTGAAGGATCCAGCACGCCAAAGTCTGGGTAGCTCTGGCCTGTACCAACATAGAGTATAGGGAGATCGCAAACGAAACAGAGATTGAGTGCCGCGCCAACCTTGTCTCCACATGTATCAAACTTAGTTAGAATGATTCCATCTATGCCACGGCTATTTGTGTAGCTTTTAAGTGCACAATCAAATTGCTTTAGTTGCTCTACTCCCTCGTTACCGGTGAGTGCCTCCCCAACGAAGAGTACCACATCTGGTGCGTTCTCTAGAACCAGGGCGCCAAGAGCCTGCATTAGTGGGCCGTTGTTGTACTGCCTTCCTGTAGTGTCTATTAAGCATATGTCATAGTTTAAAGACTCCGCCTCCTTTATCCCATACTTAGCTATAGCGCTTGCGTTTTTACCGTAACCTTGAGAATAGAGGGTGGCTCCCAATCTATTACAGTGCTCCTGAAGCTGCTCGACAGCTCCGGAACGAAAGCTATCACAAGCACAGACCAACGAGCGAAGCCCGTTGTTCTTGAAAATATATAATAGCTTGGCTATCGATGTCGTTTTCCCAACTCCGTTCACGCCAGTCATGCATATTACATAGGGCCTTGACCGTTGTCCGGCTGCACGTTCCTCCTTCGAAGCTAAAATTCTTTTCATAAGAAACCGGTCCTCGAACTGAACTATCTTTCTAATGCTGTCTTTGAGTGCCTGGATGACCACGGACTTGGTTCTAGAAAAGAGCCCGACCTTTTCTCCTTCTAGGCTGGCTGACACTCCCTTAAGTAGCTCATCAGCAACATCTGATGCAACATTCTGATTAATAAGCGCTTGCCTCAATGAAGAAAGAAGCTTCTCGACGTCATTGCTTGTCAGTTCTTTTTTGTTATTGAACAATCCAAATACGGCTTCTCTGGAAGGCGTGAACGTGATGTGCTTTGCATCAGAAATGGAAGAGGGCTTACTAGCTTGCGAGACCTCTGGTTCTGCTATGATGTTCGCGGCTGAAGACTTTGTAGTTTCGACTTTAGAGTACTGCAAGAATTCATCGACTTGCCGATCGTTCCTCTTAGCCTGAGGAGTGGTTTCATTACTCTTCTTATCAGGTAGGCCAGACAGCCTCTTTGAGGCACGTAGACTCTCCTGGCGTTCAAAAGCCATTTGCTTAATCTTAGCTTTAACGTCTTCTAGATTAATAGAAGCAGCATCAGCAGATAAGTCAACCACTTTGTCTCCGATACTATCTGGATCCAATTGAGCGGTGTCTTTAGCTGTAGATTCTTGGTTAGTCTGTTGTACTGACAAGCCCCGTTCATGGAGAGTTTTCCCAGTTGAAATAAGCGACTTAAGATTTCCGTCGTACTGGGCATCAAATGATTGATACGTCTCCTTTGCATACTCTACTGGAAGCACACGAATGCTGGCCTCATACTCCTTGATGAAAAGGTGTGTCATTGCAAGCAGTATATCCTCTGCTCCAGACACAGTTAGCCCTTGCTTAATAATTGCAATTGCAAACATAGAGAGCTCCTTGATGTAGAGATAGTGAAGGGCATAGCCCTCCAGTACATATGGAGACGGAATAGCACGCTTCTCAACGTAGACCAGCGTTATAAGGTGATCAATCGGGTAGGTGTCTGGCTGCTTGGTGGACTGCCAAATAACAAGCCCAGAAGTGTGGACAAATGCCAATTGATCAAACATTTTTGAGCTTAACAAGATAAAAGATTAAGGGATGCGAGAGTCGTTTGATATCTCTCACTTCTATGATCCGACGTCCTATGTGAACCGCCAGCTACTGCTCTCGCTCGGAAAGTTCAGTAGCTATCTTCCACTTCCGGTATTTGCGGGGACTTTTAACGTTGGTAACAGGAAGTTTCCGGGGGACTCGTCTTTTCTGCGCCCATGGCTTCACTACTTTTCAAGGCACCAAGTTCCTGATGCTCCAGCGCCATCGTGCCCTCTTGTGTATGCAATCGGTTTTCAGGAAGTCGACATGTCCGCAAAGGCCCTTATGGTCGGCGAGACCAGTCGTGCACAGCCCTGGGTTGATGCTGTGGCTTCAGTACTTGGAGACCAGTATGTATTGTCCTACAAACAAATGATGGGCCTCTTACTTGTCATTGGTCTGCACAAAAGCATCACCTGCCCACCGGCAAGCGCCGTCGTGGAAGGATTTAAGGCATGCGGTGTGGGCTTGTGGAACCGAGGTGGAAATAAAGGTGGGCTTGCCGCAACTATAAGGCTCTATGACACTAGAATTCTTTTCTGCAATCTTCACCTGTCAGCCAATAGAACCCCTGATGGACCTAAGAAACGAAACAGAGATATTTACGAAGTGCTTTCACGTCTTAGCATGTCGACCTCCCCCAAGGATCCGAGGGGGCCTACTATTTTCGAACTGTACCATCGAGACAGCAAGCCCGGAGTAGAAATCTTGGATGACTACATTATTGAGGATGAACTAAATCATCCCATTGTCAATCCAAACTATAACTTTACTAATTGTCTCGCCAATTGTAACTTCGATTCTAACCTTACCCCCAAGTTTCCGTCTCTTCTAAGGGGCCATGACGTGATATTCCTCTTAGGAGACTTGAACTATCGCTTGCACACCTTCTCAACAAAGCCACACCTTATCCTAGAGCACTTCTTGGCCGACAGTGAAGTTGGTCGACGGACATTTTTGCGAATTGATCAGCTCTCAATGCAGTTACGGGCGCTTAGCAGTAGCTCGTACACTCCAACGTATGCTAATGAAAACATGAGGGTAGGTGACGACGTCGATGCAGAGGATGACGCAACGTTTTTTGTTCAGAATGTCGCTGCAACGGCTGCTGTTGCCGCTTTGGCCGTAAGTGGCGCCGACATAGAATCAGATGACGATGATGTTGAGGTAACCCCTCCAACACTGGCCGGAAATACAAATTATTATGAAGAATATCTTAGCTATCCATTTGATCCATGTAACTACCTTTATGGGTTCAAAGAAATGGATATCTCCTTTAATCCTACATACAAAATACTTATAGGGGAAAAAGGAAAGGGGAAAAGCAAGCCCAAGAAGTTGGCTCAGTCTAAGCAAGGTCCAAAACAGGAGCAGCCGCCAGCTGCTCCGTGTCAGCCCATGCAACTCATTCCTGGTGGTTCCCTCAATCTTTTTGATGTCCTCAATGTAGTTTCTACGGAGCCTGCTACTGAAAGAACTACCCCGGACCCCCAGGCATGTGTAGACACTGTTTCCTCTGCTCCATCACTAAGTTCTCAGTTAAGCCATCCTTCTAACAGTAATACTACCGCTATTCCAAACTATGAAGTTGACCCTGAGGCAAGCAAACCTAGGGTTCCTGCATATTGTGACAGAATCTTATTCCGAGGGCTCTCTCAGGACACTCTCATCAATCCGATTGGGTACATGTCTGTTTCTGCAGTTGAGTTCAGTGATCATCATCCGGTCTGTCTCCTCAGCACGATCAATGTTCGAGTTCTAGATGACGCTAAACTCAAGGCAGAACAAGCTAAGATCCTTGGTAGACTCCCCATCTTTACTACGGAGCTGCAGCCACGCTACACGTTGCTTGAGTCTACACTAGACTTTGGAAGAGTTTCATATGGAATGGAAACAGCCCATCCTCTTCCTTTGCGAAATGACCATCCCATTTCCTCATTGAATATTGTGCTAGACCCCATCACTACCCCACCGTGGATATATATGAGGCCGGCATGCTTTACCCTCAAGGCCATGACTCAAGGGGAGATTGTGTTGCTACACCGATTCCGTTACTTTTTGGATACTCCACCGAATGTCCAGGCGTCGTACATCCGCCACTTGATGCAGACCGTTGAAAAACCTGATACCTTGTCTCTCGAGAGCTTTGAAAGTCAGCGAGCTTTTATTCTCAGGCAAATAATCGACGAGAAGATATCCCTCCAATCGTTCACGATTAGCCTCTGCTTTGTCTCTGGAAGGGCAACTACATTATCACGGAACAACGTCATTGCTACAGAAACCATTAATTGCAAAATCGAATACCTTGGACTGAAAGAATCGCTTTTCTCTAAGCCTCTACATGATCTCGTTAAAAAAAGCAGTGCTCTAGTACCTGGTTATTTTATCAATATCGCTAATTACTTTGAGGAATTTTTATCCAGTGGATCTCCATCTAATCAGGATGTCAGTGCCGTGCAAGCGTTCCAGGCCTCGAACTGCACCTTTAAAACTAAGCAGTTAGACGACATTTTGCTGGGTCTGTATGACACCTTGAAAGCCAAAGATACCAATATGGAGCTCCCGTCTACTCCACTTCGATTTATAGCGACAGTTTTCCCGCACATACACACTGGGCCTACCACCCAATCCCTTAGCTCTTTTCTTGAGCAACATCGCTTAGCAGATCCTGTACCACAAGCACGGAAGTTTTCTGCAATAGACAATGAAAGAGAAAAAGAAAAGCTTTACTTATTATTCTATCACCTCTGTATCACTGGCATCGAGAGCTTAAGGGCACACATGTCACAGTCAGGCGAGGTAAGCGTATTAGACCCACTACTAGAGAAACTGAAAACTGAGCTTCAGTCCTTTAGATACTATTGCACAAGGAGCCTGTTCGTCTCTTTGGGGCCAGCTGAAGATAGTAATAAGTTATACATTCATCTCACAAAGGGTGACTGGGCTCGCATCCCTCTGTACATACATCCTGCCTCTGTCGCAGAGCTGTTAGTGGACTGTGCATTTGGCCTGCCAAACGGGATATTCCCTGAATATAGTTACTACATAATAGACTCTGTTATAGCTGCAGGTATGCCCACAGACTTAGACTCTCTTCGCAAGCAAGCAACGGGCATTTTCTACACAACGTTACAGTGGGAAGAGAGCAATCTGTTCCTATTCTTTGTATCCTTGTTTCGATTCTTTCTGCACACATGCAAGCTACCCAATCACGGATTCCGCTTCCAATCTGCGCTACGCATACTTGCCAAAATGACCTTCCGATCAGCGGAGAAACAAGCAAGAAATAGGGAAGACGAGGCCTATATGTTAGCTTTTTTGGCAGAGTAGGTTGGCTGTATCGTACGCACAGACGTTACGCCCCTCACAGCATGATATACACAATGGCCAAAATTACTGCAACTATAATTACTGCCCACTGTCCATATGTGCTTCTTCCTTCCTGGGTAGTGAGGCTGCTAGGTGGCTCACCTGGAATGTCATTCCGGGATGGACGCACGTCAGTGAGAACGTCAATAACTAAGGGTTCGATCCTTGGAGATACGATAGAGTGAAGTGTCCCCTCAATCGGACTTGCTCCACATATGGACTGGGACTCGGGGGCATCAGCTGACGGTTGCGGAGCCCCACTTTCCTCGCTTATCATGTCGCTTATAGTGTCGTCAAAGTGTTCACCTTCGCTGTAAGACCCCATATCAGCGTTCCACCAGTTGCTCTCCAATGTGTTTGATATTTCAACAAGCACTCTATGGTTGGGGTCGTTATGTACATCTCTCAAATAGCGCTCCGGGTTTACCAACATCGGGAACCATGTGTGGACAATGCGGTGAACTTTCTCCGTGAAGGATATGTCAATCCTTAGGATGAATTTGATGGCTTTCTTTGGTCTACGTACTATATGAACGAGAAGGCCAAAAGCAGAGATTATTATGCCAAGAAACATCAGCAGAATCTTGGTCGCTTGCTCGAGGAACTTGTAGTACAAGCTTCGGCGGACAATCGCCTCATACTCTGTGTGGATTGACCCCGCAACAGTATGGTATCCCTGCTTGAAGAGATCTAGCACGTGTGACTTTTCCAGCGAGATAGCACTCTCTACTAGGTACTGCGTATCTATTTGAATTGGTGGGCCTCCCTTTTTGAACTGGGCGACATGGTATTTTGTCAAGGGGACGTGCATGTTATGTCCACACTTCCTTAGCTTTCGCCGCAGCTTAGGGTACTTGGCATATAAGGATATGTAGTCCTGCACGTCATAGATTCCAAGCGCGAGAGATAGCACAGCTGCCTCCAGGGCTTCACAGCGGTGCCTAAGATTTTCCAGTTCCGTGTCTTTACTTCCTACCGCATTGTCCTGAAGTATTGCATGGAGCAAATCCTGAGTCATTGGCACTCTATTCACGGATTTACTTATTTAAACCGCGGTCCTGCGTTTGGAAAAGTGTTTTTTGGTTACGACCATCTGGTACGCGATGCACGTGGCAACGACAACAATCTTAGCCGCCATCCAAAACGAGAGGCTGCCGGAGAGAGAACTGATCAGCTGCTTGTGAGAATTTTCGGCTGTTTGTGTAAATCGTTGGTTTGCAACCAGGTGCTTTACCACCCCTGACGTCTGATTGAGGATCCCTGGTATGCCAGAGGGTGTGTCTGTCGGCTCATTGGGCTGCGATAGCCAGAAGAGAGTCATGTTTGCAGGCTTGTTATTGCTAGGAGAAGAGGCGCAGAATTCGTAGTGGCCTGCCTCTGTCTTCGAAAGCGCATAACTCCAACTTTTTACTAACGCATCTTGCTTAAGGATCCCTTGGTTCGGGGCCCGGAGAGTAAAGGAGAGACGGTTTCCCCCAGAGACATGCACGTTGATGGAGAGGCGATCGTCTTTCTTCACCTGATCTCTAAAACAGCGGGTTTCGCCAGGGCCTATTTTCACCATAAGCGACAGGCTAAGGGTCAGCAGTGCCCAGATAAGCATGGTTTTTGAAATGGCCTGTTTATTCTCTCTAGCCCAAAGACTGTCTCAGTTAAGAGCTTGTTATGTTACTTATTCTTTTACTAGTTCACCAATTCTCTTACCAGCAACATTAAACACCAGATTGGTCGATTGTATCAGTGTCACACGAGACAAACCATCCCCCAAAAATTTGTTACGATCAGCGAGTAGTTTACATGGACAATGCTTATAAGGTGCTCGCAGATCTAACGAAAAACACACGTGTAACCATCGACACAGCCCTCAATTTCATTAATGAGCTTTCAGGAACCGATCCTCACAGAGTCCTCTCGGAAGACAATGCAGAAATTCGCCTCAAAGCAAAGCAAATCGCACAGGACTTACAGATAGATGATATCTTTTCCAAGGTCGAAAAGGCAAAGGATCGCCCCCGGCAACGGAAATCAGAACCTCGCACTCCGCCCCGAGAGCGGTTAAAGGGGATTATTTCCCAGTCTGACCTCCCAGATGTGCGCGCTGTCGGAGCAGAACGATCTAAGCTTTATGCAGAAGCCCAAGCAAAGACACGCAGGCTTGAAGAGGAGATACGAGAGGAAGTGATTGCACAGAGAGCGAAAGAGCTGGCTGAAAGGCAGCGGATACGTATTCAGGAAGAAGCCAGGCTCCTGGTAGAAAAGGAGCGTGAGAAGACTGCCAAGGTTATCGCGGAACAAAAGGAGCGATATCGGATGGAGGCCCTTGAGAAGTGCGTTGCAATGATGATCCGTCGCAGGCAGGTGGTTCTAGCCACACAGATCCTTGTTAGCTGGAAAGCACATATAAAGGCACTGAACCGTAATGAAGCCATTATTAAGAAGAATTACCTATTATGTTTGTTGCGGTTGACGTTCCATACATGGCTGTCAACTTTCCTTCATCGTAAAGAAACATATGAAAAGGAACGCCAACGGTTGCGGATGGAGACTATAAAATCTCAAATACGAATGGCTGAGACGAACTATGTTGTTGTGCTCATGAAAAAAACACTGCTAGCTATGCGTGTTGAGGCTCAAAGGCTACAAACGCGGCGGAGACAAGAAGAACAACGGGCATGCAGAGAAAGACGCATCCAATCCTTTATTCAGCGAATAGAAGTCAGCAAATCTTTATGCTTATCTCAAAACGAAACTAACGATGCATCTCCTCGATCACCATCGCCAGTAGTATCGTGTACAGAAGGGCTTGAACAAAAGCAGGAATCTGTATCTACCAATCCAGAGACCCAACAGAATCAGAGTCACAACGATACTCTCGGACATCTAACCACATCCTCGAAAAAGGTCCGATTTGAAACAACAGAGGAGCCTCAAGTATCGTCTGCCGATAGCTTGAGGCCCTTTTCAGAAAGCAACCAGGTGGCTGCGCCCGTGAATCAAGCAGTTGAACAGTTTACTACGCGCAAGCTACTTCGTAAAGCACCACAAGTTTATATAGATTATAGCAAACGAGCTGCAGACCGCAAACAGGAACGTCTTCGGCGCCTCGAAGAAGACAGGCTTGCAAAAGAGCAAGCTGAGCACTCCAAGAGGGTCTTGCAGGAGGAACTAGCACGTCGAAAGGCACAAGTACGAAAAGAGCAATTAGAAATAGCCACGTCTTGCCACGCAGGTCTTCTTTTGCGGATAGGATATCGGTCCCTGGTTGCACTCCATACTAAGCTTGCTTTGTGGCACACCACATCCTTACAAAGAATGCTGTCTTATGTTTTTTCTATCTGGATCCAGCAAGCCAGAGAGAAACTAGGCAAAAGGATAGAAGTCCTGAGTAAGGTGGATGATGCTATAGGTCGCATTATGGACAGATTTACAAAGCAAGTTGTATTTTTAGAAGGGTTTATTCCTCTTCTGCAACAATCGAGGCAACGCTTCCTACAAGCAGATCACTTCTTTACACTAAGCCTGTTTCGCAGGTCCCTTGCGTCCATGCGATGGCGCTTGCATCAGGCTGACCTTGAAGCACAAGTGCAAGGCAAGAGGCTTCGGCAGAAAGTCATTGGGCGCACAGTTATCTTTGCATGGAGGCATGCGATACTAGATCTTCGAAAAGAACGGGTCGCTGACGCGCGGCAAGCAGAGATTTATAGACTTATGAGGGCGCAGGTTGCAATGCAGTGGGAGGAGGTGATCGACAGGTCTATCCTGGAATCATTTCCATCCTTCTATGAAAAGTTTGAACCTGTCATTCGTTCATTTGACGAATTTATTGATTCTAGTTCTTTAGAGGCTTTGGCTGAGACTACCCTTTGTCACCTTCTCCGTTCTCCCAGTGACTTACAGCCCCAACTACCAGGTTCACACCCTCCACCTCTTTCGTTTCCTGTTCAAACTCATTCGTCTGGACAACCAGAGGAAAAGGATACTATAGAAGATGCTGATGAGGAAGTGGACTTCACTAGTCTTGCTGCTTTAATTTCTGCTGCCAAACAGCTTACTGGCCAGAGTGCTCTTACGACTCAGACAGAGCTGGAGTTCACCTATGACTTCTCCGCTGCAACTTCCCGTCCCAGCGGGAACTCGACATGAACACAAAGCCAAAATGACATCCACATTTACTGCGCACGAAGACATCAAACGGTATACTCCAAAATGATGTCGCGTAGATCTTCACTGTTAGCATAGTCTGCAGCGGTGCGTCCGCTCGAGTGCTGCAGAGCAGCCTCATATGGGAGAAGAAGCTGGACACACTCCTGGTGCCCTCCTGTCGCAGCAAGCATCAGCGCAGACACGCCTCCTCCTGCCGGAAAGTTTTCGTTAGTAACGATTGCAGACTCGTTGTGCGCAAGAATCGTGACAATGTCTGGTCTATTATCGCATGCAGCAGCCATAAGCGCAGTCCACCCGTCGTTTCTCTGCATGCCAGCCTCCTTGTCAAGGAGAAAGGCGGTAACATCTGCATGCCCTCCAGACACAGCCCTCATTAAAGCCGTCGTTCCATCGTGGCTGCACATTCCAGCCTCCTTCTCGACAAGAAGGCGGCACATCTCAAGGTTTCCTTCACTGGCAGCATACATAAGAGCAGTATATCCATGGTCATCCTGCAGGCCTCCCTGGACGTCAATGCGGTGGTACGCCTTTACAAAGTCGTTGTCCCTGGCCGCCTCCATAAGCTCAGTCAATCTGTTGTTGCGCTTGTCTTGACCGGTGACGGCAATGTTGTTGTCGCGGTTGTGGAGGCTGGTCTTGATTCTCATAGACCCGGACATCAACTGTAAATTAAGGAAACGTGATGAGTTACTGCTCGATCGTGCTGCACTGTTGTTGACCGAGTCAGTGCGCTCGGTCACGTCAAAATTTGCAAGTGCGTTAGCGGACATCATAGCGTTCGTGATGTTGCTGGCTATCTCCGGCTTATCTGAATCGAGTATTGCTTGGTGGAGATCTTGATTCGTGGGGTGCATCATGTTCCTGATGATGGCGTTGATTTGTGACTCTTTGCGCTGAGGGCTCCCTGCCATGCTGTTTGGCCCCGTTGATATGTTATTCATGTTATTGATGAACGCATCGACGGCGTTGCTATTGCTGTTTGGAGACCCGGCGTCCTTGTTGATGTCGACAGGGTAGAGTTGCTTAGGCCCGTTCCCGCCACTTCCACCCAGTGGATTCTCCAGGCGCATCTTGGATGACATGTTCTTCGCTGCTATTTGCGACTTTGTTAGCTCCTCGGTAAGGAAAAGCACCTGACCTTCCAGGTTGCGCTTGTCGTCGTGGAGAAGGCTTATGCTCTCATCCTTGCGCTGGATCCGCGCCTCTGCAGCTTCCTTATCATCTGTGATAAGGTTGATGCGATGATAGAGCGCCTCGCGCTCACCCAGCGTGTGTGCCAGTTCATCGCGTGTGTCCTCCAAGAGCTTCTCCTTCTCGTTCATCTTCCCGATAAGCTGCTGCGTCATCAGCCTGGACTTCGTCACCTCGTCCATAAGCTTGGACGTCTCTATCTCGAGCTCGTTGTTCTTTGCCTCGAGCTCGTTGATCATGGCAGTGGTCGCCTCGAGTCTGTTAGTCATGTGGCGATTCTCTTCCTCCTTGGCCAGGAGTTTATTCTGGATGATGGAGACCTGTGCCTCGGCCTGAACCTTGCTCTCCGTAAGCTTGTCCATCTCCTTCTTGACAACTGCGTGCTCTGCAGCCATGATATCTACCGAATGCTTCATAAGCTCAAGCTCCTCTGTGCGCTTCTGCATTTCTGTGTTATGAGTCTTTAGCATATTCTCTATTGTCTTACTGATATCGTCATCCGTACTGGAAAGCATGTTCGAGATCTTCTGGTGCAAGACCTCCACAGCAACTCTCTGCTCCCTTGCCTTCTCGGCATCCTCTTGTAGCGTCTTGCACTCGTGCATCAGAGCGTTATGACGAGAAATAAGATCCTCGTACTTGAGGGTTGTCTCGTCGTTGTCAAGCTTAAGCTTATCGAACTTCAGCTTCAGGGCGTCGTGGGTCGCCGTCTCCGTGCCAAGGTTATCGGTCAGTTCACGGTTCTCAATGGTGATCTTCGCGTGATCCTCACGTAAGCGCGAAATTTCTTCGCAAATATCGCTATACCAGGCTCTGAGCTGGGCCTCCTTCAGGACAGGACCGAGCTGATTCAGTAGCTCCTCTTGGTTGGGGTCAAGGGGCGAAATCCCATGTGCCTGACCAACCTTGGTCGTGACAGTGGCGGACGCAGACGTAGGGTTCTGAGCAAAAAAGGGAGGGTACTTGCGCACTATGTTGACAACGTTGTCCTTATTTGAGCAAAGATTGTACGGGAGGTCACAGCACTTGCACCGAGTATCAGGAAGCTCGGCGTATTCAGTCGCTAACCTGTAGAACTCTTCGAGAGAAGAGAACGAGTTACGAATGGACTGGGCGATTTGCTTGTTTGCAGCCTCTTCGGTAAGCTTCCCGGCTTCCATGATGGCTTCCACACATGCCGGGTGAGTGTTGTTCATAGCGTAGTCGAGGGCGCTCAGCCCGTCATTGTCACGCTCCTTCAGGTCGAAATACCCGCAGAGAACCTTTACAGACTCGGTGCAACCGTACTCCGCAGCAAACATAAGGGCATTTTTTCCCTCATTAGTCGCATACTTCTTCTCGAAGGGAGCGATGACATCGCAGATCTCGTGGTGATCATAGCACGCTGCAAGTATCAGCGCGGTATGACCGTCTTTATTCTTGATCCCGGCTTCCTGGATGCAGAGGATCTTCGCAAGTTCACAGTCGTTTGTGCGCGCGGCATTCATCAGACCTGTTTCTCCAACTGCGTTGCTTGCTCCTCCATAGAGGCGCAGCCCTGTGCGGATCGTTGTGTACTGACGCTTTGTGATGCAGTCAAACCACGACTTCTTGTCACCGATCGAGTTCATCCTTTTTTGAATTCCCTTTAAAGGCGCCGGCGCCAAAAATGCCCTGTTTTTTTGACCATGTGTGCTTAACCGCCCGAACCCTGGAATAGCTTGCACCAAGCCGCCGCAACCTTAGTCCATGCATGAATTTCTATTGCCGTTCACTCCTTCATCTACACCTTTGCAATCAAAGAGTTCTTCCCTTGCTGGTCCTAACCTGTACCCCACGGGAGCTAAACACAGCTGACACTATTGTTGTTTCTACTTGACGAGCCTGAGCGCTTGTCCGGGCTTGTCCATTTAACGTACCGTATATTCTTTCCAAATCCAAAGCGCGGTCTTTGGATGTTTTCTCTGGTACCGATGGTATATCGGGTACCACCATGCACCTCAGTAGTTCTTCGTCTTCCTGCTGGACGTTTATGATCCGAACTGGAGCTCTCGAGAACGACCCTGGCTCAGAGCAGACCGCTTTATCTATCGCTTCGGTGTCTAGTGTAGTACTACCCCCTTCTTTTACCACTGATTCGGCTAGGCTAGTACACTGATAGGTTTCTTCTGGACCTTCATTACGACGTTCGCCACAAGATGACAGGAGCTGAGGGGGACTAGGACTCTTTGCTGGTCGTGCTGTGGCCAATGATTCTGTTGCAAACGCTGCGGCATCTTCGGCTTTATTGGCCATAGAATCTATAAAGCCGTGTCCAAACTCCCAACGCTCTGTGTGAATAGCTTTGTGTCTGGGCGTGCTAGATCCACTGGCATCATGGCAATCTGCTAAGATGTCATTCCTCTTTTGTATATTTACGAATTTCTCCATCACTTGTTCGAATACAGCCTTGAAGTCGTCGGGCTTTACAGGCATATACGTTTCTATCGAGTCGTCCATCGTTTCCGTGAATAGCCTTAGCGTAGGTAGTGTCTGAACATTAGATATACTGTCTTCTAAAGGTTGCGTGGAAGGGTCTGCGCCCAGGAGGTCCCTCATTACCCGATACATATCCGCGATATCTCTATCAGACATAGAACCCTTATCAAAGGAGTAGGTGAATTGGCTAGGATCAATGTGTGTGCCTTGCTCTGGAATGGTAGGTAATTCATCCTCCTTTGAGACCATCTTCGACTGCTGGAGAGCAGTGAGGCGCTTCTCTTTAGCTGAGTTCAAAAACACTTGCTGTTCTGCCGTGTGCAGGGCATCTGCTGAACAACCGGCTATGTTCTCCACAGCCATTGACCCAACAAGGCGCCTCAATGCATGAAGCTCCTCTGCTTGCCTCTCTAACTTAACCTTTTGATCAGATATCTGCTGCATGTAGTTCTCAACCATAGATAAATTATGTTCTGAATGTTCGTTGGTAGAACAGTTGACGAAATAGTTAGAACTAATCTTTTCTTTGAGAGATGAAATTTCTCTGTCCTTGTGAGCCAGTTGCTCTTTCAGGCCTTCTAGTTCTTCTACGAGGGAGGGATCTGGTTGGCTATTCCGTAGCCCTGCAGGAGAGCACGACAAAATATTGGTAAACGGACTTGTTGATACATTGGTAGTAGATGTCAGCTTACTCTTCTCCAGGTAGCTGAGGAGCTCTGCGTTGAAAGCAGGGTCTATGAGACAAGTTAGTATATCATCGATCGACTCCATATGGGTGACCTGGCGAAGGACATCGTGAATACCGTCAGTGTAGTCCTCCATTGAGCGAATCTTGCAGCGAAGGTTATGGGCTTCAAGGTTGGCTGCGTCTAGTTCTGTCTCTGCCTCTTTCAATTGCTGATTGACCAACTTATTCTCCTCTGCTAAACGTGCTATTATACCTTGCAACTCGGACAGAGTTGTCTCCAAATCAGAAGAGGCTTTTGTTACGGTATTCGCCACTTCCGACATGGAGGGCTTTATATGCTCTAAGATTATGCGGAGTGTCTCTGAAGATTTGCTTAGTACAGCATACTCTAAAGCAGTGCAGCCCAGTGCATCACACCCCTGTCCGTAGGCCTCTAGTAACAATGGAAGAGCGTTTGTGCCTCCGTGCTCAATGCACACCATCAATGGATTTTTCCCACCGGGCAATTCAAGGCTCTTTTCCCATCTAAGTAGCATGGCGCATGATTCTTCGTCATCTAAAGCTGCTGCGATACTCAGGGCAGTTTTCCCATCAGAATCACGGACTCCCTGTTCTAAAGGGGCTAGAATCTCGACGATCTGAGGCCGATGATTGTGCGTAGCTATCATAAGCGCTGTTGAGCCAGCATCTGTGGTTCTTCCTTTAAATTTTGTTACATTCTCTTTGATATAGTCTGTGTCTCCAATCTCTGCTGCTCGAAACCAATCGTGCAGGGTCATGGAGAAATGATTGTCTCGAAATTTTAGTTGCATTTACCCTAAAGTCTCCAGAAAGTAATCATAGAGGGGGCCATTTGCGTTTGTCCGCGAGGGAAGATAATCGATAGCACTTTTGTTATCATGGTCCTTTAAATCCACTTCAGACACAAGAAACTCCAACACACGAGAATGCAAGTGTTCTGCAGCGAACATCAGGGCTGTTCGACCATGGTTGTCTTGAAGCCGTAGCTCGTATTTGCTCAATAGGCGTACGACATCTCTGTGCCCACGCATCGCGGCATGCATTAGGGCTGTCATACCTTGGTCATCTTTCATTCCCTTCTGACTGGGCAAAAAAGACCAGACAGCAAATAGACTATTTGAGATTGCAGCTGAAATAATACTGGACAACATACCTTCTGCCATGCCACCAAGCTTGCTGGTATGCAGGGCCTCTGCACTCCGAAGAAGCTCTGCACAGTCATAATGACCGCATGTCAGAGCAACCTCTGCTGCACACATATTATCGTGTCTGATAAAGGAGCACTCATGTGGCGCCAACAGCTCGACAATCTCCTTGTTTCCAGCACTCGCTGCAAACATGAGTGCAGTCATTCCATTGGGAAGTTGCTGGCGAACATACTGCATGTTGTTTTTACACTCTCGGAGAGATCCCTGTTGGGCAGCAATCATTAAAGGCGTCATGACGTTTTGTCTGATAACTGTTGTTGAAAGAGGCCCGGACGGTGCTGTCAAATTTGAAGTCTCCAACGTGGAAGGATAGACACGTGATGCAGTTACGTCTGTGTCCACTGGTTGTGATTCCGTTCGTTCCTTAATATCTCCGTGAAGCGATCGATACAGATCTAATTCAGACCGAAGCATGTCAAGCTCCTGGCCCATAGAAAGAGAGCTGTCTTTGAGAGTTTTGTATGCATCAGCGTACATAGATAGATGTGATCGAAGCTTGACGGCTTCAAGTTCTTCGCTGGAGTGAGCTGTAAGGAGTTTATCTTTGTAATTTGCTACCTCCTTCTGTAGATCATAGAGTTTCTTACGGCAATCGACGAGCTCATTGTGGAGGTCAGTATTTTTGGCGTCTAAAGCTACGATTTTGGCTTCCATAGCAGCGGTGTCAGGGTTGCTAGAGCTAAGTCTAATGGGGTGTTCCAGTACATCATTTAACCGTTTTAACTCTGCATTTGTCAGCCTAAGTGCATCATTATCCGCTTGAAGCTGCTCTAGCTCCTGCTTTATGCTCTCCATTGCCCCTTTGTACCAATTGATAAGCGTGAAGACGAGCTCCACATAGTACGTAAGAGACTTTGCAGACCCAGAAGACAATGAATCTGTGATGGTGGTTACACTGACGTCGTTATCAACGGGACCCTCTATCATTCTAGCAATCGTCTCTTTGGCACTATTCACTTCATTAGTGATCAATGCCAATTCGTTGCGGTGAACCTCAAAGTACTGGGAAAGCCTGGCCTCTGATTGTGCTTGGCAGCTTCGAGCAGCCTCGGCCAATTGTTTGTATTGATCAATGGAACCCTGTGCCTCCGCAAGCTGCTCTTCAAGCTGGCGTCTTCTGGCGTTGCTATCTGCTAACTCTTCTATAAGTTGCTCAATCTGCTCGTTTGAAGTATCTAAATTGGCGTCAAGTATAGTCTTTGCAGACGAAGGGGGGTCAGTACGAGGCCTTGAGCTGACATCACAAGTCAATCTTTGAAGCTGTACTTCCAAGGATTTAAAGCTGAGAAGGATGTCAGCAATAGTCGCCGTTTCTGGAACCAAATCTGGAACCGGTAGATTTGCCTCCTGCGCATCAAGCATGGTCCACAGCTGCTTCACCGCGTATGCCAACGCACACAAATTGTGTGAACATTCCGATAGTGACTCTGGCGAGTCAACTTGGGCGGATGATTGGCCTTTTTCCTCAAGTCTAAGATCCTTGCCATGTTCTTGGTCCTGCTTGATCTTACAGCGTAATGACGATAAGACATCCGTGCTTTCGTTCTGCAGCCTACCTATCTCTTGCTTTAGCTCTTTTTCGTGGGCATCGCGCTTGACCAAGAGATGCTTATAGTACGCTACCTCTTCACGTAGAGATAAGGCTTCCGCTGCAGAGAGAAAACCTGAGGATCTCTGTACGTTCTTTTCTGTCAACTTCTTTACCTCTTCTTCCAAGCGCAGTATTGTAACCGTCTTGTCTTTAAGATCACCCCTTGCTTGCTCTAAGGCGGAGCGTAAATGCTCAACTAGAATACGTACTTCACTCCTCTGCGTGCTCCTATCTGTACCAGACAACTGAGAAGCCAGCAAGGGTAAGGAAGAATCCAAAGAGCTCGGACTTAATACCAGCTCGTTGCCTCCCTGCGGTACATCAGGAACTAACACAGACTCCTGTCTTCCTTGGAAAATGGACGGACTGGTGCTCGCACTGCATTCAGCCATTGAGTTAAGCATACAAATCCCCTGATTTTCGCAAGGATCGTTGTTCGAGGCAAGCACTACATTTGGATGGTTTGCAGCAAGGTTGTTTCCTTCTCCCTCTGGACTCCCATTCGTGTCTGCTTCATCACTCAGTGCATGGAAGGCAGCTTGCAGCTGCTTGGCATCCAGTTGAGTAAGGGTTAAGGGATGGGAGTGAGAAGTGGCAGTAAACCTGCTTCCTGACAACGAATCAATACTTTGTGCACTATTGGGTGGCACATCTATGTGTGCAGTGGTTAATTTTAGATTAGACAATCTTAGTGAAGTCCCAGGATATGTATTTGAGGCTTTCCACAAGGCCGCGGCACAGAGCTTATGTCCCGCGGAATCTGCAATCGAAGCAGCATGTTTTAGGTCTTCAATGGTATAACTCCCATGTTTTACCAACAGAGATAGCTGGGGAAGAAGATTGTTGTAGGCGCAGTACTCCATTGCGGTAAACCCGTTTCTATCACGGGCACAGCTGTAGCAGTCAACCAACTGTGGTATTGATTCCATACTCCCATGTTGAACAGCGACATGCAACGCAGTAGCTCCATTAAGTAGTACCATTTCATGTTCATATGGTAACAGAAGAGGGATGACTTTGGCCGAGTTCTGGGCAGCAGCGATCAGCAGAGCTGTCTCCCCGATATGATTGCGCATGGAGTTCTCATCCTTAACGAGCATCTGCACAATCTCCTCGTTATCGGATGCTGCAGCATACATGAGCCCAGTGGTGCCGGTCCGGTCTGTCTCCCGAAGGAAGCGAGCACACAGACGCGACACCTCTGCAGCGTCCCCGGCCGTAATCGCACCAAACCAACCTTGCGATGATATAATCTTTTTTAAATGTTCATCCTGACTCATAGCCTCCAAATGTTCCTGGCACTGAGCCAGTTGGTTCTCTCCCTCTACCAGTCTATCGTGCTGTTATACTTTGCAGAAGCATTCTACTCGTCTCTCGACACGAAAGCCCGTGCGAATAGAATGGCCAGATACGAGGCTTATCTGCCCTGCGTCATGTTCTTAGTTGCTGTTTTAGCCAGAGATGTTCCCAGCACTCTTCTTTCTAGCTCTCTTGTTGCAATAACAACTGTTAGGGCGTGGAATCGTCAAGTTTCACTTCCAATCGCACCATCGAACAAAGAGCAGACACGCTATTTGATTGAATCTCTAATAAGAGCTGGTGTGTCTCTAATTATATTTGTTGTGTCTCTGTGTGTTCTTATGAACCGCCTACGGCTCTGGATGTTGTCATGCATCCAACTAAATTTCAAATAAATTGGGTGGCCATGGACATTCTGCATGATGTCTTTGCCCAATATAACGATTTTATTGACAAGACCAATACGGCGAACATAGAGTCCGGCATATCTTTCCACTGTCTTACCATGGGAGGTCTTTTTGGCGTGGTTCATAGAATTTACGATGTCCTGCATAACGAAGGCCCCGGAGCTCTTCTCTCAGAGCTTACCTCAATGGTTTTTGGCTCTAACAGCGTAGATAAGTCTGACACGTGTATGCAGCGCATCATAAAAGCGGACATTAAGAAGGTCCTTAGCACCTCTGCAGCATCTGCGATTTCATCTCTGTCTATATTTCACATTTTCTCCCCTGTGGAGCTGGTCAGGTCTCTCACGTATCAGTTTTCTGTCGAGTTTTTGAAAATGCTGGCCTTGAAGAACACTCTGTTCTCATATGGTCGACGTCTTACTCCGCCAGAGGCATTTGTTACCGGAAGCATCGCTGGGTTCCTTACCAGCTTCTTATTCTCCAAGTCAAAGAGGGAGTGGCTACGGGGGGCACTTCGAGGCGGCTTCAAGGAGATATTTGCTGAATTCATCACCAGGGTGGTAGCCTACCTCATGATAGAGGGCATTAGCCACGTTATCCGCCAGCAGGTCCCTGCGGTCGATAGCCTCAATTTGAAAATCATAAGGAATTAGTTGAGAGCTAACAGCCCCCCAAGTAAATTTTATACCGGCTCCATGAATGTCTTGCACCCCATCTATGGGCTCCTTACACAGATGAGTAATGTAACAGAGAGGATGGCAGCTATTGTGCACGACGTCAATAAACATTTGAAGAAGGTCAACGAAGCAACGGGCTTTGAAGACGCCACAAAAGCCATTGAGCATGCTCGTCTTGAACAAATAGTAGAGGACACAACTAACGTCATTAAAGGAAACACTACATCTGTCTACACACAGCTTCTTACCTACCAGTATCTAGCAGACGTGTGTGAGTGGCAGTTCCGTAAAGGCCTTGTATCCACGCTGGCTGACAAGACATGTGGAAATGAGCGAACTAAGTTTACTACAATCTTGAGCTCAATGAGTATGTACCGCATGAAAAAGGACATACGCATTAGAAACAACATTCAGGCGCCGATTGTCTTTTCGATTCCTGCAAAGATCAGCCTTTTCAGGAAGCTTGCGATAATAGAGACACCTATAGATTTCTATCGCCAGTGTAAGGGGGCCTTTCGAATAACGCGAACATGCGACACACTTTTGGGTCCATGTGATAAGCCACGTTGGAGAATTAATTCTTCTGTTGGAGGTGGATCGACACAGTTTGATCCCAAGCTACTAGCTGTGAAGAACCGAGCTTTTGGCCCCTTCAAGGCAAACGACACCCGCTCCAATGTCTACCAAGAGCGAATACCGCCTATAGAGTCCTTTTACAAAATACTCAATCAGAAGCGGAGTTGGTTCAAGCAGCCCCTTCTTATTATATCATCAAGCACTACGTTTGAGAGCATTCACTTCAGTGGACAAGTGTTTGTTAGAAGACCAACTATCAGTTCAATCAAAAGAAAACTGGATAACATTGCCATTACTTTTATTAATTGTTCCTTTGGGCCCATTAAGCGGGTTCCCAGTGCGTCATTTTGGGACCGAGTAGTATCTCGAGCTCGGACAAAGCTTCAAAGGGCGACAGTAACGAGCAAGCATGCTATGGAACAGGAGCTTGCAACCATAATGAGCATTCGGGAGCACATTTCCGGCAAATATGGGACATTTCTCAAAGTATCTCACGCCCAAGTACATGTCTTTGGATCTGCAGTTGTAATCTTCAAAGACTGTCACTTTGGACCAAACACTGGCCCAGGAATAGTTGTAGAACACTCTACAGATGTGGTAATCGATGGTTGCATATTCAGGGGCCACGGAATGGCATTTCCTGCTATAAGCTCCGTTGAGCTTCCCCACACTGCAGCAGTTGTGTGTCGAGGCCTTTCCACCGTGCTGGTGCAGAAGTCATTGTTCTTCCTTTGCCACTGCGGGGTTGCTTCTTTTGGTGAGAACTTCTGCTCTAATGACAAGGTCATGACAGGAAAGGAATACATTGCCGATACCTTTGGCGCAGAGCTGAAATTCAATACACTATCTCCATTTCACCATGAGTTTATGGATTGCTACTACAATAATCCCGATGGTATTAAGGAGCTTCTGATCGGGGGGTCATTAATATCAAAAGACAATCTGTCAGATAACATGATTAAGTCCATCTCTCAGTGTAGCTTCCAGTTCTGCTTGACAGGAATTGCAACGTATGGCGACCATCATCATCCCATTATTATTGCAGATTGTTCAATAATCAGTCCGACGGTCGAGATATCTCGAAAGTTATTTTTGGCGCCGGATCCATCGTACTTAGATCCTATCACTGTATCCTCTCTGAAAACAGATGAAAAGATTTCCGGAAAGCTACGGAGCATCGTGACAGGTGTGCAAGGCGTAGGCTCTTTCTTACACCTTCTTCGCATTGTATTTTCAGAGCCAGAATCATCGTGTATAGCCCTCTATGAATGTAATGCAGACATTCGAGATTGCTACTGTGTCAGTGCAAAGCTCTACGCTGAAGATATGATAGACAGTGACTTGTTGGAGTACTCAAAGTTTGGACACCTCCGTGGGAAGATTGCTCCATTTGTTCTGTCGGACAGGGCCTCTCCGTTTCCCATCGCCATTGCTAGGATCTTAATCCAGCGGCTTAAGTGCATCAAGAAGCAAGAGAGCTCAAGCAAGAACATGATGCTCAAGCACCTTAGACACGTAGATGGAGTTACGCCGGGCCTGCTTCGTGAGGAAGTACTACGGGTCAATTCCATTGGAATTTCGCTGACCAGGAGCATGGGCACCATCTCTAATGTGCTTCTGGCAACGGAGTCTTTTTGGCGTGGGCTTCACATAGACACCTCTGCAGTTGTAATTGGTAACGTCGCTTTGTGCAATTGCAATGACGGATTGTTTGCACTTGGATCCGAAATTCTTTGCACCCACTCCATGATTTCACGTCAAAGACGCTCAGCATGCATTGTACGAGGGACAACTATTTGCATAGATGGACAGACAACCATAGTTGGCGCGGGACACATGGGGATAGGTGCATTCCAATCAGACATCTACTTGAAAGATAGCTTTCTGAGAGACTCTGTTACAGGGATCCGACTGATGGATTCTAGTTCACTGGTAGCAACCCACTCGGCTATTTCTCTCATGGAAAAAGGCATTGTAATCTCTGCAACCTCTGCACACGCCATTAAGGACGTTGTTTTCAGTGATACCGCTGTGAATCTCGCAATAGCCTAGTGGTTGTAAAAAAATCCTTGGATCTTCTCATGTCACAGCTCCCTTCTCTGAGCCTTCCAGACGCTTTATTTAACGATGAAACCTTGGACGAAGTTTGTGAAGTAGCAGCTGAACCTTCTGCAGTGCCATCAGCGGGGCCGCCAGATGGAAAAAAGGGCCCAGGACGCAGGTCCAAATATATGAATATCCTTGACTTTGTTAAAAAGGCACCAAAGCAGAGTACTGGTGCACAGGCACCGACATGCACACAACCCTTGAAGCCGTCTGTCTCTGCCTTTGAGCGTCCTCTAGCTAAGACAGATTTATCTTATCCTCTACCGACTCATGCTGTCTATACTACCGTGGAGGATATAGAAGCCTTTTTCAGGCGGCTCTTCCATGCTAAAACCCCACCGGAAAACCAACTGTCATGTCTGGCTTCATTCTATCAAAACTGTGAAGACAAGCGAAAATCCCAGCCAACAAATGCCATCATGCAGCCACACATAACTTTACGGAAAACCCTTCTAAATAATGACGTTGATGTGGTCACTGCAAACAAGGTCAGGAGAGTCTTCTTCGGGTTTTTCGAGACCCCAGAGACCCTACGTGTCCTTGCATCGTATCCACCTGGCGCTGGTCTCCAGCTTCAGCAGTTTATCAACGCAAATACGCAGGGCGAGCTGATCATCCCGGCACAGAACGACGCCAAGATGGTCAAGTACTATGAGGAACGTGTCAGGTATGTTCACCAGCGAATTAAGGAACTACAGCGCTATTACAACGAGGAAAAGCCCAACGAAGAGAAGGGTTTTACGAGAGGAGTTGCAAGCATTTTCATGCCATCGCGTACATTCTTTGGCCATCACTGTATCCATGCTGTTTACTCACGAGTGGGTCCGTGTAGTCCGTTTGAAATCGAAGATGGAATAGACTATGATTGTGAGACATGCGGATTTGACCAGTCCACCGAGGTGGAGGAGTCCTCTTCGGAGGGAAATGACGAGAATAACTCAGAGCTCCAGAACCTCAACCTTCCAGAGGATTCGATGGATCAATTAGATCCCAGAGCCCACCGTGTTCTAGTTGGAGATGACCTGGAATCTTCAGATGATGGAGCTGCAGCGCCTGGAGCTACCGCTCGGTTTGCTGACAAGGAGCGGGCACTACGGCACGTGGCGAGACATGCCAACAGATTCACTTGGCCAGTTCCTACATATACTCCGGATGCAGTCGCAGGAATTAGAGCGTCTTACTCCATCAACCCTGCATTCTATACTAGCTTTACCAGCAGCACCGCAGACCCTTCATCTGCAACAATTGCTGGAGGACACGAAAACGTCTATGGAGTTGTTTTAAACACAGAGCAGGATTTCAAAGTATATCAACCAATCTTTCTCCAATATAGCTCGTCGTAAGGGATGCCTTATGGCCTTTTCAGTAAATCATTAGTGACGTCTTTTGAATTTGTTCGGTAAAAATTTAAAAAATTCGGAGATTGATGAACGCGCCACCGCCCGTCATTCCTTCTCTTCCCCCATTAGAACCCCAGGACGATGGGTCCTTTTATTCAGTGCTAGAAGCTACGGTCCAAATATTCCCTTCAGGGGCTGTGGAACTCATCTCTAATGTAATTAGAAGGTTGAAGGAAAAGCGGAAGATATTAGCCAGCTTTGACATGTCTATTCATATGGATACTGTCTATGAATGCTATCTTCTTGCCAAGGATCTCTTGTTCATGCTTCCCTGGGAGAGCCCCGAAATTAAAGCGCCCTCTGAACAGGCCATGCTGATATGGTCCACTGGATCTTCACTCACCATAATTGCAAATAGTGTTTTACTGGATATTGTAGCACTGTTATATAACACCGTGTCTGCGTGTTACACACTCGCTGCCTCCAATGCCAAAGCTATTCACCATTCAGTAGGATATATTTTGCAAGCGGCAAACATGATTTCTGAAACATTGCAGCAAGTCGATAGCACGTTTTCCACTTTAGATGGAACCCTCTTAAACCGTGACGTATTACAGGCTCTAGAACACTTTAGCAGGGCACTCGCCATGGACCTTATCTCAACTAGCCCAGAATTAACCGAAGAACATGACTCGGTGACCAGGTACAGGCAGCAGGCTTCGAAGCTTTATAAAAAGGTTGCTGTACATCGTTCGCAGCCAGATAGTCTTGTTTGTAAAGGCCTTTTCGCTATAAGCGAATCTATTCTTGATCTTGCCGACATACGATCAGATTTGCTCTACATCAATATAGCCTCTCTTGCCTGTACGCGTTACAGAGCGCAGAATCTCGTAGAAGAAAATTATACATGGGCTATCTTCTGCTGTCAACGCTTATTAGGTGATGCAGCTTCCAATGCCGACACTGATATCAGAGAATACCTTGCATATGCTAAGCAGATACTTGAGCAGTTCGTGACATCGACAAATAGATGTGGAACAAAGCGCATAACAGACTTCACCCTCACAAACCAGGATGAGGTTGAATTGCAATTTCTTAGTCGAACATCCGTACCGGTGTATGGGACATGTGTGCAGCCTACTCTTGCCCCGCTGGTTTGTCGAAAACTGCTGATGGATTATTCTGATAAAGTCGATACAGCACTTACTTCTGGTGATCATAAAGAAGATTTGCGTGACGACCTGTTGAACATTTATCAGACGTTCGCCGATTACCACTCTTTTAAGAATACCGAGTATCCAATCGATATTAGGGATGGAATGAACTGCTTTAGGGAGCTTCTTATCTCAACATACGGTGTGTCTCTAGCTCCTCTTTCTATGCCTGATACTGACTTTTCTTCAGATGATGTCAATGAAATAAGGGCCCAATTTCATAAGCTTCTCAAAGAGCGCGATAAAGAAATCGATCGGTTGAGAAACCTGTGTATCAATATATCCTCCTCAATTCCTTATACGCCAAACCACAACTTACTAGATGAAGTTATGTTGGGAATGGCTCCTACTCCTGCATATGATATTCAATCCTCCAAAATGAACTTGAATGATTTGCTTCTCTCTCAACCCATCAGTGACGTATTAGCGCGAAAGGACGATGAGATCTCCAGGCTTCAGGAGAGGCTCGCCGCCCAGGACCCGAGATCTCTCGAATCCGAAGAGCCCGGGGCAGCAGCCCGAATCCAGGCCCTTGAAGAGGCCCTCCAAGCCCGTGACGAAGAGCTTGCCCGCCTCCAGGCCGCAGCCGCCGAGCCCGCCATTGACTATCCTGCCCTTCTCCGGGCCGCGGAAGAGGCTCGCGCAGCCGACGAAGCCCGGCACCAGCAGGCGCTGGACGATCTCCGGCAGCAGCTGCGCGCCAACGAGCAGGCAGACCGGGCTGCAATCCAAAGCGCCCTTGGCCGACTGGCAGAAAAGGTCAAGGAGAACGAAGGCCTCAGCAAGCGCCTCGAGGACGCCGTCGCTAGCGGAGCCGCGAGCCCGCGCCTGGCCCAGACCACCACCGACTACGACGCGCTCCTGGCCGAGAAGGACCGCGAGATCAAGCGCCTCCAGGAGGCCCTGCTCTCCCAGCCCACCGGGGACGTCCTGGCACAGAAGGACGACGAGATTGCCCAACTCAGAGACGCACTTTCTGCAACGCGGTCTCCTGCAGATGGTCTGCAAACAGCTATCAACCAGCTCGCCGACAAGGTTCAGGACAACGGCAGCCTGGTTACACAACTCATGGGCAATATCGTCCAGGGTGTGGAATCTGCAAGCGCCGAGGGCGAATTGCCAGTTACCATTGATGGACTTACGGCTCGCATCCGGGCTCTAGAAGATGCCGCTGCGGAAGCAAGGACAGATGCCGAACGGAAGAACGCCGAGATCTCCAGGCTTCAGGAGAGGCTCGCCGCCCAGGACCCGAGATCTCTCGAATCCGAAGAGCCCGGGGCAGCAGCCCGAATCCAGGCCCTTGAAGAGGCCCTCCAAGCCCGTGACGAAGAGCTTGCCCGCCTCCAGGCCGCAGCCGCCGAGCCCGCCATTGACTATCCTGCCCTTCTCCGGGCCGCGGAAGAGGCTCGCGCAGCCGACGAAGCCCGGCACCAGCAGGCGCTGGACGATCTCCGGCAGCAGCTGCGCGCCAACGAGCAGGCAGACCGGGCTGCAATCCAAAGCGCCCTTGGCCGACTGGCAGAAAAGGTCAAGGAGAACGAAGGCCTCAGCAAGCGCCTCGAGGACGCCGTCGCTAGCGGAGCCGCGAGCCCGCGCCTGGCCCAGACCACCACCGACTACGACGCGCTCCTGGCCGAGAAGGACCGCGAGATCAAGCGCCTCCAGGAGGCCCTGCTCTCCCAGCCCACCGGGGACGTCCTGGCACAGAAGGACGACGAGATTGCCCAACTCAGAGACGCACTTTCTGCAACGCGGTCTCCTGCAGATGGTCTGCAAACAGCTATCAACCAGCTCGCCGACAAGGTTCAGGACAACGGCAGCCTGGTTACACAACTCATGGGCAATATCGTCCAGGGTGTGGAATCTGCAAGCGCCGAGGGCGAATTGCCAGTTACCATTGATGGACTTACGGCTCGCATCCGGGCTCTAGAAGATGCCGCTGCGGAAGCAAGGACAGATGCCGAACGGAAGAACGCCGAGATCTCCAGGCTTCAGGAGAGGCTCGCCGCCCAGGACCCGAGATCTCTCGAATCCGAAGAGCCCGGGGCAGCAGCCCGAATCCAGGCCCTTGAAGAGGCCCTCCAAGCCCGTGACGAAGAGCTTGCCCGCCTCCAGGCCGCAGCCGCCGAGCCCGCCATTGACTATCCTGCCCTTCTCCGGGCCGCGGAAGAGGCTCGCGCAGCCGACGAAGCCCGGCACCAGCAGGCGCTGGACGATCTCCGGCAGCAGCTGCGCGCCAACGAGCAGGCAGACCGGGCTGCAATCCAAAGCGCCCTTGGCCGACTGGCAGAAAAGGTCAAGGAGAACGAAGGCCTCAGCAAGCGCCTCGAGGACGCCGTCGCTAGCGGAGCCGCGAGCCCGCGCCTGGCCCAGACCACCACCGACTACGACGCGCTCCTGGCCGAGAAGGACCGCGAGATCAAGCGCCTCCAGGAGGCCCTGCTCTCCCAGCCCACCGGGGACGTCCTGGCACAGAAGGACGACGAGATTGCCCAACTCAGAGACGCACTTTCTGCAACGCGGTCTCCTGCAGATGGTCTGCAAACAGCTATCAACCAGCTCGCCGACAAGGTTCAGGACAACGGCAGCCTGGTTACACAACTCATGGGCAATATCGTCCAGGGTGTGGAATCTGCAAGCGCCGAGGGCGAATTGCCAGTTACCATTGATGGACTTACGGCTCGCATCCGGGCTCTAGAAGATGCCGCTGCGGAAGCAAGGACAGATGCCGAACGGAAGAACGCCGAGATCTCCAGGCTTCAGGAGAGGCTCGCCGCCCAGGACCCGAGATCTCTCGAATCCGAAGAGCCCGGGGCAGCAGCCCGAATCCAGGCCCTTGAAGAGGCCCTCCAAGCCCGTGACGAAGAGCTTGCCCGCCTCCAGGCCGCAGCCGCCGAGCCCGCCATTGACTATCCTGCCCTTCTCCGGGCCGCGGAAGAGGCTCGCGCAGCCGACGAAGCCCGGCACCAGCAGGCGCTGGACGATCTCCGGCAGCAGCTGCGCGCCAACGAGCAGGCAGACCGGGCTGCAATCCAAAGCGCCCTTGGCCGACTGGCAGAAAAGGTCAAGGAGAACGAAGGCCTCAGCAAGCGCCTCGAGGACGCCGTCGCTAGCGGAGCCGCGAGCCCGCGCCTGGCCCAGACCACCACCGACTACGACGCGCTCCTGGCCGAGAAGGACCGCGAGATCAAGCGCCTCCAGGAGGCCCTGCTCTCCCAGCCCACCGGGGACGTCCTGGCACAGAAGGACGACGAGATTGCCCAACTCAGAGACGCACTTTCTGCAACGCGGTCTCCTGCAGATGGTCTGCAAACAGCTATCAACCAGCTCGCCGACAAGGTTCAGGACAACGGCAGCCTGGTTACACAACTCATGGGCAATATCGTCCAGGGTGTGGAATCTGCAAGCGCCGAGGGCGAATTGCCAGTTACCATTGATGGACTTACGGCTCGCATCCGGGCTCTAGAAGATGCCGCTGCGGAAGCAAGGACAGATGCCGAACGGAAGAACGCCGAGATCTCCAGGCTTCAGGAGAGGCTCGCCGCCCAGGACCCGAGATCTCTCGAATCCGAAGAGCCCGGGGCAGCAGCCCGAATCCAGGCCCTTGAAGAGGCCCTCCAAGCCCGTGACGAAGAGCTTGCCCGCCTCCAGGCCGCAGCCGCCGAGCCCGCCATTGACTATCCTGCCCTTCTCCGGGCCGCGGAAGAGGCTCGCGCAGCCGACGAAGCCCGGCACCAGCAGGCGCTGGACGATCTCCGGCAGCAGCTGCGCGCCAACGAGCAGGCAGACCGGGCTGCAATCCAAAGCGCCCTTGGCCGACTGGCAGAAAAGGTCAAGGAGAACGAAGGCCTCAGCAAGCGCCTCGAGGACGCCGTCGCTAGCGGAGCCGCGAGCCCGCGCCTGGCCCAGACCACCACCGACTACGACGCGCTCCTGGCCGAGAAGGACCGCGAGATCAAGCGCCTCCAGGAGGCCCTGCTCTCCCAGCCCACCGGGGACGTCCTGGCACAGAAGGACGACGAGATTGCCCAACTCAGAGACGCACTTTCTGCAACGCGGTCTCCTGCAGATGGTCTGCAAACAGCTATCAACCAGCTCGCCGACAAGGTTCAGGACAACGGCAGCCTGGTTACACAACTCATGGGCAATATCGTCCAGGGTGTGGAATCTGCAAGCGCCGAGGGCGAATTGCCAGTTACCATTGATGGACTTACGGCTCGCATCCGGGCTCTAGAAGATGCCGCTGCGGAAGCAAGGACAGATGCCGAACGGAAGAACGCCGAGATCTCCAGGCTTCAGGAGAGGCTCGCCGCCCAGGACCCGAGATCTCTCGAATCCGAAGAGCCCGGGGCAGCAGCCCGAATCCAGGCCCTTGAAGAGGCCCTCCAAGCCCGTGACGAAGAGCTTGCCCGCCTCCAGGCCGCAGCCGCCGAGCCCGCCATTGACTATCCTGCCCTTCTCCGGGCCGCGGAAGAGGCTCGCGCAGCCGACGAAGCCCGGCACCAGCAGGCGCTGGACGATCTCCGGCAGCAGCTGCGCGCCAACGAGCAGGCAGACCGGGCTGCAATCCAAAGCGCCCTTGGCCGACTGGCAGAAAAGGTCAAGGAGAACGAAGGCCTCAGCAAGCGCCTCGAGGACGCCGTCGCTAGCGGAGCCGCGAGCCCGCGCCTGGCCCAGACCACCACCGACTACGACGCGCTCCTGGCCGAGAAGGACCGCGAGATCAAGCGCCTCCAGGAGGCCCTGCTCTCCCAGCCCACCGGGGACGTCCTGGCACAGAAGGACGACGAGATTGCCCAACTCAGAGACGCACTTTCTGCAACGCGGTCTCCTGCAGATGGTCTGCAAACAGCTATCAACCAGCTCGCCGACAAGGTTCAGGACAACGGCAGCCTGGTTACACAACTCATGGGCAATATCGTCCAGGGTGTGGAATCTGCAAGCGCCGAGGGCGAATTGCCAGTTACCATTGATGGACTTACGGCTCGCATCCGGGCTCTAGAAGATGCCGCTGCGGAAGCAAGGACAGATGCCGAACGGAAGAACGCCGAGATCTCCAGGCTTCAGGAGAGGCTCGCCGCCCAGGACCCGAGATCTCTCGAATCCGAAGAGCCCGGGGCAGCAGCCCGAATCCAGGCCCTTGAAGAGGCCCTCCAAGCCCGTGACGAAGAGCTTGCCCGCCTCCAGGCCGCAGCCGCCGAGCCCGCCATTGACTATCCTGCCCTTCTCCGGGCCGCGGAAGAGGCTCGCGCAGCCGACGAAGCCCGGCACCAGCAGGCGCTGGACGATCTCCGGCAGCAGCTGCGCGCCAACGAGCAGGCAGACCGGGCTGCAATCCAAAGCGCCCTTGGCCGACTGGCAGAAAAGGTCAAGGAGAACGAAGGCCTCAGCAAGCGCCTCGAGGACGCCGTCGCTAGCGGAGCCGCGAGCCCGCGCCTGGCCCAGACCACCACCGACTACGACGCGCTCCTGGCCGAGAAGGACCGCGAGATCAAGCGCCTCCAGGAGGCCCTGCTCTCCCAGCCCACCGGGGACGTCCTGGCACAGAAGGACGACGAGATTGCCCAACTCAGAGACGCACTTTCTGCAACGCGGTCTCCTGCAGATGGTCTGCAAACAGCTATCAACCAGCTCGCCGACAAGGTTCAGGACAACGGCAGCCTGGTTACACAACTCATGGGCAATATCGTCCAGGGTGTGGAATCTGCAAGCGCCGAGGGCGAATTGCCAGTTACCATTGATGGACTTACGGCTCGCATCCGGGCTCTAGAAGATGCCGCTGCGGAAGCAAGGACAGATGCCGAACGGAAGAACGCCGAGATCTCCAGGCTTCAGGAGAGGCTCGCCGCCCAGGACCCGAGATCTCTCGAATCCGAAGAGCCCGGGGCAGCAGCCCGAATCCAGGCCCTTGAAGAGGCCCTCCAAGCCCGTGACGAAGAGCTTGCCCGCCTCCAGGCCGCAGCCGCCGAGCCCGCCATTGACTATCCTGCCCTTCTCCGGGCCGCGGAAGAGGCTCGCGCAGCCGACGAAGCCCGGCACCAGCAGGCGCTGGACGATCTCCGGCAGCAGCTGCGCGCCAACGAGCAGGCAGACCGGGCTGCAATCCAAAGCGCCCTTGGCCGACTGGCAGAAAAGGTCAAGGAGAACGAAGGCCTCAGCAAGCGCCTCGAGGACGCCGTCGCTAGCGGAGCCGCGAGCCCGCGCCTGGCCCAGACCACCACCGACTACGACGCGCTCCTGGCCGAGAAGGACCGCGAGATCAAGCGCCTCCAGGAGGCCCTGCTCTCCCAGCCCACCGGGGACGTCCTGGCACAGAAGGACGACGAGATTGCCCAACTCAGAGACGCACTTTCTGCAACGCGGTCTCCTGCAGATGGTCTGCAAACAGCTATCAACCAGCTCGCCGACAAGGTTCAGGACAACGGCAGCCTGGTTACACAACTCATGGGCAATATCGTCCAGGGTGTGGAATCTGCAAGCGCCGAGGGCGAATTGCCAGTTACCATTGATGGACTTACGGCTCGCATCCGGGCTCTAGAAGATGCCGCTGCGGAAGCAAGGACAGATGCCGAACGGAAGAACGCCGAGATCTCCAGGCTTCAGGAGAGGCTCGCCGCCCAGGACCCGAGATCTCTCGAATCCGAAGAGCCCGGGGCAGCAGCCCGAATCCAGGCCCTTGAAGAGGCCCTCCAAGCCCGTGACGAAGAGCTTGCCCGCCTCCAGGCCGCAGCCGCCGAGCCCGCCATTGACTATCCTGCCCTTCTCCGGGCCGCGGAAGAGGCTCGCGCAGCCGACGAAGCCCGGCACCAGCAGGCGCTGGACGATCTCCGGCAGCAGCTGCGCGCCAACGAGCAGGCAGACCGGGCTGCAATCCAAAGCGCCCTTGGCCGACTGGCAGAAAAGGTCAAGGAGAACGAAGGCCTCAGCAAGCGCCTCGAGGACGCCGTCGCTAGCGGAGCCGCGAGCCCGCGCCTGGCCCAGACCACCACCGACTACGACGCGCTCCTGGCCGAGAAGGACCGCGAGATCAAGCGCCTCCAGGAGGCCCTGCTCTCCCAGCCCACCGGGGACGTCCTGGCACAGAAGGACGACGAGATTGCCCAACTCAGAGACGCACTTTCTGCAACGCGGTCTCCTGCAGATGGTCTGCAAACAGCTATCAACCAGCTCGCCGACAAGGTTCAGGACAACGGCAGCCTGGTTACACAACTCATGGGCAATATCGTCCAGGGTGTGGAATCTGCAAGCGCCGAGGGCGAATTGCCAGTTACCATTGATGGACTTACGGCTCGCATCCGGGCTCTAGAAGATGCCGCTGCGGAAGCAAGGACAGATGCCGAACGGAAGAACGCCGAGATCTCCAGGCTTCAGGAGAGGCTCGCCGCCCAGGACCCGAGATCTCTCGAATCCGAAGAGCCCGGGGCAGCAGCCCGAATCCAGGCCCTTGAAGAGGCCCTCCAAGCCCGTGACGAAGAGCTTGCCCGCCTCCAGGCCGCAGCCGCCGAGCCCGCCATTGACTATCCTGCCCTTCTCCGGGCCGCGGAAGAGGCTCGCGCAGCCGACGAAGCCCGGCACCAGCAGGCGCTGGACGATCTCCGGCAGCAGCTGCGCGCCAACGAGCAGGCAGACCGGGCTGCAATCCAAAGCGCCCTTGGCCGACTGGCAGAAAAGGTCAAGGAGAACGAAGGCCTCAGCAAGCGCCTCGAGGACGCCGTCGCTAGCGGAGCCGCGAGCCCGCGCCTGGCCCAGACCACCACCGACTACGACGCGCTCCTGGCCGAGAAGGACCGCGAGATCAAGCGCCTCCAGGAGGCCCTGCTCTCCCAGCCCACCGGGGACGTCCTGGCACAGAAGGTCTCCGATGAATCTAAACCTGTCGATGACTTATTCCTTGCTACACATTCGTCATCCCTGCATGATAGGGCTCACGAGCCCACACTTGCCGAACTGCAACGAGAACTAGAGGATCTTCGCAAAGATAATGCTCTATTGCGTCTTACAAAAGCTGATTATGCTAGGTCGAACATCAACCCGTTATCGGAAAAAGAGTTAAAGGACAGAGTATTTAAGTACAAATCAGGATACCTTCGAAAAGCCATACAGTTACGTGAGTCAGAGGATGCGCGTTTGAGGCTTCAGGCTGAAAATTCTGCTTTATCGTCCGCTATAGCTGAGCTAAAGGCCAAACAATTTGCTGAACCAGATAAGACTAATCCTGTTTTACCTAGCAATGGCTTGACCTTGACTGACCTTCACCACCTAGGTTCAGATGTAAGTCTATCTGATGCTTTAGTGCAAGAAGTCGAAGACTTGCGGGGTGAGGTAAAGCGATATAAAAAAGCATATTTAGCCAAATCACAAGCCTATAACGAACAAGAAGAGCGATTGCAGGGAATTATGGGCTCTGTTGGATATCTTCCCGATGTAATTACCCCTGTCTCCAGTCCTCGCACCTCCATTCCTAATACGATTGGTCAACAAGTTATTCTGACAGACCTGGTCGACTGGTACGGCAATACACGGTTAATGCAAGCGGTAGCACTTGGAAATGAGGCCGACATCAAAGCCTACCTAATTCAAAGCGGAAAACAGAACAGGGACGGTTGGTCAGCCCTTATGTTTGCAGCACAGCAGGGAAATATGCGTGCAGTGAAGCTATTGATCGACAAGGAAGCAGATCTTGTGCGCAATGATGGTATGACGGCCTACAAGCTGGCTGTAGAAAATGGGCACACTGAAATAGCAAATCTTCTGAAGACCCAAACCAGCACTTGGAGAGGTTGTTAGTCAGCATCAAAACGTACATAGTAGTAAATCCACTTTATGGCGTATCAACTCAAAAAACTAAGACGCAGGAGAGCTGAGCAATGCAGATTCATAAGGAGCCTGACCGTCTAGAAGAGTGGTTTTCTGCCGCTATTACCGGTAACAAGGAATACATTAATAAACACAAGTCTGACTGCGTAGGCTCTGTTAATCAGGCTGGAAAGACGGGTCTCATGCTTGCAGGAGAAATGGGTGCGCTTGATACTCTAGCTCTTCTTGCGCCATTAGAAGCAAAAATATTATCACCGGAGGGGCGATGTGCGTTGGAATACGCAATTTTAGAAGAGCAGTTAAAATCTATTCCTATATTGTTACAGTATGAAGCTCGCTTCATGAAGGAAACTGGCAAAGACCCACTTCTTCTTGCATTGCAGGCTCACGCCAAAAGCTCAGCTCTTGAAATTATCGCATTTAGCGAAGAAGATGATGCTCTGGACTACAGTCGGGCATTAGAACTTGCCAATGATATGGATTACCATGACGTAGTGGAAGCTTTGCAACACAAGGTTGGTGCTGCTGACACTAGTAGAGCAAATTCCATCAGACCCACTATTAGTGGTGTGAATAAGATTGGTGATACCCCGGGAACATATATTACAGCAGATGGCAGAAATCTAAGTCTGTCCATGTCAGTCAGCTTTGGCGATGGGTCACGGAGTTGCTCGCTGGCTCCCCACAGACCACGTCAGATAGATTATGACTTTCTTCTTTATGCCAAGGACCAAGAGATACTGCGGCTTCAAACGCTTCTTGTGCAGCTGTCCAGCCATATGAAGCTAAAGGTGGCTAACCTAATCACTCACACAAGTGATCACACAGAATTAGAGAATGTGGATAAGTTACAATCTGACCTTGCTGCAGCAATGCTCAGAATCGATGAGCTTACTGAGAAGCTTGAGCAGAAGAAGACAATGGTATCTGTATCAGCACCAGACGGACAGGGGGCTAGTGATAAATCCGTCGCTATTGACAGCTTTAATAACGATACCGATGAGGTGAAGAATCTCAAAAAAACAGTATATCTCTTAACAGAGACAATTAATGAACTAGAAGATAAGTTGCGTCTATCAGCCAGCACTACAGACTTAGCCGAGAGAAAGGTCACAGAGAGGATCTTCACCGAAAACATAAGCCTAAAAAAGACAGTAGAAATACTTAGCGGAAAACTTGACTCTCTATCGAAGAGTGTTCCACATAGTGCTATCAACAATGTCCAGTGGTTGCAAACTAGTAACGAGGGCTCTTCAGTTAATCCATCCTCTGTAGGAGTCGTACTTACAGATTCTATGTCGACAAAGCTGTCGGTTGGATTGCCGAGGAGCATGAGCTCTGGAGCAACTGCTATGTCACCAGCGCAAAAGCTGGCAAATATGGCACTATCACAAGATTCATTATCTACTAATATAACCTCTGGGCACAGCTGGGCATACCACTCAGATAAAATGATCAGTCACGTCGACGTCTCTACTCCAACTCAATCAAAGCGTAATGCAATAACCAGACCCCGCGCACCCGCAAGGCGTAACGCACAATGGTATGCAGAGCAGGTGAGGCGTGTTGGGCGGGTTCAGTGTTAGGCCAAACTAGTAAATCTAAATTTCTAACAGACACCTTGATGACACGGCGGGAGGATGCGATGGTCTGGTTTTCTGCCATCGAGGAGAAGAACTACTCAAAGATTATAGAGCTGGCCGCTGTTTTCCAAGGCTCACGGGATAAGTATGGAGACACAGGCCTTATGCTTGCTGCGCGGCAAGGAGATACAAAAGTGATACAAATCCTTCTCCCTTATGAAGCAGGGCTGGCTAATGATGATAATCAGACGGCACTGATAGTTGCTGCTCTTTGTGATAAGGCAAAAGCGTGTAGGTTCCTTGTAGCATCCGAAAAGGATTGTCTGCTCTGTGATGGACGCGATGCCTTGATGCTTGCCGCGCAAGTAGGTAATACTAGTGCCGTGGACGCGCTAGTGGATCATTTTCCGGCCATTCGAGATAATAACGGAACCAGCGCCCTGGATTATGCCGCAGGTGAGGGCTATTTAGAATGTGTCCAGCTTATTGTTAAGAGGCAGGATCTCACCCCAGACGATCTGGAGCATGCGGTCAACATTGCAATGGCTCGCAAGCACTTTGATATAGTCACCTATCTGAATACCGTGCGCAACACTATGTTTAAATCAGCTCTAGGAACACTTGGCGACAGCTCTGCTAGTGATCTATTCACAAGTACCATCGCTCGTACTGCCAAGTTCGCACCCGACACATTAGAGTACCCCCAAATTCCAAAGTATTCCGAAACTCCAATGAAACTAAACAGAAGCGTTTCTGATGTATCTGAAATGCACGAAGACGGCGACCATGGACACACGGACCCGGCTGGGAAGCGACTTGTGAACTCCGCCTCCTCTGAACGAGGTCACTTGTCCCAATCTAGCTTGCATCTAGAAAATTTAGACAATAGCAATCTTCGTAATACCTTGTCAGAAGCTCAGAGAAGGGTTGTTCAATTAACTGATACTGTTAACAAAATAGATTCGTCAACATTTAATACCGTTCCGGAAAAGCTCACTCAATGCCAAGCGGAGCTCGAACAGATGAAAACAAGAACCAGAGAGCTGGAGGCATTAATTGTAACAAAGGATAATGAAATCAAGGGCCTGAAAGAAGACTTGCACTTTTTACTTGCTGCTCGTGATGAGGACAATCAGCTCCTGGCTTCCAAGAACATGGATATCTCCCATTTACAAGAGGAGGTAGCAAGTTTGAAGCATAAGCTGGTAGAACTTGAAAAGGTAACGCCACCGCAGACTCAAGCATTCGATAAATCCGTTGAGGTCTATCCAATTACAAGAGATGCCTTTATAAAGACGACTACCCTGGCTGAGATTGATTGTTTAAAACCACAACCTCAACATATTTCTACATATGCCTCACCAGACATATCCGCACTGAGCCAATCAACTAGTAAGCCAGATGTACACGCCTTGCAAACTGAGTTGGAAACTGCTCGACAGAGTATCTCTGATTTGGAAAGGAGAAACATGACACTTCAGGACGAACTTTTGGCGCTTACGACTGCTGATACCCAACGGGGTTTACCTAAGACCCTTACAGATTCCCTTGGCATCCAGGTGTGCGAGACTTCGCTAGAGTGCTCAGTGGCCATCCCAGCTCCAGTACAGCCCAAGCGGTTCTCCACGTCTAAGATTCCTACTGCTCCACTATCCCAGGTAGCCACCTTAATGCCCACTTCTCATACTCCATTGCCCTCTGGACTCAAAGACTGTGGTAACGACGTTGAGATTGAACAACTAAAACTTGAAATTGCTCAGCTAACAGACACTGTTCAGCTTCTCAGTGAAGAATTGATAGGAGTCAAGGACGAAAAGATTCAATTTGAAGCGGAGGTTGAACAGATCATCAAAGGCAAAGACGCTGAAATTGCGCGATTAACTCTTCTGTTAGACTCCCCTTCCAAAGCTAAGCTAGTTGTTTCACATTCCACCAGTATGGAGCAGCCTCTATCTCCGAAGCTCACGGACAGATCTATTAGTGCTATTCATGACAGCGACTCTACTGCCTCTGTATCCAAGGGCCATGAGCTAGAGCATTCTCTTCAGCTATTCACACCGTTATTAACGAGTAAGTCTCCACATGACGCAACGGAAAAACAAGTCAAGCAGTTGCCAGAGGAGAACAGTAATCACCTCTCTATGGTTCAGCAGCAAGAGTCTGTAACAGAGCTAGTGCCGACTGCTAAGCAATATGTGCCGCCTCAATCGTGTGTAGAGATCCAAACTAGTATGCTGGTTTCAGATGCATGTCTCTCCACCTCAACACAACTGGTACAGCTGCCCCCGTCCCCACTTCTATCATCAAATATAATTCAGACATCCTTCGTGGACGCTAAGCCAGAGCTCTTCGAGACTTCCGTGCAGACTCTCCACGTTGAGTCAGAAGAGATACATAAGCTTAAGGAGGAGCATATGGAGGTAGTAATGAGGTATGACGAGCTTAAAAAGAAAGAATTACTGCTAACTCAGGTTATCGAAGATAACCAGCTTTTGACAGAAAGAATAGGGGTCTACGAAGAAGAACTCAACCACTGTCGTGACTCAGTCATGGAAATGAACCATGAAAATTTACATTTGAAACAGATCACGGAGACACTAAGGCTAGATAGAGACACCCTCATGACCAGCTACCAAGAACTACGAGCGGCCTTTGACGAGGTAACCGCTCTTAAGAATACACAGGATTCGCAGATAGATGAATTGAGAAACCTTCTATCTGCACAATCACACGCCTTCCATGCAGAGCTGGATAGCAAGACGCGTGCGGTGGAGGGCCTTACTGAAGAAAAGCACATGAAAGAGATTCAGATTAGTACACTAGAGCATAAGTTGGACCTTGCAACTACTGACATGGTCAATAAACGCATGCTAGAGACAGAGAAGATGACTAATGAAGAGCTTCAAGCAAGACTCAGTGCCCTTGATCAAGAGATCTTTGCCTTAAAGAGAGATAATCTTGAGCTAGCACATGATAAAAAGGCAGTCGAAGATACCTTGTCACAAACGCGACAGGACTTAATTTCGAAAGAGGTAAAGCTAGATTCTACCCTAATTCTTAATGAGGACCTTCTGAAAAGATTGGACGCCACTAACGAGAGTGTGGCAACAGCTAAGTCTAAAGTAATTGAATTAGAGGCCACACTTAAGGTTGTAACAGCTGAGAATAGCACCATGAAAAAGGCTCTAGATGAAGCTAAAGTTGCAATGGAAGATTCCGACAATCGTCTCAGGCATCTCTCCATAGAGCATTCGGAACTATTGGATCATCACCAAGTTCTTCGGTCTGAGTTAGACCTGCTTCGTAATGAAAATCACAAACTTTCAACAGAGCTGAGCAGAGCAACCTTAGATGCTAAACAGTCACTAGAGGACCAAATGAATAGAGAGCTCATGCATTTGCGCTCTGAGTTAGAGGTAAAGACTCTATCCATCAATAAAATTACAGACGAGCTTTCCTCCACTATTCGTTCCAAAGAGGATGAGATTAGTGAGCTGAAGCAAAAGGTTAAGAAGTATAAGACCGCATATATCGATTCAAAGAGTTTCAGCAGTGATGCCATTAAGGAAGCTACTGCACAAGAGCTTGCAAAGTATGAGCATGGATTGGAGATCGCGCACAAGGAGGTTCTAGAGCTTCGGATGGCCAATGCCGAGCTAAAGGCAGCTTTGGAAATTGTGCAATCCCGTAGCACAGAGGCAGAGGACCTAAAGCACAAGTCAAAGAAGTATAAGGATGGATATGTACGGAAGTGCAAGCAACTTGAGGAGCTTGAGAAAGAGCTCGAGGGTCTGAGAAAGGAACCCAAGACGATCAGCGCGCAATCACGGATAGTAACAAGTGCAGACGTATCCATTCAAACGTGTCCTGCAAGTCGTGACAGCAAAAAAGTAACTCCTGGCTCAGCATGTGCAACGTTAGCATGCGATGAGCCCCAACATGATGCCGAGTATGATAATATAGTTAATGACCTCAACACACGTCTCAATGAACAGATTCAAGAAACGTCGTATTTTAGGACTCGCGCAGAAGAGTATTTGAACAATTATAACATCGTGCGTGAGGAACTTCTATCAACGAGAGAACAACTAGAAGCACATATACGCGTTATTTTAGAAAAGGAAAACGAAATTGATGGGCTTAAGCTTCTTATTTCTAAACTCCAAGGAGAGTCACCTGATTTGCAGAAGGCCATGGAAGACGTTGCTCTTTCCGCTTTGAACATTGATGAGGAACAATATAATAATCTAATTGAGCAAGTTAATCGTAGCATAGAAACAAGCTTACTAAACAAGAGTGCCTCATTGAATACGTCTTTGATGGCAAATAGGTCTATTGGGATCGGCATCAATGAAAAGTCGTTAAATTACAATGAGGGAGAACAGTCGATCCGTTCTCAGCAGGCATGTCTTATGTCTCACTATACCATGGATGTCAGTAATGTGCATTCTGAACCTTCTAATCAAGAAGAACCGCACGATATTATCAACGAACATAAGTCTCTATCTGATAATGCCAGTGACATTCGGAATTTGCAGTACGAGAACAGTCAGCTATCGGCTGAGTTGAGTCAAATCAAAGAGGCATACAGAGCACTGGTGTATCAGAATAATGCTGATACTAGTGCAGAGGCCCCGTCGCTAAGTAAGCTGTCAGGTTACACAGACCTTATGACTGCTGTCCTAAAACGAGATCGAGTAGGGCTTTCAGTCTATATTGACCAAGCAGGAATGACAACTCCTGATGGAAAGACTGCCCTCATGGTTGCTGCTGAGTGTAACAATCTTGATGCCGTGACACGGCTACTTAGTTCTGAGGCAGGAATGGTCAGTAAGGCGGGGGAGACAGCCCTTAGTATAAGCCTACATAATAGTCACTTCGCCATCGCAGATCTCCTTGTGAAGAGGGAAGGGATAAATACAGCAGGTGTTCCTGTCTTAAGGAGAGCCAAAGGCAATTGTACAGAGAGTCTTGCGACTAGCTCTCTTAGTATCACCACCTTGATGACGCCTGATAATGGCCTTACAGACCTAATGATGGCTGTCCAGCGCAATGATATTGTTGCTGTCTACTGCCTGCTGCCGCTCCAAGCAGGAGTTCAAGACCGAAATGGCTATACGGCACTCATGTATGCTGCGGAAAAAGGAGCGTATCCCATTGTTCGCATCTTGGCCGAATTGGGAGATGAAGCGGGGAAACAAAATTTACAGGGCGGATCTGCCCTGATGTTGGCAGCCCGCAATGGCCACCTCTCAATCTGCCAGTTTCTAGCAGACAAAGAATGCGGTCTTGTCGGGTCTCCCGATTCACTGTTAGCTCCCCATCAAACTGCATTGATGTTAGCGTGTTTCTATGGGCACTTGTCCATTGTGCGTCTTCTTTTCCACAAAGAAAAATCTATAGTCAGCACCAGTGGAAAGACGGCCCTTTCCTATGCAAGATACCCCTGTAGTAGCGTTGATTTTAAGACGCGAGCAAAGGTTTTATCCTATGTGGAGTCAAACATGTAAATACTCCTCGATTGTGAAGTGGCAAGACCTTATGTAAAGTCATAAAAACATGGTACTAACTCCCGATCAATCGACTGCCATCATACACCTCCCGGTTTAAGGAGATTCCAGAGTTCTAGCAAGAAGTTATAAGTTGCGATAAAGTTCAAAATTTAAAATTAGAGTAAGCTATGGACGACCCAGAGCGCTGGTTTGACGCTATTGTGTCGCGTGACTACCACACAGTCCAGGAAGGCATCTCCTTGTTTGCTGGGACCCAGAATGCAGACGGGCTTACGGGTCTGATGCTCGCAGTACAAAACGATGATCCGAAAATGGTCAGACTATTAGTTGAGCAAGAAGCAAAGCTTACAAACAATGATGGGGACAATGCGCTCATGCTGGCCGCTAAGCTGGATGTATCGTCGTGCATTCCAATTCTCCTCCCCTATCTTTCAGATTGCCGAAGAGATGACTCCGTGACTCCTCTAATGGTTGCAGCAGAAGCAGGAAGTATACACGCGCTCCGTGTTCTATTCTTCCATTACGGGAACGAGTCTGATAACATGGGACTAACTGCGTTGGACTATGCGTCGAGGGCCGGACATCATGAGTGTGTGGAGAGTCTACTGCATGAGTGTCCCTTTGACACATCAGCACGAATGGCAGCTGCAGAAAATGCTCAAGCAAATGGACATGACAGCCTTGCTCTTTACATAATGAACATCACTGACAAGAAGGATTCTGATGCGTCAGCCATTGAAGCTCTTGCTGCTGACAAGGATGCTGAAATCGAGAGACTTCAGGCTCTTTTGCAGGAGCTTGAGGGCCGTAACTCTGAGCTAGTTGTGAACCTCTCCAGCGCCCGAGATGAAGTAGTGGAGTTAAAGGAACAAAGGGACACACTCACTGGTCAGGAAGAGTGCTTGCGTAGAGAGGTGCAAGAGCTAACAGATAAGCTGAGTGATGCAACTCACCAAGTGGCAGAGCTGTTGGAGAAGAATGGTCAGCAGAACTCCATTGATGATCTTTCTGCTCAACTAGCAGAGCAATCTGCAATTCAAGAGAAGCTTCAGGCAGAGGTGAATGATCTGAGGGCAGAAAATGACCAACTGTTATGTACTTTGAAGAATACCGAGAACACTTTAGTAGACACAGAAAACAGGCTTGCAAACAAAACATTAGAGCATGGGGAGAAGAGTGCAGAGCTGGACGCTAAGCAGATTGAAATAGTAGCGCTCCAGGAAGCTCTTAGAGATGCCAAGGACAAGTGCAATGTCTTAGAACAAAAACTAGAGGAGACAGAGCAATCACTCAAGAAAGAAAATATGTTCAAGGCAATTGCAGACATAGAGTCAGCAATTGGTAACAACGCTACACAGAATGAGTCTAATGAGGCAGAACTAAGTGACCTTAGACAGGAGCGTGATGAGCTGCAAATGCAGGTAGAGACACAAGAAACTCAGCTGAAGCTGTTGAAAGGAAAGCTAGATCGTCTAACGGCGAAAAACGAAAGCCTTGAACAGAAATATCAGTCGCTTAATCTTGAGTTTAGGCTCCAATCCGAGCAGCTCAGTGAAACCAAGGATCTTCTTCGCATAACAGAGAAGAAGCTTCATAGTGCTACGTCTGCACAACCGCGTCCAGGGAGCACAAAAGATGAAGGCAATCATACAGAATCGCACCATTGTGCTACACTTGAAAATGTGCGCACTGAGACTCCTGATGCAGAGGCTGCAGTGCACAAGAGTTTTGGTAGCCACGGAGGCACTGATTCGATGTTGGTGAAGAGCGGTCTTATCGATATGAATGTGCCCCCGGCACGTAGCGTGGGGATTGATTTGGAGAAAGAAACAGATACTGCAGAGAACCGACAACAGCACATCAATGAACTAAAGATTGTGGAAGACTGTCTACAACGCACCATTGACGAAAAGAAACAAATACTCGCGGCACTCGATAGTAGCCTTGCTCACTCAAAGTCGCAAGAGTCGGCTCTCAAAAAGCAGAAGAAGCAGCTTGATAATGTCGTGAACCGCCTGGAAACCCTAGAAAAGGAGAACGAGAAGATGAAGAAGGCTGCGAAGGCGCAGCCTTCAGCCATTAGCCGGAATGTTCGGTCTGTCTCAGCCGCAGCCAAGGTCGTTGCTGCAATTGCTAGAATAACTGAGGAAGAAACCTTCAACCATGACATCGTGGTCAAGGCCTTGGTGGACACCACAACAAAGCTCGAGGAGCAGATAGACGAACTAGCTGAGGAAAACGAAAAGCTCAAACACGAGCTGACCAATGCTATCGGCGGAGAGCTGCAGATGGTTGAGGACAAAAAGGGTTCCGCGGCTAATGCTAGTAGGAATTCTGTGCGCTCGTCATCGAAATCGCGTTCTCGATCCAGTGCCTCTTCTTCCAAGCATGTGTCTTCTTCGCATAAATCCTCGCAAAAGACCTCCAAGGTTTCGGCTTCGCACCACATAGAGTTTTATGACACAGACAACCACGTTGCTCCAAAGCTGGAGGAGAGATCTAAGGGAGCACTTAAGATGACGTTCGGACTATCGGGCGAACAAGCTAGCGCGTTACTAGAGGCACGATTGGCTACATACACTCCTCTTATGAGAGCCATTATGAAAGGCAAGGCATCAGACATCGAAGCTAACCTGGAGTATGCCGGACAAGTTGCCCCAGATGGCAAGACGGCACTTATGCTTGCGGCTGAATACAATAGAGTGAGCTCCGTGCCTCTTCTGTTGGAAAAAGAAGCTGGGATAAAGGATTCATCAGGGCAAATGGCAATCCACATTGCCCTTCACCGAGGACACTACGAAGTTGCAGAGAAGCTGCGCAAGGCTGAGGGCCTTGAAGTAGAACCCATCGAGCGCGTGAACGGAACAAGGACACAGCTCATGTCTGCGGCCGAGAACAATGATGTTTACGCAGTGTGGTCTCTTATACCAACGCAGGGCGCGCTGCAGGATGCCGAGGGGATTACCGCTCTTATGCTGGCTGCAGGCGCAGGCCATAAACAGATAGTTGCTCTGCTGATAGGAAGTGAGGCTAAGATTCAGACTGCATGGGGCACAACAGCCCTCATGTGGGCTTGCCAGTTTGGCCACATAGACTGCGTTCGTATGCTTATCCCTAAGGAGATTCGGCTTCGCGACAGAAGGGGCAGATCCGCTCTTCATTATGCCACAGAAGCCGCTAGACATGCCAATGCAGAGATTAAGAAGTCAATCGAGGCCCTGCTTCGCCAGCACATTGGATGACTCTTCAATAAACGATCATTTACAGTTTCATCAGCGTGGAGATATACCAAGTGAGGCCCGTGCCCTTTATCTTGTAGTCCTCAACCTCCTTGTTTGTGGAGACTTCGCCGCGTGCAACTTTAGCCATCCAGCCCGCCCAATACATGGTGTTGGGGCCGGTCGAAACCATCGGCACTAGCTTTGCCAGCTGATAAATGATGGACGCAGAGAACTTGGAAAGTGGCAGCCCTCCACGGATGATGCGTGTCGTGCTTTCGTCAAACGGCTGGGGGAGGCAGAATGCGCGGCCAAAGCCAACCAGATCCACCTTGGACTCACTAATTGCCTTGTCTGCCATCTCCGCAGATGTGAATCGTCCTGTAACCATAACCTTGCAACCCGACTTGGTAGTTTCTAGGGCTTGCCTGAAAATGGTTCCAAAGTCCAGAGTGAAGTGTCCAGCCGAGGACATCATCACAGGCTTGCTATAGCTCCCAGCTGAAAACTCGATGAAATCAAGGAGGATTGCTTCGTCATTAGCGATCGCAATAAGGTTATCACTGTACTCCTTGACAGACAAATCCGTGTCGGGAATGTTAATTTTAACGCCCAAAATAGAACTAGACCCGATTTTCGCTCGACATGCTTCTAGAGTCTTTCTAAACACAGCCCAGCCTCCATTGGTGACTATATCACTCATCAGATATCCATGAGCTGTGTGAAGTTGGACCCCGTCGTACCCACATTTGTGGACCACACATTCAGCCGTCTGGCTATACTCCTCCACGAGCTCGTTCAGAATAGGCGAATTGGCAGCATCTCCCTTTTCAAAGAATGGAAGCTCATCCTTGATGCATAGAGGTTTGGGGAACATCAGCGAGAGCCCTGGACATGCGCGGTCGTAAAAGGAGATGGCCTTGCCTTTGTAGTGAGACTTGCTATCTTCAGTGAAGTTGGCCTTCAAGACTTTTTTCGGTATCTGTCTTCCGCAGTGGTTTATTTGCGCCAGCAACTTGACATCAGGGTTCCCTTTGCGTGAGGCCTCTACAGTTTTCTTGAGCTGAGATATCAAGGGTGTCTCAGCATTCTCAAAGTCGCTCTTAGAGAAGCAAACGTTCCCCAGTTCTCCTCGTCCTTCCCTCGAAACCATCATGTGGCCCGAAATCACTAGACCGACGCCTGGCTGACTTGCAAAATGTTTATAAAGGTTGATGTACTCGGGAAGGGGGATGCCATGATCGTCCGAAAGGTGCTCACTCAGGGCAGACTTTGCATACCTGCCCGGAAGCGTCTGGCCGCAGTTGAGCTGCACGGTGGAGGGCAAAGACATTTCTTTTTAGAATACTTTAAGCAGAAACTTAATAAATTTAATATAATTTTGGAAACGTGCACGGCTGAAAATCAGTAAACTCACGGGGTCACATCACGGAGCAGCCTTTCTTGTCCCCGTGTGCGTTATTCTTTTGGGACTCCCCTGTCTTAAGTTTTGTCAAACTTATGGACTTGGCCAGACAAAACTTCATATATTGCTGATTGGGATTCACAATGTTATCCACAAAATTGAACAAGAGGTCCTCCATGTTGTAGTTCTCTTTTGCACTGCAGCGTAGGCAGATGGATCCGCTCTTTGCGGCAACGGCCTGCAATTCGACGTTTGTGGGAACCAAGCGATCATAGTCTCCGTCATCCTTGTTGAAGACCAGTAAGATAACTAGTTCTGGGCGCTTGGCGCGAATGCACTCAGCGCCCCTGGCTGCAGTAGCTATAGACTCCTTATCATTGATATCACAAACAAAGATGACGCCTTGCATATCTGTGAGGAGCTGAAAAATTTCATCGGAGTCCAGTGCCCCGAGGCGCGGGTAGTCAAACAAGCGGATCCCAATGGATAACTCCTGATAGCTATAAATGCCTGAAACCTTGTTAATGGAGTCGTCGCGTATGTCGCCGCTCAGAGTATTCATCAAACAGGACAATCTGCGGATGATCGTTGTTTTTCCCACCTTTTTGTCGCCTATTATACATCCTTGGATAATCCGCTCTATTGTGTAGTACTGAAACTCATTTTCGCCAGTCGCGCCAAGACTCATTTTTATCTCATACTGATTTTTTAGCGTTAAATAATTTTAAGTCATTGGTTTATAATGCTGCACAAGATTTCAATTGCACAGGTCAGCTGTGTCTTATGCATGTGACAGTCCTTGGCGCACATGGTTAGCTCCACGAGTGGCCTGTAATCCATTTTTGATATTCGAGCTTACTCTCTGGCAACGTGGCATCGCTAGCAATGATCGAGCAGGATGCACAAGTGTAAGTCTATACCATCCATTGCCCATGCAAAACACGTGGCTAGTCGCCGAGCTCATTGGTCTGCTGCTCCTCGCAGACAGTGAGCAGAGCAGGTGTCTAGTGCACACAACTAGTGTAGGCAACGACTACAACGAAGAGAGGTGCAGAGCCCAGCTACCTGTGTGAGCATGAAAAAGATAATAAGCGTACGGTAATATTAGCTGGCGTATTTGCTATCTGAATGAGTATTGTGTCGTGGTTTCCCGCAGCGGAGAAACCACCACAGAAGAAGCCGGCAGGATCACCGGTGATAAACATAGCAAAGGTAAGATTGTACGAGGGTCAGTCCTCTGAATACATTTGTGCAGAGAACCACCGAGGGAATCAGAACAGATACAAGTGGGCTAGAGGCTTTGCTATTGAAACAGGAACCTGCTACGTCAACGATGAAAGCCCGTTCTTGGCTTCAGAGGCAGAGTCATGGCAGTAGCTAGCCACTGAATGGTGACACATCCATTAGAGCTCGTTATTCTCAACGCATTGATCTACAATTAGGTTGGTGGTAGTCCATAGTTTTACTGTTGCAATCCTTCGAAGAGCAGATGCGAGTCGATAACCGAGTGTAGGTTCCGGCTAATGTTGCTAGGGCTTCTTCTATTTTGTACAGTAGCACGGGCAAACTGCAAGGCTGGGAACACGCCGTCGGCGAACGGGCAGACGTGCGTCCCAAACGCAGATCAATGCGAGGACCCCTTGACCACCGCGGGCTGTGCGACCTGCACCGGCACGGGTAGCGCACAAACCTGCCTCACCTGCTCGTCCTCAAAGAAGGTCAGGCCGGACAAGAAGGGCTGCATCGCTTCGTGCCCTCCGAGCGTGACCACAGAAAATAGTGGGGTCTGCGAGTGCACGCCTGGGAACAAGCCCTCGTCGGACGGGACGACGTGCGTCCCAAACGCAGATCAATGCGAGGACCCCTTGACCACCGCGGGCTGTGCGACCTGCACCGGCACGGGTAGCGCACAAACCTGCCTCACCTGCTCGTCCTCAAAGAAGGTCAGGCCGGACAAGAAGGGCTGCATCGCTTCGTGCCCTCCGAGCGTGACCACAGAAAATAGTGGGGTCTGCGAGTGCACGCCTGGGAACAAGCCCTCGTCGGACGGGACGACGTGCGTCCCAAACGCAGATCAATGCGAGGACCCCTTGACCACCGCGGGCTGTGCGACCTGCACCGGCACGGGTAGCGCACAAACCTGCCTCACCTGCTCGTCCTCAAAGAAGGTCAGGCCGGACAAGAAGGGCTGCATCGCTTCGTGCCCTCCGAGCGTGACCACAGAAAATAGTGGGGTCTGCGAGTGCACGCCTGGGAACAAGCCCTCGTCGGACGGGACGACGTGCGTCCCAAACGCAGATCAATGCGAGGACCCCTTGACCACCGCGGGCTGTGCGACCTGCACCGGCACGGGTAGCGCACAAACCTGCCTCACCTGCTCGTCCTCAAAGAAGGTCAGGCCGGACAAGAAGGGCTGCATCGCTTCGTGCCCTCCGAGCGTGACCACAGAAAATAGTGGGGTCTGCGAGTGCACGCCTGGGAACAAGCCCTCGTCGGACGGGACGACGTGCGTCCCAAACGCAGATCAATGCGAGGACCCCTTGACCACCGCGGGCTGTGCGACCTGCACCGGCACGGGTAGCGCACAAACCTGCCTCACCTGCTCGTCCTCAAAGAAGGTCAGGCCGGACAAGAAGGGCTGCATCGCTTCGTGCCCTCCGAGCGTGACCACAGAAAATAGTGGGGTCTGCGAGTGCACGCCTGGGAACAAGCCCTCGTCGGACGGGACGACGTGCGTCCCAAACGCAGATCAATGCGAGGACCCCTTGACCACCGCGGGCTGTGCGACCTGCACCGGCACGGGTAGCGCACAAACCTGCCTCACCTGCTCGTCCTCAAAGAAGGTCAGGCCGGACAAGAAGGGCTGCATCGCTTCGTGCCCTCCGAGCGTGACCACAGAAAATAGTGGGGTCTGCGAGTGCACGCCTGGGAACAAGCCCTCGTCGGACGGGACGACGTGCGTCCCAAACGCAGATCAATGCGAGGACCCCTTGACCACCGCGGGCTGTGCGACCTGCACCGGCACGGGTAGCGCACAAACCTGCCTCACCTGCTCGTCCTCAAAGAAGGTCAGGCCGGACAAGAAGGGCTGCATCGCTTCGTGCCCTCCGAGCGTGACCACAGAAAATAGTGGGGTCTGCGAGTGCACGCCTGGGAACAAGCCCTCGTCGGACGGGACGACGTGCGTCCCAAACGCAGATCAATGCGAGGACCCCTTGACCACCGCGGGCTGTGCGACCTGCACCGGCACGGGTAGCGCACAAACCTGCCTCACCTGCTCGTCCTCAAAGAAGGTCAGGCCGGACAAGAAGGGCTGCATCGCTTCGTGCCCTCCGAGCGTGACCACAGAAAATAGTGGGGTCTGCGAGTGCACGCCTGGGAACAAGCCCTCGTCGGACGGGACGACGTGCGTCCCAAACGCAGATCAATGCGAGGACCCCTTGACCACCGCGGGCTGTGCGACCTGCACCGGCACGGGTAGCGCACAAACCTGCCTCACCTGCTCGTCCTCAAAGAAGGTCAGGCCGGACAAGAAGGGCTGCATCGCTTCGTGCCCTCCGAGCGTGACCACAGAAAATAGTGGGGTCTGCGAGTGCACGCCTGGGAACAAGCCCTCGTCGGACGGGACGACGTGCGTCCCAAACGCAGATCAATGCGAGGACCCCTTGACCACCGCGGGCTGTGCGACCTGCACCGGCACGGGTAGCGCACAAACCTGCCTCACCTGCTCGTCCTCAAAGAAGGTCAGGCCGGACAAGAAGGGCTGCATCGCTTCGTGCCCTCCGAGCGTGACCACAGAAAATAGTGGGGTCTGCGAGTGCACGCCTGGGAACAAGCCCTCGTCGGACGGGACGACGTGCGTCCCAAACGCAGATCAATGCGAGGACCCCTTGACCACCGCGGGCTGTGCGACCTGCACCGGCACGGGTAGCGCACAAACCTGCCTCACCTGCTCGTCCTCAAAGAAGGTCAGGCCGGACAAGAAGGGCTGCATCGCTTCGTGCCCTCCGAGCGTGACCACAGAAAATAGTGGGGTCTGCGAGTGCACGCCTGGGAACAAGCCCTCGTCGGACGGGACGACGTGCGTCCCAAACGCAGATCAATGCGAGGACCCCTTGACCACCGCGGGCTGTGCGACCTGCACCGGCACGGGTAGCGCACAAACCTGCCTCACCTGCTCGTCCTCAAAGAAGGTCAGGCCGGACAAGAAGGGCTGCATCGCTTCGTGCCCTCCGAGCGTGACCACAGAAAATAGTGGGGTCTGCGAGTGCACGCCTGGGAACAAGCCCTCGTCGGACGGGACGACGTGCGTCCCAAACGCAGATCAATGCGAGGACCCCTTGACCACCGCGGGCTGTGCGACCTGCACCGGCACGGGTAGCGCACAAACCTGCCTCACCTGCTCGTCCTCAAAGAAGGTCAGGCCGGACAAGAAGGGCTGCATCGCTTCGTGCCCTCCGAGCGTGACCACAGAAAATAGTGGGGTCTGCGAGTGCACGCCTGGGAACAAGCCCTCGTCGGACGGGACGACGTGCGTCCCAAACGCAGATCAATGCGAGGACCCCTTGACCACCGCGGGCTGTGCGACCTGCACCGGCACGGGTAGCGCACAAACCTGCCTCACCTGCTCGTCCTCAAAGAAGGTCAGGCCGGACAAGAAGGGCTGCATCGCTTCGTGCCCTCCGAGCGTGACCACAGAAAATAGTGGGGTCTGCGAGTGCACGCCTGGGAACAAGCCCTCGTCGGACGGGACGACGTGCGTCCCAAACGCAGATCAATGCGAGGACCCCTTGACCACCGCGGGCTGTGCGACCTGCACCGGCACGGGTAGCGCACAAACCTGCCTCACCTGCTCGTCCTCAAAGAAGGTCAGGCCGGACAAGAAGGGCTGCATCGCTTCGTGCCCTCCGAGCGTGACCACAGAAAATAGTGGGGTCTGCGAGTGCACGCCTGGGAACAAGCCCTCGTCGGACGGGACGACGTGCGTCCCAAACGCAGATCAATGCGAGGACCCCTTGACCACCGCGGGCTGTGCGACCTGCACCGGCACGGGTAGCGCACAAACCTGCCTCACCTGCTCGTCCTCAAAGAAGGTCAGGCCGGACAAGAAGGGCTGCATCGCTTCGTGCCCTCCGAGCGTGACCACAGAAAATAGTGGGGTCTGCGAGTGCACGCCTGGGAACAAGCCCTCGTCGGACGGGACGACGTGCGTCCCAAACGCAGATCAATGCGAGGACCCCTTGACCACCGCGGGCTGTGCGACCTGCACCGGCACGGGTAGCGCACAAACCTGCCTCACCTGCTCGTCCTCAAAGAAGGTCAGGCCGGACAAGAAGGGCTGCATCGCTTCGTGCCCTCCGAGCGTGACCACAGAAAATAGTGGGGTCTGCGAGTGCACGCCTGGGAACAAGCCCTCGTCGGACGGGACGACGTGCGTCCCAAACGCAGATCAATGCGAGGACCCCTTGACCACCGCGGGCTGTGCGACCTGCACCGGCACGGGTAGCGCACAAACCTGCCTCACCTGCTCGTCCTCAAAGAAGGTCAGGCCGGACAAGAAGGGCTGCATCGCTTCGTGCCCTCCGAGCGTGACCACAGAAAATAGTGGGGTCTGCGAGTGCACGCCTGGGAACAAGCCCTCGTCGGACGGGACGACGTGCGTCCCAAACGCAGATCAATGCGAGGACCCCTTGACCACCGCGGGCTGTGCGACCTGCACCGGCACGGGTAGCGCACAAACCTGCCTCACCTGCTCGTCCTCAAAGAAGGTCAGGCCGGACAAGAAGGGCTGCATCGCTTCGTGCCCTCCGAGCGTGACCACAGAAAATAGTGGGGTCTGCGAGTGCACGCCTGGGAACAAGCCCTCGTCGGACGGGACGACGTGCGTCCCAAACGCAGATCAATGCGAGGACCCCTTGACCACCGCGGGCTGTGCGACCTGCACCGGCACGGGTAGCGCACAAACCTGCCTCACCTGCTCGTCCTCAAAGAAGGTCAGGCCGGACAAGAAGGGCTGCATCGCTTCGTGCCCTCCGAGCGTGACCACAGAAAATAGTGGGGTCTGCGAGTGCACGCCTGGGAACAAGCCCTCGTCGGACGGGACGACGTGCGTCCCAAACGCAGATCAATGCGAGGACCCCTTGACCACCGCGGGCTGTGCGACCTGCACCGGCACGGGTAGCGCACAAACCTGCCTCACCTGCTCGTCCTCAAAGAAGGTCAGGCCGGACAAGAAGGGCTGCATCGCTTCGTGCCCTCCGAGCGTGACCACAGAAAATAGTGGGGTCTGCGAGTGCACGCCTGGGAACAAGCCCTCGTCGGACGGGACGACGTGCGTATCAGAGACGGCCTGCAATACTCCCAACTGTAAGACCTGTGACAACCCCAAAACAGACAACGAAATCTGCACTGAATGTAATGACGGCGATTACCTCACCCCGACAAAGCAGTGCACGCAGAGCTGCGGAGCAATAGGAAGCTACTATGATGGAGACAAAGCGTGCGAGCCTTGTGATCCTAGCTGTGCTGGGTGCACCACAAAGGGGCCAGCGAAGTGCACGCTGTGTCCTCCCGGGAAGAGGCTCCAGTACACCAATGATGATCCTAATCAAGGTGGATCTTGTGTAGATGAGTGCAAAGCAGAGGTGGACGGGTGTGCAGAGTGTGGAGCGGTAATCGGCGGTACGAAGTACTGTTCAAAATGCAAGGAAGATAAGTGGGCACCTCAGAATGGCGTGTGCGCTAATTCAGTAACAAGGAATTCATTCTGCACGAACGCAGCAGGTGGCGTATGCACTCAGTGTGCTGCAGATCATTTCCTTCAAGATGGAGGCTGCTATAAACTCGGCAGACAACCTGGCATACAGATATGCACACTAGCTGATAGCAATGGTGGATGTCAGACGTGCGCCAATAGTCTTCAGCCCAATGATGGAGCATGCCCCTCGTGTCATTCGACCTGCAAGACATGCTCGACTGCAGATAGCTCTGATAAGTGTACGTCATGCGCAGCTGGGTACTATATGGTCGGGTCAGGGCCAAACACATGTATTTCGTGTGACAGCAACAGTGGAAGTGTCAAGGGAGTTGCTGGCTGCATGAGCTGCGCTCCTCCACCTAATAATCAAGGATCTGTCGTCTGCTACCTCATAAATGATAGCGGTAGCACAAACAAGAGTAGCGGGCTCTCCACGGGGGCTATCGCGGGGATCTCCGTCGCTGTGGTCGTCGTCGTGGGGGGCCTCGTGGGCTTCCTCTGCTGGTGGTTCCTCTGCAGGGGGAAGGCGTGACTTAGGTAGTGAATGCTGTACAATGTGTGATAGTGTGTGATAGAAGGTGATAGTGGGTGATAGTGGGTGATAATGGGTGATAGTGGAGTGTGATATGCACAGCAGCCAGTGATGGACTGTGCACTGCTTGTAAGGCAGATAACAAGTACATATTCCAGAACCCTGATGCAACACCGAAGCCTGGTAGCGAGTGCATCTTGTGCTGGGATACTACAGATAGAAACGGGGTCATGGGAGTGGCCAACTGCGCACAGTGTCAGGCACCACAGAGTGCAGGAGTAGTTACATGTACAGAGTGTGCTGCCGGATCATACAAATCACCCAATACCAACGAATGCAAAGTCTGCGATAAAGCTTGTCTGACTTGCAGCGGTGAGGGCGCAACTAAGTGCACTCTCTGTGCGAGCGGGAAATATCTCGATGGGAACAATTGTGTAGAGGCTAGCAGTTGTAATGGAGATAAGTACCCCGACCCAAGCACTGGGAAGTGCACAGCCTGTAACGGTGCAGCAGATCAGGGGGGCATACCAGAGTGCACTGCTTGCACGTACGATGCAAAGCTACAGAAGCCGGTGTGCAGTGCCTGTAACGGTAAGAAGGTGAAGACAGAGCTGGATGGGACAACAACCTGTGTTGATATGAGCTCTGGATGCCAAGATGATTATCATTTCAAAGATGGTGATACTGCGTGCCTTTTGTGTGGTGATGAATCTAAGGGAGTTCCTAATTGTGCAACCTGTACTGCAGCACAACAATGCACTAAGTGCCTTCCGGGCTTCTTTAAGACTAGTGATACAGCTTGTGATGCTTGTGGTGATAACTGTGCCACATGTTCTGTTGCTGGTGATCCAAATAAGTGTGATACATGCATGCCGGGATACTTCTTGGTAACTACTACAGATCCACAGGGGAAGAAGTGCGTTGCTTGTAGTGATACAACCAATGGGGGCCACGAAGGCTGTAGTCTATGTTCTAACAATAATGGGTTCAAGTGCACTGACTGTAAGCCCAACTATAAGAAGCAGTCCAATGAAGATGCAAATGATGACTATACATGTGTGAAGACCTGCGAGGACCCCACGGCTTGTGGTGGTACTTCTGGTGCCTGCGATGCCATGATAATAGATGATAAGGGCAATGCAAAGCACTACTGTTCCTATTGTGGAGATAGTTCACAAGCTCCTATAGATGGTATATGCACTAGTGATAGTGGTAAGAAGGGAGCTAATACTTGTGACAGTCATACATGCACACAGTGTACTGCTGATTACTTCTTGTACATGAATGGCTGTTATAAGGTTGGTCAAGTACCAGGTAGTCATATGTGCAAGAAAGCAGATAGTAGTGGGATATGCACAGAAGCGGCAAGTAATAAGTACTTCGTAGTACCAGAGGCACAGGCTACTGATCAGTCTGTGCTAGCTTGTGGCAATCCTCTAGGCACACTAGTAGATCCTCAAGGTACTGCTAAGGCATATGTGGGGGTCGAGGGCTGCTCACAATGTAAGGCCCCGACAGCTCCATCTGATGGTGGTATGACCCCCGCTGTCTGTACCTCCTGTGACAATAGTAAGGTGCCCAACAAGGGTGGCAGTGGGTGTGTGCTGTGCTCTGACACCAACTGCAAGAGCTGTGTGGTGGATAATATATGTGAAGAGTGTAAGGACGGGCTCTACTTCAAAGCTGGTGAGACACCCAGCTGTGTCAGTGCAGAGGAGTGTAAGGATGGATTCTTCCCCACGACCGATGCACAGGGCAAGAAGGTGTGCGCTAAGTGCAGCGATACTGCTAATGGTGGCATAGCCGACTGTGCAAAGTGCTCTCTCAAGGCAGCGTCTGCAAGAGCAGGTCCAATAGTTACGTGCTCTGGGTGTGAGACCAAAAGACTGAGCCCCCTTAATGATGCATGTCTGGAGGAGTGCCCTGCCGGCACATATCCCGATAATCGTGACAGTACCGGCATTTGCGCTTCCTGTCACAATACATGCGCAAGCTGTAGTACTAACGCAGAAACGTCGTGTACGGCCTGCTATCCGGGGTATGTGCTGAGTCGGTCATCTGATGACACAGGAACGTGCATAAAAGAGTGCACGGGAGACTTTATGGCCCACTGCAAGGCCGACGGCTGCTCACTGAACGTCGGAGGCTCGAAGTACTGCGATCAGTGCGAGGAGGGGTACGCCCCAGTCGACGGCGTCTGCACATCCATACCTGCAACAGCGAGGGATGCCTCCGGATGTAAGGCAAGTGGCGGGAAATGCACTGAGTGTGGAGCAAACTACGCTCTGTTATCGGGCGGATGCTACAACACACAGAAGCTTCCTGGTAGCTCTGTATGTACGGCTGCACAGAATAAGGGACAATGCCAAACGTGTGCCAATGGACAAAGCCCAGCTGGAGGAAAATGTCCGGCGTGTACTGAAGGATGTGTGAAGTGTGCGGGTAGTAAGGAAACCTGCACAGATTGCTTAGCAGGGTATTACAAAACCACTGACAATAAATGCGTGAAATGCACAAGTAACAGTGGAACTGATGGCAATGCAATCACTAGTGTCAAGGGTTGCTTAAACTGTGTCCCTCCTATTGGTAGCAATACTGGCTCCGTCCTCTGCTACCTCATGAAAGATGGCAACAGTACTGGCAGAAGCACGAACAAGAGCAGCCTCTCCATGAGGACCATTATGGAAATCTCCGTCGCTATGGTCGCCATCGGTGCCTTGGTCGGTTTCCTTTGCTGGTGGTTCATTTTTAGGGGCAGACGCATCGATGCGTCCCCCAGTACTATGACGCTCATTCCCTCCAAGTCGATATAGGGTTGTCAAGCTTCATCGGTGTATGTCTAGTGATGCAGCAGTGCCTGCTCTACCTCAGCGGGTGCCGAGTATCACGTTCGGTGTTTGTAAACGGTTTTGCATCGGCCTTGCCTGCTCGCACTGTGCAGTACAAGCTGGAAAAGTCGTGTAAGAGACTGGAAGGGATACGTCCTCGTGCGTCGCGTGACACCCGAGCTCCTTCAACAAGTGTAGCTCTGCCTGTTCCCTACGAAGAGACAGAGGACCGGCTGCTTGGCTGGCAGAGGTGTGCTGTCTGGCTATCAGTGAACAGACTGAGTGCCGTTCAATGCCTCCTCAGGACCCCCATCAAGCGATTACGCGTTCTCCGTCGAGTTCATTTTGCGAATTAAAATGCCCCGCCCCTCCCTTCCTCTTCTGCCTCCAGGTCTGCCTGTGTGACACATCACCCATCCAGCACCAGGATGGAGAGCAGGGGCGCGCTGATCAGCACAGGTCCGTGACGCAGGAGGCTCCCATGGAGTGGTTCCATTTACAAGCTGGGCCCAGTGCAACGAGCCGGATCAAGAGAAGGACAGTGACAACAGGTATGTCTGCGTGAACGGCTGTGGATCAGACAGCACCGGGAAGTGCGTCCCCACGAGCAACTGTCCCTCCTAGAACACGGGCTGCTCGAGCTGTGACGTAGACAGCGAGTGCCTCTCGTACTCGAATAGCGCCAACAGCGTTCAGCCAAATAAGCGATTGTGCACCCCGGGCTGCCGGACAGGTGGAGTCCTTTGCGCCTTTCTGCACGTGCATGCGAGGATACAGCCTTAAGAATGACGACTGCGCCCCTCAGACCAGGAAGGCCGGCTCCACAACGATCATCGTCACCGTCCTCGCCCTGTGGTCCTTGCTCTTGTGTGCTGGTTTGTCCTGCGGCGACAGCAGGGATCGAAGGGGATCTAGACAGTAGAGACCAGGAGGCTCATGGCAATGATAGGTTTTGACTCTACAGCTGCGCGAGCCAGTTTATAGTGAGTGAATGCTTAGGATCCACATCGGGCCCGATAACTACTTGCAGATTGGCAGCAAGGTTCCACATTGGAGTCCTGAAGGGTTGTGAGGAAAAAAGTATCAACCACCTGGAGCTTTGGAGTAACCCAAAGATTATAAGCAGGCCAAGTGAGCGTGAGATGATAGATGCAATCGCGTACTAGCCAACCATAGACCCACAGCTCGCCGACCTCATACTGCTAAAATGAACGCTCACAGAACCACAACCCCCAGTGGAACCCGAGACCTGATGGCTGTTGTCACCGAATCGAATAGAAGCATCGTTAAAAAGGACAGTGACAAACTGAACTCCTGCTTGACATGAAGAAGAACCAAGAAGCAAGGCATCACTGGAAGTACACACTCACGTCGGGTATACACGCCACACAGAGAACTGAAGAATGCACTAGACCTGAGTATGCTATTAAAAGAAGCCTCTCATTATACTATCCACGACTAATTTTCATCTCATTTGCAGGCAGGGTCCCGACAACATAGCACCAGAAAAGTATATAGTATAGCTCCTTCATTCTTCTTCCTCTAATTACATCACTCTCGTAGTCAATGTAAGTAAGCAGATCATAATATGATGAAGGCAAACCAGATATAACAACCTCAATCTCCATATTGTTTGGATAAATGCAAAAGTAAAATCCCCTAGTTGGTTGTCCTATGTACAGCAGTTCCTTAGAGTATTTAATATCACATTTATAGCCTTATCCTGAATGGCAGGACGAAGGATAGGCATGGCATTACTGCGGGCATAGGCGACAGATACTGCACCCTGGGGTCGAGTCACCACTCTTTCTCTTTCCGTGCTGCTCTTTTTGATAGAGTTGAACGCAGATTGGACCACTTTATGAACATTTTTATGCTTGATCTGGTATCCTTGAACAGGTTGTAGAGGTAAATCTGGAAGGAGCGAGTTGGAAGGGTGCATAGCAGCACGAAACAAGCTTTCGTCTATTGGTACGTCATCTTCGATACAGCTATCTTCGCCAGTACTAGAGCAGGTATCAATGCTTTCCAGTAGATGAAGACTGGCATCTATGACATGATCGGTATCTGTATTATCAAGCACGCCTTCCTTATTAGTAGCGTTAACCTCTTGAGGATTGTCACATGACTCGGAAGTAGAGCTCTCAGTATCCCCCTCTAGTTTCTTCTCTATTAGTTTCATAGCTTTACAGCGCTCTCTCTCTGTTTCTACCAAAATGTTATCTTTGAGGAAACAGATGTCAGTAATAATGTTCTGTATGAGATAGTTGGCTTTTAGAAACCTTATAAGAAACTCGCGCCTTGAGACAGACAGGGGAATTTGGGTCCTGATCACAGACTCCACCATAACAGGGTCTTTGTCTGCACAAGAGCGGAGGATAAACATAGACTCATAGCTAGTCATCAACATCTGCGTCATGATGAGCTTTGCATGAAACAGCATTGTAAGACAATTGAGTAGGGTTAAGAAGCGTGTACCGTGGCATATATTGAAATACGAGGAGCTAGTTACAGAATCTGGAACAGATTGGTTGATAAATCTATTTGCCATGTGGTGCTTTGAAGTAGTGAGAGGAGAAGCCAAGTTTTGCTCTAGATTCAAATCAGACAGATATGCATCTAGATCAAGTAGCGTGTCAAATGCACAAACAGAAGAAGAGAAATTGCTGCTACTCCCATAATTCCTTGCACAACCTTTGGAGTCGGGCTGTGTACTATGAATATTCTCATATTTAAAGTAAAACGGAAGCAACCTGACAAATGATCCTGCAAATTCATAAATTGTCATGCGCAGAGACGGAGATTGAAGTAACGTATACAGATGGCTGTTAATGTCTTCCTCAAGGTACTTGGCACTATTGTAGTTAAGCTCCGGAGATGGAAGATGGGGGAGTAAGAACTGGAGGTCAGAGGACATAGACATTAGTATGGTTTTAAACAAGCTATCGGGAAACAGGCTTTTAACTTGATGAAGGAAATAAAGAACATCCAAGCGGCAGTCCTGAAGTATATCAAGCAGAAAGTATAGGGCGGCATCATAAGGACTCCATGAGCATACCTGCTCTTCTGTAATCGCTATCATTAATTCTGTTAGTGTCTTGGCGCAAAAGCTCATGCTAGGGGGATCCTGGAAAATAGGTCTGAATGCAAGCATACCATCACTAGCGATTGCTCGCCCAATTCGTTCTAGTTCTCTTTCACGAAGAGGTGTATCGCTAGAAATAGCATTACATTGCTTTCGAAAGGGTCTGTGGCTCAATAACTTATCAAGATTATCGTACTGAATGCATCCCAGTTGAGCGGAGCAGAGTGGGCAGAGATCCTTTGGTGTGATTAGTTTATTAACGTGTTGCGTTTCTTGGTTAAAGGTTTGTCGCGTAGAAAGGCTTTGAACTTCCCAACCATGCTTCAATGCTATCTTAGTTAAAGTGGTCATGACTCGTCCATCAAGATGCGGGTGTAGAACCATGGCTATTGGGTTAAAGTAGTACACATCGCCTATGCCCATTGCAGCTAAGCGAGCATTTTCATTCATCAGGTTTGCTGCCCATTCAACAGCCGCTTGAAGAAGCGAAGACAGCTCTTTTATAAGAATGCCTGGGAGATGCTGGCTAGTGCTTATAACAGGAACTCTAAACGTATATTCAAGACGTGAATAACAGTTATGCGCAAGAACAATTAAACACGTTTCCACATCTGGTCCACGCTGCTTTAGAGACGCTGCATAAAGGGTACACCAACTCATAGCCGGTGCCAGCCGGTCTTCCGTCCTCTGAAGCGACACCGGAGCTGAAGTAGTTGTAGGAAATTTACTTTGGGGTTATCGATATGGAAGGCAGCCTATCTTTCTAGCAGTATCTATCAGGAGATCCTCTGTGATGTGGGCCGACTTCAACCATGGGAATAGATATAAAAGCTCCAGCTGGATCTTGGTGCCAGACTTTTCACTGAGTATGCTCTTTAGATCGCTAGCCTTGACTAAACCTGCATTAGTCATAGCATGCTTCTTGAGCGTGGCTGTATAGCGTGATTTCACGTAATTAAGTTGATAGAAGGGAAAGTATTTGCTTTGAATAAGCTCATAATTTCCGTCATGGAGGAGAAGTGCCATCAGGAGCAGTCGGTCCTCCGCCTCTGAAAACCTCTTCTTTTGCAATATCTCTGGTACTACAGGTTTAGGTTGTGCTCCGATTGTGGGAGGGGCGGTGGAGACTGAAATCTTTGTCCGCCCAGAAGACAGTAACGAGTGTCTGTATGGTTCGAGTACGCCCGGTCCCCCTAGTGCTGAAAGCCCAGGCTGGCGCATTCTAACCAAAGAGTGATCTTGTGTAGAAGTGCTACTCGTGCTTGTGCAGAGACCTACTGACTCCTGCAACCGGCCCCAAACGGTTCGACAGATTCCTTCAGGCAGCGATGACCGCTTTGCCACATACGCCCAGGAGATTGGCGCCTGCTTCACCGGGCTAAGGAAGGCAGGAGCGACGGTGGTCAACGGCGGAGGCAGGTTTGGTGCCGGCCAATGGCCCACTTCGATCGATGGTAGGGCTGGAAGAGTTGCAGGAAGTGGCACGGAAAGGGGATCCAACCTAGCGGTCGCTTGAGCTGATTGTAAAACACTCTCGTTGATTGCTGTGAGTAGGAGAACAAGATCCTTATATGGCAACCCCGCGATCATGATTGGGAGCCCTGTTTTATCATCAACATAGCAAGAAGACTGCTCCGCTACACCTTCTGTGGTCTGCATTTAAAAGTAGGGCTAAGCAGCGACTGAAACAGCGTTACTTTACGCAATTTATAATCATTTTTGGTGAATTGGTGAAACTGATAGAAATATTTAGCACCGTTAATGCTAGAGTTGGTGGCATCGGACGGAAAGACATGGAAAGTTGGGGCTGCAGAGTTAGACGCGCTTCTTGCTAATCACAGGGAGTTGGTCGAGGACGGAAAACTCAAATTGGATTATCCCTCAGCCATAGTCGAGCACGTCGTGGAATGGATATCAACTTTTGGAAAAGGGTCCATATCATCGCAGGACGCACAGAAAAACAAAGAGCTACGGCAGCAGTTCTTCTTATTGCTGAGCAAAGAAGAGTTGCTATCTACATTGGAGATAGCGGAAAGAATTGGACTCAATAGTCTCTTAGATGGTGGTGCGCAATATGTGTCCGATCTTCTCTCCAATATGACAGATGCAGAAATGAAGGCATATCTTGATGTAGAGCGAGACCCCCTAAGTGCTGACGCTGAGGAGAAGGTCCATGAGCTGTTGAAATATGTTACAGAGGAATAGATTCAGAATAGAATGCGTATGCTTTCAGGAAGGCGCTTGGAAAACTCAAGTATCTTCGGCATTGGAACAACAAGCCTCCAACTACTTTGACGTTTAACGACGATCTTTCCATCAATGAGCTCGAAGATTGATGCTTGCATTAATTGATACATTTGCGTAGATAAGTGCGCTCCTTTTCCAGAGCTGAATGCGCTGATAACATTTGAAAGAGTAAACATGGGGCTGTTCTGACATCTGCAATAATCTATTATTGCACCCAAAAGATAGCATGCTTCATTCGAAAGACCCTCGAGCGCTTGCGCTTGCTGATCTGGATGAGAAGATTGAATATATAAAACTGCAGCATGGTTGAATGCATCTACAGAAGGCTTCTTGGGGCATCTCATAAAGCTCAAGTAGATCGCTGATGTCAATTGCAGATAGAGGTAGCAATCACGTATTAGAGAAACTATCCATGATAAGGTATCTTCTATCTCGGGAGACCTCAGAATTTCTTCTAGTGCATCATTCCAAGCTATCACGTCAAATAGTTTAGAAGATTCTATTGATAGTAAAGATTGTTTGTCTACAACCTTCTTGAGAGTGGGCTCAGGGGATCCAGCTGATAAAGGGTGACTATCAGGGATAGCGAGAGTGAGCCTATCTAGTATGAACTGTCTCAAAAAGCTTATGCTTGCTTTATGTGCTAATTCTTTGAGATTGTGGCCTGTCGGGATCGGTGCAAGTGATAGGTTCTGCATAGTGTCCACAAGCTCATACGTGAACCTGGACTGAACACGCATGGGTAGTGACGACACAAATTTGTATACGCGCGTGGTGTAGATAGCGCAAATCGTGCGTGTCTCAGAGTGACATAAATCAAATAATTTGTATAGAAAAGAGCCTGAAGCCAGATAGTTATCAATATTCTCTATGATTAGCACAATTGGTCCTCCATTAACAAGCAACTCCATAGCCTTTTCAAGTAGTAAATGCCTTGCCGCTCTCTTCTTAGGATCGAAGCCTTCGTCCAGCACAGAGCATATTCTTGAGCATAGCTGCAATGGGTCAACGGAGATGGCATCCGCTTGAATAATATGGGGTAAAGTATTGTTGTCTAAATCACTATTTAGTTCTCGCGTTGCTTGGGCAATAGCTAGGCCAATCAGTTGAGTCTTTCCCGACCCACGGAGCCCCCTGATAAGTAGCGTAGATGATATCCCATGCCGAGCAGTTCCCAAAATATGCAGCTTAACAGTCTTGAGCTGTTGTTCCAGACCGATGAGCTTCTCCGGGATGTAGGTTCCCAGCAGCCTTGGAAGGACATATGGCCTGGTCCATATGAAGGGGGACTCTGGTGAGCCGGAGCTTTCGTCCCCGAGAGAACCATCGGGGGGAACCCGAACATGGGACATCTCGGCAGCTGTTATTTACTTTCCAGTGGGTCGCGGCGCTTTTAACCGAGGATGCTCGTGAGATCAGCATCCCCCGCTTCGAGAATAGTCATGATAGAAACATTGAACTGTCTACCAACGGCTATTCCTAACTCACGGGAAGATCCAGCAAAGACACGGACAGGGGTCTTCGATAGGTGACAAAGGTAGTCAACCTGAGACTTTACCAAAGGTGGACAGTTGTTGGCCATGAAGACCAGCTGTGCCTTTCCGTCTCGTATATTCCTTATAGCCTGATCAGTCCCAAGGGTGTATTTGCCTGACTTAACAACTAGGGTGAGCGTGAGAGAGATGGAATCCTGCGCCTTCTTTGTTGCAACCTTGGTGGACATCTCAGCGGACCCCGTTTTAGAAGGCAAAAAAGTAAATTGAAATAGTTACTTTTTTTTGGTTTTATTGGGCCCGGAAAGATCTTACAGAATGGGTAATTCGCAAAAGCACGCCACTTTCAAGCGGAAGCACACAAAGGTTGGGCACCAGCCTGCAAAACCAGCAAACTACACAGACACTTCTGTGAGCTTCAAGCGCATCAACATGCTTCAACAGAGTATCACCGTGGATAAGAGTAAGGAGGTATATCTATCTGCCCGGCATCAGACGGTAGGCACTCTTATATCCCAGCTGAAGAATTCTTCTGTGCTAACACGCCGTGAGGCTGTCCTGGCACTTCACGGGCTTTGTAAGCAGCACGGAGCAAGATTTGCATACGACAAAGGGGTGGAGGTTGCTGATGCTTGCCTTAATAGCATCCTTGATTCAGATGCAAAGGTGCGCAAGGGTGCCGCAGACACGCTGCTCCTTGTATCATCACTTTCTCCGTGCGTAGTCTCTGCACTTGGACGTGTGTTCTCACTGAAGTTAGAACTAGCCTTTGGATCCCTCAGCGACAGCATAGTAGCAGACGCTTTGCGGTTAGTGCAAGCACCTATTACAAGTGGCCTTGATGATTCTATTATAAGACTCTTTCCATCACTACTGCGCAAACAGTCACTCCTTGCAGTCACATCCGTAGCTCTACGAAATTATCTGGCTGACTCACAATCTGCTAAAAGTGACACCTTCAAAGCATCTCCATGGGTTGCCTTGGCTGATCTCTGGGCAAGTGAGCTTCGCGATACTGGGAGTGCAGACGTCAGACATACTGCTCTTACTGAGAGTTTAAAATCTTGCACTGATGCACTATTAGATGTGCTCTTAGACGTTGATAGTGATTGTAGCTTCTCGTGGCAAACCGACGAGACTAAAACGCATGCATTGAAGTACTTCACTGTGCTATACACTCTTTATATTGTGTTAAAGATCCTTCCTCAATCTATCGACGGTGATAAGGAAACCACGGCACGTGTGACGCGCTTTCTAAGGGTTTTTCCTGTGTCCGCAGTGTCATTTACAGATATCACAGCAAGATCTTTGGCGCAAGTCTTTAACTTATTGATTGTCTATGTTGCAGTTCGGTTTGGCCTCTTCGACGAGCTCTTTCGTGCAGATTTGTCGAGCAGGCACTCAAGTCTCAACAAGGAAACAAGCTTCACTTCACTAGCATCATGTCTATCGATTTCGCAAGCAGCTGATGAACAGGACATATCCAATGCCAGTCCAAAGGAACAACTGGCCGAATGGACATCTGTTTTGGTTGATATGTCATCCAACATAGGTGATTCGCTCTCTCACCTTGAGGGTCACATTAAGGGATCTTTATCTATATCTTTGCCATCTATTTATATTGACTTTACATGTGCAGTTTGTCAATTGCTTCAGTATTCTAGATTTGGTAACTTCTCTATCCTCAAAAAGCTTCTTCTCTTTGCTCCGATCTCTTGCAAGCGTCAGATAATAATACAATGCCTTGAGTATGCGCAGACAGCTATGGAATCGTCCCGGTTAGATTGCTTAGACGGGCTGCCAACTGAGGTAGACCATTTGATTGTTCTAGGACTTCAGGAGTTGTGTAGAAGACCGGCACAAGGCGCAGAGCTTTGGAAACTTGTGTATCAACTTGCGTTACAGAGGATATGCATAGGGGTGCCCTTTTCTGAGCAAGTAGTGGACTCACTACGCACAGTCTTACAAGTAGAGATTAAAGGAAAGATTATCTCGATTGCTGCGTTTGTTGGAAAAACGTACGATCCTTATTGTAAGGACCGCATCATGCACCTGTTGAGCAGTTCCTAAAGCCAACTCACATCACTTCCCTCTCAATATAAACCTTGATGTGTTTTTCTAAAAGATATCAAGGATGTTTCGCCATGCAGCAAGATTTACTTTCCATGCTTATGATTGGCATGTGTCCCGTGTCCGGCGTAGTGCTTGTTATGTCCACCATGATGCTTGTCGTGTCTACTATGTTCATTAGGAGAGGACGTTGAGCCATGCATATGTATATTATTTGCTGCGCTCTTCTCCGTGGTGCGTGAACCGCTCATTTCACCCTCTGTTTCCTCGTGCCTTGAGTTGCGCGAGGATCCAGCCTTGCTAGTTCTTTTCCTACACTCTTGTAATATCTCCTTCAAGAGTGTTAAGATGAGACACAACGAGAAAAATACCGTGTAAAAGAAGATTGGCACGGTCCAAACAGCCGCTACGAACTTCCCTTTGACAAAGAAGTAGTCTGTTGAAATGTACTTTTTCTCCAAAAGTAGAGCCACGTTGCTGCGCAGGAATTCGTCTATCCAAGACGTGAGATAAGAGAAACCCAGGAGGATGAATATAATCACCAAGGACCCTAGAGCTGACTTCATTGACAATATAAGCCCTACGATCATCACTGCGTGTATGCTGAGTATGACGGCGCAGAGGGGGTCCTTAAAGGAAACGGTCTTGTAATATTCTGGCAGATCCTTGATAAATCCCCATAGGCCAAGAACGGCAGTACTCAGCTGTATCATGTAAATTTTTTCGTGACAACTGTTAACAACAAAACTCTAGACAAAACTCAGGTGACTGTCTTTGTCTAGGCGGCGTCTAAGTAGCGTCTAGCCAATTGAAGAAAACAGTCAGGCGTGAATCAACGTTAGGCTAAGGTTTTACAGATCGAATGAGCTATCGATTATTGTTGCGAGCTCAACCATTGCACACCGCAGATCTTCCTCTCAGCAACTGCACTATTTACTGCAAGGGACCCACAACTCCCTCGCCCCTCAGGCTTCGAGTTCTTGCTACTAGGGCCGGGGCACGCTGTGTCTTCAAGATGAGCTCAGCTGTCACACACGTGATTTTAGATCCAGTAAGGACTCCACAGTGGAATATAGATGATGCTGGAATTCATGTTGTTCATCCTCGATGGATTATAGATTGCTTCAATTCAAACAAGCGTTTAGACGAGCGTAACTATTTCGCTACCGATAGTCATTCGCAGCAACGGTTAGTTGAGAGTGCTCAGTTCGAAACAATAAATCATGACGAGTCGCCAGATGCATATTTCGAGTCTGCAGCCGTTACTAGGTTGCAGGCCATTGAGGCGTTACTAAATGAAAAGCTTCCGTCTTCCCCAGAGGAGTTTCTCAACAAAGCGGACTACTATCAATGTACTAGAGAGGGAAGGATGCGAGTGGCTAAGAGTCTATTGCAATGGCGTTTTCTGCGCCCAAGATCCAGATTGATGAGCGGATCGTTCATAGGAGGCCCATCCATTAAATACAAAAATGTCGGCGTCACAAATACATATAGGGCAACTCCAATTGTATGCAAAAAGCAACATTTTGATCAGCAGATGTCTGCGTGGAAACTCGAAATGACTGACTATCTTTTAACGCACCCTCCAACAGGTCCCACTCCAATACACTCAAAAAACATGTATGTCCTTTGTCACGTATACGTTGATGCATTTTTCATATCTTCCTCCTTAAGCTTTCTGTCTTCTAATGAAAGAACACGGTTGATTGGAGCACCCGTTATTATTGCCAACCAATTTGATAGCAAGGAAGCCAACGATGGAGCTATTATTCTGGACTGTACCAAGGCTGCCAAGCAAATGGGAATTGAATCTGGTATGACGGTAGGAGAGGCCTTTGAACGCTGTCCCACTACTCAGGTTCTAAGCTATGATACCAAAATGTATAATACTAAAGGTCAGGAGTTATTTAAAGTTCTTGGCCAGTTCAGCAAAGCTATCATGCCCATGAATTACAACGAGGCAGTTCTAGATTTATCGGGCCACGTTAGTCTTTCTGCAGCTAATGGTAATAGTTGCTTAGCACTAGGGTTACAACTGCAACAGCGTGTTCTTCAAGAGACTGGCTTGCATTGCTCCTTGGGATTTGGTGACTCCCTCTTTGCAGCTCAAATTGCCACAAAGCTGGCCGGTTCTAATGGAATATTCTCTGCTACGTCATCTACCTGTAGAACACTGTTAATTAATAGACCTCTGTCTTTTCTTCCAGGCCTTTCTTCAGAGGTAGAGCAGCAATTTGCTGAACAACTTGGAATTACCAAGTGTGGAGAGATTCTAAGTGCACAAATTGGAGATATCTGCCAAATAATTAGCGTAGACCAAGCGAAGCAGCTAATTTCCATGCTGAAGGGGCGCACTGATGACGCATCGAAAGGATTTTTTCCTGTCAGAACAGAAGGGCTTCAACCTAGAGCTCGCAAGCTTTTCCTCAACACCTTGGAAAGCAAACAGATACACAAAAAGTCTACAGAAACGCTATCTTCAAAGGCATTAAGGCGCCTCAGCATACTGACTAGACCTCTTCCTGGACAAGTGCACTCTCTACAAGACGATATTTCTTTAGACAAATCTGTGTCTCCATTGATCACAGAACTCTATTTACGAATGCTACGCAAAAACCTTTCACTGACATCTGAAACAAAGCTCACCATCACACTTCAATTGAAACAGTCCAACCCTTTAGCGAATGAAATCCAGAATGAGCCTAATACAGATCACTACTCTATTACTGCAACTACAGAACTTTTCAATGTTACTGTTTCTACCACTCCCAAACCAGATTATCACATTCTGAAGAGTGCTGCGAAAAGATGCGTAAAGGACTTGTGGAGTCAAGTCCCGAAAGGCTTACTTTCTAGAGCAAATTCTTGCTCAACTCATCAACGACCTATAGAGAGGAGCTTCGGGGCTAAACCATCCTTGCATCAACAAGGTGCTTTCGACGTTCTATATGAAGCTTCTTCAACTCTGTCTCACCTACTGATAAACACCGGTGTAAGTAATGTAGCTGATACTAGTAACCACAGCTCTCAAACGCTATCTGACAGTGACACACCTGGCGACGCCTTTAAGGAGCAGTGTGAATCGGAAGCACCCTTGGCCACTGATCTACCTGGACATAAAGGCCCTGCATGTCGCCTAAATGAATCGGTGCGGCCACTCACACACTATACCAAAGCGTACTCCATGCCTTCGAGGGCATATGAGCATACCTGTCTTTTTAGCACAGACGTGGAGATGCGTGTAAAAGCTTATGGTGATGCAGTCAACCTTATGCTGAGTCGGGACGTATCGGGTGAATCCGCTGAGACGCGCAAATGGCTTCTGCAGGCTGCTCTACATAGCTTTGTGGTACAGCTCTGCTCTGATGGGGATTTAGAAGGGGTCTTATACTTGTCTAAGAGATATCAATTTACCAAGGAAACGTGTGACTACGTAAACATGAGGTTTTCTAATAAAATACTATGATGTTACCATATATCTTCGGTATCTAGGGCCCTCCATCTATCTGTTGTAGACTTTTCTTTGCTGAACTCATCCTCGGAATTTGAGTCTATCGTCTTCTGGGAGCTCTGATTTGAACTTGGTGATGAAAGACAGACACTTATTTTTCGCTTCTGATGGGCAGGCTTTTTCAAGGATTTAATTATTATAGTTGGTTTGCTTGTGCTACCTTTCTCAGTGGTTTTTCCAGAGTCAGAAGAGCACTGCTCTGGAGGACTTGTGTCTTTATCTTCACTTGCTATATCGCTTTTACCTTTATCCAACAATATACTCTCAGCTTCACTTAAGGCCACCTTGCTTGTCTCTTCCAAGGGCAACTCTTCTTCTATTGAGCCAGGAGATTGCTTATTTTCGAGTACATAGTCACGTTCACCACATCCTTCAGCTTCACACTCCTCTTCAACTTTTTGATCCCCAAGGGTATCAGAGGAGCACAACAATAAATGGGTCAAGCCAGAAATCGTTTCCTTTAGGGTATGGTATTCCTTCTCAGTTAAACGTATTGGAGTATTAGTTCCTTCTGATGTCGTGACAATGGATAGAGAATGCTCTGTGCCATCCCGGATACCGGTTGACAGAGTTACTGATAGATTTCTCAACGTATCTATGGGTAAATCATTTCGTAATGACGATATGCTAGTTAATACACTCTCAGCCATCAGAGAGTTAGACTTTGCGGCGGCCAAAATCTGCTTCAAAGAGTTTATGCTCAAAGTGGCCGTAGATCTTTCTGTGTGTTCTAAGTGTTCTATAAATTTCTGTAGATCTTCAATATTTTTTACATCGTCGATGCTGTCTGAAAGGGGTGACTGATGGGAATCGGTACTATGTGCACACAGAGTATTTTCTATTGATAATTTCGTAAGTAGCTCTTCTATATACCTCTCTTTAGCACCAATTATTTCCTGTTGCTCCTTAAATTTATGCAACTGTTCATATTTTGTTGTTTCCAATTCTATTTGCAGCCTTTGGTTAATATCCTTAAGCTGAGCACACCGGGCTATTATGCTAGTTACTCCCCAGGAATGGGGTTGTTGATGAAGGACTGGCTGCATTTCTGCAGGGCTGGTTTGAGTGAATAGGGCAGAGATCTCAAATAGCTGATCTGCTACGATTGTCAGAGTATTACAAATATTGTGAACTAATAAATTATTATTCAGATTGGCATCATCTTCTCTATTGCTGTAAACGGTGCGCTCGCATAGCTCCTCTATCTTGTCGCATACAGCCAGATAGCTTTGCTGTATGGCAATATAGTTCTCAAGCTTAGACTCTAAAGCTGATGCACTTTTTGTTTTAATTAGCAACTCGTTCTTAAGAGACCTGTTCGAAAATGTTAAAGCTTCGACGCGATGAGTCAAAGTGGTTATCTGATCGTTTAATAACTTAACGTCACATTCAGCTGGCATAACTTTTTCGCTGTCCTCCTCGTACCTTTCACCTACTGTCCCTACTCTGTCTCTACATTCTAGCTGTGTAATACGTTTCATAAGTTCGGCATTTTCAGCAGCCAAGGCTTTGTAGTTTTCTAGTAACTTATTATGCTCCCCCCTCTGCGCAAGCAATTTAAGTATCTCTATAGATATTTGTTTCAGATTGCAATCTTCTTGGATTTCTTCTGAATGTGCCTCCAGCATCCGTTGGAGCCAAAGATAAGCATTTCTAATATCCTCTCTGAGGCTTTCTGTTAGTGTTGATGGAATCCGGTATGATGGTGTGTCATTAGACGCCGCGGCTTCCTTTACGGCTACATTTAGCACGTTGACTACTCCCTGCAATTCTGCTACTTTTGGAAGCATGCTAGTGCAGAGACCACATGGAATATTTGCAGTATTGCTAGTGTCATTGAGTCTTGGAGAGAAGATATCATTTGCCTGTTGTGTATTCTGTAAGACTAAACTAAGCCGCTGGATCTCTTCCTCAAGAGCTAAGCACCTTAGCCTGAGGGCTGCATTGTCCTCTAATTCCCTCAAAAGGCTTGACAGGCTGGCTTTCCGCTCGTCATTCTCCATAAACTTTTGTATCAGCTTTTAGGTCTATCTCCATGTTCTACGCCTGAAACTTATTCATTCAAACAGTACAAGTAGTACATGCATAGATACAGGTTTCTTTCTCTGGCTCTTCTATGAGTGTCAACTAATCATAACAATTAACCGTTCAATTTGGCAGGACTCAGCTCGTTTACACAAAAGACAGCATAAAGATGTTTACTAGATGTCATGGCCTATAAGGATAACAACATCAGTAAGAGCTAACGTACCGGGTCGACGTAAGCCAAAACAAACTACTTCTAACGTTCCGAAAAATGCTAATTGAGAATGAAGAAGGCTGGTTTGACGCCATTCTTCGGTCCGATTATGCAGTTGTTCAGCATTCCCTTGCTAGGTACAAGGGAACTAAGACTCCCAGCGGTCTCACAGGCCTTATGTACTCTGCAATGCGCAATGATTATCGTATGGTGCATATTCTCAAGCAGCACGAGGCAGGCTGTTGTGACAACCGGGGCTATACAGCACTAATGCTTGCTGCTGAAGCTGATAATCCGGAAGTGTGTCTTTGCCTATTGGATTTGGAAGGCCACATTCTCCTAAAGGACCTATACACCGCATACAATGTGGCACATTGGTCTCGTAGCTATCGTGCTATGAGAGCTATGGCTCAGTATTATAGTAAGGAACTTCCTACGGAGAATTCCACTGACAGTGAAGGTAGTGGTGAACTCCTCTTTCGGGTTGAAACCGTTGCGTGCGTTCAGGAGTATAACGCTGAGCAGGTCAAGAAGATGGTTAGCGAGCTGTCTGAGGCTTATGTTCAATTGGATTCCCTTCAATCTCTTGTTGTACGGCAGCGCGACGATCTCAAAGCGCTTCTGAATGCAAACACGGTTCTTCGTGATGTATTTGTTCGACAGAATAACGAGATGAAACAGCTGGAGTCATTGATACATGGGAAGTTGCAAGAATACCCAGCAGCATCACTTATTTGTTCACAAAAAGAAGAATTGGAACGTCTCAGATTACAAGTAGCATCTCTAACAATAGGCGCCCACATTTTAGACCATAAAATAATTACCTCATCGGGAGAACAAGTAGTTAAGTCTGCATCTTTACAGACTAATCAAACTCCTGAATTGGCCTCTTTAATGAAGGAAAACACTCGATTACGGCTGTCTCTATCAGAAATGCAATCGCAAATTGGCCATATTTTGCTTAAAAACGACCCCCTTCTGATAACTAGCGACGAAGCAGCCAAGGTTACGTTGGAAGCCGAAATAGCTCTGCTAAATCAAGAGCTAGAGCTCAGAAATGGAACTATTGCTATACTAACTAAGACTATTACTGACTTGAAGGCAGAAATTCAGATTGAACGCAAGTCTGCGTCCACTTCTATGACTATAGCTTCTGATAACATTGGCCTGAATACAGAGCAGGCTCCTAAGGAGCTTATTTTGACGGATGAGAATGGAAATATTCAACAGGTACTCACACAAGAAGACGATGCAATCAGTTTGTTGTTTGGCCAATTAGAAGAAAAGGAAAAAGCAATCACTGATCTCACGGCCCGGTTGTCTGAGCACGAGTCTCTCTCACAGCACCAGGCTGAACAGCTTAATACACTGACGCAAGAACACACTGGTTTAATCCAATCTCTTAAAGCTTTAGTGCAATCTGCAAATATTTACGATTCCAATCTACCAGATGCAATGTCTTCTGTTTTACAATCTCTTATTCTTTTATTAAAGGAAGAACCTCTATCATTTTCTCCAATTGAACCCTCACGACAACTCACTAGGACTGCAAGCCCGTATGAGCACACAGGCATACCCTCGGTTGTCCACAATTCCGCCGTGTTAACTGCAGTCTCTGAGTCACCCAAGATTACTATTGCTGCTCCAACTGATCTGAGCAGTATTTTGGAGGATTCTCAAAGTACCAACTCTTTACTTAGCCCTAATGGTGGACTATCGGGAGCATCTATGAACACCCTGAAAAGCATGCAGGAAAACGATTGTCTTGGCTTGGACTTAAATGCTCCAAATTTGTTTTCCAGTCCATCGATTGTTATAGATAAGAACAGTAGTATTTATAGATTTTTAGAAAAAAGCGCAGTTAATGAAGTATTTCCCGTTGATGAGACAATCACCCAACTAAGAGATAAAGTGGCAGAACAGGAAAAGCTTATTGATGATCAGCGTTTGAAGATTCGTGACTTGGAGGAGCTTAGTCAGGTAACAAATGCCTCAGGAACGTCCAGAATGATAGCCAGCCTTTCTCTTCAGCTTGAGGAGGTTAAGCTATCAAAGTTATCTGTAGAAGATGAGCTCAGAAAGAGCAAGGAGCAAATCACAGAGTTAGAGAAACGTCGGGAGGAAGAGCTACAACGTACCCCAGATTGTGCAGTGTCTGATAAACTTGCTGATGTTTCTGATAATACTGATGTCAAATCCGTGATGTTAGAACTACAGCAAGTGAGAGATGAGAATGATGAGCTATCCAAACTGGTTCACATTTTAGATGCAAAATTAGCAGAATACGAGACTGTTGCATCTGCCCACTCGACAGATGACCTAGTCGATTTAAAAAAACAGTTAGAAGAAAAGATGCTAGAAGTAGAGAACCTACAGGAGATGATACCTTTACTTAAAGCCAAGGATGTTCAAATTATTCAACTTACTGAACAAATTGCTCTGAATACCCAAGCAGAACACGATCTGCTGTTAGCAAATGATACGATTGTGCAGCTATCAGAGAAGCTAAGACAAATCTCGGATCAATCATGTCAACTGGTTGATCGGTCTATCATGGCTCAAAGCCTAATATTGTCTAGAAGTATCTCTAGGTCTAGTGGATCAGATAATGCATATGGACAGACGACACACATTATTCGAGACTATTTAGATTTAGAAGAATCAGCCAACGTGCTAACTCTTACACAGACAGACAAACGTCCTGCGATATCAGATTCAGATACCATACAACTTTCATCTGTACTTGTACATCTAGATACATCCGGATCGGCCAATCCTGAGCCTCATGTTTCCAGTTTACAACTAGAAACCCAAATAGCCTCTGCTCCAAAAGGCCTATATAGTTTATCTCAAGAACATGATGTCAAAGGACATGTGCCCACATCTGATACCTCTGCACGACTACGTTACCTTGAGGAATTATGTGACTCCCTCAATACTCAAAATGATGACCTTCAGAATAAGTTATCCATTGCAAATGAGCAAATAGCAGGTCAGCTATTAGCGTCAGCGAACAAAACGACTGAAGAAACGCTTCAACAGCATATCCATAAGCTTAACCTTGAAGTGCAAGAAAAGGATCTTCGAATCCAGCAATTGCAAAGTGAAGTTCAACGTGCAAGAGATGCATCTGATTCTATAATTAAAAATAGACAGGAATTACAGATACGAAATGATGAGTTACAAGATGAGCTCTTAGATGTTAATGCACAATTAGTTGAGTTGCGGCGCACCATTTTGCAACGCCAAAATGCTATTTCAACAGAGACTCAAACCGTGGATAATTTAGAAAACCACGATGTGATACAATTCAGCGACAAGATTGTTCAAACAGCAATATATCAGTCTACATCAACAAAATTGCATTCCAATGCAGACGTTGACAACCAGCCAGCACGCGATGTTATAATGCAACAAGCAGAGAATTTGAATGAGATTAATGAATATGATGCTGACCCGAGTATTGTTAACATTATAGTTCCCCGGAGCACTTCTCAAACAACCACGGTAAAGAAGAGCGATCTGAACGTATCTTTACATGACTGTTATTCGGAGCTTTCTCCTGCTGATTCTATTATAACACTCTCGGGGATACAATATGCGGAGCTGCTACAGAGTATTTGTGGTGGAAACGAGGAAGATTCAGCATTAGATCTTTGTAATATAAGCACAGATGCAAGAAACTCTGCATTTAACCATTTATCTCTCAGTCGCACACTTTCCAACTCAATACAAAAATACACAGAAGTAGATAAAGTAGCCGTTCCTAACTCACTTGTTCAAACTGTCCAACATCTGAGTATTCAGATGGCATCTATACAATCTAAGTTGCACCAGACAGAACTTCTCAATCGCTCTTTACGTCATGAATTACTAGAAACTGAAGCGACACGTGATATCATAGATAACGCTGAGAATGAGCTATCTATTCATCAGAACGAAATACGGTATCTTCGTGAAGAGCTAGCTTCAAAGGAAAATCAAATAAGCACCGTTACAGCATTGCTAAGGAAGGCAGAAAATCAGCTTCAAGAGCGCATAGCTTTGACTGAACATGATAACATTATAAGTGACAAGAGGAATGCAGAGTTACTGGACCTCAAACAACAGAAAGATGAACTAAAGGGTAAGAATTACGAGATTTCTATAGAATTAGAATCTGCCAAGAGGCAGCTGGAGTTAGAAACTAGCCGAGGGCTTCAACTTGAGAGGGAACTGTCCAATATCACATCAGAGCTTCAGGTAGCTCGTAGAGAGCAATTAGAGTTACGCACATCTGCTTCTCAACTTGCTAACGAAAACCTAGCATTAACAGCACTTATAGCGCAGACACAGACAGACACTGCTACCGAGCCTGATATTAATTTATCTAGTACAGTTGAGCTATTAGAGTCAGAGAAGCAGGAATTACAAGATAAACTGAATAGAACAGTGCATTCATTTATCAATCTCAAATCTCATATGGATGAAACGACGACAGCTCTAAATAGGCAGGTCCATGATATCGAACAGCAACTTATTTCCACTAGAAACCATTTAAGTGAGTATAAGGAGTCATATGAGCAGCTAAGCAAGGAGCATGATGGAGCATTACAAAGACTTGATGCTCTTTCTCAAACTAATAAGAAGCTAAGAATGCTCATGGCAGATAGGAAACTAGATGGATATCTAGAGTCTTCATCTGGCATTGCTTCCTCCATTAATACAGCAACGAATCATAAGATCGAGACCGAAGATTCTTATGGCGATGCTCTACTTAAAGAACACCATGATGATACTCCTCTGATGAGAGCTGTACTTTCGAATGCACCAATTGGAGTTTTGAGGCGACAGTTGCGCCATGTAGGATGTGTCAGGCCAGATGGTACAACAGCCTTAATGCTCGCATCACAAATGGGAAACAAAAATGCCGTAAGTGTGCTCAGAGAATACGAATCTGGCGTGGAGAGGGCTGACGGGGCTACTGCACTTGATTTGGCTATAAAGGCAGAAAGAACTGAAATTATTCGCTTGTTACTTCCCTTCGAAAAAGCACGGTAGTTTCACAGCAGACCGCGCTCGGGATCGAGTCCCGGGAGAAGTACCTCCGGATGATCGCAGACACGGAGCAGCAGAATCACGTCTACCGGAAGCTCATCCAGGACCAGCAGGCGCAGATCGGCATGCTGGTCGCGCAGCTGGGGGCGGCCGAGAGCCAGGCGCAAGCCCTCGCTGCTGACGGGCTTCGGGGGTCGGCAACCTGGGCCCCCAGCGAGGCGCAGCCAGCTCTGGGGCCGTTCCCGCAGTGCCCGCCCCAGTCCTCTGCCCGCAGCCCTCTGGATGCCCGTCTGCAGGACGTCGAGATCCTCGAGCGGGAGCAGATGGCGGCACAAAGCGGCGCAAAGGCAGCCTCTGACCGTCCCTGGACACCACCGAGCGCAGAGGGCTGTGCGCGGCCCGCAAGCTCATACTCATAAGTAAACACTTCTGTAAGTACTTCTGATAAAAAGAATTAAAATATAAATATATCTGGCGCGCCCCCAGTCCGGCGTAGTATAACGGCTAGAATGGTTGGTTCTCACCCAACAGATCCGGGTTCGATTCCCGGCGCCGGAGCGTTTCCCGCCTTCCTTCGTCTTAGCATACGCCGCCCCACGGTGGGCCCAGACCCTAAGTATCGATTTGCAAAGACAGCTGACCGGACTGTCGCACAAGTAAGTAAGCTCGTGATCTGCAGCCAGTGATGATGCATCCATATTTAGTGAACAATAAACCAATTCCTAGAACTCCGGAATATAACTGGCTGTACTATGAGCCGACACAAGCCTTGAAGATAGATCTGCCACAACGTAATTAACTCTGCGCTGGGCGCCAAAGGTAGCCAGTCTATAGTGAGCTAGGCTCCACAGGTCACATTTAGTATTGCATGCATGAAACGTGCTACTCCTCTACACGGCAAGTATAGCTTGTGAAAGAATGCACACTTGATTCTCGGTGTCTAGCTGCAAAGGTGATACATCTTTTAATGCATAGATGAATGGGTTTTTTGTAGCTCAGATAAAAAAGGTAGAATGGGCATTGGAAGAGCAAAACTCTAGAAGATAGGTTGGCATTCATTAAAAGGTAAGCTTCGAAGTGCACAAGTCTTTCAACCACATTCTCACTTTTAGTTTGAAGATTGTTCCACCTCATACAATCGGATTCTTTTGCAATCGCTGAAATTGTCATACCATCTCTTTCTAATTCTAACTTAATAGGAAACGCAACTACAAAGCCATTGGTTAATGGCCAACGTCACTATCATTACATGAGCTATTAACTACTCATCTCACCATCTTTGTACTATGTTTAGCTTATCTTTTCGAAGAAGACTAGCCCGAGGTCAAATCTCTATAGCACCAGCTGGGCGTACCTCATAGGTATGCAGATTACTAGAAGTATACATTAATACTATGCTTAGTTTCCCCTTTAGTTATATTATTTACCTACATAGTAGAGAGATTGTAAATCGCTCGGAAGAAGAGTGAACTTCTAAAACAAATACTTAGTAGAATAAGATATGCGACACTACTGTTAGCTGTAGCGTCTACCGCAAAAGCGCCGGCCCAACGAATCTTTCTACAGTGGCGCGCAAAGTGTACTCGCGCACGCTACTGTCCTGACCTAGACATGGGACAGAAAATAGCCACTGATAAGAATTTATACCTAACAAGATTTAGAGCGGTTTCAGTCGAATACTAATAAAGCGGAACCATTTATCTAGTCTAACTAGGGTAAGAATAGGTCCCGATTGTTCCAGTTTCACAGAAACAGGAACGTAGATCTGCTCAAGCTGTCAATGGCCGGAGCCCGCTGGCCTGAGATTTATGCTTGGATGCCATCAAACTAAATGTGAGCCCGATGGTCCCGCCTACAAGAACGGTCACGCCAAGGGTGATCCCTGTGATCGCGCCTGGGCCGAGGCGGCGCTTGACCGACGAGCCTCCGCAGTAGTTCTCCAGGGGGAGGTTTCCGTCCGCACAACGGAGGCAGAGGACGGCGCCTGACCCTGCCTGCGCCTGGCAGAGCCCGCACCCGTGGATGCCTGCCATCCGAAGCCCCTGGGGCGCCGTCTGGTCGCAGGGCACACAGTCCCGGGGGCCTCCGAGGGGCGTCGCCTGGAAGTACCTGTCGGCACAGGCCAGACAGCTGGCTGCCGACGAGCAGGCGGCGCACGGAGAGGGGCATGCCAGGCAGCGGTCGCCCGCCAGGTGCCAGCCCCTCTTGCAGGAGGTGCAGACACCCCCGTCGCAACGGGCGCAACCGGCCGCGGTGCACGGGCTGCACGAGCCCCCGGAGAGCCCGTAGCCTTCCGCGCAGGCGTGGCACGTGACCCCCGCCCTTGCCCGGTCTGCCGCGCACATAATACAATGCAAAATTAGCACGATTCAACCATCTTTAGGAGCATCACATACGAGCGTTTAAATAACACTACTGTAGTGTGATAAATAGACCAGATTGAAAGATGGGAATATATTTTTGTATTCAAAAATAGGAAATTAGCTCTGGAAAAGCCAAATTTATGATGTGTGATTCTAATGTATAAAGGCGTTTATGTAAAAATAGCATCACATGCTGGCGATCATTTTTGGACTTGCACTCTCATGTACCCATGGGAATCGACCTGGAGAGTGCGCTATAGGAAAATGCACTATTTTAGAGGGCCGGTATTGTTCTGAGTGTGCCACCCCTGGTGAGGTTCCTATAAACGGACTCTGTATCCCGTACGACGACCCCAGGGCTGTGGCCTCCGGCTGCGCTTCTGAGGCAGGTAAGCCTCTTAAAAACTCTGCTAAAACCTGTTCTTCATGTGTAGAAAAGAATTATTTCATTCATGAGGGCGGGTGTTACAATATACTTTATAGTCCTGGAAATCTTATTTGCGTTGATCTAGCCAGGAATCTTTGCAAAATATGCTCTTTAGGTTACTATCTCGACACTCAAGCAACTCCTCAGACTTGTAAGACCTGTCATGCTCACTGCAGTTCTTGTTCTGGAAGTTCTGAAAATCAGTGCCTGAGTTGTCCTCCGGATCGTTTTCTTGATGGGTCTCTCTGTAAAAGGTGTTCAGATAAACCTTACGGTATAGAAAATTGTCGCTCTTGTACAATGAGTACCAGTGATTCTTTGAAATGCCTCTCTTGTCAAGCACAATATTATTTGGCTGGAAATCAGTGTCTTACTTGCCCTAGCAATTGCTTGATGTGTACGGGTGCAACGCCTAATGAGTGTCTTCTTTGTATTGATAACTATTCATATGATTCACAGACTCGTACATGTATTCTCACTTGTGATAAAAGTAAAATAGCCAAGTCTGGAAAGTGTGCTGAAGATGGATGTACTGCTTTTGAGAACAAACTCTGTGCCCACTGTTCTCTTGGCACCGAAGTACCGATTAACGGAGTTTGCACTTCTAATGACCAGAATATTTGTCTCCATATATCCATCTCGTTGGGAATGTGTGATAACTGTGGAAAGGGATACATCCTTTTTCAAGGCGGATGTTATCGTGTGGATACTGAGCTAGGACTTAAGGCATGTGCCTACACTACTGATATTAGGGGTGCAACCTTTTGTGCGAAATGTGGTACGCCTGGTTTCGTTCCAATCAACGGAGTATGTGTGCCATACAATAATCCGCTAGTTGTAACTTCTGGTTGTCGAGATTCAGCCGGCGGTCTACCAACACCTGTCTCTATTAAGTGTACCTCTTGTGGTAAGAATTACTTCATTTACCAAGGTGGATGTTATTCCCCAGAATCTGCTCCAGGAAACGTCATATGTAACGAGGTGGATAATGCTGGGAAATGCAAAGCGTGTGTAGACAACTATTTTCGCAACAGAGGAGATTGTATTCCATGCCATTCAAATTGTGCTTCATGCCTTGGTCCTAACGCGAATGATTGTACTTCTTGTGCTCCAGAAATATTCTTTCAAGTGTTTTCGATGGGGAAAGGTATGTGCAAGTATTGTAATGATGTACTTCTTCAGTACGATAACGCTGGCATAGCTCACTGTGCAAAATGCTTACCTCTTCCACGAGGCCAACGAGCGCAATGCACAGTCTGCGAAAGGGGATATCTCCTAACAGAAAATCACTGCGAAATATCGTGCTGGACAAACGGTCTTGCTCCGGGGTCATGTAAGTCTGATCATTGCAACATTTTCTCGTCTGCACTTTGTTCTTGTTGCGCAAATGATAATGAGTGCCCCATAAATGGACAGTGCACATCTGCCTTAATGGGCGCCAAAGTAGTATCTGGCCGCTGCACAGAGTGTCCACCTCGGTATTTTCCTTACAAAGGAGGATGCTATGAAAAAGGAACGCCCATCGGCCTCAGTATTTGTAAGGATGTCGACGACACAGCTACTTGTTCAGTTTGTGCCTCTGGATATACCCATGTTGGATCAGAATGCAGACCATGTAACATCAAGTACTGCGTAAACTGTGATGGGGGCGTGGACGTTTGCAATAGTTGCGCTTATAGTTATCAGCTTCAAAAGAATGAAGGTAAGGACTCATGTGTTAAAGCTTGCACGGAGGAACTCACGCCTGGGGGCTGCATTTACGGAGGATGTGTTGTTCGTGATAAGACATTCTGCGAAAGGTGTAGTATAGAACGTGAGGTTCCCATAGATGGGGTTTGCCGGCCTCTACGGGAAGATGCTCCCGAGTGTGCTGTTATGGAGGGCGGTAGATGCCGGAGATGCTCAAAAGGCTATCTTCTCTACTACGGTGGATGTTACAATACGATTAAGCCAGTAATACCGATATGTGAAAAGGAACACACACTTACAGGTTATGGATTTACATATTGTAAGAAATGCACTCTCGAAACAGAATATCCTATTAACGGATCTTGCACCACCGAAACTTATGGAAATACGTGCAAAGAGGGAGTGTGCACTGGTTGTGGAGCTGGATATTTCTTGCACCGTACAGTTTGCTTTACACCAGAATTTTATCCACAGATATGCACTAAAGCAAGAGCAGGCGTTTGCGAAGTATGTGGACCAACTTATTATCTCAATCCTGTTCGAAGCTCAACGATTCAATCGTGCATTCACTGTAGCGATGTAGGTGGAATTTTCGGCTACACCGGTATAGCTTTTTGTAGAACGTGTTTAGCTCCCCTAATCTCTGGTCCAGGACACTGCACAAGCTGTCTAGATCGCTATTTATTGGTTAACGGTGTATGCGAGGAAAGCTGCCCTCTCCCGACTGACTCGCTACAACCTAGATCAGGTCAGTGTGCCGTTGATTTTTGTAATGTGCTTGGAGCTACCTTTTGTTCAAAGTGCGCGTTGAATACAGATGCTCTTATCGATGGCAAATGTACTAGTGTCGATAAGGAGAATATATGTAAGAAGTCGGGTGTGCCAAATGGTACATGCACTGGATGCGCAGGATTATTCTTTTATTATAAGAATGGTTGCTATAATCCAAAGACCTATCCAGGAAACGCCATTTGTGGCGAGTATGCTGTAATGGATGGCGTGACGTATTGCTTCCGATGTAGCATTTTATCTGATCTGCCAGTTAATGGGCACTGCATTCCTATGTCTGACAGCAAGCTTTCTCCGTGCGTTTTGGCCCGTGTGCCTACTGGACGATGTTATTATTGTGTTGACAATCATTTTCTGCTTAAAGGGAGTTGTGTCTCAGCAGACCTTGCTCCCGGAACTATACTATGCAAAAGCATCGGATCTGACAATGGGATCTGTGATATTTGTAAAGAGGGATACTACGCGCCCCCCGACCGCTCAAGTATCAGCGACTCGTGTGTTCCGTGCACAGAGAACAGCGACACGCTGAAGGGCATACCCCACTGCAAGAGCTGCAAGGTTTCCAACGGACTCCTGGTCTGTGTTGCCTGCGAGCAGTTCTACAGACCAATGAACGGGGGAACGGAGTGCGTGCAAACGTGCGTTGAGGCAGAGGCAGACCCCAAGGAGCACAGGTGCAGAAAGGACAAGTGTGATGTCCTGGGCACGTTCTACTGCTCCCAGTGCGCTGCTGACGCCGAGGGCCCAGTCAACGGCGTGTGTGCTTCAGTGGCCGCAGGCGTGTGCATACAATATAAACAAGCTAATGGCACCTGCAAATACTGCACCCACAGATACATCAAGTACAAGGGTGGCTGCTATGAAGCGGGGTCGTTCGAGGCGGGGGACATCTGCGACGCCCAGGATGTCGTGACATCGGGCGCAGGGTCGTTTTGTGCGAAGTGTAAGCAGAAGGATGAGGTGCCCGTTGATGGGGAGTGCAAGGTCTCGGATGACTGCACCGTCAAGGGAGATGGCATCTGCAGGTCGTGCAAACAGGGTGTTAAGTCATTCCAGATAACCAAGGATGGAAGTCCTGCAACGGTTGCATGCTTTACTAAGTGTCCGGATGGGATGTATGAGTCTGCTGAGTTCTGTCAGATGTGTGATAAGAGCTGCAAGACGTGCCAGGATAGTGCAACAAAATGCACGGGATGCGCAGACGGCTTCTATCTTGCGGCCGGAAAGTGTGTTGCTTGCAGCGTGCTCCACTGCTTGACGTGCGATGCGGCAAATACCTGCGCCTCTTGCCAGGATGGGTACTATGCCAGTGGGAACTCGTGTGTTGCATGCACACCCGGGTGTAAGAAGTGCGATAGTACTGGGTGTAAGGTCTGCAAGGATAGATTTGCACTGAGGAATAACATATGTACTGAGGAATGCCCCGTTGGATTGCTTCCCACGTCCTGTGCTGCAGGATACTGCAATGTCAACGGCACGCTCGCATGCAGCCGCTGTGCGCTATTAAGCAGCGTTATCATCGACGGAAAGTGCAAGGCAAATGACGACGCTTGCATCCGTACAACCCCATCCAGCGGGACGTGTGCGGCTTGCAAGGACACGCACCTCCTCTACTATGGGGGCTGCTATGCTAAAGGCGCAACAGCTGGGACTGCCATATGTGACAGCCAGCACCAGGCTACGCTGGGCCCGTACACGATCTGCAAGCAATGCAAGCGAGACGGGGAAGTCCCGATCGACGGCTCGTGCGTTGCATTGGCTAACACTAGGGCAATCAGATCGCAATGTGTCGCTGCCACACCAAGCCCCACGTCGTGCACACGCTGCGGGCCAAGGTTCTTCCTGCACGCCGGGGGGTGCTACGAGATAGGACGCTCGCCTGGAACGGTGGTCTGCGCGGTGGCCGTCGACTCAGCGGTTGCAGGGGTGTGCACATCGTGTGCCTCCGGGTACTACAGCACAGACCTGCTCGATCCCACAAAGGAGTCCTGCATCCTATGTAATGATACAGGTGCAACAAATGGATACACGGGCGTTGACGGCTGCACAGAGTGCTATCCAAGCGAGACACCAAAGAGGGTCATCTGCACGCGATGCAAGGACAAGCACATTCCTAGCGAGGACGGCTCGCGGTGTATCCAAAGCTGCAACGACAGTAGATCAGAGTCTGGTAACTGTAAGGCTGGCAGCTGTACGGCGATGGGCTCGCTGTACTGTTCCAGGTGTGCGCTGGATGACGAGTGGCCGATCAACGGGGCTTGCACGGGGCATGACACAGACTATGTTTGCGAGAAGGGGAAGGGCGTCTGCACAGGGTGCCTACGCGGATACATGCTCTACATGGGCGGGTGCTATGACCCTGCCGCGATTCCCGGGTCTGGCATTTGTAGGGAGCTTCTGACAGTCGGAAGGCGCACATATTGCAAGCAGTGCAATCTTGCAGGAGAGTTTCCAATAAATGGCCTGTGTACAAAGGATGTGCCAGATGGTGTCTCGTGCTCCAGCGGTTTATGCGTCATATGTCCCGAGAACTACTTCTTCCACGAGGGAGGCTGCTATGATATCACGACTACTCCTGGAAGTGGGATTTGCGAAGTCCTTGGAACAGGCCGCGATGCCGGAACCTGTCGGCGGTGCAGACCCGGCTACCGTCACAACAAGGAGACGCTGACGTGCATGTCCTGCGCCGTCTCCAACTGCGCCAGCTGCGAGATAGACGTGAAGTACTGCACAGAATGCATTCAGCCCTACACGCTGACAGGCGTCGGGGCCGGGGCATACTGCACGAAGCCCTGCAAAAGAGTGGGGCAGGACGCTTGCAGTTGGGGCTCCTGCACAGTCATGGACGGGTCTCTGTGCTCGCAGTGCGCGTCGAGTGATTATGTGCCGATCGACGGCGTCTGCACACTCTATCCTGGAGAAGCTCGCTCACTTGCCGGTCCATGCGTAAAGGACGCCAAGAAGGGCCGCTGCACCGCGTGCCGAGGGAGCTACTTCCTCCACCAGGGGGGCTGCTACTCCGCAGGCGAGTACCCCGGCACGGGTATCTGCGATGAGCGCGATGCAGTGGTCGTCGACGGCCAGGTCGTCTGCGGGCGCTGCCTGATCGACGGAGAGGTTCCTCTGGATGGCACGTGCGCAGAGCCGAAGGAGGGACTTATCTGCAGCAAGGGCGTGTGCTCGCACTGCGGAGACGGGATGTTCCTCTTCGAGGGCGCCTGCTACACAAAGGAAAGGGCGCCGGGGACGAGCATTTGTGGAGACACCACGGAGTCGACGTCCGGGTGCACTGCATGCAAGGCAGGCTTTTCCAAGACAGATAAGGGCTGCGTGCGCTGCTCCGATCCCAACTGCGGCGCGTGCGTAGACGACCCCAACACGTGCACTGCTTGCAGGGCCGGATACTATCTCCAGAGCACGTCCTGCATTGCGTGCCACCCAGCGTGCAAGACGTGCGATGGTATGGGGGCTGATAAATGCAAAGAGTGCGCCGAGGGATACTTTGGCACGTTCACCACGCCTGGCCTGGGAGCCTGTCTTGCCTGCTCGGACACGTCTGGCAGGGACAGCTGGGTGGGAGTGAGTGGCTGCAGGCTCTGTGAGGCTCCGAAGGTAGCGGGCCCCGCACTGTGCAAGGACTGTCTCCCGGGCTACAAGGCGCTCTCGACCGGGACAGAGGTGACCTGCCATGCAGTCTGTCCAATGACGTACTACGAGGCCGCTGACAGCTGCATCCCGTGCGCGATCGACAACTGTGCAACGTGTACAAGCACGAGATGCACCAGCTGCGTCCCAGAGCACATCTGGAACGGCGAAGAGTGCGTCCCCAAGATCTGCCCTCCGCAATGCCTCTGTAGGGAGCAAAGTATAGCGTGCATAGGATGCAACGAGAATGCCGTCGAGGTCAGGCCGACCCACTCCAGCGCCAGCAGGTGCCTGCTGTGCAACGACGCGGGGGCAGGCGGAGGATGGACAGGGGTCGACGGCTGCCAGAGGTGCCGCCTCGCTGATCGCGTGGGCCCGGTCGTCTGTCTGGCGTGCGAGAGTGGACGCAAGGCGCTGACTCTGGACGGGATGCTCCTGTGCCCCCGCGACTGTCCGACAGAGGGCTTCTGGACAAGCGGCAGCGAATGCATCCCCTGCGCGCCTGGTTGCCTCCGCTGCACATCTGCCACCACATGCAGCGCGTGCAGCCAGGGATACTACTCGACGCAGAGCTCTGTCTCTGCTCCGTCCGATTGCCGCCCGTGCGATGATGTGACAAGCCAGAACGGTTTCACGGGAATTCCACACTGTGCCGTGTGCGCGGCAGACCGGGCAAGGGCGGGGGTCACGTGCCACGCCTGCGCGGAAGGCTACGGGCTCTCCGGGGGCTCGTGCAGCCCGTGCACCGCGGCCGGTTGCGCCCGTTGCGACGGGGGTGTCTGCACCTCCTGCAAGAGGGGCTGGCACCTGGCGGGCGACCGCTGCCTGGCATGCCCCTCTCCGTGCGCCGCCTGCTCGTCGGCAGCCAGCTGTCTGGCCTGTGCCGACAGGTACTTCCAGGCGACGCCCCTCGGAGGCCCCCGGGACTGTGTGCCCTGCGACCAGACGGCGCCCCAGGGGCTTCGGATGGCAGGCATCCACGGGTGCGGGCTCTGCCAGGCGCAGGCAGGGTCAGGCGCCGTCCTCTGCCTCCGTTGTGCGGACGGAAACCTCCCCCTGGAGAACTACTGCGGAGGCTCGTCGGTCAAGCGCCGCCTCGGCCCAGGCGCGATCACAGGGATCACCCTTGGCGTGACCGTTCTTGTAGGCGGGACCATCGGGCTCACATTTAGTTTGATGGCATCCAAGCATAAATCTCAGGCCAGCGGGCTCCGGCCATTGACAGCTTGAGCAGATCTACGTTCCTGTTTCTGTGAAACTGGAACAATCGGGACCTATTCTTACCCTAGTTAGACTAGATAAATGGTTCCGCTTTATTAGTATTCGACTGAAACCGCTCTAAATCTTGTTAGGTATAAATTCTTATCAGTGGCTATTTTCTGTCCCATGTCTAGGTCAGGACAGTAGCGTGCGCGAGTACACTTTGCGCGCCACTGTAGAAAGATTCGTTGGGCCGGCGCTTTTGCGGTAGACGCTACAGCTAACAGTAGTGTCGCATATCTTATTCTACTAAGTATTTGTTTTAGAAGTTCACTCTTCTTCCGAGCGATTTACAATCTCTCTACTATGTAGGTAAATAATATAACTAAAGGGGAAACTAAGCATAGTATTAATGTATACTTCTAGTAATCTGCATACCTATGAGGTACGCCCAGCTGGTGCTATAGAGATTTGACCTCGGGCTAGTCTTCTTCGAAAAGATAAGCTAAACATAGTACAAAGATGGTGAGATGAGTAGTTAATAGCTCATGTAATGATAGTGACGTTGGCCATTAACCAATGGCTTTGTAGTTGCGTTTCCTATTAAGTTAGAATTAGAAAGAGATGGTATGACAATTTCAGCGATTGCAAAAGAATCCGATTGTATGAGGTGGAACAATCTTCAAACTAAAAGTGAGAATGTGGTTGAAAGACTTGTGCACTTCGAAGCTTACCTTTTAATGAATGCCAACCTATCTTCTAGAGTTTTGCTCTTCCAATGCCCATTCTACCTTTTTTATCTGAGCTACAAAAAACCCATTCATCTATGCATTAAAAGATGTATCACCTTTGCAGCTAGACACCGAGAATCAAGTGTGCATTCTTTCACAAGCTATACTTGCCGTGTAGAGGAGTAGCACGTTTCATGCATGCAATACTAAATGTGACCTGTGGAGCCTAGCTCACTATAGACTGGCTACCTTTGGCGCCCAGCGCAGAGTTAATTACGTTGTGGCAGATCTATCTTCAAGGCTTGTGTCGGCTCATAGTACAGCCAGTTATATTCCGGAGTTCTAGGAATTGGTTTATTGTTCACTAAATATGGATGCATCATCACTGGCTGCAGATCACGAGCTTACTTACTTGTGCGACAGTCCGGTCAGCTGTCTTTGCAAATCGATACTTAGGGTCTGGGCCCACCGTGGGGCGGCGTATGCTAAGACGAAGGAAGGCGGGAAACGCTCCGGCGCCGGGAATCGAACCCGGATCTGTTGGGTGAGAACCAACCATTCTAGCCGTTATACTACGCCGGACTGGGGGCGCGCCAGATATATTTATATTTTAATTCTTTTTATCAGAAGTACTTACAGAAGTGTTTACTTATGAGTATGAGCTTGCGGGCCGCGCACAGCCCTCTGCGCTCGGTGGTGTCCAGGGACGGTCAGAGGCTGCCTTTGCGCCGCTTTGTGCCGCCATCTGCTCCCGCTCGAGGATCTCGACGTCCTGCAGACGGGCATCCAGAGGGCTGCGGGCAGAGGACTGGGGCGGGCACTGCGGGAACGGCCCCAGAGCTGGCTGCGCCTCGCTGGGGGCCCAGGTTGCCGACCCCCGAAGCCCGTCAGCAGCGAGGGCTTGCGCCTGGCTCTCGGCCGCCCCCAGCTGCGCGACCAGCATGCCGATCTGCGCCTGCTGGTCCTGGATGAGCTTCCGGTAGACGTGATTCTGCTGCTCCGTGTCTGCGATCATCCGGAGGTACTTCTCCCGGGACTCGATCCCGAGCGCGGTCTGCTGCGGAATATTGGGGTCATTCTTCAAACGCATATAATCATCATGTAAGGCAGTAATCTTCTCATTAAGTCGTGCAATTTCTTGGTCCTTTTCCTGCAATTTGGACTCCATGGTTGATCTAGAGGCACGCGCCACGGTACAAAGCTCACGTGTCATCTTATGGATGGCCTCGTCGCGTGCAGCAATCCTTCGCTTCAAGTGGTCGTTCTCGTCTGCCACCTGTTGCGCATTATACTGCGACGTGTTGTAACGATCCAGGTAAGCACCTAAGGCATCACGCTCCTTTGTAACATCTGCGAGTTGAGCCTCACGGAGTTCAATTACACGGTGCAGCTTTTCAACCTCGTCTGCAGAATAGCAATTAAAAAGCTCATCCTTAAGTTGGGCAATTTCCTTGTCTTTTTCCTTGGAACTCTTTATCGCCTGATATGTTCCGGCTGTTTTATAAGTGGAGTCCTTTGGAGTCTTCGACAACGTGTTATCAAATGCGGCAGCGAAACTATCTGCATCCCCACTAGATGGCGCAATTACAGGAATGTTCTGCTCAGTCAGCCTGCTAACGGTGCGTCTAGGCGGTCCCATCGTTCCATAAGAACTACCACGTTTGGGAGATTCAATTATGCTCTTAGGCTCAGCACAAGCACGATGGCTCGGGCTAGCGCTACTTCTATTTCGGTGCGACATCATTTTCGTGTCATTCATTCTCTGACGCTCCGCCCTTGACTTAGACTCCATCGCATTCAGGGTCTTTACTGCATCTTCGCCATTTTCTTTGGTGGCCAGCATTTTGCAAGCCTCCTCGTACTTTTCCTTAAGATCTTCATGCTCTCCACGCAAACGCCCATGCTCTTTCCTTAGTTTTGTATACTGTGTGTCCGTTTCCTGCAACTTTTCCTCCAGACTATGTAACTCACGCATACTCTTGGTCGCCCCCATTGCGCTATCTCCATCAGCACCAGACTTGTTAATGCTACGCAACAACTCACTCTGACGCTTGCTAGTTGCAACCAAACCATTTATGCGGCTAGTCTGGCTCTTGATAACATCCTGAAGGTCAGAGTTTTCTTTTCTAAGCTTTTGAAGCTCGGTTAGAGAACGAGAAACCACATTCATATCACCTGCACCAGCCTTCTTCGAATCTCCGTAGTGCCGACGAAGCTCCATGATCTCTGCGTGCAGCTTTACACGCTCACGATCCGATGCTTCCAATTTGGCCTCCATTGTCGCAATGTACATGCGAAGATCCTCGTCGGTGTATGACTTACCTAGAATGCGGTTAGCATCGATATGCGTCTTACTGCGCTCCTCCCTAAGTTCATCCTCAAGCTTGTGCGCATAGGCCGCCATCCGTTCGCAGTCTGCATAGCTTGCGTGTGTCTGTAAAGGAACAACACTAGCACACGGCGAATGAGTATTCGGAGTTGCTAGGCGAGAGACAAAATTACTACCCGCGGAGCCTATGGGGGAAACTCCATCTGCTTTAGAGTCAACAACACTCCTAAGGTAGGACGCTAGCTCCCCGTGGTTCATAATCTCTGCCTGCCGAAGTGCTGCTTCGAGTACGTGCACAGCCGGATCGAACTCTGCAATGAGCGCCTTAACTACTTCTCCATGGTTTGCACGGGCCGCATAGTCAAGAGCCGAAAGTCCAGTAGAAGGCCTAGCGAGCTCGAAGAAGGGGACAAGGGCATTTGTGGTTTCCAAATTTCCCGCCTCTGCAGCCAAGGATAGCGCATCACGCCCATCGGGCAAGACAATATCACGCTCGCTATTAATGAGGGCCCGGACCATTCTGGCGTCTCCGTTCTTAGCTGCCCACATAAGCGCAGTATATCCATTGCTGTCTGTGTGCCTCGCCTCGTGCACAGCTAAGGCTTCAACAATATCCGGATGGTTGAGCTTCGCTGCTAGGATGAGAGCAGTTTCTTGGTTCTCATTACGAAAACCCTTGAAGGACTTGGCCGACGCTGCAACGAGCTTCGCCTTCCCTTCGGAGACCGCAGAAAACCAGCTGTCGGAGTCCTTGATCTTGAACATTTTAAATTTTCCACATTGGCGGAATTTAATGGATTTTTTAACGCGGGAAACTCTAAAATTATGCATGCAGCTATTGCACTCGAGAATTTGTGCGCAAAGAACAACGGAGTAGGGATGTCTCCAGTTGGCTTATGAGTGAGCGATCATTGATGAAGAGCTTTATAAAGTCGTGTATGTTCCGGCCTTCTTTGTCTATAATCCCGTGTTCGTAAGGGATAAGCATTTGTACCATATTCATTTTCCCCTCGGTTATAGCGTACATTAGCGCGGTCCTCCCCTCTTCGTCTTGAAGACCAGCCTGTAGGGGGATCAAACTCCACGCGAGCTTCATGTCGCCGTCCAAGACGGCAGTCATTAATTCAGTTACGCGTCCGGATTCTCGGGAGTATGCGGAAACATCTAGGCACTCTGCGCTCAATAGCTCAGCTATCTTATAATGCCCCTTCTCTAAAGCTATATCCAAGGCGACCTTCCCATCTGACCGCACCCTTTTTGCTTCTACAGAAAGTAAGTACTTAACAGCAACGATACAGTTGTGTTCTGCCGCCAACATAAGAGCTGTACTACCATCTGATAAACTCTCACCGGCGTAACGTAGAGTTGTGCCTATCTCACGGAGATTATTCGTTTTGATAGCGCGCATCAATGGGTTGTAATCATCATCTGTCATCCCGTCGAGTATATTGGGCAGGCTTCCCGCTAATGTATCAACGGAGTCCTCTGGTTGGATAACTGAAGCAGGTGTGGTGGGTCGTGCGTGTGCAACAGCAAAGGTTGATGTCTGTGTGTTATCAGCAAGTAATGTAGGCATGCTCAGGCTGTGACTGATGGACTCGTCAAGTACTACGGCTTCTGCGTCTGCAAATCTAACCTTGTCCTTGAGAGATGAGATTTCCAAGGAGTTTCTGCCGTCAAAGAGATCGTCTTTTATCTGCAAGTTGGATGCTTCGTCCGGGTGTTCTTGCTGGCATTCTCTTAAAGTGTCGGAGACTGCCGACGTTGTACAGCTCTTACTACTCTGTGTAGTTAGCTTTTCCAAACTCTGTGCGTACTGGTATAGGTTAGTAATGTACCTTATGTATTGATCGGGTAGATATCCAAAGAGAGGAAGGAATGCTTGTTGTCTTTTAAAGCACTGACACGTTAGCTGCTGGTCAGACTCATTGTCCAGTGATCCTACTGAGGATTGAGTGCACTTAACTAGGTCCTTATTTAATGCTATGAGTAAATTTCTGACAACCATTTTCCTTGTATCGTCCGATGTGAGCTCTAGTGTTTTCTGAAACACGATGTTCCATAGATTCATTGCCTTTTTTTCTTCTGTGTTAGACAAATCAAGATTGACGAGAAGAGTGTCTAGTGCTTCCATGTCTAAGACTGTTTGTTGAGAACACGTGTTTGATGCTGGTTGCTGCAAAGCCATTTGGTAATGAGAGTTAGTCGGTGAAGGCATGTTGCTACAAATATTAACATTATGATATCCGTTCAATTCATCAGTCAATCTAGTTATTTCATCCACTTGCGCCTGCATACAAGCCTGTATTGATTCGTACTCTGAGACTGTAAGCTTGAGGTTATCAATAATGGTCATGAGTTTTGTGGATCCACAGATCGTGCATGATGCACGGCCAGTGCAATCAGTACCAAGGGAGGCATTATGGCAGCCATCGTCTAGAATAAGAGAGCTTCCTCTTACAGATTTTGAACGTGACCGAGAGCGGCCATCACGTCCTGATCCACAGAATGACTTTTTAATAGCAGAAAATGCACGCTTCTTAGGAGTCTCGAGAGGTTTTCCACTTCTTGTAGAACTGTGAAAAGAGTCAAGTCCAGAAGAGAAGAAATTTGCCTCTGCAGCAACTGGATCTGCAGACACTAACCGGAGTTGGGAGGTGCGCAGCTGAAGTATTGTCATATCACGCTCTCTCAACGTTGAAGTGAGGTCATCGATGCGCGCCTCATAGTCCCTCATAATGGTCGCCGCTGACTCTAACTCCTTGTACAAAAGCTTTACCTCGTCGGATTCATTGCCTGAAACTACTTGAGATGCTATCGATGTGGATTGGTCCATTGATGCTGCTAGCCGCTTCTTGAGCCTTTTGTTTTCCTCTAATAGTTCTGTCAGTTTAATATCTGTCTCTGGAATAGAGCTTTTTGGCGCAGCCAGTTGAGAAAGTGAACGCGGGGGTAAGTTACCTGTGCACGCTGCATCAGACCTTGGTACACCAAATTCGCGGTTCTCTCGCTCTGCAAAACAGAGTTGCAAAGAAGCAACAGCACGCTCCAACTCTCGTATCTTGACGTCTGTCTCGTCCTTCGATTTGCTCTTCATTGCTAGTCGAGTGGTTACTAGATAGTCAACGACACTAGTGCTCTTAGTCCGTTCTGCTTTTTCAATAGCGGAGTCTATTTGGCCCGTCGATAACCTCTGTGTTTCTACTATGGTCCTGACACATGCAATATTGTCGTGCAGGGCAGCATAATCTAGTGCAGTATGTCCAGAAGCATCCTGGATAAGATCGGCATGGGCAGAGAGCACCGTGAGGGCATAGGCGTTTCCTAGCTCTGCCGCTAAAATGAGAGCGTCTTTTCCATCTGAAAGAGTTAGCGGCCACTCTAATGGAGCAAGAATGTCACAAAGCTCTGCGTTATTTGCAACTGCAGCCATCATCAGGGCCGTCATTCCCTCAGTGTTGCGCATTCCTGCTTCATACGAAGATAGGATTTGACAGATATTGGAATGCCCGTTGCGGGTTGCAAGCATAAGGGCTGTATTCCCATTTTCCTCAACCGTTCGAACATGCACCTGCAAGAGTTCTTTAATGACAGCTACATCTCCGCGCTGAGCGGCTCCGAACCATACGGAAATCATCCAAATCCCACTGAGTAATGAGCTCTTTTTTGAGGTAGAATTTACATGTCTACAACAGCTCCTAGGTAGGCTTTTCTCCAAACGTATTCACCAAAATATGGGATCTGAGCACCTGCAGGTCTTCATCCCTAAGCAATCAGTATAACGATAATTCTACATTACACAGGATGCGGGCACAGATAGCAATTTAAACTTTTAATAAATTATCCAATCCGATACGTTTAATGTAATATGTAAAAATGAAGCCTTCAAGACATAAGCGAAGCCCGAAATAAAACTGGAAAGTTATGCCTATGAATGAATATGCTTCTGAAGAATAGTAATGCAGGTTGCTCGTGCTGTTTGATTGAAGCATTTCTGTGCATAGTCTAGGGCACTTAGACCATGGTGGTCTCGGAACTGTGCTTCACTGTCGACCAAAAAGCGAATTGCGGACACAGAACCACGCTGAGCTGCAAGCATCAACGCGGTCCGACCTAGTGGATCACGGAGGCCAGCCTGAACCCTAGATAAGCTCCAAGCATCTAGCAGACGATTCTCCTCGATTGCTTGCATGAGCTCTGTGTAGCGACCATCATCTGTGGGCACATCTGGTAAAGGGGGCGCCTCATAGTCTTCAAGGGCGGTTATAGCAAGTACGTTTCCAGATTCGACGGCCAGTTGAAGAGCTGTTACGCCATCAGATCGGTGCATTCTTGCTTCTTTCTCCAGCAGATACTTGATAAAGCTCTGTCTTCCATATTGTACAGCTAGCATTAATGCAGTAGTCCCATCGGGAAGTGTTTTTTGTAGATACTTCAGACTAGAACCAACACCCCGAGCATTTCCTTCAACTATCGCTTTCATAAGGGGTGTCACCTCTGTTGTTACAGAATGACAATGTTCTGTTTCTAATGGAAACGGCGAGCCAGTAAGCTTCTGGTGTTGGCCTTCTGGCTTGACTGGCGATTGACACTCTATAGGCGCGTGCTCATAAGCCTCAGCAACATTACTATTTCCAGTTCGAAGATAGACAGCTGGTGCATCCTGCTCTGGCTTAGATTGAAACTCTATCGGTACATTAGTGTATGAAGTAGACTGAGGTTGCTGATTGTTCTCTGTGGATAGTGCATCAGTGGCCAATGAGGACTCATAGAATATGTGATCCAGAGAACAATCTGTTAGACCAGAAACTCCATGACCCTGATGCGTCGCAGAAGCCCCAGTAGCCTCTGCTTCTGCTCTGAGAGTGGCCATTCGTTTTATCAGACTATTAATGGTTGTATTCTTTCCTGCAAGTGCTTTCCGTGTTTCTTCCAGCTCCCGCTCGGTTACTTCATGAAGCTTCTTAAGCGTATTGTGTTCTGCAGTCTCGTGCATATAGCGTTCCTTTAGTTCATTGTACAAATTCTGGACTTCCGCAGTTGTACTTTCAAGAGCTTCATTTCTTTTCCGTAGCTCTCCTATCTGGCTATTCTTCATATCAACAAGCTCAGATATCTGCGTCACATCGTTATCAGCTTGCAGGCTAGATAGTCGTGCCACCTCGCTCTGTGCCATTGTAAGAGACTCTAGGAGTTCTATACATCTTGTTTTCAATTCTTGATTCTCTGCTGTTAGGCTGGAAAGCTGCTGGTTTTGTGATAAGTTAGGTTCCATTGTGCTAGATGTTGCGTGGGACTCTTCTGCTGTATGGGCTTCAGCTGGAGCATTGCCAAAAGATGCCCGATCATTGGATTTTAGTCCAAGTGCCTGCAGTAACGAACTGCTCATAGATAATAGGTTATCTGTTAGTGGTACAAGATTAGCTTTAGACGCACTGATAGGGGTGTCTGTGGAGAGACTATCCACAGTGAGCCCAGAAGCAGAAGAATAAAGTGCTGCAAGATCCTGCCTTCTTGTAGTAAGAATTTGAGAAATTTCAATGATCTTTTCGTGAATGGCAAGGCACTGTTGTCTAAACTCATCTTTTAATACTCCCATGTGATCTGGTGGATTCACTACTGACTCGTCATGCTTCTGTGATAACATTAGACTTTTGTTTGAGGCTTCTAATTCTAATATTATGCGATCTTGTCGCTCAAGTTGTCGTTTCAGCGCATCCATCTGGGAAGTCATTTCATCGGAAGAATGGCCACTGGATCTGAGTATGGCGATAGTCTTCTTAAGATCTTCGTTTTCCTTTTCGAGCTGGAGATTCTCATATGTTTTAACGCTCAGCTCTTTATTTAGAGATGTTATCAGTGTCATGGCATCCGATTCTCTGTAATCTCTAGAGTGTGTGCTATCGTACTTATGCCTTGAGCTACTCTCTCTGTGCTCTTTCGTCTTCTTGTGCACACTGTGTGACTTCTGTGCAGATCCTGGACGTGACGCGGCTCTAGCAGATGACGGGCGTGATGACCTCTTCCCTCCAGAGCTAGAGGAAAGTAGAGATGCATTAACTCCACTCCCCACCAATTGGGTCTGTGCCTGAGCCTGAGCTTGAAGAAAGGAACTGACAGCTGATGAAGGCACAACGCTTGGGAGAAACTTGGCCACCGATCCCGATTTCCCGTGAGTGAGAGATGGCCCTACTACTGGAAGCCGAATTTTAGAGGAATTCCGAGTTGTCTGGAGAGCAGAGAGCGTTGGCTGCGGTGGGTCTGCAGAGGAATCCAGGGCTCTACTACGTGGAACGTGTACTGTGAGCGAAGCCTTAGCAGATGATGGACGCCTAGCACTTTCTACACGTGTTTTAACTACCTTGTCCAAAACTGTCCCCATTTCTTGCAGCTCATTTGTTGGTATACAGAACAACTGCTTTCGCCCCGAAACGCCACGTCCCTGCAGCTTTTGCTTTATGTATTGCTTAACAGATGATAAGTACATGCATAGCTCTCTGTTATGCTGGCTTTCAGACAATTGTAGTGCGTAATCTACCTGATCTAGTGTCACATCTTGTGTTTCTATAATAATCTTTGTACAACCGAGATTGTTTCCCAAAACGGCATAATCTAGCGCTGTCAATCCATTTGGATTTGTAGAAAGATCAAAATAATGGGTCAAAATGGCCAACGATTGACTGCATCCAGCACTGGCAGCAACCATGAATGGCGTGCGATTATCAGAAGTGTTAATGTGACTCTCATATGGCCGCAGGAACCGTACTACATTGACCTGTTCTTGTAGGATGGCTTGGATGAGAGCAGTTTGCTGTACTGAATTTAGTAGAGAATTCTCATAGTCCACTAGAATTTTAACGGCAGCTAAGTCCCCTGAACGTGCGGCGTGCATGAGCGCTGTATCTCCCAACTCGTCCCTAATTCCTGCAAATCTACGAAGCCCCTCGCGAATTCCCGCGTGATTTTTAGAGTCCACGGCCAGGAACCAGTCCTGGGCGCTTAGCACTTGGGGCATATGCTCTCTGCCTTGTTAAAATTTAGAAATTTTGACAAATGCTTTAGGATCCCTGAACGCTATGTCAGCTCAGATGCTTGGATAAGCGCTCTAATTCAGGCCCTAATATTCACTTATAATTAACACCAATGGGATAGCTTCTATCGAAGGCCGCATGGTATGCTCTATCTTTATAAAAGTTTTAGACTTTTGACACTGGAAATGTCCTTGGCCAATGACTCACTCTTTGTGAGCCAGAGAGTACGGCACAGCGAGCATCCAGAACAGATGGGGACGATACGATACGTTGGACCTATTAAGGAACAGAGCAGTAACTATTGTGGGGTAGAGTGGGATTCGTCCGTCGGGAAATACGACGGAGAATACCAGGGGACTCGCTACTTCAATTGTGCACCTTTATATGGGTCATTTGTTCATGTAAAAAGGCTTATCCCAGCAACGAGTTTATGGGATGCCATTCTGGACCGATATGTTACAGGCCGCGAAGTCAACGGCCTAGAAACGATGTTCGTTACCGATGGTATTCGAGACACTCGGGTGCACTTCTATGGGCAAGACAAGCTTGATAAGTACCATCAACATCTGGAAAACCTAACAGACATCGATCTTCAAGGATATGACGTCGGGCACCTAACCAGTACAGGCGACCTCTCTGTATTTTCGCGCCTAGCTAACCTTCGCTTTCTCGAACTTTCATTTACATTGCTCAACGATCCTATTAGTGTGCTTACCCTACTGTGTGCAATTCCATCTCTTGAAGTTATCTTGGTGAATGGATGCAACGTTAAATGGCATGAGCTGTTTGAGACCAAGCCAGACAGAGCCAGAAATTCAAATGCAGACATGTCTACTTGTGTTCCCAGCAAGCGTCAAGAATTTGTAAGAATATTACATCAACTTAGGCGTAGAAAACGCCAGTTCGCTATCTATACTAATGCCCAGAAGCACAGACCAGAGCATGATGCCAATACCACCGCCACTAATACATGTATTACTGGCCTTTCCCTCAGAGCTCTGCTCTATCTACCCAACTTGACTGAGTTACACGTTGACTTTTGGGCTCTTTCACCTAAAGACATTTCCTGGATTAGGCACCAAGATCTCTTGCAATTGTCTGCAACCTCTAGCTTTAGTCAGCCCCTTTCCGAAGTATTGGTGGCCATGGCTAGAGCATTTCCAAAGCTTAAACATTTAAGTCTTTGCGCAGACACAAAGCATTCAGAGCTTAATTGCCTGCAGAAGTGTATGATTGAGGCCTCTATGCAATGCAGTTACTTACATACATTTCAAAGTCTTACGACACTCAACCTTTCTGGAAGAAGCTTGGATATTAGCCTCCTACGATTGATGCACAAGCTTTGCCCACTAATAGAGGATGTTATATATGAGGAGATCCACGTGAACGGCGCACCTGTTCCACGAAAAGAACATAAGGCCTATGCCGTTGCTGTGCTGGGCCCACAGCTCAAGGTCCTCAACTGGATACCATTGTCTGCCGAAGACATAAGTTCAGAGGAGCGATTTTACATTTCCATTTGGTTTATCGGTGCCATGAAACTTAGTGGAGATGATCTCCGAAAGCATTGGAAGGAGTCCTCAGAAGTCTCTGTTCTTTTACGTAAACATGACCTGCAATTACCTGGAAGTAGGATTAAGCATCTATTGGAGTCTGTGCCTGAGATAAGAGAGGAAGGAATAAAGGGGATAAGTGATTGGAATGATGAGCAAGAAGACAGGGAGTTATCAAGTGTGGAAAGAAGATACCGTGGAAAGCTGATTGAAATTACTCTGTTAGAGCCTCACCATTCCAAACAGAAAAGTCCTAGGAAGATCCTTTTACCAAAGAGTACGTGCGTGTGGAGGCTACTCATAATCCTGAAGGAGATTTACGGAGTAGATGTGTCTCACGGGATGGTTGCCTCAAGCAAGAGCATATATGGAGAAAATATAAGCAGCTTAAGCCTTTACACACCTATAGGAGACGTCACAGGAACAGAGTGTCGCATCCGAGTATGAGGACCCATCACTCTGCATTTCACTGGCTTGTTGCTTAATGAATACTGAATAGATCACTCAGGTAACGTATAGATCTGTCTAGGAAGTCTGCTAGTGTAGACGAGCACTCATTGAACTTACGGGCTTGCTGATCCGACATAGGCTCACTGGAAATCTGCAAGAGCATGGTTGCCACGTCCATGATACGTGCCATCATATATGTAGTGTGGTCAACCGCAGCTATACACGCAAGCAGGCGGCGTAGCACATCCAGGTTAGACTGGACTGTTTTAAGAAGGCTTTTATCAACCACGCCGGGCCTTGTATCCTGAGAGTCCTTTGCAAGCTTGAGACTTGCTAGGGTGAGTAAACACTGGCTTGCAGAATTAAAGATGCCATTTATATGGTCCTGAAAGCCCCGCTGAGCCGGAAGATCTTTTGGAATGGCGGTTTTGTAGTTGGCTGGTTCATAGCTCATCCTGTGCAGGGACCAAAAATAAAAAAGATGCCCGAGGTGTCGAATGCGCCGTTAAAAGATCCCGATTTTGATCCTTACATAGACAATGGAGGAACAATCATTGCCATTGCAGGGCCAGACTTCGCCATGATTGCAGGAGACACTAGGCTTTCAGAGGGGTACAACATCCTTTCTCGTAATGTCCGTAAAGTCTTTCCTGTCACAGATAAAATTGTCTATGCCGCATCTGGTATGCATGCGGATGTGCAGCGACTACTCAAGCATATGAAGATAGAGTCAACAGAGTATTATCTAAAGACACAAAAGGAGATAGCTATAGAGCAGTTCATAAGATTGCTGAGCGCTATGATGTACTACAGGCGCTCCTTCCCTTGGTATACATCATCCATTGTGGCGGGTATTGACTCCGAAGGGAGGGGCGCTGTCTACTCATATGACGTAATTGGCTCAACTTTGCGAACCAGATACGGTTCTGCAGGTACAGGGAATGCCATGATATGCCCAATACTTGACGAGGCCATATTGTCAAAGAACGAGGCCGAGATTACTCGGGAGTTTGCCTTTGAACTGATTCAATCGGCATTTAGGAGCTGTGCAGAACGTGACATATATACGGGAGACTCAGTTGTTGCTATGTGCATATCTGCCGACGGAATCCAAGAGAGGACCTTTGAGCTACGTAAGGATTAGGATTAAATCTGTAAACAAAAATGAGCCAAATTTGGTTTAATGCCATCAGAGCAGGGGATATCACGTTCGTGCGTGCTAATGCAACTAAGTACCGGGGTACCCGCAACAAACATAACGAAACAGGGCTTGTGTATGCGATAAAGCATAACCGTGTGGATATTGCATCATTCTTAATTCCGTACGAGCGCAACCTGATTTTAGATGGCGCTTTCACACCGCTCATGGTATGTGCTCTATATAACTGTGTTGACGTGGCAATAATCCTTGCTGCTAGCGGTCACTCAGCCGTGAATTCTGAAATGCAAACTGCTCTTATGATAGCTGCCGAAAGGGACCATGCAAAGATCATCCAAATCATTCTCCCCAATGAGGTAATGCGCCGGGATTCACGGGATCGTACGGCTCTGATGCTGGCCTCGATAAGCGGCCAGAACAAGGCGGTTGAGCTACTACTCCCCCAGGAGGGCGGATTTGTCAACTCGCACAAAGAAACCGCCTTTTATCTTGCTCTTTATCACAATAACCTATCCACGGCAAAGATTCTCGAGCCAGTGGAGGCCAATACGTGGTGTGACAAGCTTGTATCTGTTGTTGGCATGTGTTTATCTGACCCTAAGACCACCGAGTATATTCAGTATCTAGCACATAAGTACCCCAATATAGAGAAGGCATATAGAGATTTTTGCGGTCAGGCGGGAACCTCCTTGAGTCCCTACAAGGAGCTCCGATCCATTGCTGAGTTACGGCCTTTAACGGGTCGCTCTGTTAACTCCCTAAATCCATCAGACGCACGAACAGACAAAGCCTTGTTTATATCGCCCATTCCGACTAGATCCTCGCCTCTTCGGTCGTCCCGGTCTGTTAACTCAAGGCTTAAGGAGGAGCATGTGACCATATCTCAGTCAATACAAAACAGCGCACATGAACTGGAAAGATTCAAGGACTCGTATATTACTAATATTAACCAGCTTCGTCGAGATGCAGAGTCTCTGCAAAAGCAACTCAAGGCCCAGGTCCATGCCCAGGCTCAATCCAGCGATCCTCCGCGGTCATCCACCGGTGGCCCTCGATATCAAAAAACTCCAACAGCACTCCGCCAAGCAACTGTTACCCCTACCTCTCTTCCTAAAACAATGGCAAAAGATGAGGCACATATTGTCCACTCGTTCACTAGTAGTCCGCCACGCATCAAGCGTGCGGGAGGAGATGTCACTACACTCTGCAACGAGATAATTGTCAGCTTTGTAAAGTCCATGGGTACGAATCCTTTATCTCCACGTTCACCATCCAGACCTGTCTCTAGGCCCGTACGCAGCAATAGTACACTAACAGCTAGGGACAATTGGACTGCAAGTACAGACTCCATGCAATCTCACACGGAGCAAGCTGTCAATACAAACGATACCATCAGCTCTCTGTCAAATTCTAAGGCTGCAAACACATATATTAACTATAGCAAGCAGATGCAATCCAAGCTACTTACTATGCTTAATCAAAAGCACGATAGATCGCTGGGCTGGAACAGCAGCGATAGCTCCTTTTTCTCACAGTCAACTGCCAATAAAGAAGGAGAAGAATTCAAGGGCAATATTGATGGCCCTGATGGTCTAGCTTCTATTCTAACGAGATCTGTACCTGCTTCAGCCCAGCGCCTTCAGTCCCCAAGGGCTTTTGAGATAGTCTATGATCAAGTAGTTGGCACTAACGACTCCGAACACCTCAATGCCAAAATACCTATCCCAGATAATGAGACAAACGTTTACAATAGCACCCTAATCAATTCGACACCATATAATGAGGTAGCGCAGAGCCCTAAGAACACAACCAGTATCTTTATGGGCACAAACAGCATCGTACAGCAGCAAAACCAACAAGAAGATCAACACAAACAGTCAAGTGATGCTACCGTAGCAGCCACAAATCAAGGCCTCATGGATACAATTGAAAACTTTACGCAAATCATTGATGACTTGTCAAATGAAAATATTCTACTTAATAAAGAACTAGACAAGTTCAAACGAATGCAGCGTCAACTGTACGACGAGAGCAAGACAGATAAGCAGACCATAGAACTGCTTCGCAAGCAGCTTGACAGCATGGCCCACAACTTTTCAGAATCCACTAAGCGTGACATCTACACTATGAAGAAGGAGATCGCACGACTTGACAACTCTTTGATGGACGCGAAGCGCCTGGAGCTAGAGCTGTCCCGAGTTGTGGATGACGATGATGCAGATCAAATCACAGATGAATCCTTGATGCTCTAAAAGCATGTAGGTGCATCAGTCATGTATGCTGACTATAGCCACAAAACCGTGAGCGATTAGAGGTAGCTGCTTATGGTATCGTCGTTAGTACTCTTTGTTACTATACTGCTACTGTTAGAGATGCATTCACAGGATAATTGCACAAGGTTCGTATCAATCTGTTGCATTGCTTGCAATAGAAGATTGTTATTTTTGAAGATCTGTCCGAGTAAACTTTCGGTTGTTTTCAAGAGAGCTTTTATCAATGACGATTCTCCCGGAAAAGAATGAGAAAGTACTGCAATAATAACCTCATTAAGGGACGTCAATTTGGCGTTCAAGGTGTCGGGGTCTATCTGGGTGACAGGGGTACTTTTAAGATATGCCAGGGACTCTTCAAAGAGCTTGTTAGCCGAGAGTCGAGACAGCCAGTTCGTGGTCTGTTGAGGTAACGATGTTGACATTTGAGTGGTAGAGTGGTTGAACACAAGAGGATCATAAGCAACAGGAGGCTGAGAGGTCATGCGTAAGATAGATATCGATGCAAGGGTTCCCGATGCACAAAGAATAAAATGATGGGTAGGGTCATACCCAAGCAGGACGGGGAAATCTCCCTGGATGGTAACTGCAGTTTCTTCCAAGGAGGCACTCGCAACATTGAAAACTGTCACAGTGAACTCGTGCAGCGTGTCCTCAATCGTTTTAGTACCCAGTAGAAGGATTTTGGCGCCAATTCCGTTAGTATTGAAAGAGCTTCTGAACGCGGTCACACGATGGATGCAGATGGCCTCGTCTTTGTAAGAACACAGTGCATCCTGGAGTGAAATTGTGATGGGATTGTTGCATTCATACAAAAAGTTTTCGGCCCCGCAAAGCTCATATAGAGAAGCCGACGTTTGCTTACCTGCCCAGCTCATGCACAGAAAGAAATGACTATAAACGTCATCATCTAAGGAGCATACAGCCACTGGAATGATGCCGATGAGGTGCTTAGGTTCTTCGCTGGAAATGACGAGTGACTGGATCTGCTGAACCAGATAAAAATCGACGGAAAAGTTATCTGAAGATATCATCTTGATGGAGTCGCTTGCCTTGATCTTTGATAGCGAGGCTATACGCTGCTTAATCGGTTCTAGTAGAATAGGGCCTACCATTGAGTGAACCAACGCGACTTCATTTGAAGGAAGCAAAAGTTCTAGACCGACATAAAAGACAGATTCCTCGAATAGAAATGACTGAGACTGAGGTAGCTGATTTGATGAGGACATATTTAGGCAATCTGTTGAGGCTCCAAAGGGACAGATGTATGCTCGCGTGACATCGGTGCTGGAGAAGGAGTACGTATCACTATCAGCTAGTCTACATACTTCTTTGTCTAGGAACTCGAAGGTGAAGATGGGGACAGGGCATTGGTGGAGATTTTGTGTCTTTAAATCTAAAATATAAATAGCAATTCCTGCTATGGCTTCATTCGGCATCAGCAAAAAGAGATATGTTTTTCTATGAAGCTGAGAAAAATAGGGATAATAAGAAAACGTGTGTGAATATGAATTGATAACTTTTCCAGTAGAGCGGTTCAAAAGATGCACGATCATAGAAGATTGTGAAAACAGTATCAGATTATTATCGAATGGGTCTACAATAAGTTCTGTTATATAGTCAGTGATGTCTAATCTCTGTTTGGATACTTGATTTCTATGTGCAATATCAACGGTAAGAAGAGTTGCCCCTGTGGATGTATTAAGCAGTCCATAAACGCGAGAATTATCTGACGATACTAATGAATGAGAGAACCTTTTAATGATGGGATTAGTGCAGACTTCTTTCCTTACGACTGCGGTGGACAGGGATGAACCAACGGTCTGGGCGTACTTGGATATATATTCTGCTAATCTTGCGGGGTCCGAAGACAGCTCTGAAGCATAAGGTGGCTGCGGTTCTGGAGTTGCTGGACAAGTTGAGTCAGAAGTCATTGCCAAAGTGGCCACTGGAGGCTGAATGGGAGGGTTATTGACTTTAGGTTGCCGAAAGTCAAACATAAGATTACTATCTACTAGTTGGTTGTTAGCAGGCTGTACGTTGTCCCGCTTAAAGACCATGTCCAGCGTGGGCATGCAAGATGAAAATACATTGAAGCCTTGAGAATCTCCGGTTGAAAGATTAAGGCTTCCAAACGATAAGTTGCCCGGCTGCTTTGTGTCTTGGTTGGCATTCAAAGTGGAAGAGGAGCTTGTTCCGAAGTTAAACATTCCTGCACTGATAAAGTTTGTCAGATTCTTTTGTAAAAAGTTCACAAAAATGAGGAAATTGAAAAAATTGCACTATTTGTTGATTGAATCGCCTGTAATTATTAGGGGTAAAGGTAGTCTATGACGGACGATGCCTTTCAGGCCTATATGTCTGCTGCAGAGACAGGAGACGTCGCTGTCCTGCGCCGTCTCACAAATTGTCACCGAAAGGCTACGGCTGCTGGTACCACAGCACTTATGATTTCGGCATCACACGGGCACTTGGGCGCTGTTTCACTGCTTGCACCTCATGAGTCCACCATGAGAGACCGCAGGGGCTACACAGCGCTGATGTATTCCACTGAAAAGGGATCCGTGGAAATCCTTCAGTGCCTCTCGAATGAGGTCAATATTAGCGCAGACAATGGGATGACTGCTTTAGAACTTGCAATGCAGCACAGACAGCATAAGATAGCAGAGGTGCTCTACCCTCTTGAGCAGGCCAAGGCAAAGATCACTCCCCTCATGTGGGAGTCGTTCGTTGGCAACGTTGCAGCGGTGCATCAGTATATTCAGTATGCAAAATGTCAGGCGGCTGGTGGCATGACGGCATTGATGTTTGCAGCGCTGGCTGGGCACATAGAGTGTGTGAAGATTCTCGTTAAACATGAGCTAAAGATGCGGAACAACAGTGGCATAACAGCACTAATGTTTGCAGCCATACATAATCATGGTGGCATCGTGAGTCTTTTGCTCAAGGAGGTGGGCATGCGCGACAATGGATTCCTAACTGCGTTGATGAGGGCCTCTAAGAAGGGGAGTACAGATGCCATTAACATTCTCACAAAACATGAAGCTCAGTATGTTGACGATAACGATAACACTGCGTTAATGTTCGCTGCATTATCCGGAACCGTCGCCCAGTCTGCAGCCTTGATACCGAAGATCTCTAGTTGGGCAAACGCAGAGGGCCGTACAGCACTGATGATTGCTGCTCGAGCCGGAGACCTCAATGGGGTCAGGCTGCTGATACCAAAGGAGAAAGGCATAAGGGATAACCAAGGCATGACAGCCCTCATGTTTGCAACACAGGCTGGGCATATAGATGTGATCAAGGAACTAATAAGTCATGAAGCAGAAATGCAAAGCTCAACAGGGAAGACTGCCCTTATGTTTGCTGTCGAGGCTAACTGTCGAGAAGCCGTCGATCTCCTTATTTCTAAGGAAGCCCGTAAGCAAGACAATCTTGGCACTACGGCGCTCATTATCGCCACTTCTCTCGGTCTTTTGGATATAGCCACCCGCTTGTTTCCGTATGAAAAGCTCATTGTCAGGAAGGATGGATCCACCGCCCTGATGACTGCTCTGCAAAGTGATAACACAGAATTGGTCTCTCTCTGCATGGAGGAGGCGGGCTTGAAGACTGAGTTCGAGGATACCGCGCTCAACATTGCTTTGCAGCTAGCCTTCTATAACTCGGCACAGCTTCTTATGCGATCCTCTAAGGAGCGAGAGTTAATCGGAATGACTGACCTGATGGTGGCCTCCTTTTGCAACGACATCGAGGCGGTCAAGAAGTATGCTCCGACACAGAAAATGATGCAGGATAGGCAGCAGCGTACGGCACTAATGTATGCGGCAATGAAAGGCAACGTAGAGTGCATACCGCTTCTGATAGATGAAGGCTCAATGGTCGACATAAACGGCTGGACCGCAGACACATACTCTGCCCGTTACTTTCATGATAAGTTTACCAGCGCCCTCTGCACTGCACTAGAATCCCAAGACTAGAATCTCAAGAGAATTAACTCTCTACCTAGCTCACCCTTGTAAATTATTTGGGTAGGTCTATGACTTATGATCTAACTCCATTTGAACAGAACTTTACTCCGTTGATCCAGTATGCCACACACTTTGAGCAATACGAAGAAAATGTCCGGCATTTTCGTGTCCTCCCAGACGCTATTGCCGTCTTGATAGAGTACATATCCATGGAGATGACGAGGTCTGCTGCGGCAGCAAAGGACTTGCAGAACCAGATAAATAAGGCAGCCACTGAGATTTCCATAGCTATAAGGACGCTGATGTTAACCCAGTACCGTCTTACTCAAAGAGCGCTTTTTAAGCTTATCACCGCATTGTGCTTCGAAGGATCTAAGGTTCCCCGACGCCTTTTGCGGAATGGATGCCAGATTCTAATGGCGCGGCACTTGGAAATACACAGTCTAGATCACAGCACAGAAGACACCTGTCTAACAGATTGCATAGGCGCTATGATATCGGTTGACCCCAAGGGTATTTCTACAGCAATAATCAATGCCGTAGCGTCGATTGCCACGGATAAGGCAGATGCTTTGCAACTAGAGTGTATGGCGCTATGCCAGCAGATGGTTATATATGGAGTTAGTAATTCAGAGCCTGCCATGCGCGTATTCTTTGACCAACTGACTGAGCCTGAAAGAATTAACGAAGTGTATATTAATTCTGCCGTTATTCTGAGGCTCATATCCTCCAAAAGAACCCCTGAAGAGGACACAAAAATAAAGCACAACGTAGATAGACTCCTTGTTCCGTTATGCACGAAGACGGAGATACCTGATGATGATGAGGAGACTCAGAATAGACCCTCCAATACCGAGTATTTACGTGAAGCAGAAGACATACAGAGAGACCTTGATGATGTTGCCCTAAAGCTCAGGATTTTGGAGTCCAATAGACAGACAATTGAAAAAGCAATCCAGAACACTTCCGATATGATGCTTGCACTTTCCGAAGAGCTCGATTCCACCAACAACTCTATACGCAATTTGTCACATATTGTCCACAATTATCAGAAAATTCTAAATACTCTCGGTGATGATAGCTCTAAACATCAATTGGAGATCACTACACGGAAAGACCTCCTATCAGCTCAGCATTCTCATCAAATTGAAGATCATAAGAGAGCAGAGTTAGAGAGTAAGCTGGTGCAGATTCAATCCGCAAAAACTGCATATATAGAGAAGTACACTGGCCTGTCAGCACAGATTGAAGAGTTACAAAAAAGGGAATCTGCTCTCTATGAAGAGATTAGACAAAAGAATGGAGCGCAGCAACGAGCCATGGATATGTTTTTTGTGAGTGAGGGTTTGCGACCAGGCCACCCCGCTGATAAGCATGCTAAGACAGATGTTCACGGTAAGAAGCAAAGGAGTCTCAACACAGGTCCGTCCTCCCTTAAAGCAGGTGGCTTTGGAGCATCCACAGCACTAGCAAATGATGCAGATGCATCCATAACCCAAGTGGGGAAAAAGCTTATCTCTCATATGTGCCGTGTGCGACAAGAAGCAGTTGATGCGCGACTTAAAAAGCAGCCCCAGAACTTTGAGTACCAGTCCGGTTCTAAAACAGTTCGAGTTTCGTCACGGACAGAAATCACTAAACATCTTTTGTACTGCCTTCTATCTACTCATACCGGCCTTCTATATTTATTGTCTCTGCCGTGCGGGCTTAAGGGGGTATTGAATAATCTTCTAACGCTCAAAGACTTCGATGGGACAAAGCGAGCTATCTATGAACTCTTATTTGATATCCTTGGAGATAAACGTATATTTAAATCTCGGTTTATGCAAAAGTTTGTTAGTCCAGCACAGCTCCTTTCTCTGAAGAATAGTACAACATATCCTAGTACGGAATTGCATAGATTTCAAAGTGCCATTGCGCTGACTGAGCTAAGCTTGTCAAACTCCCCAGGAAACAAGTTGGGAATTCAACAGACAAAGAGTACTGCAGGGCTGCGGCTGGCAGAGACTAAGGGAAACCTATTAACGAGCACAACGACTTTGCGCAGCAAGCAGAAAGCCAACACCTCAGCCCAGCTTCAGCCAAGCCATCTGCGGTACCTATCTAACTTCGTTAATGAATCGTCCCAGACCAATAGCGTTATTGAATCCCAGGAGGTTCCTGTTGCTCAGCGTTCTAGCTATAGCAGTAAGGGATGCCCCGGCCTAGGCGATGTGTACATGTACAGTTCATCTAACTATGGTGCTCTTGCAGCTCTTGCAATGGAGATCAGTCCTAACTTTAGCATGACGATGAGTGCCTCATTTTCTGGTATGGTGACGTCAGAACTTAACTTGCTAGAACTCCTGTTTATCGACGAGCTATACCTTGCCTCTCTGGGCTGTCCGTCTAGCTATGGTAGCTACACCGATAGTGACATCACAGCAGACCACATGATGTGGGTCTTAATAACACTAGCCAGAGCTGGGCTCGTTGAGGTGCTCTGCTGGGAGCTAATGTCCGATTCCTCTATGTCATACGGACCTGCTCTCATGCTGCTCACGCTCTTCCTGTCTAAGTGTGTCCAGCTACTCCCAAGAACTTACTCTAATCCTATCATCTCTTTATCCAGTCTAATCAGCTATTATATTGGCAACTTGTGTGAAAAGAGCAAGGCCAATCTCAACACCACAGGGCTTTCTAGGCTGTGGTCAGGCTCCAGCTCAGGCTCTCTTGCATACAATTCCTTCTTAAATTTCCAGCGCTCGATCTCTATTTATGCAGAGATGTACGAATTTGTGTTTACTCAAGGATACTTTAATCAGTATGTCAATCAGATTAATCTTTCTCAGCAGCAAATTGACCTTCACCATTACATACATGAAAAGGAGCTCGAGCGGCATGGAAATAACCTTTCAGAAGATAGTCTGTTTGAACGATTGCGTCAGCTTGTGGAGACGCGTTCTAAACTGAAGTTTTCAGATATAATAAAGACATACATTGCAATCAATGACAACGGGTTTGCTAAGAAAATGTTGAAGGAGCGAATACTTCACATCAATCTAGAATTGTATAGAATTCGTCTTAACTATTTAGACCAAGCCATTCAAAAATTGTTTGTACACCTTACCTCAACAAAGGGCGGCCTAAGAGTAGGGATTTCGTCCGTTGAGTGCAAGACTGGTTTTGATTTCTATTACTTTCGTATTGACTCTTTTCTCAAGTCAGGAGAACTCAGCGATTATCCCAGCTACTGGGGATGGAACTCAATATCGGCACTCATTGGTTTCCTCAGCAATCAGTTCGGGCATGCAGGAGAAACACAGGCAGAAGTTAAGTCTGTGTGGACCAAGGTAACACCCATTTTTGAAAATATTCTTAGCTTCATGGATGGAACTATAAAGCAATCTCATGACTCGATACAGAAATTGAAGCGTGCTAACTACAAGAAGCTCAATCTTGATGCCGCTACTTCGATAACCATGGCTAACTTACCAGAAGGATTTACCGAAGAAAGGACCGGGGCCGCTGGGTCAAAGTCGCTTGTTCCTATCGTTGCTGGGTACACACCCGGGTCCGCACCGTCTACTTTACTGTTGCAATCCATCGGTGGAGATCAGGATAGCTCCGAAATGCAGAGTTTAGAGCTGTACAAGCAGTGCAGCGACCTTAAGTTAGGCGCTCTATTTGAACTACCAGTAACAGAGTATACACTGTACATCTGCAGAACTTGCATAGGCATGCTCTCTTTACTAGTGCGCCACCCGGAAGGTATTGCGTTAATTAGAAAGTCAAGGCTTGCTTCGGTACTGTATGACATCTTAGACAGTGCCTCTAAGGATGAAGGGCTACTCTCAAAGGAAAATTACAAAGCAAATCTATCTTTGGGGGCGGTTGCTGCGATCGGAGTACTATCATCAACAGATCTAGGGCTTTATATAATGGCGTCATTAAATCTATCAACTGGTCGGACGGACAGTCTTTGGAAGCCAATCAAGCAACTCATCAAGCAAGATACACGACCAGAATTGGCTCAGCACTTAGTTATGTCACTAAACTATTCTGCATCACTTACCCAAACTTCACTGCTCCCCGGAATCGTGGAGCTATATTCGTCAACCTCAGAAAAAGCCGATATCATGAACCACAGCTTGAGGGATAATAAGGATGAAACTGGAGGATCAACGAATGTGGCAAATATGCTAAGCCCTGGTGTAGTGGAACAGAAAAGAGCAACACCCGACAAGTCGCTGACAATCCATGATATTGATCCCACCGACCACTTTAATATCCTATTCAGTGAGTTGAACAAAGAGTCCCGGGAGTGCATGGTAGAGGCTCTTAAAAGCAGTAACGTTAGCACGCGATATTTTTCGACATTCCACATTGCGGCAATGGTGAGACAGAGACACACGTTTCTCAAGGAATATAATGTTACGTGTCTCTGTTCTTCCTGCCTCTCTGTGTTTGAACACCACTTTGTAGATCTCAGGTCCCACTCTATACAACTCAAGACACTCAACGATGTCTTTTGGGCAGCAGAGTGTTTGGTAGCGCAATGCCGCGACCCTATTACCGAAATAGCAATCTGTGCCCTTATTGCCTTAGAGGAGCTTAGTTCTGAAAAGAATGTGCTTATTCTTGAATATATAGTGTCACTAAAACCATCTTTTGTGACATATGGTCGAATAGGAGAGGTTCTTATCGAACGGTTGGCTTCCTGTCCTGCAGGATTGCATTACATTAAAGATGAAAAGAACATTCTTATGCCTCTACTGGAATATTGGGCCAATGGTCTTGCTCCAGCCATGGAGTGGACCCTTAATCTAGAGGCAAGAATATACTCGAATATTGATTTGGGAATTGCACAGAATTACTCCTTGCCAGCTTTTTTCCAAGAAAAAATTCCATATAGAGTTAGGGGGGACGCGGCATCATTAACCTTTTACAAAGCTGACGAGCTAATGTATGACCACTTGGTGATGCCACATCACACACGTTTAGGAAGGTCTAGTCTTTATCTGCCCTACTCGTCGATTGACATGCCACCTGCGTTTCGTGAGCTGTTCATTGCCAACACTGGACAGATCAGGGAGAAGGACACCGCTAGCAGTACGTCGATTGGCTTCGAAAGGCCTGCCTCAGCGCTATCCTTTTTGACAACAGAGGCAATGACCGGACGGCTAAATAAGGGCATGTCTAACCCGTGTGGTTTCTTCAGCGACTATATGAATCAGTATAATGGTCCGGATTCCTCTCATCGAAACAGAGTGTCCAATATTCTACCTACCCACCTCCGTCCATGCCTTCTAGCAGAACTGGCCAAAACGCCACAAGGCTGTGAGCTGATTATCAAGACAGGCATCTTCAAGACAATCATGGAGATATTGCTCAACCCTGTAGAAAATCGATTTACGCTACAGTATAGAGCATCTCTCTGGTCAATTGCCTTCATTGCCCAGTCAGAGGCAGGCTTCAAAGAGATAATTGCAAAGGCGTCACTGGATCCCTCATGCAACTATTTGCGACAAGATTCTATCTCAATTAGTAATGAAACATTGGACGGTAATGACGATGAATCAATCCATTCGGTGTATACATGCCACAGCGTTGCTAGCAGCTTCATCACCGCGGGAGAACAGTCTGGAGTCACAAATTGGAACCCAATAAACTCCATGACTAATGCGTTCGGGGGTACTGGTCTGATCAGTAATATTCCCGGCTACCAGCTTACAGGCTTAAGCCTTGGCGACGCCCCCATGCTTAGTACACGCGGAAAACTGATGCACACAGTTTGTAGTCATAGAGGAGGAACGATTTCAAATATATTTAATAAGACGAGCTGCTCAACGTCTCATCTCTACGAAACATCCTCACAGTGTTCTGCTTCTAATGAATCATTTATCCACTACAAGCACGATTGGAAATTTCCGCCTCTTCTTTTACACCTCCTGCACAATCTGGCAATTTTTTCAGATTCATATAAGGTTAAACAAACCGCAACCCTTTGTATAAGCCATTGCTGCCTCAATGCCCGTATAAGGAGTTACTTTGTTGATAAGTTAGGCTGGGAGGTCACTCGTCTATCACGTTCTGGCGAGTCTTACGGATGCCTCCCGCCTGTGGAACTGTTTGATACATTTTACCGTGCCAAACTCCTTTCAAATGAGGAAGTGGAAACCTTTATTATGACCCCCCTCAGGAGCATACACAGTAGTCACACAACAATGACGCAGACAGAGGGTGTCTCTGTTGCTAACAGTCATGCTCGCGGGACCCCCCACGAGGACAACCACCATGCTGGGGGACGCTCACACAATATGTTGATGGATACCTCACTGCATATCGCAAACATGGCGGGTGCAAACATTAACATAGGAATGAGCATCGCGTCGTCTCTAAATTTTCGAGAACGGATGCCCGTACACCAACAGTCTTCTTCTGCTCTATCACTAAATATTACAGACGAGAAGATGGAAGAAATAAAGACGTTGCTAAAGTATACCACTACCACAACAAGCCCTTTGCCAGTCGAGCTATCTAGTGACAGCGCAGTCGATTACATTTGGCTCAACTTGGAGAATATTTATGACAAGGATTTTGTTCTAAGGACGTTCAAGCTTGAAGAGAGGTATAAGGCGCTTGGGCTGATAGAGGTGCCCCAAAAAGATGAAAACGATCAGCCTAAAAAGCTGCAATCTACCCCTACAAATGAACTAGACACCCCCGTAAAAACTCCACTGCACATTATGGCTACTAGGGGGACAGCGCGAATTAAGGGCATGAGGCTTATGCAGGCAGACAGCTACGTTACTAATCCTCGAGCATATTTGCCATGCGGCTGCACAGCAGGCATTATTATTTCTAAGGCAAGTATAGACGCTAGACTCCAACAACCCACTAGCCAGATGGTACCAAGCGGTCAATTACTTACGGCTGCATCACTTACAGACAGGTTTCAGGCTCTGTGTCGGAAATTCATTGGGTCTTTACCAAAAGAGGTTGCATTTTATTTAATGCATGATAATGATAACGAAGATATTATCAATGCATTCATACAACAGATTAGCATAGAGGGTGCGAAGATCCAGCGTAGAAACAAAAAGTTCGCCCACGCCAATGAGCTAGTAGTGATATCTAGCCTAAGAAGTGGAGAAAGGCTCAACGTATTTGAGTCACAGATACTCATGTACTGTAATTACTTGCTGTCTGCGTACGAGCCAGACGTTCAGCAAGCCTCCACTGCTATCGGAATCCTTGTCGACAATTCCATGCCATATAGAAACCCAAACATAGACTACTGCAAGGCAGATAATGTTCCGCGGGATTCCTTCTTCCTGGTGATCAGCCAGATTTTGGCCACGTGGCCCCTACTTCCAATTGCTCGCCGTGCACTTCTGAAGGTTTGCGACAGACCAACACTCCGAACCCTTAAAGTACTGGATAGTCTTTCTACCTTTGCCGAGGACATCGAGATGACTGGCTTAGCATAAGTAAAATTTTAAAAAATTATCTCGTTGGAACAGCTGCATATGAGTCGCGCAGGATCGTTTCGCTCTGGAGCAGCGGATCTGAGTCGATCTCAGTTGGCGCCTCGTATGCCCACAGGAGGGACTGCAAATGAACATCTGGCCCGCACTCTTAAGGAGACAACGAATGCAACCTGCGGTGATAGATACAGAGGAGACTTTCAGGACGACATGCGGCATGGGATTGGAGAGCTGGAGACAGCGTCTGGCGAGTCATACCAAGGTGAGTTCAAGCACAACGTGCGTTCAGGATATGGGACTTGCCGGTATCCGGATACAACCATTTACAAGGGTAACTGGCAAAATGACTTTCCACATGGCAAGGGGGAAGTCCAATTACCCAACGGAGACATCTTCGAAGGCAATTTCTGTGAGGGCCGAAGGAGTGATGGCCACGGTAGCCTTAAATATGCATCGGGAGAACGCTACGTCGGTAACTTCCGGGACGAGGTTCCTGATGGAGAGGGCACGTGTGAGTTTGCCGACGGAAGCCGGTACGAGGGCGAATGGGTCAAGGGCCTTATGTGCGGCCAAGGCAAGCTCTTTCTTGTCAACGGAGCCATATACAGTGGCGACTTTCTCAATTGTAAGCGGCATGGCACTGGCACTATGGTAGACGGCAACTCCCGATACCAAGGCGAGTGGGTAGATGATAAACGCAATGGCCGAGGAACCATGCTGTACGCGCCCGATCCAGGCGAGGAACAGGGAGGTACATACACGGGTCAATGGTGCAATGATTGTCGGTCTGGAACCGGAACTATGAAGTACACCGATGGCTCTGTCTATGAAGGAAGGTGGAACAATGATAGGCGGCATGGACCTGGTGTCCTGACTCTTCCTGATGGAACACGGTGGGTAGGAGAGTTCAGGAACGACGAGATTCTTGGCGAACGGGTCCGTATAGAGTTTACAGATGGCAGTGTCTATGAGGGCGGGTTTCGCAATGGCTTTGCTCATGGGAGTGGGTCCATTCAATACTCAGATGGGACACGCTTTACAGGTGAGTTCTTTGAAGGGAACAAATGTGGCCAAGGCACCCAGGTGCGCGCAAATGGAGAGACATATTCAGGTCATTACAATGGCGACAAGAGAGCTGGCCGAGGAACGTGCCGCTATCCAGATGGCAGTGTTTACAGAGGCGAGTGGCTCAACGATGTGCGCGAAGGCAATGGAACCTTCGAGGAGGCTAATGGATGCAAGTACGAAGGGGCCTGGAAGGATGACCAGAGAAACGGCCAAGGAATTCAGTATTACGAGGATGGGTCCGTCTACACGGGGTCCTTTGCTAATAATCTTCGTGAAGGCACTGGCATCTGCAAGTACTCCGATGGGAGCGTTTACGAAGGATCGTGGCATAATGATGTTAAGCATGGTCATGGAAGCTCGTTGCAGAGCTCTGTGATCCCTGGAACGGTGCCACTTACGCAGATGGGGACGAACCAAGGACTTGAGTCAGCTTCCACAGCTGCTATTTCGATGGCAGGGACCATGGAAAAAGCTCTGTCAGGCTCTAAAGCGCGCCTTGGGGCGAGTTCTTTGATTACAGGGGTCAGCGTGCATCCCGCGCCTTCCCGCTTCTTACAGCTGAGTAATAACACGCTAGCTCCAGCCAATCGGCTCGCCAGTTCAGGCGGCATTCGCGGGGCCCTGGGATACCGTGATCCGATGAAGCGACCCTCTGATGGACTAGGAAGGGTTCCAAAGTAGGTACCTTCTGCACCCCAATCTGCGTTCTTTTCATTTACTTCTAGCGGGTACTTTGTGATGGGGATAGGCTTTTTGTGTTATCCGAGACGGACCCTGGTGTAAAGACAGACCTGGACCACTTAGCGTTGCCGTGCTGTTAAGCATTGATGTCGTGAGCGTCTCTGTCAAAGGAATAGCCCCGGAAAGGTGAGGAGGACCGTTCTTGATCCCCATTTCTACAAGAAGTCTGTCCATTGAGATGGTTACCTCACTACATACACGAGTAATAAATTCATCTAGTAGATCTTGTGTAAGACTGGTCACAATGTCGGAGATTGATATCGCGCCTGAGCTCGCAAGTTGCTGCTTTGTGTTTCTGTATGGAGGCTCTCGTCTCAGCTTCTGTAAGCTGACGAAGCCATTCTTGATTCTTCGCATTGCCTCTTCTTGTAACCGTATAGTGTATGCCCTGGTCAACACTGGGAGTCGAATTTCGTGCTTTAAAGACATGGTCATGGGCGCTGAGGACAAGTGAAGACTGGCGTTGGGCTGCCTTCTGATCGACCGGTTTGCACTTGGAGGGGACTTTGTGTAACTGTTTTGTAGATCGTCCATTTTAAATTTACTGGGCATCGCTGATCTACCTACTCTGCTTCAGCAAAATACCCCCTTCAGTTGTTACTAGCTCAAGTACTTGATGCACATCTTGCCCAACTACTTGTCTCTGCCTTGTTTCTACTCTCATCAGATCGCGCCGCACCTAGGTGCTGGGGCGGGCACTGGGCACAGAACTCGCACTACCAACCAGCGCAGACGGCCTGCTAAAATATAGAAAACAGTCCAGTATTGCAGAGTACTACAGAGCACTCGTGCATCTATTGCTTTAAAGCCGTGAGCGTCTCGAGTTAGCTTACAGGAGTCTCCGATGTTTTAGCGCTGACAACAGTTAAAGTAGCTAAAGCAAATCCCACTATCGCCTGCTTCATGACTGTCGATCGATTAATCTTTTGGTCAATGAACAGTCAAAATAATTTACAAGCTATCTTCCACACAATCTGAAATAGATATATTGGATGGTTTGAGTGTAGTATACGTTTGAAAGTATATCTGAGGGCCCTCGAGAGATACGTTTTTCAAGATCTCCGAGACTGCCACTCCCAATGAAGTAAATGACCTAGCAGCGGGTAGTGTTGACCGCCTTTTAGGAGTAGGCTTCTTAATGGGCATTGCAGTAAGATGCATCACAGATTCATCGACGCTATCAGCATCCATGAAGGGGAAAGCGTCGGCTGTGTACTCTAAACTTGAAAGAGTGAGAATGCTCCTCTTCTCCTTATCTCGCTCACCCTGATCGAGATTAACTGCTGCATAGGACATCTTCGTTGTATCTACTCCCGCAGCTTCAAGAATAGTGGCTAAATCCATCTCTGGCATAACTGGCATGCTGTCAGCAATCACACTACCCACCCTGGTAGGTCCTGTGCCATCGCCGAAGGTTGGTCTTGGTAGGGTTCCCTTAGCATTAGTGGATGTGCTTTCCTGTCTAAGCCGCTGTCGCACACGCTCTAACGTCTCCATGGGTGTCTCTCGCAGGACGTCCTCCAGGTTCATCGCGCGCCTGGAAGAGTAATTAAACTTTTTAAAGCCCAACTACTTTTGCACTGGGTTGGAGCAGCCGCTCTGAAAGAACCGGTACACCGACATCAAGACAAGGTGCTAAATGCTTGCATGTCTTATCATTATTCTTCTTAGTGTCAGGATCCTTTCGTCTCTCTGTCCAATTAACAGTTCCGAGCTCATCATCTATAAAGATCTTGCCTACTGTCTACTCACTATTGTATTTGTCCCGGAGGTTGGCAACTGTTCCCTCCCCTCGGACGGAATGCTCGTCAGGCTTCAGGCAGGAACGTGGAGCTTTCTTGTTGAGCTTACAAATATAGCCTTTACTAGTCTAGTTTCTCTTCGCTTTACATGCACAGACATTATGGAAGGCGGGAACCCTGAATGTATGCAGGAGCTCGATGGTCTTCAACTTTTCTACGTATCCTTCATGAGGGACATTCAAGACGAGGGTTTCAGCATTCCCATTCTGCACTCTGTATCGCGGGTCCATGACTTGGCTAAGTCGTGGACAGACCCCTACTTTGTACTCTATTCCGATGTGGCTACTGGCATTTCGAAGACATGCATGCACTTCATTCCTCGATACATCCCCTTACCCGTGCGTGTGCAGCATCCTATGGTTTGCAACATCACTGGAACAATGTCGTGGGTAATTAGCGATAAGACGACGGTGACTATACCACTTGACGACGACTTTCTGCAAACAGATCCCATCTTGGGACTTAGATACTATAATCATACGGCAATAACACAGGTATGTGCGAGCTGCACCACCAGCCTTGTGTCTTCCTCCTCAAACTGCGATATTTCATCTTCTATAATCTATGGATACACTCCAAACGTCACTATTCGCCTGGACTATATCACCGGTTATCTTGTTCATGAAGAAGGCGATGTTAGCATTAACAATGACAACATTCAAAGCCTTTCCTTTTCGTCGTTTGGCTCGTGCTCGCAGTCTGATCTAGTTTACACCTGCTTTTGGACTACAGACGGTATCATAATGGACAGGTGTATGCGTCAGTATTATTTCTTTCGTGACGACGCGCCCAGTTGGTGCTACACTGCGGTGAAAAGTACACTTATAGGTTCCAACCTAACAATGTTCTACAACAACACCTATCTGTCTGAGTCTCTTCAAGATAAGCTGACGGTAGAGCCTAATCCACTCCAAATACTGAGCACCAGCTGTACCAACAGGGGCTTTTACAATACTGTCTTCTGGGTAGAGTACGACCTGAAAAGGTTTTTCACATCAAATACTTATAAAGCCACAGAGCTAACAATGGATAACGTTATTATCGCAATCCAAACAAAATTTCAAGCAAGCGATAAAAAGATCTTTCACCTTTTGCACCACGTTAAGACGCTCTATGTTCCTTGCCTTATGCGTCCGCAGCTTATTGTTTATGCGAATTACATACAGTTCTTTTTCAGAGATTTCATAAAGTATACAACCACAACGTCGTGCTATTCTCTTCTGCTTCCAAACTATTCTCACACTGTCGCCATCAACAACCTAGTGGCTGAGAGCACAAAGGATAGAAAGATCAATGTCTGCACATCTGCGCTCAACAACACTGACGAAAAGCTCGCTTATACATCCACTATTACCGACATCCGGTTGGAGTTCTATGAGCAGTTTCCTTTTACCGAAACGTACCAGGACCAAGTACTTCTCGGCGATTTCTATCTCTCAACTTCGATACCAGACACATACTTCTATCAGAAAAAACATATCACAATAACTTGCAAAAACTATATGCCTGCGAAAAGCCTCAACTGTTGGGATCTACTTAAGGAAATCCGTCTTCAGCACTACCGCAATACACTCTCTGCAGTTATATTCTTTAATGACGTGCCCTACAAAGTCTCCACGATCGTGTTCAAAGAGACCTACTTAATGATAGTATTTACCATAGGAGCATGCCTAATGGTCGGACTTTTGGGAGTGATATACGCATTAACAACCTCAAGGGTCTTCGAAAAGAAGGAGGGTGTCAATTCACAGCAAGAGGAAGCACTGTCATAAGGTGAGGCAGCAACTGCTTCTTTCTGGAAACCACGCCCTTCATTTCGAAAAGCATGTCGTAATCTTCATAATTAGGATATCCCATGACATCCTTTATCTCGATAGGTCCTTCGCACATGAGGATAGAGTTGGATGTAACTACGTCTGTGATCAAAAGGGCAATCGCCCATAGCTTCTCTACTTTACGCAAATCCATCAATGTTTCCTGGAGCTCCTTTATTAGAGTGGGCGTGAGAGCTTCTAAAGAGGTTGTTTCCACCTGGGCAACTGAAATGTTTTTATCTGTCCCATCAACTGTGTAGAGTTTGTAGTCTGTCTTAATAAGCTTCACTTTATCTTCGCAGTTAACTAAGGGCGATGTCGCGTTGAAGATTGAGGGTCCTAATTCTTGAATTCGTAGTCCTGTTAGCTTTGCTAGGTGTTCGGCTGTGACGACATCTATTCGCGTTGTCGTAGGAGACCGCAAGATCAATGTGTCGCACATTATCCCACTGAGAAGGAGGCTAGCGACCTCTATTGATGGAACTATACCATACTCCTTGTACATCCCTGCAACAATAGTGCATGTACTCCCAACTGTACGGACGGTCATCTTAATGGGAGTTACCGTGGTGTTTGTCCCCAGGCGATGATGGTCGACGATCTCCACAACTTCCACTCCATCACTCTTGATGCCATCAACGGACTGGCTAAATTCGTTGTGGTCCATCAGAATTACTCTGCGCATCTTAGACTTGAGGAGATCCATTCTAGTGATGACGCCTATAGGGCGATTGTTCGCCTTGTCCACAACACAGATAGCATGAGCGTGCTTTGCCGTATTGAGTTTTGCCCTTACGTCAGAGAGCTTCGCGTTTTCGTTGACAACAAGACTCTGGTCACGATTGATGTATTCTGTTATGGGCGTAGATTGTTTCACTAGAAGTGTGGTAGAGGACACTGCAAGCGGGGTCACTATGACAGTGGTCGATGACTCATTTATGGCCTTCACCAGATCATCAGGAAGAGCCTTGCGCTTTTTGCTGAAAGTGTGTAGATTGGCCTCGCCAATACTTGCAACCTCTCCGGCGTCATGAACATTGTGCGACGAACTGTTGTACCCAGATAAATTAAGGCAGTCGTCTGGCTTAATCACCATGTGTGAGGAGTCCTCAGAGAAGGAAACGTTCAGCACAGCAGAGTTGCGACTAGATTCCATGTCGCCAATGCCGCTTCCATGCAAACAAACGCCGAGCTCGTGACTCTGGCTGTCAACGTCGTCCATATCGTTTTCGGAATCGCTACAGAAGTCTATGCCCTGGTAATCATCGGTCATCAGGTTGATTTTGCTCTCCTTAGAGATAATTATGACCCCGGCCGACTTCTCTACTAGGTATCGAATCATGTTTATGTGGTATCCAACGACAAAGATGCCTATCTTCCAGTCTTCAGGGGTCATAGAGGCAGTGAGCTCGATGAAAGACGAGTAGCTAATAGAGAGCGTGTAAATGAGCCGGTGAGTGGGCACGTCATTCACAAGGGATACCTTTCCGAGATACTTCCCCCTCACTGCATTCAGGATAGATCCCACGCTTGTATAAACCATCCGAAGTTCTCGTTCAGTACGCGGCCGGAGAAAGGCACTAAAGATATCCGTCAAGGAGAGAAACCCGCCAAATGAGCCTTCGGCGTTCACCACGGGGATGACCTTGAACTGAAACTTGGCATAAAGCTCCAAGGCGCGGACTATGCTGTCTGTCTCGTTGATGGTTATTAGGTTAGGGCGTGCAAACGCACCGGCCTTGGGCGTGATGTCTAGAACTATTTCCGGATGATCCATCTTGAAGCGGTCCAGAATATAGCGTGTCTGGGCCGTGATTGGGCCCGCAGCGGCAGCAACATAAAAGTTCTGCGGGTATAGCTGCCTTAGTAGGGCTGTATACGATATGGCGGATAGAACGCTGTCACTGTCTGGATTTTTGTGCCCAATAACATAAGTAATGGGGCCATCTGTTGAGGTGTGAGCAATCTTTGGATATGAGGACACTCGCGAACAATTCTCCATAGTCCCCTTTTTACTGATTTTAGTTTAGAGGTTTTTATGGATGCAAAGGTACTTTACTGTAGAGGCAACTGTAGTATTTACGATAATCTCTATAACTAGAAATTCGCCGTGGCCGACATGGATGCAGATGTCTCTGATTCAGGATACACTTCGAGGACGACCTATGATACTGCAGACGTCACGTCCATAATCTCACCAGGAGCTGAACCAAAGCTTACACACTACATTGGACCCCATGGGTATGAAACTGCTGACGATGGTGCAGGGTACTATAATAACCTGGACTACTCAGAGCCGTTTGCTACAGCAACTGAAGGGGTATCTGTTACTCAAGTCATGGATATGAAGAATAATGAAACTCAAGATGCTGGGAGTTTTCAGGAGCAACTAAAAAGTGCACAAGGGCCTCTTACAGCAAGCGGAACAACACTGCAAACGGATGCTGCAGTTGTGGATGTTCTGGAAAACGTTCCGTTCCAAAGCTGTAGATCAGGGACTAGTGAACAGTTTCTTGAGATGGACGAGAACTATGGTCGTGGAAGCACTCAGATTGCAACTGCCCTCTCAGTGGTTAAGCGTGATGAGCTGGAAAAAGCTCGTTCTCAGAGTGCAACTCCAACAGCTGGTTCAGTACCATCCTCTGAAGGCACCACCAATTCCTCAGCTCCCCAAAAGACGACAATAGAAACAGCTGAGATCAATCTGCCTGCACGTAAGCCAAGATTTTCAGATCTTCCCGTGGCACCCGCAGACCTATTTAAAACCAAAGACCCTATGCCTGGCTTCAAGTTCATGGGCCAGAAGAATGTACAGTGGTTTAATTTGCGACAGCAAATCACAGGCTCAATAGACGCGGTTGTTACGTTTCTGCAAAAGGAGATCATAGAAAACCCTCAATATTGTAGCTTTTCTGTGACGACTATATCTAATGTCAAGCAGCACAAATACTCTATCTTGGAGGCACTTCCGTCAAATTACACTCAGATGGAAAATTATGGATTTCCCGACGCATCCCCTAGTTTGAGGGCATCGACACATATACCCCCCATCTTGAAGTTGAAGTCGACGACCTCTATTGTCTTCAACTATGTGACACTAATACTACTTCAAGTCCTTATTTGGACACCGCTCATTTGCACACTAATCCCGTCACTTAAGACGTATAGTCACACTTTCATCAGTACTGCCACGCTCGCCATACTCATTGAGGTTTTGCTTTTCCTTGTAGCCTCTGGATATAGTAACAGCCAAATGCAGACGACCTCTACCGACATTCAAAGCCTTGTGTTTGATGCCAGTTGTCTCATGGCCTCGTCTTTACCTCGACAGATGCCCTCGGAGTGTGGTCACTCTAAATATCTTCGTAGGCAACGAATTTCCCCAGAAACGTACAAGGGCCTTGTGTCAGCCTTGGGGGCGGTTACTTTTCTTCTCCTTTTGTATCCGGTTTCGCTCTCCATGCACTCCTTCTTCCCGCCTATTTTTCTAATCTGCCCCGAGTCTTGGGCGCCGTACGTCACCATGCTTATTGCTGCATTAGGATTCGCTACATTCTTTCCGGCTTCTTTCCTGTACACTCACTGCCGTATTGTTGAGCAAAGTATCAGACAATCAATATGTTGCAATCTTCGGGGGTTCTATCCATCGAATGTTTTCGCGCTAGACTATTCATCAGTACACAATATTGATGAGGGCCTCTGTTATTTCTTTGGCAATAAGACACCAAACCTCTTCATTCCCTTCATTGCTATTGACAGCGTTGCATTGGTCATGGAGCCGGTAGACATTAGGTTGCGCTATCGTTTCACTCGCAAGGAAATGGCACTATTTGATGGGCGTCACAACGCTAAGGCCTTAGATGTGGCTCGTAGAGGATACGATGTAGTCGAAGAGAAAGACCTGTTGATATGGGTGGTCCTGGGTTTAAGCAACGACCTGAAGCTGTGGCTTCCGCTGAGCATGACGCAGTGGAATCCGTGCCTTTTCGGTTTTCAGGGCTCAGAGGTCGCAACACTTTTAGAACTCGCTGCGTCTGCCATTGACATCGAAAGTAAGAACCTTGGAAGTGCCGAGGACGAAAAGCCTAAGGCACACCTTCTTCAGGATGCACTGCGAAATGCTGGTGATTTTTGCAGATTCTACCAAGAGTCTCGTAGAGAGACGGTCATGGAAGAGGCCTTACACATCCCTCGAATTAGCTCCTTCATCGTTCCCACAGAGGTTTAGATATTCTCAGAGACGCGTGCAGTAAATTGCACTTGTGCCAGTTCCTACTTCTGAATCCAGTGTCATAAGTATATCCATTGATACGGGGAAAGTACATTGACAATCTCAGATTTAAAAGTTCACAAAGAGATTGTTCAAGCCGGAAACAATGCTTCCTATCTCTTCATATACACCAGCATCAGGCTTCAGTAACGGAACACTAACGCTTACAGGTTCCTTGAGGGGTTGGGTTGAGACTTGGGGGACAATACCAGAGGCCACATTAGCCACGTGATTGAGGAGTTGAATAGCTGGTCTAGGCGATGAAGACACTCTGGGCGGTACGGTATACACAGAAAAGGCTGGTGGGGCAAAAGTGGGCGGCTCTGCGGCCTCTGCCGAATTCCAGTTCTCGTTTCCTTGGTTGGTTGACCTATTGATGGATGCTTCAGCATAGATATAACCGTCGTATGACGTATTGCTCAATGTGAACCAGCCCCCTATCACTATTCCAGAAGAATAACACTCTGCGAGGGGGATGTCCACAGACCCCAAAAAGATCTTTCTCGAATTACCGGCAAGGAATCCGAAAATAGATAGAGAAAAAGAGCCATGTAGTAGATAGTTAATGTTCGTTGGTATAAGTGCCAGTTTTCGTGAAATAGTCAGTGTCGTGTCTGCATAAACAAGCCCGTGCTCTTCCCGATCATATGGTACTGTGTGTATGGCCGTCGATGTTCCTGGTTCTCGTAACTCCTTTGTAAGCTTGTGCACCTGAGTAAGCTTGTACCCTATAATTGCTGCCAATTCTGCTGTGGGCTGAAGTGTTGCTACAGCGTAGATCCGTTCCACAGGGCCAAGGTTCCTGAAGAAGACTCGTGATACCTTAGCGACGAAACAAACTGCAGCAACTTTGTGCATGTCTGGCTGCTTAGATCCAAGTATTGGCTTGGAAGTAGCCTCACCTTTCCCCTGCATCAGTGCAGTCCGCCTACCCAATGCTAGTTCACGATATGCTTCTATGTCAGCATGGGTTTCTAGCGAACAGCAGACAGACTTACTTGCCTTTTTCACTGAAGGATTATATCTTGCCATGTCAAGGTAGATGCAGGGCTTAGATCTCAGAGATTGCTCATACTCTAACAGGGGCTGGCCACCGCAAAGGATAGAGATATCTGCAGCACCTATTAGAAGATTGCCCTGGATTGCATCGGTCCTACCAGCATAGTTACTTGATATGGTAACAGCATGGATCGGAACCACTTCAGAGAAGAGGACGTTGACTCTACGGCGTGAAAAGGCGTTCCTTCGTTCACCATACTCGTCTATTTTATATAGCACAGGATGTATTGTCCTGGCAACATCAATATAAGCAGCGCCAAGCTGAAAGTCAAGTGCTCCTGTGGCTGTCTCAAGCTCTGCTATGAGGGACAGCTCTAGTGTTTTCAGCTTGGTATGTTCTACCAGATATACAGATTTCTCTGGAGTGAGCTCTTCCTCAGTGTTGGGTGGCGACTTAACGTACAACCGCAGTTTGTTCAATATCTGATTAGGTGCCAATGCCTGGAGCCCCTGGGCAAGATATAAATCTGTGACATGGACTAATATAAAGAGGTTATCATCTGTTGATGGCTGAATGAGTGGTGCCTGGTGCCCCTTCAAAATCCGTTCTTGTGGCTCTTGTACCATTACCGGGGCTGCTTGCTGATATGTGTCTACTCTGGAAACAGGTTCTACAGGATCTGATGGAGGGAGGCCTGTCACCTGGGTCAGGCCTAGTGGTTGCACACAAGCCCCGAGATCAGATCGCAGATCCTGCTGCTGTTGGCGAACGGCTTTCTGCACATTAGCTGTTCGTCGTAGAACGCGGGTCAATGACGCACGAAAAGTCTCTTTTGGTATTATGGCAGGATTCATGTTTAAAAAAGTCCATGCCTCTGGACACAGTTGAAGATTGGTTCAAGGCGGTTGGGGCTGACAACCTGGATTTGATCGAGGATAATGTGTGGATTTATGGCCCAAAGAAGGACGAAAACGGAGAAACTGCTCTTATGATGGCTGTTCGCAAGAAAAGGCACGTCATCATCCCCGTGCTAATGCCGAACGCAATCACCCTTTGTAACAACGAAGGCAAGACAGCACTGATGATAGCCGCCGAATTAGATGATCCCGACGCCTGCTCTCTACTGGTTGAGTCCGAGGCGAATGTTTGTACTAGTGATGGCAAGACAGCGCTCCACATAGCAGCTATAAGCAACGCATACCATGCAGTGCGTGCCCTTACGGAGAGCCTTGAGGTAAGCAAGGATAAGAATGGTAAAACTGCTTTAGATTTGGCCATTGATGGCAATTGCCTAAGGTCCGTGAAGGCTTTGTTGGCACATGGCACGTGGACTCGCTATGGTCAGCTCAAGGACTATCTACAGATTGCAGAGAGGCACAACTACAGCGAGCTCGCCGAGTACTTGCGAGGGATCATAGCAGATATTCCACAGAACGCAACTGATGACATGTACCTCAACAGAGTCATTGACCCCATAGAAGACATTGTGTCTGCAGTGCCAAGCGTGTCCAACATTAAGGTGGATGACTCCCTAATGACAAAGACTGCTGCGACTCTCCCACCGCCCAGCAAGAAGAACTCTTGCTGCGGACAATGCGTTGGTGGCGTTTGCTCCACTGGCTTGAATGCACATTTGTGCAAGCTCAAAAGCGGTACTGTTCGTGCTGTGGCAGGACTTCTTGTTGTGGCGCTCTTGTCGATCCTGTTTAGGTTGTTTCTGAACAAAGAGTAAAAACCTTTCAAAAATAAAATGGCTTTCCAGACCAAAGTAGACCCTGAATACCTGCGCCAGATACAGGCTCGTCCTCTGCAGGAGCAGTGGCTCACTGCGCAGCTAGAAGATCTGGGCCTTAGGATATCGAAGTTCAATAATGTGCGCGCCGCAGACCAGTCGAATTACATGGCTATAACAACCGCTGCGATAGAATGCACTTTCCTTCTTAAGACTACGCTTCTGGAGCCTGCTGGGTATGAGAAACTCTACGAAAAGGTCTCTGAATTCCTGGTCTCCCTTCGCCAGTACTTCTCATCGATTACAGAGAACCCACTTGGGCGCATCATGAGCCCGTACCAGCTTTATGTCTTCGTACAGCGCACAACCATCGTCATACCGCGCCTGTATCTAATGGCCCTTGCTGCGTCTATTTGGCTGGAGCACCTCAACAATGCCAGGAAGTTCCTCCATGCGAATCCGGACACAGCTCCTGCTGAGCTACTGAAGCTTGGGATGCCTACCACTATGGACAGTATCCGTGAGCTTAAGAACAACATAGTTCTTGACTTGCACGAGTTCTGCCGTGGTGTCCAGAATCCCTTACGCCACCTCTTTCTGCGCCACTATATAGTTGAGGTACTGCGCCCGCATCTTGACTTTGATCTGAGTGAGCCGTACGTGGTCGTTGCTGATGTCGACATCACTTTGGACTTTTTATTGCGAAACTATATTGAGATGAACCGTTTCTGGGTCCGTACCCAGTACGACCCGGCGCGAACGCGTAAGGAAGCAGACAGACGCGACAAGAGGCGCATTTACCTCTCCGAAATGATCAGCACTGGTTTCAAGGAGATTGCCAAGCTATGCACAATAGATGGTCTCCAGGCAGATGTACTTGTCGAGGTGCTTCGCCAGGTAAAACTCAGCAGTGACCCTATGTCCACCGCAACTATTCTGGAGGGTGTCTGCGCCCATATCAACATCAACAAGCTCTTCGTTGCATTAGACGATGTTTTTGCTGCTGTCGTTAGTGGATGCCACGGTGTCAAGTCTTTCATCATTCTGCTAGACCGTCTTTCGTTGGAGAAGGAGAAGATCACGATTACTGAAGAATTGTATAGGAGATTCTGTGAAGCAGGAACAGGACTTTGCAATACGGTACTTCAGGAGATAGCGTCAAAGGGTCTGGAGCATGTTGACAAGGTCACAGGCATGATCATGGATAGCGCTTGGATTTCTTGCATCAACGCTCTTCTGGTATTCTCGTCTCGTGTCTGGCCTGAGGATATGAGCAAGCTAACGTCTGCCCTCAACGTTCTGATTGGCATAATTTTCCCTCACTGCTCAGAGCAGCACATCAGGTCGTATGCCGAACAGGTCGAGAACAGACATCTGCCGCAGATACAACCAGTGCAGCTCTTGGAGCGCGATGATGACTCGATTGTGAAGACTCTTACTTCGCCGCTCATAAGGATGAAGGCATCTATGATGCCAGAGTACCTTAGACTATTGCCATCTCGCGCACTCAAATGTTATCTTATGCAGAAGTCGGACCGTCTTATGAGGGATTTCAGTTTGGGCGTCGCATATGCTCTTCTGGAAAACCCGCTCACTGTTTCCCCCGAGGAATACGCTAGAAATAACGAAAGGGCCCTTATGTTGGGCAAGTTCTGCTTTGAGAACGTTTATACTCTTGCGCATACTGACTGTCTCCTTTTCGCGAAGTGCATTCAATCATTCCACGGTGCTCTTGATTGCTATAACATGCTTATGAATCCAAACTACGAGCTGCCGACGGAAGCGAAGGCAGATATATATCCAAGTCTCTTCTATGTCTGTCATCGTGATGGGTATCTTCGCGAGGCAGGTAGGGTTGCCAGCTTGATGGATGACATCGATCAACAAGCTGCGATAAAGCTCCACATCGACAACACTAAGTCCATCATAGAAGCGATGAGCGGCTCCTATTTCTCCACTGAGACCTTCACCAAGGACGATATCTATAACGAGCTTGCTGCAGCTATTCTTGTCTATGAGTGCTTCCACAGTTCTAGGCAGCAGTGCCAGATACTGTGCGAGATGATGAGTGTCGTTGCTAGCGTCAAGCTTCCAGAGGGCGAGGAGGCTGCCATTCTGAACAGGTTCCTTGCTTTAGCCAGCGTTCTCCTTGTACGAAGAGAGCGTCCCGTGGTTCTTGCAAAGTGCTCGCAGCTTTTCAGAGTTCATCATCAAGATGAGCGTAGCCGTCAGGCAGAGTCTTTAGCGCGAACCGCTCAGGCGAAGTGGGGAGACGCCGACTCGCAAAAGAGGATGGAGATCTTCCTCGGAAACTGAGCCTGCCTCATCATACGTTTGTGCATTTGTAAACCACTCTATACATTGTTTCCGTCCTGCTCTCCTGTCTTGCTGTGCTTGGTCCTGGTGGCCGTACTGGCTGTAAGAGGAAGAGTGGCGGAAGATTTTCGCCGAGCAGATCGTTGCTTTAGGGCAGGTCTACTCAACAGGGTCACAGCTCGCTGTATGGTAAGGGGTGCTGCACCGGCTGGCAACTGAACAGGACGCCATTTTCCAAAGTCGTCTGTAAGGCTCTTCAAGGGGGGCTCTGCCTCTCTAGACATATCCTCAGTTGTAAGGGCCACTTGAAAGTGTCGCGCAATCAATCCGCTATTGCAATCCAAATTAGAACTATCAATTATTTGCTCTGACTTCTGAGGCGTAGGTTTCTGTAGATCGTCTGACATTTTTATAACAGTGGAGAAGCTTATGAATACGAGGGGTCGTAAAGAACGAAGGGTCATCTTCGCAAAGAGTATTTTACTTCTTGCCAGCCGGCTTGTTGGCCTTTTTAAGGCTTTCGTTAGATTTAGCCCTAGCAGACCTTGGTGATTTGTTCTGCTCGTACGCCAACAGACGCTTGGTCATATCTTGCAGCTGAGCACGCAGAGAAGTAACGGTCTCGATAAGAGCCTTTTCACGGCCCTTGGCCTCTAAATACGGCTTGAGCTGCTCTTCTGCAAGGCGGAGACGCTCACTAGTCGCAGCAAGCTTCTTCTCGTACTCAGCATTAAGCGCCTGGCACGCAAGAAGTTCCTCCCTGCTACATCCGCTTGCGTGCTGGTCAACGTCACAGTTGGCATTCTGTGCCTTGGCCAGCTCACACTGGGCTTTCCAATAAGCGACGTCCTGTTGGAGAGTTGAGCGTTCCTCTAATACCCTATCCAAATCGTCGTTCATTTTCTGTATAACATCCAGGTGACTGTGACCGTCATTTTGTATGACTGTTAATGCTTCAAGCTCCCCGCGGAGAGCCTTATTCTCCTTCTGGAGATGTTCAAGCTCCTTTTTCCATGAAGCGTTGTCTTTCTCCGTAGATACAAGGACGTTTGGTGCTGCAACCTGAAACTCTTGGGACTCAGGTCGGGAGGGGTCCTCTCTTAGATACAGATCCGGAATCTTATACTCTTGTGGCTCCAAGGACCCGTCCTCGGCTCGTAAGGGGACAGAGCCTGCGGGGTACTGACCAGATCTTATTTTCTCCTTGCACTTGTCACATATAGGACCCTTTGGAGAGCCGTTAGCAGAGGGCTTGGGTGACTGCCTGCGTGGGGAGTGACTTGATACTCTAGACCCAGGAGTGTTATTCTTGCTATTATTTTCGGCAAGACGCAAAACAAATGAGCTTCTTTCTGTTTCCAGTCGGGCCCTCAGCTCTATTGTCTCCCTTTCCAACTTCTTAATAGTGTGATTTTTGTACTTCTGGTTCGATAGAACATCGTTAAGCTCCTTCTTCATGCGTGCGTTTTCCGCTATCAGATCGTTTTTTCCTGCTTCAACCGTAACCTTTTGCGCACGGGTCTCATCGAGTTCGCGGGCAAGGCGTTTTATTTCTAGCTGCATCTTTGAAACCATATCAAACTGGCCCTGTTCATCTGAGGGCACACGCATGGCTTTGTATGCAAGAAGGGTCTCGCTGTCAATTTTCGGGCTGGGGGTATGCTTGTCGTTGTTGGTGCGTTGGGAGGCAGGGAGAGCGGCACGATGATTGCGCCCAGATGCAGACCGCTCTGCTTGAGTCGGAGAAGGTCCACGAGGCTGGCCCCTGCTAGCACGGCGATCTGTGTCTGGACGCTTAGGAGTTATATTGGCCTGCTTCTCTTGATGGATCAATTTCGACTTTGACGGGGCTCTCACAGCAGGCTCTTCAGCAAGCTGGTTTTTGGGGCCAGAAGCTGCGCGGACACGCGTTGTTGGGCTCTGATTTCGCTCCTTTGCAGGCATTTCCTATTTTGGAAATCTCACTAATTAGAATTCAAGGAAATGGTGCGCAAAACGTAGGAAGCTGCTGCCGCCATTTACTTAGCTCGTGGAGAAGCACCATCCCCTGCTTGGTGTTCATAAGCAAGGAGTTTCTTAGTCATGTGATGGATTTGGCTTCGTAACTGTGTGATGGTTTCCACAAGAAGTGCTTCTCGGCTCTGACGTGCCTCGTAGAGATTCAGCCTTTCATCTGCAGCCGCCACCGCCCTTTCGAGCTTTGATATTTGTACTTCGTATTGCCTGTTTATTGTAATCACTTCATCAAGTTGCTGCTTAATAGAAGAATCGTCTCCACTGGTTGTCCTCGGTGAGATGCGTGCTAACAGACGCTGAACATCAAGCATCTCTTGTAGCGCAACAACTTCGAGCCGCAAGTTTTTGTTCTCAGTCATACAGTTCTGCAAGAGTATTTGAAGTTCACGCATTGCTGTATCTGGAGGTAATTCTTTGACATCTTCTGACGGATAAGTGGACTCTTTACAGAGCTGATTCCGGTGTCCAGCTAGTTCTGCCTGTAGTTCATTATTTAACGCCTGCAGAGACTCCACTTCCAAAAGTAGATCGTCGTATGAGTGTTGCTTTTTGCCTCCCAAGGAACTTACCGGGGTTTGAGTCACACCTTGGGTCACTAAGTTATGCATTTTTGCAGGCTTTGCCCTGGCTTCCATGAGCTGCTTCTCCAACCGCTTAATTGTGTGAGTCTTGTACTTTTGATTCTCCACTAAACTAGCAATCTCTTCTCTCAGTCTAGTATTCTCCGCCACTAGATTATTTCTTCCCGACTCTGTAACGACCTTAGCAATACGAGTTTCTTCCAACTCACGTGCTAATCGCTTTATTTCAAGTTGCATCTTAGAGAACATGTCAAACTGGCCATTTTCATCTGCAGGGATGCGCATGGATCTATACTGTGAAAGAATGTCCAGTTCTGATCTATTACGGGTTGGGCTTTGTGTGCTCGCGCGCCGGTCACTGGCTCTACTGGCTCTGCGAGTTGGAGACGCCATCTGCGCTCCCTTAGAAGAGTGTGGAGACGCATGCTCATGGCTCATAGGCCGAATTTTTCCCTTACTCTCGGATCTACTGCCGACTGAGCTTCCCCTGCTAAGATTGAGGAGCTCTGTTTTCTCAAGCATGCTACTCACAGTCTTAATACCCCCCACGTGGGGGCTCTGACTTTGCTTGGCAGTCATATGTGCCCGCTCAATGCGTGCATCAGCAGCAGACTGCTCTCGTGGACGGACAATCGTCGGGGACAGTGTCCGGCGAGACTCAGAGCGCTTCTGCTGCTCCGGTATCTGGCCTGTACGCTTGCCAGCAGAGCCAGAACCCTTTTTAGACTGCGTTTTGTCTTCCTCCTCCGCTAGTTTGCTGGTAAGATGAAGCATGTGTGTAAATTTTGACAGATTCGTTGCTGTATCGGGAACCTCAGCGTTCAATCGATGTACAGTACTGCCTTGCGTGGGGGTAGAAGCAGCGGTTATGGATGAAAGGCGTGTGCCTGTCATAGATCCACGCGATTGCACTGTCGCTTTTCCGGTGCGACTAGACGCTCGTCGCTGCTTCTTGCTGAGAATGGTAGGCTTCTGGGCGGAGGTTAGCTGAAAAGCATCAGCAGACTCTTCCGAATCACTGTGCCTGGAGATAGAGCCCTTTTGCAAGGATGTTGCTGGAGCCCTAGTTACAGGTTGGTCTTGGTATCCTTGTGCTTGCTTGGATATTTGGGTTTTAAACTCGCTGCACCTCTTTTCCGCTTCAGTCTGCCTTTCGATGCGCCGAACATTAATCTGCGGAGTGATATCATCACAAGTGTCAAGATCTTCCATTGTGAAGTAGCTCCTGGAGGAGCGGGAGCGAGGGCGACTAGAGACAAGATCGGTAGACCCTGAGCGATGAGACTGCGCCTCGTTGAGACGAAAGATATTAACGCCTGCAGCTCTCCAGGCATGCGAGCACCTATGAAGAAGGTCATTCATGAGGTCAAAGGCCATTAGGCATAGCTTAGAATCTGCTTCGGGACTTATTTCGAAGAATGCACTAGAGTTTGGTCTGTTCATCTCTGGAAGTACATATGTGCTGAGACGAGATGTTTTACTGAGTATTCCGAGAACGTCTTGTAGAGTAATGTAGTAAAAGCTCATATTCCCAGTAGAAATCTCCTTCCAGAAGTGCCCCTTTGCAGGCTTTTCATGAGGCTTGATCTTTTCACCAGGAGGCGATAGCTGTAAACCACCAGATGATGAAGTCGCGTCAAGTGTCAATGTTTCAGTTTCTCTGTCAGACTCGCTGTCGTCCTTTCTTGTCATCTTATACTGACGCACCGCAATATTGAGGCGAAGAGCTGGTACTTTCGTTTCTTTTGTGCTTTGATCACGGGGTGGGCTTACTGGGCTTACTTCACTTTGCCTAGAAGCTTCGGCCACTCGTGTATACTCGCCTTGAATTGCCAACAGAATGGCAGCAAGCTCATCATTTGAAGAACATGCCACCTCTGCTAGATTTTCATAATACACATTACCGGCTTCATCTCTGCTTAGGCTAAGCTCGGTGTTATCTGGGAAAAGCATATCGACTACACGGCCACGTTGCGCGATACATAAGCAAGAAAGGGTTATCAAATACCGCACCGGTGCTTTCTTCGTCTGTTTAAGCTCGTCACGTACTGTACTTATGATCTGTCCTAGCATAGATGGCTCTATTGTGTTTGTTGTATATGGAAATAGGGGTCCAAAGCGATCGCTATTGGTAGAGATCGCAACTATAGAAAACTCGTTACCAGCAGACACTGCACGAAGGATGTTTGCCAAATCAGAAACAAGGGCTGATGATCCAAAGTTGCGATAGGCTGCAGCGACCTCACAAACTGCGGCTACCTCCTGCTTCACCAGTAACGAAACAGAGATTGTCTTCTCCTCTGAATTCGGTCTAATCACAAAATCGATCTCCTCTCGTTTCGCTTTCTGAGTTGCAAACGCTTTGTGAATGGCCAGTGTGAGCCGCATCCTCTAAGTGCAGAAGGAGTAGGGATTCCAAATTTGGCTAAAACAAAATATGCTCAGTTTTCATGCCATTTTAAATTGACTGTCCAAATGTCCAAGGTACACTTTATTGATGGATCTTCCTCGTGCCCTAGGCCTGGAGATCTGTACCACCATGCAGAAATCCCACGGGTCGGCAACGTATCAAGTTATGGATGTCTCTGTAAAGAAGCATAGGGCACTTCGGGTTTTGACGCCTCGGTGCACCCCCTCCCGCATGATCTTTCCATGCATAACCGATGGTCACATGTATACGTTGTTGCAGACTCAGACCCTAGCCTGTTATTACAGAGCGTTCCAGTGCCCGGGCTCAGGTACTATTTACTTGATACGAGAGTTATGTAAGGAGCCTCTAGGCCATCTTATACAGAGCTATCGAGACTCCTGCCTTGATATGTCTGAGTATACGGTGTTAAAGATCGCAAAGCAAATCCTTGAAGGCTTACACTATCTTCACGAATTCAAGCACCGATCTACTACTGGCATCTCCCCTAAGACAGCTGCGCCAGCTAGTACTCTTCCCCGCGTGAACGAGCTCATTCATGGGCGTCTTCATCTGAATAATGTGATGCTACGTTGGGATGGTTCTGTTGCCTTGTGCGATATGGCTTACTTGTTTCCAAACAGCACACCCTACAGCTCTAGCAAGTACAGCTTTGCGTCAAATATGGACGTATTTATTGCACCAGAAGCCCTCGAGAAAGGTACTTGGAGTACCAAGAGCGACATGTGGTCTCTCGGGATGCTCATTTATACTATGTGTACTTTGCAAGCACCCGAGGGCATCTCTCTTGATACACTTGTTAACACGCTGCAAGATAATCCATTGCTTTCCCACTATTCTCCACAACTTCGTGAAACTTTGTTTAGTTTGCTTTCCTTGCTTCCAGATTCACGTCCAGCAGCAGGTGATCTTCTAAAGTCATCACTATTCTCTAAAATTAAGGACACGAAGATCGCACTTGATAACCGTAATCTTTGCACTACAGATGCACAGATACCCTTTTCGGATTTAACTGATTTAATGAGCGCAGCATCATCTGGTGACTATGATCGGGCCATAGCGCATTTAGATCAATGTGGTTTGGCGACTTTTCTGGGTAAAACTGCGCTTATGTACGCGGCTCAGCATGGACATGCAGCGCTTATACCTTTTCTTCTTAGTGAAGTTAGACTTCAGATTATCAGTCGCGATAGTCCTGCCCGTGGTAAGACAGCCCTGATGTATGCCGCATCTAACAACCACGTTAGCGTTGTGTCCCAGCTTATACCAACTGAAGCAAAGATGCAAACTGAGCGGGGGAAGACGGCATTGATGATGGCTGCTGAAAAGGGACACGTCCAAGTGATCGAGCTTTTAGCTCCCCATGAAAGAGGCCTTCGCACGACTATAGGCTTAACTTCTCTTATGCTGGCTATCATTCGCCGTAAGTGGACATCCGTTGAAATGCTGGTCCCATTGGAGAAGAAGATTAAAACTAAGAGTGGAAGCACAGCCCTGATGGTGGCTGCCAGACGTAATATGCCGGAGTCGTTAAAGTACTTATTACCCGTAGAAGGCCGGATGACGCGAAGGAATGGACGAACAGCGCTTATGCTCGCGGCGGCAGCTGGGGCCGTAGAGTTTGTCAAAGGAATGATCGACCTTTCTACCACTGAGCCATCTAACACACACTTAGAGCATCGTATGCGCGATAAACGGGGATACACAGCTCTCATACACGCTGCCCGCAATGGAAAGGCTACCTGTATGAGCGTACTCATTGACGTGGAGCATGACATCGTTGATAATAAAAAGCGTGGAGTTGTCTATCATACTAAATGCTGGGTACGACAGGCTAAAGATGGAAAGGATGTACAAGCAGGAGCTGCATGCTTGGCTCTGCTGGTTGAAAAGGGGCTTATCAAAGATAGTCAGACGAGCACGCTTACGTCTGATAAAGTATGCGCAGAAACTGCCATAAGCCCTATGTCTGTATTTAGTCCTGAAGACCGGGTGAGACACTCTTTGAGACTATCAGCTGTAGCGCCAAGTGATGAGCTTCAGGATCTAGCAATTTTTGAGGCCGAATCTTCTATGGATGCCTCTCTCATTTTTCTACAGGCAGACACATCCTCGAGCAGTTCTGGCTAAAGAGACCCCAATGATAAGTAATTTCAAAAAATACTCAAATGGAAACCTCGCCTCCGTTTAGTCAGTTTTTGCGTCCGGATGACTTCAGCATTTTCAAAGGATCCGTTTTGGTATTCGAAAAAGAAGCGGTACTTCGGTTGAAGATTCTTCAAAAGCTTGATAGATGCTGGCGTGGCTCCTTAGAAACCGGATTGCTTGAAAATCATGCCACCGTGGTCAATAATGTAGGGCTAACCTTTGCTGAGAACGGCTGTAACCATAATTGGCTAGTGGGGCTGCCGTTTTCCACTGATCAGGATACGCGATCATATTGGCTATTGCGGTTTGCATTTGCCTCAGATAAGGATGCATGGGCATGGCATATGAATTGCGAGAGAATACTTGCCTTTTCCCGCTTTGTGCATGCATTTTTGGCCCCCGGAAGCCATCCAAGACATGTCCTCTCATCTTTGGGAGAACCCTGTGCTCCGCTCAATATCAAGAGTAAGGGCGAAGGAACCAGCTGTCTTCTCTCGTCCTATCTGTATATGGTGTCTGATTTACTTATCTCTGACGAAAATGGCCCTGTCCTTTTTACCTTAGACTCTATTTCTAGATTGCCTGCCACAGGGCCTACCAATTTAACTAACGATTCTGACAGGGAGGCTCTTCGATACATCAAAGCAATGTGCCTAGGACTAATACAAGAAATTGAGTATGTCGAACTATCTCTCTCCACGTTTTACCTCACACGTCGCGAAAAGTTTTCAGCATGTATTGAGCTCGCCGCAAAACGTGTGCCATGCGTGGCGGGGATGTTTCTATTGGCTGCAGAAGATTTAATTTCACTCTTGCTGATCAAATTTACAGCCATTTACAAGGCGTCTCAGAGTATCTGTGCCTCTGTCTCAGACATCCGGATACCGCAATTTGCAGAGCTTCTAGAGATCCTTAGGCAAACGCGCATAGACTCTAATAGCTTGGAGGCAAAGGTTCAGCTGGATGAAGATAGGAAGCTCAGTCGGAAAAATATCGACGCAGCCATTCGTGCTGGGTGTATCCCCCCGTGCATGTTACACTGCATCAATGGTTTGAAGGCAAACAACAAGCTTAAGTACCAAGCCCGTCTGCAACTGACCAGCTTTTTTAACAGCTGTGGAATGTCATGCGAAGACGACCTTGAATATCAGAAGTCGTTTTACACACGAGTGATTCCTGAGGAGAAGTTTACCAGGGAGTACGCATATAATATCAAACACATCCACGGTAAGGTTGGCGGGCGTAAGCCAGCTATGTGTCGTGGATGTAATACTATTGGAACCCTTGTTCCAACTGGAGATAGGTCCGGGCAGCAATTAGAAGTACACGGCTGTCCCTTTGTGCATATGTATGACAAGAATACTGGAGATCCTACCCGACTTAAAACGTTTCTACAGAATAATTATAGAGTGACAGCTTATGAACGGGACATAGAGGACAAGATCCTCTGTGCTGTTAGCAATCACCAAGACAAGGGATGGCTGGGGTACATAACGGCACCTCTGAGGGAAGGAGAACCCAAGGTGGCATGTAACCACTTGTTTGAATTAGTCCACGGGGATGTCCGGATTGATCTGATGCACCCAGTCAAATTTTTCAAGGAAAGCACAAATATCGTGGCCCAAAGGCCTATTGAGTAAATGAACGAAGGCTCTCTGCAGAAGGAGAACAAGGATGATCGCATACAAACTGAATGGACGGGGGAGCGTATCTAAGAGCAAGAAGAAAACCCCAAAGAAATGCCACGCGGATTTCGTTGCAAAACTCGCCCTTGCCCAATCTGTCCATGACAGAGTCGTGGAGAGTTTCACGCAGCTTTAACTGGACAGTCTTGACATCGAATACGTCTAAGCAAAATGCGTTGGAAAGTGCCTGATTGGAGCCCATTAGTAGCGGGCTGCAACAAAGCTCGCAAAGGAAGGGGCGAGAGCCACAAATGAAAGCCCCCAGATAGCACGCCTCACGCAGGTGCTTCAGAAGCTCGGGTGGAAGGGGTACTGCTCGCAGATCAGTGTAGAACATATTGAATATTTGAAGCAGGTGATATATCCCATCAATTCCTTTGCTTATGTCTTCCCGAATAAGTTCTCCGATCTCTGGAACCGGCTTCTTATCCCGCAACCGATTTTGATAGAACCTTATTTTCCCCAAACAGTCATAAGATCCCGGAGTGCTAAAAACAGAAAGTCTTGGGAAATATCCCAAGAACAAAGTGTCAATGATATCTGACGTTAAATCTGACATGTGAACAATCTGTAACATAAGCTTATAGAAAATAGAATCCAAAAATAAAAATGTCATGTTTCTCTTAGTTAAGTGATGAGAATCAAGAGAGGTGTTTGCCCTGATGTTGCTAGAAAGATCAGCAAGAAAGTCACACGGCTTTAGATCTGCTAACATAAAACGCATGGCTCCCATTAGATACTTGACCGCAATGGCTGAATCAGCGAGCAAAGCCTGATTAATGTATAGTATCTCACGAAGGATGTGGTAGGGAGCAAGCGTAATAACCTTGCAGTATTTAGCTATTACATGCGGGCTGTCGAGAGTAGATGGAGAAAGAAGGGAGCCGTCCAGTTGTAATATGTCATCAATCGAATTAAGGCGCTGAATGATTGTTCCCATAATGGTGTTGCACACATAAATTGCCATTCTTCGCACCGTCTCCACTGAGTCGTCAACAAGCACAGCCAGCATACCATAGAAAGTGACACGTAAAGGAATACAGAAGTCTGGGCCCATGTGACGCTGTATGATATCGACATCAGAAAACGTTACTCCAAAGGAATAAGAGTCAGAGGTATAGGTTTCATCACTATCCTTCGCCTCTTGAAACTTCTTTAATGGAAAAAGAGGTACCTTCATCTCGTGCGCAGCTGAAGAATGAGATCCGTGTCTACGTATCCTCTGCCCAGTGTCCGCGATTACGAGAGGCTTGTCCTGGAAAAAGGCCTCCTCTGCGTGCGCTGCCTCTTCAGTCCTTTGCCAGGCATCTATCTCACTGAGAATCTGCTCTTCTTCATCATCAATCGTTCTCATCACAAAAGCACGCTGTATTAATACATCATTCGTTATCCGCATAGCTTCTGATTCTGAGAGAAACGAAAAATGAACCGGTACAGTATGTTCGGGCGCACGCCATTCTAGTGGAGAAAGTACCCCGCTTAAGAGATCTCCGAAGTCTTCGTAAACAGAAACCAAGAGCTCCTGCGCACGGACTGGGTCAGCCTGACCCCTGGTGTGCTGTAAGAGATAGTACGCATAAATGCAGCTTAATGACCAGAGCAGAGAACGAATGCTTTCGCGTATGATGGGTGTTGCTTTAGAAATGTGCGCGTTGGATGTCAACTTGGCTCGTGCTGCATCAAACGGAAGCTCCTCTGTGTAGTTTCTCTGATCGAGCGTAAAAAGCACCACACTGACGCACATGTAAAGAACGCGGGCAAGTTTGCTTTCGGAAGCTTTTATAAGCCCTGAGAAAGTCTGGAACACGTTGGCTAAGTAGCTAAGAGGTACATTGACGGACCAGGGAATATTCTGGACCAGAGAACTAGCCAAAACAACCCCTGAGACATTCTCATGGATAGCAGAGGCAAACGACAGAATGAGCATCTTCGTTACAGGGCCTGGGCAAATCCTTTTCGCACAAGCCATAAAGCTAGCATCAGCAAGAGAGATGAGTGAGAGGTTGCTGAAGGTAAACTCGTAGTTCACCCGTAGATTCACGGCGAGGATTGGGCAGTCCTGCTTCTCCAAAATGACACTTTTCAGTACATTCAACGCATGATTAAGCTGCGAGGGAAGTCCGTGTGAAATTAGATGTGAGTATGAAGAATACAGTGCCGTATTTACAATGGTGGCTACTGCAACGCGAGGATCAGCAGCGTCGAGAGAGTCCATTTTATTTAATTTCTCTAAGGCTAACCCAAGTTGTGCCATAAAAGAGGCAGGGTAAACCAAATAAGCAAGCCATGGGGGCTTGTGATCACACCAGAGACCCAATAAATGTCATCCTTTTGAGGCTCAGACAGAACTGTCACTGAGTTTAGAGGCTCTTCACAACCGGACATCCCTGCCAGCGCAGAACAGAGAACCATATCTTCAGCGATAACGTAACATTGTGATTGACAGGCAGATGCCTCGATAAGATGTCGGACCGCTTCTGCCTTTTCGACCGACCCTCGAGGCTGAGAAAGTGCATCTGTAACCAATTGGGAGTAGTGTGCTTCTGACTCCGGGCTCAGGGATCGGGTCACGTGAATAAAACTGAGTGCATCTGAATCCAGCTTGAATGTTGAAAGATTGCCGTTGGTGTCTATCTCGTGTGTGACCCCTAAGCGTCGCATGTAAATGTGCCCTCCCGCTGTAGTAATAAATATAGTAATCAGGTTGTTCTGGTAAGTAAGTGCCACAGAGGTGGGAGTGCACTCTTCAGATCGGCCAAATATAAGGGTGTGTGTCGTAGCCCTTAGTAGATCTTTTAGTGGTACACCACTCGAAGGTACAGATCGCCGTAGAACGGTGATCGGCGGTATTATAACTATTACTCGAGAGTTTTCAGTTAAGAGACAGAATGCAATGTTTGTGCCAGACTCGGATGCGATACAGAGATCTACTACGGGGGCGATGGTTGCTCCAAAGTACACGGATGTCCTGGTTCTGATGTTAAATATCCCATATTGACTGCTACGGTTGGCTATAAAAAGATGGCCGTGTTTGATCACCAACCTATGGGGCGCAAAGAGACCAGACTGGATGCAGTTATAAATAGAAAGCTCTCCCTCATCATTAACAACAAAGAAGTCGACATCCCCAAGTAGGTAGGAGATTGCTATAATAGGTTGCTTTATGTTGCACAAAAGCTGTGAGTCGTTAGCACGCGTAATGCCCACAATTGGATTTGTGGCAGAAGAAAAGCTCCTTATATAGCCTCCGGATTTAGAATATACATGTATACATCCCTGAGCATCCAATATAAAGTACATTGTTGAAACGCAAAGAAAAGTAAGCGGGGTATATGAGTCGTCATGCCCACTCAGGAGTAGAGAGCTTCTTTTAACCTTGTCCTCCCAGCACTGTACAGAAAGGTCTTTGGCTGGAGATCGAATTAGCACCAAAAATCTATCGGGTCTTTCATCGGGTCTGTCTACTCCTAAAACCGCTCCGTCTGAGTCTGCAAGCCATAGTAATGGAATAGCGCCGCTAATTGGTGGTGTTGTTGGAATGGAAGTGATTTTTTGGCGGGTTTTGGCTTGCAGATGTTCTATTCCTGGTATGGTCATTTTGTAGTATGCTTTGGGAATCCACCCTTTGTATGCTTGTGCCTTTGTCTTTGAGATGCTGCCTTCAGATGCTTCTTGCTTGTGGTGGCTCTTCTTTAGTCCATAGGTATCTGGGGTTATTACGCGTGCTTTCATTTATATGCTGAGGGTTTACTCTTCTTTAGTTAGATCACCGAATTATCTACTGGAAGTGAGAGAACTATGCAGTAATGCACAATAAAACTGGCATCTCTGAGTCATACGCGTCAAGTATCGCCAGGCCTCACGACCAGGCTGATCTGACGAGCTTGCACAGAACAGGAACCGGGACTCCTCTGTGTCTGCCTAGGTCGCACTAGCCGGCGGAGAACCCAGTAAGGGGCAGATGCATTGAGGCCCCAGTGCCTGAGCCGTAAGGGACTGGGGCATCCAAAGGAGCTGCAGAGCACGCTTACCCCAGCGGGTCCTTGTCATAGTTCTTCTTGTGCCCGATGCTCCCGCCCATAATTAGGTAGCGGATGTGTGGAACAGTGACCAGTCCAGCAGGGCGTGACTAGTGGACGATCCGCCTCATCGACAACTGTGCACACTGGTGAGTCTCAAAGATAGACAGGGGCCATCCAGTTCGTAACGATCATCGGTGGGTATCCTTTACGGCAGAAGAGGATGCGACCAACAGGCCACAGAGCTACTTGCGCACAAGTCCTTCCACCACTGACGCAGGCCGACCCCTCGCAAGATCCTTAGCGGAGTTGCATCCGAGATGTGTGCCTGCGTTGCTGTCCAGGTGCATGTGCCGGCCCTGGTGCTTCCCACAAGCTTGCGAGCATCGAGCTGGCCTCTACCGAACCGTATCAGAAGTCAGCACCAGGATGTAGTCCCCTCGGTTGGGCTCTGCAGGCTCCCAGAGCTACGCATCAAAAGGCCGTTCTTCTTTGGTTGTGCAGCGTGGGGAGATACATCGAACTACCACACCCTCTCTGTGTGGTGTGGTTTACGGCGGGGGACGGGATCCCTGTGCTCATGTCTATCTGCCCAGGGCCAGCCGCAGCCCGGGTTGACAATGACAAGCGAACATCGCCCGGCTCCTTGTCAGCAGGTGGGAACTTCCGCCACCCCAGTACCCACAGCAACGGGTGCCGATCACTGGCAGAAGGACAAGACACCCAGGCTCCCGTTCCTTCCACTGATGGTAGCCCACTATGAAGAGCCCTTTGCCGCCTGCACCAACAACCTCAGGCACTGTGGGTCAGAGTGCCTCCATAGTAGACAGCGGTAGCACTATGATGATCTGGGGTGATAGGAGTCCTAGTTCACTGGCTCAGGAGACAGCACGCTTTGGGCAATGCTTCCCTCTTGTCCAGATCTGGGAGGGCTGGCTGCCTTCCGAGCCCCCTGGCACCTTGTTATGCGGTGGGAACTTTAGTAGTATTTAGTACACGAGATCAGAGCTATGCACACACCAGGCGAGAGCGTCTCATGGGCTTACCTCTATTGGTCCGCACTTCCACGGACCCGGTATCTCCCCAGGGACTGCAAGAGAGCACAGAAGGCTGTGACCAGGGAGCAAAAGCCCCTGGAGAGGAGCTGCTAGCGGCTGGGCTACCGGAGCAGGAGGAGCATCGCTGCTTACTTAGGATTTCCTGGTCCCGCATGCACAGAGATCTTGGAGTCCGTGCCTGGCGAGGAGAGAGCAGGTTGTACAAGGGACACGTTTGCTATCTAAATCTACACCTTGCCTCTGCAAAGGAAGCCGACAAACATACTGACAGCAATGTACAAGAGTGCACCCCGACCAATCATTCCACAAGAGAGGTGCGATCTGAGTCTGTCCCTTACTGGTCTTGTTCTTACTGAAGCCAGAGAGAACTGCACTATCAGCTGGCCTCTGGTGGGTGTGCTCCTATCTCGTTCTTCTCCAGTTCAACTGATCGAGAGAGCAAGAGCGGCTGTCTCTCACTGCTCGCGGTCAATGCACCAGCCTAGCGGAAGAGCAGTTGCACGTGTACTCCGGCTAATGTTGTTAGGATTTCTCCTAGTTTGTGCGGTAACACAGGCAAGCTGTGCGGCGGGCTGCAAGACCTGCGACCCTGGCGACCAGACGTGCACGGCATGCACCAACGATTCTCACAAGATACAGGTCGACGGGAAGAGCTGTGACGCCGCCTGCCCGGCGCACTCCGCGGCCAGCTCGAATGTGTGCGAGTGCGAGGGAGGATACAGACCGGTCACCGGAGAGAACAGGTGCGAGAAGGCCTCTAACACACAGTGCAATACTCCCAACTGTAAGACCTGTGACAACCCCAAAACAGACAACGAAATCTGCACTGAATGTAATGATAACAATTACCTCACCCCGACAAAGCAGTGCACGCAGAGCTGCGGAGCAATAGGAAGCTACTATGATGGAGACAAAGCGTGCGAGCCTTGTGATCCTAGCTGTGCTGGGTGCACCACAAAGGGGCCAGCAAAGTGCACAGCTTGTCCTCCCGGGAAAATGCTAAAATACACCAATGATGATCCTAGTCAAGGTGGATCCTGCGTAGATGAGTGCAAAGCAGAGATGGACGGGTGTGCAGAGTGTGGAGCGGTAATCGGCGGTACGAAGTACTGTTCAAAATGCAAGGAAGATAAGTGGGCACCTCAGAATGGCGTGTGCGCTAATTCAGTAACAAGGAATTCATTCTGCACGAACGCAGCAGGTGGCGTATGCACTCAGTGTGCTGCAGATCATTTCCTTCAAGACGGAGGCTGCTATAAACTCGGCAGACAGCCTGGTGTCCAGATATGTGCAGCGGTGGGTCCCAATAGCCTGTGTACTACGTGCGTAAATGGACAGAGACCAGATACCAATACTGGAGCCTGTCCTGTGTGTCCAACAGGCTGTGACACATGTACAGGGACATCCTCGCGGGCACCCGAATGCCAATCTTGCCTTCTGGGATACTATTTCGATTCTGATAAAAAGCTGTGTGTGAAATGTACCGAGAATAGTAGTGCTATCCAAGGTGTTAGCAGCTGTGTGAGCTGCGCTCCTCCATCTAATAATCAAGGATCTGTCGTCTGCTACCTCATAAATGATAGCGGTAGCACAAACAAGAGTAGCGGCCTTTCTACCGGCGCTATTGCAGGCATTGCTGTGGCTGCTGTCATCGTCGTCGGGGGCCTCGTGGGATTCTTGTGTTGGTGGTTCCTCTGCCGGGGTAAGGCGTAGATTTAGCTGTGACTTAGGTAGTAAACGCTGTGTGGTGAACAGGTGGGCGGTGTTCTGGCGTGGGTGAGCAGTGAGTGCCCGGCGCCTCACACTGGCGGGCTGGGGCGCTGACCCAGGGTTCTAGCGCATGATGCCTGACCTCACACCGAGTGGTAGTCGTGCTCGATCTCTGGGCTCCTGCGAATCTCGCATTCCATTGCTCCTGCAAACACGGTAGGAGGCTCGATCTGCGAGGGAGCTCTATCGGTGCCTGGACGATGGGGGTGCGCCCGGGGGCTTCGCGCGGCACGCTGGAGCCGCATGCTTGCAGACGGGCACCTACAGCACAGCCCTGAAAATAGCCGATGGATGGGGCGAATCACCTTTTATTCGTCAAATAAATAGATTTATAACCTACCACTGTTACTGCATCGTCCAATGAGTTGCCTAGTCGGTTCATACTTTCATGAGCAGTATTACTCCAAAAAGATATAATTTACAAGTTGCGAAGAAAAAGACACAAGCACCAAAGAGGTTGAGAACTAGAAAAGCCTTAATTTAGCATGATTAGAAGAGTGCGATCATGAGGCTAGTAAAGAACAGAGTTATGTGCATAAACCCTTTAAGAAAAAATTGCAATAAGTTTTGTAATGTAAAATCCAATGCTCGGTTTGCTGTCAGTGCTTCTTTTTGCCTCATTCTGTGAAGCAGCTGCGGAAATATATTACAACAGCTTCGGTGTAGCGTGCAAAAATAACCAAAACAATTGTGCTCAGAATAGGTGCATCTTTGTGGGGCGAGATGAGTTGTGCACCCAGTGCGTTTCTGGCTACGTCCCGATAAATGGAACATGTCAGCTGCTAGATGCTTCTTCTGTATGCATTCCAGATGACGCCTCGTCGCCGACTCGATGTGTCGAGTGCAAGTCAGAGCAAAACGTGTTCCTATTCTACGGTGGCTGCTATACGATAGATCAATCTACTGTCGGGAGTGACATCTGTTGTCAAGCAACAGGCGGCAAGTGTACCGAATGTAACGTACAAACTATCAAGAAATATGTCTTCACCAATCCAGATGTGGGTGCAGCTGAGAAGTGCATTCTGTGCTCCGACACGGTCGGGTTCAATGGGTACAAGGGCGCCTCTGGGTGTCTAGACTGCCTTCCCCCCATCACTGACAAAGTAGGTATTGCGCTGTGCTTTGAATGTAATCCTAGAAGTCTCTATCCGATTGACTATCAGTGTCAAGCCAAAGGGCTTCACAACTGCATTAACGGGTATTGTACGTCATGCCACAAGACACATTTGTTCTATGAATATGGATGCTATAGTCGACACAGTTCGACTGGATTTGCCATATGCGCGGGGGCGAATCAGTACGAGCTAGACAACGTGACGATCTGCACAGAGTGCGTGAACACGTCGCACGCACCCAAGAATGGGGGGTGCACCTTCGTCGGGGAAAGCGCCTCCGGAAGCCTGTTTTCTGACTGCACGAAAGATGCAAGCAGAGGGTTGTGCACAGGTTGCTCCAGCACCGGGAAGTCTTTCTTGTTCTATGGCGGCTGCTATGACAGAAACTCCTTCATCGGCTCAAGGCTGTGCCAGAAGATCGACCAGGGAAAATGCACCCAGTGGAGCAGTACTTTTGACTTCATTTTTCCTAAAACTGATACTAGCAGTGGCGACCGATACTTATGCGGCGACGCTGGAAACAACGGTGTGCGTGGCTGTGCTACATGCGGCTACAATAACGGTGTGACGTGTACGCGGTGCTCGGCGGGATACCTAGGAGTGGATGGGAAGTCCTGCAGTGAGAGCTGCAGTGGAGACACTCGGGGGGCGTGCACAGAGATAGTAGAAAAGAGTAGCTCAACCAAGATACTGTCGTGCCGCTGCGTCTGCAGGCCGACGTTCTACAACAGCTCTGGAACGTGCACACCATGCACAAACTCGTGCGCTGTCTGCAAAGATGGCACACCAACCGGCTGCCAGCAGTGCAGTCCCGGTAAGATCCTGAACTTCTCGATTGCCTCCAGCGAGAGCGCAGACTGCGTTAGCCAGTGTTCTGTTGGTAGTGAGTGTGCAGAGTGCGGCATCACCATCGACGGCAGCAGGTACTGCACGCGCTGCAAGGACGCAAGCACGTATCCGTTCAACGGGGTGTGTATTCCGAACACACAAAGGGACGCGTACTGTACCAGTACGACAAATGGTGCTTGTACTACATGCTCAGGAGCGGCCTTCCTGATGAACGGGGGCTGCTACACAACGGTGCACTATCCAGGAAGCACTATCTGTGGTAAGCAGTCAAACGGAAAGTGCACAACGACCAAGAAGGGGTACTGGATATCGGACGATGGAAAGCTGCTGGAGTGCGATCCGACATGTCTGGGGTGCACTGCCCCTGGCCCCGGCCGCTGCACCAGGTGCCCCTCTGACAAGCTCCTGAAGAGGACCTCGGGTGCCACCACCGGGAGCTGCATTGACCCCAACGCCTGTGGGGACGGGTACTACGCAGACGGAGATGCGTGCCTGCCCTGCGCCACTCCGGGGTGCAAGACCTGCGGGCATACCTCCTTCTGCACAGAGTGTGCGGGGGAGCTCTTCGTGAGCCTGGACGGGCGGTCGTGCCTGGGGGAGTGCAGTGGGGACAAAGTGGTGGGAGAGGTGTCCGGTGGCGTGCGGAGGTGCTGGTGCGAGCGGGGCTTCCTGCCGGCGCTGGACAGGTCCGGGTGTGTGCTCCCAACCGAGTGTCCCCCTGACATGCCGTTGTGTGCTGCCTGCGATGAGTCGGGTAAGTGCCTCTTGTGTGCCGCCTCGAATCATAACATCCAGATAGATCAGCGGACATGTGCAGAGGGGTGCGGTGCCAGGGCCTCATCGAACCAGGGGCTGTGCATGTGCGAGCTCGACGCGGTCCTCACGAAGGGCGTCTGTGTCCCAGCCAAGGAGCTGGCCAGGAAGAGGACGGCGGCGATCGCAGGGGGGACAGTGGCCGGGGTAGTTGTCATCGGTGTTTTGGTTGGTTTCCTTTGCTGGTGGTTCCTTTGTAGAAGCAAGCACATCGGTGCTTCTTCGAGTACTACAGCGCTCGTTCGCTCAAAATCTGTGTAATAATGTGAAAAAGCGCGTATACGTGTAGTCATAATAAGGTAGTGTTCATAGTATTTTAGGACGGTATTTTAAACCACTGCTAAAGTGAATAGCTTCTTAGCAACGTATATTCTCAAACTTACCTTGCTAATTTTTTTATGTGGGATACTATCTCTGCTAGCTGCCTTAATTTCTTAGCGCATTCTCTCTATCATGCCATATTAGGAAAACCATGTGAACAAAGCGCTCGATAATATTGGGATTGTCTTGATAACTCAAAGCTTCGTGGAGATATACTCTTAGATTTGAGATGAGAACATTAGAACACTACTGGACAGAAGAATGCTTTTACACATACTATTTTGTAATTGCTATGAAACTAATGTCAGTTAAATTGGACCCAGCTAGATGATAGATTGTGGCCACGCTGTTAGCTCTTCTTCATGTAAGATACCAGTACTATCTACTGTATCATTACCATATATTTGATGCGTTCTAGTTCAAAAAAGCACGTTAGTGGAATGAGAATCTGCATCGAGATACGGATCTCTATAGGGCATATATCATAAATCCTGACTATGTTGTAAAAAGTAATGCAGTCAAAGATTCCATCACAACGCATAACTTTCTTCCAACAGTTACGCCTTCAACCTGCAGCTTTAGGAGACCCGATATTATAGCATTATCCATCTATGGAAGCTGTGGTAGTGTCTACTGAATTGAAGAAGCCCGATTCATTAAATTTTAAATGTCAGAGTTAATTGATGCAGCTGAGCGTGGAGATGTGAATGGCGTTATGCAGCATATTGACCAAGTAGGAAGAAGGACTCCAGGTGGAAAAACTGCATTGATGTGTGCTGCAGCCAATAATCACCCCGGCTGTGTTGAGATTCTGGTAAGCAAGGAAGCCTGCTTCCAGGATGCAGAGGGGTGGACAGCTCTTATTTACGCTGTGATGAACAACTACATTGACTGTGCCAAATTGCTACTTGTGGAGACGGGCCTAACAATGGCCAATCGATGGGACCAGTTTTCATCTGGAACGACGGCTCTTATGGTTGCTGCAACCTATGGATATGATGAGCTAGTCCGTATCTTAATGGCCTATGAGGCAGGAATGATAGACTCCTCTGACTCAACTGCGCTAATCTATGCAATAAGAGAAGGATATGTAGTCTCCCCTGGGCACATGCGGTCGATTGAACTGCTTGCTGAGCTAGAACATGGCATCAAAGGAGGGTGTGGAATGACGGCCCTTATGCATGCAGCCATGTATAATCGTCCCACAGCAATCCGGTTCTTACGAACTCGCGAGAATTCTTTCAGAAATGACGAGGGGTGGACCGCGTTGATGTATGCAACTTATTCTAATAATATAGACTGCGTGCGCCTTTTGCTTTGCGAAGCTGGTGCACAAACGTCATCCGATTGGGACTTCTATAAACCCGGAACAACAGCCCTCATGATTGCAGCCTCGCGAGGCCTGACACATATAGTTCACTTACTAAAACCATATGAGCAGGGATTGCAGGATACGGCTGGCCACACTGCGTCTTGGCATGCACAGTACAGTGCGCATAATACTCAAGACGAAGAGGTTTCGGAAGGCCACTTACATGTTCTGTCTTTACTTGGAGATGAACTAGGCGACAGGATTCCTCCTCCTTCACCGGACGGGTTAACTCTCTTTGAAGCTGCCATCTCTGGCTCTATCGATCTTGTTCAGAGCAGAATTGATGAGGCAGGGCAGCAGGATCTCTCTGGTTGTACTGCTTTAATGAGGAGCGCACACTATGGTTACACTGCAATCGTCTCTCTCCTATTAAATAAAGAGCAGAGACTTCAGGACTGTGATGGGCTTACTGCACTCCACTATGCAGTCTTAGCCGATAACAAGGCCTGCGCAAAGCTTCTTACCTCTGAACTTGATATCCGAGATAAGACTTACCGAACACCCCTTGATTTTGGTGTGCTGCATCGGCGTGATGACCTTGTTATGAGCCTGCTCGATGACCTGAAAGAAGCTGATGAAGCTCCTCTGGACACTGCACTTCGATTGGACCATACGTACTGTGCCGCATTCCTGCTTGCTAAGCGTGCAAAGCTCAATTATACACATGGATATACAATGCTCATGGTTGGGGCGGTAATGCGCGACGAGGTGCTTCTTTCCCGGTTTATTTACCAGCGAGGAATGCGTGATAGTAACGGGTGGACGGCGCTTATGCACGTGGCTCTTTCAGGTCACACAGACTACCTAGGTTACTTCTTTGCAGAAGAAGCCGGTCTTCAGTCTACAGAGCGTCTTCATTTTAGACGGCCATATTGGAAGGGGACAACGGCGCTTATGATTGCCAGTGCAATGGGGCATAGCGACATTGCCGAAAAGCTCGCTGAGGTTGAACTGGGCTATCTAAATCAGTCCAAAGAGACAGCTTTAATGCATGCATCTGAAGCCAACAAAATCAATTGTGCAAGGCTTCTTTTAAAGGAAGCAGGTCGTCGAGACCACAATGGCCAAACAGCCCTTATGAAAGCAGCTAGAAAGGGTAACATAAAGATTATCGATTTATTGATAACTCTAGAAGGGAAGATACAGGACCAGAATGGTCAGACCTCCCTGATGCATGCTGCCAGCAAAGGGCATATTAATGCTATTAAACATCTAACAACAGAGATTGGCGTGTGTGATAATACTGGCTGGACAGCGCTGATGTATGCGGCCTTAAATGGGCATGATAAAGCTGTCAATTACCTGTCTTCTGAAGTGGGTATGAAGTCGACAGATTACTGCATGATGCATCCGTCGGGAACCACTGCTCTGATGATAGCAGCTGCAGCAGGCAAGGACTGCATCATAGAGAAATTGGTGGCATCTGAATCCGGCATGTTTGACTCAAATGGCAACTGCGCTCTATTCCTCGCACTAAAGCACGGTCATCGCAAATGCTCTCTCTTATTGCTGTCAGAAGCATGCATCTCTGACCCCAGTGGGAAGTTATGTTTCACTAAACTACGAGAGTTCTATCAGATGAATCAAGACACTGAAGAAGCGTTTGCAGCCTGCTACGAGAGTATTAGAGATGATCTCACAAACACAGTGTTCCTCTCAATAACACGCAAATTCTCAACTCGCTTGTTAGCTGCGCTTCTTTCACATAGAGAATATCAGGAGCTATCCTGTGCATTCCCAGGCTTCCTGGAGCTACTTTGGGCCGCTATCTTAGGCGAGTCCGAAAATTCTCTCGATGAGCTCGACGACCACTTCTATAAGCTGGAAGAATCTCACTCGGAGAATGCGTGCATAGTGTGCATGTCTCGTCAACCCGACTGTGTGCTCTTACCTTGTCGACACCTGGTTATCTGCTCGTTTTGTACTGATAAGATATACACCGTAGAATCTATCTGGAAATGTCCCTATTGCCGAGCTCTTATTGAAAACATGTTTGTATTACAAGAATCTGATTTATAGTTTCAGGAGCTCTATGCATTGTGACTAACCAAACAGATATGCACGCTTTATAAGTACCAAGGATGAGAATTACTTGATAATATAGTTAAATGAAGGATGCATGGTTAGCTCTATATTAAAGAACATGGTGTGCACTGGGCAGTACTCTGTAATTGTGAAGCTTTATGCACGCGCACTTAATACCAATCGCTAAAGCAATAAGATAAGGAACTCATAACCATTTATGAACTGCCAGACTGATGTACTATTCAATCTAAGGTAATTGTGCTGCTTATGGTATGCCTTTATCGGAGTGAGCTGTGGTCGGCGACCAATTCTGAGAGATGCTCCTAAAAGTGCTCTTCCAAATGTCTTGAGTGCAAGCTCAAGATGTCAGGTTGATCATCCTGTGGAGCGTGCCCGATACAGTGGAATGGTTTTTTTGCAACTGAAGTTTATGCGTCTTGGAGGTAGTGCATGCTCACGGTTGACTTTTTCAAGGATCTCTTCTGCTGGGCTTTGATCGAGAGCCCATGCACCTAACGAACTTCGCATTGTTGGCCGCCTGGCAATAGTTGGTGCCGACCGTTGGGGTCTTCCCCCCAGTTGAGTAGCCTCCTTGGCCGTCAACTCTCTTGTGAGGGGACTATCTTGACTCTTGAATGAGGGAGAGTGCTGTCTCGAGTTATTGGCTTTAGAGGTAGATATGGTAGTTGTCAGCGGTCTCTTCTCGCCCACAAGTCGACCGGGGAAAGAGTCCACAATATACGTGCTTGCCGGGCGCTTTTGAGCAGGGGGTGGGGAGTGCTTTAGACTAGAAATATAGGGGCTTAGGTTTTTGAAGGGAGATTGTAGAGGCTGCGCAAAGAAGTTTTCATTGGTGACCATAGGTGTTATAGCAGGAACGCTTTCAGATCGATATTTCTTTCCAGGAATGCCTCGATTGTCCACCACCGGGAAGAGCTTCATATGTATCTCTTGCGTTTTTCTGAAGTACGCAGACAAGTTAGCGTTGCTAATACATACACGCTTCTTGCAAGCAAAATTGGATTGTGGCGAACTTCCTAGAATAGTTGGCTCTGCAAATGAACCTAGTGGAGACGTGAGGTTGCGGGCGGATGCATGGGCTGGAGGAGCTGGCCGAAAGGGGGTATATGATCGCCTGTATTTTGATCTCACCTGTTGGTGCGTTAGCGGATAAGTACAGAGTGTACCGTCACTAAGGCTGATAAATTGGGCAACGGACTGGTGTGGAAATAACTGCTTTGTCAGGAAGGGATTTAGAGCTACAGAGTTAAGGTGTCGCTCCGATGCATGCGCCAATAATTTGTCTGGCGGCATTAGAGGCAGCTCAGGTCGTTTGGGTGGGCTGCAGTTAAGCCTGAAGCCTCGAGGAGAAAGGACATTGCGGCCTACAGTGGGATGGTAAAGATCGCGACTCTTAACATCGTGGTCTGTCACTGATGCTAGATTCAGGGGAACCTCAAGAGCGATCTGTTTCTTTCCGGAGTAGTATTCTTGAAAAGCGCCAGAAATGTATCTAGCGTCAGTATGGTGCTTCTTTGGGTCATATGGTTGAAAGGCGTCCTCAAAGCAGAGGGAGGGCTCTCTAGCTAATACTCTAGTGTCTGTAGTTTTAGCCTCGCGGAGTATACCTTGGTGTGTACTTTCTTGTTGAACATAATCATTTGAGCTCCTAGTTGGTATTGGTATACCCTTCATGAGGATGCCAAGTAGCTCAACTCCCGATTTGTTTCAAATTTCTGTGGAATTTTATTTTGCAAGTTAAAGCCACTACACTATGCACACATCTGATTTAAAGGTTTGAGCGTTATCGTAGTAATCCACATATAAGTACAAATAGTATTTACTTACTATTGATCTTTTTTGTTTTCTGCTTTCTTTCAGGCTCCTTGGCTGAACTAGGTGCCGGTTCCTTTGCATCATTAATAGTAGCAAGGCCTCCTATCTTGACTATTTCTGCACCTCCGTCCTTTTTCCGCATGGATTCGCGAGCTTTTGCTTCCGCTTCTGCCTTTCGCATCTCTTGTTCGCGCTCCACGAGCTGTGCAGTACTGGAGTAAAGCAGCTCAGCCTTGCTCCAGTTTATGCCACTACCGGGGTGATCTGAATCTTTTCCGATGATGTATTCTATACTGCGTGTATCAGGCTTCATTGTGAAAATCTCACGGAAGTATCCAAACATTCTATCTCTGTAGTACTGGTAGGGAATGACTTGCCTTGGGCGCACAGAGTAGTGCGTCATCAAATAACTCTCTAGAGCGTCTATGTCCACTTCTGTGTAGTGCTTCCCTATGTGTTGATTCAGCCGTTCGCACATGGCTAGAGCTTCCGCGCTAACTGTGCTAGCGTTGCCTTCATCGGCATATTCAGTCGTTAAGGGCGGAACTAGGATATCATTGCTTATTCGTGCCTTATGTGTGTCTAGTGAATTGTTATCTGGGTCACTACCTTCACTAAAGGCCATCATACCAGAGCTATCATTTGATGAACAAGACTGCTCGTGGGATGATGGATCAAGAGTTGCCTTTTCTTCTTTACGGACAACTTCAGCTTCACCTGACTGAACAGGCGCTTCCACCTCTTTCTGTCTGGATGGCTCAGCAGGTGCTGGCACGCCACTAAAAGTTAAGACCGATGCATACTCCTTGATAAACTGGATGAGTCCAGTGTAGCTTTTCCTATTTATGCCGTGGAGAAGTAAGGCTTGGATGTAGAGGCTTGTTTGGAGAGTTAATACGGAGTTGTTGTTGTAGAAAATATACTGTGCGAGACTTGTAGAGCTTTCTGTATTGTTAAAGATGTCTATAGGGTGCGTGGAGCGCTGAAGAAAGGGGCCCAGTATAGAGCTGCAAAATGTGAATGGCTCCTTTGGTGTCTTTGGGTATGTGACGTTGATGATCTTCTCTATCGAGCTAATAAAACTAGGATAGTCGATATCATACATGTTTCTGTTGCGTCCTTTCAGCACGACCCACCGCTCTGTGTCTAATATCCTCATCGTAGCAGTTTTACAGACTGCGACATACTCATAGCAGGCCTCACAAAGGTGAAGCAGCTCTGCGTGTATAGGTGACCAGAGGTCTGTTGCCTTGAAGACACAGGAGCCGCCAAATTTGACTGTGCTTGGTGAGATAGCGAGCAAGACGGATACTATGAAGTAGGGGAGCTGGGAGTATTGAATATAGTTTGAGTATAGCTCGGTACCCGGTATTGTCGGGTCATACTCAAGTAGAAGAAAGTGTGCACCTTGACTGTGGGTAGAGGAGACAATCATGCCCCGCAGCTTTTCAACCTGTGAAAAATCGTCAATAGACGGGCCCTGAATGGCCTTGAAAGGAATCTTAGAATATGTACACCGCGGCGACTCCTTTCTAGAGTGAATGCAGATGTAGTTCAAGGGAATCTTACTTCGGACTTGACTCAATGGGACATCTGGGATGCGTGTCTCGAGGTATGTACGAATGCCATCCATGTATAGATGTGGCGAGATGGCTACAAAGTTCCACATATACTGCCCGGCTTCAGAAGGTGTTAGAAGGCTCCGCATGGCTCGATCCAGGTGTGCAAACAGTTGGCAGCTTAGTCCGAGCTCAAGAAAACGAAATGTTGACAACTCCTTGTTCCGCAAAATCGTCCCAAAGAGCTCTGCGTATGGGTTGGCAGACTGAAGCGCGGCCTTGAACAGGCGCTCAGAAGAGTGGCCAGCAAGGGTAGCTTTGATAGTACTATACATTCTAAAGAGATTCTTGTCGATATTAGAAAAGAACGACCCCTCACAGACCTGTTCAGTCACCAGTGTGGGCACCGCCTTGACAACTCCTCCAGCGGGGAGGTATGTGTGGCTTTTTATTCCATCAACCTGGAGCTGCACTGGCCACGGAGCCACCTGCAGCTCATTTAGAGCAAACACAGGGGTCCTTTCGAGGAACTGAAGTCCTCTCATTTTTGTTCGTGAAGACACGTGTACTTGGCCTTTGAGTATTCAGAGTCTCCTTTTTTCAGAATTATGCAAAGACAACTAGGGTCACTACAGCATTATTCAACCTGGTAAATGGTCACAGCAAAACAAGTACAAAGCGGTAAGCAAAAACTAAATTTAGAGAGTTAATGTGGTCATTTCAAGATGAATCTGGCCCAATAACCCAAGTCCAGACGGTCAGTAGTAACGCCTATTATCGTCGCCCAATGATACCGCGTGTTGAGCAGGTCTCGTCCAGGGGGATTGCATTTACAGGCACCGATTTGCCACGTGCTCCCCCAGATGTACACCGCACAGTAAAGCAAAGGGCAGAGGTTATTGGCATCTCTGTTGCCATTCAAACTGATTTCCGTGAAATCGAGATACAAACAGATCCTTGGACAGCTCCTCTCGAAGAAGACGCGTGCGGGACATCAAATCAAGAGGTGAAGAGCCTGCTGGAGCTCACGGTTGCAAATGGACTACTTCCTGCACATGAAGAAACCATGAAGGTTATAGAGCGGATCAAGCGTCTACAGGACTTTGATGCAGCCATTCCAGCGCCCTTAGACCCAACACGTGCCACATATACATATGAGGAGTTGCAGAACGAGCAGAAGCGGATATCCATGCTTGTCGAGCGTGATCTGGCTGAGTGGAAGCGCAAAGAGGCAGAGATGAAAAAGGTACAGGACCTGAGACTCGAGCTCCTCATTCAGAAATTGATGGAGCGCGAAGAAGCGCGCACAGAGATCAGGATCCACAAACTAGAGAGAATGAGAACTACGCACGAGATGAAGGCGTCTGCACAACTTGATAAATTAAGTTCACAAAGATTGATGACTCTAAAGAAGCAGGCACATAGCAGGGATGCGACTATTCAGCGCATGGTCCGGCGCATGGAGTCCCATAATTTTAGCAATCGGTCTGTTATAGATACGGCTAAAAGAGGCCCACGCTTAGCTTTGCCTGAAACTATTTCGACGTCTACAGTTGTCAACGGAACCATACACTCTGCTAACATTCTTAATGCTCCGTTTCTAAAGCCAGGGGAAGCCCCGTATCGATACACAGGAGTTATCAAGTTAGCTGGGACAGACTTACGTACTCAAGAAAGCTTTGATGAGATACTCCAATTTATGCCGGAGGAGAACAGATTGATCCTGGGTGCACCCCTGAACCATACTCGGTCTGCCCAATCGGCCAGGTTATATAACGGAGAGGGCTACACCCGTAGGCAGCGTGGAGCCAAGAAATCTCGGGCTGTGACATCCGACGACCCCATCCCACAGCTTCTTCCACCTCCTGGAATGACTAAGGGTGAATTTGAGATGTACCTTAACCATACACAGCGTCGCTTTGCACGAACCGGTGTTGAAGTGGGTCAATATCTTATGGGCAGGGGAGGTACCAAAGAGGATATCAAGGAAGGTCAGGGCCAGCCAGGAGATGACGGAGCCGAGGCTCATCAAGCAGCAGAATCAAATGCGGCAACTGCAGCTATGTCAACCAGTGGTCCCGCGTCCTCTGCACAGCCACAGGAAGGTGATACTGCCCAACAGGCCGCTCGCGATATTGGAAAGCAAACTCAGGCTCTGCACTTCCAGGATCCACCAACTATAGATAATATCCGCCTAGCGGATGCAGCTCTTTTCATTCAGAACCTTATTCGAGGTGCAGCCGCTCAGGTACGGCTTTATAATGGCAAAGAAAGGAGGCTCGGGCTTGTCCGCGAGCTTCGTCTTGCACACGAGCTAGTAGCGGCCCGCAATGAAGATGAGCTTCTATCAGACGCTACGCAAGACCGCATCACGGCTCTAAAGTCTGCGCTGGCAACAGGATCAATTTCGTCAGCGGTGACAGGCATCATAGGGACAACCCTAGACGCCCTGGCGAAAGAAAGAACTCGAAAGGAACAAATAAACAGAGCGCGAGCTATCCTCGAGGTGGCCACTCGTGAGCGCTATCGCCGCGAGAAAGAGGAGTCTATTCGGCGAGAAAACGTCAACTTTGAGCGCACAAAGAGTAACTTTGCACAGATGCAAATAATGGAGGCCCACAGAGATATTGCTGATGGCCTTCTCACGAGGATCAGTCGACGAGCAATAGATGCTGATGCGGCAGTTAGGTCAAAGGAGCTGGCCATCCGCCAAGTAGAGGCACTTGTTGCTTTAGACTACGAAAACAGTAAGCAGTATATGAAGAACCCTGAGAAGTGCATACGGGATCTCATGGCTAGTTTTCTGCTACCGGAAATAGATAGGCGCGTCCTTATTTCAAGGCTGAAGCAGGACCAGGAATCCGTCGGTTTGGCAATCAATATTGTGCGCGATGCAACGGCTGACCCTGGCTTTGGTACGCAGCCAGCCGAGACCAACACAGCCCTGATAAAGTAAAGTATGTTCAATCCTTGAATCATAAAAATGGAACCATCGTTCCTTCTCGAAGGAGTCGCCCACCCAGACCGGTTTCTCCCCCCTAAGCACGAATACCACTGCACACAGATGGCTATGCGGCAGCTAGAGCGGCTGAACGGAGGGTACAGACCAGCTTACGTTCAAAAGGATCCCATTTTACCGCAAACAGGAAAGCTTTTGAACTCCCATCAGACCCCCTTCAATATAAATAATGATAATATGAATCCAGTTGGGGAAGTAGAAACGTGCATAGATGAAAGTTTAAACCAGGGTGTGTCGTGGGACAATGACCGCAACCAAAATTATACAGACTTTTCAGACGGATTTCTCAACACAGGAAATGTCAGCATATTAGGATCGTCTTTAGACGGTGAAAATATCTGGGCATCGGAATGCAGTAACGATTCCATTGGCATACTCTCTGTGACAGGATCCGTCATCCAATATGATCCGAAGTCCAGCGCAGATAAGAACACATCAGACGATAACATACCCTCCCCGTTTCTTCAAATGAAGTACCTTCAACTCAAGGATTTAGATAGCGTGCACTCTTCTGTTTTCTCTCCGCCTCAAGAGCCTTCTATGTCTTCAGGTGATGTGTCACTGCCTAACATTTCCATTCATTCGAACCCATCTGTATCTCACAACGCTCCGCGGATCATTCCTACCTCGGTAGATTTAACCGGAACTGACATAGGTTCTCTGCATGTATCAGAATTGGAGCATACAGTACGGCATTCGCATGATTTTTCTTTATCATATGATAATTTATTAGCACAGCCTGAGACCTCCTTACAAGCTCCAGCGTGCTGTCTTCCTGTCATATCTAAAGCCTTGCGGAAAAAGTTACCTCCAGGCATGGCACGCAATCCTGTCACTTCAAGCCTGCTGAATTCTAAGTGTGCTCGTCCTAAGGACAAAGAATCGAACATTCTAAACCTGCCTCCTGTGCTGAAGATTTTGCAGCAGAGGGTTCGTTATTGCGGGCATATAAAAACCGTCCCGCCCGCACAAGTTCCTGGGAACCATATCGACTATCTCTCTCAACTACGGCAAAGGGTTGCACAGCAAGCACTAATCAATCTTCCCTGCTTAGCCGGACACGTAAAGTATTATGGGAAAGCAGAGCCCTCAATTCCTAGGCAGGCTCTTGCCAGTGAAGTACTTATTCTTCCCAAACTTAAACGATGATGTGCTGCTGATTGAAAAATATAGGTGTAAATTATATCAAGCTAAGATGTTTTTGTGAAACTTTATCGATGCAGGAGAAAGATTATGATTGGTTTTCCCGTGAGAATCAGTAAGTGCAGGGCTTTTCCGCAGAGCTTTTTGTAAGATACGGCAAGCCGTTAACAGCTTTTCCTGTGTTGAGCATGGACTGCTCTGTTTAAGACCACAAAGGTTCTGTTCTGGTTAGCGTAATTGCATATGACTAAGCTTTGGACTTGCCAGGAAGGAGGACACAAGTGACGTTCGATAGGTTGCTAGTTGTCATTACACCTCCCTATCGACCAGTACTGTCATCGGTATTCATATGGAGAGTTGAAGAATTGTATGGCTGAGCTCAAATCTGCTGAAGATCTCTGTTGAAGCAAAGATCACTGGCTTTAAAATTTCTTAATGCAATGGAAGGCTTCTATTCTGTGCTAGGGCTTTCTATCGACATCGCAAAGCACAGTGCACTATTACGAAGATATGAAGCTTCTGTCGCCATAATGGCAGATATCGAGCAGGCCATACAAGCAGCAGACGCAGCCCGTCTAGCAGGAGCTTACGTGGCGTACAAGTCCCGTTTTTTGATACCGATACCCTTCGGACCCACTGTTCTGGCTTTTATTGACACTATTCTCGATGAATTGAATAGACTGCGGTCGGTTCTCGCCTCGATCTGTTGGTCACCTGCTCGGTCGTTAAATTCTTCTTCCCCACACAGCGACTTGTCTATAGCAGTGCTTCTCCGAGCGATTGTTACTTTAGCAAGCTCTGATATTCTGAAACTGGAGCCAGTGTTTAAAGAGTTGGATTGGGTGAGATCTAGCCCCGCAAATAGACAAATCAGTCAATCAGCTGCCTTGTTAGATGCACTTCAACGTTGCATTTCTTTGTCTGAGTCCTCTGTGTTTTTAGCCAGGCTGGTCATGAGATGCAGGCAGGTGTTTGTCGGTAGCATGCTAAGCGAGCTTTCGTATGGAGGGTATCTTACTCCTCCTACTGACAGTGTACTGATTGGGAATTGCCTTCTTGAAACATCTGCGACAGCAACAACAGATTTAGTCTCGGTCTCTAAGTCTTCACTGCCTGCCTTTCTTGTTAACATTAACATACCGCTTCTTTGCTACACGGACTTGCTGTCTATGCTTCTAAGACGTAGATATCACCGGCCGCACAAACAAATGTCCCTCCATTCTGACAACACAAGTCTGTCTGAGGAGAGCGTTAGTAGTTCTGTGCACCTAGAAGAGGACTCGCTCAACGATGGACTTACTCCTGAGACAGGTTCAGACCCTGTATCCTCCTTTAGTGCAGAAGAGGTGACAGGTATGACAGGTATCTTTGCCTCCTGGAATGCTCCAGATCATCTGGAGCCATCAGAGTTATTACCTCTGCTCTACGAGGTGTCGAGCACAATAACCACTTTTCAAAACGAAGTGCTTCCGACGCTTTTCAAAGACTCTGTGTGGCCCTTAGCAGACGTTGAACGCGTACGCAATCTCCTTGTGGTTATTAACAGACGGCTCAGTGACTCACTTGCTGCCGAAAGGGAGCGAATATGTTCGCGATTGAGCCTTCTTTTCCTTCAGTCTGAGGCCACCAGTAACTTTATTCACGCTACTACACGGTTGGCGGAGTACACCATGGAGACAATTGAGCTATCATCCCATTCAGCACTAACTAACACACTCTCCAAAGGAGGCCAACTTCACGGCGCCATAGGCGACAATTTGCTCACTGAGTCATGGTTTAAGATACGGGTTCCCTTGGAGTTTATATCTCATATGCACACTATTATGCATCGAGGTTTGTCTAAGCATTGCTCTGAAAGTGGTAGCTCCTTTAGCCCTGTTCTACTTGAGCACTTCTTTAGAAAAAAGTTTAGGAGGATCCATAAACGGGTCACGCTTGCTGCTCAGAATAACGAGTTGCTTCGAGGAGATTATGTTTTGCTTGAGCCTTCGGACTCTCTTATGCTTTTAGCCTTCGGTGCAGTACATTTCCATGTCACTGAAGAAGCCTTTTCAGCGGAGCGTATAGAGTACTTCCTCGGAGAACGCTCTCAAACACGCGTTGCAGATCTGTCATACATGTGCAGGTTGTCGCAGTTCACCAACACATCACTAAACTGTGCATTTAATATGATGGCAAGATTGGAGAAACAGTTAGGAAAGCAAGAGCTTAAAAGATATCGCATGCACACTCCTCATGAGGACGGTTCAGAATTAGCAGCTGAAGATCTCGAGGAGCAAGCTCAAAGAGAAAGTTTCCTAGCGATGCGGAGCACGAATCCCCGAAGAACCTGTATGTCTCCTCTTTTCCCGGGCATCACCAGAGTTCTCAACCTGATGGCTCGATTTGTTATCAGTCACAATACTTACTTTCATGGTGTATGCTTAGAGCCTCTTCGTGCTGGAGGCTTGCTAGGTGGGTTCACCTCTGGTAATCTGGCAATGCTATTGAAGGAAGCTCACGCCCGTGGGACTATTACTCGTTCGATAAAAGCTCTTGTCAACGACATGCTCTGTCTTTGCTTAAGAACATGTTACATCATATCGCTGTTTTGCAAGCTTTCCGCGTCCTTTGCAAGGAACGGTAGGCTCTTTACCTACGTTCTGCAGGATTGTAGAGAATTGGAGCTGCGCTTCTCTGGCATGTGGGAAGCCCTCCTCAAAGAGTTATCGGTTATAGAGCAAAGCAGAGGCGTGGACACTTCGTGTTCGATGCTCATGACATGGCTTCCAGAGCTGCGATTGTCTAGTAGTTGCTCGCCTCCTATCAACTATCTTAAGCCTCAGTCCAATGGCATGACTGGGCTCCAGGTGGGGCCAGCGAATCATCGGCCAGACTTATCAAAAGACCCTATTAAGACAGCAGATGCAGAGGATCTTTCTAATTTACGACTGGGGGTTGCGCTTGGGCTGCGAAAACCCAACTGAGGCAAACCGCACACTTATAGGAAAAGAGTAGTTCCTGCTGAGTAAATTGCTTAATACAGACTCCAGTAATTCTATGTTTTGCCCCTTATGTCTGAGCCCTCGCCGCGCTGCGCAGCGTCGTCTTGAGAAATGGAACGATGAGCAGTGAACGTCGAGGAGCGCACCCAATTCAGAGCGCGAGGTAGGCCTAAGAGGTGGTTTACATCAAGCAACCCACTCGACTCAAAACTATTTCTAGTAAACACTACAAATCTGCGAATCTGCGGCTTCGCAGCTTTATATTTAAAGAACTGAGTCGTAGGAGTCATGGACGTCGCTAAGAGTAGTAGTTCCGAGCCTGCAGATTTGCACACTCCTGCCGGGATGGATCTTGTGCTCTCTAGGGATGTGATTCAGCGTCTCCCCGGGTTGGATGAGCTTGATCGAAAGCTTCTTGATAAAGATTTCTCCCCACTTGCCTTTATCGACTCTCAGCTCGCAAACATGTCGGCTACGCAGTTGCGGGAGATATTGCAGAATAAGCTAGAGGCAATCAAGGAGCAGGCCGCTCAGACTGCGCTGACTACGAATGTCACCGTGCCTTCCGCAGTTGATATCTCCAAAGTCAGCGACATGTATACTCGAGGACGTGGACTAGTGAGCCAAGCAGCAAATTTAGATAGCCGCTTAGCTGCGATACGTAATCGCCTAATTCAGGTACTTCATCTGAGAGACACTCTGATGTCTGCATCGTCCACTCTGGTCCTTACTAGAGCATATATATCGCGAGTTAGCTCATTGCCATCTAACTTGGAACGTGCCCTGGCTGATCTATCTTCTACAACACAGCGTCTGGCCTTTATTAAGCTTATTGAGAGACGGATTGAACCATATGCATCCATTCCTGCTGTCGGCACTTGCATGAAGCAGTTCTCATCATATACTGGCATGCTCCTGAGTCGTCTACCCCCGATACAGGGATCGCCAATCGATGATAGCGCAGATTTCTGGACAGAGGCAATGCCACACATGGCACTCGGCACGGTGCTGCAGGGACACAAGTCTCTTGCAGCGATAGTAGTGGACCGAGGGCAGATCTTCTCTTCGAGCACCTCCGCCGACCAAGTGATAAATGAAAGGGTCAAGGAGATTGCCTTCTCTATCCAAAGGTTTCAGCACCTTGTCAGTGCTTCTATTCCATATCTATCTAAATTAGAGGAGATTGTATCACACTGGATTCAACAGGCGTACGACGAACTAGAAGCTATGTCTGTGGGGCTGTCTGCCACTACTAAATCAGCCTATGATACGTCTGTACTCATCGCTATCTATGAAACCTATCTTAGCAGTGTGCGGAAAACCCTGACCAGACTTCTCAAAGTCGTAACAATTGGAAGTGATAATGGTGCATTCACTACTGCTGCAATTGCATTTGTGGCGTTTGAACTGGACTTGCGAAAGAGCCCCGACTACGAACGACTTGCAAGTTTGTTTCCAGAATTGAAGAAGCCCATCTCATCAGGTTTGTTTGTGCCATTATTTAGCTCCCTAGTTCTGTCTGATCTCGATAGCAACATTTCCAAGGTTAGGCTAGACTCGTTGAACACTCTGGGTGCAGTAGACTTTTCTAGCTTTAACATCTACAACGGCCTTCCTCCTCCACAGATAGTGTCCATCCTCAGAGCATGGAAGGCATTTCTGCAGCAAACATCAGCGTTTTTGGACAACAATGCTAGACTCTATGTGTCAGAGGCGGTGGTCCAATGCATGAAGGAGCTTGCAGGGTCTCTTCTTGAGCAGCTAAGCTTTCCAGCCGATAGCAATCTTATTTTGCAGAAAAGATACGCGCAAATTAGTGGGTTTCCACTTCAGCACTCTCTTCTAAACAGGTCTCCATGCAAGCAAATGACAGTATATGACCCGAGCGAGCTGCTCGTTGTTCCCCTTGTTCCCCGTGTCATAGCAACTGTATACGGTGTGCTGTGGTCTATTAGCACTTTTGAAAGCAATATCCCTGGGATGTTACTGTCTCATTTGGCGATTGTTTCTGAAGGGGCCATTGATATCCAGGAGGTAGAACATTCAGGCCAACAGTCAGCCTCTTCCGAGTGTGAAAATGTGTGTACCAGACAGAAATTACTGTTAGAGAGCCTTCAGGAGACATGGAATACAGCTGCGGATACGGCTATGCGGACATTAGCAGGAGCTATGGCAGGAGAGTTGTGTTCGGGCGGTGTTTATCCCTTGCTCGATTCTCACCCCAATGGTAAGCAGGACTTTCGCCGCGTACAAAGTCTTATTATCGGCCAATTCGAGCTTTTCCTGGATACCTTTAAAACCACCACATTTCCAAGCATCTTTGCCGAGATTTTAACCCCAGCCATTTGCAATGCAGTTGGGTGCTGCGTGGTGGCTGCACCCAGGACCAAAGAGCCCTTGATAAGCATCCTCTCGTCTATAAAAGAGCTCATACACGACATTAGACACGTCGTTACAAACGCTATTCCCTCTAGACTCTATGAGACAATCTCTAATTGTGTAGAAGAAAAGATTGTTGGGGTGTTGTCCTTCCTTCTTCTTACTTTGGAGAACCGCAAGGCGACGACGCACAAACAGCTTGCAGACTTCCTGCCCATGTGCACAGACACCAAGCAATGGTTCGTGGAGCTCACACGTTCGTGGACCAAATGACTTATTTGCAAATACATCAAAAAAATGAAGGAGATCTTCTCTCACAATAGGCCGGACAAACTGCTGCTCATTGATGCACCAGCAGATGCCTTAGTGCTAGTCCCTGGAGAATACGCAATCGTGCGCTTTGACGGCGTTGAGGATGTCAGGGCAGACCCAACGGTCCTAGACTCTCTCAGGTTTGGAACGGTCACACTCACCAATCTTCGGCTGGCGTGGAACTCTCGTGGAGACCCCAACGGTCACAGTATTAGTGTCGGCCTCAGCACAATTACAAAAATCTCTGTTGGCAATCTACACAGAGACAGGCAACAAAAAGTGGCAGGTCTGGAAGAGAGCGTTCCACCTGACAATGGACTCTTCATCACAGGCAACAGGTCCGTGGTACTTCACGCCACATTCAATCAGCTGGGTTATAAATTTGAGCTGAAACCGAGCTCTAGAGAATTCACTCAACAAAATTCAAACTTCTTTAACATATTACAAGCAGTGTATAGAGCGCATGACACTACACGCATGTATAGACGCGTTCGTGTGCGCTCCTCTATTGTTCGAGATGGACAACCTATATTGCTTTCTCGAGAAGTAATCCTTAGCAGCATAAGCAACATAGGACTAGTGTCTGCGATAGGAGTGAGTAATGTGCTTGGCGTCTTTGTACGCACGTCGCATAGAATTATCTGGTTTTCTCCTGCTAACGAGTCTTATAATGTCAGCATTCCTTATGTAGATGTCTTAAGTCTATCGCTCAAAGAAATAAAAGGCTCTGATGATAAGCTTCTAGTCTTTTCTATTCCTGCAAACGATAATATGAAAGAGTTTCTGTCTCCATGCAATGAACTCGACAGGAAGACACTTAGGGCAAAGGAACACAGAGGAAAAGGACTCAGCTCTTACTCCATAGCTACCTTTGCATTTGATGTGCAGAAGGCAACTCCCAGTGTTCCTATTCAAAGCCTTGCACAGAGCGTTCTTATAAGTATACAAAAGGCGCAAGCACAGCCAGATTATGGAGTAGAGATAAAAGCACAGGGCTCTGTGGATGAGGCTAGTGCTTTGGTATCCTCTGAGCAAAGTCCTGGTGGCTTTGGAGTCCAAGCAGGAGTCGAGGTTGTCAAAACCGGGCCGCAGACTAACTCCAAGGACGGGAGCAAGGTGCTAAAGATTATCCAGGCTGTTGCAAGTCGCACAAATTTTGCCGCACGATACATTGTCAGTAGCTCATGTGCACCAGGGCATGTAGATGGAAAGGACGGTGGTTCCGGAAAATTAACAATGACTCTGGATGATGTGCTTGGTGTGGCCTTTCAATCTGTTCCAGGCATTGATTCCATTGGGGACTTATGGAGTCTGTAGTCGGCCTTATTCATTGTCTGTGCTAGGTGGTGGTAAGAGTGACTCATATATCTCGTGCACCACGTAGGACATGTCGTTTATCCTCATAATCATGTCCTTCTTCAGTTGCTCGCTGGTGTCTGAAGATAATGTGTCTGGGAGTTGTCTGTGCCGTAACAAAATATTGTCGTCGGATGTCACGTCAAGGATACCTACGTATGCGTCTGTATCGTCATTTATCCCTCGAATTTTCAGCATGTATCTTCCCTTGGAAAATTCTCTATTTATCGGCCCAGCTCTGCTTTCTAGCTCTCTAAGAAACTCTAAATAGTCAGCCTCCGTGCTCACGGGAACACAGTCAAGGCCGGCAGTAAGGCGCATAGCCTTTATTGTTACAAGTGCTCGGTTGTATTTTTGTTCTAATATTTTGTATTTCTCTTCCACTGAGCTAGTGTCTGTCAGTGGCAGAGGCGCTCTAAGTTGTCTTACACTGACAGCCATGGGGTCGACTGCCTCACAATAGCCCCCTGCCTCATTGGTATTTACCTTTCCATCGAGGGGAGGATAGGTCTGACAAGATTGAAGATAGGCAGGTAAGCATGATTTCAGGGTTGTCTTCAAGTGGGCATCAAATAGCTCTAGTATGGCAGTATCGTTGTGCTGTTGTTCTGGTCCAGCCTTCAGTGATAGCTGTTTAGTTGACATCTGCTCGTTGGCGTCTCGCAGCCTCGTGTCCACGTCTTTATAAAACGCACTCATGTTGCTGCTTATGCCTTGCATGCTAGAGACTAACTGCCTCACGTCTTGCTTGCCTTCTTCCATATATCTGAGAACGCTGGCAAACGTGTCGTCCAGCCGACTTTGAATGTCAACCACCTGCCCTTTGATGGTCTTCAACTCCCTCGATAGCATGGCCACCTGCTCCTCTGGAATCGTTATCCGTATCTTGTAGAGTTCAGCGTAGTCGTCCAGTATGGCTGCATACTCTGAGTTACTCTCTCTGGCTCGTGGGTACCTATGGGGGTGTGGAAACCGTGTGTCTCTTTCCCTTTGAATTGATTCGGTCAAAAAGTCATTTCCGGTGGAAAGCTGCATGCTATATTCATGATTAGTTTTTTTGCTATTGTTCCGTTGTTGCTGCTGCTGTTGCTGTTGTTGTTGTGTAGGTCTGTCTTTTGGTGCTGCAATCGGTTCAATATATTTCCCCCCAGCCTTGGAAGCTTCCCTTGTAGTGGTTGCTCTTGATACAGTCTGCTCCCCATCTCGTCTAGCACTCTGCTTAGCATGATTCTGGCCCTGCTGCCGGCAATCTTCTTGTTGATCCTTTTTGTGTTTTCGTTCTTTCGTTGGGTGCTCTTCTTTTGGTCGTCGGTGTTGGGTATTTGTACTGGCGTCATTTCCATAGGGTGGTGCTTTGTCTCGAACATTTCTGGGTGCATTTCTTTGCTTTGTGTGAGGCTTAGTCGGAGATTGATTTTCGCTACTTGTTCCATTTTGTGGAGATTGGGCTCCATGTGCTTGGTCAGCCTCATCTTCATGGAGGCTGCTGTCGTATGTCTCTTCGTGCACCGTCTCTTCACCTGTGTATATGTACTCTGAGCTATTTGCTTGATTATTCGAAGAGTCTTCATTTTCCTCCTCAATTGCCACCATTTGTATACCATAACCTCTGGTTTGTTGTTCACCAGTCTGGTTCCGTTTCCTGCTTGGTTCGTAACTGTTGTGGCGCATTTCTCGAGCACGGATCTTTAGTAACAAACTTCAAATTCTAACCTATCTTTTTCATATTTTATGTCCTTTCCATTGTGAAATGTCGTTAGTAAATGAGGCCTCGTCCTGTTGACCTGCTGGGGTCGGCGCTTGGATGCTTTGTTGTGTGGCCCCTGGTTGCATCTGCCCTCAGGATGGAATTTTTGACCGATAGGGAGGTTACCCCACCAAGTCTATCCCATTCTGACGCTTTAGAGGGACCTATGCAACACATCGGAAAGAGGTTCAAAGAGCAATACGCCTTCATCACTCATACTATTTCGAAGACATTTACACCACTGAGGCTACCATTTGGCAAGATCTTTGGCCTCTCCAATGGATTATGCTTACCACACGAGGCGTCTGGCAGTTCTAGCAGCCTCTACCTTTCGCAGCTGGCAGAGAAGTGCCCGATAGACATGTCAACAATCATGCAGCAGGCACCGGGCCATCGCCCCATTCCGCGCTTCACAAAGTTTAGTAGGGTTATTCGTACGAACGGAGAAAAACTTACCCTGTCTGACCAGGTAATTAGGTGGTTCAATAGTCGGTTGGGCACAGCCGACGAAGTTTGTACTGAAGAGCTGGGTCTTGGACCTGGAGATCTTTTCAACAGGGCCTATAAGCCTCCGCCGGTAAAAGGTTTAGGAGGCCTCACTGTTGGTATGAAGGAGCTGCGACAGGTGTACCTGGGGTTCATAGATGACTTCACAGCAGCTTCATGCATAGCACCCTTCATGGAGCGTCGCAGCGCCAGCAACACAGAGCACTGCCTGAGATGCGTCTATAGAACGTACTAAGCCCCCGAACAACCATTTACTCGACTAAATAAGCTCATCTTTCCAGATAAGCGTTATACATGGCGTATACCACTCAGATTGAGGCCAGTTGAGCTTCAGGTAGACGTCTCTCTCGTCCTTGATCCCGTTTTCCGTCAGTGTCTTGTCCATGTGCAGATCCTCTCCAAGGTACTTCCACCGGTACCCAGTCAGTGCAATAGAATTAAACCGAGAGTACCGCGCAGCAATCTCTGCAAGCGTCTCTTCCTCGGGGACAGTAATCATGTGCCGATGCTCTGTGAGGGTGTTTAGAATTTCAAGTGGCCGCGAATTCTTGCTCAGTAGACCTATCTCATATCTACTATCCCTCCACCACGGAGTTTCAGGCGGGACGGGCATGTCCATCGCCGGGTAGGGTATACAAGAATGAAGCAGTGGGAGCCCATTCGGGTGTCGATAGAGGTTCTCCCCGGTGACGGGGTCCTCCATAATAAAGGGGTCTCCTGTCGCAGGATTAAACCATGACGTTATGTCTCCGCCTGCAGCGCGGACAATGCTTTCAACGAGATTGGCTGGGTTGGATTTGATGATAGATGTGTAGTCAAAGACTCGCCCATGGTGCGAAATCCAGCAATCATCTGCCGTGCAGTGCTGCGCGACGTCTTCCTTTGTGTAGTATACGTGTCGATTCATAGAAATTTTTGAATTTTTACTACGGATTAAATACTAGCTAAGTGGCACTACTCTGCGTCAACAGCCAAAAGGTCCGCTAGATGCTGGTTGCCCATCGCCCGTGCAAGCTGCAACGGGGTTTCACCAGAGACGCGGCACAATTTGCCCTCTTCTTTCAGAAGGAAGTCTACGCAGGACTGAGAATTCCCTGCGATGGCCATCATGAGAGCCGTAGTTCCGTCCTTCATTTGCTTCTTACTTTCACTGACGCTGAGCTCCTTGACAATGGTTAGATGGCCGTAGTATGCAGCATACATCATGGCCGTCTCCCCGCGGGATCCAGAGACGCCCATTTCGACCGTCTTCAGCAGCCGCACCGCTCCAAGATGACCATTCATCGCAGCTCGCATCAAGGCTGTGCCCCCATACTTATCCTGAATTCCTGCTTCATCCTCAATAAGCAGCTTCACACACGCATCATAACCGTTGGCAGCAGCAAACATGAGAGCAGTCTCGCCCTTGGAGGTCTTTTTGCCGGCATCAGCCGATAGAAGCTTCTTCACCTGGTCTGTATCTCCTCCCCTTGCTGCAATGTGCAATCCGGTCATTCCGTGCGCGCTGCTCACCAGGCTGTTGGTATGTGAAGTGTCCTTTTCCCTGAGTGCGTCAATCTCCGCCCTTAATTGAATTATGAGTTGCATCCTGGAGTCCGATAGCATTCTGAGGGATTTATTGGTGTCGTCAAGAAGCTTGAGTTCGTGCTGAGCGGCGTTCAGCTCCTCCTGTACCTTTTGAAGGTCCCCTACATTGCTGCGTTGCCGTTCTAGTTTCTCAATGGTCCTTGCCTGCTCCGTTACTTGGGCTTGAAGAGACTCTATCTCGGAGTTCTTCTGTGCTATTGTGGTGGCGAGTTCTTGGACATCCTTTTGGGGCTCTTTCAGTTCGGCCTGATGGTCTTCTGCCGTTACTACACCCACTTCTTTAAACTTTGGGCAAAGAAGAAGTTCTGAAGCACTAGGTCGCTTGTCTGGGTCTTGCGTTATCATGGATTGGAGGAACTTTACGAGCTCCTTTGAGTACTGAGACGGAAGCGGGGTCCTCTGGTCTTCCAAGATCTGCTTCGTAAGGCCTTCCTTGGTAGTAGCGATAAATGGGACAGCACGGGTGCAGACGTGGTGCATAACGCATCCCAGTGACCAGATGTCTGCCTTTTCGTTGTACGGCTGCCGCTTGAACAACTCGGGAGCCGTGTACATGGGAGATCCAAGAATGGTGACGGCAACCTCATTAAGGCCGCAAGATTTGGAAAATCCAAAATCACATAGCTTTATGCAGCCATCGTCACGAATAAGCACATTTGCAGGCTTAATATCACGGTGGATAATGACGGTCCCATAGTCAAACCCTGGTTTTGTGGGAGAGTGACAGTACTGGAGAGCTTGCAGAAGCTGCCCCATTATGTTCCAGATGGTAGCCTCGGGGATGATCTTCTGAGGATACTCCTTGACAAACTTGAGAAGATCGCCTTTGCCGCAGTACTCCGTTAAAAGATATATTTCCTTCGACTCTTCGCCCAGTATGGTGCGATAGTACTGGACGATATTTTTGTGCGATAGTTTTTTATGTAGGTTTATTTCGCTGTGAAGCAGCTGCTTCTCCTTCCGGGACATGTTCTCATACCTCATTATTTTGCACGCGTAAATTTGCCCAGAAGTCTTTGATTTAACTTTGTGGACCGCGCCGAACTGTCCCTGGCCAAGAAAGCCGATTATCTCGTAGTCCTTGAGGGCTGGGTAGTCGTGCCTTTGTGACATTTTTTAAATGGAAAATTCACATTTCTTGCCAGATATCCTGCGAAGAATTGGAAAGTTACTAAACCAAGCACATCATATCCTTATGGACGTGAGCTCGTTTATAAACTCTATGCTCTTAACCTTGCCCCCACAACTAGGGCAGCGCCTCAAGTCTAGCAAGCGAGCATACTCCGTGGTCGTCATCACGTGATCGCAAGGCCGCAGAAGAATCTCTAGAGAGTTGATGATGGCAGACTCCCCGGGAGACATGGCCAAATCTGGTGATGATACCGGGCCATCAAACTCTTCATGTTTAATCGCCCTGGCAGCCCGGTCCTCCATGACAGCTGATCTGGACGGCCCAGTGTTTTTGTTCTCCGCCATCTTGACGCACTCCTGAAGGCTCATAGATAGTCTGGAGATGGCTAGATTTCGTATGGCGCCCTTCACAGCGGTGGCGCTTGCGTTAACCCGGCTCTTACACGAAGGCGAATCCCTCCGAGTAGAGGGTTCACAGGTCTGCAACACACTTCCTCCCTGTCTCCGCGTTTGACTGCCTCCTAGCTTTTGCACTCTCTTCTCAGTGAAGAGCTCTGGGAGGTCCTCAAAGGTAAGCTCTGATAACTCTGTTTCGATGTTGTATCTGAATTGCCCGACAGAATGCCGGATTCGTGGATGTCGTAGAGCGTCAGAAGCAGAGATGCGAGCTGCTTCGTCTACTGCGAGCATTTGCGTAAGCAGCAAAAAGAGATCTGCGGAGTATCCCGGGATGAACTCCAGGCGAGAAATCTCTTGAAGATCTTGAAGCATATCGTTGACAGATCGGGCTGTGAATAGGGGTGTTAAAGTACAGAGTTCATAGACAATACATCCAATGGACCACACGTCAGAGGCTGGGGAGAAGGATGTGCCACTGATGACCTCTAGACTCTTGTATGGGGTGGTGTCGCTTGACCAGGTCGTCGTCTCTTTCCGCTCACTGGTCAATAGCGGACGCCCCAGTTTAACGTAGTACAGGTCAGAGATATAAATGTTCGACGGTGCGATATTCAGATGTGACCGGTAAAGACGTTGACAGGCAGCTGCTGCATCCAGGAGTTGGGCCAAGATGGCCCAAACCTTATCTTCTGCAATCACAGCCGAATCTGCAGCCTTGCAATCTATAAGGTCTCTGAGGGTTTGCCCCTCGATGTGGGTTGAAAGACATACTTCGTAATAATCCGATTTATCCTTTACTGCTGCCGTGATCCTAGAGATATGAGGGTGCTTTAGCCGGTCTATGAACCGTATGTCTTCCTTTAATGTTTCTTCTGCACTCGGACCAGTTTTAGGTACCGACAGGACAAGAGAGACTTTCAGCCTATCTGACTTATAGCTGAGGCCTCTATGACGGCTCCCGCTTCTCTGCAGACGATTCTCAGTGCCTGAGCTGCCAAGGGCCGATAGCACTAGCGACATGTGTGTCAAATGGCTCCGTCTGAAAAATTTAAAGAGCCTCAAATTTGCGAAAGGTCTTCCTCTGCCGAGACTGACGCAAGCAAAGGATCAGTGAATATAGTATTTACGTCTGAGGTGACACCTTTTATGACTAGTTGACCTTTGGACCGATGCCGAGCATAGAAAGAGGACCACTAGAAACACCTCTAATTGAAGGGCCGTCGTCGGGCTCATTTCTTCTGGCACCCCGATCATGCCCGCGATGAGTGAGTAAGTCGATATCTCCCTCGGGACCTTCCCCTACGGCGCGCCCCACGCGGTCGTCATCATCATCCTCCTCGTCGTCTGTCTGTCTTCCGCTTCCTATACCGATGGTGTTATTGGTGCTGCATGCGTATGTGCTCGACATGTACTTTTCCTGTATTTTCTGGACCGCGTCTGTGATCTCCTGGACCGCATCCATGACAACGTTCTTGAAGACCAAATCCATACAAAGAAGCTTCCGGCCAGGCTCCACGGATTGCATGCTTTGTATCGTCTTGGAAGCGGCGTGATAGGGCATTGGCTGAGATACAGAGTCGTGCGGTGGAATGGTCTGGATGCAATTACTCGGTAAATTTGTGTGTGCTTGCATGAAGCTGTAGTCACTAACTGACGTGCTAAGACCCTCGTCCATGTACGCTGGAGTCGTCCTGATCATTGACTGGGCCTCTTGAAAGGTGTAGTAGTCGTCTGGAAGAGCGTCAAGGGTGTCGGGGTTTATATTTTTGACGAGCATGTCTGCCGCGATGATGTTCCAGATACTACGCTCCAGTATGACATCCGAAAATTTGGTGCTGAGGAGCTGAGAGAGAGCTTGTATCCTTTGCTCATTTTCCTCTGAATGGTACGTAGAGCGCCGTACGGTGCGCGGGGGCGTGCGCTTATCGACCTCCTGCTGGGACACGGGCCCGTTGCGATAGTAGTTGAGGGATATTAACTTACCGTTGTTACGTTGTACAAAGGATATGTTTTTGCTGTCAAAGGGATCAAACGTGGTCTTGCTCAGTTTATAATACAGGTGGTTTGGTTTAAACTCTACTACATTGTTCGCAAGAACATGCTCCTCTATGGCTGCCATAAATTCCTCTAGGCGTGAAAACTCTATCTGCCCACTGAATACGGGAGTTGCGGTCTGCTTGTGATAGTCTAAAACGCACAGCTTGACGTGGAATTTGTAAGGCTTCCCAGAGGAGATAGCTGTTGACATCACCTCGGGATCCCAAGAGATCTGGCGGCACAAATGTGCGCAGTTTTTTAGGTCTTTATATTTTTGAATTTTTTTATTTGCTGCTGTCTGCGGGGGCACAAGGTCCTTCCGCTCAACTGTGTCGACAATCACCGGGCAATTCACCTGGCTGATGCACCCATGTTAATCTGCGCACGTCCCCCATATGTTTTCCAGCGTCCTTGCCTCCGCGCAGCTGACAACTCGTAGTTTACTCTCGATTTACTCTCTACTGACATTGCATTTAAAATAAATGGACTCGCTTGCGCTGGACCACATTGCCCGCGTGCATACGGTCGTTCTTGAAATGTACCGCGATAGAGGGTATGAGATGGGGCCCCTGGAAAAGCAGATGGGACTCTCCGCTGAGGAGGTGGGACGACTAATAGATGATAACGTTACTAACCTTCGACCCCTCTGGTTTATCATTACAAAGGGCCCTGTGGCTACCGCTGTGGTATACAGTATACTTCCGTGGGTCGATGCTTCTGCAGCAATCGGGCAGTACGTGGACCAAGAGGCCGTTCAAAAGTGCCTCTTTGTCTACTTCGGCGGTCCAGCGATCTCGTGTAGATCAGAGCACCGTGTGATTAATGATGTAGAAGTAGACATACACGACTTTTCTCAGTTTCTTATCAATCCCACAAAGCACCGTCTCGTACCGAAGCACACCATCCTATCGAACACTGAAAAGGCCAGAGTTTTAGCTGAGCTCCGGGTCACGGAAGCACAAATACCTCTCATTCAAACGTCGGATCCCATCATGCGGTGGTATGACGCGAAGCCAGGGGACCTCATCAGAATAACACGAACGTCGGGCAGTGCGGGGAAACATCTCTACTACAGATTGTGCTACTAAACGAAGTGGTATTATGGACGTATGGTCTGTCTTATGCTATATTTGTTGGCTCTCTCTGGATAGCAGCTCACTTGCTTCGGATAAACGGGTAACTAGGGTCGTCCTTGCTGATCCACAGAGTGACGTCGTCGGCGTGGTTTCTTGCTATACATGAGCTCTCGTCGGAGAGGTCTGGTATTGGTGGGCGTAGGTCTCCGTCCTCCCTGAGCGAGTGCATAGTGAGCACTTGGTTATAAGCACGCCACCCTCCTATGGTGTTTGGAGTTATTCCCTTCCATCGGAAGAGTACCACGATAACGCTTATGTTATCTGTCGCCTCACGCTCTAGAGCAAGGTGGGCGAGTTTCTCGGCCAGCTTTTGTGCGCACAGACAATCAACTTGCTGGATCATGTCCTCGTTGAGTTCAAGGTTGTCGGCGGGTTCTTCGCCCCCGTTGAGCTCCACTGAGGCCTCTGAGGGGTTAAGTGGAGTGGATAGTAGCTTGTAGTAAAGCACGGCACAGAAGCGGTGGACGAGGAAAAACAGCCGCTTTATACCGTGCAGTGCCTTTCTTAAAAGATTGCGATACTTGGATTTGGTGATATTCTGCGTTTGACAGGAGCTGGAGCCGGAGCTGCATTGATCTAGTGGGGAATCCGAAAACTCATCCTCGACATGGGAGCCAACGACCATACCTGTATTATGCCCCATCGCCGCTTTCATCTCATCAATCATTATTGTGGGTCGGTTAGCGTACACAAATTCGACCACCTCCTTGCTACTGAGAACGTCATAAACGCCGTCGCAGGCAATAACTAAAAATTGATCGCAAATGTTTGTCACGGTATACCTGATTTCTGGATACGCAGAGATGAGGTCTCCCCGGATTCCCTGTTTTTTTAACTCTTTGTTAGCTTTCAAAGAAAAGTCCCCGATACCGCGAGAGACACTGAGTCCACCTGGCCAAACGCGAAGAGGGCCAACGCTGACAAGGCACTTATTAGATGACACGTGGGATGCCTGTACGGAGCCGCCAGCAGATAGTATCCTCATTGTTTCCGAAGATCGGTTGGGTTTGTGGTCCTTGCTCAAGTCGACGTGGAATACAGAGAGGTCTGCGTTATTAACACGGCCGAGCACTGCGCGAGAGTCACCTACGTTTGCCACATAGAGCATGTCTTTGTTCAGAAGGCCGATGCATGCTGTCGAGCCTGGGGTGGGGAGTATCACGGAGGATCGATCCCCGTGCTTTTTGTTGGCTGCGAAGAAGATGTCAGCAAAGGCTGAGTCTGCTGCGAGGAAGGCTCTGCAGAGCGCTTCGCATACGTCCTCGCTGCTTGCCCCATAGAACACATCTCGCTCCTTGGATATTAGGTTCTGTAAATTTGTCTTAAGATAATTACTGCATGCCGTCCCGCTGTGCCCGTCGAAAATTCCAAAGAGGCAAACAGAGGGCTGATGGCAATTCTCCGCTGGATAGGAATCTTCAGAGTTATCTCCCTCATATCTTAATGCAAGATTGATGACGTGGCCATCTTCCATTGTTGGGCGTACTCCCGTCAGGCCTATCCATCCAGTGGCCACAGATAGCTTTTCACTCAAAGAAGCCCGGGAAAGCCGCAGCCGCGTCTTCCGCAAATGTTTATAATACAGGATCAGCAAAAAAGCCAATGTAACCACGAGCCCTCCGAGCAGCGAGGCGGAATGAAGGTCCATGGCTTCGAGGGCTTAAAAGCTTCTAATTAAAAATACTGTAAACCAGGACATGGCAGATATTACCGTGGATGATCTCCGCCCGTGCGGCGCATTTACACAAGCCTTATCAGACACAGCAAGAGCCGTAAAAAACCGTTTAGCTAGCCTTGAGGGACCACTTGCAGAGACGTTGGATGCGACAGGGCGAACGCTCAGGAGTGTCGGGCATTTGTTGCTCCCTTTGGCCGCTGTGGTTGTCCCACTAGCTGTCTTCCAACAATGAAGAATTCCTGTGCACTCGTAGTGACCTTGATTGTTCGACAGTGAGCTGTCTCCTTTTGTAATTTGGCGCCTAAAGAGTAGAATGAAAGAGTAGAATGAAAGTAAAGTATGGATCAGTGGATTTTCTTGCACAGCATGCAATCGATCACTTTGCGGAGGCTGCTGCTCACCACAGCACAGAGGAAGTGTGAGAAAAACACTCAGATTGCTTTACAAATCGTCCCGCTCCAACACCAAAGTACTCAGCGCGCTGAGAATGTGGGGGAGAAGCTGCTTCTTTCGGCTCGTGATGTCACGAGACTCGTATATCCCATCCATTCCGTTAAACAGCGTGTACCCGAGCTCAGCTATGAGGGAGTCCGGGCCACTGTAGAAGATTAGGCTGGACCATCCTGATTGCTTAGGATCAATGTTAGTCGCAAGAATGGCCACGAACTGATACTTGTCGTGCACCTTAATCTTTTCGGCTATTGAAAGAAGCTCCGCCAGCGTACCCTGAGAGAGTATATCGTATTGGGTGATCTGCAGTTCTGCAATCGCAAACTTCTTCTCGCGCTTGTTTGGAAAGTCGAACGAGAGAATGTCGGAACGAACCAGTTTCTCCTTGTTCTGACAGTTCATCAGGACAGAGCTTGCTGTGAAGATCTCCTGCGATAGCTCATGCCTGCTGACTCCCACAATCTGGCTTAAATAGTCGCACATTTTCTTATCAGATATGGTTGTTGTCTGGGATCTGAGGCCAATGGTGTCGCATATTATTCCAGATAGTAAGATCCCTGCGATGTTCACAGGGGGCACAATTCCATTGTCCCGGAACATCTTTGTCACTATGGTGCAGGTGCTCCCCACCTGGTCTATGGTGACCTTTATCGGAGTGGGTGTTGTGGGATTGTTGAGCTTATGGTGGTCTATAATTTCAATTATGTCTACCCCGCTGGACTTTATTCCCTGAACGGAGTCGCCTATGTCGTTATGGTCAACAAGCACGACCTCGATGAGTGTCTTCTTTGTAAGATCCATGTCTGTTACAACGCCTGTGAGCTTGTTTGTCGAGGGGTCAACCACACAGACGGCCCGCTCCTTAGTCGTGGCAAACTTCTTTCTGATTTCGCTTAGCATCATAGTGTCGGGCACAATTAAGTGCTTGGACTTGTTAACGTAGAGACCGACCGGGGTGGACTGCTTAACAAGGATCGCTGCGCTCGAGACGGCCATGTTTGTGAGGATAACGGACGTCTTGCCTTGTTTCAACATGTTGATGAGCTCCTCCGTGAAGATTCGTGAAGAGGACAAGGTGGAGCTACTGGAGTTCCGCCTAATTCCCGTATTAACGGCGCCTATCGTTGGAGTCATCAAAGAACTGCTCAGAGATGGCGTGGCCAGTAAGTTTGAATGGCTCAAAGAACCTCGCGGGTCCTGGTCGTTATCCCCAAACTCGTCGTCGCTGCTGTCGCTGTCGTTGACAAGACTGTCCAGGGAGCTCGCAGTAACAATAACATGGCTACTACGACTGAGAACGATACACCCGCCTCCTTTGCGTATAATCATGTCAATGACTTCCGGATAGTGTCCGACGACGAAGATACAAGACTGCCAGTCTTCGGGAGTGAAGTGGGAGGTCTGGGTGGCAAAATATTCCGGGACGGTTACAGGTGTGATGATATTGTATCGTCGTATCTGGTCGTGCCCTGGCCGCATGGGGGTTGAGCTCGATTTATTGCTTATTGACGATGAAAAGAGAAACCGGCCCCTTACCGTCTTCTTTACTGTGTTGAGGGAAGTGATGACACTCTTGAGGTCTCCCTCTCTGTGTGGTCTCAAGAAGTCAGAAAACATGTCAGTCAGCGCAATCTGTCCAATGCACTGATCTTGGCTATTAATTACCGGAAGAACGTGAAACTTGTAAATGGAGTAGAGCTCCAGGGCACGCGACAGTGGCTCATCTTCGGTAAGGGCAACTAGCTGGTCCTTGTTGAAATGCTGGGCACGGGGAGTGATGTCGAGAATGATTTCAGGACTCTTTGTCTTAAACCTCTTCAAGACGTAGGAGGCTTGTGCATTTATGGGGCCAGCGGCAGCGGCGGTTATTGTTCTATGTGGCATAAGGCGTTGGAGCAAATGGGCATATGCCACCGCAGAAAGGATAGAGTCGGAGTTAGGGTTTTTCCGCCCTATCACCACAATGGGGGCGGGCTGCTCCTGGACAAGATCTGCAGCCTCCATAGACCTGTGTTTTTTATGATTTGGAGCAAAGTTTGTAGAGTAGACGCCTGAAGAAAATAGACCTCCTGTAGACATTTGAGGAGATTTATTACAAAAAGGCTGAGACGAGGCGGGAAAAGGTAATATGTCTGCACATTTTTTATCCTTCGCCTTTGGAGAATTTTGCAGAGAGGGATGGCCAAGTACCTGGGGCGCTACTCTTTGCGCTCTATCCAGGAACGTGACCTTTCACGCCTGACTACACTGCTGGAGCAACTTTCCGTGGTGGGAGAAGTTCCGCGCGAAAAGCTCGTGAGCTTCTACAAGAGTGTCAGCACAAATCCATCTCACGACGTAACTGTTGTTGTGGATGAAACTGACACCGTTTGTGCATGCGCGACACTTATTATCGAGCCAAAGCTGCTCCACGCAGGGCGGTCTGTTGGTCATATCGAGGACGTTGTCGTAGATCTTACTCTTCGGAACCAAGGAATAGGGCGCTTTTTGATTACTTCACTGATAGAGCGGGCAAGGAACAACGACTGTTACAAGGTTATTCTGGATACTGACCCGGACACGGCAGAGTTCTATAAAAAGTGCGGCATGAAGCAGAAGGGCCTCATGATGGCTATTTATTTCTAGGTCGTGCGAGACAGCGACGCAATTTGGTTGTAAATATCTCTGAGGGTCTTTCCTTGTGAGAGAGCTAAAACTTAACTTAAAATTTGGGAGCCCACCGGAGCATGCAGCCTGCTGGCGGCAAGAGTTACGTAGCTCACCAACTCTATCGGACTGCTATCCAGCAAGAGTACGCCATGAGAACTCGATCTGCACAAAATAGAGGGGCTAAGCCTCAAAAGCAACTGCCTAACAGGCCTCTCACACTGCTGAGCACCTACATTGAAAAATACCCTGCGTGTTTTTCTGCAGGGAAAATCAACATTATTGAAAAGGGGATAGAGGAAATAGACGTCCTGCCTTCACAATACAGAGGTATATCTACGCTTTTTCTTTCCAACAATAGGATATCGGACCTTGCAGGAGTTACGCAGTTTCCACGCTTACGGTCTCTTTCACTGGCATATAATGATATAGTTGATATCTCTCAATTGGAGTACCTGTCAGCTCTACCTAATCTTCGTACGCTTCGCTTGGATGGAAATGGAATTGCGCGGCAAAGTGACTATCGTATTAGGGTCATAGCTGCCTGTGCCTCTCTCCAATCTTTGGATGGGCAAGATGTTACCGAGGCTGAGCGTGAAGAAGCCGCCAAGCTTGTAGTTGGCGGCTTTGATGCAACTAGCAAGCCTCGTCAAGCAAACTGTGTAGTGGAGATAGCACAGAGGTTTTCTCCCAAATCCCTCAGAGAGAAACTCAAGGCGGCCCAGCACATAGAAGGCAACAAACTGCCGAGTGATGTGCAGTCGCACATCGAGAACACTGCGCAGGTAGGGGATCGCCCTCTATCAAATGCATCTTTAGTCCGAGACATGACCACCCTTCCTGGAGATCAACCTAGCACCATTCTCAGATCACTACACGAGGCCGATAGGGATGAAAAGGACATATTTAAGCACGCGACGGAAAGTGCCCCTCACTCTATTGAGCTCTTCCCCAACAAAATGAATATGCGAACCTTCAGCGAATTGGCAGAGGCAGACACCCAAAGCATGCATTCGGGACACCGCCCAGACCCTATTTCCCTGAATAAGCTACATAAGCAGAACGAGCACGCTAGGTCCGCTAGGCCCTCATCTACAGAGGGAAGGCCAGATCCACTTGTCTCTCTTACACAAGCAAGTACAGCTGCCTATAACCAAATTGCAGAATCCAGAAGGAAGCGTTCTGCCTCCATAAGCCTTCATAAGCAAATCAATGGCTCAATCAATAACTCATTCCAGGCTCACAAGGGCCCCGGGTACGTCTCCGATTTAAGTAACACTGGCATGATTATTGGCGATCTAGATGTCCACTTATCCAGTGACCAGTCTGCACACAGTCTTGCACATATCATTAATCGATACTCTCTTTCTTCTCCTCAAGAGCTTCAATCTATCATTGCTGAACAGGCAAAAGAATTGTCTCTTCTTCGTGCAAAGTATTCTGATTCCAGTTCCAAGCAGCAGTCCTTTTCATCTGGAAGTTATCTGAATGAAAATAGCGGCGATTACAGCGCAACCGCTCGGAAGCAAACCGCGCGCCTTGAACATTTTGCAGCTCTATTCACTAGGATCATGAAGCGTGCTGCATTGGACACCTTTGTTCAGAACTGCAGGGCTCAAATGAGGCTAGGGAAGCTCGAGAACCATGCCCATGCACAGTATCGATATTTTTTATTGTCTAGATCTTTTGCTACAATTCGCAAGCTTTCACAAGATTGTTTCAAAAGTGTGTTGCTAGAGACTGTCATTCTACCTCAACAACGGTTGCGAAACATTTTCATTACATGGAAGGCACATGTTTCTGAGCTGAATGCACATAAATCCCAAAGTGTCACTCGTCGAGACCTTAGCAAGGCAATAGAGTATTATGAAACGCAGATTCTTCAGAGAATCGCTCTTCTGTCTCTCTGTGCGGAGTCAGAGCGGCGAGCCTCGGAACGTAGCCAACGCTACGCTCGCTGGTTGGAGCTACATGGTCCGCCGAGAACAGACATCCTCTCTTTCCGAGGGGTCCTGAACCTGTGGCGTGAAAGGATCTCGTGCATGAGGCATGCAGAGAGCACTGTACAGTTAAATACTAGGACGAGATTGATTTGTAGGGCATGGGTTTCTTTGCTGAGGTACACTCGCCGCGCTGAAAAGATAAGGGCCATGGTAGCATTGAAAAATAGGGTAATCACTAGGACTGCCTTCGGTGCTCTTGTCCAGAGATACCTCCGAATGAGACAGACTAGAATCATGGTACAATTATTAGTTAGTAGGCTTGATAGTACTCTTCGAAAACGGGCATTTCATACCTGGAAAAGCCAGACACCCCTTCTCATTATGCATCCAGCTATTAAAGCTTTCATTGAATTACATGCTAGCAGAGCAGACGCTTTGGCCGCACAATTGTTGATGAAGCGGTCCTTCAAGATCTGGAGGTACTCATCAGATAGCTCTACCGCAATCCTTCTAACATCGTTGCAGTCAAACAGGAACAGAGATCTGGCGCTGCTTGCAATGGGCTCACTGAGGTCAGCACTGTACTTGCGGACTCGTGACACCCTGGCCAAAGCGACGGACGGAGACAATGAGTTAGGCCAGGCCTACGTTCAGAAGCTTAAGGGCAAGATATCTGTGCTTTCTAAGGAGTTAAGCGCTAACGTTACGGCCCAGCACGCACTCAGAGATAAGGTAACCCAATTAGAAGGCAAGTACAATGATTTACTATGTGCCCAGCAAGCTCACGAGGATACCCTCGCAAGCAGAGACAAGCGGATAGTCGCCCTCGAACAGGAGCTAGAGGCAGTAAGGAACATAGACCATTTACATGTAGAAGCGGAATTCACTGACATAGCCCTACTGCGTGTGGAGCTCAAGTCTCTTGCAGAAAAGTATGCTAACCTCCAGACAGATCACCATGCTCTGCTGGGTCAAAACAGACGTTTGCAAGCAGATATTCAGGCGCGAGATACCACCATTCAAGAGCAGCTTGAGGCAAATAGACTTTTGCGTGAGGGAATCATGCAGGCACAGCAGTTTAAATCGGATATGATTGCAAAAACAGCGCGTACAGAGGCACAGCTGTTGGCCACACGGGCCCAGCTCAGCGCAGTGGACCAGGCTGCTACCCTAGACAGAGCAGATCACCAGGCTGCCGTCGAGGAGTCAATGCGGCTAACTGAAGAGGCCAAGGCTGAGGTCCAGAGCTTAAAGGAGGATATCCAGTACTACAAGGGTCTCGACTTTGCACAACGGACAAAGATCATGAGTCTAGAAATGCAAAAAGAAGAGTTAGCACAGCGGGAAACACGCATGCAGGAACAAATAATGGATCTAGCATACAGCGCAGCCCGTCCGTCAGGTGCGGATGTCCTTCAAGAAGGCAGTCGTAGTCTTGCAATCGGAGACTTCAGTAGTCAGTCTGGGATAAGTGCTACAATCAAGCCCGTCATCAATTACATGCGGACCAAGGATGAGCCTTCCCCAGTCATCAAGCGCCCCTCAATAGATATCAACAGTATTGATCTTGAAATCGAAGAACTCCAGAACAAGATTGCAGATAAGTTTTTCCAATCATAACAGATACTCCTGCATTTTGCGCAAGATCTCCGGTGGAATGCACACCTTACTTCGAGCCATGTAAAACAGCGCGTCGTATCCCGAGTTATCATGAATGTCTTTTTCATGTGGAGATAAGAGTCGCACACAGTCCAAGTGACCCTGCTCGGCAGCCAGCATAAGGGCCGTTGTACCGCGTGCATCTTGGAGCCCGCCTTCGAGCTGCAATAGGGTCTCAACTGCAGCAGAATTTCCTACTGATGCAGCCACCATAAGAGCCGTGCGACCCTTATGATCTCGGGTTTTTGCTAGCGGTATAGCAAGCCGTTGAAGCTCGTCTATTTGGAAGTTTCTAGCAGCCTCGTGCAAATCCAGTCGCATATCTTCGATCTTTGGAGAGCTATCAGACGTTTCTTCATTTGGTTTTTGGGATAGGAGTGCAATAATCTCACTGTGACCAGTATCCTTAGCTAACTTTAGAGCCGTTACTCCGTCATCACGTACAAACCGACTCTCTTTGTTTCTAAGTACCTTGACTGCTTCAGTAAACCCTAGTTCGACTGCAAGCATTAGGGCGGTTGTTCCATCTAATTTGGCTTGGCCCGCATAGTCTAAATATCTCTCCACATCGAGCAACGATTTAGAATAAATAGCGACCATCAGGGGAGTCAGGGTTGCGGACCGTCTGGCTAACTCTACACCACCAGATAGGGTAGACGAGTGACTGGGAGCATCCTCAGGGGAGACAGAGGGAGGCTCGATGCTAGTGGCATTAGGCAACAAACCTGATGTCAGATGAAGATAATCCTTTCTTGCTATCTCGGCCTTGGCACTAACTTCTAGTAATGGCTTATTGCTACTCAGTAGATCATCTAAGAGTGTATCGACAGGCTGAGCAAGCTTAGCGTACGAGGCATGCAACCGTGCAGCGTCGGGGGCCATAGACCCTATAAAGGGCACAGCCTGCGAGGGAGGTCTTTGCATGGGTACATGGAAAGCGGGCCCTGCAGGCTGCATGTCTGCTAATAGCTTCCTTCGAAGGTACTCTATGGTCTGAGGACCAACTGCAATACCCTTTCCGGTAAGTTGTGACTGTGGCAATGAAGACAATCTGCGGAGCTGCCGCTCGAAGCATTCTTCTTCTGTTTCGTTTGCTTCTAGAGGAGTGTTGTTTAGTGCTAGTTTCAGCTCGTCGATAATAGAATTAAGGCGCTTGTTCTCTAACATAAGCCCCTTGTGCTCAAATTCGGCAACAGGAGACGTAGATCGATCACTAGTCACTACCCTCGATCGTTCTGCTACGCCACTGGGCCTTTCGGAGGCAGCTAGAAGTGGACCAAAATCAGTCATATTCCATCTACTAGATTGCAAGTTATGATGGATTATAGCTAGCTGTGCTGTTGTCTTTGCTACATTCATCTCCAGACTGCGTACATACGCCGCATAATTCTTTTGAACTGTTTGACGAGCCGCAGTTGTATACGATGCAGTAAAAGACGTTGCGCCAGGGTCGTGTGTTAAGAAGGTGGTGCCTGACATGCTTTGGTCAATTCCTGCCATGCTAGCGTTAGCGCTGGCAACGCCTCCTAAAGTGGCGGCGGACTGCTCTAGATGCAGGTCGTCCCATTGGGGACACGGGAGTAATATCTTGTGATCACTGAGCAGGGTTCTTACGCTATCCAAGAGGCTATCGTTACATGAGACTTGTATGGCTTCGTCTGTGGTCAGTTCTCCATTTGCCCCGAAATTCCCTGCACACCTAACTGAGCGTGCCTCAACAAGCTTGTCTAAGAGATTACTTCGTTCCTCTTCGAGATATTCTACTTGTGATGTGAGCTCCTGCTCTCTCCATAAGATAGACTGAACCTTCTTCATGAGAGCACTGCTGATTTTTCCAATTGCTTTTGCCTTCTCCTTAATACCTTTAAGTAAAGGCTGGAGCAGAGAAGGCGAAGATCCCGAAAACTTCTCTGTGTCAGGCAGACAATTAAGTATGCCATCCAGGCGTACATTTCCGTCATACAGCGAGTAAGTCGTTGAAGCTGAACGAGAAGAGTGGCAGAGAAGAAGGAGATCCTTCGCCAAGTCCTCATCCACCTCAAGAAAGAGGCCCGAAATAATAGTTAGTACGTCATAAAGCATGGCTAACTCCTGCGCTTTTGTATCAAGAAGATGCTGCACGTCACTTGTCCACATGACATCGGTGGTCACCATCCTCTGTGGAAGTGATGCTGTCGGAACAGCCACCAGGACATTTGAGAGTTCGGTGGTCAGATTGATACGTGCTACTGCTGGTGTCAGAGATAAAAATCTATATAGTGACATAGAGTTTGAGACATCTCCTGCAATATTTTGAGCCTCTACCTCTGCGTTTTTCTGCTTTACGAGCTGCTGTGCATTATGTAGTTGTGCTCGCATGGCTTCTACTTCCTCATTCAGCTGTTCTATTACTGCTGTCTTGCGCTTAAGTTCTGTCTTCAACTGCATGACAGGATCTGGAGTTTCAACCACATCTTCTATGGCTGATCCGCCATCAGATACAACGCCGTCATGCGTGTCCTGAGCAGAGAGCAGTTGCTCGCATTGGCACTGGTGAGAACCTGAAACATCTGCGCACCCGTTGGAGTCCAAAGTTGCATGCTCATCAAAAAGAAGCTCATCAGACGGTATCCCCAGACTTTTGAGAGTGGATTTTGCTTGCTGAATCTCTTTTTTAGAAAAGGATGCTACTAGTAACAATATGGATATAGCAGTAGTATTGCCCACCTCTGCTGCCGAAAAAAGGCTTGACCGCCCGTGCTTATCACGCACACTCCCCAGCTCTCTAGCTAGAAGCTCCACGCATGCGTTTGAGTTACTCTCACAAGCTATGTGAAGGGCTGTCCGGCCATCAAATAAAAAGATGTGCTTTTCGAGACCTAGGAGTAGCCTTGCAGAATCCGCTGCATTGTTTTCGCACGCAAACATAAGAGCAGTATATCCATTATGATCTCGGAGCTTTGCCTCATGCTCCATTAACACTCTAACCACATCCACAAAGTCTTTGCGGGCAGCACACATCAAGCCAGTTTCGTGCATCATGTTGCGGCTTCCATGAAATACTTCAACGTTGGACTCTACCGTAGCCCAGTCTCCCCGTTCGATAGCTGTAAACCAGTCATCGACAGAGGAAATTTGCATTTCGAGGCTCAGATTTATGAAGCGTATTTTTTAATTATGTGAGTAACCGTACCAGATGCATCATACTCCAAGGTGTATCCTCGCCGAAGAACAGGAGATTGCAGAAATCCGCTAATAAACTCTACATTGTGTATTTCGCACTCAGCTTTTAGATATGCAGGAGTGATGCGAACCTCACTCACAGCCTTAGAGCCACCTTGAGTCTCCTTATACACTTGTGCTGAACGTATGCAGTCAGCAAGCACTGCCATGATTGCGCCAAACTTATCTCGCTCTATGTTACAAATGGTCCCAAGCTTATTCTGCACACCATACTGGAGCGCACCCTTCTGCTGTGGCACATATAGTGCAGAAAAAAGTCGAATAGCAAAGTTACCATCATCTTTGGTTACGGATTTGCGCAGATGTAGGCGTGCATGAGCTTCGGCAAGACGAAACAAAGTACCTATCTGTCGATTTGTAATCGGAGTGCATCCGGTGGTGACCATCTGTCGAACATTAGTGTAAAACTTTGAGATGATGTCCTGACACTCTTTGGTTAACTGGGGTCGCATCATTCGTGCATAAAAGATGTACCTTGTTAGAAAGGTTTGTGGGAGGATGTAATTATTATGCTTTGGCCCTATGTTAGCTCGATCTCCAGTGGCGTCAGTAGCACCCAAAATAAGGTCGACTATTTGTCTAGAGGATAGCTCCCCGTCAATAAACTCTGGATAGTCTGAGTCGACAACAAGTCCTCTGCCCAGGATTGCCTCTGTGTGGTCTACGCCAAACAGGTTCGTTAGTGTCTGCACTATCCTATTGTATCGTCCACTCAATTGGTCTATCTCATCGCGAACGGCTTTTGAGGCGTCTGTGTTTTCTTGATTGTCTTCTGGTTGCTCTAGCGCCTGCAAACGAGCCTCCAATTGACCAATCTCCTCTCTATACATCGTCAGATAGTCTATGGCCTCTCCAACATACGGGTGTGCCCTGCAATGCTGCTGAACAATAAACTTAGACATGGCCAGGTCTGTCTCATAATTAACCATGTCTTTCACAACACATATCAAGTCAAACCTGCTCATCAATGCATCACCGATGTTGAGATTGCAGGTCACTGGAAGGCTGGAGACGTACTGGCCGCTGACGGGGTTGGCCGCGGCTATGATTCCCGCACGAGCTTCCAAAGTAGATATTATGCCTGCTTTTGCTACGGACACCGTCTGTTGCTCCATTGCTTGGTGCAGAGCTGTTCTATCTATCTCGTTCATCTTGTCCAGCTCATCAATAATGCAAATCCCACCGTTTGCAAGAACCAGAGCCCCAGCTTGCAAGTAGAATTCTCCTGTCACGCTTGACTTTTTAACCGACACGGTGAGGCCGGCCGCCGATGAACCCTTTCCGCTGGTATAGACGCACTTTGGTGAGATATGCTGTACATACTTAAGAAGCTGGGACTTAGACACGCCAGGATCTCCGAGTATCAGCATGTGGAGATCGCCTCTTGTGAATCGTGAGGCAGCCTGGCCACTTCCTCCGTCTAGAGCGTGGGATATCCCACCGACCAGGGCCATGAGAATTGCCTGCTTAACGACCTGCATTCCGTGGATTGACGGCGCTATGGCTTTCAGAAATAAACTGTCTAGCTCATCACCACTGAGGGTGGTTGCCAATCTGGTCATTGCCGCACTGTCGTCTGCCGTGAAATTAAAGAAAACGTCAGAGACTTTAGCAACATAGTTTGCTACAATAAGGGTTGAAAAGACAGGAAACCCAACCCGTCTATTCAGTTTCCCGTCGTAAATGTGGCGATATACCCCGCAAACAACGATCATATCTCCCGGCTTCACCTTATCTATGAGGTCCCCAGTTAAAAGAACCTCCTTTTTCTCGGGAAGCTGACCGCTGACAACACTATTAGGAGGCTCCTGAACTGTTATGCGCTGGAAATCTTCGTAAGTGGTTCCACTTGTACTAATATATAGCTTGCTCGAGCGACACGTTTCATTTATGCACCTCTTAGGAAGAAACGCAATCGCCTGCTGGTCAGACCGGACAGTTTCCTTGGTGGTTATGGTGCCTCTGGCAGACAGGTTGAAAGGACCCATTTCAGCCCCGCAGTCCCTGCAAAGCATAGTCACCTGTGAGAGGCGAGGGAGCCTAGTGCTCTTTGTTGTGACAACTCCTGTTAAACGGACGTACTTGTTAAGGCACGCAGACTTCAAGCTCTTCCATGACTTCTCAAGTAAATCATACTCCGCGCAGTCTATTCCTAAAGCTACTAAATCGCTTGGCTTGAGATATGGAATGAGAAACCGACTAGTTATCCTATTATTTGAAAGTATGTAGTTGGACTCTACACGATGCACGAAGAATAGTGTGGCCTCATCGATGATTGAGATTGTTTCCGTCGGGTGCTCAAGCACAAGCTTACATAGAGCCGGTTTGTATTTGTAGAGATGCAGAAGGTTCACGGTCAACGAGTCCACAATGCGGTGCTGGAACAAATTAAGGAGTTGGGATATATAATAAGGTACGCGGGACTCTGGTTGTGACTTCCTAGTAACGTACGTATCAGTTATGGAGGTTACTTCATCGAGAGGGGTGTAGCTTTGGCCAAGACTCTGGAGGTCTCTGAGGTACGAATCTGAAATGGGTTTGCCTTGGCTTTCTGGATCGTGGAGTTTAGCGGTGAGCTCGGGCACTGATGGGGTATCTGTGTACATGCATAGAAAGTTATAAAACTCCTTTACGATTTGCTTACGAATCATAGGATCGTTGGGGCGGATTAGAAATGCAGATATGGCACCTTCAACGTCTGTAAACTGAACCTTTTCTAGCTTGACATCCGTGTATTCTATGGGTTGCCAGCTTCGGCCACTCCTGCGCAAGTACTCTAGATGGTAGAGCTTGTCTCTGTCCTGATCTGTTATTGTCGTATCAAGCGTATTCTCGGATGGATTTTCATCCAGAAAGGAGCTTCGACCTTGTAGAATGCTGTCATTGAATAGTCCAAGAAAGCGATTCCCTTGTGGCCGCTCTAGGGTATTACGGAGATCGATGGCTCGCTCGGCATAGTATCGCTGCTCAGGAAGCAGGGGCTTCTCAAAAGCCTCGCGCTCAGCGTCAGAATCCAGCGGTAATGTGTCATCAGCATGGGAGCCAGCCTCATCTTCCTCCAAGAAGTTATCTAGCCAGTCACCCTCTAAAGGCTCGTGCTCTGCGAAAGATGACGACGACAAATTATCGTTGGTCGACATACTCTCTTTTTGCACCGTAAATTTATATGAGTGCCACTTGTTTAACTGGACTTTTGGTTAGGGAGTACAGCGGCTCTACAATGAAGGGAGCGCCGTAAATAGCGAGCGCCCCGATACCGCCGGCCACAAGAATCCCTTCTTTTAAGCCACACATGGGAGCTGAGTATCGACCACCTAGAGACGGAGGACAGACAATTTTTCGCCATTCATCAGATTGAGGGATGTAGATCCACATATCATTAAGTATACGTGTCTCTGTCCGGCCCCCAAAGATAGCTAGATAGCCTTCGTACCCACATGCAGAGTGGCAGTATCTCCTTGGAATCTTTGAAGGAACTCTGTGCGACGTCCATTGTCTTTCTTCTGTGGCTTTTGAAACAGTTAAGGTGTATAGGGTGTTTCCTAGGCCTCCTGTCGTCTGCCCTCCGAATGCATAAATGACCCCGTTCACAAGGGTGAATGACGAACCAATGCCAGGAGCCGGAAACTCGCAGTATATAGATACGCGGTACTCAGTGGTACTAATTAGATAGAAAACTGTCGACGCTTGACCGGAGCTATCGGCACCGCCGCAAAGCAGTATGTTTGCTGAGTCCAGGGGCAGGAGGGTTGCACCCACTAGTCCGGGTATCTTAACGCCTATCAAGAAAACTTCACAATAGGAGTTATCCACGAGGTTAATTATGCTCAATACATCTCCGCTGATCAGTCCATCGTGAATGTTCAACATAGATTCGCAGCCTCCCAGAGAGTATAATCTGTTATTGGTGATGCAGGTTGCATTCAGCGTCCTGGGAAGACATGGCATAGGTCGTCTCGATGAAACAGAGAGCTTCTCGCTTACACGGAATAGATAGTTACTTCCTTTCTTTCCGCCTCCAAAGCAATAGAGTAAGCCATTGTACATGTGGACAGCTGTGTGAGAGCACGCCTCACAAAAGTCAGCCGAGACGCCGGTGATCTTTCCTGAGATGACGACCGACATTAATTTTCAGGGTCCTCCAGGCCAGCGAACCATACGAATGCGAACACATTCCCGGCACTAGCATTAGCAAGTCAAGACACAGAAAAATTCACTTGCACAACCTCACTTCCAGGCCTCGAAACCATAAGGTATCTTGGTGCTATCCTCAATGCGAAGAAGCTCATTGTACTTAGCGCAGCGCTCAGAGCGGCTCGGAGCGCCAGACTTGATCTGGCCACACCCGAGAGCCGTCGCCAGATGGGCAATGAACACGTCCTCCGTTTCACCAGAGCGATGTGAGACCATGACGCTCCAGCCATAAGACATCGCAAGATTCGCAGCATCAATCGCACCAGTGATAGTTCCGACCTGATTGATCTTGAGGAGCAGGGCGCTACAAGATTTGTACGTTTCGGCCTTCTGGATGTGTGACACCTGCGAAACAGTCAAGTCATCACCGACAACCTGTGTCGGAAGACCTTCCTGCCTGAGCGCAGCGAGGAAGTTTGCAAACGTGGTATGATCCTCCTCATCGAACGGGTCCTCAAAAGAGACGATTGGGTAGCGTCTGCACCAGCCAAGGTAGATGTTTGCGAGCTCAGCGCCGCTGACCTTGTTGGGGTTCTCGGGATCCTTGAAGTTCAAATCATAGACGTTCTCGTTCTTGGAATAGAACTCCGATGCCGCGGCATCAATGCAGATGCCCATGAGGCCGTTGTACCCGCACGCGTCGATGGCCTTTGTGATGTACTTGAGAGGAACCTCTGGATCAGCAACGTTGGGAGCAAAGCCGCCCTCGTCACCGACGGCGGTCGCCGCAAGCCCAAACTCGTCCTTGAGGATCTCCTTAAGCTTTGAGTAGACCTCGCAACCCATCTGCATGGCCTGCATGAAGTTCTTCGCCTTTGTGGGAGCTATCATGTACTCCTGGGGCCCAAGCTTGTTGCCAGCGTGCTTCCCACCATTGATGATGTTCATGCAGGGAACCGGAAGCCTCACATCCCTAGCGCCTGTTACGTTGCTGCTGTTGCTGTTGGCAAGCCTGTTAAGATACTGATAAAGGCTGATGTGCTCCTCGCGTGCTGCGGCAAGGCAGCAAGCCATCGAGACGGGCAGCACAGCATTCGCCCCGAGGATACTGAAGGTCTTACCCGCGGTCCCATCCAGCTCCTGGAGCTTCTCGTCTATCGCACGCTGGTCACGGACAGGCATGCCTATCAGCGCGGGAGCAATGATCTTCCTGATATTCTCGAGAGCCTGCTCAACCCCCTTGCCCCGGAAGGCGCTCGGGTCCTTGTCTCGGAGCTCGAGAGCCTCGTGCATCCCTGTAGATGCTCCAGAGGGGCACGCAGCGCGGAACACGCCCAGCTGGGTGGTGAGCTCGACCTCCGTCGTGGGGGTCCCACGGGAATCGATGATCATGCGGGCCTTGATAGCCTTGATCGTAGACGGAGCCTCCATTTACAAGAATTTTAGCAAAGTTTATGGATATAAAATTAATATTCTCGCTATTTTTTAAGCTAATTCTAACAGGCTTCATTCAGCGCAACATGAGTGTGTCTATAGCTTCGCTTGGCGGTGCCCGTGCTCCATGACCACTCGATCACTGCACGCCCATTCGGCTAAGACTTCATTGCTCAGAGTTTTGGGGTAGACCGACACCAGCTCAGTGCCGGTGCAGAAAAGAGTGCCCAAGTTGTCCAAAAACAGTGGCATGGAATCGCCCGACACAGGCCCTAGAGAACCCCGGAGTGGAATCACATCGTATGCGCGCATTATCTTACTACGTGAAAGCTGCCTAAGAGTGAGTGTGTCACTTTCCCAGTCCAGGCAAGCTCCAATGTCGTAAGTGAATATTTCAGTGACAGATATCTTCTCGTCACTGATTGTGATCTCACTGATTGTAAGGCTCACTATGTCGAGCTTTCGCGAAAATTTGGCTGTGGTTACCGTTAAGACTGCAGCAAAGACTGCGGTGCCCTGCTGAGACATGCACATGCACATGTGAACAGTGGAACCGGTCGGACTGCTCAGCTGGTCATTCAATATAACAGGCTCGCTAGATAGCTTCTCCTGCGAATACCGACAATGGAATATGCCAAGGTCCCCAAGTGCAAGGACACCACCCGAATGCCACGGTAGTATCTGCTCCAGATACGTGTTCTTAGTGCTCCATATGCAACGGATATCGTGAAGGGAGTCTATCTTAGATCCCACGATCACTCCATCTCGATCGCTAAAGTAAACAGATCTGTCCGGTCCTGCGATCAGTGACGTTATTGTTGTGCATCTCCCTGCGACGGGCTCAGCCAGAGCAAAAGTAACGGCCTTGTTGATGGGGGTGGACAGATCATTGTGTTTGGATCTATCTAGCTCTAGACTTGTAAGGCTATGCGAGTAGACGCTTCCGAACCTATCAGATATAACAAGAACTCCGTCGCTGATCACAGCGGCAGACGCCTTTCTATAAGTTGACGTGACTGAATAGGAAACAGGCGCAGGTTCGTCTGGGCAGCCAGAAGGGATCCATATCAGTAGGACCCTTTTGTCATCTAGAAGAACAGCGAGGACAGACATTCTATCTGGCACTCTTCCCCCAGCAAGTTCTAAGATCATTCTATCTTCCAAATCGATGCCATGATGCCATTCTTTGAGTGTCCACTGGGTTTCTCGCGCCGTACCAGCAAGCGGGGAGCTTGTAAGGCAAAATAAGCGCCTGGGTGAAGCGAAAATAATGACCCCGTTAACGCGCGCCAAGGAAGACATTTATAGAAGATTTCGCTGAAAACCTCGAAGCCTTAACATAGAACTACAGATGTATCGGTGGTAGGGGCCATAGCAAAGAGGCGTAAAACGGGTCCCTCCGCTTCCGAATGCAGCTGCTCAAAAGACGCAGTAATGTACCTTCCAACGTGCCTAACGACAGATTGGGTCAGCAGAGACAGATTAGAAATCTTCTTACTGCACTCGCCAAGCTTCTTTAGGTTGAGAAAGAGAACGGTCGAATCCATTGAGACAATGCAGAGCGTGTTGAACTTTGCAAACGCCTGGATAAGCCGTATACTGGACCTATTCTGCAACATGTGATTTGTTCCCAAGTCAGTAAGAAGCGAGGGGGTCAGTGGGCCGTCATACAATGGGCTATATTGTTGGGCATTTTTATCGAAGCTCAATATGGTCAGGTTGCCATTCCGACGACCGAAGAAAATGTACTCAGTACTGCCAATGGTGGTAGAGTAAATAGAATCTATTACTGGCTGGTGATCGTTGCGCCATATGATACGATGAGACATTGGAACGGGGGCCTGCTGTGCGTTCTGCTGCTGAGGCTCCTGGGGTCGGTAGTCTCTCCCCTGGCTCGAGGAAGTGTCCTGCCCGTTTTTCAAGGCGACCTCCACATAGTAGACTACGTTAACCATGGAAATGTAAAAACAATAGACCAACGAGTCGCTCGCAGCAGACAGGGCCAGCTGAGATGAGCTAGGAGTGTCAGGCAGTAGTAGCGGCTTCAAGTGCAGTGCAGTTATTATATTGCCATGCATAGATCGGTTATCAGCCAGATCAGTCTGTAGCTTGAGCTGGCCAGTTTGATCATGACAGAATTCTATATTTGTTGGCTCAAAATGCGTGTTAACGCTGAAACGCCTACAGATTACGATGCAGGACGTACAGCCCAAAAGTATCGTGTTGTTGTCGTGTGCGTCTATGCAAGTTATTGGTCTAGTTGTCAATCTCCCCACATCAACGAGAGAAGGGGTATATTGCACTGCTGCTGGCGACCGCGAGGACGTGGTCAAGCTCCAAAGAATCAGTTCCCCGGATTGGCTCACGCTGAGTATGCTATGGGGGTTAGATGGAGATTGTCTATATGTGAGTATGGCTATTATTGTTGAGGTGTGTCCTGGCATACTGGCCAAACATTGGGGCTGATTGTTAGAGGCTGTGTAATAGTACAAATTCGACTTATGAGCAAAGACAATTCCGTCGTCTGCAGGCTGCTCACCAGGTAATATGGCTGCTGCTGTGATGTTGACGCTCCCAGTGGGCTGGAACATAGTGGTCACAATGTTTGGTAGTGACATGACAAAAAATAAATGTCCGATGATAGAGGGGTCGCCGGGCTGTTCATCCACGATGCTGGAGAGAGCAGCGAAGATGCGGATGCAGACGTGACTAACTTCAACAATGCAATACTAAATCACCCACTGCGGTGCGTTGTTCCCGCAAGCAACCCCGTAGTGTCCAACGATATTATTCTCCTCAAGTCCCTTGCGGAGAGCAACGCAGGCCCGCCTTCGTTCAACTACGGCTTTGACGAGAATACGTGGTCTGCCTATAGCACCATGCACTTGTGTGCTGCTTGTTCTCTTCATAACTTCCGAACAGCATTTAATCAGTGGGCAAGCCGGCAGCGGATGCGTCCGCCAGATGTCGAGGGTTGCTTTCTTGCGCTCAACGAAACGGTAGGGAACATTTATGATCCGCATCGGGAACGAGGCTACAGATCCTATAAGCAGGGAGATAATAGGCGGGGAGACGGCCGAGACTTTCGGCGAGGAGATAATAAAGATTTCAGGCGAGGCGAGCGAGGTGACAGAGGATATTATAACAGTCACAATAATAACGACCCACGGCAGAATAGGATCAAAAAATAATGAATGGGGAAAATGCAGGCCAGAAGACCACCTCTATAGGCTCTACTCGGCTGAGCAAAGCTCCTTATGGCGACATACAACAAGCGATGGATGGAATCGTTGGAACAGTATCTTTTTTGAAAGGATGCCTAGAGAGACTGCTGCAGGAGATAGAGCAAATCAACTATGACATGCAGCTGACTACTGCTATATGCACGCGGTATGCAATAGATCCGAAGACAGCTCTATCGTGTTTGCAACAAAAGGCTTATACGCGCGAGCAGGCTTTGCTGAAGATTGCTGCGCATCTAAGACTGTATAGCTTTTTTCAGAGTGAAACTCGACAGCTCTTGGCAGACATCAGTGCGAACAAGGAACTCGCAGCCGTGCTACCGCACCAGTACGACCTTGAGGGTCCGGCTGTCAATCCTAAGTAAACTAGGCCTGCACATGGGCCTTTTTTCAAATTTCGTGTCTTTGTGTCCAATCGTGGATTAAAAGCAAGGCTGCTGCGGATGGACAACTACTCGCTTGGTGGCGCAGAGCACGGGTACACCCGCCGGACCCGGATAGAGCTGTGCTCACTCCGCCAAGATGCCTCGATTGACAGGCCAAGCTATAGATACGCTACATATTATGACATTGATCTGAGTCCCGAAGATTTCCAAACACTGGATAGCTTAAAGATCGCCTTGCAGGATAAAACCAAGGCAGGCTTTCTCAAATCACAGTTTTTTCGCGTCCGCATAAAGTATTCCCATGAAGATTTAAATACCTCGACAACACCGTTTCTATCGTCCAGCGAGGAGGTACGTTCTGCCTACCAAATAGCACAGAACTCAGGAACAGACTGGTCCCTCTTCGTCGTTCGGTACACGAAGGCCCAGTCAGCACAGCTACAGGCTAAGATTCCACAAGAAGAATACAAGCACCTCCAACGACTTTTGGGCTCCAAAAGGAAGTACGAGCGCCACATGAAGGTGCTGCACGACACATCTAACTATTCATTGATCAAGGTGTCGAACAAGGAGGGAATCATCCATACATCTGACTATATAGACACGCTTAAGTCTCCGGAGCTTTCATCCATTTCTAGCACAGCATCCCTACAGGCACACCACGGCCACAGTGGAGTCTTCGGTGGTGACGAGTTCCCGGTTCAAAGCACTGGGTCGTCACTGGGAATATCCGGATCCTACAACAACCCTCATCAATCCACCTTTAAAGGCAATTCCTATGCAGTCTGCGAGCCCCATGAACTATTTTCTTACGTAGATTCCTTAATAGCTAGTACAATGGACGGAAATGTTTCAAATTCGGTTCTGGTTCCTGCTCACTTACTCTGTGATGATGGTGACTATACTCACAACGCATTCCTCATGCACATCGACGGTCGCAGAGGGAGAGACAGTGGGATTGAGTACCCTCCTCAAGACCAGTATCAAATACTAGAGAAAATAAAGCAGGAGTCTCCCTTCAGCAAGTTGTTTTCCATTAGAAGCTTGGAAAAGTGGGCCAATGAAATACAGGCAAGGACGCATGCATCCTACGTTTTCCCGCCTGCTTACTTTCCAATCCCAGATGTCTATGAAACACGCGGGTTCAAGAATGTCGCCGTTGAGAACAGCATCCTCGACATAGCCATGCTGTACTCTATGTACTTGTCTCAGAGATATCCCACTCCCCGCGGTTACCACGCTGATGATTATCGGATAGATGGCCTTGGGATGTATTTAGACGCTGACGAAGATGGGGATGAACACGATCTAAACCCTGATCCCGAAGGGGACGAGGAAGACGAGGACGAGGACGAGGAGGATAATGGCAGCAAGCACCTCGACGGTAGCGATTATGCTCACAGCATTCCAATGTATGTTCCGCTCGCTTCACACTTAAATCTACCTAAGCCTAGCAACTTCATAAAATAAAGACATCAGTCCAGCTGTGGACAGCAAACCCCGATATCGTCAAAGCAAAGTTTTAAGGGCTAACTCTTCAAGCAGTGCCTCTCATCCAGATGTCTTAGGTCTTTTTTCTTTTCATGTCTACTAACTACCAACCCTTAGTATTAACTATACTAACTAACTGCAAATGTAAATAATTCTAACTCAATCCTAGGTTCCTTGGGTTCCCGATGAAAAATATCAATGTACTTTCCACTCGAACTTTCGCACGAAGAGCTTGACAAATTGGTGTTAGAAGATTGCGAGGAGAAAATTGCTCTATCCAGCCATCTAAACCAAAAGTCTTTTAGTACCTATTACAATATTTTGCGCATTGTCTCTGTATTCTTCCTAGTCCTGTTTCGAAGCCCTTATACCCCTAGTCTGGGGGGCTTTGCATACCTAAGCTTTGCTCTTTCAATCCTAGCAATAGTCGCCATCGTCGTCAGTGGCACCGTATATGTAATCCTCAACCGCCGGTTTCAGCGTGTGTATCGACGGTTACGATGTCCACTGGAGGAGAAGTTTGAAACATTCACTTGGTCGCTTATAAACACAGTGTCGCACTTAGTCATGTCGGTTACTCTTATGTTGTGTTGCATCATGATCTTTGTGATATTCCTGAACGGGGAGATCAACCTGGTCGACCCGCCCGATGAGTAGCCGGACAGGTCCATTACACTGAGTCCATTACACTGAGTTCATTACACTGTTGCAAAAAAAATTGACATGTCCGTACATGATCTCTCGGAGGCAGACCTCGTTGATGCCCTAGATTTTCTCATCGAATATGTCCGCTATGGTGAAGAAGGGCATGCCAGCACCTGGACCGATAAAGACCCTGTTACTCAGAGGCTAGCAGAGGTGCTTGCGTGCATACTCATCAAGGGCTCCAAGGAAGAGTATGTTTGGGCATCAATACGTGAGTACATTGAGCAAAAATTCCAGGATCCATTCAGAATCCTCCCGATACTTACTTCCAGTCCCGAGCTGCAGCAGGCCAACGAACAGGCCAAGATTCTTGCACTGACTCGACTACTATTGACAGAGGATCAATTCATAGGTCTATTTACTGGATTCTGTGAAAGTACAATGCCAGAGATGTATTCAGAATCGAGTGTCGTGGGCCATGCGAAGCGGAGAGGCAAGGTGATTAAATATTTAATGCGTATGCACGATTCCGGAGTGAGGTTTCAACTTGCTATGTTCCCCCCTGCAGATGTTGTCCCCGGGACACTAGCAGAGTATCAGCTGGCTGCTATAAATGGCAAGCGATTGTACAAGGAGCAAATCGGTCTTGATTCATCTCGGCAGAGTACTGCACCCTCTAGTATGTCTTCTTCTACAATCCACACCGCAGAACCTTCTCAGCAGGCTCCGCCCACCCCAAGCATTGCACAATCTTCAGCACTTGCTGTCTCAGTAGACCCTTCTGTTTTGAGATCACAACCAGATGAGAATCCGAAGGATCAGAAATCTGAGCCACAACCAGCAGCAGACTCCGTGAAGCCAGAGCTGCTTCCTGCTCCTGCCCCGGCGCCGAAGCCTTCAGGATACCTACCGGCACAAGCTCTTTCATTGGATACCATGGCTGATGATGCGGCTCTTCTGAAATCCTTGACCAAATCTTCCTCTATTCAGGTAATTGCAGGGGTCCCTGTCAACATCGCTTCTGTGCAGAATAAGGACGCCGCTGCCACCAGAGTAGCGCAGCCTCCATCTCTTAGAACAGCACCAGTGCCAACTGTGTCTCAGACTATGCAGCCGGAGGCACGAACCATAGAGTCCAAACCGTCCTCTACATCCCCAGCTTCAGATTTCGTCCCAATAGGGGACAACTCCTTAGCCTCAAGCCTACCAGTTTCTGTCAATGATCGAAAACCAGAAGCAGAAGAGGTGAAGACCATTTTTGCGAGGACTAATCTGTTGACAGATGCCAATAGGAGTCTGCTCGGCGATACGTGCCCCACGATAAAGGACGAGATAAAGAAGATAGCAAAGAGGGTCGCTGTGATCGAAACCGTGATCGATACAAAGACAATTGAGGCCGAAGGCCTTGTGATGGATGTCCTCTCAGATGTACCTGTAGAGAGGGCCGTGTTGTCTGAAAAGGGTGATTGCGAAATGGTTAGCTTTACCGGAAAGGCGCTTATCACAGATGGTGTTGTCAATTACTGGGTGCGCTTGGCTGCCTTAGTCACTGAAGGCGATGGCTTCAAAAAGGCGGAAAAAGGCAAGCATAAGGGGAGGCAGGACAAAGATCTAGGGGTCGTTCCATCTGCGCCAGCGTTTTCAAACAAGACATTCTCATTCAACGTTGAGCATTACACATTCGATAAGATAGCAGCAGGAACCAGCAGCTCCGTGACCCCACTTCTGCGTGTCGAGAACGCTCCCAACATTAACATCAACACCTACACATACTTACTTACTGACTATTCTAGACCATCGAATCTCTCAAGGATAATTAGCGGCCTCCAAGCTGATAAGTGCGCTGGCTGCGATTGCTCACTGGCTACTACATCCCAAGAAGAACAAGCCAGCCTCCTCTTTTGTCATTACACAGGAAAGATTTATTGCAAGCAGTGCTCTCTTATTATTAATAAGCACATAATACCCTCTAAAGTATTGAGCTCTAAAAGAGATACCGGAGAGTACACAGTAGGGGCAGCTTCATACAAGACACTAGAAAAGTATTGGAAGCAGCCCAACTTGGACACGGCGTATCTGCTTTCTATCCGAATGGATCTTGACGCGGCTTTCAGTAGCTGTCTCCAGAAGCGCACAAAGCTGTCTCAACGCTTCAGAAGTAGAGACAGCTGTGTGAGCCTAGCGCACATATTCTCAGCAGTTGAAGATCAAGCATACTACTACAAGCAGCATGTGCAATCCGATGGCACACAGAACTTCTACTGGTCAATGTCCGATATTGTATCTATATTGTCCAATAAGCAGATAGCACTTGTCGAGAAGCTTTGCGACGAGATACAGGCCCACTCTGCGGCTTGCGCGACCTGTCAGGCCATCTTCTGACGTGCCTAGTGTGGTTCCAAATTAGAGACTTCTAGTAAAACCGTTTCATCAGCGCAACTCTTGGGTTGTGCAAAAATTGAATGTTTTCTGGATTTCAGAGCGATTGGTCGCAGGCACTCACTCTAGAAGACTCTAAACAGATAGAGGAGTTGGTTGGCAAGCATGCTGACGAGAAGAACTCTACAGGGCAGACGGCCCTAATGCTGGTCGCTCAACAGCCTTCCTCAAAGCTTGCTTCTCTTCTGTTGCCACACAGTCTGCATATCTGCGACCCTAGAGGAAGGACTGCCCTGCATTATGCAGTGGAAGCAAAGAATACGAACTTTTTGGAGTTATTCCTCATTAGAACGTGGCTGAAGAGAGACGAGGATGGCATGTCTCCCATCGAGACGGCGATAATACATGGAAATGTTGAGCCACTTAAGTTCTTCTTACAGCACAGAATGCTATTGCAGGATGACTTGGAGGCGGCGCGGATATTAGCCTCTGAATACACTTCAAAGGAAGTCATAGAGTTATTAGCAACCTATGACCCTTCGTCACTGTCTTCCATATCTGCTTCACCTCACGGCGAGGACACAACACTTGCCAAATTCAGTTCATCAACCATGAAAGCACTTATAGCCCAAGTCAAAGGTGCTATGTCAGATGATAGCACTAATGTAGATGAACTAGTATGCGAACTACTTGAGAAGGCAGCAGGAACACCAGCCCTTGGAAAGGCGCTCACTTCATTCTATTCTAAGCGTATTAAAGGTCTGAAGACGTCACTCTCCAGTGAAAAGCAAAGAAACAAAAGACTGGCAGAGGATGTCGAGTCTGGTGTGTCGACGCTGAGTGCCTTCATGACCGAAATTCAGAGATTGACTCACGATGCAGAGGAAAGAGAGAGGAGCAAAGCAGAGGCAATAGACCTTTCAGTATTAGCTGCTCTAGACTTGTGTGAGGCCTCTATTCAGACTGACAGTGCAGCCGCAGAGCCGACTGTGAATAGAGCGGATGAAGGACTCAAGCGCACTAGCCTTCAATGTGCAGAATGTTTACGGAAGAAAATAACACTGGATAGGTGCGCTGAAGATCTAGAGACCGTAAAGGAAAAGCTACGTCTTACAACGGCTGAGATTGATGAACAGGCAGCAAAATTGCAGAAGATTACAGCAGAAAGGGACGAAGCATTAGATAAGTTTAATGACATGGTTGCTGAAAGCGCACGGACAAGGCTTGATAAGGAGGCTGGCACAGCAGAAGCAGAGAAAGCTATGGTTGGTGATTATGTAGAAAATTTAATTACAGAGTTACGAAATACAGTACTAACCTTGGAGAATGGAGGTAGTGAGAACCTGGATATTGCTGCCAAGGTTAAGGAAAGCACACTAAAAACTGCGGATGAGCTCATTCGCATGGTTAGCAATGTCTCAACCATTGAGAATATACACTGTGCGCAGTCGCTCACAGAAACCTTATTCTCTAACTTGACTGTTTTCCTCGTTGAGCTGCTCAAAGAGAAGCATATAGCAAAGACAGCAATTCTAGAGAAAGTGTACTTGGAAAATGCCATACAAGAGCTCCACTTGACCGCGCACCTAGACTCTAAGACTATTCTGTCTAAGGGAGGCAAAGGCTTTGATAGACCCGATCCAGACGCGGCTTCATTTCCTAGCCTTCCCAAAGAGTGCCAGGGTACCACAATGGCTTCCACTGCGGAACCTATAGTAGTCGTAAATGTAGAACCATGTGCCCTTGTCTCTAAAGCTGGCGACGAGGATATGGACATGCTAGATGACGCGGAAGCGCTCGGGAGATCTCTTTCCGCTAAAGACTTGGACGGCGTAGACTCCCCTAGCAAGTACACTGCTAGTTTCATCAAGAATGCTATTCGTGAGGCATCTAGCATATCATCCTTCACCTCGGACAAACTGGCCGAGTTGCCACAGAGACCTGATGATGCTGAACACCGTGCACCAAGTGATGTTTCATCCACAACGTTGAGCTCTATCAGCTTTGTCAGCCACGGCAGTGACAACAGTACCACTAGTGCTCCCGGGGGAACCAGGCATGTACTAACCTATGGGAGTAGGCGATCCAACACAGAGGCGATCATCAGCCAAATGATCAAATTGAGCGCAGAAAGGCCGGTGATTTCTGGCAAGCAACTGCCACTATCAGTTCACAGCTCAACTCACGTAGAGCTGGCACCCTCGCAGCCTACAGAATCGAAGGCCAAGTACGCCAATACAGCGCTTTCAGAAGACTCAAGGGCATTCTTCGGGAAGCGGAATGCTGAGCTAAATAAGAGTACTAGCTATTTGCTAAAGTCATCCTACCAACCCCCCGTTATTGCCGATGGACGCTCGCCACTAAAGAGCATCGTTGCAGATATTTCCAACTGCTGGATACGCAACTCCTCGCCTTTGAACAAGTACAACGCAGATATGGTGAAGAAATCGAACCCCTATGAGTTTTATGGAACTGTGCTAAGCAAATCTAGAAGCACATCAACACCATTGGCCAGGAGTCATGGGCCAGACATCACAGACTAAGTGCTTACGTTGTAATAAATTCTCTTACTTTAGCTATCAATGGCTGACGTGGCTGACGCTCTTACCCATTGGTACTGAATATAAAAGAAAAGGTAAAGGCAAAACAGGTAAATTTTGTTCTGTCAATGCTACCTGCCCAGAGTTTGGCTCCAAAAGACCCTGCAGCCGCCAGCCAAACACCGAAATCTCCCCTGGTGGCAGGGAGCAGCATTTTAAGTAGTCGAATGAGCCCGAGTTTATTGAAGGATAGTGCTCTGATCAATGCGGTTCGTAATAACGATGAGGCCCAAGTTCGAGAGCTAGAGCGAACGGAATCAGGCTTGAAGAATGCACAGGATGAAACTGCTCTTATGGTTGCCGCAGCGAATAATCGCCCCATATTTTGCAAGATACTTGTCTCCGCAGAAAAATCCATCTCAAATTACAGAGGCCAGGACGCATATATGATTGCTGCACAGCATGGAAGCGTGGATGCTCTCAACGCTCTTAGGCAGCACTTCGTTTTGCGAACAGACATATATAACATGAATGCGCTAGACTATGCGGTAATTTCTAAAAGCAGCGCTGCTGTGAACCTCATACTATCTTCGCAGATTATCCGGCAGAGCGATATTAGCCATGCAATCCTCTTGGCCAACAGACGCGGGCTTACGACTCTTGAGAATGTGCTCAAGAGCAAGATTCCCGCTACCAAGGACTTCCCCTGCAAGCGATGTGAGCAGTATCTTAACTTGTTTGCATGTAAAATGACTGTTACAGATCAAGGAGTTCAGGCCCAAACGACGTCTACTAATAGTAATGGTTACGATCCTTCTACTAACTCAGTGGAACCTTTTAAACTTTCTGAGATAGTAGCTAAAAAGGACGCAGAAATAAAGATCTTGAAGTCTTTGTATTATCGTCCTAGTGTAACTCAGAAATTCGATGAAGTTATCATGGAGAAAAATGCAGAGATAGATCGTCTCAAGCGAAAGCTAGAGGAGGTGACGTCCCACCAGCTCATGGACTCCTACTTTAGTGAAGAAGTAGAGAGATATAAACGAGAATGCTGTGCGCTGCACACCCAAAACGACGAGCTAAAGAAGAAGCTCGACATTAACAGCAAAGATTTTCGATCGTCGAGGATACAGGAAGCTGCAGCAGCAACACAGAGCGGTCACGTGTCTCCAGAGTATGCATTGCTCCAGGGTTCTGGAAGGCATACACCCACTGCAGACATTTGTTCACTGGATGTTCACCGTAGCTCTGTTGGGTCTGGCAGCGCTACCAAGCAGCAGCTGCGCGAATCCATACCCTCTCAACCTGCGGTCGTGACTGGTATGGCAACAAATGTCCCTACCGTCTCCAGATCGGTCCAGGTGGATGTTCAGTGGGTGCAGAACTATGAGCTAGAAATTTCTGCACTAAAGGCGCGGCTAAACACGGCTGAAGAGGCCATTAAGCGCTATCGAGCAAATTATGACTCGCTCTATAAACTTAGTGCCGCCAGACAGAATGCGGCCAGGGTTTTAAAGACCGAAAACGAGGCTCTGCAACGTAAGATCACTCAGTTAAAGGACACCATCTTGCACATCACTACTGTGAGCAATCGTCAGAGTATTGATCTTAGCAATTTAAGTTATAAAGCAGAGGAAGACGGTTTCAACCAGGATAGTATTCGGCTGACGGACCGTAGCATTACATCTCCACAGGTCCCGCGGTGTCTTTCGCCCACGCTAGCGTATTCCGGCATGCATCCATTGGACAACTCCATGGACGATCCTGTCCTAGAATCGCGACTATCTGGTATGGCTAATAGCACCATTCTGACTGGCTCTATGATTGAAACTGGAGGCAGGAGCACTGCACGCTTATCGCAGACTTTATACAATCTCCCCAACACGCAATCGATACAGGCCATAGCAGGGGCGTCCATTAAAAGCCTGGCGGGACAGTCGTCTGGGATTGACCATCTGCGAACCAGCATTACTGGATTGGGCTCCCTCAGTAAGAACAATACTCCAGTTCGGGATATGTCTTCTCGTACTAGTAGATCCATTACGCCATATGATAGCAGGAGATCTGTTCATATACTGCAGCCGGTAGCCACTAGATCAACTAGCTCTATTGATGCCCTGCAGCAGTTGGTTGCTGACCAGAGAGTAGGAAATGCAACAATATCACAGATAGCTACCAGGAACGCTAACGGCACTTCAGTATCAACTCCCCGCATGAGCACAGATAAGTGGTCTGGTGCTATTTTAAGTCAGGACCTGGAGCGCAGAACACTTCCTACCTCGCCGCCCCGCTCACTTCAATATGCAAACGCTCCTGTGATCCCACCAAACATTGACGAGCTCACACCACTCATGATAGCTGTCGTGGAGTGTAATTTTAGCAAGTTTAACGAGTCGATATCATATGCAAAACAACGAACATCCGCTGGGAAGACTGCACTCATGTATGCTGTTGAATACAATAGACACACATTTGTGCAAGATTTGATACCCTTTGAGGCAGGGCTGAAGGATGTTAATGGTCACACAGCTTTATACCACGCAATAATGATGGGACGGTACAGGATTGCAGAGCTCTTACGGGACTCCGAAGGCGTTCAAGTTCCCCATCGCAGTAGAATTGGCAACCGCCGCACAGAGCTTATGCAGGCCGTCATAGATAACGATATCATTTCAGTGTGGTGCCTCGCCTCGATGCAGGCATCACTTCAAGACGAGAATGGCACCACAGCCTTGATGCTCGCTGTGAAATTCATGAACATACCAGCTATAGAGATCCTTTATCCCATGGAATATAAGCTAATAGATAAAGAAAACCGCACCGCACGTGACTACATAATGCTCATATCACCCACCGCTACTGATGCACAGCGAGAAGCCGTCCAGGCCACCCTCAATCGTAATAAATTATAGTAATTCGATTTACATGCTTGGATTTACAATCCGGAATTACATATTTCATTAACGATATCTTTTCTCGAGAAGTAATGGCTCGAGAACACTCGAGACAAGTTTTCGAGACCACCTGCTTCTTCCACCACGACCTCCTCAAAGGCATTGATAATTTCGTTTGCGACGACAGTTACAAATTCGGATAAGATATCCTGGGACAATGAGGTTATGAATTTAGATGCAGTTGTGTCAGCTTTGCGGAACAGCATGCCTAACTCTGGGATGGCATGGATTGATTCTTCGGCAAATTCGCGACGTTTGGTTGCTTCAGTGAGCAAGCGGTTAACAAAGGACCTGCTGAGGACGGGCAAATTTATCTCTGTAGATATACTCATCGTTTGACGAGGGGAATGCTGTATTAGGCTGGCGTTAACAGACCCAGGTGGGGTATAGTCGACAAGAGGCTTATCTTTGAGCCGATGCACATTTGATTGCGAAGTAGAGCGCTTTCCCGCTGTCTCTGTCTGGCCTGCGATTATGTCTGACTCACGCAGGGAGTTCTCTGTCACGCTGGTTGCTTGTGGCGCCCCTTTTGATCGTGGATTACTCTTGGTCTGTACTAAGTCTGCCTGCAAGCGTTTGAGAATCTCGTTGTGTATAGCTTCGTTGGTCATCAGATCGTTGTGATTCATCTGAGAGGTTGGTGGTGCTGGATAGCCTGTGTCTATGCTTGCATCAGCAAGTGCTGAAACCATGGAATCCGTCTTGATCTTCTTTAATTGATTTAGGATTCGTGTCTGTGCCTTCAGCGCTTCCAAAATGTGCTTGCTCTTTTTAGGCCCTTCTGAGCCTGGGGCAAGAGCGTTTAGCTCGAGAGGATCCATAGCATGATTGTTTTGAGTCGGCTGAGCGGCAGCTATGCGTGCACGACGTTCTGCTAATTGGTTTTGAAATTCTAAGTACTGCTGATACTGTGGATTGCTGGCTGCTCCTATCGTGTCTAGGTCGTTATGTTGTGCCAGCTCATCGAGGACGGAGTCTTCAACTGCATGACTCTTCATAGACTGTTCCTTAAAGATTCTGAGATAGTCAGACTTGCGCACAATCCGGTACCTCTTATTTCCTACTGCGCCCTGCCTCTTAGAGGGCTCGCTGGCTAAGACAGATTTGAAGATCGGGGTGTCTTCCTGTCTGAGCTGATCTCTCACCCCGAAGCGGTCTTCTGCTGGGGGATTGCGTGCCTGCATCGACTCGTTCTGTAGCTCTGCATTTCTAAGCGCAATGGCTATCTTCTCTTTCATCGTTAAGATGTGATATCTTTTCGCTGGTACTTTACCCTGCTCTTGCTGATCGGTCAGAATACTCGACTCAGGCTCCTCGACTATGGGGTCTTGTATCGACTTGAGATCATTTACGTATTCAGTAGGCTCTAGCTCTCCACCAGCGCGCACAGCCGGATTTGATGACGCAGGACGCTCCTTTATGGGAGATATGGCAGTGGCAATGCCCACTTGGGCTGCAATCTGGGGCTTCCCTGGCGCTGAACTAGTTCTCTGACGGAGAACGCGCTGATCAGAAATCTGATCGTGAGCGTCCATTGGCGCTAGCTCTTCAAGAAGTTTTTCAGTGGGCATAGACCTGCTAATTTTGTATTTCTTGCTGCCATTAGCTTGCGGCTCCTCAAGAGGGTCTACTCTTGAGCGCAGCACCTCTATTGACTCCGAGGGTGGGAGAATCTTGTACCTCTTTTCTGGCTGGTCTTGCCGCTGGGACAGCACCATGGTTTCGTTGATAATGATGTGGGGCGGCATGTCTGCGAATTCTTTGCGCCAGAGTTTAAAAACGCACCTATTTTATATTTTAATATATTTTGCAGGAAATGGGCTCAACAACAAACATTCAACAGTGGACAGAAGCCCTGGGAAACAAGGCCGATGACTGCAAAATCAACGCCTTGACGGAGGCATTGGGGGCTGTAGCCCGGGGAGTGGATCTACGGCAACTGGTTCCCTCGGTTGCGAAAGTTGCGAAGGCCACCAATCCAGAAGTAGTATCTCTAGCACATTTATTTCTTACATATGTGGGACGCAAAGATCCACAAGCCTTGCTTTTGGCTGTCAATGCCCTTGAAACTAAGGCAACTCAGGGCAACACCCCCATGATCCGTGAGCAAGCCATAAGGACCTTGGGCGAAATTTGCACCCCAGAGATTATAGCGAACGTATCTGTATGTATTAAGAAGGCTGCATCTGATGAGAATGCGTATGTTAGGTCTGCTGTGGCGGTTTGCGTGTCCAACATCTTCAAGCTTGATGCTCAGAAGGCTTGTGAGGCAGGACTGCTAGACATTTTGGATGCCTTGATCAAGGACCAATCAGTAGACGTTGCAATTGTGGCGTCCCGGTGTCTCTTTGCTGTAGACAAGGAGAGGCTGAGCCTCGATCAGTGCATAGATCTCCTTCGCAAGGCCTCCGATGCGTCACTGTGGAACGTGCTTGCACTTCTAGAGGTCCTTGATGGCTGGTGCATCACTGAGGTGGAGGACGCCAAAGCTGTCATTGAGTGTTTATTCCTGTTGGTGCAGCACACAGATGGCTCTGTAGCAATATCCTCACTGCGAATAATACTAAGAACAATCGAGGTGCTTCCAGATAAAAAATTGAGAGAAGGGATGGTCAGCAAGTTACTTTTAGTTTTAATCACCCTTACTCTTTCAAATTCTTTCGAACTACGTTATGTAACCCTGAGTAGCCTGCCCGCCCTGATCCAGCAGTACCCTAGCTTGTTTAATGGCCATGTTCTGTACTTTATCCCGTGCTACACGGACGGAAAGGCGATAAAGCTGTGCAAATTGGACATCCTGTACTATCTTTCTAATAATACAAATGCGAAGGAAATCATTGTGGGATTGGGGAACTGGGTCTTGAATGAGATGTCTCCCGACATTATCAGGAGGTGCATCGAAACCTTCGGTAGGATTGCCGTCAAACTGTGCCTGTTTGCAGAGCGCATACTGAATGTTTTCAAATCCATCCTCTCAGCCCTGCTGGGCGAGTCTATGGACAAGCGGCCTAGCATGCTGTTCAATTCAGTTGATAGCGAACTATTCAGCTCTTTCCGCAACGACTTGACAGCACAGCGCATCACAAGAGACGGGAGTGCAGATTTAGATGAACTCTCGATTTCCTCGTCTGTCCAGGCAGTCATAGAGGAGATGGTTGTCCAATTAAGCACGCTCTTGGTGACATACCCCACTAGTGTAGCTGATGTGTTACCCTTTTTTGAGCCACTTCTCTACTTAGTCAGGACAGAGAGGGGGATAGAAGCATCATTGAGCATATTTCAGTACTATCAAGCTAACAGGCAGCACACACTAGAGCTATTTACTATGAGTTTGGCAAAATCAAGCAAATTTAGCAAGTATAGCCCGGCACTTCGGCTTATGCTTCTTCACCTGCTACTTCAACGGTACTTCAGTCTATTAAAAGATAGCCTAAACGAGCATGAAGAATTCACGTCCACTGACTCGGTACACGATACGGTGGCCGTTTTGACGGATGTATTTGCTAAACTAATGGTTAGGGACAGCGAACCCATTGTACAGCTACAAGCAGGGCTCTACTACAATATCTTTGTAGTGCTCAGGCAGGGGGCCCAGGCAGATGCTTCCGCATCCAATTTAGACGAAATATTGTTGTCTGTTGAGCCTCTTCTCCACCACAATATAACTCTTTCAAATGGCTCCGAATCAGACATTATTACACACGACCCTGTGGGCTCTACAACTTCTCCTACTGCACAACGGTTGCGGGATACGCAGCTTTTCGGCACGGAAGCACATCGCATTGCTAATTGTTCTACAGTGCTTAAGTTCGTTACTGGCCTGAACAGAAATTGAAGAGGTAAAGACTGTAAACAGCCGGAGCTATAAGAACTACAGATGGAAGAAAACGAGTGGATGTCCATGCATTTAAGGCTGGGTTTTATACTTAGAATAGGATGTGCGGGTACGGGTTCGTCAACGAAGCACGCTAGAGAGAAGTGCCGAGGAATTTGGAGTAGGGTAGGGTAGAGCGCAACGCGTCATCCATGTGGAGATATAAAGGGGTAACTCAACATGTATAACAATTTATGACTGTTTGTATGCACCCCCAAATAAAATGTATACCGTGCTTATGTGGTATTAGACAGATCGATGCACTTGCAGATAAACAAGGTCCAGAGGTTTATCGTTAGCAATCACAGGGCATCGAAAATTAGACACCTCTCTTCCTGCGTTGTTGCGAATGCACCATGTTGGTTCTCCAGGCCTATAGCCCTTACTAGCCCAATTGTGGCTCCTTTACAGGTTCTTTGTTATAACACTTTGTATTCTTTCACAGATTTTATAATACCTTTAAAAAGCAGTGCTATGGATGCGGAGGTGCACGATGCGGTAGCAGTTGGACCTAGTACACTTATAAACATTTGCGGATATTTAGCAACAGAGTGCCGAGCAATAACCAGCAAGGAGGGCGAGAACGTTCAGATTCACGTTCTTTTGCTTGAAAAAGTCCCAGTGCATATTCGTAATTTGATCCTTTATGAGTACGAAATGTACTCAGAGCTCCAATGCCCGCATATGCTTCAGATCCTTTCCGCTAAGCTTATGCCGGAACATTCTCTTCTCCTTATCGAGACGAGAATGTGCTACGGAATCACTCTGGCTAGCCTGATGCACATGCACCGCCAGGCAGCTGTCAGCATTCCTGAGGAGTTTATCTGGTTTCTGCTCGTGGCTGTTGCGGAGATGCTTGCCGAGCTCCACGACTTTACCACGAGGTCTGAAATCGAGAGGAGATGCCATTTTGTGACCCCCTACAATATCTTTCTGTCTGTTGCCGGAAAGGTCCATATTTTTCCGGCCACGGAGTCTCTTTCTAGCGTTATGTGTTATGGGCAACAGTCGTACTTAGCCCCCGAGCTGCTAGGCTCATCCACTATGCAAGTGACGCCACAGTCTGATATCTGGTCGCTGGGGAAACTGCTTTCTGATATGTGCTTGCTCCTCCTTCCGAGCAGCCCCGAACCACCATCTCTGCCCACAGACACGGACATTTTCACGGTACCGGGGATACCAGGTCAGCAGTTTACTTACTCTGACGATCACGCATGCTTAGACTCTAGGTTCAATAGCCAAGCATCCGCTCATCCTTGTTATTCTCTCCTCCTTACTATTATAATCGGGAAGTGCATGTCTCCCGACCCCCAGGATCGACCACTAGCAGAAGAGCTCTTAGGATTTCTTCCTCGCGATAGTTTTCCTTCCACCTATCCCGTATTCAAGTCGGTACTTGGTGAGATTGGCTCGTAAATAATATAGGAAGCTTCTTTGCAGAGGCCGAGGCAGTGCATTAGCCGTTCATTAGGATCTCATAAAGTTTTAATAATGTCTAGTTGATTATCAATCAAGGTCTTTATCAGATGCTCGGTTATATAGAGCTTGTGCGGAGGCGACGCTCTGCCAGGTATAGGACCTCCTTCCTTAGCCTAGCATAGTCAGACCATTCTCGCAGTGCTAGCTGGCACATGACAACAGCATCTTCATATCTGTTGCTCTTGATATAGTTGTACGCCAAACGGAACGCCACTGTCGATGCGCCTCTGCTTAGAAGCCAAGCTGATTCGTAGTACTTACATGCATCATTGTAGCTGGCTTCCTTCTCCATCACGAGGCCGTAAAGCTCGTAGGAGATAGCATTCAAGTGGTCCTGCTGAGAGATGGCCTCGAGACTCTTAATAGCATTTGATAACTTCCCTGTTGTGATGTATAGGTCTGCTAGAGCTAAATTAGCCGAGACAGCAGCGTCTAAGTCCAACCATCTTGTCACCTGATTAGTGGCTATAATCTCGTTGACGCTGGGGATGATGCCTGCAGCCCGCTTGAACTGGTTGCGGGCTCTGGGATGATTCTTCAAGTGGGTAAAAACGATTCCAAGGCAGGTCAGTAAGACGATGATATTGGGGGTCATATCGGACATTTCTTCTATTGCTGACAATAAGTCATCTTTTGCCGCTTCTAGATCATCCTTGATTTTGTCCTTCTTAGATTCCAAAGGCACCACTTTGACCTTAGCGCCCTTTCCTTCATCCAACATAACTCTATTGATCTTGTCCTTTATGAGTTTATATTCCGTTACTTTTATATAACATAGCAGCGCGAGGTGGAGAGACGCTGCTTCTGCCACATTGCGGAAGGACAGTTTCTCCAGCTCCTTTAGGCTTTTGACTGCATTATTGACATCCTCTTCCTGGGCCTCGATGGCCGCCAGCGTCGGAACAACTCCGTCCCCAGTCTCGTCTACATTCTCTTCATCAGGGTTTCCTCCGGACTTGGATAGCTTCATGGCCATCTTCTGCATGGCCACAGCAGAGGTGGACTTGGTGGTGAGGGCGCTCTGATATCCGAACAATGGTGTGCGGGTGGAGTTGAGGTATGTCGTGCCCAATACAAAGTATGCTCTTGCCTTGTATGATTCCTGTAAGGTGTGCAGCTTTGTAGAAGCTATTAAGTAGGGGACGCCGTCCTTGACGCGACCCGTTTTAATGCATATAAAGCCAAGTCCTAGGAACCAATATCCATCAAGTAAACTGGAGCCGCTCTGGGCATTCTGTGATGACTGACTGTTTGCCATGCTGCCGAGTAGGGTTGCCTCTGCTGCAGATGCGGCATTATAAGAGACTCTTACTCCCTTGGAGTCTAGTGGCATGCCCTCTTCGTATTCGTAATCGTTGCTATCATTGTTGTCCTCATCCTTGTAACATCCACTGCCATCTCCGCGTTCGTCTGATGTCTCCGTATCTGATTGAACCATCCCTGCCATTTCTACGTCATTGTCCTTCCCAAAAAGAAGATTATGAAGGTTCCACGGATCTTGTCTGGTGCACGACTGCATCAGGAACGTATCCAAGGTGGATGCACGATCGCAGGTCATATCTCTTTTCAGCTTGTGTACTAGTTGCTCGAACGGACTTTTGAAAGCGTCCTGAACATCAGCACCAGACTCAGTATAGCCTTGAAAATCTGCATTAAAATCATCCATGTCAGTTTCATTATTGCCCTCTGTTTTCAGTTTTAGCTTGAGTTGAGAATGAAAGTCCTCTGCAAGAGTATCGACTACGGGAAGCTCTAGAGCGTGGTTCACATATTCGTTTGCTGTTACATAGTCATTTGCCACTACAGAGAATAATACGGCACCTAGCAGGTAGGCCTTTGAGCTTTCGCAAAGATCGATAGAACGCTTTATAAAGTCTAGTGCACTCTTAGCCATTCCCTTCTTCACGGGATCAAGGGAAATGTCTGGCTGAATAACCTGGTTGGTAAGAATCCCGGTGGACTCCAAGTATACATAAGCGAGCTCTAGGTACATCTCGGCTGCGAGGACTCGTGCTTTGCATGCGAGCAGCGGGCTCGACACTTGCGTGTTCTGATACATAGCTGGATTGTGTATCGCTGACTCTTTAGACGAGAACACTCCGTCACGGATCAGAACCTTCGGCCTCACTAAGGTTGTAAGTGTCTTACCTGTCTTCACCACGACACAGGAGGTGAACCAGTTAATTGCTAGTTGAAGCTTCGTGATTTTGTCGTCGACAGTAGTTGCAGGATCCTTTAAAGCGATACGGCAACGAAGTGAATAGACAGCCAGGAAAACAACATCAGTAGGGAGGTGATTTGTAGAGACGTCTGCGGTCTGTGGTAGCTGGTACTGAGAGGTGAGCTTCAAAACAGTGGCATCTGTCAGGTGCGCGATATCTGCCTCTTTGCCCATGCGATAAAGAAGCCTGATCAGCTCTGAGAAAACTAAAGTGTACGATAGAGAGTACCCCGTTAGATCTCTATTCCACGTTTCCAGGAGTGTAGTGACGAGTTCTACTAGCATGGCCTCGGCCTTGAGAAAGTAATGTGTTTTGCAAAGCGATCGGACATAGAGAGTTGATATAACAGCTTGGAAAAGTAATGCAGAGTCTGGTCGTAAAGAAAGTGACTTAGCATATTTCTTGTGATTGGTAAATAGAATCTCTAAGCACCTGGATGACTCCTTGGTCTTCCCAACAAATTGGTATGCAGACGCCAGTGAGAAGAGCTTCGACGGAGAGGCATTGTCATATGATAACTCTGACTCTGATCCCGGTGATTTATCCTTATCTAAAAGAAAGTGCTGTATGTATGCCGCCTTATCGTTTTTTAAATGAAGAGAGATGAGACACACAAAGTCTTCTATTTCTCTGTTGGTCTTTAGGTACGGCTTAACAAATGCTAAGGCTGTGTGCAAGGACATGGTTTCCGACGTCACTAGGGATTTGGACATCGAATATGCCATGTTTGTGGCACTTGGATTAACAAATATGTCGGTAAAAGGGAAAGGATCTGGTCCATATGCTGCTCCAAGGTAAGGGAAACTATTGGTGGAAGTAGATGCTTGTTGTAGGGCGTTCTTATCAGTTCCCGTAAGTGCATCAAGAAGATCTCCAACCACCGACGCAGAGTCAAGAAAAGAAAGAGCATATTCAGTCTGCAGTGCGGTGAACAGGTTTTCAGATGCATCTGTAAGGTTAAAGACTTGCGCCACGCCAGCGTTAATAAGACAGAAGACAGTCATTTTAGAAAGTAGATATGACAACTGCATGTGGACATAGAACAAGTTAGAGTTGTACGGCTCAATAGATAGTGGGTTGAGACGCCTGCCCTGGGATGTAAGCTCGGAATCGACTGCAGACAGGTACGCCTTCAAGTCATGATACCCACTCTCATCAAAAAGACGGAGTTTTAAAAGCGCAATGTGAACTCGTAATGGTAATAGTTCTGTATTGGCAAGAGAGTCATCCTTTAAGGTGATGATCTTGCTGGTTAATATTGTAGAGAGGGACTTGATGGCTTGGCTCCAGTCTCCACGAGCAGAATAGATTTTCGAAACAACGCTGGCAAACTTGGGAGTCTGCTCGATAGATGGATCTAGTAAGACAGCCTGTGAAAGAAAGAGCTGGACCTCTTTCGTGTTACCTATAACATTACTCGATGTCGCTGCAAGGAACAGCTCGTCCGTTGTCAGGCCCACAAAACCGTGCTCTGATGCCAAAGAAGAGAGGGCATACAGATGCTTTATGACAGAGTGATGCTCCTGCAAGAAGCTCAGCAAGTGGAGATTGGCCAGCCGCAGAGTTGGAGAGCTTATCAAGAGAGAAAGGATGATGTTGTAGCTTGTTGTTAGGATCTTGGCTTCATTATCTAGTAGTGGCCCGTCCTGGCCTGTTTTCAATGTATGAATAATGTATTTGCTTAGTACTGTAAGGGCAAGTGTATCAGGAAAGAGAGTAGAGTAGCACACATTGGCATGCAGTGGTCCGACACCAATCATATTCGCGAGGGGGTTCTTCGCCTTGGCAATAAGAGATGGAAGGATGCCGTGCATAATTGAAAAGAGAGACTTGCGAGCTGGGTGTGCGGAGGACATAGAAGATAGAATCACATTCATCGCAGCATGGCTACTAACATAATTTCGCCCAATCTCTTGTGAAGATTGACTTCTTGAAGAGCTCTCGTTTGCCAGAAGCTTGCTGGGAGATGCAGGAGCATCTAGCTCTGCAAGGCTAGTGTCGATGTCGAGATCGGCCAACATGTGCGCTTTGCTGACGGCTTTGTCATGGTTCCCCGAAAGAGATAACACGAGGATATTTAGGTCTTCTATGGTTAGCAAAAGACTGTTCTTGTCCACGCCCAATATAGAGATCTCTGCAAGGGAACAGTCCAATCGCTCTGTAACCTGCTTTATCTCTGCCAATGCCTCTTCTGAGACAGTCTTTGCATCGGCATCACTTCCATTAACGTGATGCAGCAGAGCCTTCGCTGATGATAAGTATGCCTTCAGAATCTGAAGCGGGGTCTTATAGGTGCGCTGCAACTTCGGATCACTCAGTACTTCTGCAAGAAGATCTCTCAGCGTGTCACAGACAGAGACAAGTGGACATGAACGCAACATCCCAACAAGGAAGCTGCATACAGCACTGAGCTGCTGTGGAGAATGCACGTTCCCTATGTCTTTTAGCAAAACATGCCTTCCTGCTGTAAATAGCACTGAATTCAGATCCGACTCTGTGTTAAAGCAGGCGATAGATAGCAGTGCTCCAAGCTGATTGGCTTTAGAATATGGGAAGTGCGACTGCTTGATATGATCTATGAGCTGCATGCCTGGAGGTAAAGTGGATCGATAGACTTCAACAGCAGAGTCATAAGCAGATGGGTCGAAGAGGACAAGGGACTGAAGGTCCTTGAGCACTATCCCGATGCGTGTATAGCGAGCTGTGACCATCGGCAGGTATTCTCTAAGAGCAGAAATATCCGACTTAAGATAAAACATAGTGTTTGCTAGAGCGATGACAGGAGAAGACAACGATTTAAGGCAAGGACTCATATAATCATTCAGTTTATCGTGAAACTTGTCAGGTACATCCTCCGATAAAAGGATTGCTAGTGCACAGCAGGCAAGGATCCCGTCAGTTTTGTTTTCTATCATATTAGAAAATGGCAATAATGCAGAGGGGTTGAACATAATAGACGCAGCAAGCATAGTAAGCAGAAGAGGGAGTGTGATGGAGATGAAGTCCAGCTCTAAGGATTTTTGTAAGACTTCTATTCTGTCGTTATCCTTTAGAGGACAAGAGCTCAAATAAACAAACTCAATAAACAGGGCAATGGTAGCCAGCTTTTCAGAGGTGTGTTGGCGGAGAGCGCTCATGCCCAGCTTAATCTCGTCAAAGCGGAGGTCCAGGGCTGCACGCAGGAGGCTGCGAACATCTGCACTGAAGCTACCATCTTGAGCAGTCTCTTCCAACAAAGCAGATATCCGTCCAAACTCCCCAGCAGAGCCATGAAGTATGATGGTCGCCAGCAGTTCTTCCATAGTCGAATTATTGCTAAAGCTTAAAGTTAAAACTTCTTTGCAACTTCAATGGAATATGCCAAATTTGTTGTCCACATAAGACATGAGTGACCAATGGTTCTCGGCGCTGAAGCGGGCAGACAATACCTACGTGATGGCTCACCTTGAGGAGTACTTTCTGGCAGTGGATGAGGGTACCAATTCTAGTTTAACTATTGCAGTGCTATATGCGAATAAAGAAGCCATAGCGGCAATCTGCAATCTTTATGCCAACACTCTTCGGACCGCCTGTGACGAGAAGAAGCGAACTGCCATACTGACTTCACTTACTCAAGGCATGAAAGCATGTCTGCGGAACGATGAGGCTGATATCTTTGCCCTGCTGTGTCCACATTTGCTATCTGCCCAGATAGTATCGAAAGTCGACATGATGGAAAGAGCCATTGAAGCCAGTGCATATTCCATAGTGGAACTTCTTCTGCGGGATGAGGAGCTTGGTTCTGAACACGTTGAGAAGGTACTTCAGTCGGTGCATTCACCCACCTCAGCTCAGTACAATCGTATAGTAGAGATGCTTGCACACCGGAAGCAGTCTGCAAGAGCCATTCAGCCGGAGTCCTTAGCAGATCAATCCGAACAAGTACAAACAGGATCTGCTTCTGCTTTGGACAAAAAGACCGGTGAATCCATTGCTACGGCAACTTCTGGTATGGGTACGCATACGCTAACGGAGGAGTGGATGGCGCGGGCTACCAAATCGATGCTACAGGAGGCCGTTAAAGCACTTCAAGCAGAGCTCTTGAAAGAGCAATCTCAATCTAGAAAATATCAGGACATTATTTCTAGTATACTGAGTAACGAGAAACAGAGCTATGAAACTATGGACACAAAGCTCCGCAGCCTTACTGAACAGCTGAAGACCCAGGAAAAACAACTGTGTGAAAAGGAAGAAGAAATAGCACGGCTCACAACAGAATTGACCGCAGCTACTCAAGCATCCGGCCAGATGGTACATCCTATATCCTTAACACTAACTTCAAACGCTGTGGAGACTCCAAATATGTCTGAGGAGGCGCAGATTAAGGATAATCTTGCTGCTTCTGCCGACGCTGAATCAATTTGCAAGCAGATGCTTTCAGAGTATTCAATACTAAAGTCTAATTTGCTGACATTGGGCCTAGAGTCTTCCATAATCTCGCAAAACTTTGCTAAGGTCTCCGTACTGACGGAGATTGCTAGTACAGAAATACAAACATTAAGAAGATCATGTCTTGATGCCATAGCGGAAGCAGAAGCGATACGCGATAGGCTTTCAGTCGTTCAGAATGAGCGGGACGCCCTGAACACGGAGTTGCAGCAGCTCAAACAAAGTATTACTTTACTACGACAAACAGCTGCAGAGAGCGATACTAAGCAGACTGACCCTACACATCCTCAGGATGTTCAAGAACCTTCCATTGAATGTTGCACCTCAGACTTAATCCCTTTAGCAGCTCACAATGATGTAGAAACAAGAATGATCGATACAATGACCATATACAGCTATTTAGAAGAAGAGGAAGGCAAAAAGGCTGCAGCAGACGATGATGCCTGTAGCCTGACCAAACTGATAGAACAGTTAGCTGACCACGGCGTGCAGGTGGAGTGTGTTGGTCCTGGTGTGCATTTACGAGTGGTGGACCCCACACGCCTGAGCATTCTCTTGCAAGAAGCCCTTCAACAACCAGGCGCTTCCGTTCTATACCCTTCTGAGTTCAGTGTGGCCAACTTTCATCAACTCGAGCGTCAAGCTGAGCCATCAAATGCTCGCACTGAAGAGATCCAAGCATTGCAACCACAACCACAACCACAATCACAATCACAACCAGGAGCAGAACTTGAAGGTTCACTTGCTGAGGCCCAGACACTAATAGCTCGGCTAACAGAAGAACTACTAGAAAAGGATAAGGCCATTGCTGAGCTAAATCAATGCCTTGCACAAATTCCTCTAGCCGATTGCGATGTTATCAGTGACCATCGGAAAGAGGGGGTTGGCAATATGGAGAGAGTGGCATGCATTTTATATCAGCGAGCTCTTTGTGAACGCGATAAAGTTCTTAGGGATATCGAGGAAAGCAAGGAGTCGGCTGACAACCCGTATATTGTTAGCTTTGTGACACAGCGAAAACTGAATTCTATTATTCCATGTGAAGAGACCTTGCTTCGCGAGTTATTTTCTAAAGCGTGTCTGCGGCATGACATTCTACATGAAGACGCCGATGGAATCTGGCTCGAGGTTCTCGAAGTGACCATTCAGGCCAGAAATTATCACTTGTCTGAGTATTTGCGATCAAAGTTGGTGCGAGTATCCAATGTACTCCATGACCAATGCAACCGTGGAGCCACACTTCATGGATTTGTACCCATGAACAATCTAGCCGCTGTATATTTACTCGCTCCCCGGCTCTCCAACATTCGCGACCAGAATGGACGCACCGCACTCATGGTGGCTGCCGAACTAGACCAACTAGATATTGTTCGAGTATTGCTACCTTATGAAGCAGGGGCACAGACGTCCAAAGGGCACACAGCTTTGATGATGGCAGCGCAGCTAGGGTATTTGCGTATTGTTCAGGAACTTTCACCCTTGGAAGCGCATATTTTAGATCAGCGTGGTCGCTCGGCCATTTACTATGCAACTGATGGCTCTGTCTACAAAGATGTCAATCTTTCCGAACGAATTATTGAGGTTATACAAGGACATGTCCACTCAAACAACTTGTAAGATTTGTAAATACCTAGCTATAAATGGCTGCAATGGCACAAATGGCACCAATGGTTGCTACAAAGATTGCTGCTGAAGTCCTAGTGAAGCTGCTGGATGTGTTGTTTTCGCACTGTCCTGTAAGAGTATTGAAGGTTCCTCCGTTGTCACACTTGCAATCAGGAACTGGACAATCTGTACATATGTTACTAAGCAGCGGTTTGTACTGACCACTGGGGCAAACCTCACACTTACCAGAAGTCTCATTAAATCCCACGGTTCCTGCACAAACACAAGACTCCCTTGAGGTGGCTCCTACCTTGTCTGTGGTCGTCTCACCGGGACATCGAATGCAGGCAACTTGGCCCTGACTTGGTTGATATTGTCCGTGTGGACATAGGATGCAGGTCTCAGCGCCTTGGAGTCCTTGGTAACTGCCCACGGAACAAGCTAAGCATGATGTCTTCCCTGAGCTATCCTGATACTGACCAGCAGAGCAATTGATGCAAGTACCAGACCCTGAGTTGGGTTGATATGTTCCTGGTGTACATGGAGTACATACTGACCCCGCTTTGGATGCAGTTCCGGCAGGGCAGGGTTCGCAAACTCCGTCATCAGTTAGTTGCTCACCGGCTTTGCAATCACTAGGCTCCACCGGTGGATCTACAGGAGAATCTACTTCTTCTGGTACCCAGGAGTGGATTCCGTCACGAGCTAAAATGTCCGGAAGGCGACAATAAGAGAACAGGTCCTTTCCATTAGAATTCTGGCCTACAACCTTGTCGCCATTCACCGACATGAAGTAACCTGTATCCTTTCCTGTTTCTACGTTATCTAGGATGAGGACAGGGATACGCAGGCATCGCTCAACGGTCGCGTCCACTAGGTCGCTTATCCAATCGGCCTTCTTTGCTGTATCGTTGTCACTTACAGTGCGCGCTATAATGAAGACTTTTGTGGCCAAGACGTCTTCACTCTGCTGCAGCATACTGTCTACCTTGATCATAAGATCCAACGCGTCGCTCCACTCCGGCTCTCCAAAGTTGCTAACAGTGACAAGCGAATAGTTATATGCCGTGGCATTAGGAACGAAGCTAGAGGGCAAAAGCTTATAGTTCACGGCCAGAGGCAATACGAACTCATACGTAGGGTAGTGCTCTGTTGCATGAGCAGCTTGCGCAAGCCTTGTACGGATGCGAAGCTTGTTTGCGACATAGTCTACTGTTTGCATATACAGCTCTGGATTCTTACGCCAGTAGCTGTCTTCAGTATTGATATCGTTTCCCAGGGCCACATACACAACGGTGTCCTTGACTAATGAACCCAGAACTGCATCAGCAAAGGAGTTCAAATAAGCATCTTGGCTTCCATCCGTGATGCTTTCGTAAACACTGTTTAGTTCCTTGGAGTTGCTCATGTCCCATATTAATAGGGGGATGCGTCCTCGGCTAAGTATGATCGGGAGCGCTTCCTGCATGTACGCATAGTCTGTGTGCTTAAACTGAAAAGGAACGTAAAGTGCATTGGTTGAGAAGTTGAGATTGACAAATTCTTCAAACTGTATTGGGGTTGACTCGTCATATTTTCCTTCGCGGACACCAATCGTGATGTTGTTAGTTAAACTCGCTGTAAGAAGAGAAGCCACAGCAAGTATCATTGAGTTTTTTACTGGATCTTTAACACAATTAACTGTTCATATTTATTTTTACAGTAAGGCTAATCTACATATCTGAAAATACATACTATGGAAATTACACTTAAATTGGCAATAACTTCGGACAGAAGATTGAATGCAATAAGATTCGATGTAAAAAGATTCTTTAGGCTCCATGGTTTCCTCGGCTTCATCCATAGTAGGCCGCAAGACCGCCAAGAAGGGCAATATCCGCACAAATCGGACAATCAAGCGGCTGAAGATGTATAACACTCGACCTGTGCGCGACGAGAAAGGTAAGATTCTCCACGAACAGTATCACAACCCTACTGCCCAGCTCGACGGGCGGATTGAACCATCCAGGAATTGGTTTGGAAACACACGTGTCGTTGGGCAGCAGGATCTTGCAAAGATGAGAGAGGTGATTGCCAACGAAGAACACAATCCAAACACATTTCTGGTGCGTAACAAGCGTCTACCGACCGCCCTTATACATGATGTAAAGCAGGAGACTGTTAGAATCCAGGAGATAGAGCCCTATCATCTCACTTTTGGGCCAAAGGCTCAGCGGAAAAGGAGCAAACTGACCACGTTCAACCCGGAAGAAATACTGTCCACGGCACACAGTGAAGTAACTAACTACGATATTGATAAAGACGGTAATACGGTGAGCCAACGGGAGCTCCGTAAGACGGCCTTTAGGACAGAGTACGATCCGCGACTAATTAGAGGTCAGACAAATAGGATTTATTCTGAAATATACAAAGTAATTGATAGTTCAGATGTCATCATCTACGTCCTGGATGCGCGGGACCCAGAAGGCACGCGCTCCAGATTTTTAGAGAGGTACATGATGACACCAGAGAACGAGCACAGGCACATGATATACTTGCTTAATAAGTGCGATTTGGTCCCAACGTGGGTTACTGCATCGTGGATATCGAAACTATCAAAGCTTAGACCTACAATTGCCTTCCACGCATCCATTGAGCATCCGTTCGGCCGCAATGAGGTATTTTCTATTCTACGCCAGTTTGCTCAGCTACATAGGGACAAAGCACAGATATCCGTTGGCTTCTGCGGATACCCGAACACTGGGAAGTCATCTGTTATAAATACTTTGCTAGGGAAGCATAGTTGTAAGACTGCGCCAATTCCAGGCGAGACGAAGGTCTGGCAATATGTATCTTTGACCAAGCGAATAAATCTCATTGATGCCCCGGGTGTCGTTTGGGCTACTAATCAACTGGAGCTTCCGAATGAGCTGCGCAATCTTTATGACACAGGAACTGACCTTTCGCAAGGGCGAGCGACCGCTGCGCGCTCAGCTATCGACGATTTTAACTATATAAATACTACAGACATACACCTCGTCCTTTCGGGGGTTCTACGCGCAGAGTATTTGGAATTCCCGGAGAAGTTTATTCCTTGCATACTTCAGCGTGTGAAGCCGGAGTACATCAACAAGACATATAATATTCGCCCTGCTTCTAACGTGGATGAGCGGTGGGACGGAGACGTAGACAAGCTACTGGAAATCCTTGCTTTCAAACAGGGCCGACTTCTAAAGGGAGGAGAGCCAGATACACGAACTGTGGCAAGGAGAATCCTTGAGGACTTTATCAGAGGACGGATACCACACTTTGTTATACCCTACACGCGAGAAGAGGTTGATGAGTACAATGCCACGATTGGAAAGGAGCGTAAGGCGTGGGGAAACAAGACAGATGTGGAGCTCATAAACTACGTAAATACGCAGGACCTAATGCTCCTTCCTAAGACTCTCAACTTCAATGAGGAGGAAATTGTCCACGATGCATTTGCGATCAATAACCGATTGGAGGAGGTTTCCGAGTCTGAAGAGGAGGAGGTCCACGGTACATCACGCCCCGTCCGAGATGTTGCTGAGATAGATAACAACTCTGAGAGCAACGAGGTTAACCTGAGCGACGCCGCCCCTGATGGAGAGACAGGACTGGCAGATGATTGGGACAGTGTCTTTGGACAAGGAGACACGCCGGCTCAAGCCGCATCTAAGAAGAAGAAGCTATCTAGTACTACTGCTGAAAAGTCAATGACAGTAGGTGAGCGGGTAGCAGCTGCTCAAGCAAAGGAAGTTGTCAATACCAAGACAAAGCCCAAGAAGCACCACGGGACAAGCGAGGGAATAAAGAGGGCTGTTAAGCTATTGAGGACTAAGAATCGCGAGCTCACAAGGGCATACTTGTCTGGGGTTGTCGGTGATGACGACCTCATCATGGTCTCCGGAGCCTATAAAAAGCAGAAGACTCCCAAACGCAACAGGGGCGGGTACGATCATGGAAAGACTGGGAGCCAATTCTACGCCAATGTGAGGGCACGCAGTGGGAGCAAAGCGGGCAAAAAATAGGAAGGGCAATTCAAAGGTAAATTCTCTCATGGAGCATTACACCGTTATTAGAAAGATAGGGGAGGGTTCCTTTGGGGAATGCTTCCTCTGCTGTGATAAGCGCACAGGCTTACACGTTGTGATAAAGGAGATTAGTATGGAAGATATGCAGGACACAGAGGTCCGGAACACAGAGCGAGAATCTGCTATCCTACTGACCATGGACCATCCTAATATTGTTCGTGGCATAGAGTCCTTTAAGGAGGACGGCTTTCTGTATATTGCGATGACATACTGCGAACATGGGGAGCTCACTTCACTGATCAAGAGGCATCACAAGAGCCAAATGCACTTTGAGGAGTCGCAGGTCTTACGGTGGATTGCTCAGCTTGCATCTGCTCTCTGGTACATTCATAGCAAAGGGCTTATTCACAGAGACCTGAAGTCTCAAAACATCTTCCTTGATCAGGATCTCAATGTGCATATAGGTGACTTTGGAATAGCACGCACGATAAACCCCGGCTCAATGGCCTCCACATTCATAGGCTCTCCCCTCTATATGTCTCCAGAGCTGATTCAGGGGACTTCCTACAATTCACAGTCTGATATGTGGTCACTTGGGTGCATGATCTTCGAGATACTCTGCCTTAAAACAGCGTTTCAAGCCAAGAACATTAACACCCTCATAATGAAGATCGTTTCCGGTAAGGTTCCCGAGCTGCCCGGAATATACTCGTCCAAGCTGCGAGATATCTGTCTAAACCTATTGAATCAGGTCCCAGATCAGCGGATGACTGCTGCCCAGCTTTGTGGGCATGATCTGATTGCACCATTTATTTTCGAGCTTAACCTACCTCATCCAGAGTCATTTGATCCTCCCACAGCAGCAGTAGGGAATGCATTTGCATCTAGGCTTTCTAAGAGTATTTCAGATCAAGCCATTTCCGAGGCAGATATATTTAGCAATACGAGCAAGATAAATATTTACATTAAGCAAGGAGTAGAGGCAGAAAACAACGCTATACAGAGTATTCGCCAAGGCGGGGCCTCCCCCACATATTCCACAGGCAGGCGGATGACAGGCGATATACCAGAGAGTGCGTCGTCTGCATTCAAGTACAACTCAGATCCAATTCTGTCACACATTTTCTCACAGCTCGTGCTCCTGGTGGACCATGATAGTACCGTTGCAAGTCAGTTGGTTTCTATCGTACGCCTAACATACTCATTTCAAGATGTAGATATGCTCAGAGACATTACGTTGTTGGACATACCACCACACTTTAACGACATATATAAGTCTAAAACAGCGTGGACAGACAACTCCTGCACGACGTGGGACCGGGAGACAGAGCTTCTATCGTGGATATTTGAGCGGATAGCAGGCGAAAAGGGTGACGCATGCCTCGGGCTCTGTCGGCTACTCGTCTCCGCCGACGATTACTCGTGATCAAAAAAAGAGCTCCGCGCTCAGTTTAGTGAATTTAAAATGTTTCTGGATTCGAAGGAGGCATGGTTCGCGTGTGTTAACAATGGCGACGTAGAGGCAGTTAGGTATAACCTTCCCACCTACCAGAAGTCCGTTGACCGTCAAGGGGAAACTGCACTCATGCACGCCGTCCGGAACCGTGACATTGAAATGGTTCGTCTTTTAGGCTGCTTTGAGCACTCTCTAGTTAACAACGATGGCTATACTGCCCTTATGCTTGCTGCTGTCTGCAATGAGGGGGAGGCCTGCAAACGCCTTGTTCCCTATGAAATGAATCTTGTTCTACCAGACGGGCGCACGCCGTTGATGCTTGCTGCAGCTGCTGGCGCAGTCGACTCGACGATAAACCTTCTACCTTATCAGAAATGTCGCACTGATCTAATGGGCAGGACGGCGCTAATGTATGCAGCAGAAGCAGGACAATTTGAGGCAGCACAGCATCTTGTGTTGAGAGAGAAGGAGCACATCTCTAAGGATGCCAAGACAGCCCTTATTTTAGCAGCTCAGAATAAGCACTGGGATGTTGCACGCATCCTCTACCCTCTAGAGTCTCACCTACTACCAGAAGTAGTATCAGATCTCATTCCCGACCCCGCAAAGCTGAGTAAGGATGACCCAACTGTCAGCTCTTTTGGTTTATCCAGTTCTATTGTAGATATAGTGAAAGATTTCCCGGGTCGCAATGTGGACCTGTCTATGCTTAGCCGATCCCAAATAGAAGGCGATCTTGAGAGAAAGATAACTGAGATGGAACGCAAGATTGCCTCTTTGAACGATGAGTCTTCAATAATAATCGTCCAGAATCAGGCACTTCAAAATCAAGTCAATCAGATGAATCAGGAGATTATTAGATTGCAGGCTCAGTTAGATGAGTCTCGTCAGGACAATACCAAGAAGGCTGCAATGATCAGTGAGCTCAGGGCAGGCATCAATGACGCAACAAGCCATCCGCATGGAGCGGCAGTTAATGCATTTAAGCAAGAGATCAACCGGCTCCACAAAGACGCTGATGGGATGGCTCAGTTAATCCATCAGCTCAAGGATGATGCAGTAGAGAAGAACATTCTCTTGGCGAAACTCAGGGACACCGGATCTGCCAAGGACCGTGAAATCGACACCTTGCGCAGTGACATATTAGGCCTAGAGCAGAAGCTAGACAACGCCAATCAAACCATTCGCCGTTTGAGAGCCGAGCTAGTAGATACTAGCATGTCTTCAGAGCAATCTAAGGCGGCTCTTTCAGCAAGCGCTACTCAGCGTGATTTGGCAGGAAAGGAAGTTGCAAAACTCAAGGACGAAAATGTCGCACTCCGACACACGTTGAAGAAGATGTCAGCTAACATAGAAAACAAGGACAATGAAATCTTCGATCTTCGGCAGCAATTATTGAGTAGAAGCCACGATAAATCTGATAGTGATTCAGATGGCGAGACAATAAAAGTTATGGAGGCACAGCTCAATGAGTTGAAGAATGAGGTCGACCGTCTGCAATCTGCACTGTTTTCTAAGGAGGATGACATTCAGCTACGCAACCAGAAGATCAAGGAACTGGCAGATGAAATTTTACGCTTAAATAAATCTGGTTCTAAGATACAGGAGAGCAACCTTGCCACCATCGACCAGTTGCAGTCGGAAATAACGGGACTTCTTGGAGAAATTCAGCATCTAAAAGCACAGCTTACTGAGAAGAACAAACAAATAGATGACATGAACAACTTATTGGTGACTTATAAGGAGGCGGCACCTAACGAAGCAAATAAATCTGCAGCTCTTGAGCTCCAACATCTCAAGCTGGTCATTGACAATCTTACTGCTGAGCTACGTGAAAAAGACCGCCACATCCTTGATCTCGAAAAGACATCTGCGCCACAACCCATACCGCCACAATTTGCTGATTTAGTAGCAAAGAATGAAGCTTTGCTTAAGTCTCTCCAAGACGTTAAAGAGCAGAATAACGCGCTTATCAAGGAACAGAATTCGCTAGAGGCCTTGCTTAAGCAGAAGGATGAACGAATTCATCCTCTGGAGCGACAACTTGAGACAGCAATGAGTACATGCGCAGCTTCCCAAAATAAGCTTCTAGATAAGGAGGCCGAGCTAGTTGATATTAGACGCGCTTACGATAAGCTTTCAGTTGAGAACTCTTCCAACGAACAAAAGGTTAAAGATCTATCCGATAAATTAGGAGTTCTTCGAAAGGAAAAGGCAGATGCCGATGCCACTTATACTGCCTCCAAAAGGAAGACCAACAATGAGCTGCTGGACTTGCGAGCCCGGCTTGAACACGCACAGAAAGAGATAGAGGTCTTGACAGAACTCTCCACGAAGGAACCAACATATCAAGTAGTGAAGCAGTACTTAGCTAACACAGTAGCGTCTCTTGATGCTTGCAGAGACGCGCTTGCAGACCCAGAGATGGCTCGCAAAGAGAATCAGAACCTAATGCGCAGGCACCAAAAAGATCTCGAGCAGTTGAGTGATCGTGTAGAGCAGATGTCCGCGATTCTACGAGCACCAGTCGATCAATCCCAAACCGTCGCAATGCTTTTGGATGAAATTAGTCAACTCAAGTCCAAATTGAGCAACTTACAAGCAGTGCAAGAAGAAAAAATACGTGGATCACAGGATTCGCTTCTTCATGCACCAAGTGTCGTGGATTCGCAATACGCATCTCTTGAGTCGCCAGACAATGCTGACAAGATAACGGAGCTCTATGATCGCATTAGGGCACTAACGGATGAACTTCATCTTGCACTTGATTCTCTCAATACAAAGGAAGCAGAACTAAAACAATTGAAAGATGAATTATCTCAGAAAGATGCTATCATAGATAATCTTCATCTTGCAGATAAAGCTACTATCGAACTGAACAAGCAGATCTCCATGCTCAAACTGGATCGAGAAAGTTTACAAGAAAAGATCTGTGAATTGGAAGATGTTAGGGACAAGTTATCTGCCCTTCTGAACAGCGCAGACGATGAGAGGCTTCAGTTGCGGCGCGAACTTGACGATCTTCGGGTTCAGTTGACTGACAATAAGCGAGACGATCCTGAAGTAATTTCAGGGCTCCAGTCACAGTTATCATCTCTATTATCAGAGCGAGATAAGCTCAACAAGGATATTGTGGCTCTTGTGGGCAAGTCAAATACGTTGGAACGTGAGCTTGAGCATGCCAACAATTTGATTCGCCATCTCGAGGACGAAAGCGCCGCCCTTACAGACAAGCTCGAGGCCCGCGAGAAGGCGCTTGCAGAGGCGATCGACGGGATTGCCGACCACGGCGACGCCGCGCAGCAGCTTCAGCAGGAGCTTGCAGCCCTCCGCCGCGACGCAGCCGAGAACGCAGCGGCGCTCCGTGAAGCGCGCGAGCAGGCCGCCGCCCACCAGGAAGACGCCCAGCTCAAGGCGGCCCAGCTCGAGGATCTCTCCGAGGAGCTGGCGCGCCTCCGCGAGCAGGCGGCCGAAGATGCCGTGCGTGCTCGCGACGCAGAGGCGCTTGCAGAGCGCGCTGCAGAGCTGGAGGCTCAGGCCAAGGCCGCCGAAGAAAGGCTTGCCGACGCCCGCGCCAAAATCGCCGAGCTCGAGGCACACGCAGCAGCAGGCACAGAGGCCCTCGCCGATGCCGCCGAGAAGTTCCGCGCCAAGGCACAGCAGGCGCAGGGCGGCGACGAGGCCATCCGCCGCCTTGAGGCCGACGTGCGTGCTGCAGAGGCCGAGCGCGATGAGGCCCGTGCGGCCCTCGATAAGGCCCTCGACGAGGCCGCAGCTCTGGAGGCCGAGCACAAGAATCTGGAGGCCGAGCGAGATGCCCTCGCGGCTCAGCTGGCGGAGGCCCAGGACGCCCTGCAGACCGCCCGCGCCCAGCTCGCCGCCGCTGAGGACAGGGTCTCTGCCCTGACCGAAAACCTCGGAGCCATGAACGACGCCAAGGCCCAGGTCCACTATTTAGAAGAAGCAGCCAGAGATAAAGACACTTTAGCACAGCGTCAGGCAGACGAAATCGCTGAGCTTCGTCGCGAGCTCCAGGAAGCACACGACAAGATTGATGCACTTTCTCATCTCGAGCAGCAGGCTTCCGATTCGAAGGAGCGCACCCAAATGCTCGAAGATTATTTGTCAGAGCTCAAGAGCAAGCAGATAGATGCAGGGATGCAGGAAATGGAGCTTGGAACTCTTAGGAAGGAGCTGGAGCAAAAGCAGGGCGAGCTCGATGAGAAGACAGTGGCGCTTGACATGCTCCGGAATGAGGCAGAAAGACTTCGCGAGGAGGCAGACAACCGCGAGCGCGAGCTTCAACAACTACGTGCGCAAGACAATGAAGGCGCTGCAGAGCGCATCGTTCAACTCGAGGCCGAGCGAGATGACCTCCATGCCACCCTTGATGCAAAGGACAAGGAGATCGGCCAGCTGAGTGACGAACTTTCCCGAACAACGGCCAGTGTCGAGGCCGCCAGAACGCGGATTCAAGCCCTGGAGGACGAGGCAGCCGCAAGGGCAGAGCAAGCAGAAGAAAGCGCCGCCAAGACGGCACGGCTGCGCAACCGCGTCGACGAGCTGGAGAGTGCCCTTCAATCGCTGGGCCGCAAGGCCGAAGCGCGAGCAGAGGAGGTCCGGGACCGCGAGCGCCAGCTTACTGCCATGGACCTCAAAAGAAGCGCTACAGACGGCGCGCTCGAGGACGCCCAGAACAGGATCCGTCGCCTCGAAGACGAAAGCGCCGCCCTTACAGACAAGCTCGAGGCCCGCGAGAAGGCGCTTGCAGAGGCGATCGACGGGATTGCCGACCACGGCGACGCCGCGCAGCAGCTTCAGCAGGAGCTTGCAGCCCTCCGCCGCGACGCAGCCGAGAACGCAGCGGCGCTCCGTGAAGCGCGCGAGCAGGCCGCCGCCCACCAGGAAGACGCCCAGCTCAAGGCGGCCCAGCTCGAGGATCTCTCCGAGGAGCTGGCGCGCCTCCGCGAGCAGGCGGCCGAAGATGCCGTGCGTGCTCGCGACGCAGAGGCGCTTGCAGAGCGCGCTGCAGAGCTGGAGGCTCAGGCCAAGGCCGCCGAAGAAAGGCTTGCCGACGCCCGCGCCAAAATCGCCGAGCTCGAGGCACACGCAGCAGCAGGCACAGAGGCCCTCGCCGATGCCGCCGAGAAGTTCCGCGCCAAGGCACAGCAGGCGCAGGGCGGCGACGAGGCCATCCGCCGCCTTGAGGCCGACGTGCGTGCTGCAGAGGCCGAGCGCGATGAGGCCCGTGCGGCCCTCGATAAGGCCCTCGACGAGGCCGCAGCTCTGGAGGCCGAGCACAAGAATCTGGAGGCCGAGCGAGATGCCCTCGCGGCTCAGCTGGCGGAGGCCCAGGACGCCCTGCAGACCGCCCGCGCCCAGCTCGCCGCCGCTGAGGACAGGGTCTCTGCCCTGACCGAAAACCTCGGAGCCATGAACGACGCCAAGGCCCAGATCCGCGAGATGCAGGATACCATCCCAGATCTTCGACAAGCGATTCGCCAGCACCAAGAGGAGATCATCCAACTCCAGCAGACGCTTGTCGCGTCCCAGATGGAATTTGCCAGACGAACCCATGAGGCACAAGCCAATGAAATTCAGATGGCGGAGCTATTGGATAACTTAAATGCACAAATGGATGAAATTGCCACTATGAAACTAGAGGCAGAGGAATCTCAAGATCTTGTTGATCGCGTGGCTCAACTCGAGCGCGACAAAAAGGAACTTTTGACAGAGGTAGCAGACCTGAAAAAATTAAATAAGGCATCAGAGGAAAGAGCGAACGATTCCAAAGAACGTACTCAACGGTTGGAAGATTTTGTTAGTGAGCTTAAATCACAGATGTCAGATACTCAAATTTATACTATTGAAGCAAGCGCTCTTAGGAAGGAGCTGGAGCAAAAGCAGGGCGAGCTCGATGAGAAGACAGTGGCGCTTGACATGCTCCGGAATGAGGCAGAAAGACTTCGCGAGGAGGCAGACAACCGCGAGCGCGAGCTTCAACAACTACGTGCGCAAGACAATGAAGGCGCTGCAGAGCGCATCGTTCAACTCGAGGCCGAGCGAGATGACCTCCATGCCACCCTTGATGCAAAGGACAAGGAGATCGGCCAGCTGAGTGACGAACTTTCCCGAACAACGGCCAGTGTCGAGGCCGCCAGAACGCGGATTCAAGCCCTGGAGGACGAGGCAGCCGCAAGGGCAGAGCAAGCAGAAGAAAGCGCCGCCAAGACGGCACGGCTGCGCAACCGCGTCGACGAGCTGGAGAGTGCCCTTCAATCGCTGGGCCGCAAGGCCGAAGCGCGAGCAGAGGAGGTCCGGGACCGCGAGCGCCAGCTTACTGCCATGGACCTCAAAAGAAGCGCTACAGACGGCGCGCTCGAGGACGCCCAGAACAGGATCCGTCGCCTCGAAGACGAAAGCGCCGCCCTTACAGACAAGCTCGAGGCCCGCGAGAAGGCGCTTGCAGAGGCGATCGACGGGATTGCCGACCACGGCGACGCCGCGCAGCAGCTTCAGCAGGAGCTTGCAGCCCTCCGCCGCGACGCAGCCGAGAACGCAGCGGCGCTCCGTGAAGCGCGCGAGCAGGCCGCCGCCCACCAGGAAGACGCCCAGCTCAAGGCGGCCCAGCTCGAGGATCTCTCCGAGGAGCTGGCGCGCCTCCGCGAGCAGGCGGCCGAAGATGCCGTGCGTGCTCGCGACGCAGAGGCGCTTGCAGAGCGCGCTGCAGAGCTGGAGGCTCAGGCCAAGGCCGCCGAAGAAAGGCTTGCCGACGCCCGCGCCAAAATCGCCGAGCTCGAGGCACACGCAGCAGCAGGCACAGAGGCCCTCGCCGATGCCGCCGAGAAGTTCCGCGCCAAGGCACAGCAGGCGCAGGGCGGCGACGAGGCCATCCGCCGCCTTGAGGCCGACGTGCGTGCTGCAGAGGCCGAGCGCGATGAGGCCCGTGCGGCCCTCGATAAGGCCCTCGACGAGGCCGCAGCTCTGGAGGCCGAGCACAAGAATCTGGAGGCCGAGCGAGATGCCCTCGCGGCTCAGCTGGCGGAGGCCCAGGACGCCCTGCAGACCGCCCGCGCCCAGCTCGCCGCCGCTGAGGACAGGGTCTCTGCCCTGACCGAAAACCTCGGAGCCATGAACGACGCCAAGGCCCAGATCCGCGAGATGCAGGATACCATCCCAGATCTTCGACAAGCGATTCGCCAGCACCAAGAGGAGATCATCCAACTCCAGCAGACGCTTGTCGCGTCCCAGATGGAATTTGCCAGACGAACCCATGAGGCACAAGCCAATGAAATTCAGATGGCGGAGCTATTGGATAACTTAAATGCACAAATGGATGAAATTGCCACTATGAAACTAGAGGCAGAGGAATCTCAAGATCTTGTTGATCGCGTGGCTCAACTCGAGCGCGACAAAAAGGAACTTTTGACAGAGGTAGCAGACCTGAAAAAATTAAATAAGGCATCAGAGGAAAGAGCGAACGATTCCAAAGAACGTACTCAACGGTTGGAAGATTTTGTTAGTGAGCTTAAATCACAGATGTCAGATACTCAAATTTATACTATTGAAGCAAGCGCTCTTAGGAAGGAGCTGGAGCAAAAGCAGGGCGAGCTCGATGAGAAGACAGTGGCGCTTGACATGCTCCGGAATGAGGCAGAAAGACTTCGCGAGGAGGCAGACAACCGCGAGCGCGAGCTTCAACAACTACGTGCGCAAGACAATGAAGGCGCTGCAGAGCGCATCGTTCAACTCGAGGCCGAGCGAGATGACCTCCATGCCACCCTTGATGCAAAGGACAAGGAGATCGGCCAGCTGAGTGACGAACTTTCCCGAACAACGGCCAGTGTCGAGGCCGCCAGAACGCGGATTCAAGCCCTGGAGGACGAGGCAGCCGCAAGGGCAGAGCAAGCAGAAGAAAGCGCCGCCAAGACGGCACGGCTGCGCAACCGCGTCGACGAGCTGGAGAGTGCCCTTCAATCGCTGGGCCGCAAGGCCGAAGCGCGAGCAGAGGAGGTCCGGGACCGCGAGCGCCAGCTTACTGCCATGGACCTCAAAAGAAGCGCTACAGACGGCGCGCTCGAGGACGCCCAGAACAGGATCCGTCGCCTCGAAGACGAAAGCGCCGCCCTTACAGACAAGCTCGAGGCCCGCGAGAAGGCGCTTGCAGAGGCGATCGACGGGATTGCCGACCACGGCGACGCCGCGCAGCAGCTTCAGCAGGAGCTTGCAGCCCTCCGCCGCGACGCAGCCGAGAACGCAGCGGCGCTCCGTGAAGCGCGCGAGCAGGCCGCCGCCCACCAGGAAGACGCCCAGCTCAAGGCGGCCCAGCTCGAGGATCTCTCCGAGGAGCTGGCGCGCCTCCGCGAGCAGGCGGCCGAAGATGCCGTGCGTGCTCGCGACGCAGAGGCGCTTGCAGAGCGCGCTGCAGAGCTGGAGGCTCAGGCCAAGGCCGCCGAAGAAAGGCTTGCCGACGCCCGCGCCAAAATCGCCGAGCTCGAGGCACACGCAGCAGCAGGCACAGAGGCCCTCGCCGATGCCGCCGAGAAGTTCCGCGCCAAGGCACAGCAGGCGCAGGGCGGCGACGAGGCCATCCGCCGCCTTGAGGCCGACGTGCGTGCTGCAGAGGCCGAGCGCGATGAGGCCCGTGCGGCCCTCGATAAGGCCCTCGACGAGGCCGCAGCTCTGGAGGCCGAGCACAAGAATCTGGAGGCCGAGCGAGATGCCCTCGCGGCTCAGCTGGCGGAGGCCCAGGACGCCCTGCAGACCGCCCGCGCCCAGCTCGCCGCCGCTGAGGACAGGGTCTCTGCCCTGACCGAAAACCTCGGAGCCATGAACGACGCCAAGGCCCAGGTCCACTATTTAGAAGAAGCAGCCAGAGATAAAGACACTTTAGCACAGCGTCAGGCAGACGAAATCGCTGAGCTTCGTCGCGAGCTCCAGGAAGCACACGACAAGATTGATGCACTTTCTCATCTCGAGCAGCAGGCTTCCGATTCGAAGGAGCGCACCCAAATGCTCGAAGATTATTTGTCAGAGCTCAAGAGCAAGCAGATAGATGCAGGGATGCAGGAAATGGAGCTTGGAACTCTTAGGAAGGAGCTGGAGCAAAAGCAGGGCGAGCTCGATGAGAAGACAGTGGCGCTTGACATGCTCCGGAATGAGGCAGAAAGACTTCGCGAGGAGGCAGACAACCGCGAGCGCGAGCTTCAACAACTACGTGCGCAAGACAATGAAGGCGCTGCAGAGCGCATCGTTCAACTCGAGGCCGAGCGAGATGACCTCCATGCCACCCTTGATGCAAAGGACAAGGAGATCGGCCAGCTGAGTGACGAACTTTCCCGAACAACGGCCAGTGTCGAGGCCGCCAGAACGCGGATTCAAGCCCTGGAGGACGAGGCAGCCGCAAGGGCAGAGCAAGCAGAAGAAAGCGCCGCCAAGACGGCACGGCTGCGCAACCGCGTCGACGAGCTGGAGAGTGCCCTTCAATCGCTGGGCCGCAAGGCCGAAGCGCGAGCAGAGGAGGTCCGGGACCGCGAGCGCCAGCTTACTGCCATGGACCTCAAAAGAAGCGCTACAGACGGCGCGCTCGAGGACGCCCAGAACAGGATCCGTCGCCTCGAAGACGAAAGCGCCGCCCTTACAGACAAGCTCGAGGCCCGCGAGAAGGCGCTTGCAGAGGCGATCGACGGGATTGCCGACCACGGCGACGCCGCGCAGCAGCTTCAGCAGGAGCTTGCAGCCCTCCGCCGCGACGCAGCCGAGAACGCAGCGGCGCTCCGTGAAGCGCGCGAGCAGGCCGCCGCCCACCAGGAAGACGCCCAGCTCAAGGCGGCCCAGCTCGAGGATCTCTCCGAGGAGCTGGCGCGCCTCCGCGAGCAGGCGGCCGAAGATGCCGTGCGTGCTCGCGACGCAGAGGCGCTTGCAGAGCGCGCTGCAGAGCTGGAGGCTCAGGCCAAGGCCGCCGAAGAAAGGCTTGCCGACGCCCGCGCCAAAATCGCCGAGCTCGAGGCACACGCAGCAGCAGGCACAGAGGCCCTCGCCGATGCCGCCGAGAAGTTCCGCGCCAAGGCACAGCAGGCGCAGGGCGGCGACGAGGCCATCCGCCGCCTTGAGGCCGACGTGCGTGCTGCAGAGGCCGAGCGCGATGAGGCCCGTGCGGCCCTCGATAAGGCCCTCGACGAGGCCGCAGCTCTGGAGGCCGAGCACAAGAATCTGGAGGCCGAGCGAGATGCCCTCGCGGCTCAGCTGGCGGAGGCCCAGGACGCCCTGCAGACCGCCCGCGCCCAGCTCGCCGCCGCTGAGGACAGGGTCTCTGCCCTGACCGAAAACCTCGGAGCCATGAACGACGCCAAGGCCCAGATCCGCGAGATGCAGGATACCATCCCAGATCTTCGACAAGCGATTCGCCAGCACCAAGAGGAGATCATCCAACTCCAGCAGACGCTTGTCGCGTCCCAGATGGAATTTGCCAGACGAACCCATGAGGCACAAGCCAATGAAATTCAGATGGCGGAGCTATTGGATAACTTAAATGCACAAATGGATGAAATTGCCACTATGAAACTAGAGGCAGAGGAATCTCAAGATCTTGTTGATCGCGTGGCTCAACTCGAGCGCGACAAAAAGGAACTTTTGACAGAGGTAGCAGACCTGAAAAAATTAAATAAGGCATCAGAGGAAAGAGCGAACGATTCCAAAGAACGTACTCAACGGTTGGAAGATTTTGTTAGTGAGCTTAAATCACAGATGTCAGATACTCAAATTTATACTATTGAAGCAAGCGCTCTTAGGAAGGAGCTGGAGCAAAAGCAGGGCGAGCTCGATGAGAAGACAGTGGCGCTTGACATGCTCCGGAATGAGGCAGAAAGACTTCGCGAGGAGGCAGACAACCGCGAGCGCGAGCTTCAACAACTACGTGCGCAAGACAATGAAGGCGCTGCAGAGCGCATCGTTCAACTCGAGGCCGAGCGAGATGACCTCCATGCCACCCTTGATGCAAAGGACAAGGAGATCGGCCAGCTGAGTGACGAACTTTCCCGAACAACGGCCAGTGTCGAGGCCGCCAGAACGCGGATTCAAGCCCTGGAGGACGAGGCAGCCGCAAGGGCAGAGCAAGCAGAAGAAAGCGCCGCCAAGACGGCACGGCTGCGCAACCGCGTCGACGAGCTGGAGAGTGCCCTTCAATCGCTGGGCCGCAAGGCCGAAGCGCGAGCAGAGGAGGTCCGGGACCGCGAGCGCCAGCTTACTGCCATGGACCTCAAAAGAAGCGCTACAGACGGCGCGCTCGAGGACGCCCAGAACAGGATCCGTCGCCTCGAAGACGAAAGCGCCGCCCTTACAGACAAGCTCGAGGCCCGCGAGAAGGCGCTTGCAGAGGCGATCGACGGGATTGCCGACCACGGCGACGCCGCGCAGCAGCTTCAGCAGGAGCTTGCAGCCCTCCGCCGCGACGCAGCCGAGAACGCAGCGGCGCTCCGTGAAGCGCGCGAGCAGGCCGCCGCCCACCAGGAAGACGCCCAGCTCAAGGCGGCCCAGCTCGAGGATCTCTCCGAGGAGCTGGCGCGCCTCCGCGAGCAGGCGGCCGAAGATGCCGTGCGTGCTCGCGACGCAGAGGCGCTTGCAGAGCGCGCTGCAGAGCTGGAGGCTCAGGCCAAGGCCGCCGAAGAAAGGCTTGCCGACGCCCGCGCCAAAATCGCCGAGCTCGAGGCACACGCAGCAGCAGGCACAGAGGCCCTCGCCGATGCCGCCGAGAAGTTCCGCGCCAAGGCACAGCAGGCGCAGGGCGGCGACGAGGCCATCCGCCGCCTTGAGGCCGACGTGCGTGCTGCAGAGGCCGAGCGCGATGAGGCCCGTGCGGCCCTCGATAAGGCCCTCGACGAGGCCGCAGCTCTGGAGGCCGAGCACAAGAATCTGGAGGCCGAGCGAGATGCCCTCGCGGCTCAGCTGGCGGAGGCCCAGGACGCCCTGCAGACCGCCCGCGCCCAGCTCGCCGCCGCTGAGGACAGGGTCTCTGCCCTGACCGAAAACCTCGGAGCCATGAACGACGCCAAGGCCCAGATCCGCGAGATGCAGGATACCATCCCAGATCTTCGACAAGCGATTCGCCAGCACCAAGAGGAGATCATCCAACTCCAGCAGACGCTTGTCGCGTCCCAGATGGAATTTGCCAGACGAACCCATGAGGCACAAGCCAATGAAATTCAGATGGCGGAGCTATTGGATAACTTAAATGCACAAATGGATGAAATTGCCACTATGAAACTAGAGGCAGAGGAATCTCAAGATCTTGTTGATCGCGTGGCTCAACTCGAGCGCGACAAAAAGGAACTTTTGACAGAGGTAGCAGACCTGAAAAAATTAAATAAGGCATCAGAGGAAAGAGCGAACGATTCCAAAGAACGTACTCAACGGTTGGAAGATTTTGTTAGTGAGCTTAAATCACAGATGTCAGATACTCAAATTTATACTATTGAAGCAAGCGCTCTTAGGAAGGAGCTGGAGCAAAAGCAGGGCGAGCTCGATGAGAAGACAGTGGCGCTTGACATGCTCCGGAATGAGGCAGAAAGACTTCGCGAGGAGGCAGACAACCGCGAGCGCGAGCTTCAACAACTACGTGCGCAAGACAATGAAGGCGCTGCAGAGCGCATCGTTCAACTCGAGGCCGAGCGAGATGACCTCCATGCCACCCTTGATGCAAAGGACAAGGAGATCGGCCAGCTGAGTGACGAACTTTCCCGAACAACGGCCAGTGTCGAGGCCGCCAGAACGCGGATTCAAGCCCTGGAGGACGAGGCAGCCGCAAGGGCAGAGCAAGCAGAAGAAAGCGCCGCCAAGACGGCACGGCTGCGCAACCGCGTCGACGAGCTGGAGAGTGCCCTTCAATCGCTGGGCCGCAAGGCCGAAGCGCGAGCAGAGGAGGTCCGGGACCGCGAGCGCCAGCTTACTGCCATGGACCTCAAAAGAAGCGCTACAGACGGCGCGCTCGAGGACGCCCAGAACAGGATCCGTCGCCTCGAAGACGAAAGCGCCGCCCTTACAGACAAGCTCGAGGCCCGCGAGAAGGCGCTTGCAGAGGCGATCGACGGGATTGCCGACCACGGCGACGCCGCGCAGCAGCTTCAGCAGGAGCTTGCAGCCCTCCGCCGCGACGCAGCCGAGAACGCAGCGGCGCTCCGTGAAGCGCGCGAGCAGGCCGCCGCCCACCAGGAAGACGCCCAGCTCAAGGCGGCCCAGCTCGAGGATCTCTCCGAGGAGCTGGCGCGCCTCCGCGAGCAGGCGGCCGAAGATGCCGTGCGTGCTCGCGACGCAGAGGCGCTTGCAGAGCGCGCTGCAGAGCTGGAGGCTCAGGCCAAGGCCGCCGAAGAAAGGCTTGCCGACGCCCGCGCCAAAATCGCCGAGCTCGAGGCACACGCAGCAGCAGGCACAGAGGCCCTCGCCGATGCCGCCGAGAAGTTCCGCGCCAAGGCACAGCAGGCGCAGGGCGGCGACGAGGCCATCCGCCGCCTTGAGGCCGACGTGCGTGCTGCAGAGGCCGAGCGCGATGAGGCCCGTGCGGCCCTCGATAAGGCCCTCGACGAGGCCGCAGCTCTGGAGGCCGAGCACAAGAATCTGGAGGCCGAGCGAGATGCCCTCGCGGCTCAGCTGGCGGAGGCCCAGGACGCCCTGCAGACCGCCCGCGCCCAGCTCGCCGCCGCTGAGGACAGGGTCTCTGCCCTGACCGAAAACCTCGGAGCCATGAACGACGCCAAGGCCCAGATCCGCGAGATGCAGGATACCATCCCAGATCTTCGACAAGCGATTCGCCAGCACCAAGAGGAGATCATCCAACTCCAGCAGACGCTTGTCGCGTCCCAGATGGAATTTGCCAGACGAACCCATGAGGCACAAGCCAATGAAATTCAGATGGCGGAGCTATTGGATAACTTAAATGCACAAATGGATGAAATTGCCACTATGAAACTAGAGGCAGAGGAATCTCAAGATCTTGTTGATCGCGTGGCTCAACTCGAGCGCGACAAAAAGGAACTTTTGACAGAGGTAGCAGACCTGAAAAAATTAAATAAGGCATCAGAGGAAAGAGCGAACGATTCCAAAGAACGTACTCAACGGTTGGAAGATTTTGTTAGTGAGCTTAAATCACAGATGTCAGATACTCAAATTTATACTATTGAAGCAAGCGCTCTTAGGAAGGAGCTGGAGCAAAAGCAGGGCGAGCTCGATGAGAAGACAGTGGCGCTTGACATGCTCCGGAATGAGGCAGAAAGACTTCGCGAGGAGGCAGACAACCGCGAGCGCGAGCTTCAACAACTACGTGCGCAAGACAATGAAGGCGCTGCAGAGCGCATCGTTCAACTCGAGGCCGAGCGAGATGACCTCCATGCCACCCTTGATGCAAAGGACAAGGAGATCGGCCAGCTGAGTGACGAACTTTCCCGAACAACGGCCAGTGTCGAGGCCGCCAGAACGCGGATTCAAGCCCTGGAGGACGAGGCAGCCGCAAGGGCAGAGCAAGCAGAAGAAAGCGCCGCCAAGACGGCACGGCTGCGCAACCGCGTCGACGAGCTGGAGAGTGCCCTTCAATCGCTGGGCCGCAAGGCCGAAGCGCGAGCAGAGGAGGTCCGGGACCGCGAGCGCCAGCTTACTGCCATGGACCTCAAAAGAAGCGCTACAGACGGCGCGCTCGAGGACGCCCAGAACAGGATCCGTCGCCTCGAAGACGAAAGCGCCGCCCTTACAGACAAGCTCGAGGCCCGCGAGAAGGCGCTTGCAGAGGCGATCGACGGGATTGCCGACCACGGCGACGCCGCGCAGCAGCTTCAGCAGGAGCTTGCAGCCCTCCGCCGCGACGCAGCCGAGAACGCAGCGGCGCTCCGTGAAGCGCGCGAGCAGGCCGCCGCCCACCAGGAAGACGCCCAGCTCAAGGCGGCCCAGCTCGAGGATCTCTCCGAGGAGCTGGCGCGCCTCCGCGAGCAGGCGGCCGAAGATGCCGTGCGTGCTCGCGACGCAGAGGCGCTTGCAGAGCGCGCTGCAGAGCTGGAGGCTCAGGCCAAGGCCGCCGAAGAAAGGCTTGCCGACGCCCGCGCCAAAATCGCCGAGCTCGAGGCACACGCAGCAGCAGGCACAGAGGCCCTCGCCGATGCCGCCGAGAAGTTCCGCGCCAAGGCACAGCAGGCGCAGGGCGGCGACGAGGCCATCCGCCGCCTTGAGGCCGACGTGCGTGCTGCAGAGGCCGAGCGCGATGAGGCCCGTGCGGCCCTCGATAAGGCCCTCGACGAGGCCGCAGCTCTGGAGGCCGAGCACAAGAATCTGGAGGCCGAGCGAGATGCCCTCGCGGCTCAGCTGGCGGAGGCCCAGGACGCCCTGCAGACCGCCCGCGCCCAGCTCGCCGCCGCTGAGGACAGGGTCTCTGCCCTGACCGAAAACCTCGGAGCCATGAACGACGCCAAGGCCCAGATCCGCGAGATGCAGGATACCATCCCAGATCTTCGACAAGCGATTCGCCAGCACCAAGAGGAGATCATCCAACTCCAGCAGACGCTTGTCGCGTCCCAGATGGAATTTGCCAGACGAACCCATGAGGCACAAGCCAATGAAATTCAGATGGCGGAGCTATTGGATAACTTAAATGCACAAATGGATGAAATTGCCACTATGAAACTAGAGGCAGAGGAATCTCAAGATCTTGTTGATCGCGTGGCTCAACTCGAGCGCGACAAAAAGGAACTTTTGACAGAGGTAGCAGACCTGAAAAAATTAAATAAGGCATCAGAGGAAAGAGCGAACGATTCCAAAGAACGTACTCAACGGTTGGAAGATTTTGTTAGTGAGCTTAAATCACAGATGTCAGATACTCAAATTTATACTATTGAAGCAAGCGCTCTTAGGAAGGAGCTGGAGCAAAAGCAGGGCGAGCTCGATGAGAAGACAGTGGCGCTTGACATGCTCCGGAATGAGGCAGAAAGACTTCGCGAGGAGGCAGACAACCGCGAGCGCGAGCTTCAACAACTACGTGCGCAAGACAATGAAGGCGCTGCAGAGCGCATCGTTCAACTCGAGGCCGAGCGAGATGACCTCCATGCCACCCTTGATGCAAAGGACAAGGAGATCGGCCAGCTGAGTGACGAACTTTCCCGAACAACGGCCAGTGTCGAGGCCGCCAGAACGCGGATTCAAGCCCTGGAGGACGAGGCAGCCGCAAGGGCAGAGCAAGCAGAAGAAAGCGCCGCCAAGACGGCACGGCTGCGCAACCGCGTCGACGAGCTGGAGAGTGCCCTTCAATCGCTGGGCCGCAAGGCCGAAGCGCGAGCAGAGGAGGTCCGGGACCGCGAGCGCCAGCTTACTGCCATGGACCTCAAAAGAAGCGCTACAGACGGCGCGCTCGAGGACGCCCAGAACAGGATCCGTCGCCTCGAAGACGAAAGCGCCGCCCTTACAGACAAGCTCGAGGCCCGCGAGAAGGCGCTTGCAGAGGCGATCGACGGGATTGCCGACCACGGCGACGCCGCGCAGCAGCTTCAGCAGGAGCTTGCAGCCCTCCGCCGCGACGCAGCCGAGAACGCAGCGGCGCTCCGTGAAGCGCGCGAGCAGGCCGCCGCCCACCAGGAAGACGCCCAGCTCAAGGCGGCCCAGCTCGAGGATCTCTCCGAGGAGCTGGCGCGCCTCCGCGAGCAGGCGGCCGAAGATGCCGTGCGTGCTCGCGACGCAGAGGCGCTTGCAGAGCGCGCTGCAGAGCTGGAGGCTCAGGCCAAGGCCGCCGAAGAAAGGCTTGCCGACGCCCGCGCCAAAATCGCCGAGCTCGAGGCACACGCAGCAGCAGGCACAGAGGCCCTCGCCGATGCCGCCGAGAAGTTCCGCGCCAAGGCACAGCAGGCGCAGGGCGGCGACGAGGCCATCCGCCGCCTTGAGGCCGACGTGCGTGCTGCAGAGGCCGAGCGCGATGAGGCCCGTGCGGCCCTCGATAAGGCCCTCGACGAGGCCGCAGCTCTGGAGGCCGAGCACAAGAATCTGGAGGCCGAGCGAGATGCCCTCGCGGCTCAGCTGGCGGAGGCCCAGGACGCCCTGCAGACCGCCCGCGCCCAGCTCGCCGCCGCTGAGGACAGGGTCTCTGCCCTGACCGAAAACCTCGGAGCCATGAACGACGCCAAGGCCCAGGTCCACTATTTAGAAGAAGCAGCCAGAGATAAAGACACTTTAGCACAGCGTCAGGCAGACGAAATCGCTGAGCTTCGTCGCGAGCTCCAGGAAGCACACGACAAGATTGATGCACTTTCTCATCTCGAGCAGCAGGCTTCCGATTCGAAGGAGCGCACCCAAATGCTCGAAGATTATTTGTCAGAGCTCAAGAGCAAGCAGATAGATGCAGGGATGCAGGAAATGGAGCTTGGAACTCTTAGGAAGGAGCTGGAGCAAAAGCAGGGCGAGCTCGATGAGAAGACAGTGGCGCTTGACATGCTCCGGAATGAGGCAGAAAGACTTCGCGAGGAGGCAGACAACCGCGAGCGCGAGCTTCAACAACTACGTGCGCAAGACAATGAAGGCGCTGCAGAGCGCATCGTTCAACTCGAGGCCGAGCGAGATGACCTCCATGCCACCCTTGATGCAAAGGACAAGGAGATCGGCCAGCTGAGTGACGAACTTTCCCGAACAACGGCCAGTGTCGAGGCCGCCAGAACGCGGATTCAAGCCCTGGAGGACGAGGCAGCCGCAAGGGCAGAGCAAGCAGAAGAAAGCGCCGCCAAGACGGCACGGCTGCGCAACCGCGTCGACGAGCTGGAGAGTGCCCTTCAATCGCTGGGCCGCAAGGCCGAAGCGCGAGCAGAGGAGGTCCGGGACCGCGAGCGCCAGCTTACTGCCATGGACCTCAAAAGAAGCGCTACAGACGGCGCGCTCGAGGACGCCCAGAACAGGATCCGTCGCCTCGAAGACGAAAGCGCCGCCCTTACAGACAAGCTCGAGGCCCGCGAGAAGGCGCTTGCAGAGGCGATCGACGGGATTGCCGACCACGGCGACGCCGCGCAGCAGCTTCAGCAGGAGCTTGCAGCCCTCCGCCGCGACGCAGCCGAGAACGCAGCGGCGCTCCGTGAAGCGCGCGAGCAGGCCGCCGCCCACCAGGAAGACGCCCAGCTCAAGGCGGCCCAGCTCGAGGATCTCTCCGAGGAGCTGGCGCGCCTCCGCGAGCAGGCGGCCGAAGATGCCGTGCGTGCTCGCGACGCAGAGGCGCTTGCAGAGCGCGCTGCAGAGCTGGAGGCTCAGGCCAAGGCCGCCGAAGAAAGGCTTGCCGACGCCCGCGCCAAAATCGCCGAGCTCGAGGCACACGCAGCAGCAGGCACAGAGGCCCTCGCCGATGCCGCCGAGAAGTTCCGCGCCAAGGCACAGCAGGCGCAGGGCGGCGACGAGGCCATCCGCCGCCTTGAGGCCGACGTGCGTGCTGCAGAGGCCGAGCGCGATGAGGCCCGTGCGGCCCTCGATAAGGCCCTCGACGAGGCCGCAGCTCTGGAGGCCGAGCACAAGAATCTGGAGGCCGAGCGAGATGCCCTCGCGGCTCAGCTGGCGGAGGCCCAGGACGCCCTGCAGACCGCCCGCGCCCAGCTCGCCGCCGCTGAGGACAGGGTCTCTGCCCTGACCGAAAACCTCGGAGCCATGAACGACGCCAAGGCCCAGGTCCACTATTTAGAAGAAGCAGCCAGAGATAAAGACACTTTAGCACAGCGTCAGGCAGACGAAATCGCTGAGCTTCGTCGCGAGCTCCAGGAAGCACACGACAAGATTGATGCACTTTCTCATCTCGAGCAGCAGGCTTCCGATTCGAAGGAGCGCACCCAAATGCTCGAAGATTATTTGTCAGAGCTCAAGAGCAAGCAGATAGATGCAGGGATGCAGGAAATGGAGCTTGGAACTCTTAGGAAGGAGCTGGAGCAAAAGCAGGGCGAGCTCGATGAGAAGACAGTGGCGCTTGACATGCTCCGGAATGAGGCAGAAAGACTTCGCGAGGAGGCAGACAACCGCGAGCGCGAGCTTCAACAACTACGTGCGCAAGACAATGAAGGCGCTGCAGAGCGCATCGTTCAACTCGAGGCCGAGCGAGATGACCTCCATGCCACCCTTGATGCAAAGGACAAGGAGATCGGCCAGCTGAGTGACGAACTTTCCCGAACAACGGCCAGTGTCGAGGCCGCCAGAACGCGGATTCAAGCCCTGGAGGACGAGGCAGCCGCAAGGGCAGAGCAAGCAGAAGAAAGCGCCGCCAAGACGGCACGGCTGCGCAACCGCGTCGACGAGCTGGAGAGTGCCCTTCAATCGCTGGGCCGCAAGGCCGAAGCGCGAGCAGAGGAGGTCCGGGACCGCGAGCGCCAGCTTACTGCCATGGACCTCAAAAGAAGCGCTACAGACGGCGCGCTCGAGGACGCCCAGAACAGGATCCGTCGCCTCGAAGACGAAAGCGCCGCCCTTACAGACAAGCTCGAGGCCCGCGAGAAGGCGCTTGCAGAGGCGATCGACGGGATTGCCGACCACGGCGACGCCGCGCAGCAGCTTCAGCAGGAGCTTGCAGCCCTCCGCCGCGACGCAGCCGAGAACGCAGCGGCGCTCCGTGAAGCGCGCGAGCAGGCCGCCGCCCACCAGGAAGACGCCCAGCTCAAGGCGGCCCAGCTCGAGGATCTCTCCGAGGAGCTGGCGCGCCTCCGCGAGCAGGCGGCCGAAGATGCCGTGCGTGCTCGCGACGCAGAGGCGCTTGCAGAGCGCGCTGCAGAGCTGGAGGCTCAGGCCAAGGCCGCCGAAGAAAGGCTTGCCGACGCCCGCGCCAAAATCGCCGAGCTCGAGGCACACGCAGCAGCAGGCACAGAGGCCCTCGCCGATGCCGCCGAGAAGTTCCGCGCCAAGGCACAGCAGGCGCAGGGCGGCGACGAGGCCATCCGCCGCCTTGAGGCCGACGTGCGTGCTGCAGAGGCCGAGCGCGATGAGGCCCGTGCGGCCCTCGATAAGGCCCTCGACGAGGCCGCAGCTCTGGAGGCCGAGCACAAGAATCTGGAGGCCGAGCGAGATGCCCTCGCGGCTCAGCTGGCGGAGGCCCAGGACGCCCTGCAGACCGCCCGCGCCCAGCTCGCCGCCGCTGAGGACAGGGTCTCTGCCCTGACCGAAAACCTCGGAGCCATGAACGACGCCAAGGCCCAGGTCCACTATTTAGAAGAAGCAGCCAGAGATAAAGACACTTTAGCACAGCGTCAGGCAGACGAAATCGCTGAGCTTCGTCGCGAGCTCCAGGAAGCACACGACAAGATTGATGCACTTTCTCATCTCGAGCAGCAGGCTTCCGATTCGAAGGAGCGCACCCAAATGCTCGAAGATTATTTGTCAGAGCTCAAGAGCAAGCAGATAGATGCAGGGATGCAGGAAATGGAGCTTGGAACTCTTAGGAAGGAGCTGGAGCAAAAGCAGGGCGAGCTCGATGAGAAGACAGTGGCGCTTGACATGCTCCGGAATGAGGCAGAAAGACTTCGCGAGGAGGCAGACAACCGCGAGCGCGAGCTTCAACAACTACGTGCGCAAGACAATGAAGGCGCTGCAGAGCGCATCGTTCAACTCGAGGCCGAGCGAGATGACCTCCATGCCACCCTTGATGCAAAGGACAAGGAGATCGGCCAGCTGAGTGACGAACTTTCCCGAACAACGGCCAGTGTCGAGGCCGCCAGAACGCGGATTCAAGCCCTGGAGGACGAGGCAGCCGCAAGGGCAGAGCAAGCAGAAGAAAGCGCCGCCAAGACGGCACGGCTGCGCAACCGCGTCGACGAGCTGGAGAGTGCCCTTCAATCGCTGGGCCGCAAGGCCGAAGCGCGAGCAGAGGAGGTCCGGGACCGCGAGCGCCAGCTTACTGCCATGGACCTCAAAAGAAGCGCTACAGACGGCGCGCTCGAGGACGCCCAGAACAGGATCCGTCGCCTCGAAGACGAAAGCGCCGCCCTTACAGACAAGCTCGAGGCCCGCGAGAAGGCGCTTGCAGAGGCGATCGACGGGATTGCCGACCACGGCGACGCCGCGCAGCAGCTTCAGCAGGAGCTTGCAGCCCTCCGCCGCGACGCAGCCGAGAACGCAGCGGCGCTCCGTGAAGCGCGCGAGCAGGCCGCCGCCCACCAGGAAGACGCCCAGCTCAAGGCGGCCCAGCTCGAGGATCTCTCCGAGGAGCTGGCGCGCCTCCGCGAGCAGGCGGCCGAAGATGCCGTGCGTGCTCGCGACGCAGAGGCGCTTGCAGAGCGCGCTGCAGAGCTGGAGGCTCAGGCCAAGGCCGCCGAAGAAAGGCTTGCCGACGCCCGCGCCAAAATCGTCGAGCTCGAGGCACACGCAGCAGCAGGCACAGAGGCCCTCGCCGATGCCGCCGAGAAGTTCCGCGCCAAGGCACAGCAGGCGCAGGGCGGCGACGAGGCCATCCGCCGCCTTGAGGCCGACGTGCGTGCTGCAGAGGCCGAGCGCGATGAGGCCCGTGCGGCCCTCGATAAGGCCCTCGACGAGGCCGCAGCTCTGGAGGCCGAGCACAAGAATCTGGAGGCCGAGCGAGATGCCCTCGCGGCTCAGCTGGCGGAGGCCCAGGACGCCCTGCAGACCGCCCGCGCCCAGCTCGCCGCCGCTGAGGACAGGGTCTCTGCCCTGACCGAAAACCTCGGAGCCATGAACGACGCCAAGGCCCAGGTCCACTATTTAGAAGAAGCAGCCAGAGATAAAGACACTTTAGCACAGCGTCAGGCAGACGAAATCGCTGAGCTTCGTCGCGAGCTCCAGGAAGCACACGACAAGATTGATGCACTTTCTCATCTCGAGCAGCAGGCTTCCGATTCGAAGGAGCGCACCCAAATGCTCGAAGATTATTTGTCAGAGCTCAAGAGCAAGCAGATAGATGCAGGGATGCAGGAAATGGAGCTTGGAACTCTTAGGAAGGAGCTGGAGCAAAAGCAGGGCGAGCTCGATGAGAAGACAGTGGCGCTTGACATGCTCCGGAATGAGGCAGAAAGACTTCGCGAGGAGGCAGACAACCGCGAGCGCGAGCTTCAACAACTACGTGCGCAAGACAATGAAGGCGCTGCAGAGCGCATCGTTCAACTCGAGGCCGAGCGAGATGACCTCCATGCCACCCTTGATGCAAAGGACAAGGAGATCGGCCAGCTGAGTGACGAACTTTCCCGAACAACGGCCAGTGTCGAGGCCGCCAGAACGCGGATTCAAGCCCTGGAGGACGAGGCAGCCGCAAGGGCAGAGCAAGCAGAAGAAAGCGCCGCCAAGACGGCACGGCTGCGCAACCGCGTCGACGAGCTGGAGAGTGCCCTTCAATCGCTGGGCCGCAAGGCCGAAGCGCGAGCAGAGGAGGTCCGGGACCGCGAGCGCCAGCTTACTGCCATGGACCTCAAAAGAAGCGCTACAGACGGCGCGCTCGAGGACGCCCAGAACAGGATCCGTCGCCTCGAAGACGAAAGCGCCGCCCTTACAGACAAGCTCGAGGCCCGCGAGAAGGCGCTTGCAGAGGCGATCGACGGGATTGCCGACCACGGCGACGCCGCGCAGCAGCTTCAGCAGGAGCTTGCAGCCCTCCGCCGCGACGCAGCCGAGAACGCAGCGGCGCTCCGTGAAGCGCGCGAGCAGGCCGCCGCCCACCAGGAAGACGCCCAGCTCAAGGCGGCCCAGCTCGAGGATCTCTCCGAGGAGCTGGCGCGCCTCCGCGAGCAGGCGGCCGAAGATGCCGTGCGTGCTCGCGACGCAGAGGCGCTTGCAGAGCGCGCTGCAGAGCTGGAGGCTCAGGCCAAGGCCGCCGAAGAAAGGCTTGCCGACGCCCGCGCCAAAATCGCCGAGCTCGAGGCACACGCAGCAGCAGGCACAGAGGCCCTCGCCGATGCCGCCGAGAAGTTCCGCGCCAAGGCACAGCAGGCGCAGGGCGGCGACGAGGCCATCCGCCGCCTTGAGGCCGACGTGCGTGCTGCAGAGGCCGAGCGCGATGAGGCCCGTGCGGCCCTCGATAAGGCCCTCGACGAGGCCGCAGCTCTGGAGGCCGAGCACAAGAATCTGGAGGCCGAGCGAGATGCCCTCGCGGCTCAGCTGGCGGAGGCCCAGGACGCCCTGCAGACCGCCCGCGCCCAGCTCGCCGCCGCTGAGGACAGGGTCTCTGCCCTGACCGAAAACCTCGGAGCCATGAACGACGCCAAGGCCCAGATCCGCGAGATGCAGGATACCATCCCAGATCTTCGACAAGCGATTCGCCAGCACCAAGAGGAGATCATCCAACTCCAGCAGACGCTTGTCGCGTCACAAACAAATACTGTTGTCCATACTTTTGAAACAGGGAAGGAGTTTTTGAATGGGCTTATTAAGTCAAGTGCAATACTTTCGTCTTTAGACTCAAAGATTGACTCTGCGGCATTAACTGAAGAGTTAGCCATTTTGAAACATGAGATAGACAGGCTTCAAAGCCTTGCCCATAAAGATCTCAAGCTTCATGATGAAACAGTATCGCAGTCTGTTGATAATCTTGTCCTTCTGCTTAATTCTCGCAATGCTGAAGTCGAACGGAAGATCTCTGAAATTTCTCGCCTCAAAGAAGAGATTGCAATATTAGAAGAGCGCATTCAAGCAAAGGATAATAAGATACTGGAATATAAGGACGCGCTGAACGAGCGCTTTGACTGGACCTACAACAGTGATCCCGGTGAGGAAACCCTCGCCCTACGCGACGAGGTACAAAAGCTTACCGATGATCTTCACTATACAGAAGATGAATTGGCCCGCGTGATAACTGCAGTCGGTCAACTTGAGCATGCACTGACTAAGCTTAGAGAGGCTAACATAGAGAAAAATAGTGAGCTTGTTAGATTGAGGAATATCCTTCATGAAAATAATATTAACTTCGCGTTAGATGCATCTATTTCAGATGCTCGCATCAATACATCTTTGCAACATTTGTCTGGATTGAAAAATGATCTCTATGCAAAGGCGAGAGAGGCAGAGCTTAGCCTTGATGGAAAAGATTCATACTTGACAAGTCCAGAAGCTGTCAGTCTCAAAGCGGAGCTCTCCATGCTCAAAAGAGAGCTTGCAGAAAAGGATTGCATTATTGCAGAACTTCAAAAAGCACAAAATGCTTGAAATATTAGCCCATATAAACTTTCAAATTTTGATCGTTTAAAATTAGAATGGATAAACAGCAGGTTCCCCCGTCATACGGACTATTCCTGCTGGGGAAAAAACAGAAAAGGCAGATGCAGGATAGCGTCAGTGAATTATCGCAGTCGAACGCTTCTTCTAAAGACTCTGAGGCCCCGGGGATTAGTTATCGGAACCCTGCTCTGACCCAGGGCGGAGACGCAAAGGCTCGAGGTTATCATGAAGAAAAACACAACAATCTTCTCAATGAGGTCCGTAGTCAGCTTAGTGACCTTAGGGATCTTCTCTCTTCATCAAAGGGCTCTGAGTTCCACGAAGCCAGTGCCGAGTCCTCAGATCTACGAATTACAGATGAACAGCTTGCGCAAATGGCACCAGGAGAACGAGCATTGTTCTTACAACGACTACCCGATTTGCAAAATGAGCTCTTTTCTGAAGGCATATCTTCCTCTATGTCCGTGGGGGATGCTGTAGATGGAGCCGTTCCTGGCAAGAGATTTCAGCCGCCGGCGCCGATTGCAAGACAAGCTATGCCGACTCCGACTACAACTGCTGCTGCAAAGACAGCCCAAGCAGATGCTCTGCCACTCCAAGCATCAAAAGGTGCGCCCCCTCGTGTAACCCGTTTACAGGCAGGGACGCCCAATCAAAGCCAGCTAGGAAAGGGTTATATGTCTTCAGCTTCAACCAGGACGCCTGCCAGCTCGAGCTTTGCAGCTGGAGATGATTCTAGACGCTCTGCAACTGAACAGCCACGAGTAGTCTCAATACAACGAGCAAACTTGGAGGTAGATAACACCGCAAGCATACCCCATGATATAGAAACTAGCGTCGAGTCTGACTTTTCAACGTCAGACATCACAGATGTCATAGAAGCAAATGTAGTCTTGCCACCGCGGCTTCCACAACTCGCACCGGCCATGAACCAGAGATCCACTTCAAGCAAGCGTGCAAAGACCCCTAGTGAACCGCGCACAGTAATTCAACGCGTCAAGCCAGAAATAGACGATATTGTTTTGCCTCCTCCCGAGTCTAACGCACCTTGCGACAGCGAAGTTGATCCTGATGAATATGATGCTACTTTGACTGTTCATAGGAGGCCTCAAAGCGCTGGAGGTGGATTAACTGGTAGCAATAAAGATAACTCTTATAATTCTGCGTATGCAAAGTCTTCTTTTCAGGCGCAGAATAGGCTTGATGACTCCGATCATTCTGACTTAAATATTCTTTCCTCTAACGCTACTTTACTATACACAAAGCAGCCACGGGCAGCTCCTAAGGGTACACCAGCAGCAATCTATAATAAAAATATGGCGGCACCACTCGGTCAGGACTATACCAATGAATCCTATGATAATGGAGTGACGTCGGAGGCAAATCACGGAACTGGTTTGCGTTCCAATGCTGGAAGAGGTGTGTTGAGATCACCACGTAATGAGCGACAAGCTAGTAGAACACGCAGCACGAGGCAGCAGAGTAATTCTAGCCCCGGCTCCTTTGATGATGACATTGTTAACAGTGTGCATGCAGCTGCAAGCAATTTTGTTAGACTACCGAAACAATCGAAGCAAGCGCTTACTTTGCCTGAGGATTCTGAACCGATGTTAGCAGATATTATGACAATCCCTGAAAGTACTGTGCTCTATAATCCAAGGCAGCATGCCTCTGCGTTCGGGAAACATTCGGCAGATGCAGGGGATCGGCCGTTTGCCGGGCGCAAACCTCGTGGCTCAATGCCCGGAGGGGTAGATGATGGGGCGTCATATGAACACTATGATGATGCATATGGACATACAAATGTTTTGTCTATACAACGTGAGCCGTTACTGAGGTCAAAGCCACAGAAGGATATCGGGAAAGATGTGAGCAATGCTTCGAAACATGCTAACACCAGTATGCCAGGCAGTAGCGGTTATTATGGCGAAGACATAAGTGTCGAAGATGATATTCAAGAAACAAAATTGTTTATTTCAGCTGCCGATGCGGGTCGCTCACGCTTGGTTTCTGACAAGTCCATTGGAGAAAAGAAGCATAAGCGACAGCACCAAGGACCAAATCATACTATTGTCACGCAACTGGCTCAATACGAAACGAAGTCGCGTGAACAGATGATGCAGTATGAGTCTGACGAGGATCACAGTTCGTCGGATCCCGAGGTGACTATTTCGAAGTTAGTGTATCCTAAACTTACTCCTGCAGAACAGGAGAAGCTGCGCCGTCTGGCGGAGGTGCGCTCAAAACAGCCAAAGGCTCACATCCCAGATGTGCATGTCTATGGTAGGCCTAAGGGCAACGAATTAGAGTTAGAGGATGTGGATCCTCTGAAGCAAAAGGATGCTGCACCTGCCACTGCTTCAACTACTAATGTCGATAGCTCTTATTTGTATTCTAATGTAACACCTTATTATCAATATAAACGGCAGTTGACAAAAAGTATTTCACAAGGCCTTATGAAGGCTAAGGATATGAAGAATAGTGTCAGCGACGATACGCCTGCGCAAGAAGTGACCCAATTTGTCAACAGCAAGTACGTGGAGATGGCACGTGCAGTTGGAATGACTGACCCAAGCCTTCTGCAAGGTGATGTTGCAAAGAGCTACGTTAAAGGCGCCCCATTAAGCAATGCACTTCATATTCGCTCAGATATGACCTTGGGCGATATAGCACGCTCTGGACGGAAATTTGTCGTAGCACGTAAAGAAGAAGCCACTCCAGCAGATCTGTCACGAGCTACAGCAACGGGGCGAGACGGATACGCCCAGAAGGATGACTCATCCGATAGTGAGCCGCAATATGAAGATATGACCATTCTCCCCGCAGCAGAACCGTACTACGGTCTTCCACAACCGGACTTTGAGTCGTTCAATCATTCAATACAGTCAATGCGGCAGTCTCTCCTTATGAGATCTAGTAACACACAATCAACTTCTCTGACAGAAAACCAATTGGATGATAGAATTACGCGAGCTAAGGAAGCCATCAGAGCGGCGGAGAGGCAAAATGGGCTTTCTCCCAGTGTATTGACCACTGGCTCCTTGTCTACCAACTGGGCGCAAGCCGCTTCTCCTACAACGTATATGCCCCAAGTTATCTCTCCTGCGGCACACCCGCGTGTTCGGCCTACATCTAGATCTCATCCCCCAATTCCTGAGCCACCACTTCCTGGCTCTCTTTCCGAAGGAGGGCAAATCTCGCAGGCTACTGTTCAGCGCATGAATACTATGTCCGACATGGTTATGCCAGATAGAACTACAAGCGCTAGTAGTACTAGTAGTGGAGCGAGTGGAACCCTTATGCAACAACTGCAGAAGTATGGTACGATTGATCCTAAAGTGGGAGTGCAGAGTGCATCAGGCATTCCGCGATCCAATAAGGCTCAGGTGACACCCAGAACGCCGGGAGCTGCTTCCCAAAATAGCCGCGGCTCTCGGCCTGGACAGCCTCAATCTTCCGGCCGCCCAGGATCTATGTCCGGTCCAAGGCCTAGTAAACGTATGTATTTACAGGCACCGACCCAGGACCCAGATAACGTGGTGGAGGCCGTTGCCCTAGCCGAATATATACTAGCACAGAGTCGGGTATCCATTGATGGATCTGATTGTCCAAATAATATGTTAGCCATTTTGTCTGATCTAGAGTTGCCCAGTAGTCAGCAATTGAGGAACCTAAAGGGTGTACTCAACACTGTTAGAGAACTGAATGTTTCATATGACTACAAACTAAATGCACCATTCCAGACGTGTTGCCAGCAATCTGTAGAAGTCAGCAGCCTATCAAGAGCCCCATTGAAACCTCCATCATCAGACTGCCCCTACTTGTATTGTACAACGAATTACCAGTTATGTAACGCTATCAACATTCCTGATGTAGCTAAAGATTATAGTGCAACAATTGATATGATTGCACACGATGCTCCCCCGGTGCATACTGCTCAGCACGACATTGTCCTTGGCTGTTCTTCTTTTCCAGCTGAACCAATACCAAACAGAAGTGGCTCGGTTATGAAGCTTGACCTTACTCTTCCTAGTATAAGCATCCAGTTACAACCGTCCGTTTTAGAGAACGAGGAAACATCTCTTACCAGCAGTAGCGACACCGATGTAGAGTTTGCTGCGCCGGAATACATGCTTAGATCCCAGATGTTAACTAGGACACCGTCTCATACTCTGATTGCTGATACCCGCACGTTGGAACTGGACCGTCTCTCCTGTGCGTTAAGAGAATGTCAGCCTTGTACACGACCGTTACTTTTAGAAACACAGGTTAACGCCATATGGAACTTTTCAAACGACGCCTTTTCTGACACATTGATAGATAACAGTGACAGCATTATTGAGGCATGGCCGGCTCCAACTTTCTTTCTTACAGATCTTAGAATTAAACACATGCAGGCTATCCCTGTTACAACACAACCAGAACGAAACAATCTTGGTAGCCTAACTCATAATAGAAGAAGCTCGCTTCAATACTACAAAAACGCACAACTTCTTCTTTACGGGTTTGTTCCGGATGAGTCAAGAGGAGTAAGCATTTTGCAAAGCTGGCAACAGAAAGTAGATCTTGCTAATTCTGCAACATCTTTGGTAGCACCGGACTTAACACAGGAGGAGGAAGATACAGTCAATCTTCGTAATTGTGAACAGCCCTCTATTGAAGGGGGGATTGATCACTTGGCACCTCAGACTTCTGTATCAAAAGATTCTTTCTTAGGAGATATCCGCCACCTACCTAATAGTTCACCAGTCCCAGATGTGCAGCTGGACAACCTCACATCCTCCTGTATACAATGTGAGCTCAGCGCCTCTAATGGTGAGAGTATTGATGTGGATATGCTCACTACTACTTCAGTGATGCACAATTTAGCTAAATCGACTGTTCGTCCAATTGTAGCTGACTCAAATGAAGTGGACATTTCACTAGTTGAGACATTACGGCCACCGATAGAGATTGAGACACAGCTCGCACATCCTTTTAGGCTACCTAGGGAACTGACACTGCAACAAGATACTCTAAGTAGTAGTTGCGCCAACTCACCAAGGGAAGAGATATGTGTGACTACTACAGAGATGCAAATACCACAAGTTGTAGACCAATCACATCGTAAGGAGTCTGCGAGTGAGCCCACCCTCACTATGCCGTTTGCCATCTCTACGATACCACTATACACTATGAATCCAGCAAAAACTGAAGCTACTAGGCACCTTTATGGTCATCCACACTGGCAATTTCCTGATGATTCTGTCGTCTTTCAGGCCCCTAAACAGTATGCCAATCGTGAGTTTGCAATTCAGAACAACATCAATCAATCTGATGATATCTTTGAGGCCAGCGTTGAGGCAGAGTTGACACTTAAGTATGTACAGCAAAGTTTGGACTCTGCTTGCTTGAATATGGTATCAGTACCCGCTGATCCTTATTTGCTCTTTCGACAACCCATAGCTACATGTACTGCAGCAAAGGAATATGTCTCTAAAGAAATCCATAGAACATGCACAGATGAAGCTATCACTGCAATACCCATTTACAGCATTAACAAAACAAGAGCACATATCATAAGAGTAACGTCTGGGCAGAGGGATTTAGTTACTGCTGGTGAGAAAAGCATAACCTACTTAACAAGAGCGATTGACGCAGAACTTATCAGGCATGATGATGACCAACAGTGCTTCGAGATAGATCTTCCATTTATTAGGAAAGCAAGATCAAACTTCTCTCATGGTGTAGTAGATAATTTACACTCAGATGTGATTGCTATGCATGATGTAATTGTTAAAGCACAGCCATCAAAGACTAATATTCATGAGCCAAGCGATAATAGCTATGGTCCTATTCATGCATTGTCAAAGCTGGAGGTTGTGCATGACAACTTCAACACCTGTAATCTAACAAGATCTAAATCAGCGTATGTAGAACTATCACGACACGTATGTACAAAGGAAGTAATCAACCCACGTATTGATTGTCCAAGGAGTCTAGATGGGATAAGCATACGAAGTTCATCAGTGAGCCGCAGCTATACTCATAATTCAGACTATCCTAACATAAGAATCACAAGATTGGGCAACAGAGACCCGAAACTCTGTGATTCTATTGCACCGGTAAGCACCTTGAATACCCAGAAATCCTACATGTTAAAGGCATTGAACGATGTGGATGAGACTTGTCTTGAAATTACTGTCCCGAAAAGAGCGTACCATAAAGATGCTACTCCACCTATCGAGCAGCATATGCTGAGCAACTATACTAGAATCATGAGTCAACCTACTATGAATCTTCCTAAAGAATCTAAGGGATCATCTCCTCAGGAAGGGCGTGCCATGCCTTTGTATACCTTAGAATGCCAAAATACTTCAATAGAGCAGTCAGTCACTCGTGCTACTTCTATCAATGATCAGCGCTCTAACAATCATGACTACACTACATCAATGTACAAAGATTGTATTGGGATCGAGGATTGCACTATAGAAAAAGAAAGTATTATGTTAAATCTTAGGACACGTTCAGAGCTAATACCACTAACGAATCGAGAGCCATCTGGGACACCTTATTCTGATCCAGTAGATGACGATGGCGTGCAATCATATGTACACGCTATCCAGCAAGATAATGTAATCTCTAGTGACTCCATCAAGCCACATACGAAACAGCCATTTGAAGACTTACATGAAGCGTCGTCAGATGCTCCGTTAGCGAAGCTTCACACGTGGATAGGCCCTGCTTTTAAGCTACCAACCAACACCCAGAAGAGCGGGGCATCTCTCACTGAGGCTTCGGCCAACAACTCCTATACAAGCTTTTTGTCAGTAGAAGGACCTTCTCTCCCACTACGCTTTGATTTCAGCAAACCAGACTACACTGTATCGATAGCCACTTTAGATGAAACATTGGAAAACACGCACACAGGTAAGGCTTCTACAATTCTGAAGTATACTAATTTCGACACTCCATCAACTATACCATCTACACTATTAGCTAATGAGATGACCTTTCAGACCCCAGAGGCAATGGCTGAAAGAGCTAGTACTAATCTTCTACTATATCCGCAACAAACTCTTCTATTAAGAGAACCTTTGACCGAACAGGAGCCTGGAGATGCTGGGTCAGTTATTAGAACCAATCTTCTCTCAAGTCCAATAGAATCAGAACCCCAACAACTATATCCACAATCCAACTTTTATATTAAGCAGACCACAGACCCTTTAAATGAATCGGTTATTGCACAAGAATGCAAAAAGACAGACTTTGTGCGTAGCTATGTAAAGATAAAGCCTATACATCAAGAGATTGTCGAAGATGAAGAGGTCGTTCCGCTATCTGTTGCTACACGGCACGGCAAGCAACATATAGCCAAAGCCTTTACAAGTATCGGACAAAATTCCAGACCAGTCTTATCCCAACCCTCAACCAGTGTGGGTACTGGTTCAGTACCTCTATCAGCATCGGTATCGTCTTCGGTTTCTGAGCTTCTTGGCCAGATCAATACCGCTATAGCCGTTTCTAAAGACACAATGGCGCGGACGGTTTCATCACAGGATAAGCCTCCTGTCTTTATAGTGGCTTCTTCAGAATCAGGCATAGAGCTTCCCACCATTCTAGAACACGGCCTGCCCCAGCCCTCAGTTGATGCAGAAAGAAATCAATCTATATCAGAGCCTAAAGATGTGAAGCAATCGATTTCTATTATACAATCAGAACGTCAAATAAACACAAAAACGGCCAAGACTACATCAATAGAACCAGTTGCTGTGCCAAACAGTGACGCAGCTTTGCCCCCTCCTTTTCCCCAATCATATAAGGCTGCCGTTATCGACCGTGCTATAGAGACACGTGGACCCTACCTATTAAAGAAAACCACAGCTGAGAAAAATACATTGGCCAAAGAGGTCGCATACAGCATACGGCGTCTTCCACCTAATACCTCTGAAGAACCCTCTTCTGGCTCCACGCACGTTATCCAAGAAGAACCTATTATTGATGCATCACCTTCTAGTGAGTTAAACAGTCTGCAACGTGATCCTAAGTATAGCCACTCTTCTAGGATGAGACCAATCACCAGTCATAGTAACAGTGCAGTTTGTCCTGACTTGGCAGCAAGTGTACCCAATGGTGACTGTCCTCCTAAGCGTACACATGGTTTACAACAAACGCCTGATACATGTCCAGAACATCTTTCCGCTATCTTACAGGCGTTACAGAGCCTTGTTGACATATCCAGGAACAATATGCTCTTTGCCCAGGCCTGTAACGACTCCCAGAAGCATGCTATTGATCCTCTATTGTGGCAGGAGTACGTTAAGCAGCTGGAATTCCTAACCACCTCAATCAAGTTGTCATCGGAGACGGTCTTAGACTTAAAGATAGCGTTTCAAACGCTAAACGATAAGCTTGTTGACCAATTAACTTCAGATATTAAGAGTGACCTTTTAGTCAGTGGCCAAGCAACCCCTGATATAACCTCCGCCACGAAGGATGACACCCCATCCCTACCATCTGTTGTACCTGCTTCGGAAGAACCTAGGAGTCCACTTACAGCGGGTGCAAAAGCGGAGCTGGACTATCAGTCTGCACCATCTGCACCACTGGACCGCCTAGAAGAACTGCAAAGGTTATACAGAGAGCTATCTGCAAGCAAGGACGTAATAGATAAGTACGCACACATACTCAACAGCCCAACTGGCTCCACTAACCCTGCCAGCCGTACCTCGAGTGTCTCAGCACCAAGCAATATTGACGAGCCATTCCAGTTTACTAGGCCCATCTCAGAGTCTGGTATGAACAAGCTTAATGACTATAAGCCTGCCTCTAGAGAAAGTTTAGAAGATGCCCCAAACCATCCTATGTGGCACGAGCCCGTGCAGAACATAGCACCTTTGAAAAATGCTACACCAAAGCCACAGAGCCTTTCCGCTCCTGTTCCTCTAAAGCCGAAAAGAGAAATCTGTTTACCAGTTATGAGTACCAATCTCATAGCAAAGATAAAAAGAGAAGCAAAGCGGAGGAAAGAGATATCAGAAGATGCATTAGTGCGCAGTCGCACTCTTGGTCCCTACCTACGCCAGATCACATACACAGAGAGCTCAATAGCAAACCACATAACATTTGCTGTCTTCAATGATATCATGGACTCGATCACCACTGAATGCGTTGAATCAATCAAGAAACTCATGGGGCTTAATTAGAACAGGGAGTCTTAGAAAAAAAATCCTCGTTGGAGCAGAAGTACTGCGCGAAGGATGTCCAGAAAGCGAAATGTTGAAGACATTATTCTATCTTCCCGTAATGATAAGCTACTTAAAAGCATCAGAAGCACACAGTTAAGGGATCAGAGCGTATCTGCCTCGGCTATCTCTTCCATGCGATATCTGGGAGGCTCTGACCGGTCGCAAAGAACTCTCAGCATAGCATCGCCTAGTACTAGCGTCCTAGATACTTTAGTGCAGAGGCTAGCAGAGTTTGAGCACACGCTCAATACTTTCAAAGAATCTCCTCCTGTCTCCGCTGCAATAACAAAAAGGATTGCAGGTGTTGAAACAACGCTTCATGATCGTACTCAGGAGCTGAAGCTTCAACTGATAGATATTGAAACACGGCTAAAAGATAATGTACAATCTTTTGCCACAAGGAAGGAGTACCTTGAGAAAATAGAAGAGCGCGTGGCAGAATCCTACAGAAAAGCAGATGGCCTCTCTAGGAACGAGGCCTTGCGGGACGACATTCTCCTTGCTCACGACAAATCTCTCACCTCTTTAATCACTAAAATTAACGATCTTTGCTTGTGGTCTGTGCACATCCACGGTACACAGGAGGAGCTGCAAAGGCGCCTAGCGCAGACAGACGCGGCTCTAGCTGGTCGTGAACCACTAGAGCATGCCATACAAAAGCTGGATCATCGGGTAGATAAGTTAGAGGCAGCCATAGCGTCCCTGTGCAAAGACTTTGCTTTTTACAAACAAGAGGTACAGCACGCACTGAAAGATATTCACAAGGCACTGAACCACAATCACACACAAAATGGAGCGTAATTTATATACTATGAGGTTAGTTATTGGTTATCTATCCTACAAATCAATCATCTGTGATTACTACCAGGTTGCTTATACCGCCCGAGCACTTTGGGCAACTGTGTAGATGGATCTTATTTTCCCTTACCCTATGTATAATAAGGTGATTGCAGGGCAAGCAAACGAACTTAACATAATGTGCATCGTCATCACTGCCATCACAAGGCACCGTGGCAGAGAGCGCAGATGCCCGAAGGCTTTCGGTCTCCTCTGGAGAATCCTTTGATTCTTTTGTAGGTGGCTGATAGGAATTTTCCAGACGACGCCGGAGCTCAAGGATGTCGTCGTCACGATCAGATAGTTGACGCGTTAGTGTCGCAACTTGAGTTTTCAACTTCTTCAGCTCTAACGACGCCCGCTTCTCATTTGTGTCGTTAGCACCTGATAAGGTTAGTACAGACATAGAAGAGTTTGCGTCCGATGACCGAGTTGCCCGCGGAGACTTTGATGTCTTTACCGGAGACCGTGCGCTCGAAATCCTTGCAGTCCCCGACCGAGACGAGATAGTCTGAGATCTAGGAGCTGTTCCGAAACGTGTACTATTACTGGTTGCTCGTAAACTTCCACTCTTTTCCCTATGTTCTCCCGATGTGAGCTTGAGCACAGCTCTCTGGAGCATAGAAATATCCTTCTTAGACGCCGTCATCTCTAGAGTACGTTGCGTCAGACACTCTCTCAGCTCCGCAATCAAGTCCTTCTGCTTCTGAATCTCATCTTTAAGATATGTTTGCTCTATTAGAATGGGTTCTATTGCTGCCTGTATTAGCTCATTGATGTACGCAATTCCTCCTGGAATAGTGATGACTGGATCGTCTGGCGATGGTGTATGTTTATTTTTGGTAACCGATGAACGCAGTGAAGCGGTTTGATCTTTGTTATGTACACTTCGTGCTGCAATGACATCCTTGGCAAAATCAATATTTGCCAGCAAGTGCTCGTTGTCTGCAACACTCAGTAGCGCAGCAGTAGAAGATACTGATGCGTCCAGAAGCCGCTTGACAAATTGCAAGAGATTCCCGGACACAAACTCTGACTGCAGTCCCTTCCTTGCTTCCTGAACAGTGCAGGGAGTATAGTACTGCAGCTGCTCGTCTCTACTCAAGGATATGCCCGTCAAGAGCTCATAGACTATGCATCCAAGGGCCTGAAGATCTGAAACATTCCACGACGACTGTACTGTGGAGCCGGGGCTTGTTGGCAGTATCACTGTGCTATCTTCCTGCAGGTTATCGAAGTCATCTTCAAAATCTGGGAGGAGCCGAAACGGGCCCAATTGTACAACTCCGTTAGTCGAAATATATATGTTCTCGGCATTTATTCCGCCATGAATGGGTGTTTTCCCACAAAATCCATTGATGTCAGTCTGATGGTAGAAATAAAGCCCATTGAACACCTGCGCAATGATACCCCATATAGCGTCGTCTGAAAGAGTAAGCTTTCTGCGACAAATCTGGTCTATCACGTCACAAAGGCATTTATTAATGTAAGGCTCCATAATAATTTGGATCTTTCTGGCATCTTCGTCTGCAAAGAACTCACGGTATGTCAAATGGTTAGCATGCTGGTGACCCATGAAGCTCATGAGCCGTGCCAGACAGAGTTCCTTATTGAAATGCTTTATATTCCCGTAATCGAGCTCCACACATAGGAATTTCTCACCAATGGATATATGCCTAACTAAGTATTCCGCTAGTGAAAATCCGCCTCGCAGAATACTGCACAGCTCATAGACATCAGAAAACGACGCCGCCCTGTGTTGCTCGCTGTCATTGGTATCCTCGTCGTGGAGAATGTGCGGCTCTAGCGTCATTATTTTTTAGGAAAAGAAATTCACTAATTTCCATATTAGTGGGTGCCAGACCCTTCTTCTAACAAAGCGATGATAGAAGCTCTATCCTCCGGGGAGACATGAGATGCAGAACTCTGAGCATAGAAAAGAGCATCGTAGTTCAGATTATTCTTATACTTTCGCTCGCTAGCAATTAGAAGCTTCACGCACTCGAGGTGTCCTTGATTTGCAGCCAGCATCAGTGCGGTTGAGCCCGGGCCAAGCTCTGTGTCGTTAATGAGCTGCATTCCAGCTTCCTGTGGAGCTAGCAACCACACTATGTCTGCAAACCCAGCTCGTGCAGCCCTCATCAGAGCCGTCCTTCCATCTGCATCCTTCGCCCCAGCTTGAGAAGCGAGCAAGCTAAATACCAGCACCACATCACCTAACTCTGCAGCCTTCATCAAAGCAGTTACCTCACGTGGATAGCCCGGCAATTGTTTAGGAAGTGTAGGTCCCTCATAATTAAGCAGGATCGATGCTGGACCTAGGTGTCGTGTCTGCAAAGCCAACTTAAGCGCGGTGGCTCCGTCGTTTCTCTTCATCATCGCTTCGTGGGGTGCTAATATCTCTACCGCCTCTTTATTGTCATATATTGCGGCTAGCATGAGGGCTGTTGTGCCGTCAAGCGCCGCCTTTCCTATGAAGCTAATAGTTTGTGAAACCGCACTGTTATTTCCGGCTATGATTGCTTTCATTAACGGCGTGTAACTATTGAGAATTTCACAACTTGCATATGCGACCCCAGCTTTGTTGGTGGTACGGACGGAAGAAGTCCGAAACGATGCTAAGTCGGCCCCAGTGACCCGCATGCTACGAATCAAATCAGTCGCACTTCCAGGAATTCCTTGGGCAACTGTGAGAGTATTAGATAGTGTATTACATCGCTGTGCATCCTGGGGAGTAATGATTTCATTGCTACCTGCAATAGCTGCGGAAATAGCACTGGCCGGGGTTACCTTAGGGGGGATAGCGCTTTGCAGACTGTCTCTACTTGACTTAAGCTCAGCCAATTCCTTTTCCAGACTATCTATTTTTCGTTTTGCCAAGGCATACTCAGTTTCTAGCATTGTTTTCTTTTCTTTGTCCCTTTGGTGCTGAGAAACGCAAAGCTCAACATCAGTTGTGGTTGGGAAGCCGCCTTCATACCCCATGGCCTCTGTGACCATCTGTAGTAGTCGCTTTGTTTCAGTAAGCTGCTGGTTGCACTCCTTAAGCTCTAGCCGTGCATTGTCTCTATCACAGCGCATGGTGACCCTATCATTTGAGGAAAGATCATTTGACATCTGAAGAATAGTGTCATCGCGCTGTTGTATAAGCTCCAATGCACTTTCATAATTAGCCTTAAGCTCTGTGTATAGCTTGATCTGTGCATCTAGTTTTGAACTCATCTCCGCCTGTATTGCTTGAGAGTTGTAATCACGCTGAGCTGTCAACTGTTGAATGGTATTTTGCAGGACAAGCTGATCGGCGTTCTTTTGATTCAGCTCAGCGAAAGCAGCCGTCAGCTGCTGGTGCTGTGCAGTTAAAGCGTTAGAGAGAATCATGTTGTTTGCAGCCAATTCCTGGACTTGGTTAGCTGTAAGGTTAGTCTCAGCCTTGGCAGAAAGCTTGTTATTCAGATCTGCCTGAAGGGCGTTCCTCTCCTCCGTTAAGGCTTGTATGCGAGATAGCGCACGAGTCAAGTCATCCTCAAGCTCAGCGACATAGCTCTTGTCCACAGAGTCATCATCAGAACAAGGATACCCGGTATCACAACCCAGAGTAGATTCAAACAGCCCCGAAGCTTGAGGTGTGGTCGAGGCTTCCTTGAACTGAGGCTTATTCTCTTCCTGAGACGCTTGACTTTGCATAGCACTGATCTTTTCACGCAACTTTCTAACTTCTTGCTTGTGTGTTTTATTCTGAGCATTAGCAATAGAGATCTGATTATCCAATTCTATTCTTAAAGCCATGTTCTCCTTAGTTAATTCATCCACCAAATCATGGTCGAGACGAGATGCAGGGGCACTCTCACCAACGCTGTCACGAGTCCTAGATGCATCCCTGATTGACAAAACTGATCTAAGAGAGTTAATCTTGTCTTCCTGTATAGCAGTCTTGGCTCTGAGCTGCTTTGTCTCTAATTCAGATGGCGCTTGCTCAACCAAGCTCCTCAAGCGTTGTACCTCTGCTTCCGAATCTCGCAACATTGCGTGTAACCTAATTTTTTCAGAGTTAGCTGCAATGAACTCTTCTTTATAGCTCCGCTTGTCTCCACCAACAGCATACCCAGAGGGGTCAAATGATATAGCAATTTTAGCATACTTGACGGCCTCAGATCTGGGCGCGTTACCTTTTCTAATAAACTCCTGAACCAGGGAGTCCTCAACCTCACTGGGAGTGAGGCGCGTGGACCTTCGCGTCGACGCCTGGAGCGTTGACTCGGTCATTGACCCATGACATCTATCAGACGCATCCATCTTACTGGGTGGAGAAGAACTGTATGAGAGCCCTGGGTCATCAGACATGGTTTTAGAGCTAATGACAATTAATCCTTGTGACTGCGCTGCAATGAACTTAAGATCTGCACGCAACCTCGAGCTGATCTGGGTGATTAGAGTCAGTTCCTCATTGAGCCGACTATAGTAGCGCTTAAGATCGTGGTTACTGCATTGCTCTAACTGTTCAGAGAGTAAAGAGGTGCGTTGATCGGCAAGTTGTGAGTACGCAGTGCAAAGATCTGCGCCACGTTCTAAGAGGTCGCCTATCGCCTGAGTGCTGTTCTCCGGCAGAGGCACATTCGCTATTTGCGGGGGAGATGATTCAGCAACAGTCTGCTTAGACAGTTGAGACTTACCCCTTTTGGCTGGACGCATCGGATTTTTTCCAATTAATTAAGTGCAAATTTGTAATTGGGTGTCCGCCTCCATACAATCAACTTAAAATATTGTAATATTGCTACCTTCGGCAACCTCTATGCTACTAACGCTTGGTTGTCCTTAATAGAAACATGCGCCATGTATAGTGAGTCGTCTCTGAGTCATTTTTCAACGAGTAAACAGAAGTTTCAGTAAATATTGGGCCCACACAGTCTCGTTGAGCAAATAACTAGGACACATTGCTATCAGAGCTACAGGCACCTAATTTCGGTGACAACTTAGGTTCTCTTTAAAAAAATCGGCCGATAGCTTTATGTTACCCAGCCTCCTCTTTGCTAGCCAACGACACAGCTTCAATGCTCTCTCCTTACGAAATATGCAGGCATTCTCTTTGCCCATCAGCTCTCAATCTCCTCAAGTCGGTACGATTTTAATACTGACTGCCATAGAACTAGGTATTGACATTCCAATCACTGTTAACACTATATATGAGGCTGATATTGATATTCTGAACCTTCCGGTGGATCAAATAGCCGAGCAGACGTCTGTTTCGTTTCGCCGCCTTTACACAAGCCTTCTCTCCATACAGAGGCAGAACGTGGTTAAGTTTATAGTTCGACCGACGCTGCGTAGTCTTCGTCTCAGTACTAGCAGTCACGTTTCGTCGTCACAGAGAACCATCTTACATTACATATGCCACGGGTTAGACTCGCAATCGACCGTAGGCTCTATTCTGTTATATGATGACGGTCCAGACACTGCTACTATCAGACAAAAGAAAATTCAGTTAGTATCAATCGACGATGTGCTTCGTATTGTCGGAGATCATGCACTTCTGGTCTTGGATTGCAATTATGCCGGATCCATAATTAACACCATTAGAAAATTAGATATACTAGACAATGACAACATCTTAGTGATTGGGGCAACAAGCAGTAATGAGCGTTTGCCCCTCTGGCTGAGTTCACTAAACTGCTATCCAGCGGACGTTTTTACACAATGCCTACTGAACCCCGTTAAGATGTATATTTTCTCATACATACGAAAGATATATATGTTTACTTCGTCCCCGTGCACATATGAACAATGCGAATCTGTTTATACATATCTTCAGGAATCCGGTAAACGGGACTTCCTTAACAACATAAATAAAATATTGAAGCTCCTCTGTGAAGCAATTGCATGGAGCTCACTTCCCCGTGATACATTTAATATGATATACAGACAGGATAAGTGTGTCAGTACACTTTACACTGGGTTTATCCTCGCCCAGCGCATCATGAAGGATCTGCGAATAACGGCTCAATCTCTCCCTTCCTTACCTGATACAACCGCTCATCGATTCTGGGACGTCTTTGACACCATTTTTAACGCTAACTTATCGAGTGTCTATACAAGTAATGCAAAGCTAATGAACTTGGGTGTATTAACGTTCTACTTCGAGCAGCAAACAGTCAAGGATGCGAAGAAAAGGTCTCTAGCTAGACAGGACTCACAAGCGTCATCAGTTCTAACGATAAAGTCTCTAGAAAAGTACAGAGCACAGATCTCAGCCAAGCTAGGGGTCAATGAGAGTCTCGACCAAAGCTCAGTGGCAAGTACCAAGCTGAACCTCCGTGGGCACTCTAAGACCTCGTCTATTTCGTCAACAGCCAATCAATCATTCATTAAGAAGAGAGCAATGGACCCAACATCCAACTTGATGGTGTCGTTCCTGCAGGACCAGCTGCGGACCTTTGAGCTCTGGCTCCTGGACGCACATCCATCAACTGAAATTCCTGATGTTTTGCCATTTGTAATAATTAGTATTAAGATACAGCAACTGCGTAGCAAGGCTTTGGACCTGATTGTGCACTTTATCGACATGGGTCCATGGTGCCTTCGGGCCACCTTAGAATTACGATTGCTCCAGATAGTTTTGCATGGCGTTCACACGTTTCAGGAGTGCGAATCTGACCAGTTCCGTTGCATTCTGATAGTTTGTAAGATTGTAACAGCGAATTATTCTACAATACCACTTATTATTAACATCGCGAAAAGGCGTAGTGGAAGTGGGGTGGCAGCCAACAAAGGGAACATCGAGGACGTTCTTTGCAACCTTTTATTGCAGAGTACAACATCTACCGACATGAGGATCTTATGCCTGATAATCTTGACCTGTCTCACAACTGACCAAGCTGTTCTCGAGGCGCGTCTTCGTCACACATCAGCAGTCACCACTTCATTAAGCACACGTGAGACTCCTTCTGCAGAATCGCGTTCCAAAGTGCCATTACACACCGGACTCAACTCCAATGTGACAGCTGTTTGTAAGGCCAGCTCTGCAACCCTAACAAACGGGTTTGGCTTTTATATGCCACAGAATACTCAAGGGGACGATCCTCGCATCATTTCTGAGTGTTGCACAATAATGCGCGAAAGTTTAATGCAGAAGAATATGCTCGAGGCACTTGCTATTCTAGTCCATTCGGCATCAGAACACATTAAGCTTTGGAGTCTTCTTCTGCTCTCAGAACTTATGCACAACCTGACGACAACAGTCACAGATACTAGAAAGCTACGATCAAACAGACTATCAAGCCCCTCCCTTCATACCTACACTAAAACAATCCCTACTTCAAATAGCATGGTGATTGCGACTAGCTCATCAAACCTTCTTAGCTCGTCAACAAAGCTGTTCTCTTTGACATTTGTGCCGGATCAAGTAGAGGAAGCTGTAGAGCCATTGCTCACTGCTGACGAATTGATATCATCTGCACATGATAACTTCAAGCAGCCAGAATCCGTAGTTGCTTATGGAAGTAACTATGGGAAGATCCGCGATATCTATGGCATCCTTATGAAGCTCTTTGAGCCATCCATGACAGCAGAAATACGTGCAGCCGCTATCTCTGTTGTCACCTCGTCTCTACCTGTTGTGGATTTGATTTCAATCATTGCCTGTCATCGGGTTGTTGATGTATTTTATCCGGGCGACTCGGAGTCAGAAACTTGGAACGAAAGCTTTTTGGCAGGGTCTGATAAGAGCATCAACTTGAATCCCCCAGATATTATACTCAATATTTCTAAGCTCTGCATATATGACGTAAGTCCTTTAGTCAGACATGAAGCCCTATGCTGCATTGCGCGTGTTATCCCCCTGTACTTTCAAAGTTTCCTTGCTCTAGCAACAAGTGACTTAATAGTGGCATATGATATGTATTCTAACGCATATGTGAAGATATTTAACGGATTCCAGACTCATCAAGTCAACCCTATTATTCACACTACATATAGCACACTTAAGCAAGCAATGTATGATCCTGTGTCGATTATCTCCATTAGAGCACGGCATCTCTTTGATGGAGTGTCGTCTCTCGCTCTGTGCTTGTTATTGCAAACAACGCCGATGACAAATGACTTCTTCCACATCAATTGCAAGGATTACCTTGAAAAAAGATTTTCTGCTAATAGGCTTAGTACAGAGGCTGAGATATTAAACGCTGTTAGGGAAGTATTTAATGATAGGAGCATGCAGCGAGTTAGGCTAATTATACAGAAGCTCAGTCTTGTTCGCAATCTCTCAGAGAAACAGATCAAACATATCCTAGCCGCAGCTCTGCGCTCTTCCTCAGCGTGTTATAACCACTTGGAGTCATCACCTCTAACTAGCGTTAAGATTAATGGAGTCTGCATAGATACTGCTGCAATCACCTTGAAAACAACCGAAGCACAAGGTCTGTCTATGAGCCAATTTTCCAAGAACCCTGGAACCTCTCAATCTGCAAAATCATATCCGGCAGGAACGACGGAAAGCGCTGAAACGTCTGAGAATTCCTTTGTAACGACTTCTATAAAACAACGGAAAGCATTCAATTTTGATAGCAACTCAGATCAATCTGACATTTCTATAAGTGACATTAATAATACATTAGTTGCTACTGAGCCAGAATCAAAGGACACATCAGATGTAACCGAGTGTAATATGCACGAATTGGAGTTTTTCAAAGAGAAGTTCTTATTACTACAACAGCTAGATGCCGTGTGGCTAGAGCTGGCAATCCGCATTTGCATGCCTCAGATAGTGGCGTCGATTTACAATTGTGCATCTGTTATTCTTACTCTCTCCAGAAACAGCATTCGTTTTCCCTCTATATGTTTTAACATAGAGGCTGCTGCTTCTGTCGCGGCGCAGAAAGTTCACCGGTCAATGAAGATGTGTCCTGTACATTCACTCCTATCCATCAATGATCGTGGAGCCAGCTATTATAGAATGCACGATGCATGCTGTCCTTGTGGGCGATCTGCCCTTGCCAGCCTGCCATTTTTCTTGCGGGATTATGTCATCTCTCCGTCAAGTACAAAGTGTCTGGACTTTAACCCACAGGTTTCTCTATCTCTACTATCTCTTGATAAGGTTAAGGACCTTGCAGGATCGCCTAGGCTATCTATTGGGCAATGTAGCAGTAGTAGTCGTTCAGAAATGATTTCCTCGACATCGATACACTATCAGCATTCTGTATCCGTTATGCTGGATCCTCTGCAATTTAATTCTATGAATATGGAAGAAAGGATTATCAGAAAGGAACGCATTTTCAATAGCACTGAGAATATCTCTTCACCTGCCGCAATATCTCAAGAGAAAGACGCCGTTCAGAGCCCGTGGCCATCCCTGTTTGATCTTGAAGTAAGAAAACTCTCAGAATTCGACCATGCTCGTTTACGCTCTTACTTTCACTTTGTTCTCACCTATCTTAAAAGCTGCAGCAAGAGAAAGACTACTCTGAAGCCAGAAGCGCCCGAAACGCAATCTACGCCACAACTAGAAACTATGCTGGTAACAGAGGTTCTTCCTCCAGGAGTACCACCAAGAGAATACTCTGTTCTCCACGCGAGCATTCATGGAGTATCATTCAGCTCTTACATGCCAAGCATTTGTGAAGGATACCTATGCGCTGTGAAAACAAACCGTAGCGATATACGGCGTCTTTCTCCGTCCACGCCCGTAGTATTTACTGGAAGTGGACTTGGACCCACAGTTTCACGAGAACAGGAGCATCTCAATACCTTAAGCAGTGATAAGTCGAATGTGTTTTCACTGATGTCACAACGCCGAAAAAATACCAGTTATCTGGGAAATGACATCGCATCCTTTTCTAAAATCCAAACGCTGAGAGACCATGACCTTTTAAAAAGTGAAAAATATTCTTCTTGGGATAATAAAAAAGGCAATCTTTTTGTCCGTCCCATACAACTTTTTGAGGAATTGGCAAAGAGCACCGGCAAGGCTGACTTCAATGACTTGCAACACCAGGTGGACAAATTTGAACGCATGCATGTGATAGACCACTATTGCCATTTCTGTCGCAATGCAGCGATGGCTAGTCCTCTCCTCACATACTGTATGGACGCTATGCGCATATGGAGCAGGAGCAACCTCCAGTTTCCTACCAGCTCCTCTAGATTTACTATTACAAGGTTTACTATTACAAGGGATGTTAATCCTCTGGGAGTACGAATTATGCAGGATAACGAAAAGGTCAACAGAGCAGATAGGAGCTCAACTAGTACATCACCAGCGAAAAGAAACATCAAGGAATTGAAAAGCAAATCCTCTGGCTCACCCTTGAAAACCGCATCTACCAGTGCCACTTTGCCTTCACACGACTTTGTTCGGTTCAAATTGCAAACGGCTGCATCACCATTCCCATATCTTGAATCGTTGGCGTATTGTGAGATATCGCAGGCATACTTTGGAGACGAACTAATAGTTCCTATGGAGGAGATTTATTTTGGTTACCTCGTTCCATACGTATGTTCTCTCGCTCTACACGCCTTGTTCTTTGATTTCTCAAACTACCTTATGATATCTCTTAATAGCATAGAGCAATCTCCTATTCTACGTTACACCCAACAAAATAGGACATCGCTTTTTACAACTGATAACAACTCTTCACTTATATGGACTAGGAACAACTTTCTAATGGAGATGCATAATAGAATCACTGCTACAATCAATGATATTGACTATGATCGGTTATCTGAGAGTCTAAGCAAGGTTCGATTCTTAAAGCTATCTGACAACCAGATAGGGATGAAATCAGCTCTTCTATCTCAGAAGTCAATTAGCTCCAACATTCAGCCATTAACAATAAACAGTGATGGCTCCTTTCAGATACTTCCAAAGTCCTCGCCCAACAGTCAAAGCAATGCACAGGAACTAAAGCCCGGAGAAGGAGCAGACAACACCATTATAAAGTTGGCCACAGAGTCTGTCCCGGAGGGGTTATTTGTAATGGAGATGCTTCCAAAAGTTGATTCTGCGCACAGCATAGGCAGCGAAACTATTCCAATGATTAGTTTGAGGCAGATAAATGCTCCCTCTCAGGCAACCTCGCGAACGAGTTTCCCAGATGCGGAAAGCAATAACAGCTGCACTGCTATGACTGAAGTTGATCTTCTAAGACAACTTCACACAATGTATCCCGAGCAAAGAGATCACCTTAGCTCTAGATTTGCTCCTGTGAAGAAGGCACGTGAAGTACGTGACGTTCTAAAGAGGCGAGTAGGTGATAACGGGGCGTTCTATTTCGCAGAATACAAATCCAGTGGAGGGGCACGCTGCTCAGAAAAGTCAGCCCTATTGTTAAAAAAGGTCAACTCTATTTCTCATTGCACTGGCGCAATTAAAAGTGCTGTATTTCATCGAAATGAGACGATTCTGCTTACGAATAACGGATCTACCTGTTGCGTTTGGAACACCACGACCGGAGAGCTCTTGAATAAGCTACCACTTGATCTAATATTGGACGTCCAGCCTACGTCTTGGCCCGGCGGGGGGATAATATCAGGCCACCTGCATACCCCAATGCTTGCTTTCCCACAAGGTCCGCAAGCGTATAATATGATGAACTGGGCGACGGATAATTGCACAGCCCTTGAGCCAATTATCTTAGCTAATATGCTCGAAGCAGATGCAGCATCTCTTGAGTGTCCCCACTGCTGCATTCTCAATACATCAAGGTCGTTAGACTATAGTGTCCTGAAAAGCTTCTCTTCACAACTGCTGAAGATTTTATACAAGCAAGGCTCTGCTTCGGCAAGAGACTTTGATCCGAAGCTACTAAGAAAGCTTTTCCCAGACATGGACGATGACGAAGAGGCTGTGCCACTGGAGAATAAGACTAGCGCATACTCTAAGATGACCGAGCTCATCAGAGAGCAAAGAAGCCCATATTCTATGGAAAATAGATCTGCTTGGCTTGGAGACATAGTCCTTCTGAACCAGCATACTCCTCATAGCGTGGTGGCTATTGCTGCAGCAGATTGTACCGTTAGAATTCTTACAAACTATCATGACACGTCTCTTTGCAGACACACGTCCGCGTTCAACGTAGGAACACCTTCTTCAGAGCCACTATACTCGTCTACAAGGCTGCAAAAGTGTCCATATGCAATAGCCGAGTTTTATAGACATAAGTTCAATGCAGACATGAGCTCTCCTGATATTGTTCTTAATCATCATAAGAAGCAATACATTATCGCCCGTAGCAAGATATGCAACGCGTTATTCCATGAAAAGAAGAAGCCAGACGAACCTGGATCTGCCAGGCGAGTTGGTGAGTGGACATACACCCCCGTGCTGCCCAATAACATCCCCATCCTTAGAGGACATTCAGACCTTCTAGAGATGCACACCACAGCACCACACATTGTGACTGCCATTCGGGGCGGGACAGAGGTCAGCTACATAGATCTCATGCACGAGTCCAAGTACCTGACACTTAGGCCTGCCCACCTTGTCGATAATGTAGTACCTTTGTGCTCAGGCATATTGAGCTGTGGAGTGCTGACATATGGATCTAAAGAATACTCCATATTTGATGCCAGAAGCAATAATTCAGTTATGACCGGTAAGGTCCCGGAGGTCATCAATGGTGGTGCATTGTATGACAATACCCTTTTCTTGTCAACGGCATCTGGCAGACTCTTGTCCAAGGACACTGCCACCGATACTGTACTGAAGCAGTACTCTATACCCAGCTCCAGGACAGTTAACTTTCACAATACTGGGCTATTTTCGTGCGTAGAAGATACGCCCTTGAGCCCTGGTAACACAGAATCAGCGAATATTCTCACGTATAACATCACTTTTGGACATGTTTCAGGAGTGTGTCTAGGTGAAATGTCATACAAAGCGCCCATACAGACAGAACCTCAGTGCATTGCATTCCACCCGCGAGCCCCATTGATCGCTATTCCAGAGCTTTCTCGGATTTCTCTATGGTCCCTGTAGCATAAGACGCCTTACGTGGCTCTGCGTAATGGCTAAAAGCGTTTATATGAAGAACTGACTCTGTATGCTCGCCATATTTATGCCAGTGAATGGCTATATCCGTTGAATGAGCTAATCGTTTGCAGGACATAATCTCCGCACGTTTCTTCTCTGATTTTGGTGATTCTGTGTTCTTTGAGAGACTGTGCTCTAGGTATCTTCTATTGCAAAATGCAAATGTCGGAGACAATACTGTACTGGTTGGCAGATATCCTTTTCGATACGTTCGGGGTTGTGCTAATTTTTTGAAGGCTCTCTGATTGACAGTTGACCGCTCTGGTGAAGGTGGATTTATGTTGACGACTGTAGGTGTAGTGCTTTGCCTTGGGAGTTCATTAATCCGGATTTGTTCTTTAGTTTGTTTCTCGATTTGCTCTATGAATTCAGACGTCACAATGTCAGTATACGTATCAGAAAACGAACTCCAGCAATCCTCGTACTTAGTGGTTTTTTGCTCTGGCAATCGAATTGTTGCAAAGGATTTGTTGCTCCAGTCGACAGTTTGCTTATCTACACAACGGGCTTTCTCCTCTGCTTGTTGCCTGCCCTCACGTACCTGGGTGGACAGAGTTTGGCGCCTATGCTGCTTAACTGGTTCTATCACAAGCTCCATAAAATTTTAGTAAAGAGATAGGGATGTTTCAATCACCTTCCGAGGCAGCGTGGTTCCACGCTGTTGCGCAAGGAGACCAAGAAACCGTACGCTCTCTTGTTGAAAGCTTTAAAGGATACGTTAACATTGATGGAGATACTGCTCTCATTCAGGCGTGTCGCGCTGGGAACTTAAAAATGGCCCACATACTAATCCCGTATGAGGCTGGACTAGTTAGTACATCTGGTTACACGGCTCTCATGGTCGCTGCTCTTTCCAACAATCCGGGCCTGTGTGAGGTTTTGGCGCCCCTGGAGAAGGACATCACTCTCGACGATGGTAGAGACTCGTACATGCTAGCAGCACAAGTTGGAGCCGCAGCGGCGCTTCTGATGATGACGAAGAACTTTAAGTTGCGACAGGATAAGGCGCGGCTCAACGCCCTGGACTATGCTGTTAATTCGGGTCATCTAGACTGCGTCAATATTATACTGTCCTCACAGCGAATATCTAACATCGAGCTCAAATATGCTATTAACGTGGCCTCAGAGAATAGATTTTTAGAGATTGAACGTGCCCTGGTTTCTTTTAAAAATAATGCACGCCGCACATCTAACGTACACGCATTTGTTCCATCTAAACACCGTCCGTCCACAACTCAACCTCAGACCAAAACCTCTGTTTATGCCGCTGAGTCATCTCCGAGTCCCATGCGGACTCCTCAGCAAAACCCTCTAACAGCTTCCCAGATGACTACGTCGTATGTCGGGTCAGTAACCTCCTCTGTCACCGACTTCAACGACAGGCATGGACAGACAGTGAGCATGCTAAGGCACAAGATCACAGAGCTCACCAACTCTATGCAGATTAAAGAAAATGAGATAATAACATTGCAGATGGAGAATCTAAAGCTCCAGCAGGCAAACTATCCTTATTGTTTGCCCACAACAGAGCCCGCTGCTACTGCCACGGCCACATCACCAATTGGGTTTGGTACGTCTCCAGCCATTGGCAATTACGCTTTATCGTGTCTAGATAATGAATCAGCAATGGCCGAGTTAACGGAAAGGATCAGACATCTGGAAGATGCGTATGCACTATCCGTTCAGGAAAACATGAATCTCCAACACATGTTGCAAATGGCACAAACCGGACAGAAGCATCTATCTGATGAGCCCTATATTCAAGAAGAGAATCAGAAGAACACGGATATTTTAGTATATGAGGATTTAGAGTTTTTGCGGCCTTCGAGCGCTAAGAAGCCTCGGCGTCGGTCCAAGTCGGTCACCGCCATGCTAAAGGACAAGTCCAGACCGAGAACACCTCCGATGTGCGGGCCAAAAAGAAGCACCGCAGATCCCTCGGAAAATGTATTTAGTAGACAAAACAGGAAGTATTTGGGTGATTTGCAAGACGCTCCTATCTCTTGCTCCATAGTTACTACGGAAGAGTTCGACAAGATAATAGACGAGAAGAACAATACTATCGCCATGCTTCAGGAGCTTATCTCCGAATATCAGTCTCGAGGAGTTAGCGACCTACAGGCCACAGTAGGATATCAAGAAATGAAGGCAGAGTCCAGTGTCAAGAGTCGCAATTCAAACAGACTGAGCACGTCCTCGCTCTTTGGGCGTGGTAAATCTGTGCGCAAGGATGCTACCACTCGGTCATCTTCTAGCTTTGATGCATACCGCAAGAACACAATCATCCAACTTGCTGAGCGTGACAAAGAGATACATCTTCTCAGAGAACAGCTGGCTAGAGTTGAAACGGATGGCACGATCACCCCAAAGACCCTCGAAACTAACAAGGAAGAGCTTATGAACAAAGTAATTGCGGAACAGGCCGCCAAAATTAACGAGCTTCAGGAGCTCTTGGATGCAACAGAACTACACAGGGTGCAGATGCCTGTTCCTGCTGCAATAGATTCACTGACCGATAAAATAAAGGCCTTAGAACATGAGGTGGAGGATCTACTGAAGGAGAACGAGACGCTTAAGAAGGAGCTTAGCGAAAGGCCGCAACATGACGACTCAAAGCTTTGTAAGATTCTTGCCAATTCTAGGGTAGGAGTAAAGGGCCTGTCAGAAAGCCTGTGTGCTTCTACTATGGAAGACGTTGTGGATACCATCTCCTCTACACGTGAGTTAATCTCACTACTTGCTGATAAAGACGCAGAAATAGAGCGGCTCCGTGAGGTGATAAACTCTATGCCTGACTTAGATCCAGGCAATCTTGATCATTCACAAACGTCACCAAAACAGATACAATTGTTGCTTGACGAACTGGAGACTAAGACCCAAGAGTTAGACGATCTAAAAGCAAGCATGGGTAGTATGGGCAACACCATGACAAACTCGAAGAGAAGTCTCTCGCTGGGGAGATTGAAGAAAAAGGATCGTAGTAGAGCAGCGACCCCTGTTGCTTCAAGCAAGCGCATTCCTCAAGATCTTGCAGATGAAAATGTTCGGCTAACCAACGAGGTCCTGCTTCTGGCAGAGCGAGTTCGTGGTCTAGAAGCAGACAACGATCGGTTAGAAAAGTTGACGCGAGAGTCGAACAAATGTACTTCGCCCCCGTTATATGATGACGCTACTAATATGAAAAAGCTACTAGAGCAATTGAAGGCAACGAATGAACGGCTGGTCGCTGAAAATACTCACCTCAAGGAGCGCCTGCAGAGGTCCGCCACTAAAAATGCAGATCAGGAATGCCTTGCTTTTGTGTTCAATGATATGAAAGAAGACTCTCCAGTACTATGCGATGTTGTTGCCAGAATCGCTACACCGCCAGCCTCAGTTGTACTAGATGCTCATGACAGTGCATATGCAGATGATGGGCAGAGCTCCACAGCTAGACTGAACGCAATTTTAGGGGTCCAGATTGGTGCTGGTGGAGTTTCTCTTCCACAGCAAGCGTCCTTGGATATGCTTCAAACTAAGGACGCTACTATCACATCATTGCAAGCAGAACTACTGGAGAAAAATGAAGAAATAGATCGTTTGAAGTATATTATCAGCGCATACTCAGTTAACATAGCACAAGAACAACCAGCAGTTCTCAATGGCAGCCCCAATCTCGATGGAGAAAGTGAAGTCATTAAACTTACCGATAGTCGAAGCACTAGGTCTAGCAAGAAAAGTGTGTCCAGGGCAACTACCCCGTCGAGTATGGTTCATTCCACGACCAGCTTAGCCAAAAGCCGAGCTGCGTTTGGCAGGTGTCGGTCCACATCTCTTCAAAACTCTCAATTTCATCAAGGCAATCTGATCAACACGGAACAGGCAGAAATCGACGCTTTGAAACTTGCCATTCAAGAAAGGGATGAGGAGATTCTCCGTCTTAGATCCCTAAGAGAGGAGCAACTGTCTCTCGCTTTGCCAGCTTCCGACGCCACCAATGAACTTACCGCCCAGAAAGAGAAGGTCAGGCTACTGACGCTCGCTGCCAACGAACAAGAATTGGAAATAGATAAGCTCAAGGCCGAAATCAGACGTTTAACAGCAGATAACAGTGCTCTACTTAAAGAAGTACAAACATATGGTGACGACATGGATATTCTTCGGGAAACGCAAGAGAAGCTCAGAACAATTGAGAGCACAATGGAAACTCGTGATAACTCTATCGCGGAAGTAGAAGGCAGACTTAGAGTCCTTACGTCAGAGAATGACAAACTAAGAACCGTTGGCGAGCAACGTGAGGCACAACTACAGGCAACACAGCTACTACTAGCTCAAGCCTCTAGCCGCGAATACTCTCAAATATTAGCCAAAAAGGACGACGAGATTGAGAGGCTTATAACTCTGTTAGAAAATATTAATACTAACACCGTGCAGCGTGAGTCAACAGCCAATACCATTAGTGCTATAGCCCCTGTATCCACGCATGTGGTAGATGCATCTGTGTCCATAGACCTTCTGGTTGAACCTCTCCAAGACCCTCCTGGCTTCCTCTCATACGAAGTTGCAGCTCATGAGGTCTCCAAAAGGCTTGCAGAGTACACTGTTGAGAAGATTTCTGGCATCTATGACATGTTGGATAATGTAGTTCAGGAGTATGTTGCTCGTGAGGAGGCATTGGCCATGCAAGTAGTATCGCTGCAGAAGGCCCTTGAGGCTGAAACACAGGATGGTATGGTCTCGCGTCTTCCGGATCCAGTGTGCTATGATATATATGATGAACTAGAACGTGACCTTCGTGCCGAGCTGGCCCAGACAAAGGAAGCCCTTGCCAAGGCGACTGATCTTTTAGAGGAGAGAGAGGAAGCACTTGAACGTACGGATCGTCCTAAGAGCTCAATTAGATACCCTCCTCCTCCTTCTTCTTCTTCTAAAGATGCGCATGTAATTTCGCGACACGCAACTCCAGAACCTAGTGATAGTGCTGATGCGTTCGAGTCTTTACCCACCGAGCAGCTCCATGAACCATCCCCTCTTTCAGGAAAGCCCGTTGTACTCCACTACGCGTCAAATATATTGCTAGCTAAAGATGCTGAGATAGGTAGGCTTCAGAATTTACTTATGCTGATGGCAGATCGCAGCCTAGACAACGATGCAGCTAAAAACTCTCTAGATCAACGTCCTCATCCGTCTGAGGACATAGACTCCTTGGTCATTGAAAACGTAGCGCTATCAAATGAGGTTGACATTCTTAATCTATCTATTTCAATCCAAAATAACGTTATTTCAACAATTGCAGACCATTATATTAAGAAGCACCCTACAGCAGAGAGTGGCGACCCGACTGTTTCTCTTCTTGAGGGAAAGATTCTGAGTCTGACTGAACAGCTGGCCCAGGCAGATGGGCAGGTCACTCAGCTGATGGCCGAGGTTCATGCAACAGGTGCATCTCGGGCGTCATCTTCTCAACGGCCAGCATCTGTATTTCTGCCCAGGTCACATCCCCTCTCTGAATATAGATCAGCTTCAGTTCTTAGGACATCTTCAGGCGACGAGAAGATCCCATCGAGTAACTCCTTCGATGCATTCCCTGTGGCAGCATCGTCTCCTCTTGATCAGCTTTCAATTGGTCTAATTAAACCATCTGTTGCTCCAATTGTGACAGCAATCCTTAGAAGCAGTGAGCAATCTGCACACGAGCCTCTGAAAAATCCGACTGCCTTGATGGAGGCCATCATGACCGGCAACATGAGGGCAATCGGCGCAAACTTACAGCAAATTGGATACTCTCTGGAGAACGGGACGACTGCTCTTATGCTGGCAGCTGAGTACAATGTGCCTGCCGCTGTTAAGTACCTGGCAGAGTTTGAAGCAGGAAAGACACGTTCAGATGGCAAACGCGCAATAGATATAGCGCTCCAACTCGATCATCTGAAAGTTGCAACCCTTCTCTTGAATTGGGAAGGTCTAGATATCTCTGTCTATTCATCTGAGGGAAACCGCAGAACGGAACTAATGACTGCTGCTGCCCACGGAGATGTATACATAGTGTTCAATCTTCTTGGGTTACAAGCTAAGTTACAGGACTCCGAAGGAAGGACAGCTCTTATGTATGCATGTGAAGCTGGGCATGTAGCCTGTGCGCGACTTCTTCTAGTAGAGAAAGAGATCCGGGACAACCAAGGGAACGATGCACTATTCTACGTCTCCAAGGACCTGCCATCCCACTATATTCTCAGCTCTCTTCTGTCTAGCAGATCCGTCTAAAAGTGAATCGGTTTATGATAAATTTGTTTGATGAGTAGGGATAATAAGGTTAGAACGTGGTTTCGTGCCATTCAGAGCGGTGACATAAGCGAGGTAGAGCGCCTCCTACCTGAGTGTGCAGGTGTTTGTGGTGATTTTGGTGAAACGGGCTTACAATATGCTGTGCAAATGAAAAATGCTGAGATTGTGCGGCTCCTAATAGACTATGAAGTGGGGATGGTAAATAATGAGGGTTGTACAGCTCTCATCATGGCTGCGCTGAATAACTCAGCGGATTTGTGTAGCCTCTTAGCTCCCCTCGAAGCAGACATAATTTTACCGGACAAACGTGATGCTTATATGATTGCAGCCCAGGTGGGTAGCTATGACGCCCTTGTCACACTGCGACATTACTTTTCTCTAGTGACGGACGACCACGACTTGAATGCACTTGACTACGCTTCTATGACAGGAAATTTAAGATGTGTCGTTGAAATAGTAACTCAGTATAAACCGTCGAAGCAAGAGCGCATCTATAGTCGTACGCTTGCGGAAACCGAGGGCCATCATGCCGTTGTGCGATACTTTGACACAGGAGATGTTGATCCACAAGCTTGTGGAACTGGTAAGGACACAGATGGGCCTGCTCTAACCACAGAGTTCACCATGCAGTCTTTAATGTTGCCCGCTCAAGGTGTTCAAAGTCCTAGGGTGGCTTTGGATGACCTGGATTATAGTACCATAACGGTAGAGCGTCAAAGGAGTGTACCGGACAGTGCTTCTGATCCAGAATTTGATGAGACTATCAATGCTATTGCGAAGTTGGTTGATAAAGCCCCAACCCCAGATGCAAATTTAGCTAGCCAAATACCTGAGCAAACTCCAACGCGAAAGAAAGCTACTAAAGATAAAGGGCTTACTAAGGCACTAAAAGCAGATAAGAAACAAAAGCAAAAGCATGCACATGACTCAAAGTTCGTAAGCGCAAAGCCTTCTGAACTGCAAGGGCAACCAGATCATCAAGAGATAAATCCCTTGCTTATGGAGAGGAGCCGTGATGAAATTCCTGAAGGGTTTCTTTCGGTCCAATCACAACTGGCATCTAAGGATTCATTTCCATATGAGCTACTGAAAACAAATCAACGATCTAAATCTGGCATGTGTGGAAGCAAGATTGGTAGAAAAGGGGGACTTACACACTCTTCTAGTGCAATTCTCCCCCTCCTTGAACGCAAGGATACTGAGATACGCTATCTGCAAAGCCAATTAGAAGCTTTGACTCTGCGGCGCTCTACCCTAATGACGGATAGCTTTGCCATGATCGATGCCTGCACATCTTGTTATTCAGAACACACCTGCTTTTCTAAAGTAATTTCTGATGGTTTACTCACTTCAAAGAACGAGTTTATCGACCGGCTTATTGATCTCTGTGTATCTCTGGTTCCAGACTCTGCGAGCAGAAGGGTTGATGCTTGTGTGGAGACGGATCTGATTAGTACTATGGCACTCCCTGAAGCTTCCACTCAAAGAGTCATCCAAAGTAAGGTGCCACACGAGATGTTAGAAGATTGTAGCTATGGCTCCCTTTTACGAACAAAGGATTTGGAGATTGACCGGCTACAGAAGCTTCTGTTTGAAGTTGACATTAAGCCACAATCTCAGAGCAAGCGAGAAGCCAAGTTATGCAAAGAACTGGATGCAAAAATTCTAAAAGAAGTTGAACTTATAGGGCTCATTGACGAGGTCACACAGGAAATTAAGACCCTAAGAGATAAAATAGTAATACATAAAAAGGTTCTTGTCGACATTCAGCAGCAGGGATTCATTTCTGATAGAAGGACCGAACGAGATATCCGGCTTGAAGACTTGTTCGATCAGACCTTACGGTCGTGCGATGTAATCAGAGAGATAAAGCAGCAAATGACAGCCTTCAAAGCGGAGTTTTCTGGCTACACTGCCCAAACTGAGCTTCTTGCACGGACGCTTTTTAATGAGAGCGGAACAAACGATCTCAATAAGAGCTTGAAGAGGAGCTCCAGCTGCTCAAAAATCAATCCAATGAGTGGGACAGGGAGGATCCCCGTTCCTAATCCGCCCAATCCTCCACTCTCAGTAACTCTTCATCCTCCTACCAGATCCTCATCTCTTGCCACTCTCCAGCCTTTAAAACCTCCACTAAAACCTGCTGACTACTCAGGCTTGCTCCACGCAAAAGATTCTTGTATTGAGAGGCTTGTTGCATTATTATATGTGTCCCCCAATACTCTCTATCCACAGCTCGTACAGTCCCCTTGTTCTACCAAGACTACAGAAGAGCAAGCAACGAGACAACAGCACGAAGAGATGCTCGCACAAAAGGACCAAGTCATTAATGACCTCCGGCGAGAGCTAGAGGCCCTTCTTAAATCTGTCTCGGCAGAGACAGTTAGCTCCAAGAAAAAGGCCTTCTCACATGTTCAAAAACCACCAGATATGATAATAGGAGACTTACTAAATGTTTCTGACAGCACAGAGGACAACAATGAAGACCAAAAGTATTATGTGGAAGCACTGGCTAAGCTCGAACTTGAACATGCAGCTATGCAAATGGAAATAGACACCATGACCAAAACAATCGCTGAAAGAGATAACGCAATTATGTTCTTTGCAGACCATTATACTAAAAAGATCAATAAAGGTAACATCACGACTGAGACAGCTAAACTTATAAAAGTCTTGGAGCTAGAAGTCACTGCACTCAAGTCCCAGCTGCAGACAGCTACACAAGAGCTCACCTTTTTCCGCAATGAGCTAAAAGCAACAACTAGATCTAAAACCCCTACAGTAATAACAATGGCATCAGCAAGGCCCTCTGAGAGCTCTCAGACAAGGTTAGGACAGGAAACAGACACGCTCCTTCCAATAATTATTCCCTCTGTACCTCCCCGAAGGCCGTCGTTGGCACAGCAACTACCGCAATCCGATGAGTCGAGCAAAAGCACTAGGGCGCCTTCTCCGACAAGAAATGCATCGTTACTGCGCCAAACAATAACCAGAGCAAAGAGTCGCACTGCTAGTAGAACACTGCAACTAAAAAGTCAGTGCACAGAGCGCACTGGACTCACAAAACTCATGCAAGCTGTAGTCGATGGGGACGCCCGTGCGATAGGTATGCATCTTAGTCTACTCTGTTTAGTTACTGATGACGGCCTAAGCGCACTCATGTTTGCAGCAATCTATAATAGGCTATTTGCAGTGGAATATCTAATTCATGGAGAGGCCGGTCTTGTAGACAGCAGTGGAAAGACCGCACTTGTTCACGCACTGGAGAAAGGACACATACGTATCGCCGAAATCTTGGCACCTTATGAGTGCCCAGATGTGACTAACGTAGACATCACAAACACAGGTTCTAGAACCACCGAGCTCATGCAAGCTGTGGTAAGTGGTGATCTAGCCCGTGCATGGGCCCTATTACCAATACAGCACGGGGTTCGGGATAAGCACGGTAAGACAGCGCTTATTTTAGCGATCGAGTTACGTAAGCCTGCATTTGTTAGGATTTTGCTTCCACTAGAGCATACACTCTGTTTAGAAAATGGCAGTTCACCTCTGGATGCAATCATGTCATTGAAAGGCTCAGATGCAAGTGTCTGTGAAATACAACGTGTTGCGGCTGAATACTTCGGATTTTAGTTCAGTCTCCAATTGTCTTCAGTTGGAGTTGCTAAGGTTATACGCGTCCATGAACGCTTTGTCCACTGCCATTTGTAGAAAGTCTAGTCTCCGCTCTGACAGCATAGATGTAGTGGCGGCGCGAACCTGATACCAAACAAAGTCGTCATTGAGCATGTGTTCATATAAATGTGCAATGTTTTGTGCTGTTGGCAAAGCCCTTAGTCCCAACCAAGGCCGATAGCGCTGAGAAAACCTATACAGACAATCAAAGGACGCCAATTCTGTACTATTGTGCATTTCTCTATGCTGCATATTGGCAGCTTCTATATTAAGCGCATAATGATCGTAGTCTACCTCGTGGAGCGGTGATATGTGGAAAACATAATATCCAGGATTGTTGTAGTTGCTAGGTGCGATTGATGGGCAGATAAACATGGGGACTAATGGCTCCTCCCCTGCTGATAGAACCAGTGGGTAGGCACTGTGGTAATGCCCATACAAGCAAGCCAAAACAGTCGATGCATATCTTCGCAGAATGGACCTAATACGATCAGTGTATTGTGAATGAAGGGCCTCGCTTTCGTCATATACATTGACACCAAATGGAATGTGGCTGATAAGGATTACACGGTACCCCTTGGCTTTTGCCTCTATCATCTGGTTCTCTACCCACTTAAACTGATCGGCCGGGTCCTCGCCTAGCTCTCTATGACGTACACTGTAGTAATTAGCATTAATAACAAGGAAAGTTACTCGATGTTTAGAAAGAGGGACACTGTAATACCCCCGTCTTTGAAACTGTCTGTACCCCTCAGTGGTCATCAGGTCTTTGAACTGGTCTGCCACAAATAGTAACTGGGGGTCCCCATCCTCTGTAGGTACAGCGTAGGTAGGAAAGACGTCGTTGTTTCCTATCACAGGAAGAATGATCATCTCCTGCTCGGGAGGTTTGTTTATGAAGAGGCGCCTAAGCTTATCAGCGATTGCTTTAATAGCTCGCTGGGTCATCTCTGGAGACTCCGAAGAGTGGGGCCCGATGTCTCCAAGGACAACCATCACATTATAAGGCCCTTCCTTTTGAAGGCTGGCTAATGCTGCATCAACAAGGCTTTCAGATGAATCACATCCTGGAAGAGAGTACTTTGCCTCTGGTCTGTCCTGATTTTCTCTGCAGAAAACCTCTTGGGAGCCTGTCTCTATGTATCTCTCGTCCAGGTGTATATCTGCTAAGACAGTGATACTGAGGCCACCAGACGCCATTGCACAGCACAAACCTATGTAAAAGAGGGCCTTCATTTTTACCCATGGTATTTACTCAACGTTACTCAACCTCCTTCATAGCCTGGTAGCTTGCTGCAAGCTCCTCCAGCTGTAGTAACTTGGCCAAGAAGCCGGCCATCTTTTCGTCATTTTGCTTCCTCAAGTGCTCTGGCATTCGGTCGTAATTTGACCCCTTCATTAGCTTGTCCAGCTTCTCAATCTGCGTGCGGATCTGCTCCATCTCCTTGCTGACCTTTGAGAGCTCTTGCTCCACATCAATAAGACCGCGAAGGTCCATGTAAATAAGGAGCGTTGCCGATAACACGGTGCACCCACAGTTAGAGAACTTGACCTTAGGGGAGACGATGTCCAGCTGCCTCATATTGCACAGGGTCTTAATCACATAGTACCCGTCCATGATGTGCTTATAGTGCTCGTCACTCTTGTCACATGCAATGTAATAGCGAGGAGTTGACGATGGCTTGATGTTATACTGGCCCCGAAGCGCCCTTGCAGCAGTCATCAACGGCTTGAGGTGAGCAACCATCTCCTCTGCAGCACGGTCACGTAGGACTGAAGACAGTCTGTAAATGCTTGTGCCCTCCACCTTCTTCTGCTCGTCCCTAGATAGCTCCTCACCTAGTAGCTCATGCTTTGATCCAAAGGTGACGAAGTGGTGGGCACCGTAGCTGGTAGGATACTCTGCGTACATCAGTGTTTCAAGGCCCTCCTCCTTGGACCAGCGAGGAAGGTGTTGAAAGAGCTCCTCTGACAAGAATGGCATAAACGGGTGCAGGAGACGGAGACCTTGATCGATGCAACAGAAGTAGACCATCCGCATGATCTCTGCGTGCGCATCAAGGCGCTTTGGTTCCGCGGACATCGACGCAATTATAGGTTTAACAAGTTCCAAAAAGACATCGCATAGGTCATCATACCAGAAGGTATAGATTGCAGTGCATGCATCGGCGATTCGGAATTCGCGGAAGCTCTTCGTCACTGTGCGTACTGTATTGTAAAGCCGCGAGAGAATCCATCTTGCTGCAACAATTGACTGATGATCTTCAGACTGAGTGCACGGGGTATAGATGTCGTTAGGATCATTGGTAGTGTAAGCAGCTGTGGGGTCCAGTTCGCCCACAGTAGCTGCTGTAGTTTTAAACGTACGAGCGGATAGAGTTGTGCGATAAACCCTCATGATGAAATCATTAAAATCTTCGTAATGACGGATGTTGCTCTGCCAAAACCGGCCACAAGCGTTTGTAGCTCCAGTGTCCACATCGAGCACATCACATATCCCACTAAAGTAGCACCCAAACTTAACAGCGTTGAAGATCTTATTGCAGAAATTCCTATAAGCGACTATCTTGTTAACATCTAGGTTGATAGATCGGCCTTGACCAGTATACGCGCACAATGCAAACCGAAGCGCATCTGTCCCGCACTCTGGAATTCCAATCGGAAAATCCTTGCTCTGGAGTTCGAGGGCACGCTCAATCTCCTTTGGTGGCAGGTTTGTGGCGCGCACCTTATCTCCCATCTCTTGAAGAGTAATTCCCTTGATCACGTCTATCGGATCAACAACGTTACCCTTAGACTTCGACATTTTTGCCCCGTGAGCATCCCGAACAAGGGCATGGAGGTACACCTCCCTGAAAGGAAGGACATTGTAGAGTTCGAGACTGAGCATGACCATCCGAGCCACCCAGAAGAAGATGATATCGTTACCTGTCTCCAGAACAGACCCGGGGTAGTACCTGGAAAAGTCTCGCTCACTGTCCGCAAAGCATGAGAAGGGGAAGAGCCCCGATGAAAACCACGTGTCGGTTACGTCATCGTCCTGCTTGAGATGGAGCTGACCCTGTACGTCCAAGTGCTTCTTGGTAATAATTCTCCGCGCCTCCTCCTCTGAACATGCTGCCACCCAGTGCTCAGTTTTGTCGCCAGATGGCTCTGGATTGTCTCCAAACCAAAACTTGTAGCACGGAATCCTGTGTCCCCACCACAGTTGACGAGAAATACACCACGGTCTTATATTAGCCAGATATGACTTCCAGGTGTCCTTGTGCATCTCGGGAACAATGAGCAGCCGCTCTGCTTCCGACGGCGGAGCATAGACTGCATTAAGGGCCCGTTGGGCCATCTGTTCACAGTTCAGGTACCACTGTGGTTTGACCATAGGTTCCAAAATGTCACCAGACCTCTGACATGTTCCAATTACCATTGGATTTGGGGTACGACCTCTGTAAAGCGCAGCTTCTTTAAGATAAGAAAGCATTTCCAAACGCCCATCGAAGCGCTTTACTCCTGCAAAGCGAGCTGGTAAGTGGTAGGTAATTCCGTTGTGTGTGCTTTCTATCATTTGTACAATTCTCCCATCGTCAGTAAATATCTGAAGATACTCTAGCTTATTACGACGCCCAGACTCAAAATCGTTAGGATCGTGAGCGGGTGTGACCTTGACACAACCAGTACCATACTCCATGTCAACTAGAACATCATCAAGCACGATGGGCACCTTCTTTCCTAACAGAATAGGGTGGAAAAGACACCTCCCATGGAGATCCGTGTACCGATGGTCTCGGGGATGAACTGCAACAGCAGTGTCTCCTATAATCGTCTCAGGCCGTGTAGTGGCTACAACTAACTCCTCCGCCGTAAATAAGCACCCCGGATCCGCACATTGATGTAAGCGTAATAGCTCATAAGGCGACGGGCTACCCTCTGCAATAGAATCGCTGTCGAGAAGTGGAAGTATAGAAGAGGTGTAGAACTTAGCACAGTCCTGACAAGCGAACTTCAGCTCACCGCTCTGAAAAGCGGTCAGGAGATCTGCTTCGCTCTTGTCTGCAAGGTAACTCGGAATGACCTTGTAAGAAAAACGCCACAGGTATCCAAAGGGATAGCTCTTCCCAGGATCGTGATTTCGGACGGAAAGCTGTCGTGGGAGCTTCAGGTCGATGTACTCAACTTCCACATCGCTGACTGCAGTCTGCAGAGAGCAGTCCCAGTTAACTAAGCGAGAATCACGGTAAATAAGACCCCTATTGAACAGCTTTACGAAGGACTCGTTATGTACTCTACTGCGAGCTGGGTCCAGCGTGAAGACAGACCGGGACCAATCAAAGCTGGAGCCTAAAATTCGCAGCTGAGACAGAATTCGCCCACCGAACTGCTCCTTCCAAGCCCAAGCTCTTTCCAAAAACCGCTCTCGCCCAAGGTCGTGTCGTGTTTTCCCCTCAGTTTTCATAATATTGCGCTCAACGACAGACTGCGTTGCTATCCCAGCGTGATCAAGCCCGGGGAGGTACAACGTCCTGTACCCCATCATGCGATACCACCGCACAAGCGCGTCTTGAATGGAATTAGTGAGAGCGTGGCCAATATGTAGGGACCCAGTGACATTCGGTGGAGGGATCAGCAGGGTGAATTTGCAGCGTGAGTCCTTGCTTCGGATGTTCTTCTGCATATCCGGGCTGAAGAAGCCGGCAGCCTCCCACCACTCATACCAGCTTTTCTCAATAACAGACGGATTGTATGCCTTGGGCCATGCACCGCTGATATTCTTCTTTTCCCCCACTGGAGTTTCATACTCATATTCGAAAGCTTTGAGCTCTGTCCTCAAGGCCTTTCCTTCTGCCTTCTGAACGATGGCCTTGCCAGAGCCCCCCTTCGCCGCTTTCGCCGCTTTAGCCTTACTCTTGCCCTGGCCCTCCATCAGCAATTAATTTATTTTGTGATCCACTCAGCCTTGTTCATTCATCTCTGTTCGATTGCAACTCCGTCACTGCTTTCTTTACCACGTGGCAAAGCTTCCTGGAGGTCTCTGTATCGTTGTAATTGTGGCTCAGCGGAGACAATCGCGTGTAGCTCCTTACGCCACCGCTGGGATACCTCTGACGATACGCACGAGGAAAAGGTTAATATAGCCGTCATTATCTGGTGCGCATCATCTACTGATATAACGTTCATGCTTTGCAGAGAACACCGCAGAAATACTATTAACTCCGAAACAATCCATGCACCTCCACTGTGGACTGTACGGAAATAGTGATTATCCAGGCAACCAGCTGTAGTATCACACGTTGCAACATGTAAGGACAAGATTTCTAACACGGATGCTAACACCTTGAGCACGGGAGAGCACATCCATCCGGGATGTTTTCTAGACGCTACAACCGCGCGTATGAGGGCTGTCGATCTTCCTGTATGTAAAAAGGACGATAAGCCCTCCATAAGGAGCACAATCACATCAGAATAGGGCCTGATCAGCGCGGGCAATGCAGCCTTCATACTTGCATCGCTATTAGATGAGCCTAGATTGCTGATGGCAGTGCTATACTTGAGGATGTTTTCTTCTGCATATACAGACGCATCACTAGGGTTTTCAAATGCTGTCAATAGCACCGCCATAAGCCTTGACATGTTGCGTCTTTCCGTGTCCACATATTGAGGACTGATAATTCGCGAAATATGATCTATAGTATCACTTGCTGATACCCGCTGCACAGTAACAGATTCAGCTACTTGTAGACCAACTTCAGTACTGTTCGAGGGTTGATCCTCTTGAGCCACACGAGCACCCATGACTGCTGAGTCATCAAGCGCTACCTGCATGCTTGCCCCCACTGCCATATCTTTTACAGAGATAGACAGATTCATGGGAAGTTGTGGACGTGGAACGTTAGGCTTGCTGGTACCTTGCAGGCTCGTACGCAAGGACTCATCACACATGAATATACTATGATCGCATGAATCAGCTATACTAGCTGCTTGATTGCCAGTGAGCCAGGTAGTATTTAGGGTTTCTGCACAGGAATTCCCCTTGACCGACTGAGCCGCCTCAAGGGGGTTCAACTCTAAAAGCAATGCTTGATCAATTTTAGCCTTCCGAGCTTGTCTTTCGCTGATCACCTCTGTTTGGATGTTAACTCCAGCGTCTGCAAAGTGCTGTCGAAGATCTGCCCGCCTTGCCAATATCTGAGTCATTTCATCTTCAATTGCATCAAGCTTGCGCTGAGTCTCCTCTATCTCTGCCGTTAGATAAGAATGATCCGCGTTGCCATCAGACGTAAAGCTTTCGTAGTTATTTAGAGCAGACTCAACATAGGATCTCCTATTGGCCAGTTGTGCCAGCCGAACGCCTAGTGTAATAAATTCCTTACGCAAAAGATCGAAAGCGCCTTCCACACCTACCTCCTTTGCAAGCACCTGAAACTGAGCAGAGCCGCTTTCGACGACATCACTCTTGGCAGGCTTTTGGGAGTGAGAGAAAGTGATCAAGTTTGAATTTGATAGATATGCTTCGGCTCGTTCACAATCTTCTGCCTTTAATGTGTTGCTTTCCGCTGTGGCCGGATCAATTGCCTCAGCGCTTTTGCGTGGAGGAGGTACTGGTACCTGGATGATGTCTGCGTCCACAAACGACGACTCTGAGAAGCTCTCCATTCCTGCAATATCTGTAGTATCTGCTCTACTTATTCTAGCGCTATGCTCACTAAATTCTGCTTGCTGTACATGCATCTGGGGGCCACTCTCAGTCGCTTTAGCAGGCTTCAGGAGCTTCAGGCCCTTGAAGACTAGCTTTCCAGAGTGTGGTTGTTTAGGCAGTTGCACTGTTTGATTGGAATGCAGTATAGCTGTTTCTTCAGTCGTAAATGATTGTTGCTCGTGAAGAGACGACGACGAGCCAGACTGCTGGGTCAGAAAAGAAGAAGTGCTTGCTGATCGAAGAGTAGAGTCTGTGGCCTTCACAGGCCTATTGCAAATTTGTGCAAGAGGGACGGGTTTCACTGCACGCACAGACTGCGTATTGAACTCTTTGACTGTGGGTCGTGTTGCATGACGAGAAGAGCTGGACCTCTCTGGAATGTGCGTGTGCTCTGCAGAAACAGATAAAACCGACCGCTGAGCAGCGTCATTCTTGAGCTTAATTTCCTGAAGGCTTTCTCGAGAGAGAAGCTGCTTGATGTCTGCCGGAGAGGCTATTCCTCCCGTGGCAATGGGCCCTGGTCTTGCAGTACGTGACTGGCTTATCTTGCACGCATGCATATCGAACGGAACGGCGTGGTGTGCACGGAGGAAATTCGTAAATTTGGGAGGTTGAGTTGGAGCTTTAAAAGCCACTGAAGGAACCAGTGAATCATGTTTATGTTTCCTGTGTCCTTCCTCTGGAAGTACAGATAACCGAAGGTGATCTGCTATGCCACTATCGCAGCACCCAGCTCGCGAAGCAGAGTATGAGCGGGGGCGACTGGAGCTGGCAGCACGCGATGTACCCTGCTGCAGATCCCCGTGCTCGTCAACAAAGTATCCTCCAGACTGGAGCATTGCCGATGACATGGCTGACGCAGATCGCTTGACGTGCCGTCTAGAGAGTACCTGTGCATCAGTGTTTGACTGGCTAAGCGTCGTTTCCAAGACGGAGAGCACGCTGTCCAGAATTTCGCTATCTGACTCTGTCATGCGCGCCTTTGAAGCAGAACTGTGCTTGCGACTTGAGCGCTTCCTATGACCTGAAGGTTGAGAGCTCCTTGTGGTCTCCGACTCGTTTGGGGGCACCCTCTCTTTGATATCAGAGGAATTGGCTGGTGTTGTTTCCAAAGGCTCCCTGTGAACAGACACTGACTCCTCTTTATCGAGACCCATTTTTGGAAATTAAAAACTGTTTTCCTTACACCGTTCTTCTTGCCCCGTTATCGTGCCCTACTCTGTTAGTACAACACTCTTGTATATGAAATAACATAATAGAAGGTATAAATCCTCGTTCGTATTATTTTACGCTAATTATTTTGCAAGCATAAACCAAAAGATGATGCGTTGGGACGAACTATAAGACAACACATCGGACAGTTCAGCTATAGGATTGAAAACAGGGCCTTCCACTAGGATAATTTCTCGTGCAGTAATATCCTTTACATGTTGAACTTAGTGTGGCACTCAGGATGTCAACAGTTACTCTCCTTCACTTCGTGGTCCTAAATACAGGAGTTATCAATATCTGCCTACACACGCCTGCTCTACTAATTAATGTTATAAATTATAGAAGAAATCTTTTTGTATTCGCAAAGGTGAGCATTGGGGCAGGCAACAATCAAAAAATCCACTGATGCTGGTGCTGTTGTTCCTTGGCGTACTTGCTCTCAGTCAAGCGATTCAGGCAGACGATAGTTCGACTCCGTATGTAAACAGCTACTACGTGGCATGCGGCCCAACCCATACAGATTGCGTAGAAAATAAGTGTGTTATGTTTGATAGAGGAATAACCTTGTGTACTGAGTGCAAATCTGGAAAGGTACCCATCAATGGGGCATGTGTTGGAGCAGGGGATTCCTCCGTTGATACTTCAGTTTGTGTTACAGCACAGACCAATGACAACGGTGCTACAAAGCGCTGCACGTCATGCACTGGTAGAAAGGGAAGTAGAAGTGACGATCCTAATGCAGAGACAACTTACTTCCTATTTTATGGTGGTTGCTACAGCAAGGATGAGTGGCCTGGCTCACACATCTGTAAGACTGTTTCAAGTGGTATGTGTAGCGTTTGCGAAACATACTCTGAAAGTGTTTTTACGAACTCGGATAGTACTGCCAAGGAAAAGTGTATCCTGTGTGGTGATACTGTTGGCTTCAATGGTAAGGTTGGAATGGATGGTTGTTCAACCTGTGTTTCTTTAGCAAAAGATCCTGCACCAAGTAATGCTGCAAGCACTGCTAGTATTCAGTGTACTTCTTGTTCAGCTGACGATAAAGCTCCGATTGATGGTGTATGTACGGCTTTTGGTTCCAATAAGTGTGAGAATGGGTACTGCACTCACTGTTCAACTGACTATATCTATCACAAAGGCGGGTGTTATAGCAAAACTGGGACAGGAAATACGATATGTGACTCAGCTAGCCAGTTTGAAATAAGTGGTTATTCTGCCTGTAAGAAGTGTGCTAATTCTAGTGAGATCCCTCACAATGGTAATTGTAAGCCGTCTGGTAGATGGAATAGCTGCGAAAAGGATGCGTCCGAAGGAAGGTGCACTGCTTGCAATCAAAACTCCCCCATCCGCAGCGTCTTTTTGTATGAAGGTGGTTGTTATAATACAAACGATGTCCTTGGAAGCACCATATGCGTAGAGGCCTTCAATGGTAAGTGTACTACTTGCAGAGAAGAAAACGGATACTTTAAAAGGGATGGAACATGCAACCTTTGTAATGCCTCAATTGCTGACTGTGCTAGCTGCGTTACTAAGTATAATGAGCCAAACACACTCATATGCATCGGCTGCAAAAACAACAAGTATGCAGCCGTGGGCGGTGCATCCTGTGTTGACTCGTGCCCAGCAAATAATCCAGGTAGGTGTGATGAAAATGGTATTTGCCGCTGCAAATGTGGCTCAGGAACCTACTTAGACACTGGCACAAGTAACTGCGAGGCATGCGATCCAGTTTGCGCAGATTGCACGGGCCCTGGAGCTAGTAGCTGTATCTCATGTGCTTCGGGAAAATACATGAAGTATAGTGCCTCAGGCAAAATCTGTGTGGATCCCTCTGAATGTGGTGACGGGTACTATGCAGACACCGACAGCCGTTCGTGTTTCCAGTGTGGCATTGAGGAGTGCCAAACATGTACCTTCAGCAACAGCAGAGTCATGTGCACAAAGTGTTCCCAAGGATTGATCTCGCTAGATAGTTCTTCGTGTGTATCTCAGTGTAATGGACCAAATCAGCAACCAGATGGTAGTGGCAGATGCGTCTGTGCGGAGGGCTTCGAGCCCAGCAGTGACGGCGCATGCATCGTTAAGAACACCTGTCCGTCAGACGCCACGGGGTGCTCGAACTGCAGCGCAAGTGGCGAGTGCCTCTCATGTGCGGACAGCAGCCACAACGTCCAGCCGAGCAAGAGATCCTGCGCCTCAGGCTGTCCAAGCGGATCAGAATCAGTCGGCTCTCTCTGCATATGCATGGAGGGGTACATTCTCCAGGATGACACATGCGTCTCTCAGACCAGGAAGGCCAGCTCCAGCTCCACGACGGTCACTGTGGCAGTCGTTGTCTCTCTTCTCATCATAGCGGCCGTCGCCCTCGCATGCTGGCTCGTCCTGCGGAGGCGGCGGGGATCGAAGATAGTCTCAAGGAAGAGAACAGCGGCCGAGAACATAAAGCTCATGGGCAGCGTAGATGAGTTTTAATTCTCTGCACTTAGTGTGTTACGGTTTGCAGTAGGTAAATTTCTAATTTATTCCATCGCTGGATCCACCAAGTGGTTATAACGTTCGCGGTCCTGGCCTTGATGCCTCGATTCGGCACCTCTCTGGGTTCCCACGACATCTTTCCTGCTGGTTTGAGCTTCTCCAGGCGACGGATTTGCCCTTACCGGCCACTGCACAGCATAGAAAGCTGAGTGCGACGCTCCAAATTCCTTGCATGAGCAGGCCACCGTGCGGTCTCGTTGAATTCGAAGATGGGTATGCAATTGGATCATATAGCGGAAGCGTGACGCACATTTCAACAACTGGAAGCAACGCCCAGCAAACTAGAATCATCGTCTCATGCAGTCTTCAAAACGCGCCTGTGACAGCCTTGGCAGCGGGGCACAAGCTGTACTGCAGCTTCAGAAACGGTGAGATAGCAATTGGTGATAGAATATCTATGAAGTTAGATTCCGCGTTTCTCACCTCCTTGCATGCTATGGGCCCAAATGCTTATGAGCTCGTGGTAGCAAGCACGTCTCGAGGGATGGTGACAATCTATGACCCCAGCAAGAATGTTTTTGTGCACACTATGCCCATCTATTCTGACGCTTCCAGGCACTTCAGGCTCTGCTCATCACATGCAGCTGTGCTCCCGACATTTGGGTGCATATGCGCCGCCTGTGAAGACATTATCTCGGTGGTTGATGCTCGGATAGGGAGGAAAACGCCATGCCTAGAGCTTCGCTTCAAGCGCTATGCTGATTCACCGACAAGGGGTACGACGGTCACGAGGTTAGCAGCTCTTCCCTGGGGCGGGGTATTGGCGGGAACAAGCTCATCCGCAATTCACTTACTGGATCTTTCTTCGGCTCACCCAGAAGAGGTAGCTGATACAGTCCTGTGTCATCCCGGTCCCATCAAGGATATGAGTGCCTGCAAAACCACACTGGTATCGGGTAGTGCACGACGCCTGACAAACCACGTTTTGGTGGGTAAGGAGATTCGTCCCCAAAGTAGCACAGATTTAGACTCTATCCTTTGCGGGTTATGTCCATCTGCAGCTGTCCTTGCCAATCGAACCATTGTGAGTGTGTTCCAGTAGAAAAGCCCTCAGAGCCACACTCAGCATTTAGTAAAGGTCAGAGCGGTGATGCGTTGTCTGCAACGCAGGGCCAGGCCCCGCTTGGGATCGCTAACCTCATCATAGTTTTTAATTTGAAGGTTTTTGAAAGAGCCAGTTTTATCACAATTCATCACTGTGGTCATGTTTAGAAACCGTCGCAGATAGAAAGTCAGTTACACCCATCTTGAGCTCCTCCTCGACCTTTTTTACTGCTTCAAATACTCCTGCGCCGGGAAAGGTGTGGCCTAGAGGGTGGACATTTAAAAGGAGCTTCATAGAGCAGTTTTTATGCTTGTTTGCAAGCCCTACCAAGACGGGCCTAAGATCAGCTGCTTTCGCGCCCCAGAGCAAAACAATCAATCCGCTGCTTGTCCTTGCTCGCACAACCTCCTCCAGAATGGTCTCTATAACAGGCTTCCAAAATGTCAGGTGCACTTGCAAGGTCTTTGGGTCCTTTCCTCCGAACGTTAGGCTTCGGTTAAGCCACAGAACACCGCATCGCGTAGCAAGGGAGGTAAACCATTCTGTCTGCGTTTCTCCGATGTTGTCCTTCAAGACAGCACGCAATTTATCAACGCTGTCCTGGGGGCCCATTAGTTTGCGAGAAACCAAGATGGCCTGCAGCACGTGCCTGACACTTGGAGCTAGCCGAGGACTCTGAAAGCTTTCGACTGCACCGTCTAAGAATGAGATGCCGACGGCAGATTCTGCACGAGGATAGGGGTCCTGGCCCACTATGATAATACGCACATTTCGCGGACTCCCAACCAAATTCAGAGCTCGAAAGACCATATTCTCATCTACAGGAAACAGGCCATTTTTCTTGGATGGGATATAGTCAGCAAAGTTTGGTTGGGCTTCAAAGCAGCGCTTTACGACCTCCCAGTCACATCGCATGAGAAAATTTAGATTTTAGTCATTTTGCCTTTACAGATGTCAGAAACCACGGTCAAGAATACATCTGTGCTGATTATTAGTGAAAAGTGCAACATGCAAAGGAGCTCTATCTCGAGGAAATTTAGATCCCTAGGAGACATGTCACAGAGCCCAGAGAAGATTGATGCCCGCAGATCTCGTTGCTCATAAAGCTTTATGTATATCCTTAGGAGCACGTAGAATGCTTCTCTGCTCTCTGCCAGCTGCCTTCTGCGGCAATTCCTTGTGTCTAAAATGCTATTTGGGCGTCTAATCTGCTGATGCAACCGTTGCATGCACAGCAGAGTGCAAACTATATACGACCGAATGTTCTCGGATAGTCTTCCCAGTCGTGCCACGTTGTCCGCAGGCCTGGGACCAAGAAGCACCGCCGACCTGGGAAACACCTCTGCAATCTTTCTAACAAAGACTTTGGGCGGTAGCTGCTCCATGGCGTTTATCGCTATCCCAGCGTCTAGTAAGAAGAGTGTGTCCTTTGTCGGATATGATATCAGCGCCATTATTTACTGCTTCCTGTAAACGAGGGTCAACAGCTTCCAGAAGATTAGCAACATTCATAACTTTTCCTGTAATACCGTTATTACTAAGACCGCTTCTTTCCATCAAAAGACAAACGCTGAAGCAAAAATTAAATGTCGCCCGATGAGCGTAGCCGAGGCAAATCTGATGCAAAGAGGGACAGTGAAGAGAACTCGTCTACATCAACATCCTTCACATTAATGTCTCAGATAGTAGGGGCCTCGCTTTTGTCTATTGCATACATCTTCTCAAGGATTGGTTTCACCTTAACGTTCTTCATTATACCTATTTCGCTGGGGATCTCTTTGTATCTCATTCTTGGATATATAGAGGCTTGCTACCTTACGCGGTCTTACTCCTATCGGGCACTAACCCAAAAGGTTATTGGGCCAAAGTTCGCATACACTCTAGATGCAATGCTTATAGTTCTCTACTTTGGCTTTCTTACGAGCTACATCATCATTGCTAGCCAATCAGTTATTGGGATTCTGCAGTCGTTCCTTCCTTCGTTCGACTCACACAAGTGGATACCATACGTGATAAAAGCCGGCGTCTCCTTCCTCATCATCCTTCCTCTTTCTCTCCTCAAGTCCACGAAGGTGCTTTCTGCCATAGCGTCTGTCTCCATCTTCTTTGCGATGGGCATGGCCGTCACCATCCCTGTATACTACTTCATCTCCCTCGGACGCAACGGGCAGGTCTGCCCTCGCTTTCCTTCGGCAAAGCCGACCGACGGCAGCACGGCAGGGGGCTTCTTCCGCCCTGCGGTCCCCTGGTGGCCGTCCCCGAGCAAGGGGTTGGGGCTCGGGTCCCTGCCCATGGGGTTCCTGTTCTTCTTCAGCTACATACCCATGCTTCAAGGAAACTACACAGCACAGCTTGTAACCCCACCAATGCTAAGCATGTTAAAAGGCCCTCTTTACCTTCGCATGCGTGTGCTAAAGTTGTCTATAATTATTGCCATGTCTTTGTGCACAGTTCTATATTGTCTGGTGGGATTTTTTGGTGCGCTAATCTTTGGGAAGACTATAGATTCAAACGTTTTGAAGTCATTTGACATTTGCAGTGATTATTGGATTGTGGTGATCAAGATTCTTTACGCATTAGTTGTTTGTGTGGCCTATCCCCTAGTTTTGTATCCTCTAAAGCTCTCGATATTTTCCTACATTAAGATTGATAAGGACATCGAGCCCAAGCGTTGGTACGGCATCTTTGCAGGCTTAACTCTTGCGTTTGTCATCTTCGGGTTCGGTGTAGCGTTAGTTTACGAAAATATTGCCGCCATATTTGGACTTTTAGGGTCTATCTGTGGCGGCATCTTATATTTCGGGGTCCCCATTTGGGTATATTACAAGCTCCCCATTCTTCGCGTAGAGTCAAAAAACGATGTCGGTCAGGAGTTTCGCGAAGCTGCTGATGAAAATGGCGTTATTGAGACAGAGGCTGTTGGGACTTCTTTGATGGCCCTTATGCTGCCAGGAGACGTCAAGGATGCCATAACCAGGGCAAGATCTATCAGTACAGCCGCACCAGTGGATGTGAATGCGGTGGAGGTCACCGTCAATCGCTCCCGCGGGGTTTCTGTTATGCGCACGGGATCTCTCATTGGTTTCATGCGTGGGAGGACGCTCTCCAGCGCCGCCACAAACTTCGAGGCGGCACGAGGTTCGACTCTGCCTCCTCTTACAACAGTTGACACGGGGGCTCCATTGACGGGTGGTCGCGACAGGACCTCGTCTTTCATCGTCAACATCTCGGCTCCCAAAGCCAGCTCCCGCCGAGCGAGTATGGTCACAAAAAGCAGGAACAACAGTTCACTGGTCAATTCACGCTTCCGAGGCTCGACCAGTCAGACACCGCATGACATCGATAGCATAGACGGCAAGTACGATGACACACCAAATCTCCCCCAGAACGATGAACTTCGCGATGGAGCAGGCGAGAGCACGAGAGAACGCTCCTACAAGATTCAGAACAAAGCTGGGGCAGAGTACACCGAATCGACAGAAGAAGAAAGTGACAGCGCGCGTGGACTACCGGATATTATGCCTGCCGTTGCAGAGGCGCAGCAGGTAGAGATAGGGAACATCTGTGGCGCGATAAACAGAGAAGCTGAGCTGGCAAAGATGACCAAAAGGCGCAAGGCAATCGCTATAACGGCTATTGTGATATCTGCAATTGTTTGCTTTGAGAGTATGTGCATTAACATTATAGACTTTATGGGGAAACTGGACTAGATGGACACTAGATGCGCGTCCTACACTTTGAGACGCAGCAGACAGATGAAGAATCCATGGGTGTTGTGTATATGCGGATAGAAGCGACGTGCCTTCTGAATGGATGGGTGATAGCTCACACCATTGAATCTCGTAATTCCGGGTTTTCCGAAGTTAAATGGCAGATCCACAACCTCGACATTCCGCGTGCGCAAAATACAGTCTATTACGGCCTCGTTTTCAGACAGTGTTACGCTGCAAGTAGAATAGCATACCAATCGTGGGCTTGAGGGATGCTTCGCTAAAAGATCAAATGCACATTTAAGAAGCTCCTTCTGGAGGTGAGAAAGCTTGTGTATATCTTCGAATGTCCTGTTGGCCTTGATGCTTGCATCCTTAGAAACGACGCCCAGCCCCGTACAAGGAGCGTCAAGTAACACCCTGTCAAAGTTCCCAGTGCACTGTGCCAGCTCTCTAGCGTCACTGCAAGAAATCACGGCGCACGTCACACCCATTCGAGCCAGATTGGCCTGAAGAGCAGGTATTCTGTCCCTGTTCATGTCATTAGCGAGGATCATTCCAGAGTCCTGCATCAGGGCTCCTAGATGCGTTGTCTTTCCTCCTGGAGCCGCAGACATGTCAAGAATACGCTCGCCTGGCTTGGGACTCAACGCCATGGGCGGCAAGAACGAGGCAGCGTCTTGTATCATGTAGTATCCACGCAGATACTCCGGGGTTGCTCCTATGGGCACCTGGGAGGAGAAGATCTGCAGGCCATCCTTACACCAGTCACCAAGAGGATCCAGGTTGACGCCGCGTGCAATAAGCATCTGCGCGAGTTGGCGCCGCTTGACCTTCAGGGAATTGACACGAATGGTGAGTGGGCGTGGCTTCTCGCAAGCTGTTATAAACGCATGGAAGTCTATGGGGCCAAAAAGACCTAGCAAAATGTCAATGACGCCGTCTGAGTAACCATACGCTACCGATATATCCTTCTTAAGTAGCTCTAGATAGAACATGCGGCTCAGATCAGGATGGCGCCGTGACTTGAAGTCTGCCAGGACCCCAACGACACGCAAGATCCTTCCACGAATTCCTTCTATGTTGGTGACCTCATCTACACGCGGATCGTAGATTTCCGTATGCCTAAGCTCCTTCATGTTCTCTTCCTGCGCCTCTTGCATAGCCCGGATTGCAGGTCGTGTAGCTTTGAGGCCTATGTCAATCTTCTCGTCTGTGAAAGTAGACTCCTCACTTCCAAACTCTTCTGCCACTTCCTTTTGTTGTGGGCTAGAATCAGAGTGGTCATTCTCTTCGTCGCTGTCGTCAAAAAGCCTTTTGCGGCCAGGCTCACTTGCCCCCTTGCTGAACCCGACGAAGCCACTTGCCATTGGGCCTGGAGCTCCTTCGGAAGAGAAATCACTATTGGATGAGGAGCTAGAGACAGAAGAACTATCATCCTCCTTACGTGGCACTTCCACAGCCTTTCTTTGTGCAGCCCTTTGACCTCGTGCAGCGCTACTCTTTCCCTTCGCTCCGTGCTTCGTCATTTATTAATTGCAATTGTTTATTATTGATTGCCAAACATACTGAAATTGTAAATAACTAGTTGAAATTTCAGCAAATCCTGCAACTATGAGGATTGTTCCCCTCCTCATCCGTCGGGTTGGTCCTTGTACCGAGGCCTTAGCCGCCGACTTATCTTCTCCGGTGTTCAAGGATCTTGTCTATCTTGATTTCACAGCTGATTGTGCATCTAAGCAGACGATGCTTCTTTCTTCTTTACAGGACGTGGTTAGTGCCAAACGCACTGCTGCGCTATCCTTGGGTGTTGAGCACACCACCTTTGTATTGATAGATGGAATAGAACAGAGCGATTTACGCGCTTTGGACTTGTGCGTCGGCGGGCAGGTGACTCTGACTTCAGGATCTAGCACGTCAGATGCTTCATATAGTTGCACCTTCCCAGAACTAGATATCAATCTGCGACACTTTTATTGCCCCAGTCAGGAGGTCGCTGCAAAACCCATAGAGAAGAGCAAGGGAAAATCCGACAGCAAAAACGAAGCCCCAAAGGTTGAGACGAAGGACTTCCACGAATATCTTATAAACGAAACCGCTATAGAGTTCCCGCTTCTCCTTTCTGTGGCTCAGGAGCTGCTTCGTGAGTGGATGCATAGACGCCTTTACATGGCCCATCTGCGCGCATCTAGAGTACATAATGTCAGCGGACATTCCGTTTGGCTCGATGTTATGCCACCAATGATTGTTACGCTCGGTTGCCCGTCATTACACCTTTTGTATGATACGGCTGTGCTTGGGCCTAGGATGATGCGTCTCTATAGAACACGGATGAGCTACTTCTCCCCAGCAGATCAAAATCACTTATCTGTGTTGCTAGGTGCCATGGTTGATGCTGTGGTGCTGTGCTCTCCAGATCCCAAGAAGGCAGACACACAACTTGCCCAGCCTGCGTCTGTAGCAGACAACATACCTCTCTCTGAAGGAGATATCTCTCTCAATGTCTTGCAAACACGTGGACCACGTGAATCGAACTTGGCAGGAAATAGAGAAGAATCAGCCGAACATGAGGATTGTCAGTCTACTCCTGTCGAGCTCAGCTGGAATCACGCAGGCGAGGAATCGTCCGCGTTAACTGATGAGTCTGTTACTCTATCAGATCGCACAATTACTGGACCTCTTTTATTTCCTCTGCGGAGTGTCATCCATTCTGAAAGTACTTGCTTTGCTCCATTTGAAGACAGCAATTTGTTCAGGCAAAGATTTGAAGGCCTTCCTAGTTCATTCACTGGTATCACCGGTCTATTACGTCTTTACAGCAGCTCCAAGGGTAACAGGGAAGCAGGACACAATGATGGGCACGCCTTGAATTGTGACACAAATGAGCCACTCCAGAACACGTACGAAGCACTCTCACCGCAGATGAACAAAGCGACAGCATATACCTCTCTCTATGACACTTACACTATAACCTTGAATCGTTGTGTCTCTGAAGAGGTCAAGACCTATAAAAAGAGGGCCTTGGACGCCCAAATAGCGACATTAGACATTCAAAAACTCATAGAAGAATACTTCCCAGAACGGAATTATGCTATTCTTGAAAACTTTCGCAGTCTATCGCCGCGAACTGTGATGTTACGGAGATCAGACTTTCAGGAGCTCATTAGGCTATTCCTCAAAGAAAGCCCTCAACCGCTTTCAATTCAAGAGGCGGAGACCTTGGTCAGGAAGACCCTTGTCCTACATCTGAATGAGCTATTAGTAGCCAATGGTTCTCCTGGTCCTTTACCACCTAATAATATCCTAGATATTACCGCTGCATTACCGGAGACAGTGGTACATAAGAACCTTCAGCACAGTGCAGTTATCAAGCTAGGCACGAAAACGTCTGAGGCGCAAAATCGATTGGCGTACTACACAGCCCTGGTACCGAAGCCTATTATTCCAGTAATGAACTATGCCTATTTTGAGCCACTAACAAACTCTCTTTGTCTCTCCCAGAAGCTCATTGAACCAAATGAAGATGGAGTTGTTTTGAGAACTCTCGAGAACACAAACGAGCTGGTCCTGAAACAGTCTCTTTTGCGTAATATACAACAGTATCTCTTGAGACATCTGCAAGAGCTCTGCAGATTGCTGGATATTCCATACGACCCTATCTCTGTCCTATCAACGGTCGTTCCCAGCTACGTGGAGTGGCGAAATGCACTGGAACAGTTTTCGCCAGTGTCGGCACCGAGCGAATTGGCAGATCCCGCACTTGTGTACTCTATTTGCTACTGCTATGCCGATAGTCCCGCATCCTTTAACGAGTTTCTACATGGAAAAGATGGACACAATGAGCAATCAGCATCAACGGGGCAACCATCTTATCGTATCTCTCCCCATAGGGTCCGAAAGCCAAACCCAATCTCACAGTTTATAGACTTTATAATAGAAACTGTTACCGAAGCATGTGTGGCTACATATCGACAAGTAGCTGAATTTGCAAACTCGAAGGTCAATTGTCAAACGGCCGGGTCTTCTTCTGATGACAATCTTGCGAGATCCAGTCTTTATTTGGACAATGGTGAGCCGTATCTAGTATCGAGTCAACAACACGCTCTGGACTCTTCGTTAGACTCTAGACCACAAGGAAGTCGCACAAAACAGAGAGATTCAAGTAGCTCAAGAATCTCACCAGCAGTTAACCCAAGCTTAGAGGCACAGTGTTCAGAAACCGATGACAAAAGCAACCACACTGTGGAATTAGAGGGACTCGAACCCATCATGGAGGAGAACAGGGGAGCAAGTGCTTCTGTTTCCTCTTGCACAAACGATATGTCACTGGCCTCTCTATTAGTAGCGGATTCTCAATGGATTTACTTTTCTTCTGATAGCATACCCTGCTTAATGGCACAATTGGGGCCCGTTGCGCCTTTGAAGCCAGAGAGCTACAAAGATTTCTTCACGAGGTACCACTGTGATGCTATACGCAATGATCAAAAGGACGTTCCACAGAAAGGGAAGCCGGCAAGTAGTGCTGCAAAAGACAAGGGCTCTGCTATCCAGGTTGACCCAGCAATAACACCCGAGGATCTCGCTGAGCTTAACCTGGAGTTAGCACTTTCCCTTATTTTGTTTGAACTATATGGTGATGAACCGTCGGCTTTTATACTTAATAGTCTTCTGGGGTTCCTGAATTCAGACTATGAGGATCTCATTGACGAGGAAAGTTACTCAAAGCAAAAGCATCCTGTGACCCAACTCCGCCTTAGTGGATTGAAGAAGCATGTGAAGATAAGTGTCTCTGCAGTGTATTACGCACAAACTGCAGGAAAGGGGTCGCACTGTACGTATTTGAATTATACTTCGCAAAACAAGAATGCTTCTCTTATTAGTCGCCTTCGAGAGGCTATTTCGGCAAGTTGCGTAGAGGGGTTAAGGAAAGATTCCGTAGGAAGCGTTGGCAAAGGCAAAGATTCAAAGCAAAGAGAGCAGATGCCCACAACTGTTGTTGTAGAGGCTTCAGCGTTTTCTAAAAGTCAATATGGGCGCATAAATAGCACGCCACAGCGCCTCTCTAAAACGGTATTTGCAGATTTTATCAAAGCTAAAGCACAGACATCGTTCTCGATCCATCCTAATTATAGTTTAAGGAATTACTCCACATTCTACCTCACTCCAAACGACAAATCCTCCATTTCATCCTCACCCTTACAGAGACGAATTGACTTTTATCGAATGTGGGCTAGCCTTTTTGTTCAACCAGAATCTGACCTTGGTACTGGAGACTACGCTGATCACTTTGTAATGCTTTCTGAAACAGAGGAAAACATATCCAGGATTGAAGTAGTGTCCCAGAAGGATAGCGGTGATGGGCTTGGTCCCTTAACGACTGCTATTCCAATGACCGCTAAACTTAATATTCTCTTTGGAGATAAAAGTGTGGGCATAATAAAGCAGTATACGCTAACATACATACTATCAGATTGTAGCGTTTTTGTGGATACATCGGCTCTCCAGGAGCCAGTGCCCATTCCAGCACACCTGACGCCGGAAGAGACGGAGAGACCTGCAAACGAATCATCAGGCAACCCGTCCAGAACTCAGAGTAGAAGTGGTGCTCGTGGAAGCGTTAAGACAGTCGACGCCAATCCTGTAGCATCCTCACTGGTAGAAAGTAGTTCTTCTCAAAACCCTGCACCACAAGAGCCTGAGCGCGCTCTCATGTGTAGAATTGCCTTGGAAGAAGACCTCCTTTATACAAAGCGACCAGATCTAGCTCGATTTGCGCTGATTGCCGAATTCTGTGGTGCGCTCACCCCTAGCAGGTCAACAGCGTGTTGCAACACCGACCATATTGAGTTTGCAATGTATTCTGATGGGTCGTGTAATGTCCAGTGCAATGGCATTGTGCTGGTTGATCTGACTTTTGCAGAAAATAACGAGTCGAAAATCCAAGTAACTGCACACGAAAAGCTCTCGAGTCCAAATGATTCTATAGATACTTTGCCAAACTTTATCTCCAACATAATATATGAAATAATTGGGTTTCTAACAGAGTATGGTGCCGCTAAGTCACAGTCTAGGCATAGCACCACGTCGGAAAAATATTCTACCAGGCAAGACTGTAACGTCAAGCACAGTTCTGCGCCGTTTCTTTTTGGCGACGAAGTTGAACGAAGCGAAATATCTATGGAGTACGCTAGACTTGTTCCGAACATTGCAAGCGTAGTGTTGGCCAGGGTCCCCGACGATCTTTTTTCTGACAGTGCATACTCCAATGAAACGCATGTTTTGTTGATCGAATTACCTATTTTTAATACATTTATTGTGCGTTTTTTGGTATCAAAAAGCACGCTCTTTTTACTGAGTAATGGAGATGCAGTGTTTATAGAGGGATCGTACTTGCATCTCTTTCGCTCTGACACTGCCTTTTTATCTATTCTTCAGGTCAGATCATCTCCATCAACCTGTCTAGTTCCCACCCAAGGAGGCTCGAGTGCAATTCCAGTGTATAGCTCCCCGCTCGTTTTATATGCCAGCCAGGGATTTCCTTTCTGGAACGTCTTCTTTGAGCAACGGAAGAAGTGGTTGGTCACCCGCAAGATTCCTGAGCGTATCAATTTCAATCCAAAAAGCAGACCGCATTTGGGCCAACATAACATTGAACGTGAGAGCATGGCTCTAAAAGATACGCTTACGTTGGCAAGGCAAATGTGTAACTTAGCACAGAAGGAGTATTCCGAATTTCCTGCAGTATATCCTTGTTACTTAGATATTTTTGGCACAGAGTCTGTTTGGAGAATGCATCACGAAGCGTTTGTTACCGGAACAGACTCTGTTGTTGTGCCTTTGCGTGGTGTAACTCGCTTTCTCTTGGGGTCTCCAGAAGTACATGCGCCTGATTGTCGAGGTCATAGTATTTCCCCGTATCCACCTAGTCTTTCCTTACTGGATTGGACTGGCAATACAATCTTTTGCAGATTGGGCTGTACCTTTGAACCAAAGATCACCAAGTTCGTGACTCTGACGGAGTCAGTACAACAACCCGAAAGGTCGTTATCTAAAGAAAAGGGCGCATCCAGGAAAGAGACATCGTCTACTGGAACCCAATCGTCTAAGAAGACCTCTAAGGAACCTCCTCGTGTAGCCACCGACACCAATACATCTGCAGAGCAGCAAAGTCAGGACGTTGCTTCTGATGCATTAGCAAAGCCGCCTTGTACAATCGTGGAGAAAAAACTGGACTGCTTCAACTCTGTGAGACCCTTCCTACCCCCAGTCATCCCACCAAAAGTTCAGGCTGATGTTGTCGTTGAATTAGAACGCGTACTCCAGGAACGTGAGGATAAGGCGATGCAAAGAATATTGAAAAGAGAGCAAGCGCTTAATGACGTTCTCGAAAAGCAATCTGTAGAATCTGCACCTAGGAAAGATGCAAAAGAGAAGTCGCCAAAGAAATCTAATAAAGATACTAATAAACCAGAGACTACTCTGAAAGAAGAGCCCTTAGAAAATGATGCGCCTTTAGAGGTTCACCGCGAGATTGTCGACATCCTCAGTGAGGTCAACCCAATTAAAACATACTCCGCTCTCCAATTGTTCTTCAAACATTTCTCAGATATTTCTCGGCAAAAGATGGAGCAAGAGGCTGCTATGGCTGTTGCTCAATCCTCAGCTAAGGGGAAGGATCTTAAAAACCAGGTGGAGCCTGCTTTTGTCAGTATCCCGAAGGTATCCTCCGTATACCTTTCCCGACAAGAACATCCGCAGACAGCAGAAGGGCTGCTGGATGATTGCATGCAGGATCCAAATGGCATTCCCTTGCCCTGCTGCCCCATCATTAGTCCAAGGTATTTTATTTACCCTATCAGTCCAGATTTGCGCAACGCGCTTAGCTACAGTGTAGAGGACGAGTGTATGGGATATCTGCGCAACTGTGAGCCCTGGGTTTGTCTACACGATGCAGACATATCATACTTACGGTACATCGGAATGCTGCATCAGCTTATCGACTCCAGTAATTACACGGCCATAAGCTCACGCTCGTCCCAAGCATACTTTAAAATTTCAACCACCAGCAAACTTTCTTGTCTGCCTCGTTACCTATTCTCCCTTCCCCTTTCATCCATAGTTTGCCAGATACTAAACACCATGCGGTCTGCACTTGCGTTTACTAATTTACCGATGACCTCAGCGCTTGAGGACAGTCCATGTGACGCGAGCACGCTCTCTACCACATCTAGAGGAAAGGCTGGAGCGAAAGGCGTGATAACGAGGGGCGGGACACACGCAACAGTTGCACAAGGCATAGTGCTGCCTCCGAAACTTAAAGGAAAGTCTGCCTGGGAAACTGGTGCTTCCGATCCTAGCCCTCTACACGTCCCATTTGGAGAGAGATTTCTATCATTGTTCGATCCTAACAGTCCATATCTGCTACACCCTGGCGATAAGTACGCAGCGAATGTGGTGGAGTTCATAGAGCTCCATTCATTCCTTACGAAGGGGGACCTTTTGTGTTATCAGCACTTAGAACAAACAAAACTCAATTGGAAGCTTAGTGCCGCACAAAGAGACATAGTTATTCAGAGTTACCAAAAGATGGAGACGACCGGAATAGCACTTGGTAAAGCTCTGACATCTGTGATTGCAATTCTGAAGAAGGAGAAGAGACAGCGTGAGAGGGAAGCTATGCGTGAGCTGGAACAACAAGAGGAGCTGGCGCGTCAGATGGCCCTGTTTGCAGAACAACATGTGCGCTCTAACGAAGAAGAGAAGAATGAAGTGAGTTATGATTACAGTGTTGATAAACCCACCAAAAGCGCAAGGCCGAGAAAGCACATGAACACTAAAAAGCCTGTGGATATGGCGCTCCCGAAAATTGCGAACATCAGCCCTCCGCCGCTAGACTGGAAGCGGCAGTTTAACGATGAAGACCTTGACGTCGAGTATGCTGCTCTGAGTGTTGATGAGCTGCGTCGTAAGAGCTATGTCGAAAAATATCCCCTTTTGAAATACGTGCCCGCTGATATCGACCCCCGAGAAAAGGCCATGTCATCCAAGATGTTAGCACACCAGACGATTATACAATCAACAAGCGGAAGCAGTGTACTAGGATCTAGCAAAAACAATCCTACAATCCTTCGAGCAATCCCAACCAAAATCAACATACGCCAAAAAACCTTTAATGTTCTGTTAAAAAATCTATCTGAAGATATTCTTTCAGTCTCATTGACATATGACTGCAACATTCTCAATCTCTCTGAACCAACTGGACCACTCACACTCTCCCCACAAACAAGCATTGATCTTCATTTTGAGGTGAAGCTCCATAGGCCAACAGAAATAGTAGTCAAAGGGGAAACGCTAGCAGGCAATTCAGACAGTATCGTAGTATCATGTGTCGGAAAAATCATGCCTACAAGCACCTCTTCACACTCTGGTCTTAGATGAGGTCGCTATTACTTCTTGTTGATAGGTCTGGCGCCGGTATAAACGGCTGAGTCATTGTTATTTGTGTACCCATGTTGCTCAGATGCTGCGCAAACCCTTGGTAGCTTATCGCATTCAGGTGAGCGCCCTCATTAGCCTTTGCACCCGTGTCACCATCTACTACTTGACCCTTTTGTCTAACCTTTTCACCTTCTGCTTTCATGCTGTTGGAAAGTGATGAAATGTAGGCAGTTATTTCTATGCGAGCAGAATCGATTTTTCCCCTGAGCGATTCATCCAAGCGACCTTCTACCGCTTCCAGCTCCGCCATTAGAGTCTGTATTTGGCCCTCCACTCCCTTAATCTGGGCACTTATATCCCTAAGCTGCTGTGTAAACCGCTCCAGCCCTGTAGCAATTGAGTTGGTTGCTCCAATAAGCTCTGAAAACTGCTCTTGACGGAAGGAATTCTCCCCAAGAATTACCTGTATGAGCTGATCCTTTACAGCGTTGCAGGACGTCTCTATTGTGTTCTGAACCCGTGTCAGCTGAGCGTGAGTTTCATCCCGCAGTAAAGAAAAAAGAACATGAGCTGTGTACGGCATGTCTGCACTTGAGGCGGTCATGTGAGTCGGAAGGCAAGCTGCCTTAGCCTGCGAAACCGGTGCTAGCGTTTGTTCAAAAGAGGAGCCAAAGAACGACATGCTTTATTGCCGCAATACTGTACAGCTTACGGAGGGAGCTCATCGAACTCTACTGTACATAAGTTTAATGCAGAAATAAAATACTAACAAAATGGCTTTTTATGCCGAGGAGCCTGGCGCCAATGCGTTTAATGGAACTGCAGGGCCGACAGCGCCGTCTGGTGCTTCTCACGAGAATGGCCCGCCGACAGAAGAGGAGTTACGAACAGTTGCGCCTCCAGAATGGATGCTTTCTACCCTCGATGAATCCGTAGGAACTACGTTCAAGCGGGAGTTCACTACCATGGGGAAGAAGACTCTTCAAATTCTTTGGATTTTCAAGTCTAGCACCGCGGATCATGCCGTTTATGAAACATATGACTTCATCGGACCCACGTTCTGGTTGACACTATACTCATTGTTCTTGGTCATCATAGCTACAAAGAACGGTGACAACACAGGGTCCTATTTCGGCATAGCTTTTGCCATATACTTCTGCGTCGGCTACTTAGTGGCCTTCAACACAAACATAGTCGGAGGGCGGGTGCATATCCCCGGCACCTTTTGCTTCCTCGGCTACTGTTTGATGCCCCTTGCGGCATACACATTTGTGGCAATGATGATGGCGCTTTTGGCAGGCAATCTGGCTAACTGGATTAGGTCGCTCATCGTTGGGCTCACTGCCATTCTTGCAACGACTTGGTCTTCCCTGGCCGCCTATGCTTTCTTTAAGAACTTAGCCCTCCAAGGAAAGGCCTTTATGACCATTTATCCAGTCATTCTGTTTTTCGTAGTTTTCGGCGTTTTAGGTTTGATTGGTGCTAAGCAATACATCCAACCACAACCATGACAATGATCTCAGCTAGAACAGCAACCTCAACCCTTGTTAGGAAGGAGCCTTCTAGAGCGTTTTTGTGAATGGTATTTACTTCTGATTGGCTCCTGGCAGACGTGTGTCACCGTCTGATTTTTCGCTGAGCAGTAATCACCGACGATAGATCGCCTCCCTCTCGATACTCCTGGATGGACGTGTCGATGTGGAATTCCCGCCCATTCTGCAGAACCGCTGCAAAACGGTCATCAGCCAGAATGTCACCCTCTGAAACTGCAGTGGATGATAGCCACGGGTTCTCATCGTAGAGCTTCTGCAGGTCGCTGGTTAGCCGCCTCAGCTTGCGAGAGTTTCCCGATAGCTTGGCGTCACTGATCTTTTGCTGAAGGAGCTTCTCCTTTCTAGTCACAACTAGACTGAAACTACTATCATCAGCGCGACCTTTAGGGGAACTCGCAAGTGCTGTTTCATCCTTCTGAGCTTGTTGATTGGCCTTTTTCTCTTTTGTCCGCTGCTCAAGGTACTTTTGAAACGGAGTTTGCACAGTTGGGGCCATTATTGACCGACCTGGTACTGAACTACCTGTTAGTATGGAATCAAAGCTTATAAAAAGGTCGTCTTTGCTGTGCTTACTGTGCTTGCCGTGCTGTGGCTCATCTGATCCGATACTGCTTCCATCATCATCATCATTGCTGTCACTACTATCATCTTCTGTCTTATGATTACCTGTTAAAAGATCAAAGCGGCCTGCTCCATCGCTCTCATCTTCATCGCTCATGGCAATAAACTGGTTGGCCGGGTCATTTGCCCAATCGTGCGCCTCCTCGTTCGATAGTTTCCGGGTGGTTATCTTCAACCGATCAGGATCTGTTTGGTCCCATGTGAGCTCGGGTTTTGTCTTTTGGAGCGCTTTCGTTTCGAAGTCATCTTTTGCAGCGTAGAGTTGCGGAAAAGAAAAGCACGCGTCCATCAGCCATCCTCCTTCTGCAACGGGAATCAGTTTGTCCCCCTTCAGGAACTGAGCCTCGTCCTCCAACATAACTACGCGCAGATCTAGTGTGCAACTGGAGCGTTCAAAGAGCACGCCATTTAACTGCGAGTAAATGTTAGAAGCGGTCTGTATGGAATTAAACTTAGCTATTGCAAAGGCATAACGCATGCGGTCGAGCTCGTAGCGCCGAATAGCATTCTCTGCAGCTGCTTCTGCTTCATCAGCGTTAGCATCAAAGTAATCCTTAATGTCGTAGTATTCTGAAGATAACTTCGTCACCGGCACCTGCTTAGTGTTCTTAAACTCTACCGCCCCGCTGTCCATGTTCCTCCGGTATTCAGCAAATATCTTTTCTCGCTCCTTATCGACATAAGCATCCAATCCCGGGCCTTTGACTGCTTCCTGGGCCAATCTCTCACGTCCGAACTCAGACATAAACACCCTGACATGCTCCAGCTTTCCTGTCGCTGGCAGAAAGGAATGGAGCACGACATACAGATCGGCAGCTTTTATGTGGTCCCAATCCATGTTAACGATGGCCAAAGACGTTGATTCTTCTCCGTCCACGTATGGAATTACTTCGTCCTCAAGATCGTCAGAATTAAGAGGATACTCCTCTTCTATTGGCTCTGCATGCTCATCACTAGAATGGTCAGACTGCATTTCTTCTGTACTATGAGTCTTAGACGACTTTGTTTCCATGGCCATGTCCGCAATAGACTTGCCCAGGTTTGCAAAGCGGGCATCACCATCGACGTTTTCTTTACGAGATGTTCGTGATTCTAGTTGTATAAAGCGCGAATCCCTTCCAATTTTAGAGAAACGCTTGTCTCTTGTGCTCATAGCTTTTTAATTAAATGTTACTTTGATGAAGAAGATTACTTAAGCCTGTGCGTTATGCTTTCCTGCTGTCTAAGCTCTATATATTCTATACGTGCCTGAATGTGGTAGGGCTCTGACCAAAATGCGGCTCCTATTCCCCAATAGGGATTTTTTGCGCGTTTTCCATTTGGATTATGTATGAGATGGTGCTCCTCGTCCCGGTACGCCTCTCCCACGGCGAGGTACGGGCGCTCCCGGGGCCGGTCGGGTAGCGGGTCCCGGTGGTGCTCCTCGTCCCGGTACGCCTCTCCCACGGCGAGGTACGGGCGCTCCCGGGGCCGGTCGGGTAGCGGGTCCCGGTGGTGCTCCTCGTCCCGGTACGCCTCTCCCACGGCGAGGTACGGGCGCTCCCGGGGCCGGTCGGGTAGCGGGTCCCGGTGGTGCTCCTCGTCCCGGTACGCCTCTCCCACGGCGAGGTACGGGCGCTCCCGGGGCCGGTCGGGTAGCGGGTCCCGGTGGTGCTCCTCGTCCCGGTACGCCTCTCCCACGGCGAGGTACAGGCGCTCCCGGGGCCGGTCGGGTAGCGGGTCCCGGTGGTGCTCCTCGTCCCGGTACGCCTCTCCCACGGCGAGGTACGGATTTTCTTCTGAATTTTCTTCCCAACTGGAGTGACAAACTTCAGACTCGATACCGTTAGATAGAGCTACATCATTGCAAAATACTTCCTTCGAATTTTCAGATATGCTATCGGATGGATCACAGCTTTTCTCCTCATTATCACAGGGCTTGATCTTACCCAAAATAGAGCATGGAGGAGGCAAGCTTATTCCCTCACTGGCTGCCCTGATATGTGCGGCGGGTTTTTGTTGCTCTATCTTGTATGGCCGATCTGTCAAATCTTTTTTTGCTGTGAGCGTTGATGATGAATCAATAGCACAGTAGGACGGTTTATTTAAGTTAGTACCTATACCATTACGGTCTTCATCCGCTGACAAGCTGAATGTGTGGGCGCTTTGTTGTAACGGAGAGTCAATTGTGTATGTGGTCAGCCCAGGTAAATCCTCCCAGAAAGATGACATCTTTTCCTCTGGCTCAGCATTCTCATCAACTACTGGTACATCAGTGTGACTACTAGCACTATTCTTTGTAGATTCAGCTGATACGGGATGCTTGGATGAGAAATTACTGTTGGACCAATCCTTTGACTCAATAGTGTGCTCTGTAGTGAATTGATCGTCTTGTTTTCGCTTGTCTACTTCTGTCTGCGTGCTTCTAGTAGAGAAAATACTACAAGGATTGTGTTCTATTGAACCTAGCGTCGGTGAATTAATAGCTACCCCTTTAAAAGTGTTTGTTTCTGCGTCAGTGAATTCACCTGAGGCTAAAGGTGGTTGTGGAGTTGCGTAAGATATGTGACTATGAGTATGTTGCATCTGCGATGAAGTAGTAAGAAGAGCGTAGCGCGGTTTGGTCAGATCTTGAGGAGGATGTGTTTGCATAGTTTTATTCACCGTTTCAATGGGGTTGATCGACGGCTGGTCTACTACTTCTTCAAAAGATTCCATAAAGGGATAGCTCAAGGTATCACTTGATGAAATTCCGACATCTGACACAGGTGAGGCATTGTTTGTAAAGGAGTTAGACTTGGAAGGGAGCCACTCTGGTCGCTGATGTTCTAGAAAGTTAGAACTTTCATTTTGAAGACTATGGTGCAGAGGCTGATTGGATAGAGAAATTATGTGCAACGCACTTTCGATTGCTTCTACGGCATGCATCTCGATGTCATGCTCTCGCAATTCATCCTGAGTTGGTGATGAAAATATGAGATTATCATGCTTATCGTGCCGTGTCTTGATGCATTTAGTGGGGGCTCCCTCCAGTTTTGGATAGGGTTGTGGAGAGCCCTGCAGGCGAGGTGAGAACTTCTCACCAGTGTATATCTGGGGTGATGCGACACGTTGTAAATAAAGAGGTACAGCTTTCTTTGCAGTATCTACAGGTTTTGCTGGTGGATCTACTGGAACTTCTGAAAAGCTATCAATGTAAATAGCAGTAGGGATATCTACATGGTTACCACCCTCCGAAAAAAGGTGGGTTCCGTGTGGTTTCATAAATTTTGCAGTGGCTCTTTCTGGAGACCCCGGACGGTATGGAGAGACAGTGTGTTGATTTGTAGACGCTAGTGCTTCGCCACGTCGTATACCATTCATCGTTTTAGATGCGTTTTTGACTTTGGGTATATTGCTGTTGGGCTTAGTAGAATGAAACAATGATGACCCTAGACCTTTATGCTCATCGCTCTTTCTTTTGAAGGCGTATACCGGTGGCTTCCAAGTTATACCCTCGGCTGCGTCCATATGTTGGTTAAAGCCTAGAGAGGATGTGTTTATTGCTCTCAAAAAATGTCCACCCCAAAAGTCCCACTAGAGCAAATAACATACACAAATGTCGATAGGCAAAAGGTCCTTCGGGCGCTGAAGCCTGGAGTGCACGAAAATGAACCTCTGAGAAGGAACTCTCTGAAGTCGGGCCGGGTTTTTAATGATGTTCAACATCAGTCAAGGTCTGGGTCAAGGTCCAATGTTCCTGTCCTACCATCCTTGCGGAGTGGTAGCCTGGTTCAGAACAACAAACGGCGGGCCTCAGATGCAGCAGGGCTCCTACAGAATTCAAATCTATCATCAGCATTGCATTACCGGAGCTCTGAAGAGGCATCGGGCTATTCTCCTCATATATCTTCGTTGTATCTTCATCGGCCCCAGAATGTTTTACCTGTGACTAACTATAGCGATCCACCTTCAGTCAGCACAACTTTAATAGCCGGTCAATCTACCCCTCGGACCACAGAGCGTTCTTCCCTGAAGAGAATATCAGAAGGATATTCTGCAGGCGTATCTAGTAGCCCCCGGATACAACCCGTTCATAAAACCCCCATCCAGCAGCCTCTTACCCCAATTAACTTTTCATTACCTGGCCCAAGATACAGTCGAAGTCGTGCAACAAGTGGATCGAGCAGCGGGTCATCGACATGCATCCGAAAGTATAAGTACAACCCTCCCAGCATAGGGGACCAAAGTGCTTCACTAGGATCGTCAGATAACACATCCATGGCTGCAGCTGCAACTGTCCGAACATCGCCCCTCACATCCTTAGTATCCAGTGCAATGGCTAATTGTTCGCCAGAGCTTCAGGCGATAGCGGACACTCCCTTTGGATCTGTGCCAAAGGAAAAGGAGCAAGTTAAACGGTCATCGACAACAATCACTAAGCGGTGTGCATATGGAAAGCCCCTTGTTACTATTGATGACATATGTGAGGTAGACCGGATGTTTCACACCCTTGAGACACCTGGTGCTATACACACCACTTCCTCGGTGATCAAGGAGTCAAAGGGGCTGCCCTCCACAGCTGACTCCCGAAGCTCGATTGATCAGGTGAAGGCTTTACGCCTGAATTTAGTAGGTAGCTCAGATAGTTCAAATGACAATGATCCCGCTCCAATATTAACAGGAAACGCCCGTAGTAAGAGTTGTACTGCTGTCAACAACACAAGTGAATACTTAACCATATTCCTGGGGGCGCGGAAAGGGTGAGAGAATGAAAAAGCTAAAAATGTGTATGCAGACTATCAGAGCTCTGGCCGGAGCACTCAACGTCTCTCTGCAGTTCATGCGTTGGCAGCGCACAATGATGACGTGTGCATATGTCGCCCACACACACCCGCGCTCATATAACCCAGATACTAATATCGACGGGATCATTGAGTGCTTTATCGAGTGTCGAGAATCCCTCACGGAGTCGGTCTCTGTATTGGAAGACTCACTTGCTGGCTTGGAAGAGTCACTATACACTGAATGCAAGGATGTGCTATTACTTGCAAATCACGTCGTGTCTTCAGACAACCTTCTTTTGGATCAATTTCTCATTTCTGCAGGGACAGAACCCACTTTAATTTCAGACGAGCTTATCATAAAGGATATGCTCACGCCCAGTGACGTTTCCGCCTACCGGACAGTGAGAGGACCGCTGAGCGACATCGTCACCCAGTACAGCCTTCTTCGGCCCCCTACCTCTCAGCCAACACTGATCGATCTTTCGAAGATGAGCCTGGCTGAGTTGGCACAACGAGCTCATGGTGCCTTCTCTGATTTACTTCACGATTTGAAAGCATATGCCGCAGACTATGATGTGGTTAATAACAATGCTGAGACCCTATTGACGCAGGTCTGCTGCCTTCCAAAGAGTGAGCTTGCAGCTCTAACAGCAGCCCTTCGCGACCGCTTCTCTGAAATGTATACCGAACTCCCAGCCCCCGTCGATTCTAATGATAATATGGCTATCTGCCTGAGAAAGCTGATTGTATTGGCTTCTCAGCTTGTTTGCTCTGATTCTCCTTTTCCGAAGGATCATGATGAAGCGCGGCTACGCGCTGTGCTTGAGCGGATTCTGACAATAGAGGATACCAACAAGACAATCCTTTTGGCTCTAGAGCCGCTCCTGAGCGAGTAAACTCTCTGAATGGAGACTATTGAATTGAACGCACTCAATGCTGTATGGGAGTTCAGCGTCTCAACATATGTTAATGCGCATATGTTAGTGCACGTAACACTCACGAGGACTGTGCGATGGATAGTTCTATATGTGCGCTGTGCCACCGGGTCTAGCTTGCAAGCATGATTTGCAGCCGACGAGTGAACTCTCGCTCCTTTGGCCATGTCAACGACTTCAATTGGTAGCTCACATGGACAATAGTAAACAGTATGCGTTTACCTTAGACTCCCGAGCACCGAACTAACTGCTATTCATAGTTGTAGTGCAATCCTAAAAATGTCCCTAAGAACCCTTGCTGTAAATAAGTTCGTTGCCTGGCGCTTCGCCAGCGAGCTTGCAGCATGTGCTGTCTGCAAGATCCCTTGCCATGAACTCTGTCCAACGTGCGCCAGCACAGACTCGACGTGCTCTTTGGTCAAGAGCAAGTGCGGCCATGTCTTCCACACAGAATGTATACACACATGGCTGACTAGCAACGTCATTTGCCCACTCTGTGCTGCGCCATGGGAGGCGATTTCCCTAAAGTGACCTTGTCTTAGAGTTAGCTCTCAAGGCCTTCCCACTGGCCTTCTGCAGAAGCTGCTGTGCAATGCAGCGCGCTTCGCTAGCCTTTGCATGCACGGGGCTTTGTTCTCCTGGGGTAAAGCCCTTAAGCGTTAGGCCTGCGTCCGCCCTAAATGTCATCTCTTGCAGAATACCGTTCATATGCTGCCCAGCTTCGTTAATGGGTAGGCTGCTAAAGGTAAGGACCTGTAAATTCTGAATCCTACTAGCATCTAGCTTGCTATTATTGACGTGACTGCACATTGCCATTCGGCTCGTTGTCCTCTGGAACTTGTAGTCCGGGTCGCGCATCTGCTCCTCCCATGCCAATTCATCGCTTAGAAACTGCTCTCCTGCAGCAGATAGGCTTTTCAAATCAGGTTCTATATTCCTGATCACATCTGTACTCAAGCCTATGAGCTCTAAAGGAGCCACCTTTATCTTTCCTGCGTGTTCTACCACTTCCTCTAGGCAAGGCACGTTGAGTGGTTTTACCAGCTCACCAGTGGAGATGACAAGGCCCTTTGCGAGCTCGGCAGACGACAGGCCTTGGTAGCGCAGCTTGTCGTTGCAGACAGCCCGCCTGATCTCTTCTGCTGTGTTTGATGTCTTGGACATGTTGCGATTCCTCTTAGATATTGTACGTGCTCTCCTGGCTGCATTCCTATAGACGGCTATTCCGGCGTTCTTCTCATCAGTCATGTAAGACTTGGATGGTGTATTCTTTATAAGTGCTATGCGATTGAGATGCTCTTGGTGCTGCACCTGTCTCTCTTGCCGCATCAAGTCTTCATTATTCTGATACAAAAGCTTCATGGTATTCTTTTGCTCTCGCTTTTCGTCTGCATCTGACTTAGTTATTGTGCGATTGCTGGACGACCGATAGCGACTCTTCTCCATGCTCAATTGCTGTCTGTAGAGCTGTGTGTCCACTGACTGCATTATCTCTCTTGACGTATATGACAACACGCTTCCAGATGCTTTTCTAATCTGTGTGGCTGATGCAGGTCTGGTGGGTTTCCGGGATGGACTTAATGTGTTAGATGTTCTAGATTTCTTAGGATTACCGATCTTATTTGTTAAGTGTTGAGCTTCTGCTATGGTACTGGCAGGTATTTTTCCGGTGAAGTGATCCTGAACCAGATCCCCATCACCTGCCAATCGATCTCCTTGCATGGCTATATCAAGCAACACAGAGTGCCGGTTAATCTTCGCTGATGGGTCTGTATCACTATTGGCCGAGAACCTGGCTTGTGGAGTATTCCGGACAAAGATTTGTGAAGATGGCCGTGTAACGCTCTCTCGGACTTTTCTGTCCATGTTTCGTGCTGCCTCAATAAATAGCTTGTCTGTTGCATTCTTCTGGAGTCTGTACTCCTCCTGAATGACATCAATAAAGGTTGGTGTGATCTTAGTGGCTATGGACGTGTTGGGAATTAAATCTTTGTCAGCAAATTCCGGATTGGCCATTTTTTCGTACGAGATTGCATTTGTTTCCAACTTGAGTGGATTTTGACTGATTGATGCCTTGACAAGACGAACGTACGCATCTTCGTCAGCATCTTGAGCGGTGGGATGTATCGAGCGTGCAGCCACGGAGTCGGCAACAGTTGTTCCGCTTGTAGCTTCTTCAGGGGTTCCGACTGGTTTGGCCGAGGCTCCACCAGATACATTAGATTTTCCAAACATTTTCATGCTATATGCTGTATTGTATTCTGGACTGATCTTACTTGCTCGAAACTGCCCATCTAGGCTCATAATTCTGTCAAACTCTTCAGTTGTGTCAGCATTTCTTATCAATATGTCCAGGGGCTCGGCTGTTTTTGCAATAGTATCACGCTGCACCACCAAGGCGTCGTCATCAATGATCCCAATTGTAGTCTTCAACCCCGGTGCACGGAGCATGTTCTCAGAGGCTGCAATCTCTCTTTTACGCTGCTGATGTTGGTCAGATAACCTGTCATTTGCTTGCTTTGTTATCAGTGACTCTAGCGTGACTTGCTCGAGTCTGCTTGGGTATGCTTCTTTTGCCTCCACAGCTGTTCTCATAAAAGACTCCTGCTGGGTGGAGCTGAGCGGTCGTACTTTCATAAATTGGCTCTTGGCGCGAGCATGCATGACCCCCACGCTTGGAGTCGATTCCAGCAGATGGGTCATAGTGTCATCATTGACTGTTGTCCGTCCCAACTTAGTAGTGGAGGCCAATGATAAAGCATACTCGGTTGTGTCTGCCTCAGTTTTGCCTAGTGTTTGAGTACAACCTAATTTATTCTCAGATTGCTTAAATGTATCTTTGTGGGCATACTGAGAAGATGCGAGCGCTTTAAATGCATTGCTTGTGAAAGCTATTGAAGAGCTAGCTAAAGCAGCGGCGCCAGACCTTCGTTTTGTCTTTAGCTCATTCTCTTCTAGAACATGTTTATCCATCGCTAAATTGCCAATAACACCAGTCCTGGCAACTCCTAACTCCGAAACGCGCATAGCCGAGTGTTCCGACGGAAGTGGATTGAAGGCATCAGAGGCTAGCTGGGTCATCGCTAAGTGTTGATCAAGATGCTGGAGATCTGCATCACGATCAGAGGCGAACGAGCCACTGATCAAACCATTAGCCGAGGCACTTGTTGGCCCAGTCCGTTGTGTCAACATAGCGGGCGGATTGGTATGTGCCATTTTCGTTGTTGCATCGTCTAGAGTGTCACCGATGCTTTCGTTTGAGGCTTGTAGAAGATCTATAGACTCTTCCCCGTCGTTAGAGTTAATTTCGCCTGTCATAATGAATTGTTTAAGATGATCGCATACCTGTTGCTCCAACATCAGCGTGTTTTGCCGTTCTCTATCTGCAAACTGTCTCTGTTGGAGTATTTCAGATGGAGGGATGCAGTGAGAGCGGTTAAAGGACAGCAATCCTAGTGATTTGCCTTTCTCTCCTGAGAGACCCCGTCTTGTGGCAGAGCTACGCCTAGTCGATCTGAATTGAGCACGAGGAGAAAGGAGGTAGTTCGTGTACTGCACCGTGGTATTGAGTTGTTTGGCTCTGTCATAGTCATCCACCGTTATAATGAGATTGTTCAAAATCCGGAGCCTTGGAAACGGAGAATCTATGTTATGGAGAGGCCTCTGATTCAGATTGATAAAAAAATGTTGCGTTTGTCCTTTCTTTGTTAGATTGGCTTCTATGTCTGCCGGCATATCTATGGCACGATTAATATTATAATTGTCTATCATCCCAGCACTCGCGGTTGAAACAATGAGCGAATGGCTGCTGGCTCTTTTTCGTAAATACTCACTTGTGGAGACAGGCCTCTTTGTGGTATTTGAAAGAGAATTTCGCTGGTCCGTATATGAGTCAAGATAGCTGAAGTTAAGCGACCCGAAGAATCGCAGGTGATCTTCATCTGAGCAGTTATCTAGCTGAGTCTTAACAAGCTTAGCTTGGTTGATCCCTGTATTTGCTGCAGAGCTCGCGTTTTTGGCTTTTCGATAAATAAGATTAGCATAGGTCTCTGTTGCACCTAGGCAAGAATTGTATGTGTTGAAGATATCATCGCGCTTACCAATGTAGACCAAGGGGGCCTCCAGGCGCGCATCACTGAGCAGGACGCAGCCCGGGCCTGAAACAACAATGCCTTCATTAGTCCACGAAGACCGACTAAAGAAGGATCCATTAGTCAACTTATGAGCATCAATGGACAGCTGCTTCTTTAAGTAGTCGCTAGTGTCTAGAGCATCATAGGAGCCTTGTTTGACGGCTAACGAAGCCTTCACAGCATTAGCCACCGCAGATGGATAATCACTGACGATAGTCTTGTAGCTGCCTAACAAAAGAAATGGGCTGTACTTGATGTTTGTACGGTGGGTGGCATGCAGTTGCCGGGCACGAGAACTAAATGCTTCTGTGTGAGCTGTTTGGAAGAGTAAGGCACGAATTGCTTCGCAGCGACTGGCTGCAAAGGGTAGCGGGTTGCCCTCTATATTGAGGACTTCTAGATCATTGAGGACTCCCAGATGTTGCAGCTCCCCGACATCCGTCAGGTAGTTGTCACTGAGGTCTAACACCTTCAAGAAGGGAAGATTGGCAGTGATGAACTGAGAGGCACAGTGTGTCAGTCTGTTTCGCGACAGATCCAATTCTTGAAGGCACGGAAGAGCGCGAAGACACGCAGGAACTTTCTCTAGTCCACAGTTAGAAAGACTAAGCACAACGAGCTTGTCCAGAATATCTTTCATTAAAAATGACTGCATAGATGCCAGGGGTCGCGGTATAAGATCAAAGTCCAGATAATCTTGGATAGAGCCGTTGGAGCCAGAATCTCGTTCACTGTGCGCGGCCGAAAGGAGATAATCCATGCTGGTGTCAACGCGCTTGCACGCCTCTTTCTCTTATGTCAAGACAGCTTAAATTTTAGTAAATGCAGGTAAACGACAAGCAACTCCTCGCTGCAAACTTTACCGATTTAACCAGCAACTGGATCACACCGCAACGGAGAGCTGTTTCGACAAGTGCAGTGGCACAGGACAATGGCTTAGACTGCAGAAGACGTGAGAAAGCCGAGGCCATGCGGAGAGGCTATGAGCAGAGAATGGAGCAGATGCGACTCACCAGCAAGCGACAGGTGGAGCTCATGCACAACAAGGCAAATGCAAGGCTACGATCTCTACAAGAGAAACTAACAAAAGGCAACGAGGAGACGCTAAGAGATTGCGACGCCACGCTTGCCATCGCCAACACCGAAAAACAGCTCAACAAGGAGAGACTGTTTATAGACTGGGAAATGAACGTCTTTCTGCCCATTCAGCAGCGAATAATGAACGAAGTTGCCGACCGAAATCCAGAGTTTACTGCTGATCTTCGCCGTGCAGCCTTCCAGGAATACCTTAACGCAGGAAATAGCATGCATATAAGCCTGGACATGCCCACAAACAAGTACGACCCATATAAATTATCCAAATACATGCGCAGCAAGACAGCCATCAAGCTTGATGATCCCCTTCGGCGGCCCGCAGAGATACACGCGAGGGAGAACAAGATTTATAAAGATGTCGGTGGTACCATCCCCTGTGACGTAGAGCACGTGCCACGCAACATACCCGTCTCCAAGTTTGATCGCATGACTGAGCTTTATTACAGAGATGCACACAAGCCGGCTAAGCGGGTACTTGCAAAGCGTGGACTAAATCCTCCGATGGCCCTGGACGAACAAACTTAGTCCCACCTCTACGGTCTTTGTCCCTCTTTGTGCTGATTAGGTCGTGCATTGCATCTTTTATGAATTTCAAACCTGTCTGTAGGTGTGCTGCACTCAGTAGTTCTGCTGAAGCATTAGATTTACTGGTCAACCACTGTGTTGCTATTATCGTTGTCAGCGGGAGTATCATTTCTGTCACCTCTATCATCCTTATCAGTTATACCATTCATGCCATTCATGCCATTTGTATCTACCTCTGGAACATCGAGGAGCGTCCGAGCTTCCTCAGTGCAGGATAAGCTCTTGTCTCCCTCCTGGTTATCAATGTGCTCGTCTTCCCTTGCCGCACCGGCCTTGGACTTAGCGCCAGGTTTGAAAGGTACTATCTCATCGTCATCTTCGTCCACATAACTTACGACAGCATCCCGCAGGTCCCTGTCATACTTGCAATACATGAGCCCGTAGGTCGTTGATAGCAGCGACGGTACAATGTAAAGTAGTACTGGCTGTCCTTTCTGGGAGAAGTACAAAACACACATGGCTACAATGATTGAGACGGCATACGCTGCGATGCAGGCCTGCGTAAGCGAAGGTCTTACAACCAGGCCTTTTGTGGCGGCAATCTGTGCCTCTATTCTAGAAACAAGTGCAATGTATACTCCGGGAAGAATTATGTCGCCGAGGCCAAGCAGCGCAAATTTGGCCGTATCACTGTATGATGTCCAGATGCTAAAAGTATAAAACTCACGAGGCCACACAATCTTGACTGGGATGACTACCTTCTTTGCAACCGTAAGCATTATGGGTGTGAAGAACACAAAGTAGATATCGTAAAAGAAAAACGCCACCAACGTGATTGATGCAATAGTTAGTGTCTTAAAGCGTGTGATTTCAATCGAAAACAGTGCCACTAAAGCAGCCAAGAAGTTCATGACAATCCAGTTATCTGAAAGCCAATAGATAAGCAGCAAGGGGAGCGCAGCAGCAACCGAGACTAGATCTACAGCATAAAGCTTCATCCACTTCACTAGATACTGAGGAGGGTTGTCAAGAGAGCCGGGGTAGATACTCCTAAATAGGAACGGACGCAGAAAGTTGATAGCCATCATTACAAGGACATAGCAAAAGTAGGCCTTCATCAGAATGGGGAGTATGTCTTGGCGGAGCCTTGACACTATTACGTAGAGACCTACGAGGAGAGCGGTGGAAATGGTGAACATCTTCCCAGCACCCTTGCCCCCCAACTGTTCTCGAAAGTCTTTAGTAAGAGGGTCATTTCTTCTGGTCGCCAAAAAGGCACCAAGCGCAACTAAAGCTACAGCGGTGACCCCTAAAGTCACGCCGGCCACTATCATCCTTAAAAATCAAAAAATTCAAAAAAAATTGACGCCGACTTCTTTTTCACATCCTCAGTCCTGCAACACGCATCGATCTGACGATGGGGCTGCGGGCAAGTCAGTACTACGATGTATCTCTTCTAGCGGAGGCGTCCTTTGGGTACCTCTATCGGGTCAAGAAGAGCGGGACCGAGGGATTTATTGCTCTGCGTGTGGCCGACATGCCAGAGGCCTCTCCTGATGACCTTGTGCACCTTGCTGAGGAGTGCAGGCTGTACTTCCAATATCAGCATCATAAAATAGTTCAGTTCAACGAGCCTATGATTGATTGGGAGTCGGGACACATCGAGGTCGAGATGGAATACATGCCTGGCGGCACATTGGAGCAGTACCTCGTCGGAAACCACGGGTCCCAGATTCCAGAGGTGGACATATGGCAGATTCTCGGAGACGTGACAGAAGGTCTTGCCCATTTGCACAGCCGCATCAATGGCCGGGCTCCAACCGCCCACTGCGACCTTCGCCCTGCAACGATTTTACGGAAGCAAAACATATTTAAGCTATCCTTTTTTAGTCTTTCGCGGTTCATCATGCGGCGCCCAAACCGGAAGAGCCTCGCCGATGCGCGGCTCTATGTTGCGCCAGAGACGATGCGGTGGCAAACCAGCGGGCCTGCTGCAGACATCTGGTCTTTAGGTCTCATCATTTTAGATCTTGCGTCCACGCTGACTGTACGCTACGGTTCCGCCGCACACGATCTTAGCTCACTTTCCCTTTCTGGGTATTCCGAGACGCTTACCTGGCTGGTCCACTCCTGTCTGCTCGTTGATCCAACTGAGCGCATAACGGCTGCTGAGATATTTGCATTACTGCCCACCCAACAGGCGGCCCGTGCTGCGGTTTACAATGCCATAATAGCGAGCAGGACACCTGCAGACTACCTTTCAGACTCGCTTTGTTATACAGACTTTTTTGTTTCTCCTCAACATCACGACGCGGGATTGATGCACCAGGCACTCGGCCCCTCGCAAATACTAGACCTCCCAAAAACTAATTCAGCTCCAGATATCGATGCCGATGCTCCTGAAGCAGAACTGCCTAAGTTTACGACCGCTTGTGACGACACGCCGTCCTCCGGGAGGCAGGCGAAGCTTCCGGGCACTCCATCAAGCGTTGTGTCCACAGACTCTAATAGCGATATTCAAGAATATGGAAATATTGCCACGTCCTTTGTTCACTTCAATAGTCCTGGCTCTACACTACACAACCAGAAGGCGGTAATAGAGTCCAAGATACGGCTACTCTCTGTGTCTCCCTATGAAGCCGTCACAACCTCACTTGCATCTAATAACCCCCAGCTCCTCTTTGCCTTGCTCTCTCACATCTATATACATAACGTTTTAATAAACGCAGCAGAGATCTTCCGATACCAATCCCAGCACCTCATAGAAGTTCAAGAGAAGACGCCTCTTATGTGGGCCGCGCACATGGGCGCTACAGCCACTGTCAACGCAAATCTCTCCTTGGTGCGACATGTGTACCTGGGCGACACGGCATTGATGTTTGCTGCATCTGCTGGGCACTTAGAGTGCGTCAAGCTTTTGCTGTCTGAGATCGGAATCCAGAAGCATACGTCTGTCACGGTCTTTGCTCATGTAAGTGGATGGACTGCTCTAATGAAGGCAGCGCAGAATGGACACGCCGTCACAACAGAACTCCTTCTTCTGGAGGCTGGAGCCCGAAAGGCAGACGGTATGACTGCACTGATGCTGGCTGCTCAAGCTAATCACTACGACAGTGTCAGGTTGCTATTAGAGCGGGAGGCTTGCATGCAAGATCAGGACGGCTGGACGGCGCTGATGTATGCTGCCCGAGAGGGGAGTCTTGCCAGCCTTCGTCTGCTGTTAGAACGAGAGAAGGGTATGACTGCAGACAACGGGCAAACTGCTCTTGTGGCAGCTATTCGTGCCGGACAGAAAGAGTGTATTCAAGCCCTGTTTCCATTTGAGGGAAGCCTAAGGAACAGCCAAGGAGATCTCCTTTATGAGCTTGTCCTTGCAGAGATGAAGCGCGCAGAAGCAGTGGAGGCAAGGCAGCGCATGGACATGGTAGAAGATACCATTAGCGAGGCGGCAGGGCACGCCTCGACCATACCTGTAAATTGAGTTAAACCGAGGTCTAATAATTTGGTTAGAGACTCCCGGAACGGAGATGAGTGAAGAGCCGAGTGACGACCTCAACACCTGTCCCCTGTGCTGCAATAAGATGACTGGACAGGATGAACTCCTTTTCTTCCCATGTACCTGCAATTACCAGGTCTGTGCTTTCTGCTTCGACAAAGTCAAAGGTGGCCAATGCCCTCATTGCAGGACAGTATATGACCCTAAAGTATATAGAAGATTGACTCCCGAAGAGTTTATGCGGCAATTTCCCGACAAAAGATTGCCTCAATCTAAACCTCGTTCCAGACCTGTAAAGTCTCATAGGCAAAGCACCCTTCTTTCTTCCAGCCATTCACATATTAATAAGAGCGAATTGAGCAAAACGCGGGTCTTGCAAAGTAATCTTGTTTATGTGACAGGGGTTCCCAATTCACTGACAGTGGACGAGCTGAAGTCTTCTAGCTTTTTTGGTAAGTATGGAACTGTGCTAAAAATAGTAGCCAAGCACAACGCACACATAGAAGCTCATCGGCACACATATGCACTTTACATTACATATAGTACGGACGAAAGTGCAAAAGACTGTATCCTATCGTCTACAGAAACATACCTTGGTGGAAACTTACTTAGGTGCTCATTTGGGACGACAAAGTTTTGCACTTCCTTCCTAGATGGTAAGCAATGCGCTAACAAAGATTGCATGTTTCTTCACGATCTTAGAGATGATCATATAATCTTCACAGAAAAGGACACAAACAATAAGCGCCGCTTCAATGAGTATGTACATCCAAAAGTGCCCCAGAATAGAATTACTTTTATAGACAATCCTGGTCAAATAGCGGGCCTCCCGCCATCATGGGACAAGGAGCAAAGCAAGAACCACTCTGGAGAAATGGACGGCTCTCGGGTCCAAGGAACCCCCACTCCTTATTGGAAGATTGCGCCAGGTAAAGGGCTAGATTTAAAACAGAAACTTGAGTTACTGCACCCCTACGAAATAGAAGAATACACCACAAAGCTTGCCGGCCTCACCTTCCCAGACACCCCTCTATTTTTCCCACTTCCTCCCTGTCGATAGGCACTTCTGGCTAAGAGTAAATTTGGAAATTAAAAAACTGGCTTCTGCAGCAGGATGGAGAAGGGCATCAGCTATTTGAAGCGGAAGAACAAGTACAACGTTTCCGCCTACGATCAGATAGGAAGCTTCTTGCTCAAGCTCTTTTTGGAAAGGCCGCCACAGGAGCGCACTTATCGTGAATTTGAAGCAGAGGCGTCTGAACTGGCTGTAAGCAAGCAGCAATCCAACCAGGTTAGGACAGTCCAGCAGGATGAGCGCCTTCTGTCCCAATTTCTTTACTCGTTTTATAAAACTTTTGAAGCGTCGGGCACTGGAGAAGAGGAAGAGCCAGAACCTGAGCCCGAGCCTGAGGACCCTGCAGAGTACCCTGACATTCCTGACCTAGTATCTCTTTCTACCAGACTCCAGGTGGTAGGCATTCCTTTCTCTTCTCACGATGCCGCTGAACTCCAGTTAGCTATGCGTCGTCTGGCCACCTCAGAGGGGCGTGACGGCGATAAGCTTTCTCTCTTTGGAAAGATAGGCTGCTATTGGGTCTTCCGTGCGGAAACAGATGCGTACATCGAGCCCGAAGAGGAGGTTCCAGAAGAATTTGAGGTGCCCGAAGAGGAGCAGGTGGAAGAAGAACCTCTTGAAGATGTTCCTGAAGAAGAGCTTAATGACGGAGAAGAAAAGGGAGAAGGAGAAGACGCTGAAGAGGCTGAAGAAAAGGCAGAAGAGGATGGCGACCAAGAGGCTCATGAAGATGACGCTGAAGGCGATGACCTTGGTGAGGATAACCATCAGGCCGGTGAGGATAACGAAGAAGACAAAGGAGAGGCCGAAGAAGCCGAGGAAGAACTTCATTCAGACCAGTCTATCGAGGAGGAGTTTAATGTACCAACAAAAATAGCAAAAAAGGTGCCTGTATACTGTGGAAAGCCATTTCCTCTCAGTCACATAAATAGACTACCAATGGAGGAGCACGAGGGGGTTAATAAGGATGTGTTTTTTGTTGCAACAGATTTCGAACTTTCTCAATTTGCAGCACAGATTGCTCTCGAGCTCATGGAGGAGGAACGCATGAAGCAGTACCGCAAGGAGAACCGCCTTCAACAGCGCCCAACCTTTGTAGATAAGCTTTTGCATAACCTTTACAAGAAGCCTCTTTCCTTTGTTCCATTACCTGAAGTAACTCCTGAACAAGTGCGTGTTGCTAGTCTTCTTCCGGCATCTAGCCTTATGTTCACAGGAAACCTCCAGCGAACTGTTAATACAAGCCTGCCCAGATTTGACGGCAAGGAGAGTCATCTTCTTCGTTGTGTCATTGCAAGGATTCAGCATGAGTGTACTATTGTGCCGAATAAAATGTACGTGGCTGAGGTTGAGGAGCCAGAACCGGAGGAGACTATTCTTACTGAAATCGAGAAGCAGGCTCGTGCAATAGAACTGCGAAAAGAACGAAAGCTCTTGGAACTCACGCGGACTCTAAAGGTTCATGAGATACTTTATCATTTTCCTTCCCTCAGCAAGCGAAGCGAAGACGAAGAGCCGGAGAACTGCGATGCTATATATGCAGAGCTCGCGGAGGACTTTACTGGCTTTAATAACATAAGACTCTTGCTATCTCCAACAGAATGGCGTTACTTACTGCCCCGAATCACCGGCCAAGGCCGTGTACATCCTCTTAGCTACGAAGACTATGAAGCAATAGATGACCCAGAGCCTTGGGAGGTTGATGTGGCGTTGACGCTTAAGCAGAAGCGCAAGGAGGAACGCGAACGTATTAAGCAGGAAAAGAAGGAAGCGAAAGAGCGTGAGCTGGAGGAGCTCCGTGAAAAGCTAGGAGAAAAAAGATTTGCTAAGTACATGGCAAAGCGGGAGGAGGAAGGAGAAGATCAGGGGGAAGAAGAGGAAGATCCGTCAGACCCCGATGACCTACATATAGAGCCCGATGATTACGAGGTGGAGGAGCTGGAGAAACCCGATCCAGAGGAGGGAAGCTACGACGACTGGTGCAAGTATCACATGTACAGGTTGTGGACCAAGCTCCGCATCTTCCACAGACCGATATGCCCGTGGGATCTCCCTCTACTAGATAACAAAACAAATATACCCCTGCCTCAGCTCTTTCAGCCCCTGGATGCCGAGGACAGAACCCGTGTTAACTTTAAGGCTCCACAGAAGTGCAGGTACCATATCGATGAGAAGGATCTGCAGAACTCCATGGCCGTTTCTAACACAGTTATGTCCAAGTGGCAATTTTCTTGTCACCAAGATCCATTGAATGGCGACGCATTCTTGACTGTGTACTGCACCAACTGGCCCGGCTCGGTCAATCTTCTTTACGGGGCTCGTGGAAAGCGGCACTCTTTGCTGTATTTCGGAGACGGGGTCTCGTTGTCGAATGTAGAGAGCAACATCAACCTGCCGGACATGTGCATGGTGCCATTCGACGTGGTTGAGGAGGACGAGCTACCTGTTGCAGAGCAAAGGCAAATGTATGAAGCAGAGCAGGAGAAGAAGAGATTGAAAAGAGAGCGCGAAGAGGCTGAGAGATTAGCAGCAGAGGAGGGCGAAGAAAACGAAGAAGCGTGACGCGTTGTATGGTCTATGTAAACGGTGGCTTTTGCCCATAATTCATCGCTTCTAGGCTTGTTCGTCTGCAGAGACAGGGGTAGATATTTTCTTGGGAGGTGTACCCTCCAAGTCGGGACATCGATGCAAAATAGCTACCGTCTCTACATGCTCACAGCCAGGAAACATATTGAAACCTACAAGAGACTCGACATAGAAGGGCGCCGTCCGCTTAGAGAGGTCTGAATCTGTAGATACAATCGAAAGGTCGATGATATTTTGGCTCATTGTTTTAGGATTGCACGATATGTATATTAAGTACTCTAAAGTTGAGTGACGTATCGCCGTGAGGACACTCTGAAAAACCCCTGTTCTTGGTGGATCTAGAATACCTATCTTTGCCGATCCAGAAAAATACTCTGGCGTTTGCTCTGCCTTTCCGCATATATAAAGCGCAGATATATTAGGATTGTCTTTGAAGTTTTCTGAAGCGTTAAATTCGGCGTTCCAGATTGCATTCTGTGAACAATCTAGTCCCTTGATGTTGACGTGCAGATTTTGAACATTTATCATCTTCTTAAGAACGACCTGCGCCAGGCATTGTCCAATAACGCCGCTTCCACAGCAGATGTCGAGTAGCTCAACAGTCAGGAGAGAGGAGCTGATCTCATCCTTATGGGAGCTCATATGGGATGACTCCAGTATGGTGACCACTATGTCTGAGATGTAGTCCAGTAGCATAGTGAATGCTGCTAGATTAGATTGAAAGAAAGTCTCTGGCCCTATTCGGAAATTGAGATTATAAAGTGTCTGCGTAATGTAAAAGCGTGACGGGCTCGTCTCCATCGGTGTAGACGTCACTGGATAGTAACGATCACGGTGGGGCGTTCCTTTCTGAACGGCTGTAGCCTTAACATAAAACACAATATGATAGCGACTCTTCAGTGTGTCATGCACATGGTCGTGAAACTTCAGAATTAGTGGCCATGCCTTCTGAAGCGCAATGCTATAGTCTGAAGTTACTTCCTGGGCTACATATGAAGAGGAGAGTTGATTGGGATCGCTTTCTGGATGCTGAAAATCGTCGGGAGGCGTTGCATCAGGCAACTCTATACGGAGGAAGACTCCCACAAGGAGCTGTGTCACATCGAAGCGTACGACCGACGTACTGCCGGTACACCTTATAGCCAGAGTAGTAAAGAGAGATAGATCATCTTCAGACAGGTGCCCTGACGCATGGGCCTCGGAGAGCACAGTTTCAAGGGTGCTTGATAACTTCGTAGTAACGGGTGGAAAGATGCATGCTTCGTGCAGATGGGCAGAACTAAAAATGGTAACACGTTTCCCTTGACGAACACATGGGCCAACAGCAATGGTTATTGGCGAATGGGCGCCATCAGAGGCGTCACTCCTTGCTTTGACCGAGCCGCATGGGGAGTCCAGTACACTCTCTGTCCATCCAATAGTAAACTCCACCTTTGATCTATATTCCGTTAGGAGGGGCGGAGAGTAAACGGGCACTGGTTGCCGAAGGTGAATCACACACTCATTCCTTTTAGCCCACAGTGGAATTACAGCTGTATTTCTATGATTTTTGTACATCTTTGCCATCTGGCCTTTGACTGCGTTTCGTATCAACTTGGACTTAGTCTGGAGCTCATCTTCGGAATTGTCACTATAATACGGAGCAACAACCTGCACTATGTGCGCTGATGATCGTGCTATTAACCGCTTGGGTGGTAGGAAGTTGATTGGCTGTTGAGGTTGGTCTGTGGCAGCCGACAGACTGTGCTCATCAAATGGGAGAGTCATTGATTTGTTTGGAACTGTCTCGTCCTCTGGATTGTCATTAAGTTGAGAGAAGTTGAGGAGGCCTTTCACCGTCTTCACATCCGCACCAATGACAGTGGCCGGCAGCGTGGGGACAGACCCATGCGAGACTACATCGCAGACGTAAAGCTGCTGGCTAATTGGGGCCTTGAGCATCCGTATTAAAGCAGCAGCCTGGTCAAGATTGTCAGCCGTCTGGAAGAAAACAAATGCCCGCTGGGATCCTCGCTTCTTGATGACACGATTGAACTCTATTCCTGTATCGCGGAGCTGCTGGGTGATAGCTGACTCCTTAATATATATGTCTGCATTTGTGATGACCACCAGTGCTTCTCCGGGTTGGGCTGGACCATCGGCCATAGTTGATTTTTTGTTTACTCTGTCTGGACCTAGTCGAGTGCCAAAAACAGGTCTCCTGGGCGTTCAAACTCACGAATGGTCTTTTCAATCTGATCTATTTTTCTTTCGCACTCCTCTCGTGCCTTAATAAGCTGCATGGAATCGTTGGCCACGCTAAAGGAGTTAAGTCGCTTTAGTTCTAGTTGTAAAGATTTGCGCAACTCAGAAAGCAGCTGCTCCTTCTCTTCGGGCCCAACAAGTCGCGTCCCATGGGGTACGCGAGCACGCTCTCTAGCTTCCTCCTGCTCCCGTTGCTTCTGTGCCTCTTCAGCAGCGTGCTGTTTCTGAAACCGCTTTAGATATGCCGGGACTTCTCCGCGCTTGTGTGTCTGCTCGGCTCCTACCGCCCGAGCAGCCTCGGCTGCCCTCATGGCCTCTGTCTGGCGCTTTATAGCGTTCATGTTTGACTTGATGATATTGACCTCCTTGGTGATTCGGGCTTGTTTGCGTTCCTCATACTCCCGCGCAAGATCCTCCTGTTTTGGAACGCTTGGCAAGGCGCTTTGCCGAGGGACATAAGACCCAGCTGTGGTGGCCTCTCTGGGATACATGTGGGGAGCTCCTGCTGCACCGGAGTGAGCTTTAAGGAAATCCTTCGGCTCTTCTGCCTTCGCTTCATTCACCTTTTGCATGACTCGAGACCCTACGTTCTGGTATTCCGCTAATTTGAATTTCTCTGCATTGGCTTCCTCCTCCTTCTTCAGGGCCTCGCGCTGCTTTTGATGGCTAATATTTCGAATGATTCGGCGATTTTCAGCCATATGGTCCTTGGGCTGGATTCCCTTCCGCCGCTGCTCGTCGCGAATCCCCTGAACTGGGTTGATGAGGTCTCCAACCACAGAGTCCTGGTGATGATAACGCTGAGTGGGCATTTTAATTTACTTGAGTGTTTGGATGCCTGGCCACCCCACTAAACGCCGTCTTCCTCTGCCTGCAGTGCATCTTGTTCGTTATGGATACTCGTTGTGGATACCACCCCATAGGTAGCCATGGCGACCTCCTCCTGCTCGGGAATATCAAATGCTAGAGGGTCATGCTGCATGTCTTCAAACCACCTTACAAGCCTAGACCGGTATCGCCGAATGACGGCCTCGCAGCGCATGAGACGCTGATCTCTTTCCTTATTAAGAAAGACCAGCTTCATGTTCTGCTGCGCCAACTGGGAATTAGCCGTCTGCAACTGTTTAATTTCGACAAGAAGCTCCTCCCTTGACATCTGCTCGTAAGACATCGCCTGCGATCTCACCTATGCTCCTCAATTTATCCTGGGAGTACTCATTTTAAATTTATTTTGCTAAGTATTAATTGCCAAAGTTTATTGAAACAGTTGGAAATAAACTGTGTTACTGGAGGGATGAGACTTACGCTCGATTATCTTGTGGCTCTCTTGGCAAGTGCAACGTCTCACGATGCTACCGCACGAGTGGATGCGGCAAAAGCTATTAACAAATACGTGGTCGATGCCGACAAAGATTACTATCGTCTTCTGCTCCAACTTGTATCAGACCAGACAAAGGACCCGGGCATCCGCAAACAGGCTGCAATCCAAGCAAAAAACTTCATGCGTTTCGTCGACGTCGCCATGAGGCAGCACCATTTAGAGGTTTGGCATGCGTTTAGACAGCGAGAACGTGCAGATTTAGTGAGCTCTTTGTTCTCATCTCTGGCTGATCCCGTGGTGAGCATGTACATGGCAAACATATTGAGCGCCGTTCTAGAGGCAGAGATGGCGGTCGCTCACAATTCAGTTAAACTAATATTAGACAACATTAGAATCGTATACATGGATGCAAAACAGGCCTCTCCTAAGATGCGTGAGGAAGTGCTCAATATTTTTGTATATTTCTACGAGGATGTTTCCCCCGCCGAAGCACAGAAACTGGATGACCCCAGTGGTATCGTTGAATTCTGCGTCAAGGACGCCATAGGGACTGACCCTACACCTGGTACCATGTCTGCTGGACTAAAGATCCTGACCCAGAAGTTCAAGTATGGGGCACTCGACCCAACGTTTGTTTGTCAGCTATTGGGAGTACTCCTTTCCCTTGGCGCCTCTCACTCAGTTCTTCTTACTACTCCTATCATGGCCATGCTAATTGCTCTTCTCACTACGTCCCCTGATGCTCTTACGGTCAACGATGGGATGAATACACAGGTGTCGCTGCCTCTATCACTGGCCGTGCGCATAACAACCTTGGCCAAAACAGCTTACATTGCTCAGTCAGGGAGCCCAGATGCAGAACAGGCGCACCTGGAGCTGCAAGCCCAACTCCCTGGCGGATGTCTGCCATCTGGTTATTACCACGACCCACTGGCGAACATCTTGGCTGTCCTGGAGTTCTGGAATGTCATGGCAACAACCCAGCTCATAGGTCGTTCAGAATTCTCTGCCACCATGATGGAGTCCTTGGTTTCGGGGGTACTTCTCCCTCTTATTTTCTCCGACCAATTTACCGAGCAGAGCATCCATGCAACAGATGTGGGGAACATAAAGGACGCTGCATCGATAACCCTTGGGTATATAGTGTCATCTAGTGTTCACTTTTACACCAACATGTTTCCGCTAGTCTTTAAGTCCCTCGAAGCATTGTTCCAGACTGGGCCGTGCAAAGACCCCAGTAACCTAACGGGCTGCCTGCAGGATCTAAATATTTTCCTCATCATTAGAGCATTTATCTGTAAAGTGGCAGACGGGCTACCAGAGTCTCATACCCTGACACCCCAAATCACATGGCTTCTCAATCTGACCTTCGATCGGGTGTCCTTTATTGTGACACAAAATGCAACAGAAGGACTTCCCCACTTTATGCCGTCTTTATCTGTTTTGGCTGCAGAGTTGGTTACACGGCTGGCCGAGCAAATGCCGAAACGCCTTACACCGCTTATAGAGTTGTACCTCAATAAGTGTGTCCAGCCCCTTCTGTATAACAAGCTACCATCCGGAAAGATAATGGGATACGGGCTCCAAGTCTTTACATACTTCTATGAGAACGCAGAAATATGCCAATATCTCATAGCATATCTACCTCCAATCCTACAGCATGTAACCACGGAGATAGCCAATTTTGTGCTTTCAAAGGACGAGGTGAATGCCGGCGCCCTCATTCAAGCGGGGAATCAGCATGCAGAGCTTATAACAGCCTGCTTTTCCGAGGCAAACAGCGTGGAAGGTCTCGATAAGTGCCTCTCGTTCTTTATCACTGTGCTAAAAGATATTGGGCCTCGTATCCTGACGTCTAATGGCGATGAGATGCCTGCAGGGACCTCCTTCATGGAGATGGTCCTCACGTATATGACCCAGACCTTGGTATCGTACGCCTATTGCAGCTCGAAGAACTTCAATGTCGATTTGATCCTATCAGCGCTTACACTTGTGTTGCAGCTACTTCTAGAAATTTATACCAGAGTAGATCTAGATAAGGTGCAAATGGCTGCCGCAGACTTCATTATCCAGGCTATCTTCATTGAGAACTTGATCCCACAAATCAGCACCTGTATCCAAGAGTGGCTTCAGCCCGGAGTATCAGTTTCCACATGCTCGACCCCTGGGAGCACAAGCTCTGAGCGGCCAACCCTTCTCGCCATCTGCGGTCACTTCATCGAGGTGAATGTAGATGCCTACCACACACATCACACGTTTGTGGCATTGGTGCAAAGTCTGCTCCATCTAACCTCTCCGGACAAGATGGAGCTTGTTTATAAAATAATGCTCTCGCGATTCAACGGTGCATCTACTATAAAGACAAAAGAGGCAATCGTTCTTCTTTTGTTTGAAGCAACACGCCTGAGATACCTTTCCTTCCAGTCTGATTCCTTTGGGTCACAGGCCTGCCAGTGCTATACGAAGCCTATTGAAGAGCTCTATAGGCTTCTGAAGGACTGCTCGCTGCTATGCAAGAACGGCGTAAGAACAGATAAGCGGGGCCTCAAGTATGTCTCTGTTGATCTAGCTCAGCTCTCTAAAGCCACAGTAAAGCTCTTCGAGATGGTCCTCTACACGTCTGTCACGAACACGATTCCTTTAGATGTCTTTCTAGAGTCTATGAGCGGCTCTATTGAGACCATCATTCAGTGTCATACCTACGAAGATGAATCCATCCAGCTCAATCTGAAGATGATCTACAACATGCCGTTTAAAGGCATCTTCCTGTCGATGTTCACCATTGCCTCTGCGCGCGTGGCAATGCTCAGCAACTATGCATGCCGTTCTTCTATTTACTCGTTCCTGAAGAAGATCTCTAACGAGGTCGAGGGGGAGGTTGATCCTAATTACAGCGAGATCCATCGCTCCTTCTTGAATGCCTGCTCGTCGCTGATCACTGGAAGTTGTGTTGACAAGTAAACGGACGAGAATGTGTGCTCTTTTGGACTATGTGAGCAACACTGCAAGGCTTGTCCGTGAGGAACTAGAAAGTCGGTCCATGGTGAGGTGAATATGTGGATGAGAAGAGAGGCTCGAGATGGACGGTCTGCTGGCACAATCCACAGTCAACATAGAAGATATAAGCTTCTGAAGATCACAGGAGTAGTGCGAAGGGATTGAGGCACAAGTGCCGGCGCGCTGCTGGGCAAGTACTTGATCCAACATGGCAGCTTGAAACGGCGGCTTGAGAGCAGCCATGTGGTAAGCGATACACCCGACAGACCAGACGTCAATTGCCTCGGTCCACTTATCCTCAGAGTCGTAAAGCTCCGGAGCCGTATAGTAGTGGAGAGACATGTCTCCGCATCTCTCAAGATACGCACGGATGGGCTGTCGAATGCGGTTATCCACGAGCTTGATTCGTCCATCAGGTGTTATCATTACATTTGATGGCTTGAGATTGCTATGGATCAGCCGGTGAACAATGAGAGGCTCATAGTTGCAGTTCTTGACAGACTTCCCCTCAGAGCTGTGTAGAAATGTGAGTGCTAACAGCATTTGTGTAAGAACCTCCCAGATGGCGTCTTCGCTAAAGTACGTCCCCGAGTGTTGGTGCTTTATCAAAAGATCGTGCAGTGTGCATGGAAAGTATTCCTGGACAAAGTAGAACATATCTTTTGCTCGATCGTGGTGGAGGCTCAGACAGCCAGCAATATGCGGATGGGCTAGGGGAGCAAAGACTATCGTCTCCTCGAGAATGGTCCGGACCTGGCCTGATGGCTCGTCAACTCGGTCGATAATTCTACAAGCCACAAGTTCATTTGTTCCCTTATTTCTCATCTTGTAGGTTAATCCCAGAGGGCCTTTGCCGATGACGGAGACCCTTTCATAGCAATCCATTCTGAGCGTCTGTCTGATTGGCTGTTTGGTTTCAATAAAAGTGCCAAACTATTTTTAAAGGAAAAAATCCTATTTGCGTTTATGTCGCGCGATGCCAGCAATCTTCTTCTTGATGAGGTGCCCTACCTGTCGAGCTATCAGGTGATAGGCCAGAATGTTCAGCCTTTGGGTTCGTCGCTGTTTGCACTGAAGGTTCCTGGCTGCCAACAACGGCTCAAGGCTCAACTACCCTGCAAGTTCAACGATCGGGTGTTCTTCGGAAAGCATAAATTCTGTCTTGCAACACTTCCGTATACCCGTGTAGAGCTTGGACTTGAGCTTGGGTCTGAATCAGGACCGGACGGGGCTCGCCCTAACATAGAGAAGATCGAGGATATACTGGCTGTCATCGACGCCGTGCTGACAGAGAAAAATATTTTCCAGCTGGTTGAAAGGGGAGATTGGCCAGAAGAGTTTAAAGCCTCCGTGTCAGTCCAGACTGAACAGAATGCAGACCGGCGACCCCCTAGCAGTAACCACCGCCAGTGCATACTTGTGGAGTCTAGTTCTAGTGATATGTACTACTAAGCGGCTGTGGCTGGCAACGTGAGATGGTCTACTGCTTTACTTTTGTCTTGGTTACTTCAGGATTAGATGAGCGTGGACTAAAGAAGCTGTCGATGGTACACTGCTTTGGCTTTTTTCTGGCTGCCACCAATTTATCGAGTTTCTTCTCCGTGGTTTCGCGGTCAAACTCCATTTCTTCAACGAGAAACTGCATAGCCTCACCCCTATTCACGGGCTTCCACTTGAGAGTTTTCTTTATCTCCTTCGGATCTATTACCGCTGGGTTTTTGAATAGCTCTCTTGCTCGAACGTACGGCCAGTTCAAAGCTTTCTCAGCAAGCTTTCCCTGGTCGGCTGCAAGCACCTCTTCGATGCTCCTGTGTTTCACAATCAGCTTGTACGCAGTTTTAGGCCCTATCCCCTCAAGAGAATTGGCATAGTCACATCCACATAAAATGCAGAGGTCTAGGAACTCGTCATAGCTAAAGCCCAGTTCTTTAAGAACAGTGTTTAGATTAATCTCTACGATCTCCCTGTCTCCCCCCTGAGCAAGATTTCTTATCAAGCAAGGGGAACCAAATGCCAGAACATCCAGGTCCGAAGACGCAACGCCCTCGCACACTCTCTCCTTTGCCATGGCCACACACTGTGCTTCTGCTTCTCCAGCAGCTACAACATAAGGAATTCCCAGGGTATCGAGCAGCCTTTCTGCCTGCTTACAATGTTGCTGCGTGACCTTCACTGTTCGTCGACTAAGCTGCTTTGCCCTCTCAAGGTTTCCTTCCTCCTCTGCTTTTTGTTGCTCTAGTTCTGCTGCTTCGCGTGCCTGCCTCCGCTTCTCTAGTTCTCCTTGCTTGTCCTCTGGAGGTTTCCCGTCAAACACGAATATGGGCTTTATTCCTGCTTCAGCCAGCCTTATTACCTTGGCAAGAAGTCCCACTAGGTGGCTTGTTACCTCTCCTGAAGAGTTAGCTAAGGCCGTGCCGTCTCCAGAGGTTATTGTAGTGATAAACTGATAGAGCATAACAGAGGCATCTATTGCTATGACCTTGTTGCAATAATGTTGTATCAGCCGCTTGCTGACAGCTGCAGGGGCGACCTCCTCAATGAGCTTCGCTAGACCTCGTATCCCCATTATCAGCTAAGATGTAAATTTTAAATTCCGTTGGCTTTAGCAGCGATCTTTGACGCTATAGCGGTCCATTGACATGTGTAAAAGACGATGTCTTGTTATTAAGGTTGGGATACAACGTATTTAAAACTGCGTTGGCTCTTGGGATACGCCGTGACGGGAGACTCTAAAAATTGAAATGAGTCGCTCCATGGTGCACAAGCTGATTAATCAACTATACACAGCGAGTGAGCACCTTTCTAGCGATTCCTTTGTATCGAGTGCAGCCTGCGACACTCTAATACAGTCTCTACTACAACAGTTCTTTGTCAAGCAAGGCTCTTTGTTTTTGGTCACTTCTTGTCCGGCAGCACTGGAACGAAGCGCAGTATTCTTTTTTGGGCCATATGGACCATTCATCAAAGCAGTCTACACACGGTCTCTGCGGTCCATTACCTCATACAAGGTTCCCTTAAGCGCCATATCACAGCTCTATGCAGAGCTTGTCGATATAAATTCTATCCTGCTACCACGCTATTATCACTATAAAATGACTAAGTCGTCTGATGGAGACATTGTCTTGAACACCTTAGAGTATGCAATAGTTACGATTTGCTCGGCAGGTATCAACTGCAGAGTGAGCTCCAAGGAAGACAATGCTACGGACAAGATAAGGACAACACCATACAACAAGCTTATTCTCGAATACTTGCAGGCACTCCGCAAGCAGGACAGTATTCTGTACAAACCTCTTGCGATGGAAGACGTCCAGCGGGCAGATGATGTCTCAATGCAACGCTCCTGTACAATCTCCTTTTCACCCTTTTCAGTATCTACGTTTCCACGAACAGTCGGCGACCTATTCATCTCTCTGGCATGCGATTGTTGGTTTGCTCGAAACATCCCCATCAGTACGGCTGAGCAGATCTCCGTGCCACTAGAGGCCCTAAAGGATTTCTGCCAGACTAGGGAGGTTTCCCCAGATGCAACAGCGGAGGAGCGGGCCCTTCATACCCGTGCTTTGGGGTCCAGCCACTACCGTACCCTGGCTTACGACTGCACTGTGAGACCTGTCACCGATAGGCCTTGCTTCCTCACAAACATACTTGACCTTGCATATATGTTCGCTCGCTATGTTGTCTCTCCTGCCGCATCTCTCAACTACGGGGCTCTAAACACAATTAGCAATATCATGGAATCGACAAGGCATGCAATCCTTGCTGATTGGCAAGCAGAGTGTCCTCCCTCACATACTGTTGATCCCTCCCTGGTAGCCGGGGGCCGCAAGTCTATTTACACACCAGACGACGCCATGCTCCAAAAATCTAACTACCTGTATGTTATGCGCAATGGCAGTGAAGCAATTCTGAGCTATTTCGTAAGAACTAATGGGGTGTCCAATAAGCTAGAGGCTGCTACAGGAAAGAGCTTCCTTCGTCGCTATGCGCCGGCCTTCTCAGAAATCGTTGAGACACGTGTTCTCCCTATATTCTTCTCCTTCCTTCGCTCGCTATTCCAAGGAGAGCCAGTAGTTAATAAGGTTTACCTATACTTATTAATGTCGCGAATATACGGGGAGCTTCTCTGCTTGGACCCTTCCAAGCTGTCTTCTGATACTGAAACATATTTAACCGATGAGTCTGCAGAGTTGCGCTTGTCCATAGAAGACGAACGGAGACTCAGAGCAGCCATAGCAATCCGGGCACCCTTTTACACCACACTTCTTGTTGAGTGGCTCCGCCATGTGGCCTCAGTCCACATCAAGATTCTCTCAGAGACTACCAGCCTAATAGATAAAGGAGCGCTGCGTTATGGGTCACCTCTATCGTTGTTTAACTTAAGAAGCTTATACTGTCAGAATTATTGCAAACCTATTCAGCATTTGGCTGCCTTAAGCTCTGTGACCCGCTGGCTTTCCCATTCATTTGTAGAACCGATCCTGTCTTCACTTGGCACTATTGCTTCGAAGATCACACCGCTGGACATAGAGGTTGATGCCCTGCTTTTTACGGCGCGTGCCAGGGCGCTTATGGTATACGCTGCATGTGAGCCGGTGCTATGGAGACCTGCGATTGAGAAGGGTTCAGCAGGTTCTCGCGTTGCAACTATAGCCTCGCAATTGTACCCTACGCCAGCGACAAAGTGTCTACTCAGTACTGAGTACTTCAAGAGGTCTGTTTCTGAAGCATCTCACTCTCTTTTGGAGGACATCCACCATGTATACTTTGCTATGTCCAAGCAGCACAAGATTTCTGGTCTGCGGTTTGATTCTCGACAAGGCACTCGTTGCTATCTATCGATAGACTCTGCTGGAATGCTCACGGACATAGCAGCACAGAAAGCATACCCGTTATGCACGGGCTACATAGGACTCCTGGATATGGCACTGGCACACAGCGGGGAAGAGCATCTTCCACACGACCAAGACAGGGCTTTCTTCAAGGAATACATGGACCAGTTCACACACTACAGCAGCAGGGTGAAGTCATATCTGTCTCGATTAAACCACTCAAGCAATGTTACCATGAACAGTGTTCTTTCACTGCAGTCTGCTGTCTTTCCTTGGGAAAGGCTTCTGCTACGATTGGCTGGGTGGCAGAGAGGGGTTCCTATACTGAAGAATGTGTATAGCATTTCACATATTTACAATCTACTCTATGCAGATATGACGAGGGGATTTGCAGGCGTTATCTCGTCAACCAAGCACGGGGTATCACCGCGGAGGGTTGCTAATAGGGGGCCCAGGGACCGGCCGATGGACATTGTCTCCAGCCCGGAGTACAAGCGATTGAGGAAAATCAGTGGATCATCCAATGCTTTGAAGTATGCAGCATACTGCATGTCTAACAGCGCAACAAAGATCCTTGTCAATTCTGGACTTCTAGAAGACAAAGAAGGGGATATGAGCCACAGTATGCTGGCAGCTGTTCGTGAGTCAACGGGGCATGTGTCCACAATAATCCAGCCAGTACGGCCCGATGAATTTGCAGTTTTGGTCATTGCTTTAGATGCACTGGCGATGTGGATCAATTACTTTCTTTCGCTAATAGTCCATGTCCTATATTTAGTGCACAAAAGCCCCCGATTGGAACGTCGCCTTGAGCAAGGGTTTACTCTTACGTTCAGAGTACTAGCCAGTAAGAGGCTCTGGGGGCTCATCCTTCTTGTCGGACTCATGGCGTGGCTCGTTCGCTTGCTTTTGCTTTGATCCTGTCTTAATAAATCTATGAGTATTTCCAACCCATACTCTGCTAGCTTTAAGCTTCAGCAGCAGCAGCAGCAGCAGCAAAAGTCCTCTGCACAGGTGTATCGGCCTAAGTCTGTCAAGCGCTCAACGACAAATTTGACTCTTCTGGCCGATGGGCTGAACCCTAAAAGAGAGGGAGGACAGGTTCGAAAGGGCGCGAACAAGGAGGACGACTTTAGAATTGCTAATCTGGGAGCACGGACTTCTAGCATATATAGCAATGAGGGGCCTCGACAGGGTCTCGGTGCATATTCTCCGGACTACCAGGTGATGGAGGCAGCCAAGATCAAAGGAAACTACCCCACCTCACTCCCCTTTATTGTTCCCCACGCAGATGGAGATAGAACACTCTCGTTGGTCGCCAAGGAATCTATCTACTCTGGCGTCTTCAAAGCAAAGCTCAACATTCCGCGGCCGACTGACGAGGTATTTGATATGCCTGTTGTCAGTCGCTCGGGAGAACGTGTCCTACTTTCGGATCATTTGACGGTGTTTCAGTTTCCTGCTCATTTGCCCGTCGCAAAGATGACACGCACTCAGAGTGCCGCCCGGGCACGGTCCCAGTCTGCTCCCGGCCCTATCTCATCTATCCTCGCCACTGGATCGCATGGCGACGGCCGATCACTTGCTAGTTACCTACAGAAAGACGGTGCAATGGTGCCGCCGGGTGGCTCTACTGACACTGTATCCTCCCAACAATCTGATGTACCCACGGTGCAAAATAAAAGTCCTATTACTACTTTTGGAGAAGGAAAGATAGGGAGGCTCTTGCGCTACCGGTCCGGTAAAGTTGTTCTGGTCCTGAACGGTGGCATCACCATGAACTTAACCCAGGGAAATAAGGCAGATTTTGCAGAGCTTCTGTACTCCCTGGATGCTCAGAAGCAGACTGCCCATGCTCTTGGACCGATTCTTGGACGTGGCACCTTTGCAGTTGATTGCTTGGAATAGACCGCTTTAAGTTCACTTCTTCTTCGGCACTGCAGCAGGGGCTGCCTCTGGATCCTCGGTGGCGACTGCTGTGTCGAAGGTACGTCTCTTCCTGTCCGTTTGGACTAGTTTGCAGGCCCTTGTTTCTATCAGCAAGCGATACTCTTCCAGGATTTGCATGATCTTGTCTGAGGTAGCAGTAAGTGTATTTCCAAATGCACACATTTCTGCTTTGCATTCTGCAATCTTTGTTCGATAGCTCTGCGTTAAGGACTCGACACAGCTGGCCAGGGAAGAACAGTACTGAGGATCGCCAGTTATGGCTGCATCAGTTATGGCCGCTGAGAGGGCGTCATGTTTTCTCTTTTCCTGTGAATTGATATCCCGAGAGGACGATCGGGCAATTTGGAGCCTGAAATAATCATTTTCCTGGCGCAGAACAGCCATTTTTCGAGATTGTTCTACATAGCCCTTTAAAATACCGTTGCGAACAGCGGCCAGATAGGCTACTTCTCGAATGTTCTTCTCATTATTCTTCTGAAGACAAAGGATGATGGCCTGAAGCCTGACTAACGCCATGTTACGTGCAACGACTATTTTATGCAATTCTAAAGTGTGCTCCAAGAGAGTGGCGTGTCTATAGAGGACATCTAGAAAGCCCGATCCATCTCTATTGTATTTCTCAGTATGGCCTTCGCCAATATTAATACTTATTTGTCTGATGTCGCCAATGAAATTGTCCTGCTCCTTTGAAAAGCGTGCTAACAATTTGGCTTGACTTTCGTTTGCATCTTTAGCAAAGGATAGAAGGGAAGAAGGCTCATCATATGTAGCTACACCAAAAATACCCTGCATTTCAGATGAGCCCTCTTCTATAGTTGCAATGGCGGACATTACATCAGAAGTGGCCAGTTGGTCGATAAACTCTTGGGCTGCAGTGTCTATATGCTGTAGTGCCTTTTCACGAAGCATAATAAGTCTCTGAATCTCTGTTACCGAAACCCTTTCCTCAGAACTGTATTGCTGAGTCTCCTTGGCCTTATCTACATCATCAGACGTGGCTAGTGCGTTTTCCACTATATCCTCTAACTTCTTGGTCAGCTCCGATGGCAAGAGCTCAAGGTCCACAGCGCTGGTTAAAGCGTTCTCCGCCAACTTAATAATATCAGTAGAAGAGAAGTTTGGCAGTGAGAGGTGAGTCCCAGGGACCGGAGTGGAAGCGCTAGTGTCGCTGCGTCCAGTACTACTCAAGCCGGACTGAGTATCCTGACCACCGTCGTTAAGGGCTAAGTTATCAGTGCTAGCTTGGCTCTCAATGGGAAAGATATCAGAACTGAGCCCCAATCCCTTGACCATTTCAAGCGCTTGACGGGTAAAGTACAGTTCGTTCTGCAAAGCTGCAACCAACGTGCGCAAGGTTGTATTATCAGTAGCAGCACGCTTGAGAAGTGGATCGTGATCAAACCTGGCCTCTCGGAGTAAAAACGACGCAGTTCTTCGTCGGAGCTCAACAAGGGCCTTTGCGACGGCAACGCCGGATCCCTGGAACTCTATGCGGAAGACATCGTTGGGATGCTGAAGCTGCTCTGAGCTCATTAGTGGAGAAGATAGTGTCGCTTGCCGAATGATGTCATCGAGTGCTGGGTCACTTTGGTGGCTCGCTCCTATAGGCATCTCCTTCGAGATACTTTTAATCAGTTTGGCTCCTGCCGTCTCAGTGCTCATTTGTGCGTTCGAACTGTCTTGAGCGGCCACCTTTTGATTCTCTGAGATCAGGTGCTTGAGAAGGAAATTGAGAGAGCGTAGGATTTGGCATTCAGCAAGAGTCAATGACAGGGCAATGGACTGAATAGATCGCGGCACTCCTTCAAGAACAAGTGTGTTCCCACTCATGCCCTGAAGCATTTGAGAATCAAGAAGCTCCACGATTTCTGGAACCGACGTTGATGGGAAACCTATTTCCGAAGATATGTGATTGCAATCTGCTACAAGCGACTTTATGCGTGAATATTGAGTAAGAAGCATGTCTTTATCGATGGTCTGAGTAGAAATATCAGAGAACAATTCGAGTGCGACTGAATTCAGCATGCTGCTACTCTTATCAAGACGTTTAGATAATGCATCGTTGTCCTTCTCAAGCGTCAACACGCGCTGCATAAGCATCTCACTCTGCTGGCGTGCGCTGGCTGCTTCATCTCGAAAGAAGCCTGCTGCCTCCAGTGCCTTTCTAGTATCGTTGTCTGCTGCACGAATGGCCAGCTGAATGGAGTCGTCATCTGCTTGAGCTCGGTTAGCAAGGCGCTCTTTAATGTTCCGCATCTCGGCCGCATAAACCTGACTGTGCTGACTCGATTCACTGAAGACCTCCTGGGAGGCAGCGCTGAGCGCACTAATTGCTGAACGTGAAAAGGTTTGAGTCTTCTTTTCGGGGTCGTGGACTTGGTTAATAGGGGGGAGAGCTTGCTTCACACGGGGGCCTGTGGTCACACCGTCCTTTTTCCTGGGAACTGTCCCAGGCTTGTTAGCGAAGGTGGGGATAGGAGTGGAGTACATGTACAAAGAGATCTAGCTGCGCGTGAAGAGTAAATTTTCAATTCGAGAAAAAACAGAAGATGAGCGGAGGCTCACGGTCACAAGTGGCACGAAACACTGGGCATCGTAGACGAGAGATCTCAGGACGGAACATGATACCTGGGGTGGTCGTAAATGCACGCCAATCTCGCAGCAAGCTTTCTTCTGATCCTTTCTCCTCTGTCCCACGACGGCCCGCACGAGTGTCACACATGGAGCGAGAAATATATCACTATCAGCACAATGTAGATACACTAATACAGAAGCTCCCATTCGCCAGACTGGTCCAGGAGCTTGTTGAACAAATTGCGCAAAGAGATGGATCCAAGGGTCCATACCGCTTCCAAGGGATGGCCATGGAGGCTCTCCAATCTGCAACAGAGGAATACATAGTTGAACTATTCTCCACAGCTTTGCTAGCAACCTACCACGCCAACCGAGTCACCCTCATGTCAAAAGATATTCTCTTGGTCTTAAGAATTCAGCAGCGCAACTTAAATTCACTACGGTAACGACTCAGTACTCTGCTTGGCGCACATGTGCAGCTTCATCTCTTTATCGCCTTTGCCCTCATCGCCTCTCTGCCTGTGATGATCTTTTGACGCGTATCATCTAAAGCTTTTAAGTCATCTTCTAAACTTACAATTCCTTCGCACATTTTAACGATCTTCTTGACACGGTTCGCTGCATACTTTAGTTTAGTCAACTGCTGGGAACGCCCAGCCTCATTAGTTTTCAGTGCCAACCACTCAAACATACTCTTTAAGAGTTTCTTGATCAGGTCCTTAACGTATATATCCCCCTCAATCCTCTTGAGCCGTACACCATTGCACCAATCTGATAATGCGTCGCTGACAAGCAGTACGAATTCTTCAGCCACAAAGAGAGACACAAATGCATCGCTAGAAAACTGGTCTGTGATAACTGCAATTGTGGAGTAGCAGCCAGCATCTATGAACTGCTTCATAATGTGCGACGAGGTTCCCAGATCCCGATTTCGCACCATCTTCTTTATTGTGGCCTCAACTAACTTATCTGCAGTGCTTCTGCACAGCTTTGCGCAGCATTCAATTGCATCTTCGATCGGAGTGCCATATTGTTCGTGTAGATCCTCGGCAATCTCTGCAAAGGATTCTCGCTTAGCTGTGCTTAAAAGGCAAACAATAAAGGCAAGTAGATCTTCTGCTTGCTTGCGACTTTTGTGCTTTGAGTTGACAACGGCCAGAATCAATGTGTTTGTCAGGTCACTCCATCTGAATCTTAACTCATATTTCTCGGGGGTATCCATCTCATAGCATATAAATAAGTCACTCACGAAGAGCTTAGAGCGCACGATCTTGTTCTGCGTGTAGGATCCGATGAGCTCAGATGCCCGGTGTACCATCATTTCAATGTACTGCTTGTTGGCTGGTGTCTGCTTGACGGCTGGGTGTTGAAACCCGTACTCGTCCCTTGTTGCAGCAAGGGGATTTGAAACGAGGATGTATAAGGCCTCTAGGGCGTCCCAATTCATAGGGCGATCTGGAATGGCCTCCATAGCTATTGAGAGGGGATACAACGTCCGCGCTGCCCTCATGAACACGTGTGTGCTCTCTGTTTGCGCAGCTCTGTGCGCCTTGAAGGTATCTACAAGGATCTTATCGTACTGATCGTCAACACCATTTATCGCCGAGACCTCATCCCGGGACCCCTCTGAACTAACATCCGTTTGGGGTGGTTGGCTTCCATCCTGCTCCAGACCCTTTAAGCTGTAAATATTGACGTCCTGCACTGTTTCATTGTCTGTCTTTGGTTGAGGAAACTCCATGAGATCAGCCTCACTTTCATCCTCGCTTTCTGTAGATTGACCAGGTGGAGCAATGCGAATAGCTGATAGCAGGGATTTAAATGCTCTGTCGGTTAAGTCAATAGCAATCTGCTTCATTATGGCCACCGAGGCCACACGGCCGAAGTTACTATTACTAACGTGAAAGTGATGATTAAGCCCAAGTAGGGATACTTGTATGGCATCCAAGTCAACTTCTTGGGGGCCTTTAGCCGCTAACTGTGCGACTCTATGAACCGACGTTAAAACGCTCTGCACAGTAGTCGATTGCGATAAGACGTGCTCGTCATCAAGGCCCATCAACAGTGAGCAAAGAGCTGCTATGGCCACTGCATCATAATGCCTAGCAAAGACGGAGGAAAGGTCGCTATCAACCACCTGCAATCCGTCAAGGTGGCTCAGCGCCGTAGTGCCTGTCTGTAATAAAACAGGATAATGCAGTCTGATGCTCGTGCTATCTTTTGCCCCGGTAACAGCCGACCTGTAACTAGCAGACAAAGATGGGAGTACAAGGGCAGCCAGTTGACCAAATGCATCAGCTGTGGCCAAGGGTTCCAAGGTCATAAGAAACTTTTGTCTTCCTCTACGCAGAATTGCGTAAGACTCCTCCGTGTTGATGGGATGCTTAACGAGACTGTGATCACGGAGTTGATAATAGAACAGCGAAAAGAATTTGAAAAAGATGGTCACGAGCTCGTTTGCAAAAGATTTAAAAGAGGGGGCAAGGGCTTTCATACTAAAGGAGAAGTCCACCAGAAAAGCGTCCAGCTTTTCCGGTGAAAGAGGCGTTGTTAGGCAGCGCTGCAATTGTGATGCCATATGAGTCAGCATTCCAATAGTAACATCTTCTGGCGCACGCTTGAGAACAAGTTTTCCAAACTCCGTACCAATAAGTCCATAGATTTCTAACGGCTCTAAGTTAAGACTGACGGCAAATTCACGACCACGACGTATGTCCGTATAGCACCACTTGGAGACATAACGAATAAGCTTGGAGCATATATGTTTGTTGCTGTTGGGAAGAATATAGGTCTTCAGAAAACCACCTGCACAAAGTAGTCTAGGTAATAAATTATCGTACTCTGGAATTCCATCTGCTACTTCGAAAATTGAAGCAAGAATATAGCACATATCTTGACTGTAGTCCTTGATGGGTGTGTGAAGAGAACGGACAAGATGGCTTTGAATGGCCACGGCCACTTCTGCACCATTTTCTCCGTGTGCCTTATAAAGAGCAGCATAGAAAGCAAACAAGTATTTCCAGACAGGATGCAGCTGCATGTCCTTTGCGGGTATGTCTTCCTCTGATTCTTTAGTTTTTTTCCCTTGGGCAGAGGGCACTCTGCCAGGATAAATGTCTTGTGAACGTGAGTATATCCATATTGCGGCTTCAGAGATGAGGGTCGTGTCAAGCTGCTTGAGTAGGCTGACCGGTACTATCTTTGCCTTAATATCGTCAGAGCTCACAATTGGAAGGGAAAATGGGCCGACGTATGGGCCAGCAAGCTCTATGTCCTGCTCTCCAAACGTAGCAAGGAGAAAGAGCAGATAGTTAACGACTCCCTTGCTTGAAGCTCCATCAGATGGTCTGATTAGCAGGTCTTGAGCCACTGAGAGTGTGCGGATGGGATGCGATCCTGCAATAATGACGAGCGAGAGGGCAAGACTCGCCTGGCAGTGTGCCCGAGCTAGGGGGCTGAAGAGTCTCACGTACGATGTCTGATATGCGCAGAGACACTTCTCCGAAGACTCAGCATTCACGGAACTGAGAGCAGACATGATTGAAATGAAGCAAGCACACGCGATAATCTGCGCCTGCTCATCTCCAGAGCCTTTGTGTTTCTCCGAATAGGCTGTGACTGTGAAAATAATATTGTCCGCTGTGTACTCGCTCATGTACCCCACGCGACGATGCAGGTACCCCAGGACAGACGAATATCCTGCACATGCAAGCAAGACCCCCTCCTCCATCTCTAAGATAATGCTTTCCAAGATTTGCTGCCGCTCCTCGGGATTGGTCTGCAGGATGTGGACAATAGCCTTCGCACGCTGGAAGAAAGGCTCAGGCCTGTCTGAGCGGCTCAAGTTGCAAAGCTCCTGCCTCCACGATGTCTTTGTGTTCATATTATATTTATTTAAAGCTCCCATCATAGTGGCAAAGACGGACCGCGTCGCCAGCTATTCTACGTCTGTGGCCGTTCTGGCTGCGCTGGACGATGAACTGGAGATGCTGGACACGGCTTTGCTCTCCCACCGGAGCACATATGCTGCAGGATGACCGGCGCCTGTCTCCCACCACGTGCCAGCTAAACTGCAGCCACATTTATTCAACCTTTTCTGTGGAGAGATCTCTGCACAGGATACCTAGCTCACACATCAGCTTGCGTTCTTAAGTCAGACCTCCAAAAAAAGGCTCATGGGAAGACGTTCCCGCCGCTTCATTGTTATGATGCAGGGCATTGTCATTGTTAAGCTGAATAGGGGAGAAGAAGCAGAGCTAGAGAAGAACGGGTTGTCTTGTGCCTTTATTCCTTTGTCTGACTTTGCTACAACCTCTCCTCTGCACGGCACTCCAGATAACACAAAGGCGCCCGTGGGGCATCACATAACATCGACTACCAATATTTCCGCTATACGGTCAGACATATTACTCTACGACTATATGAGGGAGAATTCTACTTTGTTAAGCTATATTCAGCGACTCCTTCATATGCAGCTCACCCCCCAAGAGCTGGCAGATGCCCAGTTTCCTAGGCCATCTGCTGCTATTATCGGTTATGGAGAGTCAGCGTTAAAAGCTGACACTGCTCCAAACCACTTCATCCTGGCCATGGAGATTGTTACCCGCATGGTCAGGGGTAACTTCAATTTGTTCTCTATTATGTTTGGGATAGACTTGAACATTCCTTACACTTACTCTGAATCCATCTCTCTATCGGCCCGCGTGAACAAGCAGGCTGCATACTCTTCGTTATCCCCAGCAGTCCGCAAATACACGGCACAAAATCTTTCAAGGGAAGCACCGCTGACTCTATCTCCTATAGAAACCCTCATTTTCCCCACTCACTTGATGTTGCCGGGGGATTACAGCCCTCACTCTCTATTCCACCCGAACCGCATCAGACAGATCTATCTCGAATTGTTACTATCTAACTCCCTTCTTTCCCCGCAGCTTTTGCGCTTTTATACCTGCTCCGAGCTTTCCTCTGTCAAGCTAGAAGTTCACGGACCCCTCAATGCCAGCATGAAGCTATTGGGACTGTTTCCAGAATTTTCTAGCAAGGGGCTGCTCAACAAGAATATAAAAGGACAGCGTTATACCCTCTCGGCAGTTTTTAATGAGGATGCTCTTCAGGAGATGCTTCAGAGAACCAGCCAGCAGGGATTTAAAGCAGATATCTATAACATTCAAGAGAAGAATATTAAGGTTAATCTCAGTGGTGGAGTTGGTGCCGGTAAGCGCGGGCGGAGACGCCAGCTCTTAACAATTTCTCCACAGGCTATGTCCATGGGCACCCCCACAAGCTCTATGGGATCATTTGCAGATCTGCCCAGCAACATTAAAACTATGGACATCATCAAGGGAGTGGACGATCTCTCCTATCTCCAGTGTGTCAACATCCTTATACCTTTGAGAAGCACAACTGACCAGGGGTGCGTTGTGTTTTCAGAGCTACAGTTCGTCCAACCAACGCATCTTCATACATCCCCACTCCGTCTATCTGATCAAGCAAAAAGCTTGCCAGTAAGCCCTAAGCAATCTACTAGTACTCTAACTTTCACACTAACAGATTCTGATAGCAATGCAAAAAAGACACTGCCGATTCCATTTAGTGATAAGATGCTTATTAAGTCCACACTTCAAGACCAAAAGGACTCACCGAAGCCTCAAGTGCTCATAACAAAAATTATCTTGGGTAACATCGTAATAGATCCGGAGATTCCTTTACCAGTATCATTCCTCGATGAGCTAAATACAGTCAAGGAGCTGGAACCGTATTATGCCGCATCCAAGGTTGCTGAGCATGGAAACTCAGTTCATCGCAAAACTCACCGACACGACTCCAAAACCAAAGCAGCATCCCCTACAAAGCCGTTCGTATCAGAATATGTTTTTAAGGTAGTTCTCGATGAGCCCCTTGAGGCCTGTCTCCGTGGAAATGACATGGAGCTGTCTGCCGGCTCTAACGAGTCTCTAGGCCTGTCTACTCTTGGGTCTTCGCTTCTAAAGTCTAGCTCTATCGTAACACCTCAAGTAGACATCGATCCTGTAACACTTCGATCTAGCTCAACCGTTAAGGTGTCTGCGCGGGGATCTCAAAGGCCTACTGTCCAGGCTGATGAGAGTAGCGACAGCAGCTCTGCCTCACTAGGCCATGAGAGGGAATTCACAGATACCTCTGAGCGCCTTGCAGCACCGTCTTGTTCCAGCTTTACACGTACTGTATTGACCAGCATTCTCAATAAGAAGATTGGGATAATGCAAGCGTATTGTAAGGATTACGGCGAGGCTGTCCTCGCTTCGCTTGCCCCTGACTTTCGCACTGGGTCTCTTGCCATAGGACACGCGTCACTGAATTCTATTTTAGATTTAAGCACATATACCATCACTGGATCTCCAGACACAGCAGGGCTTCACTTCGTTCTTCACTCTCGGTGCAAGAGTGAAGTCATGGAGGATAGATCTGCTGCATCGCTCTTTTCACTCGGACTTTCTAAGCTACGCAAGGACCCAGCGCTGAAAGAACGTGCAGCTACATTTTTCAAAGGTATATCGGAAAGCGGGCTGTTCATATTTTCCTTGCCCAATGCTGAGCTTCTCCATATTGATACAGCGCCTATTGAATTGGTATACCCTCTATTTAGAGAGCATATTGGCTTGACTCTATCAACTGCTACGCCAGACCCTTCACACACATTTCTGGACCTGCGTGCTACCCCAGGTGCTACTGGCCCAATGAGCCAAACCCTGCCAGGTGTTCTACTCTCCTCGTGGAACCATGGACCCCAGCCAGTATCTTCTCTGGTGGGTTCTCTTATTGATCTATCAGTATCTCTCACCTCCCTCTTCATCCCCTCTCCTATGCAGGCTCCAAAGTTAGTTTTGGGTGCACGGGACTTAGTGCTTCACGATGAAATAGGAGGAGGGATTCCAGCCATCTACCTTATATGGGGCCTTTCGCTTCCTTACATGCAATCTATCTTAGTTAGGGATAGAATACTTTGCCCGACCATGGGCTCTCAAGCCTACGATAGCTCTACGCCAAGAGAACAGAGATGCGCCCATGGCTTCTTCGAGAGTTGCACATGCACACTTAATGATCCCCTAGACTTTCTGTCTGATGTACTAAACGATATCTCGTGGCTATTGATTGAGAGCGGTGCACAAGATCTTAATTCGGAACAGAAAGATAGTAGAGGCGACGTGGATAAGGCTCTCCCTTGGACATCCTCTTTTCAAAGAGCTGAATACACAAGTCCAACAGGCTTCCTAACTACTGCATTGGGCCTCTGCATGCCTCCAACTGTCACAAGCATTGATCTTTCCCACTCCTCAAGGTTGTTTACTCCAGTATTCAGTGACTATGATTCGCTGTTTCCTCCCAATGTTGTTTCCTTTTTAGAGTACAGGGAAAGATCACCTTTTCTTATCAGCGTCCCGGGGACTCGAAGTGAGGTAGAGACAGCCATCACCAACGTTGCTCTATACATGAAAACCGTTGATGCAGTTCTTTTAGGGTCTGCTATCCAAAGGCTGTCTGTTGATATTGTTCGCTTTGATGATGAGGAGCTATTTCCCAAGGCCGTCAGCTTCTTGTGCATCCTGGCTCTGATTATGAACAGCCCTTTTCGCCTGCCAATCTTTAGTCCATTGAACCTACGGCTTCAGTACTCACGTGTATACATGGTTCCCCATTCAGTTGGCTCTGTGGATCTAACCATCCTTGACCATGAGAAGAAGTGTGTCGAGTACTGTTCTTCTCTTGGGATCTCCATTAGCCCTCTAGATGTAGCTACTCTGAAGGCTTCTACCAGCATGTCCTCGTTGGGTGCCCACTCACAACCCAGTGTACCTGGCCTGAACAACGAAGTGCTCAGTACCAATCCACACATATCTTGGAAGATTGCAAATGCGTGGAAGCAGCAATCTCTAACATTCTACATTAACTTTCAGCTTTATCAGCTCCTTTCAGAGGGTATAAAGGGACTCAGCAGCTCCACGAGTTTTGTCGGAGTTCTGGAACAAATAATCGCCAATCAACGCCTGAGATCGTTTTTTAACACGTCCTTGCTCGCTACAATTCACGACATGCTCTGCCATCCTAAATGCTTTGTTCCAGCCATAGTGTATATGCCACTGTATGGGTACTTCTTCGTGAAGTCGATCTTTGACGTCCACAGGATTGGAGGGTGGGTTGCCCCATCGTCGGAGCAACTCGACATCAATGAGTATTATGGGACTGTAGCGAATATATCAGGTGTCAGTCAAGGGTTGCGCTGCCTCTACCCCGCTAGCACAAGCTTAATAAGCAATATGTCACTGAACAGCCTCACGGGCATAGCTACGTTGGCAGCTGCACCACTGAATGCTCCAGGTACCAATAGCATGAATTCTTCCTCCACCTTAGACCTAACTAACTATGAAGCATATGGCATCCATAGTCAAGAGCTTGAAGCTATAAAAACTGCAACAGGCGTGTACAGCGACGAGCCACAGAAGGAGCCATCTGCTCAATTTGGACACTCTCTACCCCGTGCTGCAGCAAAACTGGCAAAAAATACAGAACCTGAAGAAAAAGTCCAACACTTGGCATCATCGTGTCTTGTTTCTAACAGGGTATCATATCTCTTGACGGCCAAGCATCTGAACGAAGCAGTCTACACATATGACCCACAAAACTCCCTTATTTCTAGCATGCTAACCAGCGGGCAGTTGTCTATTAATTTGGCAACGTCAATCCTAATGACGAAACTGTATAATAGGAAATTCTCTGCCTTTGCAAAACAGCTCCCCTCGTCACAGATCCTTCCAACAACTGTTCTCGATCTCCTGGTGACATCTACCTACGACCAGGAGAATATGACAAAGCAGCTCTATCATTTATTAGGCTGTGACTCGGATAAATCTATTTTACTTGTAGCTAAGCTTCCACAAGCAGAGGACTTCTCCTCCCTTCGCGCTTATGATCAATTGATTAAGACGGTGCAGGAAGACGATGATCCCCTCGTTCCCTTCACTATTTGGGATGACATCTATGACTTTGTAATAGAAAATCATGCTGCTCTGTTTGAGATTGTGGACGGCTGTGTCTTTGATTTTGATGAAGACCTGATGCTGTCCATTGAAGCGGCTATCCTCTACGATGACATTGACTTCCAGACTCTCGATGAAAAGGATGAGGAGACTGCAAAGTACTATTATTTGCAAGAGCGGCGTTGTGGCGTGCAAAGAACTGATGAAGAGCGGCGATCAATAAGTGCTATTAGTAACAGATTGTGTTCACCCCTTAGGTGCTCGGATTCCCCATTCACGCCCTCCGAGCTGCAGCTTATTACATTACCCAACTATCATCACGGTATACGGCCTTTACTAAATCTTATGCTTGCTATTCATCCATCTCTGCTGTCCTATGGATCGCTCGACAAGCTTGATCGCTGGAAGAGCAAGGAGATAATTCGACTTGCCCGGTGCCGTGGATTGGAAATAGCCAAACATGTGCTATTAGGGAAGATAAGTCCTGACAGTGACATAGCAAGTACCAAAAAGCATCCCTCGTATGAGTCTGTGGACAAGGTGATGGAGAACTATCAACGCATTCTTCACCGGCCGGTAAAGCTGGGGGAGTCAAGGCTTCTTCCTATTCCCACCCTGGACAGCATCTCGGCACTAATAGACGAGAGAGAAAACGACCCCGCACATCTGTCTAGTATTCATGCCCCTCTATTCCAACGCTACACACTTTTAGAGGAGCGTGGTGCCGCACCAATCTTTGATATCGCTCAGCGGGAATTGAGGTCAACCGTTCCATACACTCTATGCACAGACATCACGGTGAAAAACACCCCACTAATTCCTGATGCAGAAAACCCGCCCAATCCGTCAGCAGAAGATTCAACAAACACGTTTCTGACAGACTACTGGTCCATAAGCATTCCTAAATGCAGATATATCACTCCAGAGAGAATTAGGTCATTGTGGAACCCCCTTTGGTCCTTAGAAGAGCGCACGCTAGATATAATCCCCATGGATCCCTCTGAGCTCATTAGAACACCAGCAGAGAAGCTTTTCAAAGAGGAGCTTACTAAGGCAGATGCCCGGTACAATAACATGTTAAACGAAGATCCTGCAAAACCTGATGCTACAGGGTCAACTTCGGGCACCTCTGTGGTCAAGCGTCAATCAAGCGTACAGACCCTTTCATCCAAATGTGCCTGTGGCTCGTTCCATGCTGTTCTTCTCCCCAGCCAATCATCTTTCCAACCACAGACTTTGCACCAGTCTATCTTCTCTATGTCTCCCTACTATACTCCCCCCGATCTTGGTGATGATGTCAGTAGAGATAGCATCTTTTCTAAACTTGTCCTTCATGCAGTGCAGGAGGTATGCTTGCTAATACGTGAGTATTTAGACCTACTTGCAAACGCCAACAAGAGCCAAATATCTCGGTCGAGACACGAATCGTACAGATATATCGACGAAGCAGTTTGGGGCTATATAGTTTCAAGCATACCGGTGAACGATACGTACAGGCACATCAAGTCTAACGTCTCTCCGCAGCTGTGGGAGCGAAAAAGCACTGCACCAAAAGCTCGGTTTGGTCCACATCCACTACCGAGCCATAGCCTACAGGTCCGTATTGAAAGCAGCACAGTAGAAGATGCTGTTTCCGTCATGCGGAGATCACGGAAGAGTGACCCACACATTCTCTCTGCGGTGAAGAACTCGTCCTTAGTCAAGAACGTCATACAACAGTCTAACATAAGCAAGTATCCATCACAGGTGGCTGTTCTTAAAGGAATAGATATGTGGGGCACGAATACGTCACTAGATGCCCGCATAGTAGAAATAGAGATGTTCTTGACAATCCTGTGGGAACATTACCCTCTTCTTAATCCGCTTCTGATTGGGGACGTAGACAATCGCTGTTTCCAGACACCGTATTGCATAGCCAGTGCCTACGAGTCAGGCTTTTCAGCTATTCATGAGCTTGAAGAGGTGCGGTGCATTAAGTTTCTCTTGAGACAAGGTAGGAGCCTAGAGAACGAGGTACTGGATGAGCTTCTTATGTCCCAGGAAAAACTGCGAATGCTTTCAAAGGACTGTATGAAGAGGCGTATTCGGGCAATCAAGATGCTAGAGATAGAGCGATACAATGACATAGTCGCAGAGACAGAAGAACTGTGTGCCTTGTACATAAACACAGTGTGGGGGAAAGCCAATCACACAGACAAACGTAGCTCAGGATCACGTATGACTCATGAAATGCAGATTGTGGGTGCCTATGAATCTGATGGATGCATTCAGAACGATCTTGGGGAATTTCTGGACATAATAGAGGATTCTATACGTGCAAATGGACTTCGATTAGGGCCACGGTGGGAAAACGACGGCTTTGATTACAAAGATATAATGTAGGCTCTATCCATAACTGTGACCCTCTCTGTCAGCCTCTTGGTCGGACTGCAGAGCTCAACACTTGCACTCTGCTTCATCTGTGGCAGATTAGAGTGGTGCCCCAGCCCTCAGTAAACCTATCTTTTCGTCCTTGAAACATGCCCCTACTCCCTTTTAAAAATGGCCAAACGGATTCAGAGGAGTCAGACAACCACTCTACGAAAACGTATTGATAAGGCTTGGAGTTTTTGTGATAATTTGGTGGCACGTGTCTACAGACACATCAGGCCTCTCTACTTTTACATTCTGCTCTGTATAGCCTATACGTTTTCCACATCTGGCGTAATTTACAATCTCATCAATACGCCTCCACCCTATGGGATAGAGAGGGTTGGAGTTAATGAGACGAAGCAAGTGTTCATCGCAAGCGGAATGATGACCCAGTATTCCACGGAGGGCTATGTTTCGGGCCTCCTCAACCTTGTGGCTGGCGTCAGTCTGGTCTTGGCGCTCGTAGAGCTGCGAAGCAAGCGCTGCAACGGGCTTCTGGCTTTTGCTTACGCGCTCACCTTTTGTGTATCTTGCTTAATTCAAAAGAGGAGATTCAACAAGAAGACCGGCATGTAGGACATAGGATACCAAGACAGTGACTTTATTACACATCAGGTGTTACATTGGTAAGCTCCCGGACCGAAGGCAGAAGGGCGATTCGATACAGTACAGAAAGTACCGTGGCAATGATCGCTTTACATGGGGCTCGCGTATGATTCTATAGCAGTAAACGCTACTAGGCGTGATGTCGTGCTTTGCTCTTGACAGCTCTGCATCATAGGCAGAATGCGGGCTACCACATTGCCGCTGAATACAAGTGAACAGATTTGCATGCTGATACGCCCGCGGCACGTGGCCCCAGAAATAAGGAGCAAGTGTCTGTCCAACGCAGTTCATATGCTTACGCTGCAGCGCTCTTTCTTATGCAAGATAAAAAGCAATGAAAAGCTGGAAACTGTTTTAGATTTAAAGGAAGAATAACGAAGAATGAACAAAAACGGAATAAAAATCCATGATTCCCAAGACCTATCTCAACATTACGGAAAAGGATGCGGAGGTCAGCGTGCAACGCATGCGATACAACAGTGACTACTTCTCCACGTCTGAGTTTGAGAAGGTATCCAAGATGGGAACTGTCGGAGATCTCGAGGAGGTTCACATGATTCAAGGCACCACTTTCCTTATACTTGTGTATAATGGCGGATCGAAGCTGGAGTGCTGTGACTGTGTCACTGGCGAACGCTTTGACTCCGTGGAGTTTGCTGCCCCCATTACAAAGTATGTCGTCTATCCCGGAGAAAGGACTGACTTCCGCTATGCTTATTGCAACGCAGCTGGCGTCGTCGTTGTTAAGGTTGAGTCCAATGGGAAGCTTGTTGCTTCTTCCCCTATCCCGCTGGAACCAAAGAGCAAGATCCTGAAGTTGGCCGTTTCCTCAGCCTTTGTTGTTTTTGCTTACGCAACCAAGAAGGGAATCTTTCTTTCCGTGACGAACCTGAGCCGCGCAGACAAGCAGGGCATCCTACAAGTGCAGGGTGCCCCCTTGAGCCTTACCATCAGCGAGCCAGAGTCTCTGACTTCTCACAATACCGACACGATCCACGGAGTTGACCCTACTACCTCAAATATTTATGAGAACACATCATCTGGGTTCCAGCTGAGCTTCAACATCCTCAGAGCTATATTCAAGAGCTCCTCTTCCTCTGCAGCCCCCTTCACACTGATTGAATACAAACTGAAGCTTGGTGATATCACACCGAGTCCCCTCTTTATCAACAAAATAGAGCGCTATTCGTACAGAGATTACTTCGATTTTTATAGCTCCTTCGTCTACGAGGGGAATGGGCCTGCCGCAGCAATAACCAATTTGAGCCTTCATCAGCGCCCACGAGTTGCTGGTCTGGAACGAGACAACGCCAGCCTTCTGCAGACAAATTTCATAGCCACAGAAGCCAGGACGTACCCTGTGTTTGACTCGTCGCCAGACCTGCTCTACTTTGTAACAGCTACCAACAGCAAGGCAAAAACAAAAGACGCGAAGTGCGTTAATCTATATTACATGGGCGGGCTGGAGCGTGCTATCCACCTGCCACAAAAGCTGCAGGGTGGGGATACGGAGATCGTTTCAGTGGCATTCTCCACCACCTATATCATTCTCATAGTAGTCAAGTCTAAGAATAAGAATAATGCCGGACTCTGGGCCTTTGGGTCTATGGACGTCCCTAAGGATCGGTTTATTTTAATCGATAAGACCTATCAGTACCCAATAAATCGCTATATGATCGATCGCTCAAAGCGATCCATCGTCCTCTTGATGCGCGATCGCATAGAGTACATCCACTCAGATCTTCCCACAAAGTATTGGTCTTTCCATCCTCGTTATGAAGACATCTTTTCGGAGTACTCCAAGGACCACTGGCATTTTACCGACTCTTCTGAGCGTCATAAGGTGAAGTCGTACTCGCACACAGGCAACGCAGAAACAGGTTATCAACTAAATCTAACCATTACCATAATAGAGGAGGACATGGACACCGAGGACACAACCATCCTTCTCCCTCTCTATGGCAATGACTTTGACCCTGAAAGAGCCAGGGCTCTACTCGCGGAAGAGGAGGGCATCGATTTCAGCGTCTTCGACCCCAGCAAAAGCCAAAAGGCGGCAGAGCTATCGCTCAACCACGCCACAGGTCACGCCTCGTCCACTCGTTACACGACGCACAGCATATGTATTGATGGGAACACAGCAGATGCTATTAATGAAGAAATTAAGAACGACAAACTGGAGATTATGCGCCATTATGAGGAAGGGGCTATTCAGCAGCAGCGTCTCGATGACTATAACGAGGAGGAGCTGGATGGAGTTGCTTCGCCTGAGCCGGAGTACCAGCCCGTCACGCGTGAGTCTCCTGTCCCCAAGCCAGTTCTGAAGGCTACGCCTACTGTCGTCCATAACATAGCGCCGGAACCTGTACTCCCGGCTGCTCCATCCTCTGTGGTTGATGAACCTCCTCTACAAGAGCCTCTTCCAGAGTCTGTGCAACCCATAACGACGCCTCCAGTTCCTCAGCCGGTAGTCACCATCCAGCCACCCGCACCTGTCGTGGAGCCTCAGCCTTCTGTTGTCGCTGCCCCAGCCCCCAGAGCTGCCTCTCCTGTGCCAGCTGCTCCTGTCGCACAGCAGCCGGCCACCCCCCAGGTTTCTCAAGGAGGAAGCATGCTTCCTATTGTTGCACTTGCATTTGCGGCCGTTTTAATCGTCTACTTGATAAAGAAGTAAACACGATACTTGCCTTACGCGAAAAAAAAATCTATCATATGAGTGAGCCCCGCAAGCCGGAACTGATCAACGGAGAGTATCACATCTACGAGTGTCCTATTACAACAAAAAGTCACATGCCGGTCCAGGAAGATGCCGAAACAGACACAACTAAAACGATTCTACAGAATGTACGTGCAACCATGAAACGCTATCCAAACGAGCCTTACCTCGGGTATCGTGCTGGCCTGGCCACGTGCGTCAAGGAGGTAACCGATAAGTATACCTACATGACCTATGGCGAGGCAGACTCCTACGTGACCGAGCTCGCCAAGGTCCTGACAAAGCTTGGTATTGGGAAAGGCGACCGCGTTGGCATCTTTGCACGCAACTCCCCCCTCTGGCTGCTTTTCGACTTCGCGTGCACGGCCGTGGGCGCAGTGGTCGTCCCTATCTACGACACCCTTGGGGCCGCCAAGACATCGTACTGCATCAACCACGCAGAGGTTCGCCTTCTGGTCACTCAGACAGAGCTACTCCCACTGGTTCTCGGAATATGGCCATCGTGTCCAAGTCTACAGCGCGTTGTCTTACTTGATATGACCACTTCTTCTCTGGAGGATATCAAGTTGGGTTCACAGCTTCGTAAAGCAGTACAGTTCTATGCAGAGGTGGAGAAGCTCACTGACGCAGAATTGGGAATCAACAGTAATTCGTTCTACAAAGCAAAGAAGACCTTTCACTTTCTTCTTGACAGCCACAGTTCTACTGGTGACGCAGCTAGCAACCTTTCTGACAACACTGACCTCCGCATGAAGACGGCGAATGTGAGTGAGGAGAATACTGCCGTTGCTGCCGTACTCGAAAAGCTTCTACAGTGTCTTGACCTCCAGTCTTGTACCGATGACACCTTGAAGTCTGCCACTACCGACAAGCTTCTATTTTTGTCTTGTGAGCTTTCCAGTGTACAGGGGCTGGACTACGTAGGGGACTGTCCTTTATCTATGGATGATCTCCATACCATTCTCTACACTTCAGGAACCTCGGGGAATCCGAAGGGCGTTGTTCACACACAAAAGACTATTCTGGGAGGATACTGCATGGGGCGTGCCTTTTTCCCCTACAGGCTGAGTCATATCACTGGTAGAATCACCACAATACTCTCCTATCTTCCGCTAGGACATATCTATGAGCGAGAGATCGAGCATTACTGCAGCATCAGAGGCTGCAAGATAGCATACTATGCTGGTAACACAAAGAACTTAACCACAGACATCAAGCTGGCCAAGCCGACGATCCTACTGGCCGTTCCGCGGGTGCTCCAGAAGATCTACAACGCCGTGATGGTGAAGGTTGAAGCGTCGCTTGTCAAGAAGGCTGTCTTCTGTCTAGCATGCAAGGTGAAGGAGTACACGGAGGGGTCCTGGATTAAGACGGGAACACTACCCTGGCTCGACAACGTCGTCTTCAAGGACATTAAAGCCGCCCTCGGGGGCCACCTCGAGCTCATCGTTAGCGGATCCTCTGCTCTCCCCCAGGAGGTGTGGCGATTCATGCGTCTCTGCACCGGTGCTCGGATTACATGTGGGTATGGTTTGACAGAGACATGTCTTGTGGGTCTACGTGTACTGCCACACGATCCAATTGAGTACAGTCCCGCTGGAAAGCTCGTTTCGTTCATGCAAGCCAAGCTCATTGACAAGAGCGACACCTGCGAGCTCTCGCTGAAGACTCACCGCGTTGGGGAGCTTCTCTTGAAAGGTCCCGGGATTGCGAAGGAGTACTACAAGATGCCAGAGAGCCCTCTACGGGACGCGGACGGCTACTTCCACACGGGAGATCTGATGAGGCTCAACGATGACGGTTCCCTCACATTTGTCCGCCGCATAAACATGGTTGTGAAGTCTCTCATGGGCGAATTCATTGACATATGCGCAGTTGAGGACGCCATGGAGAAGAGCCCACTCTTTGCAAGCGTCTTCGTGCATGCTCAGAGTGACAAGTCGTTCCCGATTTGCGTCGCTGTCCTGGACAAGACTGCGCTTGCTCACCGTCTGAAGTGTAGCACTGATGATGTGGAGAGACCGGAACACACAGATACCATTAAGTCTCTCCTGGCTAATGAAGCTAACATCTTCGTTAAGCGTGCAGGCTTGAAAGGCTACTGTGTCCCCAAGTGTTTCAGGTGGCTCTTTGACATTGACTGGAGCACGGACCAGGAGCTCATGACCCCGTCTATGAAGAAGCAGCATCGCTTCTTTGCGAAGCGCTATGCTACGGAGATTGCAAGCATGTGGGAGGAGCTTCAATCATTTGATAGGCAAAACTCTAAATAAGAATTTACTGAGTGAATCAAGTCTAGCGGAGAACAGTCGAGCCCTACTAATAGAACACAGCCTGCCCACCTTCAAAGTTATTCAAAAAATCGTCTCCAGCATCCTTGACAACGGGAAGCCCTTGACCGTCACCCACACCATCGCCCCTGGTTCTGTCATCGGTAAGGCGGAGTGCGTTCATAGCAGATAGAAAATGAACAAGAAGGGCTTCGGCGTTCGGAAGCTTTTCATAGAACAAGATTTTGGGGCTTGTAGTAGTGTTGGTCGGCATGAGGAGATGCACACGGGCGATATCACTTTGGCTAAAAGGGAAGGTCTCGCCACCATGAATGCTGAGGGCGACAGACCCTGTACCGTCATAAAGGGTAATAGTAGTCCTGTCTTCAGAAATTTTACGGACCTGCCCGGCAAGAAGAATGCGAGCTGGCGACTCCGAAGTAAGCGTAGTGCTTCTTCGCCCAGTCACAGAGATGGTGTTGAAGTATTGAATGGTAGTGGGGTAGATAGGTCTATTCATTTTTTAAGCAGTACTACCTCTGTTGAAAAGAGGAAGGGGACAGGCCCACTCCAGATACTGAGGCGTCCCATCAGGGTAGATGAGAATTTCGCATTACATCCTTCGCGAGAAAAGTCAGTGATCCTATCCAAAATGCCTTCACCCGGAAAAACCCAAAGCACGGGCGATCCACGACCAGAAACTATGACGCACGCCTACAATTACATCCTTGGAGCAGCCAAAAAGTTTGTAGATATCAACTTGCCATCTTTATCGCTCGAAAAGCCAAAGATCTGCAAGATAGCCATGGAGAAGAGTGCCGCGGTAATAACCTGTCATGTTCCCACGGCATTATTTGAGGGATTACATTACGATTGTGAAACTATCGGGGAGGCCAGCCAAGTTGACAGGATCCAGCAATAAACCAAGATGCATGACTTATGATAGGAGATCGGGGCCTAGAAAATCGACAAGCGCACTGAGAGGGATCTTAAAAAGCTTAACAGTGCCGTCTACAAACTCGCCCCCGGTGAGGTCCTGAATTGTCTCTATCCTTGAGCGTACGCTTTCTTTCAAAAGGGTCCAGCCTCCGTCAAGACCCAGCACACTGTATTGTAAAGATGGCTTCCTCAAGATCTCAACGAGCGTGTCCCTTTCAGAGCAAGAGAGGAGCTTGTCCATAAATAATCCGATGCAGTTGTTACTTGAAACAGCTGTGAGTGCGCTGATAAGCCCCCAAGAGCAGATGCCATGAGAATTCTTAATGAATGTGTTGATAAGAACAGACCCTATCTTCTCGTTAATGTGGGGGTCAAATGTTAGTGCAAGCATTGCTAGGTGACTGAGGATAGATGCAGATAGTTGTCGGATCATGATGCTACGCTTGTGTGCTGACAAAACACCGGGATTTAGTTTGCTTTTTTCCGAGCTAGATTCTGTTGTCTGTGCATTCAATGCAAGTGCCTTCAACTTGGCAATATCTGACGGTTCAAACATTTCGCATGCGCTTAGGACGGCACTAAAGTCGGTGTCTGATGGGCTCACGTTCAAGTCGCTTGTCAAATTGTTAACAGCGGACAGTTTGATCATGAGCGGTATGAGGATATTAAGATAAGAAATGAAGTGCGTTCCATAGGGAAGAATCAGCGTCAGCAGGACTTTGAGGTTAGATAGCAGCTTGGTGAGGTCCCCTTGTTCATAGGAGCTTTCGATGAGAAGTATCAAATGTTGGGGCAAGGCATTGGACACTTTCTCAAACTGTGCATTTGATATTCGCCGTAGCATGTATGACTTGTTATCATTAGTACTGTTTTCTGCATGGTACAAGACCTCCTTAACCAAAAACGAAAGCTCTGGGGTAATAGTGGGGACTAACGATACGCCTTCTTGGTTAGACTGCCTCACATTGTGAGAGGGTCCTTCTTCGGTGGCCTCTTTCGATGCACCTGCCCCATCAGTGAACTGACCATATGTGCTGATTATGTCTGCTATCGGTGGATTCTGAGGTATAAGAGGTTGTCGGCCTTTATAGAACGAATAGAACGTGTCGATAGAAAGCTTTGGTGGGGAAAAGAACTTTGCTGACGAGTCAGACACACTTATGTAACTTTGGTCTGTCGACGTTAAGAATACATCTCGAGTGTAGAGGCGGGCTGCGACGGGGGAAAAAGGACGCCTCACGACCTTGTAGGCATCGACCAGGTCTCTGACCGATATATAAGAGCCTCCGCGTGTGAGCGCGAAGGTTTCTGCGAGGAGAAGGATGTCCCTGAGCAGGGCCTCGAGCAGATTATATCTATCTCTGGCAAGCTGGTGGTTGTCAGAGAAAATATTGCCTAATGCACCTGCAGTTTCCGTCATGATAGCATTTCCCGATAGCCCCTTGTCCATTGTAAACATGGTATTCAGGGTCAAAAAATGTTAAAATTATAACCGGCAGTAATTTTTTTCAACCTAAGAAACAAAAGCGTTCTCAACAGAAAGTAGTTTGGATGGTGGGCATTATCAATTGCGTTACTCGTGTGCTTGGAAGACGGCCTAAAACATTCAAAACTGGCTCTTGGAGTGACACTACATCTTCAACCCAATTCATCTAATCTACAATTTAGACTTAAATGACTAAGTTGCACTGGGCGTATTAGACGACGACCCTGTCTGTTCCCCTAGAGGAGCCTGGACAAGAGTTTCTTGCAATATTCGATAAAGGTCGCTCAGGGACCCGGGAAAAATAGTAACAGGCTTCAGTGGAGGCGTGACCGGGACTACAGTGGCGTGTATAATCGGTTCGCTGCCAAGAAGCAGCGCACTCATTGGCGCTTCAGAGTCCTTGAGTATGCTTCCATCGTGGATAAGCCCCAACAAAATGGACGAATGCTTCTTTTCTCTGATTTGCCCCAAGACATCTTTTCGGAAATCTTGAAGACTCCTTTCCAGTGGGTAGTTTGCAAACAGATACATTTTTTCCTCCAGAAAAACAAGGATGTTACGACAGGATGAGCTAGTCATTTTATCACTTTTCAAGACAAAGGCTTGGCGTTTAGTGATTGATTGATCGTCAATTATTTATTTCGAAAATATGGATGCACAATTCGCAAGGTCAGTACAGTTGATGAACGGTAGTAACAGTAGGAGAGGTAATTTGTTTACAAAAAATAAATACGCTTCAAAGACATACACGCTACTTTGTATGCGTCTAAAATAATGGGAAAAGTGGCTCCAACTGAGAGAGACACGGCCCACCAAGAGTACGCTCTCCAATAATATCAAGAAGCTCTGGGCTTGAGCAGAAGTCTCTGGGCCGAATTCCCGAGGGGGTGTAGATCTTTCCCTCTATGTCTAGCAGCTGCCGAACGCAGTCAGAGTGGCCGTAGTAGCACGCAATCATTAGGGCCGTGCACCCTGCACCCCACTGGAAGTCATTTCCTGTTTGCATACCAGCCTCAGATATTAGGTGGCATATCATCTCAGAGTACCCATTCTTGCAACACTCCATAAGAGCTGTGTAACCGCATCTCATTGCTATCCGAAGTGACTTCAGCTTCAAAATGCGTACAACCTCAATGCTTCGCATCTTAACCGCGAGCATCATGGCAGAGACCCCGAGCTGACTTGTCTGAACAGACTCCCCCAGAGTGGAAACGATGAGCGTTTTATTGCCTTGCTCGACAGCTCTCATGAGACGAGAGTACGTGTTACGGTCAACAGCGACCAAGTTGCGATAATAAGCCTCATTCTTTGGGACGGATATGTTAGGGACAAACTGTGCAAGACACTTGTCTATGTCTGTCTCGACAGGTAGCTCTGTGTGCAGTTCTGTGTGTAGTGGCACATACACCGGGACACTAGGCTGGTGCACGGGAGAGGGCGGTGATGGTGGAGAACAGGTCAACTGAGGCCTGGGAACCACATTCTGGTTGATGCTAGAACTTGACGGAGAAATAGGAACAATCCGCACTCCTGGAGAGGGCGGGCTGGCCTCAGGAGACAGGGAGTTGAGCTGCGATCCTATGCTTCTCCGAGTTACAGATGGCTCTGGAGGTGATGGAGTATGCTGTAAGAGCGAGTGATTGTCTGATGTATCTACTAATGCCTTCCTCTGATCAATGGAAGATCTGTTTGCTTGTACAGCGCCGGGTTGTTCGTCAGGACATCTTTTTGTGCGTGATTTAAAAGAAATGCTGCACGATTGGGAGCGTGCCTTACCAGACTGAATGGAGCTGAGGAGAAGCTCGTTCTCCTTCTCGAGCTCTGAAGCAGTCCTACCTGTGGACGATAAGAGGGAGAGTTTTTCAGCTGAGAGGGTATTCATCGCCTTTCGAAGAGACTGAATTGTTGCTTCCTGCTCACTGATCTTTCTATGAAGTGCAGACACATTTGCGGTGGATGAATGTGTCGGTGACGCAGCCTTGCATGATCCATGCTCCAGCGCCAGTTCATGAGTTTGAATAGAACGGGCTATGCTAAGCTGTGCTCCTTCTTTATGCATTTTTGCTGACTTTAGATCTGCTTTTAACTCATCTATTAGCTTTGCATTTGTCTCATTTATCGCCATTTGCTCACAATATTTGACTGTGATTTCCCTCTGCTCCTTGCGTAGGCACTGAAGGGTGTATTCTGCATATAGTCCTCTGAAGCGAAAAAAGTGGTCAGTCTTGACGGCCTCCTGAACATAGCGTAGAAAGCCACACATCTCATCCTTGTTCTGCTCACTTGCAAGCCTACAGGCCTGCATTAATTCATCTAGCAACAGACTTGTGTAGCGATGAACGGTTGGATCGTGCAAAGACTCCAATTCCGGATCATGTTTTCCACCACGCTCAAGCTTCGCGGTAGACCTGGTCATGGAGTCTCCGTAGGAGCTTCCTGGCAAGTAGATATTACGAACAAAGACACTTTTGACGTACGCTTCGGCCGCCTGGAAAGCATCCGCATAAACGCAATAATCCAGCGCTGTGCGCCCGTATATATCGCGCGTACTCCCTAAGTATTGAGCCAAGAGAAAAATACATGTGTCATGATTCTCGCTCGCTGCGAGAAAAAGCGCTGTTCGTCCGTCTTCGAGCCCAATTGCCCCTTCTGCATGCAGCAGTAGCTCACAAGCGACGTAGTTCCCGAGCGACGCTGCGAACATAAGAGCTGTGTACCCCTCTGCAGTGGTCAGGGTTGCTTCGGCCTTTAGGAGAGCCTTGATTGAGTCATGGAGGTTATGACGGGCAGCAAACATGAGAGCTGTGAGTCCCTCGCTATTCCGCTGGCCGGCGTACTTCTTCAACTGGTGAGCAATTGCTATCGTGTCTTGCCGCTCCACAAGCTCGAACCAAGAGGAAATAGAGCTGTCGGCGGACTCCATTTTTTGAAAACGCTGCCGAATCAGTATTTTTGCTTTACTGCCAATCCCTGGATGAACCTGACGACGAGATCATTCTTGGCAAAATCAATGCAACCTTTTCCTCTTACTGTTCTGCAATCTTTCTCAGCACGATACAGCAATTTGATGCACTCCTTGTGGCCTTCCTGGGCAGCAACCATTAAAGCCGTGACGCCTGCTCCATCCTTGTATTTTCTATTTGTTGACAGAAGAGCCTCTCGTGAAACAAGTTCTCTGACAATGCTCGGATGGTTGTGGAGCGTAGCGTAAAACAAAGCTGACCTTCCTTCAACATCTTGGAGCCCAACGTCCTGCTTCAAATAGGCTTTAGCTGTCACTAGGTCGCCTCTTATAGCTGCAGACATAAGTTTGGTTAATCCTCCACGATTAATTGAACCAGTAGATCGACTCACACCCTGACTGGGAGGGCGTGCAGCATCAGTGACAATGGTGGTCGGCGTTGACATACCGAGTGCCTGACGCGCTGCAGCAATGTTTGCCGCGCTAGACGCCGCTATTGCCACCACTTGTTGCTTGTTGCTGATTCTTCGTTGGCGTGGTGTTTGTAAGCTGCTTCGTTGTAGTTCTGGGGCTCCTCGCACAAGTGATGGAGGCTTCGCGTGGCTAGCAGACGAGGGAGTGGGGAGTAGGGAGCTCTGGTTTCCTGGGTGCTGTATCTTGAGACTAGGGCTACTCTGCATCACTGAGTGCACCATTTCCTTGACAAGCTCACTCGACACTTCCTGGTTATGTAGGCGCTGGACTGGGGTCGGAGTAGACTCCAGGTCATAGAGTGTCATGTCTGAGCTCGTCTGTCGATGGCCCACAGAGGCGCTTAGTGCACGTCCACTTCGAGTAGAACCGTCCACGGCTACGTGTATCGATTCTTCACGCCTTTGTCTGGACTCTCCTGCGTTACTCGTTGCTGGACGTGAGGAGTTTGCACGCCGTAAAAGTCTGCGCGGAGCACTCGGCGAATCACTTGGTATGGCTGCCTTCAAGTCTTCACATCCAAAAGCACGCCTTGGATCTGCGCTAGATTCACAGACCGAGCGCTCCTTACTCTCGTTATTCTTCTCTGTGCTCAAAGCCAACTCTTCGAGGCTTTTGGTCATCTTCGTAAGTTCTATCTCTTTTAGTTCCAAGTAATTCTGCTGTACCCCAATCACCTCGTTAAGACGCTTAATCTCGTCCTGTTGGCACAGCACTTTTTCCTTAAGCATCTCTGTGTGGGATCTAGCAGCAGCCAGTGTCTGCATATCATTCTCGAACTCCCGTGCACGCAGCTTTTGACGGTCCAGTTCAGTACACAGAGACCTTATGGTAGCTTCTAAATGCTGTATGCGCTCTGCTGCCGGATTATTCAAAGAGTTAGTGTGTCGAGAGCTGGAACTTGATTCTATAGCAGATACCCCTTTATGAACAACAGAGGCCCGATGCACGTCTTGTTGTGGTGCTTTTTCCAAACATTGTATCCGTTGACGGAGGAGAGAATTGTCGTCTTCCAGTGTGCTACAACGCACCTCGACCTCACTCATTTTCTCGAGCGCTGCCTTGGATTGGTATAGCAAATCTATAAGATGGGTTATCTGTTCCTGCTGAGACGTGATCATCTCTTGATAGGAACTAGTATCTAGTTCAGCAGCACCTTTCTTCAAACTGTCGTTTTCATCGAGAAGAGAATTTATATACAAATCCTTCGCTTTTATAGCTGCAATGGCTTCTTCTAAAAGCTTATTATTGGACTCAGTCACAGAACTGGTTGTATTTCCCGCTGACTTCTTTGAACCTTTGGATTCTAGTGTGTCCACAATTTCCTTCGGAGTTGCTCCCCTGGTCTCTCCACTGCATGCGCAGCTGCGCCCACTGTGAGGTCTAAGAATAATTTCTATCTCTTCTTCCTCCTTTCCATCAGTATACGACTCGGGTTTGTCGGTTTTGTCAGTCCCTAGCTCTCTCTGTAGCTGTGCTATAGTCTCGTTTTTACGAGCTATGTCTTCTCGCAATGAGGAGATCTCCCTTCTCATGGTTCTAGACAAGTGTAGCAGTTCAGTGAGCACTTTATCGTCAATGTTTAGGTCAAATGAAGCGTTGGGAAGCATGCTGCGTAGCTTTTCAAAGCCTCGCGTCAAAGAAAAGGACAGAACCGCTCCATGCTCTGAGCCGTCTGATGTGCTGTGCTCTTTTGCATCACCAGAAACCTGATTACTAAGCTTTGCACCAAGCCCTTTGCCCCGATGTCTTTGTGGCTTCCGTTGCCGTCCTGCAAGGTCTTCTTCTACGCTTGAACTTCGAGAGCTATTGTTACTCCTTGACTGTGCGCCCTTCGATGGGTTACTGAAATTGGAATAGAGCCTATGAAACTGGGATGACAAATAAATAAGTTGCTTTCGTAAACATCCGCAGCGTTGGCATGCATTCGCTTCCTTTTTGTTGCGAAATATGAGCAGGAGCTCTAATATTGATCGATCTCCATGGACTTTTCGAGTCTCGCTGGCTGTTTTACAAGCCTGATCAAGCGTCTCTAGGCTTATGGCAGAGATATTCACCAGTTCCTCAATAATTGCGTCAGAGCTTGGCAAGCGAATTGCTAAGTCCAGTGCGGTTTGGTTCGTAGTAGGCTGGACGATGTTGATGGAAAAAGGTGAAAGAGATCTCACCATAGGAAGGTTTCCATCAGATACAGCTCTGTGGCAAAGGAAAATTCCACGCGCATGTAGGGCTTCCATCTCAAACTGAGCAAGAATGTCGCACGCTCTTACAAAGCCGACCTCATAAGCAACTTCAAGAGCGGTCTTTCCATTATCGCTTCTACAGCCAAACTCATGTGCAGCAAGAATTTGAACTGCAGGTTCGTCTGCAAGGAAGACTGCCTCTATTAGTGCTGTGTTACCGTGAGCATTCTTGGAGCACTTGAAAGTCGGCAGCTCTGCTATGATAAAGTTGTACTGCCGCTCGGCAACTGCTGTAAACCACCGGTCCAAGTTACTGCTGTCTGTGCCTTGTGATTGAGACGTCTCCATTGGTTCCATTCCGTGGCCAGTCAGATAAAAAAGCAATTTACTACAGGTGTGGGAAATGCTCAGAAACGGTTAACTATATCACAGATAGGCACCCAGGTAAAGAATCAGGGCGCTAAAGCTTTAGCTGTCGCCTGGTATTGACAATGCTAGGTAGACCAAGAACGCCACGAGAGGGCCTCTAGAACTCAGCGGGCGCTTCTTTCAGGTCAAAGTCTAGGTGCTGAGCTTCCTGCAGACTACAGATACTCGGAATCGAATATTTTTTCTTGCTGACCATAAAATCTTTTGGACAGCGCAGCCCTTTTTCGTTCTAGCAGGCCGAACCAACGGGCTTCAATGTACTACCGCATCCCAAAATGCTGAAATAAGCAAGAGCTACCTTGGCTAACGACAACAATAAGGCTTTCCGTGTTCATTTAGGCTCTACTCTAACCAGGACTTCTGGGGAAAATACACTCCTAGGCATCTTAACCTGTCTACTCTCACAGATGGCCTTGCCAACTTTGAATTCGCACCTCTTGGCCCCGTAAGCCCCCGCACAACGTGTTGCAAAATAGTTTAAACTATTTTTTAGAAACTTCGGCAAATAAAATGTCTACTCCTGGAGCGTGCTGTGGTGGCTGCGGCTGTGGTAACAAGGCACCGGTGGCTGCAAACCCTAGTGGTGGCTGCTGTGACAATGGTGGGTGCAAATGTGGGCCTAGCTGCAAGTGCAAGCCTGGGAATCCGTCTGCTGACTGCAAGTGCGGGCCGAATTGCCCGTGTGCTAAGGCTGACTAGATGCACTAGTCCCTGCAATGAGTGAACTACCTTTAATTCTGGATCCTAGAGATAAGACTTCTCATTCGGTCTTCTTCTGTCTCCTACAGGTGGTGGTGTGTCTGATAGCTGGTCTATGCTACTTGGGTGTCAGTGTTGTCAGCTGGTGGTTGCTCTGATGTGGGTATCGAAGATAGAACGCTCTGGACTTGCTCTCGCTCGTCTTCTAAATAAGTGTTTGGGTTAGTAGTATTGCAGATTCGAGAATCAGGAGCAGGTATGCTAGTACTGGTAGGGGCTGCGGTTGTATCTGGACTCTGTGGACTGAGATTATGGACCGCCGTCTGGGCTCCTGTGCTCTCTATGCGCGCAGTAGTGCTGGCAATAGCTGCGGTAAGGCTATCGGGCACGAAGTCTCCATCTTCTAGATCTAGCGTTACCACAAACGACTCGTCCGTCTTAAATTTGAGGGTGATATTTATGATGGACTTATCGCCAGCAACTCCTGTTGTGAAGCCAGCGATTTCCATGGCCCCCCGCTCATCCGTAAAGATCTTTTGGTAAGCGGCGACGTGAGCGGGGTTAGGACACCACGCCGTGGCCGAGGTTAGAGAGTCCATATCATCGGTAGGCTTTATGTAGAGGTAGAGATAGTGCGTATCATAAAGAACAAGGAGTGAGCGACGCGTGCGTTCAATGGCATACGATGCCAGGGGAAGAGTATATGTCCTGTTGACCTGGAATAAGCCATATGAGCAGTTCTGGATACAGTACAAGGCCATGAGGCCCGTAGATGTGTAGGCTAAGAGATAGTAGGACTCCGGGAGGATGCAGCACCCCAGAAGCTTTGAGCCCTTTTGTATGGGCCCACCCTTTCCAACAAGTTGAATGCTTGCGCAAAAGCAGAAGTTGTAGTAAAGGTCGATGTGGGTTCTGTTAGGGTCAACAGCCGCAACAAAAGATCCGTTAGGGGTATTAGACACGCCAACTACTTCGCGTTCGCTGGAGAACTCACAATGAGCAGCAAAGGTGAAGCTCCGAGGATTCCGGCGACACTCTATACAGACATAGTTGGGATAACGGCCTGCATATAGAATTGAGTGCTTGCTAATGCATGAGCGGAATTGATACTGCATGCCAGTGGCCGGTTCAGAGAGAAGCTCTCCGCGGACAACAGGTGCCCCTTCGCTTGTGAGCTCAGAGAAAAACTTGTATCTGAAGAAGTAGTATGTTTCGCTCCGCTTGAGGACGATTATGAGCTGAGACGCCTTATCAAATTGAATTGTCTTAGGGCGGCCTAGAAGCTGGAAGGCAGTGGTCGAGACAGACCCAGGGCCGGGGTTTGACTCGCCGTCATCCTTAGTTTCTCTGCTATCTTCTGCGTTGGAAGACCACCTATCATCCAAAATATGGAACACGTTGATGGTTGTAAGGGCGCTACGCTTCCCGTGTGGGTAAACGCATGTGCAGATAGCGAGGAAGTCAGGACACATCGACATGGTCATGATCTTTCCCAAGCCTAAAAGGAGATCACTGGGGAACTCATATATGGTCTGGAAGTATGGCTGCTGGCCTTCGTAAACGAGTTTATAAACTCTGAGAGCATCAGACGTCTGGATTGCCAGAAAGAGGCACATTGGAAGGTACTCATAATAACAATAATGAGAGATAGGCGACTGCAGCGAAAGAGAGCAGGGCCGTCCACTTGTAGTGATATCTATACAAGTAATCTGAGTTGATAGAATACAACATATGAGGTTCTTCTTATTAAGGGGGATAACTTCTAAGAGCCGCTCGCTTTGAGTTTTGAACCAGTCAATGGAGTGCCAGTTACTTTCAACAGAGAAGTCTGGCCCGACGTTCAACGTTCCTTGCTCTACAAGAAGCTGGGCATTATTCAGTCTTGTGACGATGAAAAGGGGATCTTTTCCCATATACTTTTCTTTCTACATAGGTGCGCACCACTGCGAAGGTTGCGAACTGCGACCTTAGTAAGATTGCAGGTTCAAAATTAATTCTGAAGAAAAAAGCCTATAAAATTGAAGTGTAGCTGCTCATGGAACTTCTCTCGACCCCGACGCACATTTATCTGCGCCGTGCTCACCATTGCATTTCCTTTTCACGATCGGATTCCTCACTAGTGTACGGGCCTCCTCCTTTGGATGTACTAAAGAAGGCCACTCTTGTAGACAATTATGTATTCTTCCTGGGCGTTATTCGCATCTTTGGCTATAATTTTCCACTAGTGTGCAAACCCGCAGTGCCAGCCATCAGTTTCATCGAAGCCCATTCTTCAACTGCTCAGCGCATCTCTCCTCATCCGCCCCTTGAAGACGGAACACCTTGCTATCCATTACGGGTCGATAACATAATAGTGCTGCATGCAAATGCGATAGATAAGTACGTCCACTTCCTCTTATGCAATGCAGTCGCAGATGTTTGTCGTCAATGCTACATCGATACTTCCCGACATTTTTCACCGGACGACTCATACTGCTGGAACAGGCATCTCTATCCATCACAAATTACAAGCACAGAGCAACTCCCCAGGCTGCGACTAGAGACTATCGTCGGGGAATGCATGGCATATATTTTCAGCGGCTTCTATGAGCAGTGGATGATTGGCCCTTCCTCTTACATATCGCTTCGGATGGAGCGATGCATCGATAATGCAGGGCATAGGTATTTCAACCGGGGCATTAGTTCGGCAGGGTACACAGCCAACACAGCAAGGCTTCGTCTTTACTATAACGCTACTCTTGTCTACACCCTGTTTAGGGGCTCCCTCCCGCTTATCTTCAGTCAGCCACCAACTTACAAGTTCACTCCTGCCATACGCTTCCCAGATGGGGCTCATGAAGAGCAGGGCCTCGCTCAGTTTAGTAGTCTCTTGCAAAGGCATATAAGCCTTCTATTGGGTAACTTAGTGACTGCAGACGCAGAGATACTTATCGTCAACCTCCTCAAAAATGAAGTCGATCTTTTGGATGACTCCATTGCTGCCAGTGAAAAGAAAAGCCTTGAGACCGCCGATGAGCGGGCTCTGACGGCGTTCTTTACCGAGTCTATGAGAAAAACTGCTGATTCTCGCCGCAAGAACTCCCTCAACGTTAAGTTGATGAACTACAACATACGTAGACACAGCAACACAGAGTATCACCAGTTAGCAGATGACATAGCCACAAGCACAGTTCTAGTTCCTAGCGGTGATGTCGGAGTTGCTCTTCCTGACTTTGTTCAGAAGTGCTATCCGCGGATAAACTGCCTGGACTGTGTGGACAGGACGACCCTATTTCAAACCATCCTTCTTCAGAAGGTCTTTAAATACTATGCACGAACCAAAGCACTGGACCTAACTGGTTACGAGCATGCCATTCAGTCCATGTCCTTTGCCTGCGGAGAAGTCTGCTCTTATTCATATATGAATGCCCCACCACAAAGAAGACTTGCAAATCTTCAAAAAACTGGGGTCTGTGTTCATCAGATAGATGCAATATATGACGTTTGCAATGCCCTTTTTCGGTACATAAGCAATAGATATACCCAGCAAATCAACACTTACAACAGTTCAATATTCAACAACCAAAGTACAACGTACCAGATGGACGCCCTCGCCTGTCTCAACCTTCCCGTTATCCTTGTCATTGCGACATGGACAGCTATCATCTGTGACGTTCTATGTGGGTATTTGGAGGCCTCGCTGCCTCAAGTGCTTCGGCTCTGCTCTACTGGAGCTATCGTTGTGCTTGTGGTGTTAATAGTTATACTTTCGTCCGGGAGTAATAAACGGGGCTCTAGTCACTAACAAATCCAATGATGCAGTGCGACGATCCCTTGATGACGCCACCAGATCTAACACAGGTGGATACTCCCGTGCTGTTAACAAGCACTGAGTCTATCTCAACTGGTATATATCCCTTTGATTCTGTTTTCCTTAGCAGTCCTCTCTCAGGGCACCTAGCGTTATATGCATACGGAGGTCGGGTAGATATATCTTTATGTACAAATTCCCAGGTCAGTGACCTAAGGGGAGCAGTTCCTTTCCCACAGTCTGCCACTATTAACCAAATATTACTATCGTCCACGTCCTCGGCTTCTGTGCCGTCTGCACACAGGAGCTTGAGGGTGCATCCATCATCCCCGCTGAAGACGCAATGATTACTTGGTCTATTAGGCGTAGATGGACTTATTATATAGCCTACGATTATGCAGTAATGGTTCAAGCAGTGATACAGTAACGCACATCTTGGCGTATTCAAAGCAGAGATGATATTCTTAAGTGCCTCTTGCTTGCTACACGCAGTTCTCGTTCTGCCCTGCTCCTTGTATATCGTGCAAGAGGTGCCAGAAAGGCCATAGTGCATGCAGAGGGTCTTGAACCAGCTTTGAACAGCACTGTTAGAAGCTTGAGGTCCAAAATCATAGTGTCGTGGGTCTTCTTTCAGGTCTGGAAAGAGAATAGCAATACACTCGTCCAGGGTCATGTCTCTGTTGAAGAGATGATTGAATATGCTCACAAGGCATGAGATGGCGCAGGAGTATCTGTACTGCGGCCGTGCCACGCACTGCCACCTGCCGTCGTCTAACCGTTGTCTGGGGTATCTTTCCATTTTAATTTTGCATACATGCTTGGCAATTTTGTTAGAAACGGCGTCTAGTCACAAACAGTCACAAAAAGAGGACAGGAGGATGGGAAAGAAGAAGAGGACAAGGGCGGCGCCCCCTAAGAAAGCCGGCCGTAGCAAGTTCTTCCCATGCCCGGTCTGTAACACAATTGAGAGTGTAGGGTCTGAGAGGATATCGAAGGAGGGGGTGTTCGTTTTGACCTGCAAGATGTGCAAGGAGAGATACACTTACAAGTATGGTCTCTTAGACACGCCGAACGAGGCCCACCGGAGCTGGGGCGACTTCATTTACAAGAAAAAGAAGTACGGCGTCCCTTGTCCTGGCTTTGGAGACTGTAAGTGCAACTTCAAGGGTATCGCTATCATAGACTTTTTTACAGAGAGAGACGAGGGCACAGGAATCGAAAACTACTATGCTAGGCTCACTTGTGGAGAGTGTGGCACGTCTATCAGGCCCCTCTATACCAACGAAACCAAGGCTGAATTTAAGAAGCGTATGGAACAAGAACATGCTCGTGGACGTGACGAAAGAAGAAAGAGGGAAAACGACGACAATTATGACGCTAGATTGGTCTCACCGGAGGCGCCCGTGAACGACTACAACGACTATAAGGGTGATGCTTCTAAGAAACGGCCGAGGAACAGAGGTGACAGCTCCCACCGCAAGGAAAGCTCCAGCTCTGATATTCTGGATGACGACCAGGAGATTGCTTCTCAAATATCAGAGCCGCGTTCTGAGGACGATATCTGATTGGAGTCTATGCTTTTCGTGTGTTATTATTATTGGTCACATAGGTGTAAACACAGCCTTGCTCTTTGAGAAGCACCCCGTTTTTAGATGCGGTGCTTACTACAGTGGTGTCATTGTTTGGAGCACCGACGATGGCCACAGCAATCGGAGCGCCGGCAATCTTGAACTCCTTGATTGCTCGTTTTCGAAACTCGTCACTAGGAGGGAGCACTGTATATGGCACTCCTTTATGCAGAGCTGTCATAGCCAAAAGAAGCGGCAAGTTACGCAGAGGAAGCGTGGAGAAGATGGCTACCAGGCTAGTTGAACGCGTCCGGGTTAAGCGCAAAACTTCCTTCATACCTATTCGTAACCTCGTAATAGGTGTGTCCTCAAGCATCTTGTGTGCGCATTCCACTGAAACAGGAGGAGCACGTGATGCAATCGGATTCACAAGGGCTATACGCGGGGGCGGCATTTTCGCTAATGCGACGCATACGCGGCCTGCGAATGTATGTATCATCTGTTTACATTACCAACAAATTAGTGAGAGCAATGTCCCGATCAGTGAAGAAGGCCCAAGAACAGTATGTCCTCTCGACAAGCGTGTCATGCACCCAATCGGACACGGAGACCCCGGTTGTAGCCGGAGACGAGGCTAAGGAAACTTGGGCGCCAATTGAGGAGCTGCACGCACTTGGAATAGCGGCCGCAGACACCAAGAGGCTTCGTGAATCAGGCATTTTCTCCATTCAAGGAGTACTGATGCAAACGCATAAAGATCTAGGGCAGATAAAGGGGCTGTCAGAGGCAAAAGTGGATAAGATCTTAGACGCCGCTCGTAAGCATTCGCAACCAGGCTTCATGAGCGGGGTTGTTGCACTGGAGCGTCGCCAGCGAATCAGAAGAATATCTACTGGTTGTAGTGATTTGGACGCTTTGCTAGGAGGCGGCATAGAATCCATGGCAATAACAGAAGTGTTTGGAGAATTTCGATCAGGCAAAACCCAGCTCTGCCACACCATCGCTGTCACTGCTCAGCTGGATGGCAGTAGGGTTGCCTACTTAGACACAGAAGGCACCTTCAGGCCTGAGAAAATTGGGCCCATTGCTGAGCGGTACAAGTTAGATCCCACCACAACGCTGTCTAGGATAGCATATGCTCGCGCGTACACACACGAGCAGCAGATAGAGCTTCTTGCAGCAGCGGCAGAGCAGATGTCAGAAAAAAAGTTTGCGCTATTGATTATAGACTCACTCACAGCGCTGTTCAGGGTGGACTTCACAGGCAGGGGAGAACTTGCAGACAGGCAGCAGAAACTTGGGCAACACCTTGCTAGTCTGGCAAAGCTTGCAGACGAATTCAACATCGCGATCTTCGTCACCAACCAGGTCATGGCGCAGGTTGACGGTGCAGCGATGTTCACTGCCGATCCCAAGAAGCCGATTGGGGGTCACATCCTCGCCCACGCCAGCACCACCCGTTTGTACCTCCGCAAGGGCCGCGGAAATAATCGCGTGGCTAAGATATATGACTCCCCATCATTACCCGAAGCAGAGGCGACATTCGCCGTTGGAGAGCAGGGTGTCTGTGATGCAGAGGAGTGAGCAAAATATCCATCAAGAAAGCAGGGTAAGTCTGGGGATGCGATTCCGAATTTCATAAGCCTTATTGCAGCCGCTGCAGATGAGCTCCCCCTCCACAACGGCCTGCAGAAAAAGGAGCTCGTAAAATTGGTCGACCTCTTCATCGGTGAGGGCTTCTGGATCAACGACGTCGCTATCATGTAGTGCGTATTTCTCTGGGACAGCTATCTTTCCAGCAATGCACGAGTTCAAAATTCGTTTCCAGCACGCTCGAGTGAGAATGGCAGACACCTTTGCTCGCTTATGGAGGTCAGTAAACTCGTCCCTCTGAAGAGCTGTGCATGAAAGGATGAACGGGGCTCTACAGTGTGGGCAAGCCAGTACGCCCAGGGCAGATAGGTACATGGGCAGAGATTAAAATCTTTTCAAATGCAAAATGGCGCAGAGAAACGGCTGGGGCGACCAGAATCGAGATCAGAGTCGAGAAAGACCCCTGAAACAGAGCACCAGCGCGTACTGCAAGACGATGCCTCACGTAAATCTTCGATTGCCTCAGTCGTGAAGGATCGAGCATCAGAGCGCGCGCGGGCCCACATTTTGTCCATTCTCAGGGAGGCGATTCACAAAATGGAGCTAGAAAACAGAAGCCATTTACTGAAGAGTACAGGAGACGATTATGAATCAGAAAGGGAGACAATTGAATTGGTCAATGCACCTGCTCGAAGGGCGCCTATACGCTCCCGCACTGCACAGTCATCTCATAAAAGGCCGAAATCGAAACCGATGCAACAACGAGGTCGACGTCCATCGAAAAGCACTGTTCAAACCCCTATTTCTGCCAGTGCAACGCTAACCACCAGTGCATTGAAAACGCCAAAACGTCGGGCTAAAAGTGCGGAGTGCAGGAGTACATCTTCACAACACAACAGAAAGCTGGAAGTTAGCATTGCATCTTTGCAAGCAGAAAACACAGTCCTAGAGAGTCAGCTCAAAAAGCTTGAGGAACAGTTGCTGATAGAGAGACAAGAGCGCGTGGATCTAGAAAGCAGGCTAACAGCCATAGAGAAGTCAGCAGGAATCAATTTGACATTAACACTCGACAAGACGACGGAGTCCCGTGCCGAAGTTCCTAAGAATTCCCCTAGTGAAGACAAAATAACAATCCGAGAGACATTAACGGAGAGTCAGTATACATAACCAATCCCAAACAACCGTTCGTTGATTCTAATTCCAACGTCGGTTGACTCCATCTCATCTGTTGTCGTCTCAGCTTGCGTAGGGGGGTCCATGGTTATCACAAGAAGGTTTTCACGGCGACGACCCGGACTAGTAAGAAGTGGTCGAAGTGGAGGTGAGCCCTTACTGGAGTCAAAGTCCCCTCTAGAGCTTAGCCTTGAGGGTGCACGCGATCCAACTCTTGACGTTACCTTTTCTCGCAGTTCCTTATATTTGTTATCTATCTCATGCGGACGGAGGATGCTGTTAAAAGTCTTTTGTTCGAAGTTGACGGATTTGTTGAAGAGGCATTGCCTGTAGTTCTGCTTTGCACTCAGCACAACCTGATCTTTCTTCAATGCATTTATCGTGTGATGAGCCGACTCCCGGTTACCTTTGAAAAGGACTCCCTGTATTTGGGTTTTTATTCGTGGGCATCTAGATGGAAGGTCTTCAGTTGCGGGAGTTTCCGCTACTTTGCCATTTGTTATAGATACTACCTCCAAACCATGGCTTAATGCTGTGTTTTTATATGTATCTTTATGGGGTGTACCTGCTGCATCATCAAGGCTGAACTGGAGGTTAATTGGATTGTTGTGGTGGGCAACGTGTTTGCAGGTTTCCCCAATGTCTCCCAGAGGAAACTTCAGGCTCCCAAAGTCTTCTTGGTTGCTCACTGGCGCCATTAGTGAAGGTATTGCTGGACCCATCTTTTCAATCAGTTGATCAGTGGATGGCAAGGGAGTGATGCGTTCTATCAATATCCTATTTTGCCTCTGCATATGCTTTACCTCATCAACCTTGTGTTCTGGTGCCTGTAATGATGAGCAGAATACCTTTAGACCAGAGGACGGCCTATTGGGAGAACGATCTCGCTGAACTGATTTGCTGATCCGTGGTTGGTACACCCCAACCTGTTCATGGGTGTGAGGTTGGTCGTCTGCTTGGACCATGCTAAGACACGTGAGTGTAGGCGAAGCTTCTGCGAGCGAAGCTATCGAGGAGTAGTTGTCACCAATCTTTACAGTTCTCTTTTTAGTGCAGTCTAGAGACTCTCCACGGTGGCCTAACTGTGGGCTGCTAGTAGCACGTGTACACTCAGAAGCGCTGCATATTCTAGTGTCCTTCTGCCCAAGAAGACGCATATCTCCCCACTTATGTACCATGAGACTATCACGAAGATCGCGAAGGGACTCAAAGGAACCCTGCTCTTTATGATTAGGGGAGGGCTCTGTGCCTTCTTCTATCACACCACATAACTTGTTCTTTGTGCTACACGTCGCCGATCTCAGCTCTCTATCAAGAGCGTCGTCCAGCGGAGTCAGTGAGTCGGCCCTGTTATCTGAGAGAATGCCAGTCAGTGACGGAGTTTTGTCGAGTATGCTTTTAGACGCCGGTCGTGACAACAGGACCTCTCGTGATTCAGAATAAGCCAGAGCCCCAATCTTTCCACTTTGCATTTTTCTAATGCCAGAAGGTGAGATCTCTTTTGTCTTATGGATTGTGCTCGTGAACCTTTCTGTTACGCTATTGGATATAAGAAACGGCTTAATTTCCGGAGCAACTATAGGTAGCTCTGGCTCTGCTTTGACCGTAAGCAAGGATTCATCGATTGTCAAATGACTAAGAGGCTGGGGGATTGTCATTTTAGAAGGCGTTGAGCTTGACCGGAGGTAATGCGAAGCACTCGGCATTGTTATCATGTCTGTATCTACTGCTAAACGGGCCATCTTGGGGGTGTATGAAAGGTGACCCCTGTACGCCCGATTGTGGGACTGGGAGTCCGGACGAGGGCTTGCCACCTCTGCAAATGAATCAGCAGGAGGGCATGATCCTTCTCGTGACCAAAGGTGGGGGGAGGAAATGCTAACAGCGACTACATTATCGTCACACAGAGACATATTAACAACGGAGTATATTGGTCTAGGTGAAGGTCGTGAACTGCTCATCTGTGGAGTAGCTAACTCTGAGAGGCGTTTTCTCTGCGTTGTTGGTAGAGAAGTGCATGACGGGGCTGTGGTTAGTTTCTCAAGAAAATGGTTATAACGGGCACTCTGTCTAAATGCAAGTTCAGCGCTCAGGTCATCAAGGGTCAGCTGTGAAAAGGCAGCCGTTCCGCTGCGGGATCGTGCACTAGATGGGAAGGATGCTTTATATAATAAGGACGAGACTGCTGCTTCTGCAAGACTGTTAGCCATGTTAGCTGCCTCAGCCATCGAGCAGCACAGCATTCTGCCATAGAGGATCGGTGCAGAACGTGTAGGGCGCAGAACTTTGTCTCCTAGTGCACAATCACCTTCATACGCTATCTCATATGTGTATTCATCCGATAGCATTTTTATGTAGTCCCAGAACCTAGTGAAGTGCAGGTGAACAATTGAAGGTACGGAGATAGCATTGTCCTGCGTGTTCACGTCAACAAATTGAGGATCTGTCAGCCAGATCTCTCGGAACACTTCATCCGGGTCTTCGTTGTCATACAAAAACATAATGTTGTCATAGAGAATTGTGTCAATGATTGTATCCAGTGACAAAACTGCTCGTCCAGATGAGAGAGCATAGAACTTGAGATCCATCTCTGGGAAGAATGTGATAGACTCTGGCAAGATATACGTTGAACACTGGAACGATTTCTTCCAAATACGAAGGGATAGAAGTGTCCTTTGGTAGCGTGTCAAGAGATCTAAAGTGAACTGACCAGAGGTCAGCCGTGCCTCAATGAATTGCTTAGTTGGCAAGGCTGCGTCAACATACGCAGTGGTAGGGGCGACAGTTGTTATACTAGAGCCAGCACTGTGCCCACCTAGTTCATGCTTTTTCTTGGTATGAGCTCCATAGCTTATTGCAGACGCTACCCTGTGCTGCTTTTGGAACTTGATATCGTCAGAACTCTCTGTATCGCTGCTACGTTGACTGTTATTTATGCGCCTAGTTAAGTAAGGAGCCGTTGTTTGAGGCCTGCTAGACAATTTCCCCAAAAATGCACGCCCAGAGGACAGCCTCCCATCTGCAATAGAGGAGTAGTAGGAGGGGTATGGACGAAGGCTCACTGTTGGCTTAGACGCGTCGCTGTCAGATGGCATATGTGCTTGTCCGTGTATATTGACGGCTTCATGAGATGCATCATCATGAGTATCATCAGAGGCATGTATATGGAAGGAACCCGTGCTTATAGTTTGATAGGAAGTACTAGAATCATGAGAATAAAACGAGCACTCTCTCTCAATAGCTGTATAGGCCTTTTCTTTCCGTTTATTGGGAGAGCTTGCTGTCCTACACACCCTCCCTTGCTCTAACTTGCGAATGCCATGAGTTGGCTTAGACTTCTTTTGCTTGGCAACAGGGTGTGCAGAAAGGCTCCCTGACTTACGCTTAGACTTCTTCTTCGACGATAAGCGCCGAGACTTGTCCACCTGTGTGGAATTCTTGGTAGAATTTCGTGGCTTTAAGTGCTGTCCCGTTGGACGGGAGTATTGCTCAAAAGATGGAGATACATAAGAATTCTGCCTACTAAGTAGTTGCGAAGATTGCAGAAAGCTTAAATCAGATGAATTAACCAATTGCTCATCTGGGAGCATACAAAACGACCCTGTGTTGATTTGGCTAAGGGGAGCAATACTGAATGATCTCTCTATAATTCTCACGGCGGTACTAGTGATCTTCCTTTCTAGCTTCAGGAGTTCATCAAATGATCTGGTTGGAGGTTCTAACTCGACCGGAACGGCAATCTCCATTGTGGTTGCTGCTTCACCTTCCGGCGCTTTTGCATTTATGTATGTAAGTAGAGACGGATGTACAACAGATGTTCGCACAGTTTCAACGAGATGCTTCATCTCGTCCACTGTGACACGTGTTGCATCCGTCGAAATCAATGTTGTTGTAAAGCGATCCACCTGGATGGTTCGAGCACGCTGAAACAGATGTGTGACGCCTAGAGGCTCTTCGTCTGGTGCAACAGAGACGTTGCTAACATCATTATCGAGAGCGTCGAGAGGGGCGAGCTGCGAGGGAACTTGGCGGATTGGCGAGGCTAGGAGACGAGATGCTTGTCTTAGATAAAGTCTTCTTCTATAAATAGCCGACAGCTGGAGCTCACGCTCTGATGCACTGGCAATAGCGCCCAGAAGCCAGCACTCTGCCTCTGACGAAACAGAAAAGCGTTTGTTCTTTATCACTTCGAGCTGCATACATAAAGAAGCACGTTCTGCTGCGGTAATAGAGTTGTCAACAGGGAAAACATTGGGGCCTAGTAGCGTAGTCACTCCTTTTGCATTAAAGTCGCGACTTAGCCCCGTAAAATATACATTATCAACAATAGAGATAGAATCTGCGGTAATAGACTGAAGAAAGTCCTCATGGTGCGGCCTGTCTTTTTGTTGCGAGGCGTAGGATTGCCTGTGTCCCATCCACGTCTGTAGTAAGAAGCTAGAGGAGATCACACTTCTTCTATCTGTAAACATGATAGCTGGTGTCTCTAGCAGAAAGGCCGTCGTCAATAGAGTAACCGACTCTGTGTCCAGCGCCTTTCTAATATGAGGAAATTTTCCAGAGATGTATGCACCAATCCTCTTTTCAGAAGGGGATTGGGGTCCATTAGTGTAGAGATCAGCATAGAGTAGATCGGTTGCGGCTAAAAATTCATGATATCGTATTGCTAGGTTCCGCTGGACCAGTGCCATAGCTTGACGATGTTGTGCAGGGTTCTCTAGTTTGAGTGTGGACTCACTCCGATATGCTTCTATGTAACAGGTATTATAGCTACCAAGGCGTGTCATGGCCACAATGGCAAACTTAAATAAAAGTCGATCTACGCTTGCCATCGCGTCACTATCATCCAGCCCCCTATACAAACAGTGTATAGTTCCAGTTGGCTGATAGGAGATATACCTGCGTAGCTTCATTAGTAATAAGCAATTATGCTTGTCCCCTTTGCACAGAACCGCCAGACGATGAGGCTGGATCCTACTGTTTTTGGAGATCAGCCCCATGAGAAAGAGACTCTCAGGACATGCGAGCTCAGCATTGTGCTTGTCATGCAACAGCTTTATATCTGCAGGCTGGAAAACAATGTCGTCGATGGCACAAAACGATCGCTGTCTCTTCTCTATTGTCTTCATCTTAAAAGCAACAAAGGCCCACGCCCGTAGATAAAGGCGCAAGCGACTAATATAATAGGTCCCGCAAGCAAGCACGGTCAACCTCCGCCAGCACCTAGGGGCGTCAATGGCACATCTAAGCTTGTGCAGGCATCTGAATGCAGTTGCTTGCAGGCAATAATCTTTTAAGAGACTGTGGACAAAGAACAGAGCATACTTTAACCAGCCAGAGCACACAAAGCTCCTCTCGTGACCGTTATCTGCCATGCCATAAACCTTCTCTAAACAATGGTGACGGGCATGCAGCTCACGGGCAAAGAGATACCTTGTCCAGCTATTGAAGTGGCTCCTTTTGAGCGCATATTTGCGAAGCTCAAGTGCAGCCCGTACTGCCTCTGCATGCCTAATGTGTACAGAAAGAACTAGCTGCCACCGAACAATTGCGTGATCAAGAATGTAGAGGCGAGTCCGGTGGAGTAGAACCCATGATTTGAAGAATGGCCGAAGCCATCTCAGTTCCAGTTCACGCACCCCCACCTCCAACTTTTTTCTCCGCAAGATAGTAACAGCCTTATGCTTCCAGCTAGCAAACGAATCCCACAAGAGCCTTGCAGATAGCTTAGAAGATATCGTTGATTCTATGACCCCAAAAGAGTTGAGATAATATAGATACCCTTTCCAGATGGGGCTGGAAGAGCTTTGAGGTACCTTGCTGGCGACTACACCTATGCTCACAGTCAGCTCCAAACCGATGTTGAGACACTTTGATAGCACCTGCCGGGCACGCCAGAACAGCAAGATACTACGAAGCTTTAACATTTCAAGGCGCTGCCTCACGTGTGGATCAAGCCCTCTGTCCTTTGTCAATAATTCCATATAGCAAATACGACTCCCTGAATCCATCCGCCAGAGAAAAAAGACACGTGCAAGCAGCTTCATTTCATAGTAACGCACAGATGTAATTGTCTCCTTTATAGACTCTCTCCATTGGTCAAAAATGTAGCGATAAATCCGTGTCCTAGAGGTCTTCAAAATTCTAAAATACCGAATCCAACGCGTAAATGTCATTCTTACCAGGCCTCTATAGTAGGCCTTTTGAAGGGAGAGACGGATCCGTGCGTACTTTCTGAGCTGTGCATTTCGGTACCAATGCACGAGCTTTGTGGCAGCAACGACCCTTCTAGCATTACTAGTCTCCCGAGCGGTAAACTGCCTTATGTCATGGACAGATACGGGGCGTGAGCCGTCGAAAAGAGCCATTTCATAAGAGCAAAAAGTAATTTTGGACCCATGCTTTTTCCCCCACGAGAGACCTGGTTCCGTGCAGTTAACGCGGGGGATATAAACACTGTTATTCATATGCTCCAGCGCAATGCAAAGACCATGAATGAATATGGAGAAACAGCCCTGATGTGCGCCATCAAAAACAGCGACACGGCCCTTGTCTCTGTTCTTGCCCCGCAAGAGGCAGGATGTTTCCATGGAAAGAATGGATCGACAGCCCTGATGCAGGCTGCAGCCCGGAATATGGCCGACATCACTGCAATCTTGGCGCCATATGAGGCAAAGCTTCTTGCACGGAGGAAGGTCAACGCTATGATGATAGCTGCAGAAAACAATGCTGCCGGCGCGCTGTTCCATTTACTCCCTTACTATGACGGAGCCCAGGACGAGGATGGAATGACTGCTCTCGACTATGCAGCGCGGACAAACTCCTACGAGTCTGCTGTTCTCTTGGCTGGCTCAGGTAAGCATTCACCAGAACAGGTGCTTGCCTCTTCTAACCGGGCGTCCGACCGAACGGCATCCGTCTTGGTCCTCATGTCAAGAGCGCAGTCTGGAGAGGCCGTAGATACTGCAGAGGTCATGCTCAAGTACAATTCTCTCTGCGGAAAAGCTGAGCGGATGAAGGGTGCTCTTTCGCTTCTCTTGGGAGCAGACTACTCTGATGACAAAGATCTAGTCTCTATCGCAAACCTCAAGCGTGAGGAGATCAAGAAGCTCCAGATAAGTCTTTTAGATCGTGAGGCAGAGCTGGCAGCTCTCCGAAAACACTATGTTACGAGGCTGCATCAACACGAGCAAAACATAGAAAGAGATATCCTCGCCAGGACAGATACAACAGCGTTGGCAGCAGAGCTTTGCTTTTACAAAAATAGATATAAAGAAATATGTAGTTCATCATTATTCAAGCACACCTATCCAAATGAGGAGGTGACAGGGGCTGCTTGCGAAACAGTCAATGCAAATATACTGTATATGCACAAGCGGCTTGAATCTCTTGTGGAGGAGTTAGAACAGCTGAAGTCAATGCAGCGAAGAGTGGATAGTTTAACATCTAGCCCAGTTTACAGATCTACCAACTCACTGGTGGATTCCAGCAAAAGCTATCTTCGCGATTCCTCCTCGACATATGAGAATCGAAGGTACTCCGACTTATTTGACCTCGGTCGTAGCGTCAGCCCCAAAGTTGGCATGTCTTACAGGGCATCCACTTAGAGTGTCAATGAATCTTCGCGGATTGCTTATTTTTCATATATTTTAGAGAGTTTTCACATTTAAAAATTCAAACTTCAATTTTTGGAGCTGAACTGCCGAGGGCATTGGGATCTGGGGCATGTCCGTTGATGTTTTGGCAAGTCTACGCAAACAAGTCATAGATCTCCAAGTGCTTAGTCTCAAGAAGAACTGTTCCCCAGACTCTTACTTTAAAATTAGAGACGACATCCGGCACCAGGCCGCAGAGCTGCTCCACTCTCTCGATCCATCTCTCTCTTACCAGGAGCATTATTCCGGCCCAGTTGTGTGCGATCCTACCGGAGACTTTAAGGCCAACGTTGCGTTTATATCCCGCCTCCGCTTGACGGTGGATAAGCTCTCCAAGGCCTCTACAGCCCCCGAAGGCGGGTTTACAGAGCCACTTCGTGGAACATCAGTACCGCCTAGAAATATAGGTACTCAGCGGCGCCCTTCTTCGCCATTTCATAACGTAATCTCTGAGAGGCCACGCAGCGCTCGTCACGGCTTGGCTGCAGAAGTCTCACATCAAGATGACGCTAGAAATGTCACAAAAGATTCTCCGTCATTCCACATACCTGACACCGTTCGTTTGGAGAAAAAGGCAAAGAGCCTAGCAGATAGCATCTCGCAGATAAAGTACAAAATCCGGGCGCTCAAGGAAGAGCTAGCGATAGATGACATAGAAGACCAATACAGGAACACAGAAATATTTCTGGCCAAGCACCAGCGCATGTCCCAGAGACTCGAGTCCCAGGAGGACACTTATCGCCAACTTCTAGCGTACCACCGCGAGCTGCAGACTCTTATTCCAGAGCTTGAGCGCGAAAAGGATGCTATGCTAACGGAGGCATGCATCAAGGCGACAGAGGAGTCGTCTGCCATGGAGGAACTGGTTTTCTAGCATAAAATTCAAAAAACTGGCAATTATGGAGGTTGCTATTGGCTTTCTTCAAGAGATAAGAACGCTTTTAGAAGATGCACGTCGCTACCTTTCCCAAGCCGAGGATGAAGATCCATTCACGCGGGATGATACGCTGCAATATGCCTCTAGGAGTCTTCGTACAGCCTGGACTGTATACAATCGGCTTGGAGCGCAGATTAGTAGGGTCACCACTCAAGCTGCGAAAGACACTCTACTGTCAGATCAACTCAAGGTCAAGACAGAGCTGGAGGAACTTGGAAACCTAATAGATGTGTCAAAGGTTGCTTCGAAGCCCACTGGGTTTAGTCCGGCGCCCGCAACGCATGGTCAGCGGGAGTACCACCCCGCACTTATGAGTAGTCTCTGCAGACAAGAGGATGAGCTTAAACGGGCCAAGGCTCAGGCTCATGCCGCTCTAGAGACTGGCGCAGATCTGCTTGACAACCTCAATGCACAGAAAGAGACGATTGAGCACGCACGGGCAGGCGGAGAGCGAGCAGAAGAAGCCTTCTTTGAGGGCATCCTGGCAGCTAAGCGGATTAAGCGTACGGTTGACAAGCATCGTATCATTATGACCACTCTTTTATCTGTGTTGGGGGTTGGGACATTAACCGTTATTATTGTGGGCCTTTTAAAACGCTAGTAAATAAACAGATGGACCATAAGCCGGGGGCAATCCGAGCCTCTGAGCGGGCCCGAGAACTGAAAAAGGAGTATCAGTCGCTCGGGAAGGCTAATAAGGAGGATGCTCTGGACATTGTCGTGTATGCTCTCCCTGCACTGACTATCGACATTCACGACTTTTTGATTTCTTGCCCCTACTTCCAACCTCACTTTTCCGAGCAGCTTTGTGTTCGCCTCGAGACAAACTTGCTTATTGGCGAGGACTCCTCAACCACCGATCCAGAGTTGGCGATAACTCGGGAACTCTTGGAGGCATTCGATCCAACGTCTCACCTAAATATCCAGAAGGTATGCATGCAGGTTCCAGAGATTGTTGAACTTCAGCAGCGATTGGATCAAGAGTTACCGGTTTTGAATAGAGCCTTAATGCGAATCATGAGATGGCTGAACACCCTTGTCCTGAAGAATCGTCTTGCAGAAGACCACGACCTAAAGGAGGCACTTGATGAGCTTATCGAAACGATCGACGAGCTTATCGGAGATGTGAAGAACGCTACCTCTGAGGTACTCACATATCACACGGCGCGAGGGGCTCTTATCAAGCACCTTCGCAAGACCCCCGTCTTGGACACCTACTTTGCAATGATTTACATGGACTGCACACGGATAAATGACATATATGACAGCTACTTGAACATTACAGAAGGGTTCTTGATATTGAACGATCAGCTTAGCAGACGGCTATCAGTGCTACAAAAAGTGCTTACGAAAAAGTCCTCAACGAAAGGCATATACTATTAGCTTGAACATCCTACTTCTGCCCCAACATATCCTCGACAGCTTCCATTGTAGAAAGGATACAAGAGTAAATGAACCCTCGTGTATGCTTGTCGCACTGCTCAAGTAGCTCTGTGGGGAAGCCTGCCAACCTTGCCACTTGCGAACCAAATGAGCGAGTGCAAAGACCGTGACAAAGAGTATGCTTAAACTGGATTCCTGAGGCCGTTATTTCATAACTCATGTGACAAAGTCGGACCTGTTTGTCTTGTTCAAGCTTGAGGGCCATTAGCGGACTATGTGTGGATACAACGGCCCGAAGATTCAGCTGAGTCAGCTGCCTGCAGACAGCTTCCGCAAGCGCGTCACCCGTGGTCGAATCGGTGCCACGTCCAAATTCATCGAGAAGAAAAAGGGATCGGGCATCGGGACGTAAGGCCTCTTGGAGTAGCTCTGCACAGTCGGCGGTTTCCTTTTGAAAAGTGGAGCGGATATCTTCTTCATTTCCTATCTTGGCGAGGATTGTGTTATATGGCGTTAAGACCATACCGGAGCAAGGCAAGGGTGCACCAATCTGTGCCAATAGAACAGCAATCCCGATCAATCTCATCGCAGTGGACTTTCCAGACATGTTACACCCGGTGAGGACAAGCATTTTGTTATTCTGGAAGTTGCAATCGAGAGGCACCCATGCCTTGAGACGTGCTTGGCTGAGTTTAAGTGCAATTGGATGATAGGCCTTGCTAATGTCTAGTATATGCTCTTGTTCGTGGACTGGTGGCTGAAAGAGTGGGTAGGACCATGGTACATGTGCGTATATTCGAGACAACTTAGAAAAGCAGCACAAAACATCCACCTGGGAGAAGATAGAGCACATTTCCCGAATCATGTCCTCATGCTCGAAAAGAAAAACCAGAAGATCTAGCTTCAGTGTATTGAGAATGGAATTCTTCCGTCGCAGCAAGAAGCTCTCAAGCTCCAAGAGTCTTCTGAAAGCCACCTTGTCGAGAGCCTGGATGAGAAGTTTTACTTTGGCTCTTGTGCCTTGTGTAGCACCATCAACGGTAACATCCACACCAAGGAGACGGCACAACGCCTGTTGGTTGTATTGCGACTGACTTTCGGTGGCTCTTGTGGCAAGATTTGCAGCAGCTATCGTTTCATTCGGGAGCGGGTCAAGGACAGAAAAGCGGCCAGCTGTCTTAGTGCTGCTGATCTGTGTTATTCCTTCTATCCTAGCAAAATGTGATTGCTTAGCAAGGGGAATTAGAGAGTCTCCAATGACTAGGTGCCGGTCAGGAAAGGGGCTAAATGTGTACACCTTAGCGGTGCTGGTTGCTGGAGTGAGGGCAGTCAGTGGGTAGTCCTTGAGGCTGGGAGATAGCCTATGTGTTTGAGCCAGCGTATTGAGATATTCCACATATCGCTGCTCTATTCTGTCCAGTAATGCGTCTACTATTTGAAGGTTAGGCTCGTTACTGTTGGCACTCAACTTAAAATCTTTTCTGAGCATTGTCTGGGGAGTATCTACCTCAAACATGCTTGCGACTTTATTGTACAATGTTTCAAGAAACTTCCAACAACTGTTGGATGACGAGAAATGCCTCAGCATCTCATTTGACTGCACATTCTTTTCGTTGGAGCCTAGAAGCGTGTGTAAAGCTTCTGCTGCCGAACACGTTCGAATAATGGTCACAAGCAGCTGCACAAATAGCCTGTTGCTGAGAGTGGATTGCTCTAGAACATTGAAGGAGTTAAAGTGACAGTTGGATCGACACCCTAGCACAAGGTAATATAGACTAGTTCCTACTGCTTTGAGAGAAGTGAGAACTGCCTCTACATGCTTGTGGTTCACGCTGTCGGCAAAAAGTTTAATAGCATTTTGTCTCAACTGGATTGTTTCTACGTCATATAACGGGTTCATTAGCCACATCTTCAGCATTTGGGAGCCATCTCGTGTTACGCAATTGTTATAGACTTCAAAAACACTAGAGTCGACGGCTTCGAATCTAGCAAGGCTATCTGCAGAACAGAGAGGTAGGATACCTAGAGATGACAGGGTGAGCATGGGTAATGTTGCTATGGGCGACGAGTTTTGAGGCAGCCGGAATATGCCACTCAACGTGATGTTAGTGAGATACTCGGCGATGTCTCCTTGCTGTATGGGCGTTAACCGCTTATCAGTTGCCAATAAATAATTTAGATAATACCGAAAGGCTGAAGAAATGTTAGCACAAGATTCAAGCGCATCCAAAGAGATGTCCCACAAGAGATTGGTAGAGCAAACAGTGGCATAAAGATTATTGTACGCGTAGATTGGCCCTAGAAAATATACCGAAAGCTGAGCACGAACTAGCTCATAGACACACGAGCTGATAACTATCTCAGCAGGAGAAAGACGCTGTATCAAAGCTATTACCTCCCCCATCGTGCAGGGCTCTGACTTAACTAAAATGAGGCGACGTAGCGGGTCGTAAAATTGCAGATATTTTGAGTCGGAGTCTGCCGATCCTCTATCCTCAATGTAAAGTATTCCATACTGAGTTCCAAGTAGCAATGCAGATGATACGCTTCCAGGTGAATATACTGCAATGACTTGTCGTTTCTGCACCTTCTCTACTTTATCCATTTCTGGCATTTCGTCAGCTATAGCTGCCCGCTTCCCAGAATCTAAGGTCAGTTTGATATATTTGTCCAACATATAGTCGGGAACGCCGCACATACTCATAGACGAGGCGTGCCTGGTTAGCTTTAGCCCCATGGTAACATTGCCAAAGATACTGTCTTGTTCGTAAAGTTCAAAGAAGCGACCCTTCCGGATGTATAGCACGGTATTACTATCAAGTCTTTTGCGGATAGACGCGTACTGTCTAGTGAATCCTGTAGTTGGAGCTTGCTTGCCTTGGTTGGGGCTTCTAATGTCATCATGGCTTTCTTCACTGGTCGACGCTGCTCGCCTTTTAGAAGAGAGGTTTTTCTGAGGAATAGAAGAGTGAAGAGGAGATGCGCTTGCTTTCAGATGACCTTGTTGTGGACTTGCTCCTGGAGTGCTGAAGCCTCTAGGACTGGGACTGGCGCTGGCACTAGTTAAACTGGCGGTTGGCTGGGCTCGAAATGCTTCTAGGCCGGGCCTAACACGTCTGATTAAAGGCTCTGCTATGAATACCTGTGTTTGGCATTGCGGAGTGGAAGGCTTTTGTCTGTCAGCGAAAGATGCGACAGATTTCATGGTTGCCTCATCTTCTGTCTTTACCGGCACAGGTATAGGCTCTGCAGATTCTGAATCTATGACAGTTCTCCCCGAAGACTGAGGATGTTTACGAACAAAGAAATCCAGGGTTAACTGTTTGGGCATCGGGCTTTTTACTGAAAGGGATAATAAGGCTCTATTTACACTGTAGCAGGACAAGTGGGGCAAGAGCCGTTGAAGCAAGTATCACACTGAAGAGTGAAGCAGACAGCACAGGCAATCCCATGGCTTATGTTAGCATGACAAACACTGCACTCTCCCATGAAGTCAAGCCGCTTTTCCCGATGGTACATTCCGGCGCTAGCACCATCATTGAGCTGTAGCGACCTCCACTCAGCAGCAGGAGAAGCCTTGAAGATGTGCGTAGTGAAGTAGGAGACACTACTACCGGAAGCCTTGGGCTTCGGCACATTGGAAAACTTGCTGGCCGTTAGGTAGGCGACCTGCCTCAAGAAGATGTTAACGTCGGGGATGGTGGTCAGTGAGACGATATCTATCTTGACATTAAACCGCTTCGCTGAAAAGAGTGCTGAATTAACGACTTCAGAATCTTGTACACCAGACGCTGTTATAATAAGAATGCGCCCATGGTACATCATGTTGATGCCGCTAGATTCGGAAAGGGAACTCACAATACTTTGAACACGCGCCACAGCAGCAATAGCCGAGAGAAGCGCAAGCCCGGTCACTGATGTGGCTTGGGGGCAGTAGCGAAGGGCTTCTCCCAACGAGCGCCTGACTGCTTCTGGGGCCTGGAGTTCCCCAGCAAGCTTCTCGTTAATAATGCTATAGCTAGAACAAGAGTGCAGGACATTGGTCGAGAAGCCATACAAGTTCCAAATGGCATAAGGAGAAGACTGTCTGTGGGCACTCAACCAAGACACGGTTGCATCTACCAAGTCCAACACCTGCGATTCAGTAAAGTCTTCTGAGGTGTACGAAGTCAAATTTGCGTCAAAGAGGGCCACGATATGATCCATGACGTCGAAAGAGACGCAGGATTCAAAGAGGAAATAGAGTAGCAAAGATGCGAAAAAATCCCTATGTTCTTCTTTATTTTTCCTTTCAGTGGGTTAAATCTCGACGAGGTGGGCTCACTCAGGCCATAGATTTCCAGTGGTTAATAGCCGCGGCCATAGGAAGCAGGTCTGCATCACGTAAGATGTCATAGCGTACTCCAAATTCCACCATATAGCGAAAGGAAGTGTTATAGTACAAGAGGAAATGCCTGAAAACTATCCCAAAGTGGTTGAAGTACACATGGAAGTAAATGTGTAGAAGGCGGCGTAGCATGTGGCGACATCTATTCTTGAAATCTTCGGGGTACTGGTTTGCAGAATCGACGGGAAAAAGCTCCGGGTCTCTCAGCTTGTTGATGTACCATGATAGTACGGAGTTTGTGTATTCAAGGGCAGACATGCTGCGCCCATTTTTGTGGGCAGGTGAAGCCATGTCACTGCTATCTAGATCATCGCAATTTCCCTCGTCTGTCTCAACGACACATACAATCACGTCTTGAGTTTCAGAAATAGACATGGATGGGCATGTATTGGATGTACAGAAGGATGAGGTAATGGCAGACAGCCGCTTGGTGTGCTTAAAGAATAATGACATGTGATAGGCAATCCACTCAAATTCCTGCTCGCCTCTAGGCAGCTCTATGAGACGGTTAAAATTAACATCTAGGGTTCTGCAGACCTCGAGAAGGCGCTGCTCTTGCTCCATTAGGGTTTAGGATTAAAATTAGCAACCCTCAAAAAACTACAAGCATCCTGCAGCATCGACTAATGCGGTATATAGATGCACCAGATCTTAAGGTGCTGTCGGAGAGCATCTCGCGCTTATCATGTAATGGGCTTGTTATCACAACACGGATAGAGCTGTATGGGTTTCGAGTGTCTCAGGCTACGTCTTCTGAACAAGACAGAGACGCAGAATTTCAAATACAGATGGCACGAAGTTATGGAAGCAGCGTAGAGTCCCAATCGCCGTTTGGATCTCTTAACTCTTCGATTACATCAGCATTTACAGAAGAAAATCTTAACAATCCAGCTACGCGGCAGATATATTTACAGGTTATTCGGGCACTTTCTCAGGCATATCCTCACTTTGATTTCACATTGATTCAGCCGTCTCGGTTCTTTTGGGTTCCCTATAGCGTCTGTCAAACAGTAATTGACAGCACATTGATCAGTACTCTGTCAGACTACAGCGCAATACGTCCGTCGCTGTGGCTCGCACTAACAGATATTGCACCTGCCGACGCTTCCTCTGTCTACACGGTAGATCCTTCGCCTTACTACCCATTTGAAGACACAGATGGAGTGTGGAGTCACAACTTCATATTCTACTCTGCAGAGCGCTCGACTGTTCTGCTCTTCATAATAAAAGCATCTCCAGCTGAGTCCTGTGAGGAAAACATGAGCGAGCTGAGCCTCGGATGTGATTTCGATGAGCCATATGACGGCGAGAACTTTGATTCATATCAGCACGACATAAGCCAAAGTGAAGCCGATGATTTTTTCACGAAAGCAAAAATCTTCACCCTATAGTATGCCTTTGCTGCTTTTCCTATATTATTTCCGTGCCAGTGCTAGTGAGCTTTTTTTCAATCATCATGTGAGCTTAGAGATAAGCTTTGCATATATGCAATTGATCCTGACTTCAGTACGCATTGTATGACCTTTTTTGTGTTACTGAGTACGTTTCTCCGCGACGAAATAACTTATTAAGTGAATAGCGTGACCAGAAAGCACTGTCGAACAACACGTCCGGTCACTGGACATTGGACAAAGATAAGCTGGACTAAGACCTCAAAGGGTGGAAGAATTGTGGTTATCCAACGATCGCTAGTATTTGATACAGTGCAGCGAGTATATGCAGGTTTTATTACAAGACAACTGTAACTCAGCGGTTGTACCTTGGAAGGATTAGAACCATTGAGTCCTCACTCTCTTTTCCCGTGGCTTTTTGGCTGGTTCTCACTGTCTGCGAACTTGTGACCGGAGGATCTTACGCGTGCAGGACTAAGTGCAGCACGCCAGCTCAGAATGGAAAGTCTGAATCAGTAAGTCCAGCTGCGAGATGTCATAGAAGTTCAAGCCGTCTGCCGCCTAATCTTGGAGTACGTGACCAGCGGTTCAGACCTATCGACTTAATGGTCAGGGGGATTAGGTGCAACTGTATAGTGAGTTAGGACGTTTGAGGCACACCGTCCTCAGACGACCTTTGCAGCGCGGTGCACCACTTAGAATTATAGTCGTAAGTCAGAGGAACTTTATCTATGCAACCCGCTCATGGATGTACGGTAAGCATTCTGACACGTTTAGCCGTGTTAAAAACAGGGTACGATGCACTGGCTGCTGGCCATGATGACGCTGAAGCCTATGTGGGTCTGTGGTTATCAGGGATACCTTTGATGCTCTTCTATATGAAAAAAGCTACTATGGCGGTGCTACCTGACACAGAAGTTTCCTCAATAGAATGCTTTGTTACTCCGGACACGTGCTGGCTGCTTGGATAGAAGATGCAGCAATGTATCAGCCACAAGACACTGGAGATAAAGAGGCGTGGCCAGCTACCTTGCGGCAGCCTTCCCTCTGAGTGCGCCGAGTCCGTAGGAGAATAGATCCGGAGCTGCGCATTTTGGCTGTCATGGGTCTTTTGTGAAGCTTGGCCAGGTGCCCGGCACGCTGTGCGCCGCTCAAAGGTGTATCCCAGATCCTACAGCGCTGCAGCCAAATATGCTAAGGCGTGAGGAGCGAGCAGCCGAATGGGGTGAGGCACAGCGGCACCTGCCTAGAACGGCCAAGGATCCATGTATTTCGCCTGCCCAGGCGGGCAGAGATGTTAGAGCGTCTAAGCGGACTCAGTGAGTGTCGCCCGAAAGTGAAGAAGCTGTTCGTGTAGGATCTGCATCGAACAGTCGCGTCACTGAGAAAGGAGGCTAATATCTTCTCACGACCAAAGAGCCTAGCAACAACATTTACATATCAATGCATACTATCGCAATGGACTTTCCTTGTGGGCAGTGTTAAAATGTTCATGTGCCATGTCGTGAGGCCATGTCACATTCTGCATCTCCTGTGCCAACGTCATCGCTGCCTATTAGTGCAGAACCTGGCTATCTTGGAAGGCCTCCTCAAGTTCGTCTATGCCTTTCTCGAAGAGGGTCCTTGGTAGTGGAGCCCGCTTTATGAGTGCTGTCTACCTCCTAGCAGAGCAAATTGACGGATGATGCACATGCGGGCTATACACTTTTCCAAAGCTTGTAGGGCACGACATTATGGCGGCTTTAACGATACACAAGCCACGCCCGCCTGCAACAGATGGCCTCGATAGGATGCTCTTGAGTAGGGCACCAGTCAGCTGTCAGTCCTTGGGTACCGCAGAAAAGCACCAATGCCTTCTTGTTCTACACTGCGGCGTGCTCACAGCGATACGCTGAAGGATGCATGCGGCCCGGTGGAGGCGGCTTCCACTGCTATCTGATCGCCCCTTAGTGTGAGCGTGATTCGGCGGGCAATGTTGTACTTGGCAGGTTTAGCATTCGCTTACTTGGCGCTTGCAGATCCAAAATCGTGCACCAACTCTCAAAATTGTGCATCTGGAAATAACTGTCTAGATGTCAATATAAATGGCCAGCAAAAAGAGGTTTGCACAAAATGCGAGGCCACCCACGTCCCGGTCGAGGGGGCGTGCCAGGCGAAGGACGGGCAGGACAAGTGCACGCCGCAGGACGCCCCCGACGGGACCTGCAAGGCGTGCCAGGGGAGCACCTACCTCTACAGCGGAGGATGCTACGCCGCGTGCCCCGACGGGACCTATGCAGATGCCGGGGTCTGCCAACCCTGTGAAGCCTCCTGCGTAAAGTGTGAGAAGAAGGACGCAGGCACCCGCTGTGTGAAGTGCCAGGCCACCCACGTCCCGGTCGAGGGGGCGTGCCAGGCGAAGGACGGGCAGGACAAGTGCACGCCGCAGGACGCCCCCGACGGGACCTGCAAGGCGTGCCAGGGGAGCACCTACCTCTACAGCGGAGGATGCTACGCCGCGTGCCCCGACGGGACCTATGCAGATGCCGGGGTCTGCCAACCCTGTGAAGCCTCCTGCGTAAAGTGTGAGAAGAAGGACGCAGGCACCCGCTGTGTGAAGTGCCAGGCCACCCACGTCCCGGTCGAGGGGGCGTGCCAGGCGAAGGACGGGCAGGACAAGTGCACGCCGCAGGACGCCCCCGACGGGACCTGCAAGGCGTGCCAGGGGAGCACCTACCTCTACAGCGGAGGATGCTACACCGCGTGCCCTCAGGGAACACCAAACTCTGAGACTAACACATGCGACGGAGTCCCCGCCCCTGATTGCAATCTCCCCAACTGCGAGGTGTGCTCGGATGACAAGCAGACGTGCACAAAGTGCCAAGGTAACTACTTCCTCACTCCAGAGAAGAACGCTTGCTTGGCGTCTTGTCCGGCCGGGTCGTACGCGGTTGGGCAAACGTGCGGGCCCTGCGACCCCTCCTGTGCGGAGTGCAGCGGGGCCGGCGCTTCCAAGTGCACGGCCTGTCCCGCCGGGAAGATGCTGAGGTACGCCGACGAGAGCAATCCTACAGACGGCACGTGCGTGGAGCAATGCGTGGAGGGTCCAGAGTGCGAGACGTGCGGCCTAACAATTGGAGGTACCAAGTACTGCTCGAAGTGCAAGGGGAGCAACGTGCCGCTCAATGGCGTCTGCACGAGCAATGCGGCCAGGACTCGGTTCTGCACCACTGCCGCTGACGGTGCCTGCACGGCCTGCGCCGCCGGATACTTCATCCAGGAGGGCGGGTGCTACCAGACGACGAGGCTCCCCGGGAAAAGCATCTGCACGACTGACAGTGGAGGGAAATGCCAAACATGTGCGAATGGACAAAACCCAAACAGCGGGACCGGAGTGTGCCCGCTGTGCGACTCCACCTGCAAGACGTGCGCAGCAGGACAGACACAGCAGTGTCAAACTTGCTTCTCTGGGTACTATAAGTCTGGAACAAAGTGTGTGAAGTGTGATGCTAGTGACAGCCAAATTACTGGCGTGACCAATTGCGTGAGTTGTGCTCCACCATCTGGTGATAGCGGTTCTGTCACCTGCTATGTGAAGATGGATGGCACTGACAACGGCGGAAGCGTCAACAAGAGTGGCCTTTCTACCGGCGCGATCGCGGGCATCTCTGTTGCTGTGATTGTTGTTGTTGGTGGTCTTGTGGGCTTCTTGTGTTGGTGGTTCCTGTGCCGCGGAAAGGCATAGATACTTAGGTAGTAAACGCATCCACTACGTGTAGCCTATGATACTCAGCCCACTGCGCAGGGAAACAGAAAGTCCACGAATATGCACGGGACCACCCACATGCCTGCAGCCTCTCTGCCAACCTCTCTTCCGGTGTCCCTACATCCTCGGAGAGCTGGGCCTTGTGCCTTCCCTGCGCGAGGCGACCCCTTGCGGACCTCCGTCTGCCAGTGCTCTCTCTGTCCCTGTGGCGTCCCCCAGACGACCCTTGCCAGCCCGGTTGCCTGGCGGATAGCACCTGAAAGCGGATCCTTGCAGTCCCTGGGGAGATACCGGGTCCGTAGAAGTGTGGACCAACAGAGGTAAGCCCATGAGACGCTCTCGCCTGGTGTGTGCATAGCTCTGATCTTGTGTACTAAATGCTACTAAAGTTCCCACCGCATAACAAGGTGCCAGATGGGGCCCGGAAGGCAGCCAGCCCTCCAAGATCTGGACAGGAGGGAAGCATTGCCCAAAGCGTGCTGTCTCCTGAGCCAGTGAGCCAGGACTCCTGTCACCCCAGATCATCATAGTGCTACCGCTGTCCACCGTAGAAGCATTCGGACCCATGGTGCCTGAGGTTGTTGGTGCAGGCGGCAAAGGGCTCCTCATAGTGGGCTACCATCAGTGGAAGGAGCGGGAGCCTGAGTGTCGTGTCTCTCTGCCAGTGATCAGCACCCTTTGTTGTGGGTACTAGGGTGGCGAGATCTCCCACCTGCTAACAAGGAGCTGGGCGATGTTCGCTTGTCATCGTCAACCCGGGCTGTGGCTGGCCCTGGGCAGATAGACATGAGCACAGGGATCCCGTCCCCCGTCGTAAACCACGCCACACAGAGAGGGTGTGGTAGTTCGATGTATCTCCCCACGCTGCACAACCAAAGAAGAACGGCCTCTTGGTGCGTAGCTCTGGGAGCCTGCAGAAGCTAACTGAGGGGGCCACGTCTTGACGTTAACTTCTGATACGGTTCGGTAGAGGCCAGCTCGATGCTCGCAAGCTTGTGGGAAGCACCGAGGCCGGCACATGCACCTGGACAGCAACGCAGGCACACATCTCGGATGCAACTCCGCTAAGGATCTTGCGAGGGGTCGGTCTGCGTCAGTGGTGGAAGGACTTTGTGCAAGCAGCTCTGTGGCCTGTTGGTCGCATTCTCCTCTGCCGTAAAGGACACCTACCGATGATCGTTACGAACTGGATGGCCCCTGTCTGTCTTTGAGACTCACCAGTGTGCACAGTTGTCGATGAGGCGGGGTCGTCCGCCAGTCACGTCCTGCTGGACTGGTCACTGTTCCACACATCCGCTACCTAATTATGGGCGGGAGCATCGGACACGAGAAGAGCTACGACAAGGACTCGCTGGGGTAAGCGTGCTCTGCAGCTCCTTTGGATGCCCTAGTCCCTTACGGCTCAAACACTGGGGCCTCAATGCATCTGCCCCTTACTGGGTTCTCCGCCGGCTAGTGCGGTCTAGGCAGACACAGAGGAGTCCCGGCTCCTGTTCTGTGCAAGCTCGTCAGACCAGCCTGGTCGTGAGGCCTGGCGACACTCGTAATTCATATGTCTGTAACTTTACCACGTAACTCTAATTCTATGTCATCGTCCCGCATTCTGAAGCCCAAAATGATATCTAAAAATGAAATAGAGTAATAGAATAGAGTCTCACTTTACAAATAGTCACAGGGCTTCGAGGTCTATATAAACTACCGAATAGCGGTGTGCTTATGATCCTTGTGTGAAGAAAGTTATTTAGCTACGATACCTATAGATTGGCTTCCGTTTTTAGTTTGGGTGCTAAGTATGAGCCGCAAGTTTGGCTCAGACCTAGTACCTCCACCAATTGAGAAACAACTATAATTGTGGATAAAACCCTGGTTTGTAGGGTTGAGCACCTGTCGATTTAATTTTTACAGGCTATGCCTTCCCTCCTAGAATTTACCTTGCTTCTATACAGGAGGAGGGCACTTCTCGTTTCAGCACTGGTCCTGTCTCCAACTTTAGTGTTCTTGGCACTCTTTGGGATCTTTGAAATCATCACTAATCTCCCATTTCCTCTCCGGATGCCAGCCGCTATGAAGCTGCCTTCTTTACCGGCATGTGACCAGAGTTTTTATTGTACAGAGAATACTATCTATTTAGCATACTCTCCCAATACTCAAGAGACCCAGGAGCTGGTAAAGCTAATCATCAACAATTCTAATCTATCCACTTCAAATACCAGGACTGTGGGCTTTGACTCTAGTGATCAGATGATCAAAAACATGTCCCTCTTGGGTCTGGGGCCAGATCCTGCCAAGTTTATCAGTTCCATCAATGTGCAAACTATTATGCGCGAACACTTACAGTATGGCAATAAGACGCTCTATGATGAAATAGACCCGAATACTCATATACTAGATATTCCAAGTGCGCAGCAGATGATCTCTACAATCTATGGAATTAATTACGATGACTATCGACCAGCATATGACTATGCGCTTAATACCTATCACAACATCTTCCTGGCACTTGACTTTTCTATATCCCAGCAAACAATTTCTACACCAACAGGGAAGTCAATCCCCAGCTCTATTAGTTACGTGCTCTATTACAATCAAACTATGCTTTCACGATATGTCTATCAAACTAAGGATAATATAACATTTTCTATAGGAGACCTTTGGAATCCAAATTTCTGGACTACGCTCAGCTATACTGTCAACAGACTCGTCGATGGAGCAATTCTAAAGTACTATCGCGGAATGGACTACACATACGACCTTGCTATGTATGTAAAACGGTCAGATACGACTGTCTATCTCATTAACAGAACATACTGCTTCATGGGTATTGCGCTGGGACTGAATTTAATTTTATCGACTGTGGTTGCGGGTACCTTCCGTGGTAGAACCCACACCAGTCTGCGGCGCTTAGGAGTCAAAGAAATACACCTACTATGCACTAACGCCCTCTGTCTGCTCGTTTTGAACCTCATATCCATGATTGTATTTTGCTCTCTCAACTTCCTTATCAAGGCATACCCATTTGCTGAGTTTGAATATCCTGTTGTTATTGTCTTTGCAATTATTTTTGCCTTAGGTAACACTGGCTTTGCGCTTTTGCTTGCATACCTTTTTTATTCACCTGCACTGTCCCTTGTGCTTTCTGCATTCAGCGTTCTGTGCTTTGTTATCATTCCCTTTTTAATTCTAAGTCATTCTGATACCAAGGTTAGTCTTTGGCAACCCATTGTAGTCCCAAAGGAAGTGACATGGATCTTCATCGTTTTGATTCCGCTGTTTTGTAGCTTTTCCCTAGTTGATATGCTCTTAATGATGACAGAAGGTGGATTTAATTATTCATTCAACTCTCTTGACTACACGAAAATTCCGATCTCCTTCATTACAAGCGATTGGAATAACTACCACTCAACCTTACGTATTTGCATTAGCTCTACAAGCTCCAGTGATTGCGTCTTTCAATTTCCCATGGTGTGGTGGCTTGTATTGGTATCTCTGCTACAAAGCCTGGTGGTTATTCCACTTCTTCTTCTCTTGCTAACGCACTCCAAACCAGAGTTCAGTTGGAGAGGAATACCGTGGTACTTTCTTGTTTCAAAGCGCTTCTGGGCAGTGCAAAAGGATCACCGCCGCAACCAAAGCAAACTTTTACTGGAAGTAGAAAGCTGCAAAACAACTTTGGAAATACGTGGCTTGAGAAAGACATACAAGACGTGCAGGCGCCAGAACACCACATTACGTGATTTCAGCTTCACACTTCATAAAAAAGAAATTCTGGGCCTTGTGGCAGCTAGTGGAGGGGGAAAGTCAACGCTTTTGAATATCCTTAGCGGAGAACTGAAGTTTGAAAGCACATCGGATGACTTAGAGGATTCTATGCAGAAGCCAGTATTTAAAGTACTGGAACGTTATGATCTAAGATCGCCTTATGATGCCTATTACCTCAAGCCGAATATCGGGTACTGTCCGCAAGACCGTACTAACGTGTGGATGGCAATGTCTGTTTACGAAAACGTATACTATTCCACAATTTTCCGCAGCAAGAGCTTGGGAACGTACGACAGCAAAATCTTAGGAGTGCATGGCAGCGTGGATAATTATGTCCAGTTCCTCTTGCGTAAGATCCACCTTTCCAGTTCTTCGGTGCAGACCAGGCTGGCGAAAGACTTGTCAGGCGGCATGCTGCGCCGCTTGGCACTGGCCAACGCTACTGCTGGATACCCTGCAATCTTCTTCTTTGATGAAATCACGTCTGGGGTTGATCCGTTGTTGAAGAGACAGATCTGGGCCTTCGTTAAGGACTTAGTCGAGCTGGGAGATGCGTCGGCTATTCTTACCACTCATGATGCTGGCGAAGTCGCAGAGCTCTCCACCAACGTGCTCATCTTCCGAGATGGCAAAACGATACATGCATCCACTCCCTTAGAACTATGCCGCCGCCACGGCGACTACACGCTGTCTCTCATCTTTGGTGACCTGAGCTTGTTATCAGAATTACCAGAGTTTACTGCAAACAAGGCAGTGGACCTTCTGCGAAGGACACTTATCAATATTACCCCGAACTCTACATCTAGTGGGAGTCTGGACGAAATAAGGATAGTCTCTGTATTTCCACATGTTATCAAAATATCCATTCCATCCATCTTTCTGGACCACTCCTCGTTAGTGATACCTATTACACAAGGGATTGAGTTATTTTGCAAAGACTGTGGAATCGATTATATGCTTTCCAAGGCTAGTCTCGATGATGTATTTGTTAAACTTGTTGACAATAAGCCTTCTGAAATCACTTCACAGACTTGCGGACCTCAAGTCTCGGCTGCTATGCACAAAAAGATTGTTCGTCCCATACGTCCCAATCCATTGAAGTATATGTTTTATAAAAATTGGTTAGCGGATTGTCGCGAGTACTTTGTGAAGTTCATTGGTGTTCTTGTAGTTAACGTGGCAGCCACTGCCCTCGTTGTTTCAATGCTTTCAAATTCAGTTAAGACAATAACCGAGTCTGCTGCGCAGCTTTTCAGACCACTGACTGCAACCTATGCGGAGGGGTGCATTTCTGCGTGTAGGTCTACAGCAGGCAATAAGCCATTGAAGGAGGTTATCGAGACCTGCTTTTCTGATCGTAGTTCTGCATTATTTGCGCCATTTTACCAATATATGGGTTCTCTTCCCGTATGTCAGAGCTATGCAAAGTTTCTTGGCTTAGACATAGCAAACACCTCATACTACGTCCTTGGCGACGGAGCTTACATTCAGCCCCAGCAAGGTCTGGACTCTTCTATTGCCGATTGGGCCTATCTTGGAGTGATAACAGAGGAGGCGCCACCAACTTGGTTGGGCAAAATGGTTGGAAGTGCTGGGTACCCTCACCTGGGTGGCGTGGAGCTACGCAGCCTGAAGACAGACACAGGGCCGGGCGATGACTTCACTTTGCTTTTAAGCAAGATGAAATTGCCGCAGGAGTGGATTATTCCCTTAAGCACATACGATACTATCACACCATTTTATGGCCTTAATAGTGTAATGGAGTTTAGGACCCCGGCTACGGACGAAGACAACGTCTTTAGCTATTACTTTCCGAAGACAATTTTATCTGTAGCTAGGTACGAGTGTCTTATTCCCTCTGGCTCGGAATATAAGGTGTTGGCCTCTGGAGACTGTCCCAGTGATACCCAAGCAAAAAGCTGCATCTATAGAGACGAAGGGATAGTGTATTTCTCAACAGTACGGAGTATGATGCGTGAGTTCTATGACGGTCAGGCTAAGACCGTTAACTATGCCGATCAAACAGAGGCGCTGAATGTTTCCAAGCGGATCTCTATTGTCCGAGATGCCTTCATGCGGATGCCCACTGCAGTGATTGCTATCCATTCATCATCTGCGCCGAACGCGCTTAGCTTTACACTATATGGGCCCCTGCCTCCTATGGGGACTCAAAATCGCGGCTTCTCCAATACCTATATCAATCTAAGATTCAACAACACAAACCATCGTGCAAACATGCCTGCCTTCCCGTATTTCGGTGGTGTTGGTGCGTTGGGATACAATATGCTTCAGAACCCCCTTCGTATCGACCCTTCCCTTGCTGTTCCAATGCTTGATCAAGTTGTGAGATTTGTTGGCTCTATCTTTCGGCGTGACATCATGAAGGCTGAGTTAGGGAGAGGCACCTCTTATGACCAAGCGCTGACAGTAGCGTATAGCTTCACCTATACTGCCAAGGTTCAAGTGATGCCATATTTCTCAAATCCGAGATTTGCATTTCCAAGTGACCACATTATGCTTCTGCGCCAGATGGAGCTTCTTACTTCTTATGTCATGCCTTTTGTATTCCTTGTTCCAATGATAATAGTAGGCATTCGGGTGGCACGCGAGATTGAAGACCGATTACTGCGGGTCTTCCTACTTCATAATATCTCCAAGCATCTATTCTTGGGATCGCATATTCTCTACTACACCCTCTGGTCCTTTGTAGCATCATTTCTCTGCATTCTGATTCTCTCTGTGTCTATACCCGCCTTCTTGTGGAGCAATCCTCCCACAACCATTTTGTGCCTGCTATTTCTGTACTTACTAGCCAGCTTCAATTGTACGACTTATTCTATTCTTATTGCCCTCTTAGTGAAACAGGTACGGTTGGCAATCCTTCTTATCTCTATTGTAGTCTTTATCAATATCATCTACTGTTCTATTATCAAAATGAATGAACCTATATCTCTAGCGCTAAGTCTTGTTTTGCCGTCGCTGGGTGTCTTTTGGGAGCTGACCTATACTGTCTCTTTTGGATTCATTAATGTAGGCCCGATTATTACATGTGTTGCTATTTTCCTTGTGCATCTAGGATTCTGCTTCGTTGCTATATATTTCATCGATGGTTGTGCTACGTGCACTGCATGTAAGTCCAGCTCTACAGTACACAAACAAGATGTTCAGGACCCGAGGATATACACCAGTTTCACGACACTTCCAGATACCTTTGCCTCCGTATCCACCATGCATACCTCCACATTTTTGGAAAGATCAGCAGACGACTTTGCACTTACTCGCACGCCCATGCAAAGTGTGTTTAGTACTTTGTCTACTTATTCCTTAAACGAAAGCACAGCCAAGAGAGCGCATTTGGATATCAAAAATGTTTTTCATAAGTACCCAAGTGGCAATGTGGCGATAAAGGATATATCTTTTAGCATTGCCGACGGAGAGGTTTTCGCTCTTCTAGGTGGGAATGGGGCAGGAAAGTCAACGCTTATGCACGCACTCACAGGGCTTCACGTCCCAACTAGGGGGACTGCAATGTGTATTCGTAACGATAAGGACTCCCACAAAGTCAATCTATTCAACCCGACCACGCGTCACGGAGAGCTCCTCACAATCATTCCTCAGGACGACTTGCTCTACCCAGAATTCACTGTACTCGATCACATGATTATCATGGCCGGTATAACATCTAAGAACTTGAGGCCAAACATCAAGAGCATTCATGTTGTATTGCAGACAGTTGAATTGTATGACCACATGCACAAACGCGCTAGGGAGCTTTCGGGAGGTATGCAGCGCCGGCTTACACTTGCAATGGTCATAGTGTCATCCCCCTCTTTGGTTTGCCTTGATGAGATCACCACAGGTCTCTCTAGTCGCATGAAGACAGACATTTGGAAGGCTATTATCGCAAGCCGCGGTGTCTGCCGCACGATGATGCTGACAACGCACGACATGCAGGAAGTAGAAGCCCTTGCAGATAGGTGCTGCATCATGAAATCAGGAGAGATTGTCGCACTAGGAACCATGGCAGAAATCTGTAGTCGTAGCAAGGTAAAGTTTTCCGTGACCGTGGCTTTGCAGCCAAGCAGCTCGGCTATAGAGCCTGTACATTCTCTCCTGACAGGCATAGAGTTGGCATCTTTAGCATCTTGTTACACCGAAAAGATCTACGCAACCCCAAGCGGCGCGTGCCTTATCGGACATACGTTGTCAGAGTCTACCGGCTGTGTAACATATATGTTTGGAGCCAATTCCTTACTTGCAGATGTACTGCTAGATCTAGATCGCATTGAAATTCTCTCTTCACACTACTGGACTATTGAATCTTGCCGCTTCGAGCAAGCGTTCATGGATCTGATAGAAGAATAGCTTGCTGCATTGTAAGTTCACTTGTCTTTTTCCAATTTTCGCTGGATCCTAGAGCGTATGTCAGTAAGCTGAAGATACTGAATCTTCACACGCAGCCTTTCTGGAAGTGTACCCAGGACACTCGTCATAATACGATGAAAATAGTATGGATTAACAACCGTGGAGCTCCATCTCGCCTTGAAGAGACAACGGACGAAGTGATCTGGAGATATAAATAATAGGCCTGTTCGCTTAGTGAGCGTCATATTGGATGCAATCCACGCCGGAGCCGCCACAAGCACGGTTATGGCGGCAGGCCTAAGCTCCTCTTGTAAAGCAATGCCAAATGCGTGTGTATATGCTTTGGATGCACTATAGCACGCTACCATCGGACAAGGCAGGGTGCCATTGATGCTGCCCATGAAAACAATCAAGCTATTTTTCCGTGTCTTCAGCTTTGGGAGTATAAGACGGGTGAGAAGGGTAGTACCTTGAACATTTACCGCGACAATACTCTCTAGAGTTTCCGGTGAGATGTCTAACGTATCGTCAGGAAGGATGTTGATGGCTCCTGCATTATTAATAAGCACTGCAACATTTATTTCATTAAGCGATTCAACTAAGTCACAGATGGATGCACGAGAACCCAGATCACATGTTCTAGTCAATACAGTTACCGCAGGGAATTTTGCCGATAGGGTTTTAGCAGCTGATTCAAGTAGATCTTCAGACCTTCCGGTTAGGACGAGTGAATAACCTTCTTTAGCGAGATATTCAGCAAATGCCGACCCCACAGATCCAGTAGCTCCTGTGATAAGGGCAAACGGACGTGCAGTCCCCGTGGATGTAGGCTCTAAGGAATCTTGCATGTATGAACGGATGCGTTTGGACGCTTTTCTGTCAGATAGAGTAAATAATGGGATGATAAATATCTTACAGAGCCATAAGCAGAGCAGGATTGCCAGACTCAAGGCCAGACAGCACACGGTGGACATTTTTGCAGAGACAGTCTACAGTAGCTAATCTACAGGAGAGACATAGGATCTATATTGCTTGTCAACGGGACCGCTAGTGGAGGGAGAAAGATCACGATAGTATATGGACAGAGAGGCGACTGGTTTCGATCTGCTTCGCCTTGGAGTCTGATGGTTAGAAGGTGGCTTTATAGGTGGGATATTCTGTATGGAGGTAGAACAACCTCTAGACGGTGAGGGACGTCTAGTAAAAGCATGCGATACCCTTGATATTAGACCATCCTCATAAATTGGTGGAGGATCTAATGCTACTGCTTCTCTCGAGATTGTCGGCAAAGTACTTACAATTGTTAACTTTGAAGTCTTGGAGACATGGGTGGATGGAGTGTCCTTATCGATAGGTGTGTCACAGGGTCTTCGAAGAATCGCAAAAGAACGCTGATGAGCGGGGTGGTGTGAAATGGGCGCGATTCGATGGGAAAAACTCATAGCATCTCGGACTGGAGAGCTCAGTGAGGTAGGCCGTCTCATTTCCACAAGGTCCCTGACTGTGTGCACAGCGCTATCGGTGACGGACAGCCCATAATGGGTACTGAGTTCTTTCTGCAACACTGAAGATGAGCCTGAGGGATATGCACTAATAGGCCTCTTTATCGATTTCTTAATCTCTGAGATAGTTCCTGCCGTCTTTGGGCGAGCCTGACGGTGCAGCGTCTCTCTCAGGACAAGGCGATATCGCTCGAAATCTTCCCTTGTGTATCCGGTAGTATCTGCTGGACGACCAAGCAATATATCGGCAGAAGTAATTGTTCCGTTATAGCTACGGCCAAAAATGATTGAAAGCATCTTCTCGTCCTCGCAAAGCTTGACCTGCAATGCTTTATTATCAAACAAGAGGATTCCATTTAGCCGCTGTAACTCGTCTAGGCGTTGGTGGAGGACCTCGATGATCGTGGCTACTTGAAGTTTGCTGGCAGAATATGGTATGTCAGCGTAAGCAAGACCTTTGCTTGGCATCAGCCCAGCGGCAGAATCGCGCCTAGGAATGGGAAGGTTATCATACTTGGACAAAATCTCTTGATGTAACTGCTCTCGGCGAATTGATGAGCAATACCAATCTTCAAGAGTTAACTTATCACGTTCCCGCTCATAGTCATGGGCGAATGCATATGCGTTTAAAGAGTCAATGTACTCAACCTTGTTAGTGGTAATGATAGGGCAGCCAATACATAGGCGCTTGCCGGGAACGCCTCCTTTTTCATTGCATAGATGACGCTTGAGAAGCAGCGACGAGGTCATCAGGGGATAGTGTGCATACTTATCGAGAAGAATAGGATTTTGTGGTGCCGAAATCGGCTGAAGTTTCATTCCAATCTTCTGCTCGTTGCTGAAAGTCTCCAACTCCTCTAAGGCATCGACGTAGTTGGGTTTTTCAGGCAGAGATAGCACTTCAGTCTCTTTGCGTTCATGAGCTTGTTGCATAGCAACCGCATATCTTTCTATGTTCATGGAAGAATATCGATCCAGGTCCTTATACGCTCCGCAATATTTGCAAATGTTCTCTTGTTCAAAGATGCCGAGAGATTCTAAAAGAGCTATCGGTGAAAGCTCATCATTTTCAATACAGAAGTCGTCATGTGACTCAGGCAAAATTAGGTCTCCGCTACACGCTAATCGTAACATGTTAAGTTCTATATCAATCGTTACCACCGCTTTGCAGCGCGTATTAGACGTAGCAAGGTCAGTGTGAGCGTGGTTGGTAGCATTGATCTTCACTAGCGCATGATTGAACCTTGACTCGTTGGCGTAATAGTACTCTTCAATAGAATGTTGTCTTGCCTCGACCGGATCTTCATCTAAGTTAGTTGTTGCCACTAGGAGCTCTTCTGTCTTGAAAGAAAACTGCATTACAGAGGAGCTACTTGATTGCGAGGAGTACAGCGAATGGTTATCTTGCGGAACAGATGTGTGCAGGACACTGCCCAGCAAACAGGGTGGATCGTTGCTTGTAGGGTAATTAGAATCGGCTTCATATTGTCTAACTGAACCATCAAAGAAGGACTGAGATGGTAGTGTACACCTAGAAGTAGTGGAGATTGTATCATGCTCTTGATCTCTTAGAGTATCCTGTTCTTCATTTGCCCAGTTTGTCATTAGATGCGAAAGTTCGCCAGCTCGATGCACGAATGTGACTGCTGCAGGAGCACCTGGAGATTTTGCAGATAGGTCTTGCTCGTGGATGCGAGGCTTAACAAATGCGGCAGAATCATCCTCATTTGTATCTGTGATTGTCGAGAGAAGGGTATTTGCAGGGGGGTCCATTCCCTTTAGAGGACATTCATGATTTGGAATAGGCGCTCGCTGATCTGCATCGAAGGACAGCAAGATATTGCAACCATTCCCTGAACCTTCTGAAGCAGGTAAATCTGTAGCTGAGTCGAATAGCTCGTAATTTATATCTAGCTGAGACGCATGCACATCAATTTGAGGGTCTGCTGTACTGGGAGGAGCTAATCGAGTCAAGCCACACTCTTCTATCTTCTTGCAGTTAGAGTTGTCTGACACCACATTGGAATATAGCGTAGTCTGGGTTCCACAAGATACACGTGCAGCTACGATGAATATGCTAGTTTCAGTGGCTTTATTCGATAGAGGTTCTGCTAAAGTAGATGTCCTGGGACTATCTAGCATTGCACCTTGGAGTTGAGGTGAATTGAGGACACCTGCCGATATTGTAATATTAGCTATTCTGGAATCCAGGAGTGAAGAAAGATGATTACTAAGCAGAGAGATCTTACGCAGTAATTCTTGCTCTTGATTGGCAATGGCGTCAATGATGTCGTGTGAGAGTTTCTCAATCATCGCTATGGATACTGTCTGTGCAGCACCAGAAGGAGATGTTTGCAAGGCAAACATCGAAGCTGATTCGTGTTGCTGCCGGTAGCTAGAATATTCTCTGTTCAGTGTGTCAAGCTGCTGCTTTAAATCTGCTACTGTAGCTGCAAGGGTCTCCTTAGTATGAACCTGAGAGAGTAGCTCTGTTTCTAAAGACTGCATTCGGTCACGCGCAGTCTTCATGACTGCACCGTGAGAATCTGCCTCCACCCGCTTCTCCATGCGTAGCCTCTCGACTTGATCATACGCTTCCGCCAGAAGGTCAGAGTCACTTAACACGGAAACTAAGGGCAATGCAACTTGAATTCCTATTGTTTCCATAGAATTTTCAACACGACAATTAACGCCTCGAGTGACTAGAAGGCTCTGTGCCTCTGTTTGTACTGCAACTCCTAGTGCTGCAACACCGGACACGCCTACGGCAGACTCAACCTTAAGACCAGAGTACGTTAAGCCGATAGTTTGGTTGGTGACTACAATGCCGCTGTTGACAGTCACGCTTTTTCTGCGCCTGTGTTGAAGGAGTGCTTGGTGTGCGCTAACATCTTGCTTACTAGTACCAATGGAAAGGTCCTTGTCACATAAGGTAGACACATCAGATATTGTACTCCCATCTGGAGATTGAAATACATCCTCCACATCGCTTCCATTTAAATTTTCGCTTTTGAACACCTTTCTAGAAAGAGGTGTTTCCTTTATTTCCGTCAGTTGGTCCAGATTAATTGTGACATGCTTGTTGCAAAACAGGCCTGAGGCAGATCTATTGTCGCGAGAAAATGAGAAGCTATCATAAGAGCACCTACTCTGTTGCCTAGTATCATTCTGAAGCTCTTTGAGCCTAGAAGAATAGTCATTGAGTTCTTCCAGCTCCTTAGCATTTTCTAATAACACGGAATTAGCGTGGTTGTGCACCTTTTCTACCATAAGACACAACGAATCTGCGTCTTTACCAGAAGAAGTCGTGCGCTTTAAGGCCAAAAGATACTTAACTCGATATGCATCTATTATCTGTTGAAGCGCGGCTGTCTGTTCCTCGCGCGTGGTTGTTACTGTTGTGAGCTCTGTTGCTAATGCATCTCTCTCTGTTCTTAGGGCAGTGGCCTCTTGCTGCAGATTAGAATATTTTACATAAAGAGCCCTTCTATCAGACTCACTTGTATGATGCTTTTGAACCATGTCAGCCATTTCTGTGCTAAGAGAATGCATACTGACATGCATGTGTGCGTTCTCTTCAGTTAGGAAGTCCAGGTCAGCCCTCAATCTGTAAATGGCATCTGTAAGTTCTCCGACCTCCTTCAGTTTTTCGTTGTATCTTTTCTCATCTTGCTCAATTTGTTCCTCGAGAGTGTGTATGCGCCTACCATATTCAATAATCAGCTCGTCACGCAGCCTTTGCTTCAGCTGGTCCTTGTGCAAGGTCTGCTTAAGTACATCCACCTTGAGCTCACTATTTGTCTGCTCCAGGCGAGTGTTTATCCTTGCTAACTCAATGATTCGTGCTTCCGACAATTGAAGATTGTCTTTATAGAACACAATATCTGCTTGTAAGCGACCAATGGTTGCGTTCTCGATTTGCTTCATTTCGCTTAAGACATCTTCTCGCACTGTGGTGGCCAGCCTATCGTACTTCTCCTCTAGAAGAAAATATCGTTCCTTTTCTGCTTGGAGATTGGCACCTAGTTCGGCGCATTCCCGGTGGAGTACGGTAGCACGCTCAGTAGAGTCCTTAAGGTTGAATTGCAGGCTGTTCAATCGGTTTTCATAGCTCTGCATGAGAACGTCACGTTCCTTGATGACTGCAAGCATCTGGCGTTCAAGGCGTTCTTTTCCCAAAACGGCCTCTCTGCGCTCTGCTATTGCGGCGCTCATAAGGGCATGTGAATTAACAAGCTCGCTATCATGCTCTTTGCGTCGTTTTTCGAGAAGACTAAGTCTTTCGATCAATTGCCGGTGCGTAATATTGGTTGACATCAAAAATGGTAGCACTGATGTATGAATCTTTTTGTCGTAGAACACCTGCGTTTCTATTTCCCCAGCTTCATTTTCTACCTTTAGTGCGCACTTATCTACCTGCAATAAAAGGCCTGTTTGCAAGTTATTGGTATTGGATGCGCATGGTTTAGGTATCTCCACAGAAAAGTTAGGTGGTGCAGAAAAGTCTTTGAGTAGCTTTACTGCCGATTGAGAGAGAACATCCTCATCGGCAGAGGTCTGTTTATTGACAGCAGATCGCATCAGATGATACATGCGTAGTCGTTGAGCCTTTGCGTCCGCTAACGAGATTTGTGCGGTACAGAAGTCAGTGAGCTTGTCGTCAGTTTCTTTGGCAGTCTCGCAGGAATCTATGGTAGAGCGGACTGGATAAGATTTGGGTGTCTTGGATGTGGAGTCTGCCCTAACTAAGAGAGACTTAAGGGTGTCTCCGATAGACTGGAAGATTGACTGACTATTTTCGGGACACGTGGACAAGCTGGAAAGGCTGTCCATAGACGACTTGAGATCTGGGTTAGGACAAGTTAAAAGAGGATCATTATATTGTGTCAGTACAACTTGCTCCCCACGAATCTCAAAATCATGGGTTGTAGTGATTGAGATACTCTGGTAGGGAATCTCATCACCCACCGCAACTGTTGCTAATCTGAGAGAAGCTGTATCTCTCTCTGCGTCGGTGAGTGATTGAAGGTCTTCAAGCATGATTCCCGAGTGAGCATCGGATAGCGTACATCTAACTACTGTCGTATTTGCATTTGCCTGTGAATAATCGGTAGCAGAGAGGCTACAAGGGGCATTGTGCTCTACGCTTCTCCGGAGTTCTGCTGTCATATCTAATTGGGTGGCCGAAGAACATGGCACATTGATTACTATACTATTAGTTGGAGCAATAGGTGTTCCTCGGAATTCCTGACTATCCGGGTGCTCTATAAGCTTCCTGTGTCGCGTCTTTCGAAAGTGGTACTCGGGCTTAGGACCCATAGGCTCATCTAGTGTCCTTCCATCTAGTCCATTATCGCACTTTTCTGCTATCATCGTGGCATGAGAGAGAATGATATCAGGGTCAGAAAACCGCAGGGAGCCCACCGTTGCAGACCGCCCCATAGCAGCTAAGGAAACTGATCTTCTTGTAATGCGCGACTTGGAGGAGTTCTTCTTTTCTGTGCTAATTGAGGTTCGTATTGGAGCGCCGGAAAGGGCGTTTGAGACGATGGAGTTGAAATTGACCACCTCGTTGCCAATCTTCCTTAGACCTCCGTCCATCATAATGTACTTTTTTAGCTTAGCGCGGAGAACAGTGTTTTCGGATTCCTTTGCTCTTAACGCAAGTTGGACTTGTTCTAAAGAGAGCTTTGCCTCTGTGTACTTTTCCGTAGACTCACGTAGCAACAGGCGGTATTCTTCAGCAATGCACCGAACCTGATCATTAAAATCATGCTGTAGAAGCGATGTCACAAACTGTTCTTGGAGCTTGGAGAGTGGTGTGTCCAAGTGCTGCTGTAAAGCCAACGAGCCAACAACATCTACGGATGAGGAGAGATCCACATCCTTGGAAACACTTGGGTCTAGCTCAGCACGCAACTTAGCTAATAGTTGCCTGTAGGAGCTCGAGTTTGCTGCCTGATGATCATCCTCTAGAAGGAGAGATGGCTGCTGTTCTGATGTTTGATTCCGTTGTGGATCGGTCTCGTCATCACATTGCAGCTGCGATAAAATGTTTTCTCTATTTGAAATCAAATCGATAAGAGTTTCAGCGTAAGAAGTCTGCAACTTTTTGATGTACTCTTCAACCTGCTCCCTGTACTGCCTAAACTTCTCCACGAAAAGCTCCCTTTCCGCAGCGTGCTTGTCAGAAATCTGAATTATCAATTTCCTTTGGAAGAGACACTTTCTGGACAAATCATCTATGACAGCCATTGCCTCTGGCGGCCAAGCAACTATCTGAGATACCATGGTGTCTAGCTGAACACCCTTAGCGCTGGGTCAATGGCGTTCCTTTTTCTTTTCGTTTCACATCAGTACATTTTCAAAAAATTATTTGAATGAGAAAGATTTGGCGGGGGCATGAGTACAAGACAAGCCAGCTACACGCTGTTTCTCGCATCCAGAACTCCTTTCTCACTGTTATACTGAGTGTCATCCTTACCATGCAGCTTCTAACGTGCCTCACAAATCTACCCTGCTCGGCTTTTCAGATGAACTTTCTCCTCGCGGCCGAAATCAACAATCCAATATCATTCATATATGTGCAGCGATGGGATGTCTATTTAGTTATAGCCCTTATTGCAGCTACTCTCGGAAATATACTTTTGGTATGCTTTTTAGTCTTGCTATTCTATAAAAGGACCAATCACTCAGTTATCTCAAATATCCAGTTCTTCTTTGCGTTTGCTTCGTTTCCTTTGATTATACCCGTACTCAATCTCTTCTATCCATCCTTTCTCATTCTTAGTCGTATAGGTAGTAGAAACCTTGTTACGCTTCCACCACTCTTACTCAGCAAACTCCAGAACTCACTTACGCTGAAGATAGATGGAAACTTTTCAAATGTGTACCAATACCTCGTTCCTTTTTGGATCTACGTCTCTGTTCCGCTGTTGGGCTTTTTCGCGCTAGCAATTCTAAGTATCGTGCATCTACACTGGTCTGACTATGATATAAAGAGTCCTGTCATTATAACCAACGGCTACTTGCTTCTACCACACCTGTTTCTCTGTGTTTTCATTAAGTTGTTTGAAATTCTTCACTATCCATACTACTATGGACATTCTGAGATCCTCATGTCTGTACTTTTGTGTCTCGTGTCCACGTTCTTTTGTCTTTACTGCATAAGTACATCTATTTTCCTCTCCCTCTTTCAGAATCTCGCGTCCATCTTCTTCTCCGTCATCATTACATTTGTGTGCTTTCTGCATCTTGCCTACGGTGCAAACTGGCCGATACCATCAATTCCGGTACAAATACTCATAATCTTCAGTTTAATAGAGGCGTCGTTTCTTTTTACCAACTTTCAATTCAGGCACTTGATCGAGCGCACTATCCGATTCTTGGCCGTAGGTGGTATGAACGTTCGTGCAAGCACGCAGGTGGTTCCCCATGGTACAGGAGCTGCAGATGAGAATAGCTATGAGGCCAATAGCCACGGATATACCCATAGAAGCGAGGACTTACAACTGGCGAACTCTGAGCCTTTTCCGGTGGTGGAAATTATGGCTCCGTTGAGCAGCTCTTCAAAACTGGTTCTTTCTTTGACAACCTTGCTCTACTTTCTTTGGATTTTAGTCAGCTATCCGTTTATGCGCATTTCAGGAAGAGCGTATCTGAACTCGCGGTCGCACCGAGACAGGCTTATCCAGTCAGATCAGTGGTCGCGTCATGCACACTCGAGAGCTGATGCCTTTTCCCCAGTAATATCCGTTACCAACTTCAAACGAGTGGGCAACACTGGGGCATACCAGATGTCACAAGCTAAAGGAGACAACAGTCAGTCTGCTCCTTTGCAGTTCCACTTCACACGTGGAACTGAAGTAATATCTGTACCGTTACTCCCGAGGACTGAATACGATGAACATGGCAACTATGTGGACCTGAAGTTTACAGAGCTTCTTCACGAGAAGCAGGTCGCCAAGGAGTGGCGAATATTTGAAAAAACTAGAAGGCTACACAATTCTGAGCAGTATATCCGTGACTTCCAAGGGCTCAATGCAGCCAGAAACGTCCCTGTGCTCTCGTTTCTCAAAATGCTTGCTGACTTCAATCGCTTAACATTTCTAGACAAGATCTTGATCAAATCATATATGCGCGATCACAACAATAGAAGGGGTCTTTCTCCCACTAAAAACCCTGGACTCTACTTTCGTCGACTTGAGGATGTCCTAGTAGTCTGCGCATATATTAGTAACTTTTACAAATACAAGATTCTGCACACTACTTTCTCAGGCCAAAAGGTTTTTAGCTCTTCAAATGTGCTCCAGTATTGTTTCATCAGAGAGATATGTTTTGTCCTGGAGGCTCACTGGTCGAATCCCTATGTGATTGCTCTTTTATATTACTCTCTACTGCTAAGCATATGTAACAATAGAGCAACAGTGGCAAAGGAAACAGGGGATCTATTAAATTTTGGGATTACATCCACTGATGCTGAGAATCTCTTTCAGCAAGATATCTGCTTTAAGCGTGAGAGCCAGGAGGAGTTTGTGAAGTTCGTTTTGGAAAACAAGGATTCACTCATGAGTCACATGCAAACGAGGCTGGACGAATATTTTGACAAACTCCACCCTTTTATGAAGAAAAATGGCAACGACAGAGGCCTTGACGAGGAAGCCGCTGCTAGCTTTGATGCGACAATTGAAAAGCTTCATCTTCGCATTCTAGAATCCCATGTGACAGCGATCTCGGTAGACGAAAAGCTTATGCCAGGCTCATCAGTCATAGCTACCTGGACGAACAACATGAGGCTTCTCCGCGGCAAACTGAACCCCGAGCAGAATCTTCTACGTAGGCAGAGGGTGTCCAAAGATCCTAGATCTTCAAGTATCCCAGGAGCCAAATCCCTCGAGTTGCAGAAGCTTTTTACAAACGCCATAAAGACTGTCAGCTCAGTTCCACGCACTTCAGCGCTTGCCATGTTCCACTTGGCAAAGATACACATGCGCAGTATCCTTGGGTCTACCAACGAGATCACCAGCGACATACAGCTAAGCGAGCTAGCTATGACGCAAACAATAGTTCAACTTTTCATAGAGATCTATAAGGAACAGCACAATGATATCAATTTTGCCTTCCTTTCGCTATGCCAATTTCACTCTTCATTTGACGGAGTAATCAGCTCTTTTAGAAACATTCAGAAGCGGCACAAGCATGACCCAATTCATACCATTCTCCATCTAATGCTTCTAGTCTTCTTGCCCCTCGTTCCCCTAGACTCATACCATTATCGGCGCCTCCTAGACAAGTATAAAAACACCAATCTAGTTATATCAAACGACGGGACTCCGTTTTATATAAAGCATAACGTCAACAAGGTAACGATATATCGTTCTTATGAGGTACTGGCCAAGTTTTGTTCTTTAAAGAAGTTCTCTCGTATCCTCTATCCACTCTTCGCGAACGATCGGACAGTCTATGACGATAGATTCATTGTTGAATCTAGCCTGCGCATAGGAACAGCCGAGACAAGGCCTCTGGTGGGGAAGGATGCACAGTTTATATTCAACGTGCCAGGTACTGTCTGCAAGAGAGTTCTCGCTGGCCTAGACAAAGAGCGAGGTAAGATCAAGAAATACGCATCAAATATAGATCAGCTGAATGAGATGAAACGACTGAGAACAATTACAACAGTACAGAATTCACGCTTCATCAAGAAGAACCCTGTTACTAATGCTATATATCTTAGTGTCACGCGGGTTGAATATCTAGATGCCTTGGTCAACACATGGGGCAACAAGGCAAGGGGCGCCATCAAGCTAATAACTCAGAAACGCTCGTTTATCCCTTGGAAGGTGATCGAGGGGCTTATTTACCTAATGGTTATTACTATCTTTTTTTCGTTGATATTTATTACCCCACTAAGGCAGCTGGACGGGCTCGCTACATTTCTTGGAAACCTCGACAGACACATTAAAACTATTGACAAGATTCATAGCATGCTTGTTGGTATATCCCATCTTCCTGATAATTACATCAGACCCCTCAATAGCTTTTTTAAAGAACTCAAGGATGCAATCAATAATGTCAATGCTTACTATCCCCATTGGAACCCTTCTGTGCCAATGTATAATACTCACGTCTACACGCGGGTTCCGCGCTACATGGATACCTGGACAGCCTCTACCCTGCCTGTGTACATCCAGAAGCAAATTTTTGACCTGATTAAAGCCTATCCATCACATGGGCAGAATCTTTCATACTACAAGGGTGAGTTCTCCAAGCTTATGGAGCCTCTCCATCAGTATTCGGACTACTTCCTCAAGCACTCCGATCCACTACTTCCTTTGGACACCACGCGGCTAAACGCAAGCGTCCGCGTTCAACTTATTATGTGGCTTCTTGCTATTCTTGTCATTGTCTTTGCCTATAGAATGCAAGTAACCTTTAACCAGATGCGACGCGACTATACCATATTGCTTCACCTTTTTATTAAGCTCCCGGTTGAGATCAGGAAAGAAGTTGCTTCCTATTGGATATCTCATAACATTTCGCGCCTGCGCCTAGCCGACATTTTTCATCGTAACTTGCCAGCGTATTGCGAAGGTCTTCTCAGAGATATAAAACGGCTGAACAACGTCGAAACAAACCCCAGCAAGTTAGATCTAGAGGTTCTACAAGGTACCCGCACCAATTCTGATCGGTACAGCCGGCGCATGCAGATGCTTCTCAAGAAGTACATCTCCACGATGGACGATGAGGTCAACGACACGGCACAGATGAGTGCAACGATTGCTAAGTACATCCGGATTCAGCAACGGCATAAGCAAATATTAGATATTGCTATAGCTCAACAAGACAATCGACCAGAAGAGCGTCTTGATGATGGCACAGTGGCTCCAACTGACCTGGAAGTTGGCACACATCTGTCTACTACGCAAGTCGGCACTGGTAGTAAGCTGCCAAACTTTTTACCTACGCAGAGATTAGCTACTTGTTCGCAAACAGAGTCGTCAAAATACTCATCTACCACCAAAGCACCTCTCACTAGGAACTCGGCTACGAAAACGCAGTGGCCCAGGGTTTCCCAGGAGAACAAGTGGAATGTGATACTGTACGATATATGGAGGCCTATGGTTTTGCGAAAAAGCTTTCTCTCTCGTGAGTTCAAAAAGTGTAACACTGAGCTATATTATCTCTACACTAGAATGTCTGCACGTTCATCCTCCTTTGAGTGTCAACCTTTTTTGGAACCTTTGAGCCGCCAAAAGAGAAGGGACAGACGTATGCGTCAGAGCGAACTAGGTTACGCCCAGAACTCTCGTCTTCATCACACGATGGTTAATAAAGACGATATGACGCACGTTACAGAAACTAGTGATACTTCTGATTCATATTTACAGGCAATTAGAGATGATGTCGCTGATGGTTCCCCTCAAGATTTGCATCTAGAGCCTATGTGTGGGCCTACTTCGATGTTTAGCATTAAATCTAAAGAGCTAGCAAACCCAAATTCACTTTCCAACAAAATAAAGGATAGAACACTGCAATCCACACAACTTACAATGCATAAGACCAAGACACCCTGCTACGACTCTCTTGCTCATGACAGAGGGCTTCTCGACTCACAGGTCCATACACGCCCCGAGGATCCAAAGGATAGGTGTTGGAGTCTTCTAGTGTGTAAGAAAAAGCACCGTTGTCTTAAAGAAGAGAAGACATCTCGGTGGAAGCTCTCCTCTAAAGATGCTCTCGACTGGTCCACTTGGCGCAAGCGACATTTGTTGCTTGTCTTTATAGGGATCTTAATTTTCTGTTTATTCTCCATAATGCAGATATTGGGCTGCATATACATTCAGTCATTTTCATCTGTACTATATTCCATGCAAAGGGCTAACTTGAAAAGTGGATACTTGGCAGAGAAGCTGAGTGCCTTGTCCCTTGATGAACTCCACGGACACATAGCTCATAATTATGCCATCACTTTGGATGACAGACTCTACTCACAGTACTCTACCCTACTCGCAGGACCAACGGTGCACGATATGATATCTGAAATTTTCATCGATACAGAGTTGATGCAAGCACGCTCTTGGCTTTTCTCTACACTGCTACGAGAGATAGAAGCTGCTGTTTCTGAGCTCAGACGGCTAAATACCATTGGTGTGTTCTTGGCACATCTCTCTCAGTATAAGTCCGACGAGCTGGTGGACCTAGTTCAGCCAACGAATCCACGCTTCAAGCCACATGATTTTCTCACGGACTATGTGTACCTTTATAACAATTATAATATGAGCGCAGAACTATCGGATCCAGACTCTATTCGTTCTCAATTATCCAAGGCAGTGATGGATGCAGATTTTGAGGAACAGATCTATGGGTATAATATTCTGAACCAGACTCAGCCGTCTTACACAAACCTTATGTCCGATGTGATCAATTCAGACGCTGATATGCGAAGGGCTATGTCCTTGGGAACGTTCAATTCTCTATACTACTACAAGGTCGTATACGCTGTTAGAAAGCTCTCGCGCGCGCTGATGCTTGAAATGCTTCGACTTCAAACCATAAGCTTCCTCGACGAGACAGTAGATGGAAGAGACTTTTATCTTCTTTACTTCAAAAGATTTATTAAGTCCTCTATTATATCCAATCTGGGTCAGCGTAACGTGTTTATGAACATCTTTTATCATGGGAACACGTTTGTCAATCCTGTTTCCCTAACGCACAAATATATCTCTAAGCACCATACAGACTCTTATCAACGAATAATTTTACAACCATTTGTTCATTTTAATTTAACAGATGGTTCAACAGACACTGCTCTTCAAAAGATATTATCTATGAAGCTTGTTGACGTCGAAGATTCTTCTGGTAATATAGACACATACATCATTCGCCAGTTCATGATCTATATAACGATATTCATTGCGATAGCATGCATCTCTTACTGCTCATTTTTTCTTATTTTCAAATATCTCTATCAGATCAAGTTCAAAAAGTTTTTAATATTCAGCTTAGTATTGTTGGGATTATCATTATTTTTACTGATAGTATCATTTATCTATTTGATAGTGAAGGTAGCATCAACGCGAGATCTCACTAACTTTAATAGATTTGTGGCAGTTATCACACCAGCAGTCTCTATACGCAACTGGATCTTAGATATAGCTCTTAAGAGTAAGCATCTCACCTCTGCATGCCTTGATGTCGAGAACCTAATGCACAGCACACCTCCTCAAAATGCAAGTGCTTTCACATTCCAGACCCTTGATAGATTGGCAGGGTCCCTTTCCATTGCAATGGAGAAGGGCCTAGCTCTTGAACAAGGAGGCTATGACCCGCTTTATCCAGATCCCCATGTCTATTATTTTGATCGCTATCTCCGGCAGAACTCAGAGGCTTACATGACAGATGAGAAGCTCATTCTAAATTATGAATTGAATAACGGAACACTGGACTCTCGAGCAGCTAGAAGCATACTTGAAAGCAGAGTCAAGAAAATTTCGGCAGCCTCCAGACGGAGACAGCGCCACATGGATTTCATAACTGGACCAAATGGTAATGCATATGCAGTTATGAACGAGCTTATGCTTTTACTTCCGGAGCAACTAGCTATTCCTTATTATAATGCTATCTTGTATGCTAATAGCCTTGAGTCGCAGCGCTTTCTCACATGGTTACGAGCAGAGATACCGAAGAGGACTGGGAAAAGCCTTTCTGAGACGCATTTTCTTCAGGACATGGTCCAACCTGGCTCCACTCATACTAATATTTTATACTATTATAAGCGGCCAGCAGTGACGCGGTTTGCTCAACACTCTCATCTCTTATCTCTTAATACGCTGTCCCAAGGAATGATTCGGTATCTAGGGGCCACTAGGCGAGCGTTGGGGTATTACTGCTTGTGGCGTGAGAAAACCCTAGCTAAATCGCCGACATCTCAAGATCCTATCGTTAACCCCTTTGTAGAAATACTTGAAAACCTAGAGGAGATAACTCCTAGCGGCGTGTTGTATGCGCTACGTGCTCCCCGAAAATTTGTCAAGGACATGATAGACTTTAACGAGCCAACGAATCCACAGAGCGATCAAATAGAGCATAATCCTTATCGTTATCAGTTCAGTCCTCTAAGTGTCGATCCGATGCCGCATCTGTCTGGTTATCCCTACACAAGTAGTGACCTTATCCCCCATAACCTTGTAGCATTTATCTCCTATAATCAGCAGATCTCAAAGTATCACCTGGACAACTATGTAGAACTGATAGAGCTTCTAAACACGATAATGTTCAGTAACTTGGAGCAAGCAGCCCAAAAGCACAATGCCTGGGTTGAACGTAGTGGCCTCACCGTTGGATTGTTCACAATAGGTCCATACATCTTCGGACTCGGTATCATATGCTGCGTAATAGTGATTATGGAGTATCTGACAACTACTTTCTCTGTTCTCTTCCCGTTCTTAGCGAAAAACGATGCAATGATAGACCAACTACGCCCAGAACTTCTCTTCAAGCAGCGGAAATGCTATAGCGTTATGATCACCATTAGAAGGATACTTCTCATTCTCATGGCGGTGCTATTTGTCGTTATTTCTCTGTGTTTGGTCTACTACACCAACCTATTGCTATACATAGAAAAGCTCCTTTACGTTATAACCAGATTGGTACATGACACCTCCATGACCAGATCTAAGTTACTGAAGGTTTTAGCTTGCATGACGAGCTCCTCAGATGAGTGTAGACTTGTGGACTTGTCATTAAGATTGAAGGAGTTGCGGAGCAGCGCCGATGAATTGTTCTATAGCATGAGCTTCTTGGAGCTCAACAAGGGATTGCAGATCCCCTATATCAGCGCAACGTGGCTGAATCAAAGCCTTGCCAGTCAGCGTAACTTTCGTCAGAAGAAGTTGTTCCTCGACTCAGCGTCAATCTATCCTATTGTCGGTGGGTCACTAACTTTTGATACTCACGTATACAGAGCCTTCCATGATACAACCAACATCCTGAGCATATCCTTCCAGTATGAGGCTATCAGGGATCTGGCCATGCTGTACTGGGCCATCCAGCAGGGAGATATTTACACCGCACTACTAAGCTCCATCTTTAAAGAAGCACATGCCTTGTGGTCAGTGGATTATAATAGTTCACAAGTATATCTAAATGAACTTGTGACCTCTGGTTTGACGAATCCGCTCTACAGGTCGATTGCAAGTTATTTAGATGACAATCGGATAGACTTTTTCCAGTTAGCTTCAACGCTAAATATTACAATTACAAATAAAGACAGATACGATATTTATAGAGAGATTTATCAAAAAACAGTCAACAAATTTTCTACCATTTTTGATATTGAAAGTTTAACTGCCAGGAATGTTAATTGGACACAATACATCTACAACATAAGCGTGTTTTCTCACGACAGCAAGATTCAGGAAATTCTAGATGCAGACAGACAGGAGCTTGGCAACTACAGTTTGCCGAGCATCATACGAATTCTTTCGATATTCCACAGAGACATGATGAGCATGTACAACAGCGTCCTTCGCGACGACAACACCGCCCTCTACACCGACTTCATCAGCGAATCGATTCTGTACCAACACAAATCCACCTCAAAAGTCAAGGATGATATGCAAAAGAAGGATGCCTTGTATAACTCTATCTTACAGTGCATAGTTAACACTGGGGAGCTAGAAATACTATTGGGTCTGTACCAACAAGAGCTGCAATCTGTGCTGTTGGACAGGCTGCGAACAAACGCCTTTTGGATAGATATTTTGATTAGCTCTCTGTGCATCATGGTAGTTGGGCTTTTCCTTGCCTATTTGCCGCTTCTGCGGATCACTAGAGACATTAAATTTATAGCTAGCATATTGCGCATGATACCGCATGATAAGTTCAAGCGGTTGAATGCTTATTATAGCCTCCTTCTATACGAAAAGTAAAATATGAACCCCTTGCTTGTTACCCCTAAATGGCTTTACGAAGCAGTAATTAATAGACGAGTCACTGTTTTTTGTTGTACAGAACCACAACCAAACTGTTTGGGCGAAAACCTGGATAGCTTTCTGCAAGCACACATCCCCTCGGCGCGTCCCCTTGTGTGCACAGCAGATCTCTACCCCCAAGCACCCGTTCCTCCTGTCTCGGAATTTTGCAAGTGGACAGGCTCCCAGGGCCTTCTCTCAACCCAGTCGATAATACTTTATCAAGACACCACATCGAGCTTGCACATATACAGAGTTTGGTGGCAGTTGCAGTATCACCAGATACGTACTGTATCTCTCCTTGCCGGAAACTGCAAGGACTGGTCTATGCAGGGCCTTCCTACTGAGCAAGGAGCCCCTTCGAAGAAGGGGACCTTTAGAGAAGCGAACATCTGGGCGGATCATTATATGTACTACTCCCCTCATGATTTGGAGCTCTTCTTCACTGGCGTTAAGGCCACAAAGGCATACAAGCAGAAACCCTTTGTGTTTACGCAACTTGTTTACGTTGGAACGCGTGACGAACCAGGAATAAGGAAGCTTTTCCATCATGCGACACACCGTTTCAAGGATCAACTAATGGACAACAAGCTTGAGAAGCAAGAAGCCCTAAAGCATAAGAAATATATTGAGCAAAGGAAGAAGAATAGACTGTTATACTATAGCATCTTTGACACAGAAAACTTGGACCCCCCACGAACACTCCAACAGTTGCAATATCTCCGCTCTACATCGCCTCCTGCTAGCAGAGTCTTTGACACCACTGTGCGCGACGAAGATCCGCCTGCCATCGTCCACATCCTGCCATACACTTGCTTTCTGGATCGCAGTGGTGTACCCATCTTTATGCCACGCTTGCTTCCTGGCAAATCTTCAGAGCCCTCTCAATGCGAGTATTCTGCCGATGACTCTGCTACTGCCACTACTACGCCTGGTAGCGTCCATAGTAACGAGTCGGTGAGCCACGAGAGACTCGAAGATGTAGACGATGATAAGCAGCTACAGGAGCATAGAGAGCTCCTGAATGAACTTTTTTCTTCTAGAAAGATCAATCTCAATAGGCAAACCCTATTCATGGGAGATTCAATAGAACAAGTAGCATTTGCTATCTTTGCTGCTGCTCTGGCATACGGAGGCGGGATTTTCCAGTATACTGCGACAGTGTTGGAAGATAAACTTATCAACAATATTAACAGAGTACTAGATGAGAGTGCACGAACTAAGCTTGTCAGAGATCTAGATATGCGCGTGCCTGGCCCCTCAAAAGTTCCACCGCAAATGCCCAGACCCTCTACTCAGAATGGATCCAAAACACGCCTAAAGAGTTCGAACGACTATGGGCTGAAGACTACTCTGTACAAAGACTATGTTAACAAGAAGAGATTGAAAGATAGCCCCGAACTGTCTTCCGCTCTAGATACAAAGGACTTTTCGCAGATGGCAGCTAAACACCAGATGATCGAGGACATTACAGAAAAGCTCCTAGGTATCGTCCCGAGCACCCATCAATCCAGTGATTCCGTTGATAAGTATGTAAAATTTAATGTATATGCACCACGATATTGTCAGGAAGACTTGGATCTCATCATCAAGGGAATGCATCCGAACGGCAGACGACTATCGAACACTGAACGGTTTAAGCTGAGCTTACGTCTACCAATCTCAGAACTAGAGAGCAGGAAAATTGACTACTCAGATCCTGCAACGGTCACAATGATTCTTAACGAGCATATAAATAACGTTCCGTCATTGCAAAGCAAACTAGTATGCACACATAGTCGGGGAAACATGATTTCTCGTGCAGCATCGCCTCGTAGTCTTGCTTTCAAGTTCTTTAATGCACACGACCGGTTAGAACAGCGTACGAGAATTAGACGTATAAGCGAGTGCAGATTTCGTTGGACGTCGCCTGTACTTGACTTGCAATCACGATTCAACACAAATAATGACTTAGATTTAGCTAGTATTTCCAATAATGCCATGCGTTCTTCGTTCACAGAAAAAGATTCAAGGTTATCTAAAAGAACGAGCTCCAAAGAAAATCTTACAACAGATTCTGCTTCCTTAGTTCACAATATCCTTACCAGAAGTATCGTGAGCCCGTCAAAGGCTCGAATTGCCTATGATATTCCCAAAGTAACGTCTAGCAATATGGGGAGGCTGGCCTTTGCAGATCGAAATCTTGCCATCTCCCAATCCGCAAATAGGAACAAGCTAGCTTCTAAGACGAAGATTAATACACATATTACACAGTCTAAATCACAGAGCAAAGACACCTATTCTCCGCTAAATGAAATTGATGACTACTTTCTGCTTCTAACAGAAAAATATATGTGCAGTATTGACCATACGGATGACGCACGAAGGTACGACAAGTCCGACCTCTCCGCCGCAAGTACGTCGCCTTACTCTTTTCAGTTACGACACTGCTTCAGCGAGCTTATCGTTGTGCCATCCTTGGTCCTCTCTGATAGTGAGTCGTCCACACCTCCCTCTATACCCACCAGCATGGTACAACATGTAATGAGCTCTCCATCCATCCGTTTTCTTACCGAAAAGTATGGTTCAAAATACTTCTACTCTAAGGCCTCGTACCTTGTACTTTCTGCAAACACTATAGAATATACTTTTCAGTGCCTTTCGGAAAAGATTGTGGGCTCGTTCAGGCCTAGATTTGTCGTGCTACCAGAGTCACCAACGGAATGGCTAATGCAAAGCATGACCGTCAGACATCTGAACCAGACGAACATATATGATATGGCCCTTAGCATTTACTTGACTGCAGAAGAGGTAGGCCTACTACATGCTTCTCACATTAAAGAGTATGAAATTGGAAGAACGCGTCACTATTGGGACATTCTATGTAGAGCATACTCTAAGCATTGAGTGACTCTAGGCAGTCACTAAATCACATGTTCACACCTCCAAGCATCGCCTCTTTGACCTTCAGCTTTATTTCTTTAAGCTTCAGCATATAGTCGCTCTCTAGCTGCTTCTTCATCTTGGCATATTCTCTGTCCCTTTCTTTTGCATATCTGTTCTTCACGGCTTGTCTGAAGGACTCAAGCTGATCAGCATGCGCTTTCTTGAGAGCATCCACCTCAGCTCTGTGAGCAGCCATATCCATAAGGCGTTGCTCTTTAAGACCGTAGATTTTGTTTTCATACTCTTGTCTTATACTCCGGACGTCATCCTCTGTGTAGTTTGCGGCTGAGGGTACAATGATCTGTGGAAGTACTGGTGGTAACTGTGACCCTACTCTAGTGCTTTTTGTCGGCGAGGTAACAAGCGCTAGGCGTCCGGCGCGCTCTAGTTGGGCCACCAAGTCTTCCGTCTCTCTTTTAAGGCGAGAGCACGAGTCCTGCTCGGCGTATAGTGCTGTCTGAGAATTACGTAGTTCTGTCTCTAGAAGCTTTATCTTGGCGTTTGCTGCGTTTACCTCTCCTTGAAGTTTCTCTAGTAGCTGAGCTGATCCTTCTCCTGCTGCCAACTTCTGGAGGTCGTTCAGTTGCTGCTTGTTGAGCAGATGCTGCTCCATGAGATTCTTTAGCTCTGTGTCTATATCATTCACGAGATCGTTCTTTTCGTGAGCCAACATGGAGCTATCTTCAACAAAAATTGAGTCAAAGAACGAGGATGGTTGATCCTTGTTGTTATTGGACGCCAAAATATCCTGCCGAAGCTGAGCATTGTCGCTTTCCAACGCTTTGATACAATCTTCTAGTTTATCGATAAGGTTATCTTTTTGCTCGAGCAATTTACGGACCTCTGGATTGGGAATATTTGAGTAGAGAACTGCGCGGCTCGGACATGATTCAAAGTCTGATTCGGAGTTCTGATTTAGTGGATTGCTCTTCCTTGTCATGGTTTCAAGGGTGTGCAGTTCGTTTAGGACGTAGCGAATTCTATCAGCTAGCTCTGCCTCACGAGTTAAATACGTAGGCCTCTGGACACAGTATCCTCGCTGGATTCCAGCAACAAAACTAAACATAGCAATGGCAGAGGCCTTGGTAAAGAGGAATTCGGATGGCAGAGCAACCCACGCAAGGACACGAGAGGTTCGAAGAAAGAGATGCTCGTGTAGCACTTTCGCAAGCGCAGATAGTGTTTTTGTTGAAATGTAATCCTGTAGGGAAAAAGACTTCAAGACGAACTCCTTATCTATCTGCCTCCATCTGGTAGAATTGTAGCTATAATCTCTCGACTTTCCTGCACTGTTGCCTGCATTCTGCCATATTTTTAGCACATCTGAGCATGGGTCGACAAGACCACCTGCATTAGAATGGTCAGTCCTAGTAATGAGCTGTGTATTAGTGGATTCAGAGGTGCTACAACCTTGGTCCCTATGGAAGTCCAGAGATGGGATCCGTGAAAGCGTCCACGCTGCGTATTGCTGATATGCGCAGGTTGGAAGAGTGTCAGGAGCTGATTTAGAGCTAAAAAACAAGCGTCCATAGTTAACATAGCATGCCAACGCAAGGTTGTCTAGTACACTCATGCTTCCGAGGTCGTAACGCTTCGATGCTCTTTCAATATCATCGGCAGGAAAGTCTGTAGATAGATTTTCTTCCCAGAAGGAGTCTCCAGACCTAAAAATAGGGGATATAAACGAAATATTCATTCTACATGGTACGCTTTTGACCAGGATGTGTGGTAGTCCGTCCAAATGAACGTGGATTGCAATCGCGGAAATGCTAGAGTTATGTGACACGTAGCTTAAGAGATAGGTCATCATCTTTGAGTATTCAGTTAGAAAGTCATTGGTGCCAGATGCACAATCTTTGACAGCTGCACTAATCTTTCTAGGAGCAGGATTGTAAACCACCTCTCCTGTGAGCCCAACTGAAACGCTTAACTCTGTAGGTGTTGCCATAGAGGTAGTAGAGATAGTATCATGCATGTCATATGCCTTACCGCTCATAAAGCAAACAGCTGAAAATGCGAACTCGGTGGCTTCTGTCACCTTTAACACTTGAGGCAGGCTGCAAATAGGATTGTAAGAACTAACCATTACACCCTTTTCAAATAGAAGGGGGACGACAATAGTTAAGGGCGTAACCCCGGCAACAACAGTGCGGATTATCTCTGTGAAATATAGCTCTGCAGCTGTACTCAGTTCCCGTTCCGAGCCGTGCCATTGTCCTAGCGTGGGCGTAAATGCGAGACGGGTGGAGTTGGCAATAAGCTCCGTTTCCTTGTTTTCGTCAGAGTGGACGGTGATGTTATCTAGTATCGATGGCGGTAAAGTGGACTTATCAACTGAATATGTCATGAAGAGGGACACGCCAGGCATACCTTCATGGTCACTGGCGAGGGTGGCCGAAAAGGCCCGTGCCGTGTGCTGGCTCATCTTTTTTGTGAGGCAGAAAGGGGACTCACTAATTTACTAGGATTTCGAAAAGTACGCGTTAGATAATAGGAAATTAACAAGTACGCGTCTAAACTATTAGCACTAATGTCGAGCAAAAGCTTCCTTGATCTTTAGTTTGATCTCAGTAAGCTTGGCCATGAAGTCCTCCTCGGCGCGACGCTTAAGAGATCGCAGCTCCTTGTTGCGCTCCTCCTCATAGTGCTTCTTGGCTTCGTGCATCTTAGCCTCGTGGGTGCTGCGTAGTCTTTGTATCTCTACGTGGAGAGCTTGAACCTTTTCAAGGTTCTCCTTCTTAAGGTTAACCATCTGGTTTTCGTATTGAATGCGGAGCTTCTGAAGTGCAGCTTCATCTACAGACTTCCCACCTCCTTTACCCTTATCGTCTCCAGCCTTGAGGTCATCAAGAAGTCGCTGCAGCTTCTTGTTAGCCTCGCGCTCCGTCTCTAATGACTTCTTCTGGTTTCCGAGCTCCTGCTCAGTAGAGATGAGCTTTTCTTCGAGTGCCTTATTGCGATCCAAGTACTCTTTGACCAAGGAGTCTGTGTCTCCTCCGTGCTCCACCTGAGCAGATAGCGCCGTGATCTCATTGTCTCTACGCCTGGACATGGTGATGAGATCCTGGATTTCCTTATCAATGTCGTTCAGCAGCTCGTCACGTTGTGTTCCTAGACCCGATGTAATCTGTGACAAAGATGCAGGATTCATTTCGCTAAATGTATTATCCGCGTGGTCGCGGCCTTCATACGTTTGAGGGATTCCAAGCTTCTTCTGCAAATCGGCTATTTCTTCACAGAGACGCTTGTTCTCCAACTCTACCGCCTTCATGTTCTCTGCGCTAACAGTTATAAGCTTGTCTTTTGCATCAAGTTGTGCTTGCAGATCTGCTACTATGAGGTCATTATTCGAGCCAGTACTGGTGGGTGCCGCAGTCGCATACACCACCGGTTTAGCAGGTGGCTTAGACTTTATCGAGTCTTCAATAGTCACGCTATCCTTATCATCATCGTCTTGATCTTCAACGAACGTGCCATCTCCCTCAAAAACAGGGATGTCCTCTGTTTCATCGACAAGAGTACAGTTATCGAAACGCTCCAACTTGACTACGAGGGATCCACCACTTTCTGTAACAAGCTCAAAGGTCTCTGCACGCGAAGAGTTGTCAGCAGTGAACAAGAAGTTAGGGTCGACCTTCAAATGGTGGGCCATAAACATAGCACGTTGCCCACCGACCAAGTCCATAGTGTTGTACCCACGATGATTGAGGCATTTGGTGTACTGCACATGTCCCACAAAGGAAATGGCTGCCAAAACGGTACCTGGGGAGCATTGAAAGCGTTCTGGAAGTATCATAATAGCGGCTGTGAGGGCTTCACGAAGGTAGAGATACTTGTAAAGGACCTTCACTGATGCGCATGGAGTCGAGAACAGCACATACTCTGCAGCAGTGCTCGGCTTAAAGTGGTCGCTGGTCAGAACATTTTCAGGGGCGTAAAGAAGAGAATTGTAGTCGGCTTGGAAGGCTGTGAGCTTGGAATACTCACCATGACCGTCAGAAGGTTGAGCTGAGCTTCTTGGAGTGGCTTTGGGAACCTTCGCTGGCTTCTCCTTGCCAGACGTTTTGGGCATAAACCTTTGAGAGTCGTCATTGAAGTATCCTTTCCCCGAGTGGACATACTGCGCCATGAAAACTTTCTCCGCTATAGCGGGAGACTCCAAATCAAACTTCTTTTGCACAGAGTCAAGATCGTATGGATTATAAGTCGTTCGGAAATTTTCTTTCCAAAACTTATCTTCGTCCCTAAATATGGGGACAACAAAGGTATGAACCATCTCGCAGCGCCCCTCTGGGTAGATATGCGATGCGTTGTCAACCCAGCTCGTGTAAGTCAGAATAACACAAGTAAGATCGTCAGTCTTTATGATATAGTTTTTGAGGGCAGACATCCTCTCCGTGTAAGAGGTGCACTTGCTACGAGTCTTGTGCAATTCCCTAAATTCCGTTAGATACAGCTTGGGAGAAAAATCGATCTCTCCGGCCAAATTGAACGTTAGGGACACGGGGACTGGTTGCTTTGATGGATTTTTGTCGGTAATGTGCTTACCTATATCTACAATGCCTCCGTTCTTAAGCCCAAGAGCTGTGAAGGTCACAGACTTTACCTCTGATATAAGGTCTTTGAAATATTGTTCGTATGGCACAATCAGATTGGAGATCTCATTGTTGCAGACTATCAAGGGAGTGAAGAAAGTAAAAGGGAGGCCGTACCTACAAGTCTCAGTGACAACCCCTGCAATCTGAGCATCCACCTCGGACTTGAGGTATGTATTGTAGGTGTAATAGTTGAACTCGTTAAGTCTACCGTGCCACTCTTTGTCATTGACAGTGGAGACGGCAATCATATTCTTTCCGCGCTTGGATGGAGTCAGTTGCACAGTAGACACGGATCCCATGGCACTCTTTTTCTTGGAGTCTTTAAGCACATAGAGCATGGATATACCCTGTGTGACGTTCTGTGATCCCCGCACATAGCGTGGCAACAGAGGAAACATTTTTAATTTTGCAGCAAGACAGCCCCAACACGCACGTTACTCGTTTGACCTGCAATACATAAAATGGTTATTCACATCTATGCAGAGAGAGAACAATAGAATCTTTAACAATCGACTTGCAAATTACACATTTGCCTCTCAACTGTTCATTTTGCTCGTGGCACTTGCTGCACATGGCCATGTGCCGGCATGGAAGATGGATGACTGACGCAAAACAATCTAGGCAAACGCTACATACGGTGTGTAAGTGTGCCTCTAGGACGGTATCTAACAGCTCATCATAGCTACGCAAAAGGTCGTTAATGGTAATGGGTGCGCTATCTATGTAATAGTTGAGCAAGAGCTCGATCAACGCATAGATGGAGAAGTCCAGTATAGCAGGCTCAACGGTCGTATCGAAATGGACCACATCACTAAGCTTTACGACAATGACATGTAGCCAACGTTTTATCAGGTTTGCAATCTTGTAGTGTGAGCTAAGAAAGACAAGGTCAATCAACAGCGTCCTTCTGCTGAATAGCTGTTTGTAGGGGTTAAGCCTGGAGATTACATCTAGTTCTGAGACGAGATAGGGGTAGAACGTGACCTTGTAATTTTCTATGCAGTAGTTTAGAGCACAGTACCCACGCCTATCCAAGATTCCTATCTCACTCCTTGCTAACACCTCAAGAGCTGTGCCATTTCCACGCAAGCAAGCGTGCATAAGCGCAGTCATCCCGTCCTTGTCTTGGATTCCGGCCTCTAACTGAGCAAGATACACTAAGATCTCAGTGTTACTCTCGATGTTGCACCTTATTGCCAACATCAATGCAGTCATCCCATTTTGATCTTTCATTCTTGCTTCCTGTGGAGCTAACGCTTGTACAATTGTGTAGCTTTCTGGACCTTCCAGTGTAGCGGCAATCATGAGTGCAGTTCTCCCCAAGCTATTCTGTCGGCCCACCTCCTTTTCCTTGCAGTGTGTTAGCAGATATTCGACAGCAGCATGTCTCCTCTTCGAGGTTGCGTGCATAAGAGCCGTCATCCCATCTTGGTCCTGCATGCCGGCTTCAAGATCAGCTAGGCATGAAATCGTTTCCACGTGGCCCCATAGTGCAGCAAACATAAGCGCTGTCCATCCCATGTTATCTGTAAGACCTGCTTCTACATGAATAAGTAGCTTAAGCAAATGGGGAGGGCACCCCAGAGACGACAGATGCATGAGGGCTGTCTGTCTACCCGAGCCACGGATTCCTGCCTCCAATGGTGCTAAGATGGAAACAGCATCATAGTTCCCTGAACAAGCGGCTATAATGAGTGCAGTGTCTCCTTTCTCATCAAGATACCCGCTCTCCTTTTCTGCTAGAAAACGAACGGTGTCAATGCGGCCCTCTCTGACAGCATACATGAGTGCAGTAGGCTCCGTGGTTTTTGCCCTACTAGAGCTAGATTTGTGAGCAGATGCAGCGCAACGTCCTTGCATAGAAGATACGACTCAAATCAAAGGGGCGCGAATCTTGATTGGAGGTTCAGTAGCACAAAACCTCAATGCCTATCCCGTGGTCCTAAAATTCAACAGCCCTGAAGTCTTAAATGCCAAGATTTTCTGCAGAGATAAATATTTAATAAAAAATAGAAACACGCGTGAACATTAAAAAATGGCTGACAAACAGGAGGACACAGCACTTCTGCCTGTTGATGATAAGATTGACTTGTTCGATGACACTATGAGTTGGGAGAAGCTGTCTGTGCCAGAGTCTATTATGGAGTTACTGCACGCATCTGGCTTTCATATGCCCACTAAGACACAGGTGGCCGCTATCAAGCCAATCCTGTGCGATCGTAAGCGCTCCGGGCTCCTTGAGGCCCCCACTGGCACCGGGAAGACGATATCGTTTCTCACCGTTGCCATGTCGCATATCACACCAGATAAAAGTCTTCCACAGGCCGTCATAATTGCTCCCACGAAAATTTTGTGTCGTCAAATATATGGAGTCGCTGAGAATCTTGCCAAGGGGTCGAATATCCGTGTCAGCCTTTGTTTTGCTAAAGACGAACTGAATGAAGGCGAATTGAATCCCACTGCACATATCGTTATCGGGACAATTCACTCTCTTTTAAATAATTTCAGCGGAAAGATAGTAGTGAAAGGGAAGACACGAATAGCAGAACGGGCAACCTTTGACTGTACCGCAATTAATACAATAATTATTGATGAGGCCGATTACTTCATTGAAAACAAGCATGAGATATCGAAGTTTATTGAGATTGCTCCAAAGAAGACCAGGCGATATCTCTACTCAGCTACTATGCCTAGTGAGGTCGTTGATACGATGGTTAAGGAGTGGCTAGATGTTGACAACCCGTATTTTGTGGAGCGCGTGAACATATACCTAGGAAATTCTGTCCAGTTTTCTCTCTGTTGTACCGAGGCAGATAAGACTGTTGCCCTGGACAAAGTAATTAACTTGGAAATCTATAAAAAAGGTGCGCAATCCATTATCTTTTGCAAAACACGCAAATTTGTTGATGAGTGCTACCGAGTGATGAAAAACGCTGGCTATAGTTGCTCTAGATACCACTCAGACATGAGCAAGGAAGCAAAGATGGCAGAATTTGAAAAGTTCAGAAAGCGCGAAACCAATTGCTTGATCACTACCGATGGCTTGGCTCGAGGAATAGATGTCGCTACTATAAGGCTGGTGGTCAACTATAACCCACCTGTCAAGTGGGTCAATAACGGGGATGAAGTGGCAGACCCTACCCTTTACACTCATCGCATTGGACGTGGTGGTAGGTTTGGAAAGGCAACTGTTTCCATCACACTATATGAGAAAGACACAGAGGAAGTGTATATGAACAAAATAATTGAGCATATAGACGAAAAGTACGCTACCCAGAAAAGGACAGAGCACGTCATCACGTCGCTAGACTCTGTTGACGAGATCAAAGAAAAAGTGGAGTCGATTGTTAGAAAAGTTGACGACGAGATCAGCAGGGAAATTGATGAGCAGAATAAAAAAACGGAAAAGCGCAATGAAGATGGAAGGGCAGAAAGACGTGATGATGTGGAAGGCCTGGAATTGTAGCTGTTTTGTCTTCTCTGCGCGGAGGTTAATTGGTTGCCATTTCGGGCACACTACCTTAATTCTATAGGCTTGGATGAATACGGCAGCAATCATCACTGGGTTGGCTAGAATGGAAACATTGGGCTTGTAGAATGCTCGTTGCTGTTGAAGTTTGACAGGCCGAGGTCATATTTAATGTCTGCAAAGGGATTATGTGCTGGATAGCCCAAGTCACTGGTACTTATCTGGGGACTGAACTCATAGAACTCGTTCTGGGCAGTAAACCTGGAGGTTGAATAGCGGTTTTGATTTGATTCTGACAGCGCATCTAGAAGCCCTGGTTGAGATGCAGATACCTGAGGCAGAAATGCATATGGCTCCACCTGTGCTTGGTAGGGATAACTGAAATTCAGCTCTGGGTGGCCAACTTCCTGCTCTCCTGCTGATTGTTTCTTGTATGTCGTCACTGCAGATATGCTTCCCGAGGTTGACGGGTCGCTCTTCGAAGACTGAACGGCAAGCATTGGGTTTTCTCGATTTGTCGGGTAGGGGATTGGAGCGGACGCACTCATAGACGGTTCTGTGGCCAAGTCTTGAGTTGGCGGCTGGAGCTGAACAGCAGTTGAGCCCATTGCGTGATCAGGCTGCTTTTGCTGCTGTGTTCCAAAATGAGTGCTTGTCTCATTACCACTACGAGAGCTAGACGCTTCTGGATCTACTGCGCTGGTGGAGGCAGACGGCAAGTTTTGAACTGCTGTGACAATAGATGCGGACTCCCGTACATCCAGATTTTCTCCTTTAGTTGTGGCTATTGGAACAGATGACTGATCGTAGAGAACAGCAATCTCAGTTGACGTAGAGTTAGAAGGGGGTTGAGCTGAGGGTTGGCGATGAATAAGTTGTGAAACTGCCGTCATAACGGGAATGTCGGTAGACTTAGACGTTTCTGATGTCAAGGGCCCAAGTGGAGCACTCCCTGAAGAAATATCAAAGCTACTGGGCTTGCTTGTGGTTCGTGTGGCAAAGCTATTCTGAGCCTCTACTATTGGGGTAACGGTAGCCAAAGATGCTTTTCGGATAACCTCTGCCGGTGTGTACTGCGATTGATCGAACGTAATTGGTGTAAACGGTCGATTAATTGCAGCGATTTGCGCCACTATGTTATCGCTTGTCCGGGATGTTGGCCTGCTAGAATATGGAAGCGAAGGTCGCTGTGTCGAGAACTGTGAGGGGTATTGACTCATTGATGCAGTCGCAGTGGCTGCAGAAAATATGGGGGGTTCGACATATGATGTACGGCTGCTTGGAAGCGAGCTGGCCATAGAGTTGCTCTTCTCTGAGCCAGAAGAAATGACATAGGGAGGTGCGTGTGGTCGAGTAGGCATTGCTGTTAAGTTCATAGCTCCGTTGCTACTGTTAAGGCTCAGGCTCTGTGCCAAAGAAGCTGTATCAACCAGAGGCTGAGGCTTCGGTGGCCGGGTATCTGTCATGCTCTTGGCTAGTGCCTTTTCCTGTAAAAATTTCCGGGCCACACGCAACGCCTCTCGCTTGGGGTCTGTGGAGCGAAGATCGTATTCTAAGGCAGCTAACGAGGAATGTGCAGTTGTATCAACAAGAAAAGGTTCTGCTTTTTGATTTCCAAGCATCTGAGAGGTGCTCAGTATGCGAGAAGTCTTAAGCGCCTTATCGGCTTTGCTGACTGCACGTTCAAGGTCCTCTCTTGCTGCACTTTTACTACGCTTTTGAGGCTCTGCTGCGATTGCAGACATGGATAAGGCATTGCCACCATTATGAGGTGATGTGGTAACAGAGGGGTATTGTCTATATGGAAGGTCTGTGTATAAGGGGACTGGTGCCGGATTTGGAAGTATGTTGTTATTAATAAGCTCTTCCTGCTCTTTAATCAACTGGTTCCTTTCTAAAATAGATAGCTGACGGGACGCATCTGCTTTTGCCTTAAGTTCCTCCAGCTCTGCTTTCTGAGTAGTTAACTTGAGCATCTCTGTCTCCAGCTGAATATTACGCTCACGAAGATTGGCCTCCTTCTTTCTGAGCTCACTCTCTCTGGCAATAATATTGCGCTCCCTGGTGTGTAGTGATTCCATAAGTCTATTCAGCTCCTCTTCAAGATCTCTCGCTTTCGCCTCCCTAAGGTTAGCTGATGTTAACGCAGTGTTGGCTTCTATCTTTGCCCTTTCTGCTTCTTCCATAGCTCTTTTGGCTTCTGCTGTAAGGTCGCTGACTTTTTGAATAGACTCATTGTACCTATCTTCTGCGCGCTTCGCACGCTCCTCGGCGAGGTTGATTGCTGCATTTAGGGCCAGGACATTCGGATCATTCACGTGCACCTGCTTATAATGCTGTGCCTTAACAGCCAATGAGGAAACTTCTGATTGTATCCCACTCATTTGAAGCTCCAATCGTTTAATTGTATCAAGTATCTTACCCTCCTTACAAGAATCATCTGCAAACTTGCTTTGAAGCTTAGTTGCGATGGACTCCTCCAAACGGCGCATGTTATGTTCTATTCCGTGAAGTGCTGGAGTCGGGTCTACAAGGCTTGATGCAGATTCTTTGGTCTGATCAAGTGCATTTTGAATCAGTGATTGAATATCCGATGCCTGCAAACTGTTGGAATGTCCCTGTTGTGTCTCCTTCGGTAGATGCTTTATAATTTCAGAAGTCAGAGCAGATGTGAGCTGGGTCATATCCGGGCCAACAGTGAGACCCTTAAGCTCGTGCAGGATAACGTTCATTTGGTCTTGAAGTCGCTTTAAGGTGTCGGAGTGAGTTGGAGACGTACTTCTGGATCGAGGAGGTAAAGGGGCTTGCTTAGACGCTGGAATGGCAGTAACGTGAGTTGTTGCCGGTGCTTGTATATGGCTAGATGCATCTGTTGTCAATGCACTGGTCTCGTCTGTAGTCGTCGTTAGCTCTGATTTAGGCGGAGAGTAATAGATTGGCTTTTGTGCAACTGTAAATGGATTTTCGGGGTTCTTTACCGGGACAGCCTCATCAGAAGTGTCCTCATAGAAGGGAAGAGAGGGCTGCCGCGCCTTAACGAACTGAGAACCTGTGACCTTTCCAATGACGCTCCCAGTACTCCTTACAGTTTTAGGCCACGCATCTGTCACTGCATCAGTGTGTGCTTGTGGAAGTTGCTTTAATGTTTCCTTTGGGGGACTATGCATAGAAGAACTCAGCTGCTCTGGCTCTGGATTGGGAGTTATAGCACGCGGCTCAGAGACGTCAGTCGATAAATGATTGGCTTCTGGCACAGTTAGAGCATTCGGTTCAAAATCATTTCCAAAGTCGTCTCCAAAATCGTCATCGAATTTATCAATAGATGTACCATTATGCTGCTCAGCAGTGGAAGGTAAGTGTGCAGAATTAGAAACAGTTACCTTCCCTGTCCCGTTTTTGACAGGAGAATCCTTTCTTGGCTCTACTTGCGTGATACCGGGGGATTTACGAGGACTATCTTCTTGATAAAAATCTCCCCACACGATATCATCTTCTTTTCCTGCCCCGAAAGAGGCTGTCTGCTGGGTGTCCTTCTGTGTTGAGGCTGGTTTTTCGTCCGACCCAAAATCAAACAGATCGCTAGCCCCAGCAAATGGGTCTTTTTCCTGTGCTTTTATCACCGGCTGTGATTTCTTCTGAGCCTCTTCCTTAGCAGGTACTGAACCTGGAGTATCTTCCAAAAAGTTGTCGATGTTAAAATTGTCTAAATTATACTCATCAATGGAATCTGGAGCTTTATCTCCATTCTTCTCGTCTCCACCGTTGCCTGCAGAACCACCCAAGCCATCGAGGCTCCCAAAGGAGAAGCCGTTTTGAAAATCAAACAGATCATCCATATTTTACTTTAGGATTAACTGGTTTGTAGAAGAAGTAGAGCAGTCCGTGTTAAGGCTCATTCTGATAGCGTGCAACAAGATCTTTCATCGCATCTGTTTGTGCATAAGCTTCTATGCTCGGACCATGTGCTCTGCGAATCTGCTTCTCGTGTGGAAAGAGGATCTCTGCTGCTTCAATATTTCCGGATTTAACTGCCAACATCAGGGCCGTAAAATCTGGGCCTTCCGGGTGAGAAGCGGTTGTTCTTAGTCCAGACTCTTTAGCTGCTAGCAGACGAATGCATGGCAGTGCATTTGCTTCAACGGCATACATAAGAGCCGTCTTCCCATTGGAGTCCTGCATTCTTCCTTGAGCTGGTAGCAACGAATAAACACGCACGAGATCGTTCTTTTCCGCGGCAGTCATTAGCTCTGTTTTGTTAGCAGTGGTCTGAGATCCAAATGCAGAGTATGTTCCTTCATACTCCTTTAAAATTTCTGCGACAACCATATTACGACTTAGAAGAGCATAGTACAATGCTGTATGACCCTCATGATCTTTTATTCCTGCCTCGTGCTCCCTTAAGATAAGGGCGACCTCTGGACTGTTTGCAATTGCAGCCTTCATAAGAGCCGTTTGGCCATACTTATCTTGCATGCGCTGCTCAAAGGGTACTAAAAGTTGGACTGCAGCAGAGAAGCCATTTGTGGCAGCCAACATCAACGCAGTGCAACGATCCCCGTCGGCTTTTCCTGCATCTTGCAGGTTACTCTTGCAGTCTGTGATACTCTTTCTAAGCACAGACTGCATCAGCGGCGTCTTACTAGGATCTGAAAGAAGACATTGATCTCGTCTCTCGCTAAGCGTCCTATGAAGGAGCTCATGGCGCCTCTCAGGGGAAATAACCTTTTCCTTGAAAATCTTACTGACAGGTCGATCATCTGTATGAGTGTTTCTTATCAGCTCTGCTTTTTCAGCTGATAGTTTGGTGTACTGTGAGCTTAATAGTCGCCCAGCCCCTTCTGCATCTTGTGTGTAGCGTGACTGTTGGAGGATACCTGCATAATTAGTCTCCAAGTTCTTCATAGATGCCTCAACCTCTGCCTTACGCTTCAAGCACTGGATTTGCTCACTTATCCCGGCAGTTTGGGCTAAGGCTGCTTGTGAGCGAGAGATGGATGCCTGTAGGTGTACGCCTACGCTGCTATTAGTTTCTATACCATAGATCTTACTGGCGACGCGCTCAATGGTACTAAGAATCTCACTCGCCTGTATTGTTCCCTTCACTGAAGCACAGCTATCACGAAGCTCTTTCAAGTTCTTTTGTAGTCGTGCACTCTTTGGTCTCCCTGTTGTCCTAATATCATCAATGGTTAAACTCTCTTTCAATAGATCCTGTTCATTCCTCTGTTCTTGATGTGCAGCGGAACCAAATGGAGAGTCTGCCTGTGGTAAGGGTAAACATGCAGGTTTATCAGTATGTTGTGGAATGGGTGAAATAGCGCCTTCTACTGTTTGTATGCTTATCCTATCCAAATCTCGCACTAATTCTTTGATTCGTTCATCAATAACAAAGAGCTCATGTTCTAAAGACCTTATTGTCTGATCAGACTTTTGTTCTAAGGTACTAGTCGAGCCTGCAAAATACTTATTATACTCGCACGTCTCCTTCAAGGATCGTGTAAGCCGTGTCCGCCGCGCAGTTAATCTATCTAGCTCCTGTTTGATTGCCTCCTCTTGCGACACATTTAGTGACTGCCTTGAATCCTGTGATTGCAAATATGATGACGCTAGCCCCTTTCTTTCTAAATTAAGAATTCTAGCAAGGGTCTGGGAAGAAGACTGGCTCAGAAGATAGCCTCCAGAGTGGGATTTACGTGTAGACTGTTGTTGCTCAAGCGGTTTAGTGTCTTTCTCGTTGTAATGAATATCCACACACGGTTTATCGAGTGCACAATCTGCTAGTTCAAGTATTTCATTTGTTCTGACAGTTGCAGTGAGTACGTCTTGTCTCAATTGTGTAATGTTATCGTTTATGTTATTGTCGTACTCATGGAGATTGAAAACTTCAGAGCTGCGCCTCAGTCGTGCACTTGGCACTCTCGATAGAGATGGCTTGGGTGACGTTGCTATTTTATTGATTTCAGACGCAAAAGAAATGAGATTCCGACTTGCAGTTGAGGTGGCAACAGTGGCAACAGCTGCTGCGGTGGCTGTGTTGATGAGCTTTGCGCTAGACGGGCGCTTTGAAAGGGCAGGGGCGGCGTGCATGTGGCTGGAAGTCTTAGTAGAGCATGCCATACGGTTGACACAAGCATGCTCCAACACACTTATTATTTCCCGGGACTGTCGCTTTCGCGCGAGGTGGAGTGCAATCTTGAGATCATCCGGAGAGTATCCATAGCTTTGCAAAAGTAAACCAACACAATCAACACTACCGGACAGGACCGCATAATCTAGCTCAGACGTACCAGAGGGGTCCCTGGCGATTTGGTATGCACTAAGTAATGCCCTTAATGCGTCAACAGAACCACACTCTGCGGCAACCATGAGGGCATTTCTACCATCAGGCGTGCATATGGCTTTCTCATAAGGAATTAGGGCTTTGCATATGCCTGAATAGTTCAAGGAAGCAGCTATCAATAGGGCCGTGCTGCCCTCATTGTTCAAGCATCCAGCTTCGTGTGGGGTTAATATATGTACCATTTGCAAATCATTTGCGCGAACGGCAAGGTGAAGCGCGGTATGACCTTCGCTATTGCACGATTTGGCCATACGAAGATTGGCAAGAATATACTCATAATCTTGGACAACTATGGACTGAAACCACTTTGCAAGAGCTGCCTCTGTGTGCCTTTCTGTTGACATATTCTCTTTAATTGAGTTTATGGGCTTTGTGTCAACAAGGAAATTAAGGAGTCCTGCCAAATTTTGAAATTGAGTAAGGTTATAACGGTGAGTATAATAGTCCTCTCTACCGGACTTTGGTTATCTTGATATGCAGCTAATAAGTGCATCTACTAGATCAAGGGATCAGAAATTTTGATTCATGAATTCAAACATGTACTCCATTTTACAGTGATAGTGCAGATAAAGGATCCACTAGACCTCACTATAATACTAATTCTAGGAGGTATAGCTAGCCAAGTACTGTAGGTGGTGAGCACACTCCTTCTTACCCTCTTTACTAATATATAAACAGATGCAGAAAAGATTGAAACGTTAGAAGACCTTGAACTTAAGTGGCTATCTTTGTGAACCTGCTCATCACTAGTTCCTATAAGCCTCGGTCAGCCCCACCACTATGGACTTTTAAGACTCTCACCTAGCTCTACTTCGAGTTCCTCACAACTCCGCTGTCGGGTTCTTGCTTTTGTAGGGGCGTTCCAGAAGAGGTGGCACCTTCTGGGACTTGACAATCCAGCTCTGGCGCTTGATCATCTGCTCCGATGAACATAACCCTGGTCTGTTGCTAACTGGATACTCTGCTTGCGGATACCAAGCCTGATATACGCAAAACAGCCATCAGTAGGGTGTAGAGAATCGGCTGTGCTAGCGGCTAAGCATTCCCTTCGCAGCAGAAAGTGACCGATACACTGGCCTCCGACGGGTACATTTGTGCATAGCGGATGATCGCCAGCAAACGTATATAGTACCACTTCACTGTGTTACAACCACATTAAAGATGTCTAATGGCCAGTCACAGGATCCATGCAGCTGGCAGTCTGAACCGTGGCTAGCATATACCGCATATCCATTTGAAGTGTCTGGACCCTAATAGATGGGTGAATCGGAAGTCAGCGTATTCACTTGCCACAGCTCCATAAAGTGCGCTGCCGGGTACCACGACTGCCCAGCAATCCATTACGGCCTATCAATATGTTGCCTACGTTGACTCTGAGCGTTTCTACAATGGCTGACAATGGCTCATCCACACTGATGGGTACAGATCATCCTATCTCCAAACGTAAGTCCAGGGCAATAGCCGCTGGAGCCAACTGCGGTGTAGGAGAGTGCTGGACATAATGCGCTAGCCTTGCGCTGCGCTTGTAGTCGGGATGTCCCATCCAGATTCTGCGGCATTGGAACAGTGCTAGAGGATGGCCTGAAGCTACCACGTGCACAGCTGACAGTCTGAGGATGTAGTTGTATCTGGCACATTAATCAGCATCTGCTGAAGGGGTATGCAGTAGACCCTCACGGCGAGGACGCTGAGCAGCAGATGCCTTGACTAGTTACACTACACCTTTCTCTGTGCATGTGGAAATAAGTATCAAAAGATACGCATTTGCGGAGGATCCTGCCATAGCCACTCACTGAGCAGGCTTACGAGTAGCAAGAGTAGTGGCCAGTGGACCGGAGACTCTGCTTATTGCGCACGAGCACTGTGGCCTGAGGTAGCTACATGAAGCCTAGCACTTGGCCGCCACTTCAAGCATGCTTTGGAACGGATACAAGCACACCAGACCAGCGAAGCCTGGGCTCAGCAAAACGATAGGGGGGCTTGAAAACGTTGAGGCGCAATCAGAAGTCTAAAGAAGCTTTTCCCTGTCGCTAGCTGCTTATCACCAACGATGGGTAGCTCTGAGCAAGGAGTGATGGCATTGCCCAACTGCTATGGCAGCCGCTGGGCGTTCTTTGACGTGGATTGGAGTCAAGGATATGTGTGGATGTCCTCTTCCAGGAAGGTCTAACAGAGTGCTGTGGTCCTCACACAAACTCTCGAATTAGGGACTCGGAAACAGGCCCCGTCCTTGCCCTTAACATCTGCCGCTTCGGAAAATCGGTCTAAGCCTATGAGTAGCAACGATATCTGTTCTGTTCTTGAGTAGTGCCCGGCACATGGTTCTTGTATGGGCCCCTTGCTGCACCAGGACGGCCGTTAGCAACGACTCCGATGCAGAGACAAACAATCAGGCAACACGTTCCTGGGATCAACATCCAGGAGGGCAAAGAACCCCACTTACAGTGCCTTCAAATAGAGCTCTCAAACAGTGACTACTGTTGAGCCTGGCCGTTAAGGTGTAGAGTAACAAGCAACCCTCACCTTTCCCAGACGCCTGCTCTCTGACCGAGGGCTGGCAGTGTTTGTACTGTCAACGCCTACTTGGTCGTCTTGCGTTGCTGTCCCTTATCCACTCCATCTAAGTCCATTGTGCACGCTTGTCTGCCAGCTATTGGCAGAGTGCTGGAGGCGCCGGGCGAGGCCAGTCTCACTCATGGGACAGAGGCTGCCTGAGCCCTGCAATCCTGTGAGCCTCGGACGGTGGCAACAAGAGGCCTTTCATGGTACGCATTTGCCTGGATGGCGGGGTGATCCTAGAGCCGGCCCCGTGCCGCTCCACGAGCATTACGATCGCTGTGTCCCCCACGATGGTCACTCGGGCAGTAGTCAGGTGCAGGACACGGTGGCTACGGGTGTCAAGGGCTACAAGCGCCAGCTGGGTTAATGTAGCAATGGATGCACTCATTATCTATGTATACACTTATGCCTTCCCACAGCAAGGAAAGCCAGCGCTGGGCTTCCTCAGTCGTGCTTGCTGGGGGCGGATGCTGCATCAACGGGTCTCCGGTGCGGCTCGAGGATGCGATCTCGCTTCCGTTGGTCGCTGTGTTCCACTGAATTCCGTGACATGAAGCAGGGTTCCGTGCGCCTCTTAATGCAAACCAGAGCGGTGCTGTGTCAGCTTCTGGCCTCAATGTTGGTAGGAATTGGTTTGATTTTTGCAGTTGCATTGGCTGATGCATGCAGTCCATCGATCGATGGTTGTGCTGAATGTGACTCAACTGGACAAGGATGCACCAAATGCGACGCAAACGGCAACACGCCCTACCTGAAGAAGACGAATCCGGGCGACCAAACAGGGACGTGCGTCAGCAAGGAGGACTGCACGAGGGACGGAGGCTACTACGCCGACGACACCACCGATCCGAACGCCAAGGAGTGCAAGAAGTGCGATGCTACGTGCGCGGCGTGTTCTAGCGGTTTAGCGACGGCTTGTACGAAGTGCGAGGCAGGCGGCGCCACGCCCTACCTGAAGAAGACGAATCCGGGCGACCAAACAGGGACGTGCGTCAGCAAGGAGGACTGCACGAGGGACGGAGGCTACTACGCCGACGACACCACCGATCCGAACGCCAAGGAGTGCAAGAAGTGCGATGCTACGTGCGCGGCGTGTTCTAGCGGTTTAGCGACGGCTTGTACGAAGTGCGAGGCAGGCGGCGCCACGCCCTACCTGAAGAAGACGAATCCGGGCGACCAAACAGGGACGTGCGTCAGCAAGGAGGACTGCACGAGGGACGGAGGCTACTACGCCGACGACACCACCGATCCGAACGCCAAGGAGTGCAAGAAGTGCGATGCTACGTGCGCGGCGTGTTCTAGCGGTTTAGCGACGGCTTGTACGAAGTGCGAGGCAGGCGGCGCCACGCCCTACCTGAAGAAGACGAATCCGGGCGACCAAACAGGGACGTGCGTCAGCAAGGAGGACTGCACGAGGGACGGAGGCTACTACGCCGACGACACCACCGATCCGAACGCCAAGGAGTGCAAGAAGTGCGATGCAGGACAAAAGCCTAATACTGCAGGTACGCAGTGCTTCGCTTGCCCCGACTCTAACTGTGAACGATGTGATCAGAGTGATGTCTGCGCTAGATGCAGTACCGGCGCACCACCAGAGAACGGGAAATGCCCCGCCGCCACGCCGGGGTGCCACTCCAGTTGCAAGGATTGCGTCAGCGGTGCTAATACGAGTGAAGACGATAAGTGCCTTAGCTGCAGCGGAGACAACTATCTGAAGGTGACGGATACTGATGCCCACTCAGGGGTGTGCGTATCGGCCTCTGCCTGTACATCTGATACGACGCACTTCACCAAGGAGGTCGCGGACTCTACTGGCTCAAAGAAGATGTGCCTCTCATGCAGCGACGCGACACACGGCATCACAGGCTGCAAAAAGTGTGCCCTCAAAACGCTCTCTGGAGAAACAGAATCGACAGTTGTGTGCTCTGAGTGTACAGACAAGCGGCTTACTCCTTCGGGCAATGCATGTTTAGAACAGTGTCCTGCAGGGACATATGCCGATAATATTAACGGAGTCAGTGTCTGTGCTTCCTGCCATGCTACGTGTGCAGAATGCAACGGCAATGCGGACGCTGCTTCCTGCACGGCCTGCTATCCCGGGTACTCTCTCCTGTATGGATCTGGCACAGCCGGAACATGCGTCAAGGAGTGCACTGGTGCGTTCATTACCAACTGTGCAGACGGGCAGTGCACGGCTAACGTGGGGGGCGCGAAGTACTGTGCTCAGTGCAAGGACGGGTACGCCCCGATCGACGGGATCTGTACAGCAGTGAAAACTGGGAGAGACGCGAGCGTATGTACGGCGGCAGGCGGGAAGTGCACCAAATGTGCAGGAGAGTATACTCTCATGTCGGGCGGGTGCTATGGTGTGGCGAAGCTGCCCGGGAAGGCTGTCTGCACGACAGCTAATAATGGAAAGTGTACTATGTGTGCTGCAAATAACCGGGCACCTGTACAAGAGAAGTGTCCGGAGTGCTCTGAAGGCTGTGCAAAATGCAATGATTCTAATGCCTGCACTGAATGCCTTCCTGGATACTACAAAGGTGCCGGTGATAAATGCTTCAAATGTACAGCTAGTAGTGGAAATAACAACCAAATCACTGGTGTCGCTAATTGCGTAAGCTGCGCTCCTCCAGCTGGTAACGCTGGTGGCCCTGTCACCTGCTATATCAAAACAGACGGCGATAACACCGGCGGAAGCGTCAACAAGAGCGGCCTCAGCACAGGCGCCATCGCGGGCATCTCCGTCGCAGTCATCGTCGTCGTCGGAGGCCTCGTCGGCTTCCTCTGCTGGTGGTTCGTGTGCCGGGGCAAGGCGTGACTTAGGTAGTAAACGCATCTCCTATTACATCTGCTCAGCAGCCTTGCGCAGAAGTCCAGGAATGAGTGGCCACGAAGCAGGGTCTCCTGACGTCTCGAGTAAACATACATAGTGCTCGCTCTGCGTGGAGCATCGAAAGCCCGGCGCGGTGTAGCCACGGCTGCTGGTTGGAGCGGAACGCGTTGGAGCTTTTTGAAAATGGCCCTACCCCGTGCCGGCCACGCGGCCTCTAGACCAGCGAGGCGAGGAGCTTCGTGATCCCCGGGCGCGCGCGGTAGCCATCAAATAGCTCGCGCAGCGGCGGAAACTGGTCCACGAGCTCCGGACACTCTGCGTCCGCATAATACAGGACCTCCAGGACCGCGTAGTCCGAGTCGAGCGGCTCGAACGCCAGGCTCCGAAGGTTCAGCACGTCCCGGGTCAGGACGGTCAGCCCCGGAAGGATCCTGTTCTGTCGGTAGGCCGCGATGCACTCCGAGCGCGTCATCTCTGCCCCAGCGGCAAGGGCCTCTGCCACGGCTTCGGGCTCCTTCCAGGCGGCGGCAAGGAGATCCTCACAGAAGAGCACCAGGGCCCGCGCAGCAGCCTGCACCTGCAATGACGTGCTGTACCGCCCCAGGCTCGCCCCCAGGTACTCCAGGATGACCATGCCCCCGGCCACCCGCGCCGCGCTGTCTTCCCACACGGGGAGCGTGCACGATGGTGCACCCACCTTCGCCGCGGCCACCTGCTCGGCGCTCGCCAAGGGCGCCCACTCGTACCGTATCTCCAGGTCTGCGAGCAGGAGCCGGCACTTCAACGCGGTGCCCCGGGCGTCGTAGTACGTGAGTCTCGGCGGAACTACGTCCATTTTACTTCTCTGGTGGGCTCGTATCAACTGTGCCAAGGTGCGAGGCAACCCCTGGCACGCGGGCCACCTCTCCCGGGGGGAGATCCTTGGGTTTCAGTTTACTATCTGAGCGCCAGCTTCATGTAGCTGCTATACGTTGCTAACTGCTAGTACCTGCATAGATAGTGGTGGGGTTGGGGTGGACACTAGGCTGGCGCGATTTATGGAGGTCGTTTGCCTCCTGGGTCGTTTGAACCTCGAGGGTCCGGAATCTTCCAGTTGGACCCTCTAAATCATATCACGAACCATCAGACGGAGAGACCGACCCACAGCTGGTCAAAAGGGTCGGCAGTGATCGCAGCCACTGTGTCACTCGAGGACCTGTTGGGGCCCGGGACTCTGCAGAAGCTCCTCACTAGTTCGGTCTTGAAGTCCACGCTCTTGTGTGCCAAGATCCACGTCTTGTTATGCGTGCCGTGCTTTCCAGTATAATCGTGCTTATACTTGTCGCCCTCTCTAATGCAGTTTCTAATGCTACCATGACGGGACTTCTCGCTATTTTGTGCTTCATGTTTGTCAACACGGCCTAGGTGCCCTGCTGTCTGTTCTGCAGCCGCTTCATCTCCTGCTAGAAGGAAGCGAGAGCCCTTGGGTATCCGGTAAGACTTCTGAGTAAACGAGGTAATGCTTCGATGAGTGTACGTTAGTCGCATCGGCACAGAGCGCGTACTAACCAGACGAAGTCACATGTCTGCTAACTTCTATATAATATTCTAAAGCTATCCGGTCTCTGGGTGGCACCGCCAGGTGTGTAGTGGGGCCCGTGGCCATTAAGACCCAGAAGGGCCTCTTCTCCTACTTGGCTCCGGAGTCAGTCCCAGTAGAGCATTGTTATGAGGCTGGTGTGCAGAGAGACACCGGATAGTTTGTACCGGTACACACCCCTTGTCCCCAGACGGCACTCACCAGGAGTAGGCATTCGTAGAACCGCAGCATCGTGGGCTTGTGCACCGCTCGCTGCCCATGCACGTGTAGCTGCAGGCACACAAGCCAGTCGAGAGGCGCTCACTTGCCGGAGCTCCCTAATCACTGTTCAGAACACCGAACCGACGCCCCTGCCAGCGCGCCGCTCTTTGTAAGATACCCCAGAGGAACTCCAGTCGTCGCTCAACAGCGTGCATACCCGAGGCCTCTGTCTAGGGAACACTGCGCCCGCCTCTGCATGTCTTGAAGTGCAGAAAAGAAGGTCTACCGATAGAGCCCTACACCATGTCCAGACATCCTATGTTTTCAGAATCTTCGCGCAAGGATAAGAGGTAGGATGGGCAGAACTTGGCTGGCCTCGCGTCATGCAGATAGCGATGCTATGCGTACCACGTGATTGCATGTCACCGCACAAAGACAAGAGCCTGTATCAGCAGCCGACGGCATTTTACCAGTAGACCGAGGGACATTCCCGCACTGTACTCATTCTCCTGTGTAACTTTCAAGCATGTTCGGTCGTGCTGGACGCTGCCTTTAGTCATATCTTGCTGAATAGCCAACGCAGTTGGCAGTGACCCCAAATATAGTGCGCCTTGCCTAATTCAGACTCCGGGATAGGCGTGTGGAAGACAAGCAGACGCATAGTATGGAGCACAGAGAGCCGTAGAGACAGTTCTAAGCGCATCATAGAGAAGCAGAGTGGGCTGTGGCCTCATGTGGTTAGAGGTATATGATCGTATAGTCTTCTGTTCAGGACACATATCTTGGGAGCCACTGCGTTGAGTCCTCTAGACCATCACTTGGAGGGCGAACCGTCGTGCAATGCAGGGCTGCATGCCAAAAGACACATGTCTGTCAGGAGAAGGTCGAAGGACGGATCCACAGGCATTGCATGACTTGCTGGCATTCTTCTGTACAGAGCGTAATGCCTCGTGACAGGGAAGTCGTAGTTTTGTCACCAACCCCAATAGGGCTAAGGCATGATCAACGCAGAACTATGCATTCCTGCTGTGGTGTCCACAGAAGTGCTTGTCGAAGAGGATGTTCGCGCTCTCTGAGGGTACACACGAGGAGGGGCTGTGTAATGCGAAGAGCCGGGCACAGACCTTAAAGGGCTCAGGCTCGTGGTCATAAAAAGTCGCTCCTGCCCGTCTCCGCGGGTACTGCAGTCCTCGATGGTGGATCATCGCATCTTCTCCTTAACCGGCACATTGGCAGCCTGGTCTCTGGCGCAGGCACGCAGAGCATCGGGCCAGAAGCGCCGACTCGTTACCTCCTTTGCTCAGCCAAGTCCCGTGTTGGCCACAGAACACGCGTGTCTGCCCCCAGTGCGTAGCCGCTGAATCCTCAACAGAGGGACGTGTTCAGAAGTCTACGCTAACGCAGCCCACTGCAAGCAAAGTTCATCTGTCTCTCAGAGAAGAGGCGGCTGGGCCGTGTGTTGCGCATCAAGAGGCCTTTGTGAAGGGCGCCCGCACGTCTCGTCACACATGTGCGTCCGAGTGACAAGTAGCAGCCGGCGATACGGCCGCCCTCGGCTTCGCAGACACAGCGGGTGTGCTTACTGGTGTTCAAAGCAGTATGCCGTTGATCGTGGCATGCCTTTTCTCCAGGAGGGCTGGACGCCACTCGAATTGTGACTGTGTGCCATAGACGGGTGCTCTCCTTGTTACTCTGTAACACTCGTGCGCATCGGGACCGGCGATTCGCATCTGTGATCCAGACAGGAGCAGCGTCTTGTACTTCCGAGTAAGATGCAGCCGGCCCGCGAGCCTACGTGCCGATCTATAGTCTATAACAAGCAAGCGGCAACCACTTGGCGTGCTACTCACGTGGACATTGCAGACTCTGCATCTGAATCGAGAGGCTTGACAGCGTACCGATTCCACGCTTGGCCGTCATAGGAGCCGCTTCCTTCTGCTCAGTAGTAAGCAGTCCGGCTTTACCGGTAGGAATGATCGATATAGCTGAGTGGCCCGAATAGACCCTAGTGACACCACGGCTTTCTGTTTATATTAAACGCCTTCGCTGTACTGGGGTCTCAGTGAGAAGACGAGCACAGATCCAGGCATGCAAGCCTTTAGAGATGCGTACTCCACGCAATTCCGGTGTGCTCGCCTGACGAGTCCTACTGCTCTAGCCGGCATACCGTTAGATCCTTCTGTACAGATTGAGCGAGCAGATATTAGCATACGGGTCACGTTAAGTACCTATGTTCAAGGCAGCTGCTGTTGAACGGGCACACCCAGAGCCACTGTCACGTAAGATGCCAGCAAGATTCGCGGCCGCAGATCACACTGTAATCTGGCGACTGATTTGGTCATGTCGCTTCTTTATCGGCTGGAAACTCGACTGGAAGCGACAGAGAGCACGTCGGGAGAACTCGATGGGAGAGGACTGGCAGGGCTTCCTGCGCCACGGGGGGAGCCACCGCAGGAGGACGCGCAGGCACGCACGCCAGGCCACAGTAGACACGCGGACGCCCCTGTAGACTGGGCCGGCAGCAGGCGTCCGCAGAATCCGCGCCAGAGCCAGCTGCTCAAAAAACTGGGCAGCCTCTGGTCGTGTGCAGGCCTTGCAGAGCGCTGCGGCTCCCGACACTCGGCGACCCCTCTCAGAGCGGAAGACCCCGCGGGCCGCAGGCAGCAGCTCGTCGTCGGCGATGTCCCGAACGAGGGGGACGGCCCCAGCCTGCCTGCCTCCGCAGAGCTCTGGGTGTCTGCAGACAAACCGGGGCTGCGCAGGGCGCGGCTCTCCCTGGCGGCCGAGGGCGGGGATCCCCGGCAATACCAAAAAACTCCGATCAATACATCAACCCCGGCGCCGCCGTGTGCAAAGCAGTCTGTTCTGTGTGGCGACCTAAGCCAACTCGTACTGCGGCGATGGCCCGGATGAGGGCGCCCTGCTCGCCCGACGGACCGGGGCAGGCAGGCAACAAACACCCGCTAAAACTTTTGCGCAAGGCCTGTACATATTTAATTTCACATTATTCGTTGGTCTGTTTTTAGTTTTATCGCCGCTTCTATTGGATGGGCTCTGGGGCAATGACGGCGGAGACGCGCGCCTCCGTTCTGCTCGAGCTCGCGAAGCAGGTCGTCGCTGCCCGGCGGCTGGGGGAGACGGCCGAGAGCCTCGCGCGGCGGCCGCTGCTCCTCCACCGGCACGTGCTCCGGACGGCCATCGACTG